AAAATTGATTGGATTTCATTTGTTGAGCATCTTTTGATTATTCTTTAGAGAAATTACTATTTTTTTATGAATTTTTTTCGTTTAAAAATTTGTAAATCTGGAAGACCTTCCAGTTTTACAAATTCATTATTTTCGAGCCAAATTTCGTGATTTCAGTTTGAAATTGATTGGATTTAATTTGTTTAGCATTTTTTGAATATTCTCTGAAGAAATTACTTTTTTTAACGAACTTTTTTTCGTTTAAAAATTTGTAAATCTGGAAGAGCTTCCAGTTTTACAAATCCATTATTTTCGAGCCAAATTTCGTGATTTCAGTCTAAAATTGATTGGATTTCATTTGTTGAGCATCTTTTGATTATTCTTTAGAGAAATTACTATTTTTTTATGAATTTTTTTTTCGTTTAAAAATTTGTAAATCTGGAAGACCTTCCAGTTTTACAAATTCATTATTTTCGAGCCAAATTTCGTGATTTCAGTCTAAAATTGATTGGATTTCATTTGTTGAGCATCTTTTGAATATTCTCTGAAGAAATTACTTTTTTTTAATGAACTTTTTTTTTCGTTTAAAAATTTGTAAATCTGGAAGAGCTTCCAGTTTTACAAATCCATTATTTTCGAGCCAAATTTCGTGATTTCAGTCTAAAATTGATTGGATTTCATTTGTTGAGCATCTTTTGAATATTCTCTGAAGAAATTACTTTTTTTTAATGAACTTTTTTTTCGTTTAAAAATTTGTAAATCTGGAAGAGCTTCCAGTTTTACAAATTCATTATTTTCGAGCCAAATTTCGTGATTTCAGTTTGAAATTGATTGGATTTAATTTGTTTAGCATTTTTTGAATATTCTCTGAAGAAATTACTTTTTTTTAACGAACTTTTTTTTTTCGTTTAAAAATTTGTAAATCTGGAAGAGCTTCCAGTTTTACAAATCCATTATTTTCGAGCCAAATTTCGTGATTTCAGTCTAAAATTGATTGGATTTCATTTGTTGAGCATCTTTTGATTATTCTTTAGAGAAATTACTATTTTTTTATGAATTTTTTTTTTCGTTTAAAAATTTGTAAATCTGGAAGAGCTTCCAGTTTTACAAATTCATTATTTTCGAGCCAAATTTCGTGATTTCAGTCTAAAATTGATTGGATTTCATTTGTTGAGCATCTTTTGAATATTCTCTGAAGAAATTACTTTTTTTTAATGAACTTTTTTTTTCGTTTAAAAATTTGTAAATCTGGAAGAGCTTCCAGTTTTACAAATCCATTATTTTCGAGCCAAATTTCGTGATTTCAGTCTAAAATTGATTGGATTTCATTTGTTGAGCATCTTTTGATTATTCTTTAGAGAAATTACTATTTTTTTATGAATTTTTTTTTCGTTTAAAAATTTGTAAATCTGGAAGACCTTCCAGTTTTACAAATTCATTATTTTCGAGCCAAATTTCGTGATTTCAGTCTAAAATTGATTGGATTTTATTTGTTGAGCATCTTTTGATTATTCTTTAGAGAAATTACTATTTTTTTATGAATTTTTTTTTTCGTTTAAAAATTTGTAAATCTGGAAGAGCTTCCAGTTTTACAAATCCATTATTTCCGAGCCAAATTTCGTGATTTCAGTCTAAAATTGATTGGATTTCATTTGTTGAGCATCTTTTGATTATTCTTTAGAGAAATTACTATTTTTTTAAGAATTTTTTTTTTCGTTTAAAAATTTGTAAATCTGGAAGACCTTCCAGTTTTACAAATTCATTATTTTCGAGCCAAATTTCGTGATTTCAGTCTAAAATTGATTGGATTTCATTTGTTGAGCATCTTTTGATTATTCTTTAGAGAAATTACTATTTTTTTATGAATTTTTTTTTTCGTTTAAAAATTTGTAAATCTGGAAGACCTTCCAGTTTTACAAATCCATTATTTTCGAGCCAAATTTCGTGATTTCAGTCTAAAATTGATTGGATTTCATTTGTTGAGCATCTTTTGATTATTCTTTAGAGAAATTACTATTTTTTTATGAATTTTTTTTTCGTTTAAAAATTTGTAAATCTGGAAGACCTTCCAGTTTTACAAATTCATTATTTTCGAGCCAAATTTCGTGATTTCAGTCTAAAATTGATTGGATTTCATTTGTTGAGCATCTTTTGAATATTCTCTGAAGAAATCACTTTTTTTAATGAACTTTTTTTTCGTTTAAAAATTTGTAAATCTGGAAGAGCTTCCAGTTTTACAAATCCATTATTTCCGAGCCAAATTTCGTGATTTCAGTCTAAAATTGATTGGATTTCATTTGTTGAGCATCTTTTGATTATTCTTTAGAGAAATTACTATTTTTTTATGAATTTTTTTTTCGTTTAAAAATTTGTAAATCTGGAAGACCTTCCAGTTTTACAAATTCATTATTTTCGAGCCAAATTTCGTGATTTCAGTCTAAAATTGATTGGATTTTATTTGTTGAGCATCTTTTGATTATTCTTTAGAGAAATTACTATTTTTTTATGAATTTTTTTTTCGTTTAAAAATTTGTAAATCTGGAAGAGCTTCCAGTTTTACAAATCCATTATTTCCGAGCCAAATTTCGTGATTTCAGTCTAAAATTGATTGGATTTCATTTGTTGAGCATCTTTTGAATATTCTCTGAAGAAATTACTTTTTTTAAATGAACTTTTTTTTTTTCGTTTAAAAATTTGTAAATCTGGAAGAGCTTCCAGTTTTACAAATCCATTATTTTCGAGCCAAATTTCGTGATTTCAGTCTAAAATTGATTGGATTTCATTTGTTGAGCATCTTTTGAATATTCTCTGAAGAAATCACTTTTTTTTAATGAACTTTTTTTTCGTTTAAAAATTTGTAAATCTGGAAGAGCTTCCAGTTTTACAAATCCATTATTTTCGAGCCAAATTTCGTGATTTCAGTCTAAAATTGATTGGATTTCATTTGTTGAGCATCTTTTGATTATTCTTTAGAGAAATTACTATTTTTTTATGAATTTTTTTTTCGTTTAAAAATTTGTAAATCTGGAAGACCTTCCAGTTTTACAAATTCATTATTTTCGAGCCAAATTTCGTGATTTCAGTCTAAAATTGATTGGATTTTATTTGTTGAGCATCTTTTGATTATTCTTTAGAGAAATTACTATTTTTTTATGAATTTTTTTTTCGTTTAAAAATTTGTAAATCTGGAAGAGCTTCCAGTTTTACAAATCCATTATTTTCGAGCCAAATTTCGTGATTTCAGTCTAAAATTGATTGGATTTCATTTGTTGAGCATCTTTTGAATATTCTCTGAAGAAATCACTTTTTTTTAATGAACTTTTTTTTTCGTTTAAAAATTTGTAAATCTGGAAGAGCTTCCAGTTTTACAAATCCATTATTTTCGAGCCAAATTTCGTGATTTCAGTCTAAAATTGATTGGATTTCATTTGTTGAGCATCTTTTGATTATTCTTTAGAGAAATTACTATTTTTTTATGAATTTTTTTTCGTTTAAAAATTTGTAAATCTGGAAGACCTTCCAGTTTTACAAATTCATTATTTTCGAGCCAAATTTCGTGATTTCAGTCTAAAATTGATTGGATTTCATTTGTTGAGCATCTTTTGAATATTCTCTGAAGAAATTACTTTTTTTATGAACTTTTTTTTCGTTTAAAAATTTGTAAATCTGGAAGAGCTTCCAGTTTTACAAATTCATTATTTTCGAGCCAAATTTCGTGATTTCAGTCTAAAATTGATTGGATTTCATTTGTTGAGCATCTTTTGAATATTCTTTAAAGAAATTACTATTTTTTGGTCATTTTTTTGTTCAAAAATTTGTAAATCTGGAAGAGCTTCCAGTTTTACAAATCCATTACTTTCGAGCCAAATTTCGTGATTTCAGTCAAAAATTGATTGGATTTCATTTGTTGAGCATCTTTTGAATATTCTTTAAAGAAATTACTATTTTGTGGTCATTTTTTTTTGTTCAAAAATTTGTAAATCTGGAAGAGCTTCCAGTTTTACAAATCCATTATTTCCGAACCAAATTTCGTGATTTCAATCTAAAATTGATTGGATTTCATTTGTTGAGCATCTTTTGAATATTCTTTAAAGAAATTACTATTTTTTGGTCATTTTTTTTTGTTCAAAAATTTGTAAATCTGGAAGAGCTTCCAGTTTTACAAATTCATTATTTTCGAGCCAAATTTCGTGATTTCAGTCTAAAATTGATTGGATTTCATTTGTTGAGCATCTTTTGATTATTCTCTGAAGAAATTCCTTTTTTTTAATGAACTTTTTTTTTTTCGTTTAAAAATTTGTAAATCTGGAAGAGCTTCCAGTTTTACAAATCCATTATTTTCGAGCCAAATTTCGTGATTTCAGTCTAAAATTGATTGGATTTCATTTGTTGAGCATCTTTTGAATATTCTTTAAAGAAATTACTATTTTTTGGTCATTTTTTTTTGTTCAAAAATTTGTAAATCTGGAAGAGCTTCCAGTTTTACAAATCCATTATTTCCGAACCAAATTTCGTGATTTCAATCTAAAATTGATTGGATTTCATTTGTTGAGCATCTTTTGAATATTCTTTAAAGAAATTACTATTTTTTGGTCATTTTTTTTTTGTTCAAAAATTTGTAAATCTGGAAGAGCTTCCAGTTTTACAAATCCATTATTTCCGAGCCAAATTTCGTGATTTCAATCTAAAATTGATTGGATTTCATTTGTTGAGCATCTTCTGAATATTCTCTGAAGAATTTACTATTTTTTGTCGCTGCAATCTCATGAAGCACCTCAACCACCTCGAAGTCAGTCACATCTTCGCTCATGCACACAAATCGCTCAAATCTTCCCATTTATCATCAGATCTACAAAGAAACAGTTTTGCTTTGTCTTTCTGAATGAAGTAAATGAACAAATTTTAAACTAGACATTTGATATTCAAAAAACATTTCAAAAGCGCAATTTTTATTTCGCAAGGAAGAAAAAGAAGAATGCGAATCATCAAGAGACTCAAGCATTTCACAAAAAACAAATTGATTAACGTCTTCTTGTGCCATCTTCGAAGAAAATTCCTCCATCGATAGCGCAATATTTTGGACAGATTCCCTTCTCTCCTTCTCCTCCAGAATTTCCTGGTGGACCTGGGGGTCCTGGATTTCCGTCGCTTCCTGGTTGTCCAGCTGGCCCGGGGGGTCCTTTTGGTCCTGGTTCTCCTGCTCCTCCTTGTTGGCTTGCACCGTCTGGTCCTGGTGGCCCAGCTGGTCCTGGTTGTCCTGGCGGTCCTGGCTCAGCTGGTCCGGCTTGCTCGCTAGATCCTGGCTCTCCTGGTCCTCCTGGTTGTCCTGGTTGTCCGTCGTTTCCTGCTGGTCCAGCTGGCCCTGGTGGTCCTGGTGGCCCTGGTGAAACTGGCCCAGCTGGTTGTCCAGCAGGCCCTGGCCCTCCGGCTGGTCCCGGTCCTCCGTCTGGTCCTGGCGGTCCAGGCGGTCCTGGTGGACATGGTTGACAAGGTGGTGGAGTTGAAGCCTCACACGGTGCACTAGCTCCTTTCCCTTCAGCTCCAGCAGCTCCTGGTGCTCCGGGCTTTCCTGGTTTACCTGGCTTTCCTGGTGATCCACCCGGTCCTGGTGGTCCAGGATTACAACATCCTGAGCATCCACCTCCTCCACCTCCCCCAGATCCTCCAGCTGAAGCATAGGCTTGTCTCACAGTTCTGTTTTTTGGCATCTCAGCAATATTGATTTCCGACCACATATCATGAATGGAACCCTGAGAAAGTTTATAAATTAAATAATAATTATTAATGAGAAGAAAAAAAGCTCACTTTGCAATACAAAGATTCTTTGGCGAGTTGCACTTTGGTGTTTTGTACATATGAATAAATCATTGGCAAAGTGAAACATAATGAAAGTGATGCGATGACAGAAAATGCAACAGCCGAATAAGCAATAAAACGATATGTTTTGAGTTTGAGATCCACCTGTGACTCCATTTTGGAATAAACAAGAGGAGAATTGAATGAAATATGATTGTTGGATGTGATACCTCTTCCTTTTATATCATTTTATTTTAATAGTGAAATTAAGGAGAAACTAGTATTTTTTTCTTATTCTCAAAACAAATTCATTGATGAATGAACAATTAATTGGATGAAGCAAACTGATTGTCATTTCATTCAACTGTTACTGGTTTGTTTTACAACATTTTTATGCTTGTACTAGTACATAGTTATTTTTTCTTTTAATTGTCATTCATGTGGAAAAATTTCACTCATTTACTGGAAAAAATATAAAACAGGTGTGCTGTGAATGTTAGATGAAACACCTAAATCCTTCATTAAATAACATGACCCCTCCAACAAACAATAGAGTCCAAGAGTTCTAATTTTGAGCTTGAAAAATATTCAAAAATTGAGACAACATTCATTTAATTTCCATCATAAAGGATTTTTTATTCGAAAACTGAAAAAAATCTGATCCATTTTTGATTCTGAAAGTTTGAAGCCTGTCGTCAACTTTCACAAAATACATTAATAAAATTTATAAAATGAGATCTTGAATAAAAATGAGAAACAATGAGACACATTAAAGTATATTTGGAGAAAAAAGAGAAAAACTATCGGGTTGGCACACAAAAGGGGTAACCTAGAAAACATTAACATTAAATACTATTAAACAGAAGACCGGTAGAATCAAGAAACAAAAAATTATAGAGATTTATTAAAAATGATGAACTTTTCCATGCACACGAAGTCTGTAGAGACATGTGAAAATCGCTCCATAGTTGCTTGTGACTTCGAGCTCAACAATTTTGACTGGGAATTCAGGGGTGTTCTAAAAATAGAAAAAATTCACTTGGTATCCCGTTTTATTCCATTCAAATAAAAATACCTGAGCTGGGAAAAATTGGAGTTGTTGTCCATCCAAATTATAAGTATATTCACCAATCAAACTACGTGTCTTGATATCATCAACATTTTGATATGCCCAAATTTTGAAATCCTTTGGGGCACTTTGTCGATTACCGTCCGGTGCCAATTCTTTGCCAATATGTTCATAGCTCACACTTGACAAATCGATATGATGCGACAAATCAATGGTCAAATATCCACGTCCAGATTTGAAACTCCAACATTCGCCAGGGAACAATGTTTTTGAGTTGCGTTGAATAACAGTTCTTGGTCCATATGTTGAATACCACAATGGGATACTCCAAATTTTCTCAAGTCTTGAATAACTATTATAAGTTTCACTGCAACGTGTTGATAACACTGAAGCACCAGAACTTTCAAGAGCGTAATCGACTAAACCAGTTTTGTCTGAATCATATTCATAAATCATTTTTCTTATCAATGCTTCCAATGCACTTCCATCAATCTGAAAACAAATGAAACATTAGCTTGTTTTCTATTTTTTCACTTTTTTCAGATTAAAAAAAACTCTTACATTAATATTAGTGTGTTGCGATTTGATATCATTGATAATTGTTTGATATTTGCTGGCCATTTCCAAACTCAATTCATCTTTAATTTCAGCACGAAGTCGTTCATAAATATCAGCTTTCAAAGCGGCTTGATCAATTCCAGATGGTACGACAATTGTTTTAGCCGGTGGGGGTTCAGTAATTTGGGCAAAAGCTAAATAAACATTTCTTCCAATCAAAACGAAAAATGCGAGAAAAGCATTTCCAATTGATCGAAGTATTTCGCCAAAGAATGTGAACCAGCTGAATACTGATGATTTCTGAAATAAAACGTTTTTCTCAATAATTATGGGATCTATCACTCACAACTCCAACATAATTATCAGCAACATTATGGCTAACTGGGATAATAAGTTTTTCATATGCAGCTTCTTTTGCTCCAAAAATTAAAGCAAATAAGAAATTGTATAGAAAAACAACACCACTGCAAATTGTTTCAACAAGCCAATTCATGTATAATCCAATAGTTCCAAACAATTTTCCAAAAACATTCACAATATGATTCGGTGTTCCGGTGAAGAATGCAAAAAATTCGAAGACTGAAAATTATTTTAATGATATATTGAATTTCCTATTTTTCAAAAAAAAACTTACTCAAATCAACAAATCGTGAAGCAACATAAACTGCACCTGATCGAACTGCGGAATAGACATTATGTATGGAATCAAATGCATGGCCAATAAAATCACCCAACATGTCTCGTTCATCCCTTTCAACATAGTCCTCTTTCGAGAATAAAAATGGGGTGAGCAACAATGCCAATAGAAGTAGAGGAATCAAAAACAATGGAAGAAGTGCTATATAATTCCGGACGAATGTAACCGTTTTACGTGCAAAATACAGTATGAACGATGTGAGAATGAATGGGAAGAATAAAATGAATCCAAGAATACGACTTGATGTTGATTCCTTCTCATCAAAAACATATTGCGATTTCTCCACATTTTTGTTATAAAAGTTCTCGATCGCTCCAGGCACTGAAAATGTGCTATATGCCAAACTCAATAAGTATTTTGTGATTTCATATGGCACATACACCAAGAAAAATCAATAAAAGTGCAGCAGATTGAAAGACATCATAGGATTTCTGAAAAAATTAAATATGGTGTTGGATGATTGCTTTCAATACAGATTCTTACCGTTGCAATCCAAGACGAGAGTTTTCCGAATTGCGATGCTTCATTCAAGCCTTCGGAAGATGATGAGAACACTGACGATGATTTCAAAATTGTCCGTTGTTTTGGTTTTTGAGCTGCTTGAGTTCTAAAACAAAGGTTGGCGATAAATTTGTGAATAGAGGGATGTATCTTTTACAAATTTAGGCCTGAATTTACATTATTTCATCACAAGAAATCGTACTACCACGGGGTTCGTTAACGAGATCATCAACTTATATATAACATTCTAAATATAAATTCAATTCAAACTTTTAAAACATACCTTTGCACCAAATGTGATTCATAAGTTGGTTCTGGCGTGTTTCTCTCAATATTTCTCGATCTCAATCCGTAAACCGACAATGGAGTATCTTCTCGATTCTCACGTTGAATTGGTGTTTCAAAAAGTGGTTGGCGGAATGAAACATTTCTTGAGCGAATTGGAGTTGAATGATTCACATCGTAGTTATCTCCATCATCATTGTAAACGGTCTAAAATAACGGGTGTTGAATTTTAGTCATTCTAATTTCGAGAGAAAAACTCACAGTTGTTGAAGTGATTCTTGTGCTTCTGCGGGTTCCTCGAGCTGGCGAAAATGACGGTCCACGAACACTTCGAAGTTGAGAAAGTGTGACTGCGCGGCTCTAAAAAATAAATTATGAATACACATTGATAGAAAATGTTTTACTCACTCTCTCTTCTCTTTCTTTTACCAGATCATCACGAATCGATTTATATTCATATTGCTTCAATGCTCTCCATTTTTTGAATGATTTGTATGGAGCGCTAATTGCTGTCCAAGCATATTCATTGATAATCCAGAAAATTTCAATAAAACGTTCCCAAATTGATTTTCCGCGGTGTTTCTCAACAACTGGTCCAGTGAAGAAATATGTTAAGACGTAGTATAATTGTTGGAAGATATAGATCAAGTAATCGTAAACAGTCAGCGCAGTGATCGCTGTTCCATTTTTCAAATTGCTCAAAATGTAGAAAATGATATGTGCAGTTATAACAAATGGCAGCGAGATGAAGTACAGGATCTGCAAATATCGATATTTTCCGTTTACTTTTAAAATTATTTGAAAAAAAAACTAAATAACTAACCCGCTTTGATAATGAAACAGCTGCCCAATGTTCTTCATCGAATTGTGGAACTGGCGAAGACATTGAAATATTCGGGACTTCCCAATGATCAGGCAAAGTTGGATCATACAAGTTGCTATATGCGTATGTATAGTTGGTTTGGTAGGGCCTGTAATAAAAAAAACAAAGGTCATATTCACAGTGGGTGGTCAATGATATCAAATTTCAAAAAAAGGGGAAGATGGGTTAACTTACAGATCAGATGTTGTTAATTGATCTAACTCTTCTTGTGAAAAAGTGGGTGACTTCGCATTTCTTACTGGTGGAGCACGCAATAATTTGCGAAACTTTGCATACAAATTTGGTGATGTTGATCCAGCTCTTTCGGCAGCAAATTGTGATTTCCACTTGTGTGTTTCAAATGATTCAGTTCTTGAATAACTTGGCGATGGCTTCACCATCTTTCCAAATTTATTCTGAAATTTAATTATTGATGAAAATGATTGAAAAATGCAAATGAATGACAATGTACATAAAAAGAGGGGAATTTGAAAAATGCGCCTGTTCAATAGAGCGCACATACACTACTGACCCCTTGGAGAATGTCTCAGTACTATTTTTCATGCAAAAAAGTGAGACGCAGAGAAAGAAGGTGGTCCAATTCTGGATTAATTTATTGTTGGATAAGTATATATTTTTTAAAAATTTAAACGTTTCGATAAAAGAGAAAGAAGGAAATGAATTGTTTTGTATTTTCAGTCTAATAGAAAATTGATGTAAAAAATATGTTCAGAATTGAATGAAAAAAATGAAACCAGAAACTTTTAAAAACATAACTCAAATTTCAGAAGTCTGATTCTTGTTTGCATATTCTATTCAAAAGAAAATCACCAAACAGAAATGTTGTTTCACAAAATCTGCTAAACTACGAAAACTTTTATTGAACATTTGTCTTTTTTCGAATAAAACAATGGTTTCGTATTCATTGAGAGAGAAATAAAATTCAAATGATTCAGAAAAACAAATAATGATGACTAAAAATATGAAAAAAAGCTTGGAAGAACAAGAAACTAATAAAACGCTGTCTCATACGTCAAGATGCAACAAAAACGGCCGCAAAAAATAAAATTCAAACAGCAGTAAACAAAAATGCACCAACGCGGCACACATATTTTGCAATAGTGCGGCGCGTTTTCTCCTCGTTGCTCAACAGATGTATAACAGGTGGTTTTTAGAGTATTGGGTGACCCAGAAACATTTCGCTTTCATTTTATATAAAAAAAGTGCAGCGGAAAGAAAAAAGACATTTTATGATTGTGGGTACCGAAAAATAAATGTTGCGAAATGTTTTCGAAAAAAAAAACAAAATGATGTTTTTGTGAGAATAGGAATAGGAATGCATTGTTCCGGAAAAATCAAACATATTTTTTATATAACAGAAAAAGAGTGGAAAAATTGAGTCAATTTTATTCACAATGTGTTGCAATTTTTGCTACAGTCTAGGTTAACAAAATAAGTACATTTTAAATGCCAAAAGAGCAAACTTTCGTGGAATAAACCTTGTCTCAAAAAACCTAACATTTTCTACAAACTAAATGAATTTGATAAAAAATGTTGCATTTTCTATGTAAGTTAACAACTAAACATAATCAGTAAACGAAAACGCGTTTTTTTTTCAATATCAACAAAAAGTTGGTAAAATAAACAGCATGCACTCACTCACTACCACCTTTTCTCCTAACAAACAAATAAATGCGTAAAATCAATAAAATAACCCGCCAATTTTTGTGGCAACATTATATGAGTGAAAAGGGTGAACGGAATGGTGCAAAGCCTATATGCAAAATAGAAAGAGGGAGAGAGGCAGAAGGGCATATGGAGAGGAAAAGAGAAACACCGAAAAAAACAACAAGATGATGGAATATAGTATTGTGAAATGAGAGGGGATGAGATTATTCACAACTAACAAACAACCACACGTAAACAAGCGATAAATTGAAAAGAAGAAGAAGGAAAAAAGGAAATTATTTCGAAGGTCAACACAATTGGTGCAGAGAGAAAAGAAGTAGTAGTGAATGAAGAATTTATGGCATTTGTATTTCAAACTTCCCTAGTAATTTGATATAAATCACTTCAACTGGTGTCTGAACATTCTGCAGAACTCCATTTTTTGTTTCAGATTAGTATCTTATTTCATTCACTCACTCAAGAAAAAAACTATTCATTTCAAAAAATATCTAAAAAGAATTATAATTCCTCTTGCTCTTCTTTCTCATCTTCTAATCTAGCTTCTTCGATATCGGCCTCGATTTCCTTGTCTTTTTTGAATTGAGCAATTTTATCTGGAAATTCCAAAGTTTTATCTTGAGGATCAGGAGCCAATATGGAAACTTACATTGATGAGCACAGCAGAAATCCATACCACATCTTGAATGCACACAGGAATATGGTTTTTCACATTTCACTCCACCCATTGCGTCGCATGTTTTTGGAGTTCCGTCAGACTTCCGTTGAACATTCCAGTTTCCGGGACAATAATCATCTGAAAATAAAATTTTGAAATCGGAAAATTTCTTGCAAAACAAACTCTAAATCTTTATATATTGATGATAAACATTTTTTTCTCAAAAATTTGAATATTATCGGGTGCTTTATTTTTCACGTAATAGTTCACCGCCACAATTCAAAATCAATTTCAATGTTGAAATCTTAATATTTTTAAGCTAACCTGTATGACATGATGTTTCCACGAGAATTATTACAGACAGAAAAATGAATAAAATAAGGAATCTCATCTTCAAAGGGAATAAATAAATGAAAAACACCACTCCGACATTTTAGATAAAAATCAAACGAGGTCGTGGAAAATTTAGATTATTTTCTTTTTATTTCAAATCTGGATGAGAAAAGTAAGGTCATCAAAGTTTGAGTGACGCAATAAAATAAATGATACTCTTGCGTAAATGGTACGAAACAATATTTGTATATCATTCATTCCATAGAAAAAGCCAACAACAAATCAAAAAATTTGCGAACATAATGAATAATTCGTAATTTGTGCTATTCAAGAAGAATTTACACACAACACAAAACTAAATAGATGGCCTTTTCGTTTGGGTTCTTGTTTTTTCTCCACAGAAAGAACAATCATGTTCAGTGCAAGAAATACCATTTAACATCATTTGAACACTAACACTTTTTTAATCCTTTGAGTTAATTAGATAGATAGTTGCAACATTGTTTTCCATCGTTTTTCCTTCTCACATGATCATTTTTCCATATGAACTTTATTCTGCATTTGACGAAATTTGAGATTTGTGAGAAACTCAAATTGTGAATGAATGAAATTTATAGTTTTACGTTTTCTGGCCATTTTGCTATAAATCTAAAACTTTTCACTTTCCAGCCTAAAGTTTTTATTTCAAAGTAATTTCGAATAATCAATGTGTAAAAAAAGTATGTAAACCCATAAATTTCGATGACAAACTAATACAATATGCAAAATGGTTGGTTTGGGTTCGGTTGAAAAATTGGCTTGTTTTGAAGCTGCTCTCACTACTATTCTTATTCAATTTTGGAAATGATGATTCTTGTTCTTTATTCGTGAGTGGTTGATTCTCACACCTTTTAATAATTTATTGAAAGTCGACGATGGATTATCAGATCTCCCATGAGACGCATTGAAACCTTATTAATCTATTTTAAAATTTGGTTTTATATGTTTTGTGCTATGAAAAATTATTTATTATTCAATAACAAATATAAAATTAGTATAATTTTTTTAGCACAATTAATCAGGAGAGGATGAACTTAAAGTTGAATTCTTAGAACCACAAAAAATATAAATATATTTCATTATTTTTATTTATTATGTGGTGTGAATTGAGTTGAACAACAATATCCAGTGATTAGAGTTTTGTGAAAGCGTGTGAAATATTTTTCCTTATTTATTTTCCTTATTATTTTTATTATTATTATTAGTATTCTTGTCCAAAATCAGATTATTATCCTTCTTCTTCTCTCTCATTTCTTCTCATGTTTTTCAGTTTGATAATCTTCTTTTTTTGCGCTTTCTTTGGATTATTTTCCAGTCATAAGAAACTCTGTCTTCTAATTCTCCCCAGCTTATTTTTATGGTTATATATCTTTTTATTTAACTAATACTTATAATAATAAAAAATATATATGAATACCGGAATTTATTTACAGATGTGTTCAAGTTTGGAGTGTTCATCTTTGTCGTGTTCATATATTTTTCCTACTTTTTAGCTTCTTATTTTTCTCATTTTTTTGTTCTTTTTTCTTTCATGTACATATATGTCTGTTTTTGGATTCTCAAGTGCCTACATCAAATCGAAAAAAATGGGTGGGTAAAAATATAATTTTTCCAACTTTTTTTTCTCCTCATATTCCTCACATTTTTGTCATCTTTCAAAGAAAGGCTTATTAAGAAAAAAAATTCAATTACTTTGAATAAAATTTACAATTCGTTGTACTTTATTTTCTCACTACAAAACCGCTGAATATTCAATATGCGAAAAATCGCGATTTTCCCTTTTTTATTTTTTCTAATTTCAAATTCTAGTCGAAAAAAATCCCACGATTCAAATTATTTCGATATTCCAACTAACAATATGCATTTTTTTCCCAAAGATTCTTTTTTTTTCTAACAAAAAATTTTCTAATTAATCCGGAAACATACCAAGCTTTCTTAACGTGATAGTTTTTACACTTTTATTTTTTCTGAAAGAAATAATATTTGTTTTACGTTAGAAAAAATACATGAGACAGACAAAGGCGAAAAAATACTGGCGGATTATTCAATACGCCTCTGTAGTTAGTTGTACGATGAGATGAGGATAAAGGCTTTGTCAGACTGAAAAAAACGCCAGAATTTATATATATTTTTTGAAATAAAAAAATTAATTTCAGAAAAGTTCCTCCCTCCTTAAAAAACTTTGTCTCTATGTCTCCCAAACTTTTTTGTCATACCAATTATAAGTACACACATTCATTCATTTTTAAGTAGTAGTAGCAGCAGTCTTTTTTCTCAAATAGTTTCTTGAAAGACAAATTTTAATCCAATGTTGCTATAGTATCAAATCCTCTATTGATTATAACTTGCCAAAACAAGAAGACTTTCAATAACAAAAAACTTTGAAATTCGAGATTTTCCGGAGGTCTGTCTTTCTTGACAAAAAACAACAATAATAATTCTTTTGCTGGTGCACAGGATGTTCATATGCATATATATACTCATTTTTGTTGAACACATTTTTTTGCTCCTTATACTTCACGCCTTTTTATGTATATATTTTTAGCAGAAGATTTCCAGAGTTTTTCGAGCAAAAAACCAAAAAGATTTGAATTTTATTGTGGATTTGAATTCTAATGAGTTCTAACTCAAATTTTCAAAAACCAGAGATGTATTGAACAAAAGAGTTTTGATAATCCGTATTATATTTTCTTTTGAAAAGAAGAATTGTAACTTTCTCACTCACACTTGTTCTTGAATAAAAACCATTGAAAAAACAATGAACATTTTATGCGAAACATATTTTCAAACCTCGAAAAAACCCACCAAAAACCTCGCTTATTTTTTCAAATAAATCACAACGCTTTTTGTCTAAAATACCATTATTGGTTTTCTCTCACCTGCTCGTTTTCTCCTTCCATAGAGAATAGTAGTATTTCATCCATTCCCTCACGTATTTTTCAATGTATCTACAATTTTTCATTTTTTTTTCATTTTTTTCTAATCATTATACATAGGCGGTTGTCATGGATGAGATAAGGATTTGCATTTTTCGATTTTTTGGAGAATTTTTTTGGCAAAAATTATTGTTTTTTTTTCAGAGAACATTTTGGGTTGAATGAGATATTTGAATTGAATGACGTTCAAAACAAGTTAACCTAATGTCTTCATGCGTTCCAATTTATTTATTTTATTCTACTTATTTCAAATTTCTAGACAATTTTTTGTGCGATCTTTTGTTTTTCCGTGAGTTTGAAAACACATGTTTTTCCGATGTCAAAAAATTAAAAGAAATTTGACTTGTTTCCTGATTTATTTCCTGCGGTCAAAGAATATGAAATCATAAGCAGGAAATCAGAAAAATTTTTAGGAACGAGAAGTGCAATTCTACTGTTGCAGTGAGTTGTTTTGCTGAATTGTTTGGTATGATTTCTGAAGTCTGTCAAGAGAAAGAAATTTCATTTCGATGTGTTCACTACACTGTATGTTGAATAATTCGCAAAACCTTGTAGCCAAAAGAATTATGAAAAATTTCCAGTTCCTCGATGAATGTTTCAATGCGCGAGTTGGAAAATGTGATGCTCCAACAGTTGCAAAAGTCGGTGCACTTGGTTATCGGCAAGCATTCTCAAATTGTCATAGTGGCACAAAAAAACAAAAGTTCGAGGGTTCAACTCCGTTACTTGGCAGTGCTGCGAAAGCATTTCCAACACAACACAAATTAATAACTGCATTAGGGTATTTACAACATCAATGTGCATTGAGCAAAAACAAAAATTGTTCAAGCGATCATATTTTGAATATTATGGGACAATGCGAAGAACAAATGAAACCATTGTCAGGATTTCCTCAATTTGACAGACATCGATTGTTAAGGTGAGGGATGCTTTGACTTTTTCAGACAAGAACTCAGACAACTTTTTGAAAATTTCAATTCATCCGTATCATTTTCCTGACTGGTCTCTGAATATTTTGCGATAACGTGCTAAATGAGGTTAAAAAATATAATTTTGCACAGGAAATTAGCAAAGCATGACTTTCAAAAAAGTTTATTTCATTTCATTCTAAAAATAAAATGAAACATTTGCAACTTCCTGATCATAATAGTTTTGCAGAATAAAAATGGACACCTCTCGAAAGCTTCTCATGTATGATGAAACCGATAAAGAACGTGAATGTCTTGTTGTTCGATCAACATTATCTGAAATGTATACTTTACATCATCAAAATTGCTATCACGTGAGTGAACAAAAACAATATTTTTGATTTTCAACATAGAAAAAAACAACAAAACAAAACAACCAAAACTTATGAATTCATTATTTTCAGTCAATTGTAACTAGATGCCTTTGCGAACGTCTTCGATTTGATGTTCAATGTGGGATTGACTGTGATCGATTGGAACCAACTTCACCAGATCAAGACACATTAGCTTGGGATGATTGGAAAGAGGCAAGATTGATACATACAAGTTCAACAAGATATTTCTCATTCTATATTGCGTTTTTGATCTCTATACTATTTTTATTTGTTTAATGGGTTTTTGAGTTAAATAATTTCATGCTCGAATTGGGCCAAAGCAATTTTTATTTCACAAGATAATTATTTCAAATTCATTCAACGTTTATCTATGAATTGTTTATTTCATATCAATAAAATAATACAACATCATGTTTTTTGTGTATTTTATTTTTATCCTCGTTTTCATTTCAATCAAAGTTTATTTAGAATAGAAAAAAAACCTTGTTGTTTTGAAGGGCAATGCAAATATCGAGAATATTTCGGTTGTTTTCATTTTTTTGAGCGACAGAAGGCTTCTCCAGGTCGAGATTACTCGTGCCTCCGATTATTTGTATAGACATCATTTCGGAAAACAAAGAAAAATGACATGTATTTTCGGAGCACATTTTTTGTTCTGTTTCAAAAAGATGATAAAAAACACGCCCCGAAGGAATGATATATATTGCGGTCAACAACGGTTTTTTTCTGTTTTTGGAGAGTTTGAAGGTTGAAAATATGATCAGGTTTGTTTTTTTTTGAACACCAGCATATAATTCACAAGATTTTGCAAAACTCAATTTTGCGATCTTCCGATATGTTTTTGTTTCTTTCGAGACTCTTTTTGACCTTCTAAAACATGTCCCATTGCAACCAATTTAGTTTTTTTCGATAAAAGGTGAAAAATAAAACACATTCACAATTTTCTTGGAAGATTGCTTTTATAATTTTCTACAAATTTAGCTGTAGATTCTCATTTTTTCAGCGTTGTTGTTCTACTATCGCTCCTTAATTTTGTCACCACATTCAGTTATAGCAATGGCGCAAATCTCGGATGCATTGTGACAGTAAGATTTTTCTCCAATTTTTCCCAAGTTCTAAATTGATACTTGTAGAAAAATCTGCTTTTCTCTCAAGGGAACCTGATTCGACAACTCAAAAAAGATGAAACTGATGCTTTCAAAAAATATAAGAAAGAGCTCCATTTATTTAATACAGTAGGTTTTTTTCAATAAAATTTAGTTAGTCTCCAACAATTCAAAATGAGTTCAGAAAATTAATGAAGCTTTCGATAAAGCTGAAGAAAATGAAGCCAAGAATGCCACAGTTCCTCCAATGCCAGTTCGACCATCACTTCCAGCATTTTGCACTGGTGCTGATACAACTATGTATATATTTGGAGCATGCTCTGTTCAGGTTTGTTCAATTTTCATTTTGTTATTTTCAGTTTATTTTTCACATTTTCAGAATAACAAAGTTTATGTTGGACATGTTTTCGCAAGAGAACTTGAAGAAAAAGAAAAAGTCAAATTAGCCGAATTTGCTAAGAAGATCGCAGCTGTTCAACCAGGAACAACTCCACCGGCTGAAATTTATAAAGGATTGGAATTTTGCACAGAATTGTAGATCGGTTTATTCCTAAAAACCATTATCTATTTGATTTAAATTAAATTATTTTTTGTACATACATAAATATAATAAATTATTTGAATTCAAATGTTGATATACCTTAAGATTAGAATATTTGAGGATAATCGTAAATAAATCTAGATTACTTTGTGACGTTCGAAAAAATTTCTCATGTTATTGCGTAGTCATTTTCCCACAAATGCTCAAAACATAATTTTCTTAATTTTTTCAATATTTTTGTTTTTTTTTCCTAGTTTAGGTTCCATAAACAATATTAAAGCGTGCAAAGTTTCTGGCCTTTTTTTTCGAAAATAAGAATTCAAAAAAGAATCCGGGAGGATTTTTATGTGCGGAAACTCAATCATCTTCAGTTTTGAATTCAAAAATTGAACATCTTTGTAGTTTCGTGTTCTGATTTTTTGAATGTAAGAAAAGGATAAGAAGTATGCCCTTGTTTGTGACATCATTCAAAACCTGTAAAAAATAAACTCATTTTTCCTCCCATCATTTTTAGTATAAGGTGTTTGTTGAGTTATTTATGAGATGACATTTATAGCTTTCAACCTGACACCCAGACAAAATCCACAGCAATAATAAATTTGAGCCAAACCCCTCTAAAAATCTCTATTATTTTCATTTCTCTTCTCGAAAAAAAAATCACACTTTATTTTGATGTTTTTCGAAATTGGTGTCGATTTAAACAATCAAAAATCCAAACAAAAACACATCCGCACACATTTTTTGTCGTTTAACGTCAAGCCGCTTCTCAACACAATAAATCTATTTCACTGTTTTTATTTCACTTGATGCCTCAATTTCTATAAGTCAGTTGCCTCCTAGACAATAAAAAACATAAAAGAGAGAAATGGAAAAACAAAACTGTGATAGCAGATAACGTGTGTTCTTCTAATGTATCTTAAATGAGCACATATTGTGTTTTTTGCTCTTTCTACTTTTTTCCTTCAATTTTCATCTTTTACTTCTTCTGTTGTTTTCTCTATCTTCCGCCTTTCTTTTGTCAAAGAGATCAACTTTTTCCTAATCATCTTCTGAGTGTGTGTTGAACATGATTCGGAGAAGATGTGAGTTTTTAACATTTTGACAGCTATCATATTTCAAACTAACAATAAGTGGGAATGAACTCTGATTCTTCTTTTTTATTTCTAAAGTTTTTGATCTGAAGTTATCATTTTATAAATTATCTCGAAGATTAATAGAATTCTCAATGTCAGGAGAAAATGTTAATTATTAGATAGTATATCAAGTACGAGAGATTGAACTTTTTAGTAACCTTGTTTTTTGAGGTCCACAAATGTGAGTGTGAGCCTCTTCTTTGTTTTAGCGAAGAATATCTAAAAATTTAGATTGTTTAGAGAATTCTGGTGATGACTTTGAAAGCTTTATGATTTGTATCAGATTCAATGACTTCAGAGCAATTTTCAAAGCAAATATTTCAAAGAAAGTGTAAATTTCGAGTTCAAATTTAGTTTGGAAAACTCGATGTATTTTTATTTGAATTATTCATCATCCAGTTTTCTGTAAAAAAATGCATCCCTTTTTTCTGTAAATTCAATTTCTTCACACTACCGCGATTTCATTAGAGAAATTAAATTCAAAATCTAGTCAACTAAATTCCAAATTCTCAAAAAAAACATGCTAAACTCCATGTAATCCACCCTCGAGGCAAAATCGGCTTCAAATCGGATATTCTCAAATCTGTAAATATTTTATTTTGCTTGCTTACAAAACTACTTTTCTCCACAAAAAGTGCATATTTAAGTGTTTTCCACTACCAAACTAAAAACAGAGGAAAATCTCAAATTCGCGTTCTCTTTGTTTCAAATTTTCATTTTTCTGAACAACAATTTTTTCTTGAACTATGTATGTATTTTCCAAGAACAATAGATTTTTTTTTCCAACATTCAGAAATATAAATAAATACCTGCGTGAGAATGTATTCAACTCAACAATTCTTTGCTTTTTTCCACAATTTCTATTTAGCAATGTCAAGTAAACACAAGTGTAAAAGAACTATAAGGATTTGTGTTACATCCGGATGAAAAAGGAGGGGGGTGCAGAATGTTCTATATATAAAGAAAAATATATTATTTTTCATTTGTATTACAAGTCATCATAATTTGAACTTGTCGTTCATGAGATATTTTTGAGTATGAGAGAAAGAAATGTTATTTTGCTCTCTCATCAATCTTCTCGGAAAATTTTCAGAACAAGTTCAAATTTTATATATCAATCATTCATCCTTTTCAAAAAAAAAAAACATTTATCCCATATACATATTCTCAATTTTTTTCAATTGCGATAGGTCAATTTTTGTCAAAGAAAATCAGGATTCAATGTTTTCTCAATCTTTCACCTCTCTTTAATTTTGTCAGCTGTCATTTGGGTTATATTTAGTTGTCGACTAACCTCTTGATTTTTATTTCAACACAAAAAGTGGCAAAACATAATATTGATGGGCTCCTTTTCAATTGATAGAAATTCGATTTTATCCGTTTTTTGCTCAAAATTTTGACAGGTGTGCATTAGTTATAATTTGAGATAGATATGATCCGGAGAAAACTGAACACTTTTCCAAAATCAAAAGAGCAAACACTTCTTTATAACCTGTGACGCTATTTTCAAGTAATTTTGGACCAGCATAAAGCACAGTCCCCAGAGTTTAACCAAGTTTTAGACTTTTTAATAAGAATAATCGTTGAGAAGTTGTTAAAAATAGATGAAAATCGTAATAATAATAATTTTCCCACAATTTGGACTCCCTGAAAAACTGCACAAAAAAATGAAAAATTAATTGGCGACCAATGATTTTTTCTATATAGTACGCTATGATGCTTTAATAATAATCGTATAAATTATACATATTTGACGTCGAATATCACATTTTCTTTTTTTTTCTTTTTCTTGCATTGAATATTTTTTTTGCTTGCGAAAAAAATAATTACCGATTCAGAACGCTTTCCATCCATCCTGTTTTCTATTCTTGTCGCACCAAAATTCAATTTTCAAACGTGATTTTTCTTTTTATTCTCGTTTTTTTCCTTTTAGAAATCTCCTGAATGGAAAAAAAAAACTAGACGAAAAACCGAAAATTGCAAACAAAACTATCAAACTTCCGGTATTTTTCCTAATATTTCAAGTATGTATACGTGGGTTTGCTCAAGATAAAAATAGTCTTTGCGCTTATTTTCTTCTTCTCGAAACATCATATGATATGAATATTTCAACATCAAAGTCAACGATTTCTTAATTATTTATGACATCGGCTCTTACAGTATACTTTTGCGTGGATTCAAATAAAACGAAATAAAATAGGAAAAAAATTGACAAAACTATTATTTATCTTGAAAGAAGATGAACACATAACATAAATCAGGTTAATTAGAACATATAAATAACACAAGGTTTTTTGATTGAAAAAAAAGAAAAAAAATATTTTTTTGCACCAAAGGTTCCAAAAATCATCTCTTTTTCATACATTCTATTTCTATTAGCTATTCTTTGTTGAATAGAGATGAAAAGCAGCAAGGTTATCAAAAATTCTTACAGAAAACAAACAACAAAATAATAATCCATCTATTCTCTTTTTCCCCTTTCTTTCTTCTTACCCCAGCAAAAAATATGAAACTGAATGTGAAAATCATTGTTTTCCTCTGCATAATTTTCTCCATATGAAAAAGTTTGCACTTTTACGGAAAACATGACTAATTTTCATAAAATCATCGATGAATCATGAAAAATTGGTTAGTTTTTTGATCCTCGCTCCCTTTTGACAGTGGCAAAAACAACAACAACCTAAACCCTATCAGATTTCATTTTTTTTATCCAGGTTAACACTTTTATTAATAATATTTTAGAATTTTTGTTGAGACTTACACATATTTTTCTAAAAGAGTACATGCACTTTTTGCAAGAGCTTATTTACGTCTTCCAAAATGAGAAATTGAGAAGAAAAACCATTCAAAATCCCATCAATTCTAGCCCACTCTTTTTTCACTTCATTAATTAGTTGCTGCAATGTCGGAAAAAATCAGGAAGAAAAAAATTCATTTTTTTTATGAGAACCGAACGTTGTTCATCTGCCCTCCACATCCTCCATTATCCATCACATCGGTTTTTGAATAAGAGCAACCTTCTTGACTCCGCCCCCTATTTTTCGTGCTTCATCTTCACAATCGTCGCTTTCTTCTTTTCATAGTGAAGAGAGAATTGACCCAACCCAACAAGTTATTTTTTTCTTTATGTGTGTTTTTTTTCTATTTTTGTGTGAGCTCCTTGAATAATTTGATTATCGCTAAGTAAGTGTAGTTGAGTTGTTCCAAAGACAAAGTGAAACACACACATAGCGAAAAAAAACATATTTTTTTCTGCGCTATGCATAAAAAATGTAAACTTGTCAGAAGAAACTCAGAGATGTGAGCATGAGCAATTGGTTTAGACATTTATATTTAGGTTTTGGTTAGGTTTCGAAACAAAATTCCTCTTTTGATTTTTGTTCTCATCTACCGTACTCCGGAAATTTATCTAATTTCCGTCAAAAAAATCCCATAGGTACAAACTCTATTGAATCATTTTCCTTGTTTCTCTTTTTTTCAACTGATAAAGTATTTTATCCCACCGTAGTCATTTTTTATCTTTATCCTTCTTATGGCTTCTCATCTTTCTTTTTTTCAAGATATTAATGAAAACGTCCATTAAATTGATGATTTTTTCTCGCTATTTTTTCTCATGATATAAATTTATACATATGTATATATTTTGACTCAACAATTTTTTTCAGAGAAAAAATGGGCAACTCGAGTTCAAATAGTTCTCGAATGAGTAAAAAATCAGAGTCTATGGAGATTCGAAGTAATAAATCTGGCAGATCGTCAAATGAGTTTTGCAAAAGTAAAAGTATGATGGATATGAGCACAAAAACAAACACAACATCTTCAAGAATGTCGACGTCATCTTCAACATCCAGACAGAAAAGTATCACAAGTATCAAAGACAAAGATCGACCGAAATCTGCAAAAACGTAAGAATTTCAGGTTGTTTTGAAAAATCTGAAAGATTTCATATTTTCAGAAATGAGGTATCTCGACAAAAATCAATCAAACGAGAAGCTCCACATCCAATAACTCTTCAAGGTCGAGATATCATTTCACAGTGTTTCGAAAATCCACATTCAGAATTTGCAAACAAGGTTAGTCTCAGATCCATCAAAAAAGTTAAGAAGTTGAACCCAAATTGAAATCAGCTGCTTTGTGAACAAGTTGTAATGTTGAATTTTATGATGATTTCGGATCTTTGATACTCTTTTCTTTTTTTCCTTCACTTAATTGCTGCTCAGAACTGACTGAGGAACAGATGAGAGAGATAATGCTTTTACGTTTTACATTTTTGATGAGAGCAATTCTGTTTTAACGAGATATAGAAAAACACAAGACTAATTGAAGACATATTGAAATAGATGAAAAAGTGTACTTTTCGGAAATTGCTTGGTTGGTATATTTTTGGAGATATATGGGAGAGCTTATAGCTAACCTAGAATTAGACCTCAGACCACTTTCAACACACAATAGTCTTTGATTTTTTGATCTTCAGTTTATTTAGACACCATCTGGAATTGTATAAATCTGAAACTGAAAATCTGTTCAATTTTCTAAACAAATTGTTGGTTTTTTGTTCCCCGTTCGTTTTTTTCTTCAATCTCTAAACAAAAGCTCAAGAAGCATGTTCATGTCACAAATCACTTCCGCTCAATTTTTTTGCTCCACTGTAAACTGCCAATCTATTTTTGCCCCCTTCATCTTTTCTTCTGAAGATTCTTCTCTAGTCAATCTTTGATAAAATCAATAAAACATGAGCAAAAATACGTGATCATTGTGTTTTTGTCGCGAAAAAAAGAAAGAACAAAAAAAGAAAAAGAGGATTAGGAAGGAGTGTGTAATAATTGATGACAAGACTCGCTATCAATTTCTAATTTTTCAGGTTGTTCAAAGGATATTCGAAAAACGAGAGGACTATCAAAAATTCATCTTGAATCTTGGAAAAGAGCGGTCATATTTGGTGAATCTTCGACTCAAAATGTTGATTGAAGACATCGTTGCTCATGTTAGTCTTCCTTTCAATCACTTTTTCCAAAAGACAAAAAAAAAGAAAAAACAAATATTTTTTGGTTTTAACTCGGCTTACGTGAATGATTTATAGGTGCTTTTAAAATAGAACCGAACACCTTCCATTTTCAGACACCACAAAAACGAAAAAAAACAAAAAAATAGAAAACAACTCAAAATGACGATATATTGAATTCCCAAAAGAGTTTCGTTCAAAACAAGGGTAAATATATTTTTTGGCGTTTTCCAAAAAGAATACCAAAAATAGACATGTTCAAAAAGGTACAAAGTTTGTTGGAAAAAAAAACTATGTTGGATGAGTTTTAGTTTTAGTTTTAGCTTCATGCATGAGTGAAAGATCATAAATTATTGAAACTTTTTTTCTTGACAAGCTAAGCTAGGCTAAAAAAAGAAGAGACACACGGAAATTATAATTTTTTTTGCTCAATCCGAATTAGTTCACTAAATTGTGTGAAAAAGTCAAGCTTAATTGTTGCGATGGGAAAATTTTTTAATCTTTTCGTTTTCCCCCTTCCTCAAACCATTTGTTCTTTGAAGATTCACGAGTCGGAGTTTATTGAAAACATTTCGAAACAATATGGAGAAGAACATGTGGAATTAAAACAATATGGTTTCAAACCAGATTTCTGGGTGGCTGTCGCAGATGCAATGACATTAGAGGGAGTGATTTTAGATATGGCTAACCATCAGGTATTTTGCGAATACAATGCAAAAAAGTTCCAGAAAAAAATCTTGATATTTTCCAGCCAGCTGATACTGTATCTGCTTGGTCTTCATTAGTCACAATGATCTTCTCATCAGTTCGAGATGGATATTATAGTGAACTTCGTAGACATCGAATGAGTTCAAGGCGCACTTTGAAACATCAAAGTACTGTAGAATCGAAGGAAGAGGCTGAGGTAATTTTTTCTCCAAATTTTCTCACAAAAAATAATTGATATCAGGCATGTTGCTATATCCAAAGAATTCCAACAGTCTATGAAAAGGTTTGCAAAAGTTTTGAAGTGTATACTAAAAACGTATTTTGCTGACAAGTTACGCCATAGTTCAAATAGACTCTCTCACAAAGCTGTTTCTTTTGTTTCCTTTTTTTGGAAAATTAAAACAAAACGAAATGTTTTTATAAATAATAAATGTGATTTTTTTGAAGGCTGAGCCAAGTGCACCACCGACTTTGGGCAAAGAACAATCACGAGTGAACTTGTCAACGACAGTTGAAGAAGTCACTCAACCAATTGTACAAAAAAATATTCTTGCAACAACTAATGTTAATAATACTACTATAACTACAAATAAAAGTATGCCAGCTAGAACAATGTCTTCATATGCTTCTGAATCATCACTTCATCATTCCAAGAAAAATGGACATGGTATCTTAAAAATCCCTAGATTATGAAAAAAAATCAATTTGGTTTTTTTTCAGTGACTTCTTCATCGTCAACTGCGGTTTCAAATGGTCCGGTTCGTCGTCCAATTTTCGAATAATTTCATTTCATTTCTCTTTTTATGTTTTTTTTTGCATATATATTTTTCTTAACTTATATTTTATTTTGAATAAAGACTTGGTTAGTGATGTCTGAAATTTTTGAGAAAAATACGTTTTAATGAGTACCTTTGAGAAATTTTGGAGATTTGTTTTTCCCAATTGGAAATGTTTGGAAATGGAAATAATATTGGTTTTTTTTTTCTATTTTTTGCATAAAATTTTTGAGTTCTCAAGAAAAATTTAGAATTATTTTAGAAGATTAGAAAACATAAGTTGAAATTTTCAAAATTCTCCTACAGACCTTTGTTAAACCAAACTTTCTAAAAATACATTGATATTAATTTTTCTCTATTTTTTCTAAATAAACTAGGAAAAGAGATAAATATGAATTTAACAACAAGTTTCATTCAAATCCATGAAAAAACAACAAAAAATACGCGAATGAAACTTTTTCGAAAAACAAAAACAAGAAAATAAAAGTAAAGATGGAAGTGCGCCCCATTGATAACAATTGCATGGCTCGCACTCTTTCAAATATTTGTGTGTTTTTGTCGTTGCTATTTTATTATAAGAACTCGTATTCTCCAAGGGAAATCAGGGTTCCCATATATTATACTTTAAACGTGTCCACTTCTAAAATCTGGGGGGGGGGGGTTCCAAATTTTAAAAATCTTTAGGTTTGGGATAAGTTAGAAAATACTCTTTCAACTCATCAATCAGATTTTTTTCTGAAAATTTCGAAATGACACCCATTCTAAAATGCACTTTTAATTCCTAAAAAAATATTTCAAAAAAGTTCCGTCATTCATTTTGCCTGATATAATCATATGATTCTAGTAATCAGTGATTTGAATTATAATTGGTTTGCAACAAGTTTAAAAATTTCAGATGAAGTGCATTTTGTATACTTTTTTAACGTCAATATTAGAAAAAAAAATCAATATTACTCTAATTATTTTCAAAAAAAAAAAATAATTTTCGACAAAAACACACAATGAAATATCTCTTGAGTTTTCTGTTAATTATATGTGTTGAGTTTCCTTCAAGCTTATTGATTATAAAATATTATAAGTAATAGTTGTTCGTTTTGTTGATGCTCATAATAGTAAAAGAAAAAAAAAACTCATTTTTGCTGAAGATATCTCTAATCTGTCTCTAGAGAAATTTCAATAGAATTCTATAAATCTCGTTTATCATCTATTCAAAATCATTTCATTTTTTCTATGAGCTTAACTTATTATTTTCTTATTGATTGTCGTCTCCCACTCAAATGTTCAAAATATACGATTCATATTTCAGATTTTTTGTTCTATTCATGAAAATTATCCTATATTTTTCGTTTGTTTCAATATGTAAAAGTGTTGAGATTGTTTTATTTGATGATTGGACATTGGCTCAAAATATTTGCTCTATTGCGATAAGCGATGCTAAGGCAAACGGTCAATGCACCTCAAATTATGTTGAGTAAGGATTTTTTAATTTGAATTTCCATCATTCAAATAAAATTATAGGTTAACACCGAAAGTAGCGTGCACCACTGAATATTCTTTAAAAGCAACAGCATATGGTCTGGAACGATCAGCTGCAAATTCCGGAACTCCAGGTGTCGTCTTTATTGGTCCGAATTGTCAAAACGATATGGAAGCGCTATCTTCATTCGGCGAAGTTTGGAGTTCACCAATTGTTACATATACTGATTATTATGTAAACAATTTTTCACCAGCTGATGTGAGTCATTTTGAACTCATTCATTTTTCTTTGTAATCTAATCTAATAATTCTAGGATTACAAATCAATGGTGAATACTGCTCAAGTTTCAATATCTGGTTTAGTAGAAAGTATAGGCATTTTGATAGACGCGCTGAGTTTGCAAAATGTTTCACTGGTCGGAGCTGATGAGCAGAATCCAGCTCAAGGTTCATTGTTGGAAGATATCAAAAATTATAATTCACGAAAAAATCGTATAAATTTTATGAGTTATTTTGCATTGGACGAAGTTGATTCTGATTGGACTTCTGTAAGGATAAGCATGCGAAATTTTTCGAAAAGTGAGTATCTGGTTTGAAATTCAACTATAAAAGGAAACACATTTCAGCATTTGTGATATGTGCCGATTTCGTCGATCCTTACAGTGTTATGAAATCACTTGATTATGAAGAATTATTATCAAGTGGATTTGTTGTCATAACAGTTGCGAATCGACCAGTTGAAGAATTATTATATCAACCAAGCACCAAGAAGTTAATGACAAGCAAAAATAGTTTTGTGATTGCTCCAATTGCAGATGCTTTTGTAGCTAATCTTGCAACAATGCAAACATCTTTGAGTGATTTATCAGTGACATCCTATTCAAAAGTTATTTGGTTGTATAATGCTTGTTATACATATTGTGTCGGTTCAATTTCTGGAGCAGAAACTACTTCATCTGATTATCGAACACTTTTCTCTGGGAAAACTTTCACTAGTAATTTTTTTCTTTTGAATGTTTATTATTTCAGCTATTTTTCAGATAAATATGGAACGTTTACATACGATTCACAAGGTCGTCTCTTAACTGATTATGCCGTCTATACTCTCGATGTTGATAATGATTATCAAATGATTATGCGATTGAATTCCACTGCGAAAAGTTGCGATGCGTATAATTGTTTCTCTTTGGTGAGTTTGTTCTTCGCAATAAAAAATAAACTTTCACTCAATTTTCAGTCAACATCAACAATTCAAGATCCAAAATTGAACTTGGATACATCATTGGTTCCTCAAATCTGTGTCTACACTGATACCTGTTTCAAATATTGGTGTGAGTTATTTCAGTTTTACAAAACTTTTTGAAAACATCAAGAATGTTTTTCAGTCCAAGTGTATATTGTCATTTTGGTGCTTTTTATTGCTTGCTTGGTTGCTGCTGGAGTATGGTATTATCGATATCGAAAAGCTCATCTAGCATCAATGACATGGAAAATTGGAAAAGATTCTTTGAAGATTATCACAAATAAAAGTAGCGATTCAGTATGTTTAACTTTTTGAACGTAGAAAAAAATGTTGCGTTTTTCTGTAGAAAATGCAAAAAGAACTGGAAAATCGTATGGCTGCTGCTGGAAATGCTAAAACTAATTTGGAACATCTTGCAATGAAAAAACGAATGTTCGGATCGTATGCGCTTGTAAATGGACAAAGAGCTGAGTTCTTTCAATTCAGACAACACAAGAAAATCAAATTGACAGAGTAAGATTAGATTTTTAAAACAAAACCAATTTTCAAATTTTCCAGCATTCAATTGAAACATGTTTACAATTTGAAAAATGTAACACACGATAATATTACGAAGTTCATTGGAATTAGCTTCAACGATTATCCAGATTCACTTTTCTTTTTGTACACTTTGATAGAAAGAGCAAGTTTGGAGGTTGGCAGATGAAATTGTTTTGAAGTGTTGTTTTGCAAAAATATTTATTCCAGGAATTCGCCTTGGATATTGATTTCCCAATGGATAACTTATTCAAATCAGCATTCATTCGAGATATTTGCAAAGGTCTTCAATATCTCCACAAATCACCGATAAAATGTCATGGTTATCTATTGAGTGCAACATGTTTAATTGATGCAAATTGGGTGTTGAAATTATCATTTTTTGGAATTTCAAATTTTTCAAACGATTTGATGGATCAAGAATTTTTATCACCCAGTCATGATATGGTTTTACCACAAGGTGGGATATTTATTTAAATTCAAAGTAAAAATTTTTTTTGTAGTTGGGTATAATCAATTTGCTTGGTTCCCACCGGAACATTTAAAGGAATATGATCCAAATGGCAAAGCATCACCAAGATTACTACGTGGATCTTCAGAAGGAGATATTTATTGTTTGGGATTGATAATTTATCAAATGCTGACTAGAATTGATCCATTCGCACCAAGCGGTTCACCATTAGATCGACCAGGACCTTGTGAGTTTTTTTTTTGAAATTTTCTAGATTTAACATCATATTCAGCTACTATTATTGACATTATGAACAACAACAAGATGCCTGAAATTCCAACCAATTCTGATGAAGCCCCATTATTCAAGCTTTGTGAAAAGTCGTGGAGTCGTGATCCAAAAACAAGACCAAGTATTAAAAATTTCACGGAATGTTTGAAAACAGTATATCCAACAAGTAAAGGTAATCTAGTTGATCAAATGATGAATATGAGTCGACAATATGCGAATGATCTTGAAAAAGTGGTATCCGATCGAGCTGCTTTGATTGTAGAGGCACAACAACAAGCTGATAATCTGCTTCATGAGATGATGCCAGTGTAAGTCTTGAAATTTCAAATTATATAAAAAAAACATCGAAAAGTTTTCAGCTCTATTGCACAGCAACTGAAAATTAATAAGAAAGTGGAGCCTCGTAGTTACGCGTGTGCCACTGTTATGTTCGTTCAATTATGTGATTTCGCAATTTTGACAAACGACAGTACACCTGATGAGATTATTCTATTTCTTAATGATATTTTCGATCATTTTGATGTTGTTATTAAACAACATGATGCCTATAAAGTTGAAACAACTGGTGAAACATATATGGTTGCATCTGGAGTTCCGAATGAAAATGGAGATCGACATATTCACGAAATTGCTGAAATTAGTTTGAAGATTCGAGATATTTCATATGGTTATAAAGTGGTTCATGCTCCAACTTTTAAGGTTAGTTTAGAGATTTTTGATGGGTTTTGTGGGAAAAATTGGGGTAGATGTTCACTTAGGATGAGGCTAATGTTATTTGGAATATTATTTTGATTATACTAAAATTTGAGAAACACATTTTTACTTGAGGCTAGTCGAAAATGAAAAGGTTTGGAGTTCCACATCAACCAAAAAGAATTTTCAGATCCGAGTGAAAATTGGTTTTCACGCTGGAGCAATTGCTGCAGGTGTAATTGGTCTCAAATCTCCAAGATATTGTTTATTTGGAGATACTGTGAATTTTGCGTCAAGAATGCAATCAAATTGTCCACCAAATCAAATTCAAACCAGTGAACAAACAGCTCTTCTTCTATTTCAAACACATGAATATAAATTAGTGAAACGCGGAATAGTTCATGTAAAAGGAAAAGGTAGATCACATTTTTCAGTGCTGTAATTCATCTCAACAATATTGTTTTTTTAGGAGAAGTGAATTGTTATTGGCTGAATGAACACATTCATCAAGAAGAAGAACCACAAGATAACAACACATTTTCTCGCCCCGCAACAAAATATTTGATTCGACCAAAATCGATGAGAGTTGAGAATGACGAGGATTAATTTAATAATCGAAATAATTTGAAATTTACTTATATTAGTTTTGCTCATTGAACTTTTTTACTTTTTTCTGAAAATAAATAAAAAAATATATAAAGTGCAGATTTATTTCATATTGTTCGCTAATCTCATCAAAAATTAGTTATTCAAGGTAACTTTTATGACACATCTTTATATGATTATGACATTTTGATGTGTCAATATTGCGTTATAAAACAAAGTGAGATATGTTTGAAAAAATATGTATGTTGACCAATATTTTTCCAGAAATATTTTCATAATGTGTTTTGTTTTCTCTTTGCAATTGTTTATAACATCAAAATATATTATATTTGACAAAGGAATCTTTTCAAAATTATTTCTGAAATTAATAAAAATCTAATTTCATTCTGATAACTTGGCTCTACATTTTCTTTGAAATTAATAACAAAAAATCTTGATTTCCTGAACTATTCCCCCATAGTCAACTCCAAAACTCTTCTTCCGTGGAAAAACATACGGTGTTGTATTATTTACAGTTAGACAGATGTCTTCACTACTTACATCAATCATAATTGACTTATGTTCTAAATTGTTTGTTTGCTTTTTTCTTTTTTTCACGAGAACCTATCAGATAACACGGAACAATTGGATTAATTTCTACCTAATTTAATAAATCGGAAATTTAAACCTTGTTCGTTCCTTTATTTATTTATTTATTTTCTCACCAAAATAGTAGTAGTAGTACTCGTAATCAAAATTTTTTTCATTTTCATGGAAAAAATAGTGAGTGGATAGGATAGAAAAACTTAATGGAGTCGTGAGAACTTTTTTCCGTCTGCGCGCGCGTAATCGTACTCGACGAACCAAAAAAATTATAATTATAGTTTTAATTATAATTTTTTAATGCCAGATTTGATTGTTATCATCGATTCAAATCTATATTATTTGCCAAGATATATTGTTATGATAACCCAAAACACCTATTGTTTTGTTTTGTTCTTTTTCTTTTTATTGTTCCGTCATTTTGGATTTTTCTTATCTCGTTGTTTTTTTTTAGATTTTTTTCATTCCACACACTCACATGGCTCATTTCACCGGAAACATGGAAAAACATCCGTTTGATTTTTTATCAAACTCACTTGAAGTTTTTCTTTCGTTTTGCAGATTTTTGAAAAACACAAACCAAGCCAAAACAAAATAAAATAAAAATGAAGATGAAATCTTCTTTGTTTTTCAAAACACTTTTAGGAATATTGAAAATATACATGAAATTGACAACTCTTTACATATTCTTCTTCTTATTCTTTTCTCTTCAGAATATATACTACTCTTTTGTATATGTATAATTCTCCTATTCTTTTTATCCCTTCTTAAGAAAATGAGAAAAATATCAAATTTCCAGGTAGTATAAGTTTTTTATACTTTACTTTATTTGATCCAATTATATTATGCAAGTTTTTCTGAAAAAAAAATAAACCCAAAATTATCGAAAGAATTTCTCAATTTCAAAAAAAAAATGAAAAGAAAAACAAGTATTTTTCACACCTGACTTGCTAATGATAACACCTTTCTTTACTAATTCAACTTTTTTCTTGTTTCTTGGTTCTCGACATTCCTTTTAGTGAGACTAGGTTTCTGAATTTTTTATATATAGATAAAATCTAAAAATGAGAAATGATATATTGTTTTTTTTTCTATCAGGTTTTCTTTTTTGTAGTTTGGACACATTCTTTCTGAAAATGTTCGAATATGTAGACAGGAACAAAGTAGCGGTCATTTCGATTTCTCATAAGTCAGAAATATTCTAATTTTCATCGTTATCAATCTAAGTTTTCAAGACCTGTTTCCTAACTTCTACCGCTCTTTTATAAGTAGTTTTTGACTCGCTGATCACGTTTCTGTTGTCAAAAACTGCAAAGCTCAGATCCTAACGACGTGGAAAAATTGGAACTTCAGAGAAAATTCTCTTAGTGTTCACTAGACTTTCATAAAAACTGTTTTTCACAGTATTTTTTCCGTTAAAAAAAATTTGAACCACCCATGTTGTTATTTATTTTTTTGTCGTTATTTGACTTTTGAAATATGAAACATTTGATTGTTTCTATTGTAATATTTTCTCATCTGCTCTAATCCTTTTTTCTCTCCAATCCGAACCTGCTAATTAAGTAAGATGTGCAAATGACAATACAATTGAAACGGAAATATGAACACTTAGCGCGACACTTATTCAAAAAAAAAAAAAAAAGAGCTTTTATAATGCCGACAATTAAATATGTTTGAAGTAGTAGACTACTGAAGCATCACAAGCACTTTTTTCCAGAGATAAAGCACCAAAAATGTCTTTTTTTTAGTTACCCCCGGAATTTCTAACCATCCTGAAATTTGATCCATTTTTGTGCTCCTTTCTTCCTTCACTGGACAAAAACTAACCCAGCTCAGTTTCCGCCCATTCCATTTTTAGGAGAGAAGAAAAAAACGAGAATAGTTTATTCTCTTTAAATTTTTCTGCACAAAAAGAAAGAGAAAGAAAACTCAAAAAGTTGTTAAACTCGCCCGGTTTTTTTTTTCAATTTACTACGGATTAGGGAAAAGTGTACTTTTTTCTTTTCTACCGAAAAAATGGAGCTGTTGTCTTTTTGGAAGAGTTGAAAATGTTGCAATTGAATTTGTTGTGTGTTCAGCTTTTTTCTAAACAAAATAGAAATGAAAAAAATGGCAATTGAAATTTTTCCTGAAAAAATTTTGTTGTTTGTGTAAGTATCAGTTACACTTTTCAAGAACAAAATCTTGAAAATTTTTTGTTCTTTTTTATTTTCGTTAGTTTTATTGTTGAAATCCATGATGGGTTTTTCCAGCTTTAACTTTAGATTCAATAGTTTCGAAAATGTGAATAAAATTGTAACATTGTGGAGCTGAAAAATCTCCTTAAAAATTGATTGAAGCCTTCACAGAAAAACTATAAAATTTCCAATGAAATGTCAATTTCACGAAATAACCTTCAGTAAATAAATTCCGGAAGTTTTTGTTTTTTAAAAAATTTTCTTTGAGCATTGATAGAACCCAATTTTCAATATTCTATAACCTATAAATGCCTATATAATCAAATTTTCGGGTCGAGTTTCTCATCAGTTTTCCGTTGATCGAAAATGTTCCTCAATTTTTTCAAGCACTTCCCCATAAAATTTCGTTGAAAACACGCCCATTCACAACCAGGTTCCCATGGTTGAAAAAAACGCAACAATTCAAGAATTTTCAAGAATTCTTTTGTGTTTCCGTTTCAAGAACACCGCTCCCACCTATGATTCATATTGTTACAGTAGCAACATTTTTCCTCCTTCTCTTTCCTTGTTATTCTTCCACATTTTTTTCTTATTTTCCTTTTGGGCGTGGTCATTTTTCGGGTTTGCTCACTATTTCACTCTTTCATTCACTCACTCACTACGCGTTTTTCTTTCTGCGGGAAGACGGGCAAAAAAAAGTGGGCGGCCCGAAAATAGAGACGAGATTTTTGGTTTTCTCCATAACTGAAACTGTGTGCTTATTTTTTCATATATAGATTTATTGCAATTTCATTTTTTAATCGGATAAATATTATGTTCATGTTCATTCACAGTTTTTTATTTCAAATATTGTTCATTTTCAGATGACGAAAATTGTTCAACTACTTTTCTTCACTCTTTTTACAACAACGACAATTTGTTCCGAAAGTGAGTTTTTATGTTTTTATTGTATCATTTTCCCAGTTTAATCTCACCCAAATCAAGCAAAGTTGATTTTTGTCGTGAAAAATTGTGATGAGTGGGTAGACCCTCTTGAAGTTTATTTATTATCGTTGATGATGGCTCATTTTCTCACTTTCATCATAATAGATATCTTCAATTTATCTATTTATTTTATTTACATATTCATTTTCGAAAAAAAAAATAAATAAAGGCGAGAGAATAAAAATAATTTAACCATATGATACATTGAAAATTGGTTGTTGAGGAAAAAAGATGCGCAACACAATACATTCCCCAAGAGATTTCAAGTTTTTTCCCTTTCCTTCCCTTTCTTTTTTTGTTAGCTGTGCTCTTTCCACTAATCGACCCTTTTGTCACTTTTGCACAAAAAAGGACAAATGATAAAAATCGAGTTTTCTTTTTTTTCGCTTTTCCTGAAGCTAATTGAAGGAGCTATATGATTCTTGATACTCTCTCATTCTTTCTTACTCAAGAAAAAAAATGCAGAAGAAAAAAAAAAGAATAAAACAAAAGATCTTTTTGAAATTAATACCTGAGCAAAAAAATAACAATAATTCTCTGCGAAAATGTATTGTTTTCGATCCAACCATTCATTTTTTTGCGTCTTCTCAATGGCTTAACATTTAGAGAGTGCAAATAAAACAAAAGGCGATTTTCTTGAGGAAGAGCAACTCTCAAAAAAATAAACGAGTGAGAAATTCCCAAAGAAATCGAAATCTGTTTTGTTCTGCTTTGTTTTTGAAGAAACATAAGTCTATCAAATAAACAGTAGGTAGATAGAATCAAAATAAACATCATTTGATGCGGTTTATGAATTAATCCGATCAAGAAACATTTGTAAAAACAAAAAAAAAAGAATTATTATATTTCTCATCATATGTATTTGCCTGTTTCCGGTACATAAAAAGCAAAAAAAGAAGAGGATCAATGCTCTTCCGCCTCATCTAATTTATCATTGTTGAATAAGGAAAAAACTTTATGTACATTGAATCTCCGAGAAAAATAGTTAGATACATGGTTTGTACGGAATGAATGACATCTGAACATACAAATCTATACAATAAGTCAATAAAAATGGAGATTGGTTTTTGAAAAATTGAAATACTGATGCGAGTAGGGTAATTAATATTCAAATTTATTATTGAAAATGTTGTATTTCTACGTGAAAAAAAAATTTCTAGAAACGTATGACTTTGTAAAAGCAATTTTCAAAATCCTTCTCAATGTTTTTCATGTTGAATATTGATTTGATAACTGCAAATTGAGATTTAACAAAGATAAATTTAGTTTTTTATCTGCGTTCTTTTGACAATTGAATTCACAATTTATAAAGTTTTTTCTTGATTTCATAACGGTTTTTCTTAATTTCGTAACCATGTATAACAATTCTCATTCTCTTCCCCTCTAGGTTCTTCTTTCCTCTCTTATGAACCTCTTGACTTTTGGTTGATAATTAGCATAATGACAAGGATGAACAGGTGTTTTCTCTCATATTCCAACCAGCCATCCAGCCAACCAAAACAAAACAAGACAACAAAAAAATACAGTAGGAAAAGCGGTAAAATGGGACGTTGGAATGAATAATAAAAGAACATGCTACTAAATGATGCGTGTTATGACAATTAGGACCCCCTCCTTCCCTTTTTGAATGTGGTTTAGTATACCGCCAAAAATAGAGCAGAGATTTGAAATTAGAAATGAATGATGAATTATTTGTGAATGTGTCGTTGTTCCGTTTTGTCACAGCAATATTCATCCCTAAAATGTGTGTAACATCAAACAGTAATATAATATGTACAAGAAGCCACAAACGACCTGTAGAAAAGTACATTCATGCCGGTGCATGGAAAAACACACGGATCAGGTTTCACTGAAACGTGCTTTTGTCTCTTGTTCCTCTTTTTTGTAGTAGTTTGAGATTCTCTAGGGAATCAACTAAAAACATCGCAAACAAGATTTGATTACCTTCTAGTGACCAGCGCCTTCTTTTTTTCTGGGTGGTTTTTTTCCTTCAAAGTTGTTGGGGGAACATGAAGGAATATGAACTCATTTTAAAAATTCATATTCACACCTGCACTCGATGTGAATTATTTAGATCAAATTGGACTTTTTCTCTCCACATTGACAGAAAATTCAATATTCATTAATGTGAGAATAAAAACTTTGATTCATTAGTTGCTTCTTCTTCTCCTTCTTTTTCCTCATTTTCTTCGATTCAATATTCAAAGACCATATACATATTGTTTCTTGTTGTTATGCAAATTGAAAAAGAAGGAAGAAACTCCTTGAATGGTGTCAAATAACACATATATAACAACACATTTGATGAGCTACCGACAGACACAGTTTTTGCACCAAAACAAATATTAGATCAAGCAAGATTTTTCATATATCTCGATTTATTATTTATTTTGATATAAAAATATATAAAGGTGTGGGGGTGTAGAGGAACGTGGAAAAAAACACATGAAGACATTTTGAAATATGCAGATTTTATTTGGGTTTTGCAACTTTTGCGAACGCATAAAGTAAATAGGTGGAATATGGCGTCATAAACCAGAACAAGTGGGAGTAGCAAGAATTTGGGAATTGAAAAAAAAATGTTATTGCGAAATTCGGAAAAAATGTAACCCGTGAATAAAAGGAAAAAAAATGAAAATCTAGAAATTCAGAAAATATAGGGACACATACAAAAAATTTAGAAATATCCATATGATTTACCTTACAACAAAATAATCTTCCAAACGTACCCTTTTCTGTTATCAAAAAGTTCTCTCAATTTCTCTATATCGAATTATTTGTAAAACTATGGCACGGATTTTTTTGCATGTACCTTTATATATAGTGTTGTTTATATCCATATAGCAAAATCCTTCCACTACACCTTCAATCCCATGCATTTTCAACCATCCAACTATCATCCTATCCACTTCTCAACAGTCGTCATTAATTGTTACAGACATCATTAACCAATCAAATAACATATCAAGAACACGTCGTGATACTTGGATTGTTTTTCCCGATCCTAAAGTGAATCGATCGGTTGTTGTTCGTGAAACTAAAACGTATTGGGGTTCGTTTTGTTTTATTTTTCTGATTAAAATTTTTTTTTGAATGTTGATTTTTAATTCGATTCGTTTCGATTTATTAATGCTTTCAATGTTGTTGTCCGCTTGTGTATTTTGAAACAATATGACTCTAAGAAATGTGTGAAATTAGGAAAAACGTAACATGATAGGGCGTATTACTCTTATTTATTAATATTAATATTATTTACTCATATGGGTTATAATTTATTTAAAAATAATAACATCTTTGTTGACGTCTAAAGTATACTAACAAATGTGAAATATTTGTAATACTTCTAGTTGAAACTTTTAAAAAATCAAAACTTTTACAGATGTTCCAACTAGTGAGATTTCAAACAATCCAATTATCATATCTTCTGATACAATGAACTACGAAACTGAAACAATAACAGTCCGCGAAGATAGAAAAGTTTTGATTCGATGTGTTCATGAGCGAAATGATCTTCGAGACAAATCCGATTTGACTTGGAAAAAATCTGGAGGACACATCATTAGTGGAGAAACTGCACCGAGGTTTGAATTTAATGAATTCGCTATACACTTTTATCCCATTTTATTTCAAACAATTTGAAATTCAATTAACCCCATTCTCTCCACCATATCCATAACAAAAAAGTGTGAAACTTTTACCACCACCCAACGCCACCCAAGATGGTGGTATATATTTACACAAGCTTCTTCAATTACATTTTCTTGAATTGGATATTTTGTCCTTCCGTCTTTTCCAATAGAAAAAACATCACATGGGGACATTTTTTTCGAAATTTGATATTTTGAAAATTTAACAAGGGGTTTTTTCAGCAGCCTGTTCTCGGTTGCGAGCACTGAAAGATCAACAAACTACAACAAGAATTCACTTCATTTCACTGCAGTTCATACAAGAGATTCTGGTTTTTACATTTGCTCCGCAAAAACTACTGGTGGAGATACTTTTGAAAAAACAATCAAACTCACAGTTCTCCCAAAAGTTCGATGGATTAATGCTGAAACAACTGTTGGTGCACTTGTTGGTGAACCATTAACAATTGATTGTCGAGCTGTATCTGGAAGTTCAAAAGATATTAAAATTAATTTGGCTACCAACACTGGTGAAATCTTAGATGGTTTGTTGTGTTTTTTAATGGAAGAGTGAAAAATGTGGAATTTGTAGATTCAATTTTCAAACAAGCTGGAGATGAAGCAACCATCGAAAGCTTGCAAAAAGAACATTCTGGATTAGTTGTTTCTTGTATTGCTATCGAATTCTACAAAGAAGAAAATGAGGATGAATTCCCACTTGTTGATCGTAAAGATGTCAAAATCGAGGTTTATCGTAAGTTAAATTTTCTAACGAAATGGTTAAATTGAAAAGCTTTTTTTAGACGCGCCTGAATTTGCAACTGAGGAAACAGTCAAAAACACTGTTATCGATGATCATGTTCGAGATGTGAGTTCAAAAAAATTTAATTAAAAGTCAAATTATCAGAATTGAATTATTTTTAGGTGACTTTGGAATGTATTGTTTCGGCATCTAATCCAAAGGTCAAACATTTCACGTTCTATCATAATGATCGGGAAATTGGTTTGGATGACTCTAGATATTCAGTCAAACACCATCATAATTCTCACAAAGCTTATTTAAATGTGAGTATGAATAATTTCAGACAAGAAACTGATTATCCAAATTAATTTCAGATCCGTGAGGTTAATGAGCAAGATTTGGGAACTTATCGATGTGAAGCAAATAATGGACAAGCAAAGGGGCATCACAATATTCATTTGAATCAAGCTGGTAAGAAGAGATTAACACGTTTTTTCATTTAAAAAACACATTTCAGTTGCACCATTTGAGCCAAAAGTAACATTCTTGTCGCACAAAAGACATTCAATCACATTCAAAGTTGAATCAAGCGATACTGAATCCGATTTGCCGATTAAAACTATTGAAATCAGTCATTTGCGTGAATCTCAAGTTGATGCTGCCAATTTGAATGATGACGAAATTAGTGATGATTATTGGAGATCGCAAGCAAATACTGTTAAAAAAGCAAAAAGTTAGTTTTTTTTATTTCAAAACAGTAAGAATGCCTCAGGTCAAAAACTACGGCCTTCACTTTCTTTTCCAAATCAAATTGTTATTTCAGGTAGCGATGATATTTATGAAGTGACTGGTCTTCGACATGCTCATGAATATGTTTTCCGATTCCGCCAAGTCAGTGATGCTGGATTTGGTGAAAGTGTAGTTCTACGCGCCAAAACTTTCAATGAAAATGATTTGACCCTTAACTCCTCCTTCTCAATTGTCTCAATTTTCCTTATGTTTGTAGTAGCAATTTTGATGCTTTAAATTTTTCATTTTTGCAATAGTCATGTGCTGTTTCCAATCATCACAAATTATGAAATCGGTGATCTTTTTGTCTTCCTTCTCTAACCCTAGTTGCATAATATTAATATTTTCACGCACTTTTACGTGTGAAACGCTTCACCATAATATATTTTTTTCGTATTTTCCTCATTTCATGTTTTACGGTTCTTCAATTCTCACATAAAAGAACATATTTTTGTAACTTCATTTTTTATCATAATGATTCTCATTTTTCTTGACTCTTCACTTCAAACTGCAATTCAATTTTTTCCATATTGATTGATTCTCAAATAAAAATATTTCTGATATGTATGTGAATGTTCGAAAGTTTATTATATGTACGATATTAATATATTGCAAAAAAATGGGCAAAAAATAAATAAATGACGAGAAAACCACTGTACAAGTTGAGCAAAAATCGTTCAATATCACCCAGTTTTCTTCTAATAACCTGGCGCTGTTCGTGGGTTTGGACAATGATTACATGGCCCGGCGATTCCGTGTAATCCGGCTGGTCCTGGTTTTCCTGGTGTACCCGCTTTTCCAGGAAGTCCTGGAATTCCTTCGTCTCCTGGCTGTCCGTCTGGTCCTGGTGCTCCTTGAGTTCCCGCAGGTCCTTCATTTCCAGGTGGTCCATCTGGTCCAGGTGGTCCTTGTGGTCCAGGAGGCCCTGGGGGTGATTTTTGTTCCATTGGAATACCATCTGGCCCGCCTTCTCCTTCATCTCCAGTTTCTCCAGGTGGTCCCTGAAATTGAAAATATTGAAAAACTTTCAAAAATAAGTTTTCGACTGTTTCCTTCTACGGGCATTAAAATTTTTCAGAATAACTATATAACTCACACTTGGTCCAGCTGGTCCTGGTTGTCCTGGAGGTCCAGGTTGAGCATAAGTTGCATCATCTCCCGGTTTTCCAGGAATTCCTGGCATCCCTTTGAGTCCTGTTGGTCCAGGTGGTCCTGGTGGAGCTGGCGGACATTCAAAGCAGAATTGATCTGCTGATTTATAGGTGTCATCACTTTGATTATCTGCTCCAGGAGCTCCATCTGGTCCTGGTCTTCCGTCAACTCCATCGTGTCCATTTTGTCCAGGTGGACCAACTTCTCCCGGTGGCCCGAAACCGCAACCGCAGCCTGGAAAAATATGTTGAGTTTTTCTCCTATGAAGAACTGATATAAATACTAACATTGTTTGAAATCATCATCTTTTTTCTCGAACTTTTCTTCTCGATGTTCTACAACTTCCGGTGATTTATAATGCATCAAAGGTACACTTTCATAAGTTCCATAACTCGCCGAATATCCACCATATTCATTCTCATTTCTTTTCTGCCGTTTTTCTCCGCGCTTTTTTCCAAATTCTCTAATCACCGAATCATATTTTGCCTAAAAAATTCGAAAATCGCGTAATCGCGTAAAAACCTGTCCGGGTGTTCCCTTATCATTTTAAACCACTTTTTTGTGATTCATTAAGAAATATTCTTACCCGACAAAACTCGGCTTCATTTTGTAGAACAGTTTCAACTTTTTGCACATAATTATAAACTGCTGGAACAATCATTAAACACACTATTGTTGCTCCAATAGAAAGGGCTACTCCTGAAAAAAAATCATGTTGGAAGAAATTATTCGGAAAAAAAACTACAAACCGATGACTGCCATTTTGCGCAGACGATCCGCTTCGGCTCGAAGAGCAGCCTCTTCTTTCGGATCCAATTTTTCCATACCTTCAAAATAGAACGTTTCTGTATGTGTATATACAAAGAATACAAAAAAGAAGAAGATATAAAAAAAAGTTTGAAACATTTCGAAGGTTAATGGGACGTGAATAAAAGCATTGGATTTGAATAGATGAAGAATAAGGAATTCCAACAAAAAAAGAAAGAAAAAACTAGTTATGAGCTATCCAAAAAAATTGTTCCAAAAAAGATCAACTAAATAAATAAATAAATATATAGATACCGGTTCAAAACAACAAAAACGGTACGAAACGTAAACATTGAAATGCGATTTCGATTAATATCCATCTATTCGATTCTCTAAAATTCTCGTTAATCGAAAAAAAACTACGTTTGTTGGTTTTTTTTTCAATTGAATGGTCAAAATCAATTAATTACCATCTATATGTTGTTTTTGTTGGTTGTATAATAAAATGTCGAAAAAAAACTGTATGCCAATAATAAAGTAATTAATGCAACACACAAAATGAAATGAAACAAACAAAGATTCTAAAAAAAAGTGAAAGAATATAAAACGGTCACCCATAGGGTAGAAAAAACTGAAAGCCATAAATAAAGATAATTTTTCGTGGAGGATAACAAATACGGGAACAGATAAAAAGTGCAAAGCAAAAACGAGAAAGATATGATATATATGGAGAATAAACACAATGCAAAAAAAGAAGAAGAACAATTGTTCGACGGACTTTGTAAGAAAATAATAAATGATTAAGGCAAAAGCCTTTTCCTTACTTGCCTTCTTGCCGCCAATTTTCGTCTCCGCCCTAACAAAAACACGCAATAAACACGATTCGTTCGTTTCTCTCTAATTTTTTTTCGAATAATGACGATAAAAAAGATGATATTTTTATTATTATTCGTACGTATATGTATATTCTTATATTATGTTGTGTTGTTGATTCTGAATCTGGCATGGGTGTTAGTTAGATGGAATTTGACGATAACAAGTTTTCAGTTTCATCTGGAATTTAAGATACATATATGTTATCAGCTGACATATAGTTCAACACAACATAAAAAAACAATTCATTTTGGCGGAAGTCTTAAAAGGGATCGTGTTTGTTTTAGAGGAAACCAAGGCAAAAGGATTGATGCAAAAATGGTTGCTGTTATGAGAATTCCTGAATCTTCTCAATTGAAAAAGTTGAACAAATTTGAAATGTGAAGTATTAGAAAAAATCGGCTCTTTTTTTTTCAAGAAGAAAATTTCCGAAATCATCTCTCAGGTTAGGTTTTTTCCTATATTCATAACCAGTTGCTGACCCGATTTTTTGTTTGAAAAATTTAACTTCTTTTAAATTATATTCCACAACTAATTTCTTCAATTTTCAGTTTTGTTACACCTCAATTCACATTTTCACTACATAGTTCTCAATTTCGATTTTAAATCTAATTATGCCCTAGACATATGTTTTTTACCCCCTCTCATATAAAAAATTGACACACCCAATCTAGAAGATCGGTTAACTTTTTTTCTGTTTCACTATAGCCGCTCAAAAAACTAAAACTAATAATAATATCATGAAGGGATTTCAAATACAAAACATTGTAGCAAAAAATGCGAAAAAAAGTGAAAGAACGGTGAAAGTATGTGACAAATAAAAAAAAGCCACCCAGATTTAATTTACTAATAAGATGACTGACCATTGCAGGACATTGATTTATACTTCTTTTTTATCTTTTGCGAAAATCATTTTGGTATAATTCTAGAACATCAAGTGAAGCGGAATATTACAAAGTTCATGAAAATAACATTTCATTTTAATTGGAAATTGTGAATTGTGAAATAGAAAAAAAAACATGGGAGGGCGTTTTTTGGGTGTTCTGAAATTTCAAGGACATCTTGTGAAAAACTTTTGAGGTTCGATTGGAGAGGGAGAAATGAAGATCAGTAAAGAATTTATGAATATTATGGTGTTTGACTGAGTGTCAGACAGTTCTGTTTTGAAAAAAATAATGAAATCAACTTTTTCTTTCTGATTATGTCAATAAACATCTTGAACTATTTCAAATTGTGTCAAATACCCATAATATTCCTAGTTCTGAACAAAGGGAAAAATGAAATGTACGAAAATTGTTAGTAGATCAAAAATTTCCTAGCCCTGATTGTCAGCACAGCTTGATTTTCTACAAGATTCTTTCTAGTAATTTGGATCATCCTCATCTACATGCCCAACTTCCAAAAGATCAAATGAATCAATCCAGAATCACAAAGCTAATATAATCCAATTATTTCTCCCTCCTGTGAACTATTTTTGTGTCTCTTCAGATATTTGCAACTTTCTTCATAAACACATGGACTTTTTGCTGTTTACGACTATACTCTTATTCACATCTGTTTATGTATCTATCTCCTTTTTTACAATGTTTTTCTCTATAAAAACAAAAACACATTGAAAGTTCACAAAAGTTTATTGTTCAATACAATATCAATGAGTATCTTTGGAAAGTCAGCATCAATTATAAAAAGTCCATTCAGTTAAGCAGCTTCTTCTGGTTGTTGATTGGTCTCGGGAGCCTTATCTTGTTCGATCTGAAAATTAAAAAGATTATTAAATAAAAAATCGAGAAAAAAAACTGGATATACCTCTTCGTCTTTGTTGGCGCCGCCACGTTCAGCCATTTCGATTGCCTCCTCTTCTCTATTCTCCTCCAAATCTTGTTGATCATTGCGGCGTCTTGGAGTTGGATCCGCTGGAAGTTCGAATGGCGAACGGCAGAGTTCGAAGATGGTTTTAACAAAAATGATGAAGAAGACACCCAAGATCAAATAGCAGACAGTGAGAGCGATCGAGTTCTAGATTTGAACAAATTGTTTATTTATTCATATGCTCTTTAGAAAACTTACATGAGTGTTGAAAATAAGAATAGTGACAACGGTCAAAATGACGACATTGATCAAGATTGGAACACAAATCATTATTTCTGATGTTCTAAACAAAAAAGAAAAGTAAAAAGTTTTGAACTAAATAAAAGAGGAAACTGAAGAAACCTTTTAAAACCACAATTTACAAAAAAATGGGACGTTCATATATATATATAATAGACACAAAAAGTCAACAGTGTAACATTGCACAATTCGAAAAAAAAAAGATATTTGTAAAAAATTAATTGAGTAGCTCGAGTTCGACGAGTTTTACAGCCGAATTCTGGAAAAATGAAAAAGATATGTTATCGAAGAAAATTTGTAGTTAGTAAAGTAAGAAAAAAAAACATTTTAAGCTCGTTTTCGGAACGAAGCACCTCCCATTTTATTACTTACTCCAATCGATTTTTCTGCAGGGATTATATAACTTTTATGAACATCTTCGAGTTCGTCAATGAGATCGGTGAGAATTATTTGATCTGCTGGTGAAGTAATATCAGCAAAAACCTGGAAAAGTAGGTAATAAAACACTTCGGAAAAAAAATTTTCAAAACTTACTTCGACAATGATTTTGTTTCCCAAGTGATAAATGAGAAGACCAGAAAATTTTTCAATCCGATTCAAGTTTTCCGAAACAACCTGGAAAGAATATAATAGAATAGCGCTATTCTCATAATTATTATGCAATACTTTTTTCAATAATTTTTTCTCGTCATTTTTTTATCCCTGGGGATGTGAAAAATTAACAAAAAAATAATTTTGACTCTGGAAATTAAATTTTGGGAGAAATAATTCATTGAACTACAATCTACCTAAAACGCATTTTTCAAATGACAGGGTTCTGAAAAGTTCCAAAACCAAAAATAATAATAATACACGGTGTTCTCAATTAAATTGGGTTGTCTGCCTAAATACACATAGGATGAAAATGATTGTATGGTGTAAAATTGAACATTGATGTCATATATTCGTATTTTGGTTTGAAAAAATAATTTGCAATAAAAAACACAAACCTTTTCCACTCTCTCGTAATCGGTTTTTGCACCGATGGCTCCTTGAATATCAAACCACGAACTATAAACAACTGGCAACCAATTGGTGAGAATCACAGCATAGATGATTTGAGAACCAACAAAGTCTGAAGGTATCCAAAAATAATGTGAGAAGAAAACAGCAACAAGAGCGACAGAATTTGTGACAACATCAGTGAGTTGATCACGCATCAAAACATATACCTGATAGTTATCCTTCTTCCTGAATAAAATTTAAAAATAGATAAAGAAAAAATTAAAATCTGGCGGAAGTGAGAAAAAATATTGTTTTACTTTCGTTAGAAAGCACTCTGCCGCCAGGATGTGCTGTAGAGCGTACATGCTGTTTTTGTCATTTGAAAAAATGTTTCTTTTCGTTGGGCACACCCTGTTCTCAAATTTCGGGAGATCTATTTTGTTTCGCTCAAGTTTCTGTGTCCTTCGAACCAGACTTTCTCAGACTTTGATATCAGAATACTTCCAAATTCCATACAAAAACAGAAAAAACTCACAAGTTGCACAAAAAGAATAACAAAATCTTGACGACGATATTGACAATAATCACCAAAATTTGAATGAATCCAAATTCTGGTTTGAGACTGTAGAAGAAAATTTTTTGAGAAAAGTCTAATCTTGAAAACTTCACCTTCCGGTGACCAATGCTTCTGCACTCAATACCCAATTAACAGTTGCCAGTGTAATCATAACGATTGCGGAAACCAGCTGAAAAATGACATAATTTATAATGAAAAATTCCAAAGGGCAAAAACCAACATTTGTAGTTGTTTCAGAGACTTTTCCTCTCGGATAGCTTGTTGTTTTCACTTTTTTGTCCAGAACATATTGTGTGAGAATGATGCAACTAACAAAAACATCACCGAAACTTTCAATAGCTGATGTTCCAATCGAAAAACTGCCTGAAAGATAAGCGGCAGCCGTTTTTATAACAACTAGAGAAAAATTGGCAACGTTGGTGATTGCAAATATTGCGAATGTCAATTTCTACAAATTTTTTTGCTTATTATTTTTACCAAGAAAACAATTAGACCTACCATCCATTTGTTTTTCTTGATATTTTTTAGGCCAAGCGTTTGCCGTTCGGCTTCTTCGTCCATTTTCAGAAATGTTTTCAGCGAATAAAATATTACCTGAAACAATAAATGAAATTAGTTATTTTTTGAATAAGAAAAAAAGTAGTCTTAAATAATAAGGTTGTAAAACATTGCAAAAACAAGAAGAGTTAGACATTGGACGAGTTAATGTTTAGGAGCTGATAAAAAAGAACAATATTTGAATGATAAATGCGTTTTTCCTTTATAATATGACCAATTTTATTGTTCAGTTATTATTTTTGAGGTTCAATTTTGAGTAAAAATATGATTTCAAGGACGTTTAAAAACACTATTATGGAAAAATAACTTTTGGATTGGGATTTGTCGAGAGACAAAAAGGAAAAACATGTGCCAAAACAGTGCTTTTGTTTTCGTCAAAAAAGGGTGAGTCGTTTTTACAATCTGCGTCTATTGAATCGTGCAATGTTTCTACTTTTATCTTATTGGCGACGAAAATAACAAAAGAAAAACATTTTAGAAGAAATTACGTTGAGAAATTATAAAATCTATTTTTTTATCAAAGAGTGGTCATTTATGATCTTTTACAGGATTTTGTTATCACGGTGTATATTTTCAAAACGATTTATTTGAGTATAAATAGAACTTGTAGTTTTTGGATCGAATAACAGAGTTGGAGAGAAATTCTGATGTGAAAAAATCAATCTTGTAAGTTTTACAGATATTTTTCATTCAAGAAAAACTAACCTTCTGAAAAACATTGCGTGTGTAGAAAAAAACAAGTACATTACTTTGTTGATTTGATCTCAGGATCACAACGTAGTTTCTAATTAGAACAAAGACCTTTTTTCAGACGTAATTCAAAAATTCTAACATTGACCATCCAAATTCCATCGTGGATTATGTCTTTGAATTTTTGATAAGAAGTTTATTTTCAATTTCAAAAGTCAAGATCATACCTAATCATTTTTAATGAAAAAAAACAGACAGCTATTAAATTTTATTGCCAAACTTATAAATATCTTTGATTTACAATATTTTCTTCTTCTGTTTCAGAATGTTGTTCATTTTCTAAATCATAGAAATTATGAAGTTCATCGGATGAGTAGTTTTCCATAAGCTCTTCAAGTTCCTGTAAAAATTATCTCTTTTTGAGCTTTGAAACCATTCTTTTTTCAAACCTGTTCGATTTCATACAACGCATCAATAGAATTGTCAAATTCATTCAGAGCAAATGTATTGAATGAGTTGGTTTGAACAATATTGAGAGCGTGATAAAAAATTATATCGTATGCGATCAGAAAGTCTTGCCGAAGTTTTTGAATTCTATCACCATGTTCATCTTGTGGAAGATTGGATGGCTCGAGTAAGTTATCCTGGAATGAAGTTTGGAGATTCAGAAAAAAATGAATGAAAAAACCTCGAATGTGATGTAGAGGTTGTTGATTCCTTGGCATAAGTCGATGAAGAATTCGTGTTCTTTTGTTGTTTTCTCAACATTATTGCTCTGCTGAAATTCACAGAATTTGGAATCGATTCGGTTTGAAATTACTGGGAAAAAAGATATGTAACTGAATTTAAAAACATAAGGTGTTATTGTTTGAAGGTAGAATAAAATCACAAAAACAATCTAAAAAGTTAGAGTGCCTTGTGAAGGTTAAAATATTCCCTTGGGAGATGTGCTATTCAAGCTACCCAAACTTTTCAAAATTAGTCCGTTTTACGACCACCCTTCAAAAATCTTACCACAACAATTTGCATGAATTGAGATCGCTCTAGTGCTGTACGTTCAGCCATTTCTTGCTGGAATTTCACACAACTAAATAATGATAAATTGATTTTAAAAACTCACCAGACTGTAGACGTTTTGCATGATCGAATCTGTAAAAAAAACTTTATATTCAATTTCAAAAAAAAAATAGTTAAAGCGTATGATTGGGAATACAATAACGCGAATTTACATTCGAGGTTGCTATGGAGTCTTTCAAATTGAAATATATTTTTATGAGGTAGGATGTAGTCTACACAATAATATTTTTCAGAAAAATGTTTTTTTAGAAATTGATATCGGAAGTGTGAAAATGTCATATTTTTATTATTTTTTGGGGAGTGTGGTTTCATGTGTCATTGTTTATAGAAATCACGAGAAAAATGAATTATTTATTTATTTATCAAACATGAAAAAATAATTGGAAATATATAAAATGAATTAGGTGTAGAAATCGGAAAACGAAAGATCGTAAAATTTTGAGAAACCATTCAACTTGTTGCATTTTCTCTTCTATTTCTAAACATATGATTGTTTGATTTTTTGTTACACGCGACTAGGGGCGGTGCCCCTAGGCAAAACAGTCAGAAAATCCTCAAAAATTCTAAATTTTGAAGAAAAGCCTATTTTTCGCAGCTAAGCTGACGTGAAAAAAATATTTCTTTTAAAAAAGTTACGCCTGGGAATACAAATTGTGAAGTTTAATGAGACATAAACAATAGAAGAAAAATAAATAAATTCAAAACAAAAATGAAAATCGCGTGCATAAAACTATGAAAAAACTAATCTACCTATGAAACATTTCATAGTTTGTTTTTCAATAAAATCAGGAAGCTGATCCTATATCATCAAGTGTAATTCAAAGCTTCATCTTATGATTTAAACATAGTAATTTATAAACAACTTTCCTTTAACATCAATAACAATTATGAATAAAAACTTTACCCAATATTTTTCGATGAATCTAAAATCTCACCTGTTAGTTTTGTTCCTCCCGCCCCCCCAAACCTCAAAATAAACTAACTTGGCTGATCCTTTCCGTGAAAAGTTGTTGATATCTCTGAATGTCCAGTCCAAACGAAAAATCTTCTTTTTCGAAAGCCTGAAACATCTACATACTTTTTTCTCAAAATCTTCGCTCATTCTTAAACTTACATCCGAAAATGGCAATTGTGCATTTGATGGGATCCCTGCTTTCTGTGACGGATGTCTCTAAAAAAATAAGAAAATTAAAAAATGTACCAAATCACCCCATTAATTACACTTTCTGCGCTGAAAAAAATCACTCAAAAACCAGAAAAAAAAGCAAAAAATAAAGGTCGGGAAAAAAAACAACGATACTCCGCGAGCGCGTTGTTTAGCTTGTTTATTTTGTTGTTTTTTTGCAGGGTAGATGAGAGAGTGTGGGAAATGAAGAGAGGGTTAGATATATGTTTTTTTATTTGAAAAAACTATTGATTGAACGTTTTTTCTCGAACTGAATCATTTTTCTGGTTTTTTTCAGCGCAGAAAGTGTTATTAATGGGGTGATTTGGTACATTTTTCAATTTTCTTTTTTTTAGAGACATCCGTCACAGAAAGCAGGGATCCCATCAAATGCACAATTGCCATTTTCTGATGTAAGTTTAAGAATAAGCGAAGATTTTGAGAAAAAGAATGTAGAAGTTTCAGGCTTTCGAAAAAGAAGATGTTTCCCTTGGACAGGACATTCAGAGATATCAACAACTTTTCACGGAAAGGACCAGTCAAGTTAGTTTATTTCGAGGTTTGGGGGGGGAGCAAAACTAACAGGTGAGATTTGAGATTCATTGAAAAATATTGGGTAAAGTTTTTTATTCATAATTACCGTTTATAAATTTCTATGTTCAAATCATAAGATGAAGCTTTGAATTACACTTGATGGTCCAAAAATGTAAAAATGAAGTCGATGAGTTGGGACCTAAATGACACTTCCTCTCAGGCTTAGGCTTAGTAAATCACCTAGAAGTAACAATAAAGTCGGGAAAATGTTCTGTCAATTTTTCTGTTTTTAACACTGTTAAAAATTCTGATTACTATAGGCTCAGGCGCAGGCTGAGCGAAGTTCGAGAAAATTTCTATTTTTTAACACTGTTGAAAAAAAACAAGAGAATTTTTTTTTCCGAAAAATTGATCGATGGCGTCATCCATGGCAAAATTAGGAAGCCTTCCTGATTTTGCCACGAGTCATTTTTTGATCAAAAAACTTGAAATTGTTCATGAATTCCATTGTAATTCGTGTGTTCAACATATTACGAGTACATTTAATTCAAAAAAATAATTGAAGAAAAAACTCGGGCCGATTTTTTTCGATAAATAAAAAAACTCGGGCCGATTTTTTTCGATTACAAGAAAAAAAAACAATTTTTCGAAAAAAAAAACTTATTTTATTATTTTTTTGTATTAAATGTACTCGTAAGAGGTAAATCACACAAATTACAATTGAATTCATGAACAATTTCAAGTTTTTTGATCAAAAAATGACTCGTGGCAAAATCAGGAAGGCTTCCTAATTTTGCCATGGATGACGTCATCAATCAATTTTTCGAAAAAAAAAATTTATTTTATTATTTTTTTGTATTAAATGTACTCGTAAGAGGTAAATCACACAAATTACAATTGAATTCATGAACAATTTCAAGTTTTTTGATCAAAAAATGACTCGTGGCAAAATCAGGAAGGCTTCCTAATTTTGCCATGGATGACGTCATCGATCAATTTTTCGAAAAAAAAAACTTATTTTATTATTTTTTTGAATTAAATGTACTCGTAAGAGGTAAATCACACAAATTACAATTGAATTCATGAACAATTTCAAATTTTTTGATCAAAAAATGACTCGTGGCAAAATCAGGAAGGCTTCCTAATTTTGCCATGGATGACGTCATCGATCAATTTTTCGAAAAAAAAAAACTTATTTTATTATTTTTTTGAATTAAATGTACTCGTAAGAGGTAAATCACACAAATTACAATTGAATTCATGAACAATTTCAAATTTTTTGATCAAAAAATGACTCGTGGCAAAATCAGGAAGGCTTCCTAATTTTGCCATGGATGACGTCATCGATCAATTTTTCGAAAAAAAAACTTATTTTATTATTTTTTTGAATTAAATGTACTCGTAAGAGGTAAATCACACAAATTACAATTGAATTCATGAACAATTTCAAGTTTTTTGATCAAAAAATGACTTGTGGCAAAATCAGGATGGCTTCCTAATTTTGCCATGGATGAACTCGGGAAAAATGCGGCACCTTTTTAGCACCGAGGCGACAAAAATTGTCGAGGAATTTTGGCCGCCCCGGTGCTAAAAAGGTGCCGAAATTACGGCACCTTTTTAGCGCCGAGGCGACATTTTCATGAAAAATCCATTGTTTTACCATACAAATTACTCTTGTTCTCTTTTCATCGAAATTTTCCGCACTAAAAATGTAGCAAGCGTGTCCGAGTGGATATGAGGCTGGGTTGTCATTGTTTTGACCTAAGTTCGATGCCCCTTTCCCGCACCTTTTTTAATTTTTTTCGTCTCACTGGCGCACCATTTTAGCGCCGGTGCGTCTCTTCGCGCGCCGTTTCAGCGCCGGTGCGTTCTCTCTGCGCACCTTTTTAGCGCCGAGGCGAGAGCACTTCCCGCCTCGGCGCCCCAGAATGTCGCCTTAGCGCCCCAGGATGTCGCCTTGGCGCCGTATTTTTCCCGAGAAGTCATCGATCAATTTTTCGAAAAAAAAAACTTATTTTATTATTTTTTTGTATTAAATGTACTCGTAAGAGGTAAATCACACAAATTACAATTGAATTCATGAACAATTTCAAGTTTTTTGATCAAAAAATGACTCGTGGCAAAATCAGGAAGGCTTCCTAATTTTGCCATGGATGACGTCATCAATCAATTTTTCGAAAAAAAAAACTTGTTTTATTATTTTTTTGAATTAAATGTACTCGTAAGAGGTAAATCACACAAATTACAATTGAATTCATGGAAAATTTCAAGTTTTTTGATCAAAAAATGACTCGTGGCAAAATCAGGAAGGCTTCCTAATTTTGCCATGGAAAATCTTTTTTCTGTATTCAATGTTTACTCAATAGGGGTTGTTAGCCCCCAGGCGGGACAATATTTGACAAAAAAAAAGAATTTTCTTTAGACAGTTCTCAATAAATGCTCACATTTTTTTTTTGTTTCTGACAATGCATTTTTTTCTGAAAAAAGGTAGACTATATTTCTCACGTCAAAATTTTTCATGTAGCATTTCTTAGCAAATTGATGGGCATTTCTTGTGTCAGAAATGGTCAAGTGGTTAGATCACGTGTTTTTTGTTCAGAAGTTCCAGGATCGGATCCTTTTGGACGTTCGCGAAGGTATGATTTCGGAAAAAATCGGCAAAAATGGGAAAATGTCCAAAATTTCGACATCCAAAAAATAAGAACAGGGGTGACCCCATTGAAAAATCCTTCTTCCATCGAGACACCATCCAATCGGGATTTTATTAAAAAAGTAGATTTTGAGAGTGATCATTTTTTGTCGCTTAACGAATTTACAAATTTTGAGGTTATAAAAATTCAAAACAACTCAAAAAAATCGTAAATGTATGATTACGCATACCGGTTCTGCAATGGAATTATCCTTTCGTGAAAAAATAAGTTTGAACTCTACTCAACCTAAAAGCTAATAAAATTAACTTCCTATTATAGCCATAGTTTTAACATTCCAACATTTTTTCAAAAAATGTTTCTAACTTTTCATATTCTTGAAAAATAGTTTTTGTCTCACATAATTGTCTAGAACCAAAAATATTAAAATATCAAATAGTTCGCTTTTTTTATAAATTAATAAATGATTCACAATCAAGCGTAACATTTTTGTGTGCTTTCTGTTTACAACAATTTATTTCATTTTTAGACGTTGTGCTAGTTTTAAACTTTGTGTAAGAAATCAGAGTTTTTGCAAAAATATTTTCGGCAAGTTTTGAAACTGTCTGAATACATTTTTGCAAATAGTGTTTTTGTTGGTTTGTCAAAAATTATTTGTATATAGAGTTTTTTTTTTCAATATCGGTGTTTCTGTCTTGTCTTAGAGTAGTACTTTTTTTTTCAGAAAAGTATAATTTTTTATCAAAGATCCCCTAAATTTCTGATCTTATTCGTTTGATTGTTTCTCAAAATAACCGTTATCATTGTTCGATGTCCTAGGAAAATAAAATAAAATCAAAAAGTTTCGCGGTTGTTTAACATTTTGATTGGATTATTAGTTCATTTTCTAATTTGTCTACACAAAACCTCCCTATTCTTTAATGTTTTCGTTTTCACGTTTTTTCACAAAAAAAAAACCACAAAAAGAACATCTCATAACTCCATCAACCAAATGTATTACAAAAAAAGAATATTCAATCCTTCAAATGTGCAAATTTTAGTTGAAAAATAACTAACACCTCCTTTTTTCTTTTTTCCCCGTTTTTTGTTCTCCACATTTATTTATTTATTTTCCTCGTTTAGCACAATTGTGGTCCTATACTTTTTATCGGTTAATTGATCTCGACTCAACCGGAAATTGACATGTCGTCTTCTTGAATAAGATGAACAGTTCAATTAAAATTGGATTATTATCTGTGACTTCAAATTATGAATACTCAATTCCAAAGTCAGTTTTCTAATAATAAATCTAGAAACAAGTGATTGACACTTACTGGAACTAATTCAATAAACTCCGAAAAATAACTTTTCCCACAAACCAAAATTAGTTTACTCTATAATACCAAAAATAATTTATACATTTCCGTTCCGCGCCAAACTTGTTGATTACATTTTCCTTTTCTTCAATGTCAGATTCATATTTATTTTGGGAAAGTAAAAACTTTTGTTTTCTGCTTGCCACAAAAAATATCTATGTATGTTGGGATTTTCTGCATAAAATGAAATTTGAAATGAAATACCATCTGTCACCTTTTGAATGAAAACCGACTTCATAAAATCATTTTGTTTTTGCATCTTGCCACAACACAGAAAAAAAAACACTGTGTCACTTTGAGTGATTGTACTGTATCCGTAAGACGGGTAAGCAATTTGTTTAGACTTCAAAAAAGTTGCCGACTTTGTAAGGAAATATGTAGAAAAAACTTCCGGTATGTTTTTTTTTCTCAAAAAAATTTTGAAATTCCTAATTCAGAGTTCACCCAAAGATTTTATGAAACATAAGTTTATTTAGAAAATGTTTCATGAAAATATGATTGATGGTATTTTTGGAAGCATAATCCCCTTATAGACGGCATGTTGTAAAAAGATTTCCAATTTTAATTCCACACAAACACCACCAAATAAAAATCGACCCAGCAAGCATAAATATAATTAATTATTTTTTTCTATATTAAAATTCTCCAAACAAAATGAAATATCAATAAAATTTACAACAAGTTGCTCAAACAGTTCACACCTGTCACTTGTTTTTATTGTTCTTTGAGATGAAGAATGGATAGACAGATGATTTATATGAGTATTGTTTGATTCACACCACCATTTTCACACCTTTTTGGTGAGCATGATTTGACGGATTTGCGTAATACCATTAATCTTTTTGTTATTTTTTTGAATAAGTCATTGGATATTATTCTGGATAGGTTATATGAGCCGTGTTCTAGAGACTTGCTTTTTGATTTACAAAATATATTTTTTCTGAATTTTAACTTTCTAAACTTTGACTACAATAAATCACACAAGTCATGTATTTTATTCAAATTCAAAAGGTAAATGTGCTATCCGTTCTTCCAATTTCAGAGTTCTTGTTCTTTGGACCAACCCCGCAAAAAAATTGCCGTGGTCAAGCTCCATATTATTTTGTGAATGCGAGGAGATTTGCTCTTGAATATGTTTGAAATCTGACTCTACAGTCATGTTTATGTTTTTCGAAAACAACGTTCTCTTGGTTTTGAAAAATTTGAGTTTTAAAAAAGCTCATGCATCATTCTTTTGAAATTTTAGAATTCTTCTACCAAAATTTTCCCACTCATTAAGAATAATCACAAATAAACATGAAATCTCAAATTCATACTTTTCTAATTAAAAATTCCGAAATTCAATTCCAATTAGTATCAAATAATTTCCCACACCAATGTTTCAGATATATTTATTCCTAATCCTTTTACCACATACATTAACATATGCGCATACCACCCTATGATATCTTCTATTCTGTGTTGTTTGTGGTGAGGTATACGGTAGTTGGTGGTCTTCGTTGTCTTTCTATTTCTTCAATCCAAACTCCGCCCATTTTTATACCCTCCCTCCTCGTTTTTCTTTTTTCCTTCTTCTTCTTATTTTTCTTGTTCGTTTTGTCTATCTTTCTTGACATTTGTATTTTTCCTGATTTTTTTTTCGAATCTTCTGAAAATCTTAATTGGCTTAATTCCAGAAGACAATAAGAATTTGAGACAACGCTTACCTGAATTCTTTGTTTCGAATATGTTGTTCGGTTTTCAAGTATTGCGCTTTTTTTGCGTTCTACTATTTTACCGTAACTTTTTGTGATGCAGCTTATTTTTCACAGGTAACTCAATTTTTGAATTATTTTTTTTTTTGAAAAGAACCCCAATTCATGTTCTGATTTCAAAATGCTCATATTTTTGTTTCAGTTCTCGATGCGTGCCCCGGATCACGATCCATGTCATGATCATACTGGTCGCCCAGTTCGATGTGTACCTGAATTCATAAACGCGGCGTTCGGCAAGCCAGTTATTGCAAGTGATACTTGTGGAATGAATAAACCGACCAAGTGAGTAAAAAATGCATAAAATGTGCATAAAAATTGAGTACTCTCATTCGCCTCTCCCCAGTGAATATGTTTTTTATGATTAGTTTTCTCGAACAAGGTATTTTATGTGAACTGTTCTAGATTCTGCACAGTTAACGAGGGACCTGATGGACTTATTCGAGAATCGTGTGAAATGTGTGATGCAAAAACACAAGAACTCTCTCATCCGGCTTCTCTTCTTACTGATCTGAATTCTGTTGGGAATATGACTTGTTGGGTGTCGACACCAAGTTTGAGTCCAGCTAATGTTTCATTGACACTTTCACTTGGCAAAAAATTCGAGTTGACTTATGTCTCAATGCATTTTTGCTCTCGCTTACCCGACTCGATGGCTCTCTACAAATCAGCTGATTTTGGAAAAACTTGGACACCATTCCAATTTTATTCATCCGAATGTCGCAAGGTTTATGGAAAAGAGCACGATGTTAAAATCACCAAACAAAATGAGCAAGAAGCTGTCTGCACTGCATCGCATATTATGGGACCAGGTGGAAACCGCGTAGCATTCCCATTCCTCGAAAATCGTCCATCAGCTGTCAATTTCGAAAATAGTCCAGTTCTCCAAGATTGGGTTACAGCAACTGATATCAAAGTTGTCTTCTCGAGACTCAGCCCAGATCAGGTAAGAAAACATTTTTGAAGAAAATCACCAAAATTTTAATAAATATTGAAGGCGGAATTGTATGGTTTGTCAAACGACATTAATTCATTTTCAAACGACACCGATGACGAAGTCAAACAACGTTATTTCTATTCAATGGGTGAGCTGGCAGTTGGTGGTCGATGCAAATGTAATGGTCACGCAAGTCGCTGTATTTTTGATAAAATGGGTCGAGTTAGTGAATCACCCCTCACTCTTTTTTCATTCATTCAATCTAATATGTTTTTGTTCCAGTACACATGCGATTGTAAACACAATACTGCCGGAACTGAATGTGAAATGTGTAAACCTTTCCACTATGATCGTCCGTGGGGTCGAGCAACTTCAACATCCGCTAATTCCTGTGTCGGTATGTTGCCTAAAAATCAATCCTTCCTTCCCCTTATCATTCATTTCTTCATAACTCATAAAAAGAAATGAGTATACCCGGTTTTTCAGTCATAAAAAGCCGAAAAATCATAATCAAATTATTAGGGAGGCGCAAAAAAAGGAGGAGAGGGTCGGGTCAAAAAGCTATTTCAAGTGGAGTGGGTTGATCAGCCGCCCAATAAGCGCGTAAAAAAGCGAATAATTATGATTCTCCTCCATACCTAATTTAATTTGATAAGATTTTTATGTCTTTCCGCAAAAAAAAACACGATTACCAATAAAATCCCAGCAGTTCCTTTTGAAAAACAATAGGGACCCTTCCTCATTTTGTATTCATATACACAGGTGATGGTATTGTTGGGGGAGGGTAACCCTTTATTAGTATATTATTGTTATAAACAAACAAATCGAAACAAATAGTGAGTGAAAAAGTGAGTGCAGATTAAGTATGTATATGAGGTGTGAAAAGGCAGCAGAAGAAGAAGAAAGACTGAATTAAAAGAAATCGGGTGAAATCAAATGGAAAATTGTGTTTGTTTTGTTGTATACTTTTTGTGAGAAGAAGATGTTTTCTGAGCTGTCAAGTTTGGAACAATTTAATTATAAAATCCCAAACTACGGTATGCACACACATAAAAGATATGTGTGAAATATGGAATTCTAAAATAAAATAAAATTCGGGAAAGGGGAAGGAAGGGTTGTAAATAAACAGCCGTCTTGGATTAATAATGATGAATTTGAATTTCAGCTTGCAATTGTAACCAACATGCAAAAAGATGCCGATTCGATAGCGAACTTTATCGCTTAAGTGGAAACCGGTAAGGATTTTAAAGTTTTCAAAATCTGGAATTTAAAAAAAAACATTTTGTTTCAGATCTGGAGGTGTTTGCTTGAATTGTCGTCACAACACTGCTGGAAGAAACTGTCATTTATGCAAACCTGGATTTGTCCGAGATCTCTCATTACCTCTCTCACACAAAAAAGTGTGCAAAGGTGAGCATCTGTTGTGTTTTTTTTGTCATTCCTATTAATGTATCAAAGCCGCAAAATAGATATATCTAGATCGTCAAGGGGTTCCTCTTCTTCTTCTTTTTCTGTTTTTAAGTGTCTCGTTTGTTGCGTAATTGAAAAAAATTTGACCATTGGAGAAAATGAGAGGAGGATTTTTCGAGAAACGGCACACAAAAAAAGAATGGGGAAATTAAATTGGTAGTGCACTTTTTACGGGTGGTCCGAAATTGAAAGTAGTTGGTCACTCTACTTCACCACCATGTCCTGTCTTGATTAGATTGTAGTAGGAACTTTGTATTCCCTTGAGAATATCACCTCAACATTTTTCACTCTTTTTTTGAAATGAAATGATAGGAAGGATGTGTGAAAGGTGTTTGTTTGTTTATTTATCTGGGAACATGCTTTACTTGAATGACAAAAAAAAATAAATAATATTAAAATGAAATGTCCTTGGATGGTCACCGACGCGAAGAGGCGATGATTGCATAAGACATCGCACCTCATATAATAGCACCTTCATTTTTTGTCTCCTATAACCCATCTCAATTTATTTATGTAATTCATTCGTTTCCGTCAATCAAACAAAAATACAAAGAGAGTGAGAAATAAATATAAAGGTTAAAAGGTTATCAAGATATCAACATCATGGAAAAAGTTTGTTGACCTGAACACATCTTTGAAATAAATAACATCTACCGTAATCGCTCTTCTCTTTTCTTTTTGCTCCCCGAAAAATCTTTTCTCTCGGTGAGCACACACATTTATCAAAAAATATCCGACAAATTGGATTGTGTTCAGTTTTGTGTGTGTTGATTGAATTTTCCTAGGCAGCTCATTCATTTGATAAGATTTATTGGAACAGAGCATTTTTGAGCAATTGCTAGACATGTTTCAAAAATATTTGAGATTATCGCAACAATTGTGGGATCGATAATCGGGGAGAAATAGGGGTTAGGTTCAAAAATCATAATTAAATTCACAAAATCCAACATCAAAGATCTTTATGAAAAAAAGCATGGAAACTCAGATTTTTAAAAAATATATATGCCAAAAACTTTTCAGTAAAACTTGAATTTTGAACTTCAAATTTCTTTTTTTTCTAGAATGTTGATTTATGTCTGAATTACATGCTCAAAAATCTGATTATGATCCTATAATGCTAGATCATATTTATAACCAGTTCCAAAAATTATTTCCCAATCACAAAATGTGTATTTTAGCATGCGCTTGTCATCAAGTCGGTTCACTCGGCAAAAGTTGCAACCAATCAACCGGTCAATGCGTTTGCAAACCAGGAGTCACTGGTACAACTTGTAATCGGTGTGCAAAAGGCTATCAACAAACTCGCTCAATGGTTACACCGTGTACTAGTAAGTTGTTGTCTTTCCCATTACCGGATCATCTTTTCTTTTCTATTTGCGTTGAGCAAGTTATTTATTAATAAGGGCAAAGAAACCTGATCTTATTTTTAGAAATTCCAACAGCCGCCGATTTTATTCAACAGACAAAACAATCAAGTTCCGAGGAAGAAGGTGAGAATAATAAATAAATACTGACAATGAGCAACATAATAAACATTTAATTTAGACAAATGCCAAAAGTGTCGAATTGTTCCAAAGAGAATTACCCAAAAGAAATTCTGCAAACGTGATCATGCTCTTCAAATTGTTATCATTGGACGTGATATGGTTGATGGTTATGCAAAGTATCGTATTGCTGTTGAAACAGTATTCAAACGTGGAAAGGATCATCATCAAAGAGGTGAAACCTCACTCTGGATTACTCCACAAAATGTTATTTGCAAATGTCCAAAACTTCGAATTGGAAGAAGATACCTTTTGTTAGGTAAGTCCTTGCCATATGTTGTGTCGTTCTTCTTTCATCCTTTTTCCTCTTTTTTTCAAAACACACTTATCGCCAATGATGAATTGGGGAAAAATGCTAATTTTTGTGGATAGAGAGGTCTTGCGGGAAATTTGGCGGCTTTTTGTTTGGAAATGTGTGAAGTGACAAAAAGGATTAGGGAAGAACAAGGGAAAAGTGACAAATTGATTATTTGGCGCGCTAATCTGATCTGATAACAAGCAAGTTGGAAATCATTTTGTATATTTGATTTTACAGGCAAAAACGACGCGGATCACGAGAGAGATGGAATAATGGTTAATGGACAAACAGTGATTGCTGAATGGGAAGGAGAAATTATGGAAAAAGTTATTCGTTTTTCGAAAAAAGATAAACTCGGACAATGCCCAAGTTCTGAATCTGAAACTCATCGTTACTAATATAATTTAATGTTTTCCTTGTTGCAAAACCAATCTCTAAACCTCCATCAAACTATTTTCCTGAATCTCTTAACCGTGTGAGCATGTTCTAATCTAGTTTTCGTCATTAAATAACCATAACAGCCATATCAGCTGTTTCATGTAAAAAAGGGTACTGTAGCAGAGCCCATGCATTTTTTGTCGCTTTATGTATCTCCTCCATGACCTTGTTATTTTTCCATTATTCCTTATTATTCAAAAAAAAATTGGTTGTGCACACATTTTAACAAATTCAAGTTTGTCATTTTCCAGTATTTTATCGTTTCTCATGTTTTTTCTCTTTGAATATATAAATATAAATAAATAATTAAACATTTTTAATAATAATAAGGGAAGTTCAAATGTGTACGTTTTATGGTAACAGGTGCAAGTCGAGTGCTCGTAAAACTCTTCAAATTTACATAATCCATGATACTGATTAATCCCATCGCTTTTTATTTGACACAACACCTGATCAGAGACGAGATACATTACACTTTATTATATATGTTCATTTTTTCGAAATTCTTGGATCGTAATAAAATGTGTGAAATAAAACAGAATGCTTGGGCAGATTGCTGTCAAGAGTCATCTTGACCATAGGTGGTAGAAATAAATTAGTCTTTCACCGCGGGTGGTCTATGGGATATCGGTTATTAAAATGAAAAATGAAATAGAATAAATGAATGGTACACAAATATAGAAACATTATATGAAGGTTATGAGCGGGGAATTTTGAGTAAGTTCAGTAAGGAGATGCAATTTGAAAAATCATATGAATGGAGAATTTTTAACTTACAACTGAATGTGAGTTATCCGTGACAAATTCTGGCTCTTATAAACTGTTCCTGACGTTGCCTGGCTCATCACATTTTATTAACTCCAGAATCATTTTGACCTTTTCATAATTTTTCCAATCGAAAGAACGTTCTCTGAATTTTTGAATTCTTCATTCTTTCATTTTTTCATTTTTCATTTGTTCCGACTCCAAAAGTTTCTTCATTGTCTTTAAAAATGATTCATTTTCTTGCAAAAAACACACAAAAATTCACGTGAACACATATCATTTTTCAAACTAGAAACTTTGAAAAAACCATAAATACATTCTATGTATTCCCGTGTGAAAAAACTGATGAAAAATAGCTTCACGGTAAAGAAAAGAAGACAAATATTACATTGGTGGTCCTTTTCTAAAACAAAACAGCAAAAAGCTGTCAGCGAACGTATGATGTATATTGTTTATGTGTCTTATGGGAGTTGGAGTAAAATGAAAAACTAACACTTTTTTTCTGTGGGAAGACATTGAATAGAAAGGGAGGGTAAGAAATTTGCACATATAAACAAAAAAAGAAACCTTACGAATTATAATTTTGAGTTGATTGTGATCGAAGAAGAATTGGATTTCGAGTTTTTTTCCGCGATGTATTCGTCTCGAAGCAAATATCAAAATTTGTATAACTTTCTGGACAATGATCAGATATATATTTATACATATAGAACACACATCGCTCAGTGTCGCATTTTCGAATCTCCGGACTTATTTCTTTTGCTTCATACGATGGTAAATATCTATCTGCACAATGTGCAGCCCAATCACGGATAAACTGAGTCTGAATGTTTTCATTGATACAAGATAACTCACATTAAAAAACTAACCTTTTGATAATCTTCGAATAATGCTGCATTAGTTATTCCTAGAATTGCCGAGAATACATATAAAAATCTCATACTTCCGACCACCTTAACAAAAATCTCTTTCTGCCTGCCAAACTGAAGAAAACTTTGATAAAAATTTTTCGTTCGAATCAATCACTTTCTTTGAGAAAAGTTGTGACAATTGGTAGTATCAGAACACAGATGGTAACCATAAAAAAAGACAAAAAAAAACTTTTTTAAGAGTAATTATTTTATCTGGTGTAACATCTTTAATTTTTTCGATTGACCAAAAAAGGAGTGAAAAACATTTTGAAAGATCAGGTTATATTTTTTTTCTTGTTTTGTCGATGTTTTCCGGAAACCGAACCAAAAAATATCAAAAAATATAATTATAATGAAAATTGTTTGAACAATGTATTTTATTGAAAACAAAACAGTCTGAATTGTATAAAAAGGCGCAAGCAATTCATTCTTGAGTGGCTTTTTATTCAAAAAAATGTTCAATTATCATGAGATTCTTGTATTATTCATAAATCAACTCACGCAAATTTTTATGGTTCAAAATATTTTTCCAATATTCATGACACACGAACATCAAAATATCACTAAATCTGCTTATGTTTATATTTTTGTAAGAAAGAAAGATCAATCGCTTCTCATATAAAATTTGAATCTTTCAGCAAACTGACTATTTTTCGATTGCTGATGAATGGCAAGCAAAACATGGGAAAAGGCTTGATTCAACATTTTTTGAGGTGATAAACCCGATTTCACAGTCTGGAATATTTTTGGGCTCTTTGGTTTTTGGTGAGTTAGGATGATTCCATATTTTAATTTATAGAAGAGACGTCATAATAACAATATGTATGTCTCTTCAGTTAATTATTTAAAAATTCGAAATGTTTACAGGATTTCTAACCGATAAACTTGGTCGTCGTCGATTATGCAGATATGGTCTTTTCGTTGCCGCATTTGCTCTAGTAACTGAAAGTTTTCTTCTATGTTCTGCAGCTATTGTATGTGTTCGATTTGCTGTTTCCTTTTTGGTTGGCGGAATTCTTGTATCATCTTGGAGTTTGATGACTGAACTAGTTTCCAACAAAACTCGATTGATTGCTAGATCCTTTGCGACTTATGTAAGAGATTCGTCAAAAACATTTGAAAAAAATAAATGATTTTCTTACTTTCCAGCCAAATGCCAAACTCATATTTGTTCTAATCTGCTTTTTCACCAAAAATTGGCGACTCACACTTCAAATTTCTGCATTTCTTGCGTTTTTCAATGCATTTTTGCATTGTTTCATTCCTGAAAGTCCCACTTGGCTTCAGTTTAATGTGAGTTTCAAATATTTATACCGAAAAAAGTATTTGTTATCTTTACAATTCTAGGGAAGACACACCAAAGCGATGAAAATTTGCGAAAAAATTCGTCAAAAATCGAGAGGGCAATGTAATTTGGGTAGGATCCCACAATCGAAAACTTCAAAAAAATATTGTGATTTTCAGTACTTCCCAAAGATGAATACGAGTCGCTGACTTTCAAAGAAATTTGGAATCGCGAAGAATACCGAAATCTATTCTTTCTTCTAGGATTTATATGGATTGTAACAAATTTCACATCAGCATTTCTGGATTTTTCAGTGACTGTTATTATTAAAGATGATTTCATGAAAAGTCAAATTTTACTAGCTGCTGCTCCAGCAATTGTGAAAATGGTAGGTGTTTTGTGAATTCCGTGAAAAATTGACATTTATAGATTTTTGGAAGTCTGGAATTGTTAGATGTTCTAAAAATTTCAAGAAAACCTCTTCATCTTGCCTCATTATCAATTGTTGCCATAACTATGTTGATTTGCGCTATATTGATAATAATCGGAGTTCACGAAACTGCCCCATTCAGTTATTTATATATTATACTTTATCTAATCGGACTCTCCAGCATTGAATTTATTTGGGATGCTTGTTATTTGTAAGTAATCGAGTCTAAAATTTTCGAAAGAAAATGGTCAAAAATTCATAAAACTGAAATCTCCGTTTTCAGCGCTTTCTAAAAATATATATAATCAAAAATGAAAAAAATAGCTGATGAGAGTGGGATTCGAACCCACGCCCCCGAAGGGACTGGTGCCTTAAACCAGCGCCTTAGACCGCTCGGCCATCTCACCACATGAATGAGATAGAGTGTTTGTTTGGCATATGAAGAGAGAAAAGAAAGAAGTGGGGAAGAGGAGAAAGAACAAATGCATCAAAAAATTTCTCTGCTCTCTCTCTGCATCTTTCAACGCTCTCTAAATTTTTCTTTACCCCCTCTTTTCTCTCGTCGTGTAAAATTTGAAACAGTTGATTTTTAGATGTCTTGTCGAACAAGTGCCAACTGAAATTCGAGGAACTATAACAGGAGTATGTTCATTGTTGGCTAGAACTGCTGGAATTTTAGCAACAAATTTGGTAAAAAAATATAGATGAAAACATAGATAAAACCTAAAGTTTCAGACATTTTTGAGAGATACACCATTCCCTTGTTTAATCGCATTTTTCATCACAGTTATACATTTCATAGTTGCATATTTGTTTTTAACTGACACTTCAGATGTGAATCTTTCAGAAGTACCTAAAATTTCAAAAACATCAATCCACACTCAATCCATATTTTCTAGGTTGGACGTGACATTCGACGTTTGAGTAACGTAAATCCAATAAGAATTCTTGATTTGCCTGCTTGCCCAAAAACCCTGACTCAATGCTAACTTATTTATTTTGCACTTTTGTTTTTGATAAAAAAAATAAAATTTTCTACAATGTCTGTTGTTCACTATTTCCATTTCACTCTACCCGTCTATTGGGAGACATTGGGGGGAACGCGTTTTCGTTTTATTCATTTTTTTTCAAGACCTGAAATTATATCCAGCCCATTTTCCAGGATTTTTTTCTTCAACATTTATTGATCATGCCAAGCAAGAACTGTACTCACAATTTGCACGCTTGCGAATGGGAACGTGATGTGAGTTTTGGAATATTAGGGGGAAAATTGATATGAGCAATTTTTTCATGTTTATTTTCGAACTCTAATTCGATTTTTTTGTGAGAAGATTTGTTAATGATTGATACATATTTTCAACAATTGTATTGAAGCTATTAAAAGCTTTTTATTAGACTAATATAATTGAAAAAATTCAAAACTTTGTTTCGACTTTGAGTAAATATTTTTGTAGTGGTCCTTCACAGAGGACCTTGAGAAAACGATTCCTTGTTTAGCACCGGAGTGTCAAAAATTGTTGCAAATATTTTGATGCACGTTGATCGGAAGGTGATGTAAGTTAAGCGACTGTTTAGCATCTACGCCCTTGGCTTCCAACTATGACGTCATTTTTTCCGAGATTTTCTCCGACATTTTTGATTTGAAATATTTCTCGTTAACTTGGCAGCTTTGTTGACAGAGTTGCAAAGTCTTATCGATTTCTATACACTTTTACAAAAATTTTCAATAACAAGTTCTTAAAACTCCAAAAAATTGTTTTCAAAAATCTTTCAAAAATATATTTTTTGTAGTTCAAAACTATTAAATAAACATATAAAAATTGCTCTGAGAAAGTAAACAAATTTTTGTTTGCAGAAAAAAAAACTAAAATAATTAAGAAAAAAATCTCTGATTTTGTTTTTTTCAGATTCTCATCGCGTTCGTCGTTCTTTTTGCAATGTTAAACTTGTTTCAACTCGGCTGGAAATACCGCACCACAATTTTCCGCAACATTCGTCGAGCTGCTGACAATATTCCAAATGAAAACGTCGCCGATCACGAAAGACTCTATAATGCAGCAGACTGATTAATTTTCTTTTTTCTAAAAAAAACATTCCCAAAATCTCACCTTCTATGTTTCATTTGAATAACTCCAATACCACTTCTAATTTTAATTTGTCAAAAAAACGTCGAAGAAACACTATCAAATTTCAATTCCATTAAAAGTTTTTTTTTTCCCTATTCGACATTAAAAAATCAATTTTAGTTCCCAAATGCACATTTTTTCCACACAACACAAAAAAAAATAGAAAAGTGTATATTTAATATCATTCGATTGTAAATATACTTACGCCCTTTGGTAAATACATTGAATTCTGTATGGTTAGAAGAAAGAACATTTACCAACATTAAGATCAATTCCTTTTTTTGTGTGAGTGTGTTTTTTCTATAATTCTTCAAAATTCCCCCATTCCATCCAATTCTCTATGCTTTATCTGTGATTTTCTGGCTAAAACAATTATTATTTTCTATCTTGAGGTAGCTTCATTTTTTTATGGTAATAAATGTTTACAACCTGGGAACTTGCCATTTTGAGATAGAGAATGAATTATTCTCAACTAGCTGATGGTTTTTGAGAAGCATGAAAAAGAATATTTGTATAGTGAATACATTTTTTGGAATACAAAAAAAGAAGGTGCTCCTAGCGGATTTGATATTTTTGACATTTAGAAGAAAAATATAATTAGATTGGTTTAAAAATTTCACAAATGATTGAGGGAATTTAGACCGTGGTATGAGAAAAACAATGGAATTATGGATCCCGACCTTAAATTAGAGCAGGTTTTCTGACCCAATTTTGAATTTTTCTGAATTGAAGGTGACCGTTTTCCTCATAGAAATCAGACCACACCTTGAAATATTAGTCTATAAATTTTTCTTAATTGTCATTTTTCATTTAAATTTCAAAGGGTTCTCAATTGGATAAATTTGAGTCTAGAAAGTATTTTCAGAGTTCGAAAAAATTCATAATTGGAAATTTTTTATCAGAAATTCGTTCAAATTTCTTTTTCATTAAAAAGCACATCATCGCTAAAAATTTTTCAAACGTTGAATCAAATCAATTTTTCAATCTTCTATCAAAACGTCTTGTGTAACAATTTGAAAAACAATCTGACAGTGCATTTTTGTGCCCTCGTTTTGAAAATCCTTTCAAATTTTTGTCAAACAAAAATTATCCAAGGTCGTATGTCTTACAAATCGAGCTTTTGTTTTCAAACCTTTCTCGCCAGCAATCTGTTTCAAAAATACTTATTTTTTCACAGGCTTTTTGCTTTTATTTGACTAACTTATGTGTTTGTGACGTTTTGAACTATTATAAGTTAATCTCCTCCCAAAGATGATAACAATTATGACGTACAGTACATAATGATTTATTTTTTTTATTATGTGTTTTTGAATGTTTCATTATTTCGTTTTCGATCTCAATTTCTCAAAATTGTATCATTCAAACAAAAATTGCGCGCGAGAAGCTGTTAGGAAAACATAGGAATTTTCGCGGAAAAAAGAGTAATACAGAGATTATTTACGTAGAGCGCGTTTTTTCGGATCAAAATATATGGCCTTTCTTCTTCCACCGCATAATTTATGGTGGTTAGCTTTTGGTGTCAAGTTTGTTTAGAGCTTCAATTATTTATCATCTTTTGTAGTTTTATTAGCTTGCTGTCAGTAAAACATATGAATTTTCGCCGAAAAAAAAAGTAATACAGATATTATTTACGTAGAGCGCCTTTTTTTCTGATCAAAATATATGGCCTTTCTTCTCCCTCCGCATAATTTATGGTGGTTTGTTTTTGGTGTCAAGTTTGTTTAGAGCTTCAATTGTTTATTATCTTTTGTAGTTTTATTAGCTTGCACATGTGAGTTGATATTCTTTTTTCTTTTGGTCTGACCTCCTCCGACCAACACATGTCAAAGATTTTTTTGCACCGAAAGAAGAGACAAAACATCTGGAAGAATGAGTAAATTTATAGGTGGTTGTTTTTTTTTCAGGTCATAGTTTTGAGCTGAAAGTAGTTTCAGCTTAGGCTGTTTTTCTGAAAAACGTTGCTTTTGCTATTTCCTTCCGAATGATTCAAATTTCCTGATTTCTTAGAAAAACAGTTAGGGAATATGTGTCAAAATTGAAATATTTTTTGTTCATATGTCTCAATCACTGTTAAAAAACAGACAGAAAATACGTCCATGTTTTTGACACTTTTAATTCTCCCTCAAAGTTAAGGTAGTCTATATTTGAATAAATTTCAGATTCTGCCTTGATCTCACGATATATCTGGAAATTTTCATAAAAAGGGTTCAGATATTGAGCTATTTTTAGATTTTTCATAGTGTGCAATAATTTCTAACGACCCAATTACAGTATTCTTTTTCTCATCAATTTTTGTAACGGCCTGATCAATTCAATTAGTTTTATTGGATGGATGGGGTGATCAGAAATCATGAAGTGATTCACGTCACGTGGAAATTGAGACAACTATTGTTCTACAAAAAATGAAAAATGATTCAATGACAGATTTCAGTATATTTCCTGGAAATGACTGCTACCCATTACACATAACCCACGCAATAATTTTCTGGCTTGATCGAAGAAAATGACGTGCATTTTCCCGTGGGTAGACAGGTCTTATTGATGTTTATTCTTGTCTCACTAATAATACGAGTTGTTCCGATGATGACAGTTTTTGTTTTTTTTTTCCTAGACAAAAAAAAACATTTTTCTAATAAAATTCTTCAGGAATACTGAATATTCCTACAAAGAATCAATAATTGAAACTAATTAATATGAATTTTTCCCAAGAGCATGGAAAGTCACAAAAAATGTGTTCCTTTCTCCAAATTGATTTTCCCTCATCTTCGGTATCCCAAAAAATGTCTCGATAATCGAGTACATGTTCACTTATGGGGTGATTCAGGTCGAAAAAAAACTTTAAAAAAAACGTTTTTTACAAGAAATTTCGATTCAGCAAATGTAAAAAAAAAAAAAAAATTTTTTTCCTATTTTTCGACATTGTTTTACATTTTTTTCATTGAAACATTTTCGCTGCGAGATATCTTTCATTGTTGTGTGGAAAAAATAGGGTTTTTTGACATTTGCTTAATCGAATTTTTTTGTAAAAAAAACGTTTTTTTTTTGGTTTGTTTTTCGACCTGAATCACCCCATTAAACCTTTTTTTTTTCTTACTGTATATGCCCTTTGTATAATTACTCATGTTCTTTTGTGTTCTCTTCAAAGGGCAACCAGCTTCTGTCATGTTACTTTTCTCACGTTTTTTTTTTCGAAAAAAATGACCTTTATGCACTTTATGTCGGGAAGGATAACTAGAACTGCGGGTCTTGCTGCGTGATTTTCTGACGAATATAAGCTAACAACTTTTGAGTTTGGTATTCAGTTTCTGATAAAATCTTCTCTAAACTCTGAAAAACGTGATTTCAAGAAATGTTTGTTTTTTCAGTGTGAAAAACTGTACAAAAAATGCATTTGTTTCATTGAGAATTGTAACACATTGCCCTCGTCAATAATTTTTCTGTGAAAGTTATTCTGAGTCATCGGGTTAATTAAAAACCAAAAGTAAATTTTTTAAAGATTATTTTTGAGCAGACCGAAAAAATTAACATCCTGTTGACACACCCAAAACATTCTTCATTTTCAGGTTAAAAATAAATTGGCTCTACCCACAAAAAATTTTATTTTCATTTTTCTTATCAGTGACTACCTACTGACATACTATATTTTATATATTATTATTTTTCTCCCTCTCCTCCCTCTCACCACAAAAATATCATACAAAATTTTGTTTATCCGGGCTTCCTGATTAATCCTTTTCATGATGAAAAAAATATATAGTTATGCAAAATTTTCTCTTCCTTTTTGCGAGCTCAAAAAATATTGATAATATTTTTTTATTGGGGGAAATGTACATATTTGTGTTGTTTTTATTTGGTTACGATTCTTGTATATTTTTTTTTTGATTTCTAAGCAAGTGGTTTTGGAGAAAATATATTAGCTTTGTTTTTTTTTTCTCTGGAAGTGCACTTATTATTTTATTGTTTTTTTTTTGGCCATAGGCTCTTATCAATATCAAAATGTTGCGAACATTTTTAACATATTTTGAAATTGTATTTTCCAATGATTCTAATAATCTTCCGATTTTTCAGATTAGGCTGAGCTTTTCAGGCTAATAAAAAAATCATCAGCCAAAAAGTTTCATGTGCAAAATTGAAGACATACAATTTCTAATTTTGAAAAAAATAATTTCAAAAACCAATCTAGAAATGAAAATTTTCATTTTGTTAAAATCGTTAATTTCAAATTTAAGGGCCGTCTAACAAACAATCTCAGATAGTTAATATAATTTTTGAATATGAACAATAATTTTGTAATTTGCTTCAAATCACTGTGTAATCCTGCCTTTTTCCATTTACAATTTACTATTTCTCCAATTGTCAAAACATAACTTTTTTGCGTCTTTCTCATTGCGTTTTCTCTGTGTCTCTCTACTCTATTAGCTACAGTATACGCGTAGGAGGAGTTCGGCCATCTATATTTCCTGAGATAGGCGGAGTTTCATTGGCCACGCCCATTCCCTCATGGGAGCGTTTCCTCATTTCACTTTTTCATTTGTATTTTTTGCTGCGACGTCTTCTGACTTATTCTTCCTCCTGGCAAGCAAGCAACCAACCATTCGAGAAAGGAGTCGTGAGTTTGACTTTCAGATCTAGGAAGTTTTTCTAGGCTCATAGAAAGAATAGACTGATTAGAATAATTTAGTGCTCTCTTTTAAGAATAGTTATCGCAAAAGGTTTGAATCCAAATATCCAAAGTTAGGGAACTTGATATTTTTTTCACGTTTTTATAAGCTAGATATGTTCTAACAAAAAAGGATTTCTAATTTCTTTTGGAAAAATACTTTCAAAAGCTTCTGTCGTCATATATAGCAATCTCGCATAATTCCCAGAAAAATTCTAAAATTTCTTTTGAAAAATTGATGAATTTGGTGAGATTTTCGCAATAGAATTATGAGTATTTTCCAAGACTTATAATTTTCAGAATTTTTTTTTCTCATTATTCTGACCAGACTGATTAAGAGAGACTTCTCTCATCACGTGAAAAGTAATTTTTTCCGACGGTCTTAAACCACGTCAACGTGAATACTTTTTGACGATCAAAACGTTAGTCGAACCGTCTTTCCATGATCTATGAACTAGAAATTTCTTACCAACCACCAAACTCAATTCTCACCATTGCACCAATAGCTTTACCAGTAATTCGTCAAAAACTGCACGAAGGGTTGGTTTTCGCAAGCAAGATTTGCGTTCAGTCGTTTCCTTTTGCAATTTTACATATTACATATAAGTCGATATTAACATTGAAAATAACTAAACGCCTCATATCACCATTTGGGCTTGAAACAAATCCATATGTCTGATATTACTATAACATACACCCATTTTAGAAAAAATGTTCATTTTATTGTTAGTGTAAAAATTGAAGTTTTTCAATAATTTGAGATATTTCCGATGGTTTTCGAATACACGCATCTAAAACCAACTGATCACCCTCAATTTTATTCACCTTCACCAACCAAACACCATCGGAAATATCTCAAATTATTGAAAAACTTCAATTTTCACACTAAAATGAACTTTTTTTGTAAAATGTGTGTCAATGTTATTGTAATATTAGACATATTGATTTGTTTCAATCCCAAATGGTGATATGAGGCGTTCCGGTTATTTTTAATGTGAATATCGCCTTATATGTAAAATTGCAAAAGGAAACGACTGAACGCAAATCTAAATTGCAAAAACCCACCATTGGTGCAGTTTTTGACGATTTCCTGGTAAAGCTATTGGTACAATGGTGAGAATTGAGTTTGGTGGTTGGTATGAAATTTCTAGTTCATAGAGCATTGAAAGACGATTCTTACCCGTGAACAAAATTTTGGGAGAAAATAGTTTCTGTAATTCTTGATTCATGACTTTCACGAACTCGGCTTCAAAGTTCAAATATATTGCTGAACATCATTCTGATTTCTGTTTATCAATAAATCAGGATCTATACATCAAAATATGCTTGATTTTTGTCATACTGCACATATATTTTTTTTTAATTGAATGATAATTTTTTGAAAAAAACGAGTTCCTGTTCACAACTCGTCATTCTAATCCGTAGCTTTGAGAAAAATAATCTCAAAGATAGAAAAAATATCAAAAAAATATCAATCCACTAAATAACCTCAAATTTTCAATCCAATGAAAACCCAGGAGAGGTTTATTTATACATGAACTCTATTTTTTCATTCTCGTGATTTTATTTTTAGAATAGAATTTGTTATTTTTGATTATTGTTTTTTTGATCTTTGAAAATTAAAATTTGCCAGAAATCATTGAAACACACAAGACTGATTATTTTCCCAAAATTATCTGATAATTTTCCAAATGATTATTTGGAAAATGTGATCTTCCGAATGATTTACACGTTTTTACCGATTTTATCAAATTTTTTCAAAGTAATTCAAATATTTCGAAAAAAATTCTCACTTTTTCATCAAAATGTTCATTTTGCAACAGATCTATTAATAGATTCCGGAAGAAAAAAACCAAACTTTTGATCACATTCTTTGGAAACCAATCCTATGAAAAAACTTTGATTTTTTGAAACTTTAGAAAAAATAGAAATTCTGACCGAACATGTTGAATTCATAACTTCTCAGAAAAAAATGTTTCATATGGATTCTGTATCTAGCAAAAACCAAACAAAAAAACCGAAATCAAACATTCCGAATGTTTCTAAACATAATGTTTATTTTCTGTTCCCAAAAACTATGATTATTTTTTATTTATGTATGATTCAATTGCTAGTTTTATACAAAAAATGTATGTGGAGTGCTTGAATTTTTCAACGCTCTCTCTCTCTTTCTAATTATGTACTGCGTTCATTAATTTTCATCTTATGATAGAATCGAATCTCTCACTTTTCTCACAATTAACAAAACCGAAAATGTCTATTGTAACTCAACAATACCATTTGCTTTTCTTTTGTGGTTGTTGTTGAATGGGCCAATTGAAACCATTCAATTTCGTGAGAAAATATTTAAATTTTTTATCATTATTTTGGCCAAACTCTCACGCAAACCGTTTTGATTTCTGATGTCATGACGTGAAATGTTCAAAGAAGACGAAAACGCTTCAAATAGAAGCATATAATCAACAATTTTTCATGAATTTTTTGACAAAAAAACATTTTATTGCACAAGAAAAAACCAATTGTTTTCTTTTTTATATTTCTCCGAATCAGATCGAAACAATATTGGTTTTTGTGTCGTTTAAAACGTTTTCTTTTCCTCAACATTGTTCTACTTTTGAGAAAAAAAGTCAGCTAAAAATGAAAACATGGCCTTGGCGCGATTTTTCAAATAATTTGCATTTTTGTATTTCCAGTGTTTTTGTATTCATCAAAATCAATTTCCTCCCCCTTTTTTTCTCATTTCTTTGTCTGGGCTTTTTTGCCCTTTTCTTCTATTTTGATAACTTTTACAAGGAAAGGTTGTGGACCCAATGAAAAGTTTTCTCTAACTTCGGTAGTTAAAAAATAATACCTCCAAATCCTAGGACCTTCCTTGTTATAATTTGGAATTTCAAAAATTGAATTTTGTGAACAACACAGATCATTTTAATATTTGCCTAACCTCAATAAATTCCACCCACTTCAAAAAAAAATGTATTTATTTCTTTTTATTTTTTTTCGTCATCTTTTTCTTTATGTAAATTTCTCGATTCCTTATATTTAATAATAATTTTTTCAGAAAACAAAACCTTCTCAGAAGCGAAAACCTCAAGGATGAGACAGTTTATGCCAGTCTGTAAGTTTACTTGAGAATAATTTTATTATCAGAAAAAAATCGAAAATTTTTGCAGTTAAAAAGCTGGCATTAATTGGTTTGGTTGTTTTGGTATCGAGTGAGTTTTTTTTTAGCTTTTTGAGAGAAAACCTTTGTGATGAGTCATAAGAACCTTTTATCCCCGAAAGATTAAAAGCTTTTCAAAAAATTCAATTTCAAAAAACACACGACATTTTCGTAAGGCGAAAGTCCAGAATTTTTTCTTTCAACATGTTACTTTCATTTAGAAAAATATTCTTTCAGAAAAAATTGTTGCCGAAATGTGAACTTTAGTCGTAAATCTATTACCCTAAAATGTTTTGCAAAATAATTCAAAACTGAAATTCTTTTTCAAGTAAATTTCTGAACATTTCGAAATTCCATTTTCCGACAAAAAATGGTTTCTAATTTCAAACGAAAAATTGTTGTCTATTCTGTTTTTCAGAAAATTCCTATTAGTCACAAAAATCAAACCACCAAAAAATAATAAATGAAAAAAAATGCAAAAGCTTTCCAAGTTGTCCAATTTCAGTGTGTGAAAAAATGAATTATATATATTTTTATATATGCCCAAACCCTAACCAAAAGCAGAATCAAATTCAAGCATATGTTCAAACAAATCCGAATTGATTTATTGTTTTGTCTTTTTCACCGTTAAAATTTTGAAGGACCACTGAAACAATGCTCAATATTTCATTTTTTGTTTTGTTGCTCGTTTCTTTGTTCGAATATTCGAAGACGTGTCCTATTATTTTGTACAAAGACTCAACATTTTTGGGCGTTTTCAGGATTTTTTTTTCTGAAAAATTGAGCAACCAGCTGTTAAATATCATTTTCAAAAAAAAATGTTTTTAAAGATTAGCGATCAAAGATTCAGGATTATAAAAAACCATTTATATTTTTCTTGAGCTATTTTTTTTTAATGAAAAAAAAATGTGTTTTCAAATGATTCATTCAATTCAAATTCAATGTGCCTAATTAGTTTTTTGTCCATTCAATTTTAGTCTCTTCGAAAAAAATTTTGACCTCATGACTCAAAAATGTATAAATATTTTATTTATGAGCGATTGCATCTTATTTCTCAAATTTTTTTGTATATGCATAAATATGAGATCTCAATTTTTAGCTCTCTAGATGAAAACACAAGGCTTGAAAAAAGTACACGTTGTCGTGGAAACCCTTTGACATTTTTAAAACGAATAGAATAAACTTGAGGGAAAGCAAACGATTTCTAATTGCAGAAAAAAATATGGAATCCCCCGTTGAGATGAAACTGTTGACAGGTGTTTTTAAGAAAAAAGACACAGACACTGACACAGTTTTTTCTATTCTTTTTTTATTGTCTGGGTTTCTTCTATCTCATTTTTTACTGCAATAAATAACAGAACAACACCTATTTTTGATTTGTTTTCACCGCCAAAATTTTAAAAATTTCTTTTAAAAACAATTTTTCAGCTCAAACAGTCGAGGAAGCTTTAAAATCGTCCGATACCTCAACAGCTGATTTCGATTCAAGGTCAGTGACATTTGACATAAAAACAACAAGAATAAAAAAAAGAAAGAGGAAAGAAGAGAGGGAAAAAGTATGGCTCGCGCTCTTAGTCTCCCATCCTGCGCACTCTTATTTTATTCAAACTCTTCTCTTCCAATTGTTGCTTTGTAATGTGATCTGTTTGTACCACCAGTTTTTTTCCCAAATGTTACGCACTTTAAGTTTGAGCGTTTTTTGTACCACGATGTTTTGTTGATCATCACGATATTTTTTCTTTAATCGTAGGAAAAACTAATTTCCTCTAGATTTTATACTAGTTTTTCTTGAAGTTTGGTTGATCAAAATTGAAACCTCGATAAAAAAAATCAAATTAAACGTCGTCGGAAAATATTTAGTGACGTTTCCAATTTTCATTCAATAATGTAAAAATGTTCACTGAATGAAACTTAAAATTCCCATTCAAACATTTTCAGAATAGATTAGGTCAATGAGAGTAGATGTTTCAACTTTTATCAACAGAATTTTTGAATTTTTCAAAATTTGAACTTCTATTGGTTGTTCTTCTAAGCTCCTAGATGTTTTTCTTCAAAAACGTTGATGTTTCTTTATGCTAACTTGTGAAATATTAATAATAACGAGATCTCGCAAAATTCTCCCACTAGATTTGAGCTATTGAATGTTTTAATTGATCTCTGAGAGTAGGTCAAAAAAACTCACATGAGCTTTTTTGCTGATAGAAGCATATTTCTGTTGAATTCAATAACTTTTTCTAACTCACTTTTTTTCTAAAAATTGTTGTGTTAAACAAACTTTTCGTCATTCATTAAAAAACTACAAAAATGATGTCACACATCACTATGATAATAAAATGAAGCAGGAAAAAAGAAAAAAAAAACCGAATACTATTTTCTTCGTGTTTTCTCTAACTAACTACACGAACATTTTCTCACCTTGTTGTTTTTCTGCTTCATTACACATGTTTTTTCGACCAGTTGTTGGGACTCAACTATATACCCCCTCCCTCCATTTCTGAACTTTTCTTTTTTTCCTCTAGTTTTTTGTTCTGAAAAAAAATATAAGAAAACAATTGCAGCATGAATGGTTCGATTGAAATCAACGTCACACAAGAAATACAGGATAAGGCCAGACATTCGTTGGATCTGTTTCATTATAGTTTGGCGGAAACTGGAACTCCTCTTGTTTTTATGACAATTTTGCTGGTTATCACAATCATAAAAGGAAGTGAGTTGGAAGTTTGGCTATTAATTGTATGGGAATGAGATTTAAAATTATTTGAAACGGTTTTTTTAAACCCCCTCCCTCCAGAAAAAATAATATGTTTAATACATAAAAACTTTATGAAAGATAATAATTATGTAGCGGATTATAGTATCGGAATAGTTGTGTGAGCCAAATTATTGAATTTGAAATTCAGAAAAGCATCAATTTCATTTTTTTTTGATTCCAAACTTTGAAGCTTTAGGATTAGATTCATAGGTCCGGATCAGTTATTTGTCGGCTAACCTTCTAATATATATTTTCTTATTGTCTTAAAAAAATATACTAACATTAAACATTCCAAATTGAAACCAACTCAGTCATTCCAGCCCTTCGTTTGCCATACATTCATTTCATTCCTGAATCCGTCTCATTAATGGTTTATGGCCTCTTGATCTCATTTGTCATCTCAAAATGGCTCGGAGAATACAAACTTGGAGATACAAAAATCTCAGAAGTAAGTTTTTGTTTTGACGTGATGATTATCATATTATGCAACATCCTTTAGCTCACTATGCCCCCATCGCTTTTCTTTGTCTATCTTTTGCCAGCAATTGTTAGTGATGCCGGATTGTCAATGCAGAAAGGAGAGTTTTTTCAAAGTCTTCCGAAAACTTTGATGTTTGCTGTATTCGGAACAATTTTCAACACAATCATGCTTGGTAATTTTTATTCGCTGAAGATGTTATCAATAATAATACAATTTTCTTTTCCAGCGATAACAATGTGGACCTGTCAAAAATTCTACATTTTCCAAGGAACTCCATTCATGAGCTTTTTTCTGTATGCAACATTGATGTCAGCTGTCGATCCTGTTTCAGTATTGTCAACGTTCTCGGAAATCGATGTCAAACGTCCACTTTTCACTTTGATTTTTGGAGAATCATTGTTGAATGATGCTATCACCATTGTAAGTTTTGGGAAAACGGTCATGGTTATAAAAATACATTTTTTGGTTATCAGACTTCAAAAAAAGAAGCTGAAATATGATATTTTTAAACATTTATTGACCATATTTTATAATATCCTTGAATTACCCTTTTCTAGGTGCTCTACCGAACTGCATTGAATGTTATCAACTACAATCAAAACTCTGGCGGCTCAACTTTAACCTTCGGTGAAATCCTCTACGATTGTTTCCTTCTGTTTTTCTGTGTTTCGTTCTTTGGTATCTTGATTGGATTGGTTGGTGCATTTGCTGGTGTTCTTCTCATCAAGTCAGTTTTTTTTCCAAATTTCAGATGCACTCTGACAATCTTTTCATTGTTTCAGAAGATTCAGTGGCCATCAAGCTCTCCTTCCAATTTTCCAACTCATCATTCCATACATTCTCTACCTTATTGCCGAAACTTTCCATTATTCCGGAATTTTGGCTTGTATTGCGAGTAGTATGTTCATGTCACATTACATGAAAAGTAATGTTTGTGTTGAAATGGAGTTTGTAGTGTTCACAGTTTCCAAAACTTTTGCATCAATGTGAGTATTTCTTAAATAAATAGACAGCTTTTAAGTTACGGGTCAGAGAGGCAATATTAGTTTCTTTATACGGAATATCAATAGATATGATTTCTGATGTGAGGCGATAACCAAGAACCTTTTAAGCACAAAATTTTTTTTTGCGGGCGTTCAAATTGAAATTTTTTTTAAACCCTGCGTCAGGTTTTTTAACGAGCGTATTTCGGATAATTTCTGGTTGGAAAGTATGAAGAAAAATAAAAGATATCAAGATATTGCTTCAGTCTGACACTTAATTTTGAAAGTTGTATATTTTTTAATGATTATTCAATCTAGTGTTGAATTATTTCAGCGCTGAAATGATCATCTTCATCTTCCTCGGGCTTTCGAGTGTTGCTCATTCTCATAAATGGGATTGGAATTTCATCATCATTTCTTTTCTCGCATGTTTAATTATCCGGGCGATAAGTGAGTTACATCACAAACATATTTCGAAAAACAATTTTCTGAATTTTAGTGGTTGTATTGTGCTCATTTGTCTCCAACAAAATTGTCCGAAAACCGGATCAAATCGATTTCAAAGATCAAATGATTGTCACTCATGCAGGAATCCGTGGTGCTGTTTGTTTTGGTTTGGTACAATCAATTGATCCATCTATGATTCAAGAGAAAGAGTATTTCGTTACAAGCACTCTCATGATTATTGCTCTCACTTCTCTTTTCCAAGTAAGAATTTTTCTTATTATTTTTCTTGAACAAAATTTCTTTAACTCACGTTTTTAGGGTTGCACAATCAAGGTTCTTATGAACTGGCTCAAAATTGAAGGAGATAATGGACTTCCATTAGATGCATCGAACGCTATGAAAATCTACAAAAAGTTTGATAAGAATGTTTTCCGTCCACTCTTGACATCCAAATCAATGTATCTTCCAACCGATGAAACATTCAAAAATCTTGGATTACCAAAAGCCGTAAGCACAGCTCTTCGCATTGGTGAACGTAGTCACACTGATCTTGTCGAACATGGAAAGGCCGCCAGCATTGCTCGACCAACAGCTTCACCATTCGAGAAAGAAATTTTGGATGATGAAAATCTCACCATTCCAGCTCAACCATCAACCGGAAGAAGAACACCTGTTCAAGTAAGAAAACATGTTATTGAAACATTTTTCAAATGTATTGTTTTTTAGCGCGCTTCAATCTACTCTCGCCATTTCTTTATGCCACGCCCACAAAGTCCACGAGTTTCTGAAGATGATAGTGACAAAAGCTATTTGACATGTCCAGCTACAATTCAAAAGAAACGTCCAACTTTCAATCCAAATGGTAATTTATCATTTCCAAAAGTTTTGCAGCCTAAATTAATCAAACCAATTCCAGAGGTCTACAACCAATCAACATTCTCTGGACCAATCACTTCTTGCCGCGTCGGAAAACGTCACAACAGCACTGGAGATGGAGGACTCGAATTGAAACCAGTTCTCAAAGAACCACCAAGAGAGAAAAAGAGTGAGTTAAACAAATTCTCTTTCGGAATTTGAAATTCAACTATTTTAATTTCAGTCAGCCGCACAGTTGTCAGTGGAAACAAAACATTCGTTGTCGACAACGACGAATTATCAGCAATCGACGAATCTCCAAAAAAACCGGACCGTGTTGTTTTCAAAACCCCCGACGAAGACAGCCACGAGTCTGAGTAAACGATTCACGTCAAACATATCTTTGTGAGTAGATTGGAAATTAACCCACCTGAATAGCCTTTGTATTCCATACAAAACATGCAGGTTTCTGACAATCTGTTAGTTTTTGTATGGTTCTCATGGTTTTTCAATCGGGCTGATTTCTAGTTTGTTCACAAATGATGTGTTAGTTTTTTTTTCTTTTGATGGGTCTTCTTTTAATTTTCTTTCGATCTTTTTTAATGGTCTCCTATCCATGACTTTTATTTTATTTTTTTTTCATTTTTTCTTATACCATTATTGCCTTAATCCTGAATTTATTATCCCGATGTGTTTTTTTTCTATGTATTACTTGCATAATTTTGGTACTTTTGTTTCGTGTTACTTCTCTTGGTTCACTTATTTTACTTCTTTTGGTTCACGTTGATTGTTTTATTTAAAAATGTCTAGAATTATTCCCTTTCGGTTTCTTTGGTGGTTTGAATGTCTTCTTCCAAACTTCTGCAAAACATGCCGAGCTGTGAAATCTGAAATTTTCTTTCATTTCATTTCATTTTATGTTTTTTGTTCTATGGGAAATAAAGGATTTAAAACCAACCTGTAGAAAATAGTCAAAGGCGAGCAGCCGCGAACAATGATTGCCCAATAATAAGATCCATACATTGAAATCATCTCATCGTTGATTCCAGCTTTTTGTGCTTCAAAAATATTCATCAAAAATTGAGCGCAATTCATCATCAACAACATTGTTATCACCTGTTTAAATTTAGATTAGTCTCGAAAAAAACGGAAATGAGTCATAAATACCTGTTTTCCTGGTTTGTATCGTAACATATGAGCATCGTTAGCGTCGATTCGAAGTTTAGCTGCAACAATAATCAATCCACTTTGAAGTGTGACTTGGATTAATCGTAGAATATTTGTGATGAAAATTATCAATGGAAGGCCAATTGTCATATTATTCACAAATGAGAGAATTCCACCAATAGCAAAAATGAGTTCACCAATAAGTCCAACAACAAGAAGAATTCTATCAAGAAGTTCAGCATTGTCATCTTCCTCATCGTCGTCTTCAATCAGAAATTTTAAAAATTTCATTCTCCAAAACGCGAAAATGACCAAAATTGTTGAAACGAGGAAGAACATCATGTTGGTGCAGGCAAAAATCCATTGAGCAACGTCTTTTTTCGTTGAATATGCATTGAAAAGAGCAATGGAGATAATGGTGACTATTATACAAGCGAAACCGGCGAAGAGTCCTTCAGATGTTCGAGAACAGTCGATTTTCAAAATACTTCTTTTCTTCATTTTTGTTTCAATGTGACCTCTATTGAAACGTTCGATGTTTGTCCAGAAAACAAATGCAACACCAGCGCATATCAAGGAGTATTCAACAACGCATGTGTACCTAAAAAGTTCAAAAAATAGAAAATTAGGTTTCAAAAGAACTCACATAAACTCATTGTACCCGTTGAATAAACACAATACTCCTTGACATGGATCTTCCGGGTCAGTTCCGTTAGTTTCTCTTATTCTGGGATGAGAATGAAGATGCTCGTGGTGTCTGATTTCTTTGATGGTCTCAACTTCTTCGTAAAGAATATATCGAAGCCACATCCAAAGATTTGTTCCAGTTAGATGCATCAATCCGAATCTTGCCAAATTTCCATCTCCGGTGAAAACTATTTTACCGTTACAATAGACAAACCACATTTGTAAGAATAAAAACACTGCAGCTGCCATATTCAAAGAATCAGCACTGAAAAGATAGTTTTATATTGAACAAGATAATCCAAAAAAACTTACATAACAGTACATTCTCCCTCATTTGATGTCCACCCAAGAATACAGATAATGAAAATCAATAAATAATAAACCACCCCAATCATTCCAAAAATGACACATCCGATTCGAAGATACAAACTTCCAGTTGATGTATTTGCCAAAACTTCAGGTTCTGGTTCTTCAAGACTATTTCCACTTCTACGAATAGTTTGCCTATGTCGCATTACCCGAAGATGCATTTGATAAACTAAATATGCACAATAAATTATAAAAGCGATTGATCCTCCAAACAACCATATTCCCAAAACCTAAATTATTTTAAATATAATTTGAAAAAAAACATTAGAACTCACTAAATCTTTAAAACTTGTTTTTGTTTCAGTATTCGTTGTTCCAATTAAATTTGATAATTCAATCACAATTCCAGCTATAACGATAAATATTGCATAAAAACATGTGAATAATTTGAATACATATGCTCTGAAATTCAATAATGTTAATTAATCATCTGTTTTCCAGTTCAAATATAAAACATACTGTGAATCACCGCTTGTTAACCATACACTTTTTTGACTTCGAAATCGAACTCTCGCCGGTTCTGTTGTCGATGTTGATATTGATGAGCTCCTATCAATCAACTCGATTTTTTCTTTTATCAAATTCATCTAAATTTTACTAAACTTGACAATTCTAACCAAAAAGACTTCAAAAAAAGTATTAAGAAAACTGAATGTGCGAGAAAAATAAAAAAAGCAACACTTATTGATGGCTTACCGCATATTGAATATTTCAAAATGTGTATTTCAAAGCGTCAAAAGTAAATAGTATCAAATATAGTGTGATAAGAAGTTTGTTGGGCAAAAAATGAATGTGAGCAAATGCAAACACATATATTATGTGAGACTATTTTTTTCGAACAAAAATTGTACAGCGATACCTTATCAAAAACTAAAAAGGACATATATTTCCAACAAGCATATGACTTTTACATGAAGCTCATGCTTTTTCTGAATACAAAATCAGAATTTTGATTCTAAAATAAAAATAACAAAGTTTTAATGCGCTAAACACACAAACACACCTTCATACATTTTTTTATTTTTCCCTATACGAAAAATTTTCTGTTAAAAAACCTACATTTGATAAATTGTGCCCATCATCATTTCCAACAATTGTTACACAAAAAGTTCATTTCATGGTTTTTTGTCGAAAAAAGAAATATAAATAATTCGGGAAAATACTATGGAGATGGGCATAAAAAAGAACTTGAGGTTTTGTTTGGTTTAGGAAATATGTAGAAGTACATAATATATTTCAATTATTTCATAAGAAATGTTAGAATCATCAGAAAGAGCTGGAAACAGAAATAAAACGAGACCTAACAAAATGGCAAAGTAAAATAAAATAAAATAAAATATTGCATTGATTGATAAAACTTGGAATGTGACACATAATATATAGAATGTATGTACGTTTTGTTTCTCAATAATTGAGAAAATCAAAAACTGTTTGGGGAAAAAGTGAGTTAGACAATGTGTTCCCGCCTTGTCGTGGTCGTTGTTGTGGTCGTTGTTTGCTGCACCTGGCCGTTTGCCAAATAGCTCTCCTGAAATGAAAGAAACATTAGAAAAGTAAAGAGAGAGAAAAGAGCAGTGTTTTGTTGATTCATGTTACTTTGAACTCTCACAAAAACAAACCTCAGTGTCTGGTGAATCTTGTTGTCTTCTTCCTCCATAATCGGATGCATTTGATGCTTGATAATGTTGCTGTTGCTGAGCTTGTTGTGAATAATGCCCTTGATTGCTTGAACTTTGTTGATGTTGAACATCAATTTTTCGAACATTGTGATCGTGAATTGGAGCAGGGGCTGGAGCAGGCTCATTTCTACGCGTCAAAATTCCGACTGGTCGTTTAGAAGCTGTTGTACTTGTCCATTCCTCATTTGTAACTAATGGTTGATCTACTTCACTATCAGCCGACGTTCTCTTGTGATGTTGATTTTGCTGATACCTTCTTGATGTTGCTGAGGTCCTCGTGTCCTCGTAATTTTTGTTATCATATGTTTCTTTATAAACAGCAGAAGATTCGGTGACCTCTTCTTCACGGTTACGAGCTCTGAAGCAACTAAAATACGAATTAACTGATAGTTTTTAGAATTATAAACTTACATAATATAGGACAAGATAAGACAGAGGAGAAGTAATAAAGCAATTCCTAATAAACATCCCAAAACAATTGTCCACACTCTGAATGCCGAGCTGACTCCCTGAAAAAATATATTTCTGATAAGTTTGTAATTATAAGAATGTTCAGAAAAAAATAACATTCTTCAAAATTTCAAAACAAAGAGAAATGTTTCTAAATTGTTCCAAAATCAAATAATCTTCCGCGGTCCCAATATAATTTTTTTTAGAAAACAAATAAACAACTTACTGTATTAGCGACAACAATTCCAGCTGCACACGTTCCATTATATTGACCATGTGTGCAAACATAACAATCAGTAACCTGTGTCAGCTGAGCATTCCATCTACAGCTTGAGAAAGTATTTGTTCGATTACTGAAGCAGATAACATTGTGATTGGCAACAGCACCAGTTGAATTACAAGTCAAATCGCATAATGGACCAAGCATGTTGTTGATGCAAATAACATTCAAAGTTAATTGAAGCCTGATATAAATATAATTATTTTTGGAAAATTTTTTTAATGCACTTACTGTGTTCCCAAATCTTTTCCAGTTAAAGTTAGAATTGAATCTCCTTGAGCAGATGTTCCATCAAATTTAGAAAGATCAACTGAAAACGAATCAACTTGTGTTAAGTGGTTGAAGAATAATAGTTGTCCAGTGCTCGAAATTACAACTCCCAAATGCTGAACAAAAATATCGATTGAAACCTGAAACAGATATATATTAAAAGTGATGAAAAAATCGGAAAAACATACAGGTTTAGTGTTGAGTAGGAAAACATGTTGATTTGTCCAATTTCCAGTTGCCATAACTCCATTTGATGGGACCGGGAAGAAATTCGATTGATCATATTCAATGGATTGGCTGGAAAAAATATAGAGATGTTTATGATGATAAAAAATTTCACGTGGAAAATTCAGATTAATTTTGTCAAAACTGTAGAATCCTTCGCAATATGTTGTCCATATTCTATCAATTTCTTATGTTCATGGATATTTTTCATCATTTATTTATTTTCACAATTCTGTCTTTCCCTTATTCCCTAGAATTGCTGAGTCATCATGTGATTAGTCAGCATTCCAATAATACTCTGATGATTATTTTTATTGTGGCAATAAGCCTAGCTGGCTGGTATAACGTTATCATTGTGCAAATAACATATGCATATTGGAATGAATGATACGAAATAGTTTCGAATTTTCTGCCATGACAACAATAAAAACAAAAACTCACTCTGCTCCCGAGATCACGATAACAAAACTGAATTGACATTGATTTTGTTGATTGCTTTGAACAAAGTTGCAATATGAGATTGGGCAATTACATGTTGTATCGTTTTGCAATTTCAGACCAGAGTTGGTATATGTTGTTAATCGAAGAACAACTTGCGAACCTTTTACTCCAGTACTAGAAGCATATTGTCCTCCGAACTGCTGAAAAAAATCAATTTGAAAAAAAACTAACTAAAATTTTATAAAGGCTAGTGAAAACTTACTCCATATTGTCCATTTTGTCCAAATTGTCCAGAATATCCGCCACCTTGAAACCCGGAACCAAAAGCGTAGCCACCACCTCCACCAACACCTTGGGAACTTCCTTGTATACTGAAAAATGAATCATTTCCGTATTCATTCAAATCTTTGTTTTTTCCCTCTTCCAATTCATTCATATTTTTATTCATTCATTCATACAAAAAAGGATAGTACATTTTGTTTAGTCATTGAACAAAAGGTTCTTACTTTTCTTGAATGCTAATCACGCGTTTCTCTGTGAACTGACCGCCTCCGCCAAAATTGTTGGACATTACAGGACCAGGTCCCGGTACGATTACATGCGATTGTTGGTACCTACTGAAAAAATCAACAAGACATAATGGTGTGGGGTAAAATTTTGGGAGAAGATGTGCAGGGATATTTGGGAACATGGGGGTTTTGGGTGGTTTTAAATTGAAAATTATAAAATATTTTTGAAGTGAAACGGATTTTTTAAAATTTACTTTATTTAAAAATAAAGTAAAAATTTTAAAACTACTATATTCCATATCTTGAACCTCAAAGTTATGACAAAATTTCATTCTAACTAATAAATCTCTATGTAACATCATTTAAAATTCGAATAACTAACAGACTTTCAACAAAATTTAGACATAATAAAATGAAGAAAAATGTTTATTATTTCGCAACAAGAATTATTCTTATTCGCTCCGATTTTCAGAATTTGTTTTATTGTTCTTACTCTTTTGAAATTACCCCAATTTCATAAAATCAATATTACTAGAAAAAATGAGTCATACGAGTGCCAATTTATAAAATATCAATCGATATTTCATATTAATAAGTTCAAAAATTCATTCCGGATCATTTTTTTATCAATTTGATTTCGATCATTTTACTACTTTCTTTGTTTTTTTCTCAAATCAAATCTTGATTATTATTTTTTAAATTAGAAAATAATCATGCTACCAAAAACGTCAAGGACAACTGATACACATAAAACAAAAATTGAGATGTACCTATGAGCTCCTCCATTTTGTTGGAACCCTCCACTTTGTTGAAAAGATCCAGATCGTTGTTGGAATCCTCCTTGTTGTTGATATTGTGAATAACAATCATTCACTAATAACAGTAAAAATAAAGAAATCGAGAACTTTGAATTCATCCTAATCCGCTTTTTTTGCAGCCGCAGATAATAATTTCGAATTAATCAATAAAAAAGTATATCAAAAAAGAGAAGAACAGTGAGAGGTTGTTATCGTAGTACGAAAGCACCAGGCGCACTATCTATTCTATCAGTTAAGCACCGCCTCTATTTTTTGTATATTCATTTCTTATTTTCCAACACATGCATATATAAAAGCAATGTTTGTTTATTTGTCGACTTTGGGGAGAAAAAAGGTGATTCATTTTTGAGTCCCTTTTGCATTGATTGTCGGTATGACCTTTGGGATAAATTGAAACAAAACAACATGAATCGGAAGTACTGTTGCCGCGTGTGGGAAAAATTTGAATAGCAAAAACATCATTTTTCTTCTCCTGTTTCTTCCAGAACGCAATGATATGTATCTTCAATTCATTCTAGTAAAAGCTAGCTTGACAGGGACACAACTAATGAATGAACTACATACGCTCTATAGAAACTTAATGTGTCTAACTCTCTCTCAAACCACCACAATGTTTTCAACACATATGCTTTTCCATTTGAAAATTATTATGAAAGAACAAGCTTTTTTTGATGTGGATTTTAGAAATTTTAATTAATAATTGGTTCGGTCGAAAATTGATAGATTTCGAGAATATGGAAGCAAAAAACAAACAAAACAGAATTAGCTGATAATCATCATAAAAATTGATAAAAATTGACAATTAAAGAATCGCCAGCACAAAATGATATAAAATATGGTTCGTACTACTTTGAACTGAAAAAAATGGACTATTAGGAAAAATAATGCCCAGAAAATGTCTCGAATTACAAGTTTGATTACCTGTACAGTAAAAATATGTAAATAGTGCTGAAAATTTTTAATACGATCCTACTCATTGATATGTTTTTGCATTTTTAAAATTATTCGCACCCCTATTTTTGGAAGATAAACCTAACCAATTCACAACGCAAAAACACCTGTAAAATCAAAAAAAATTCAATTCATACCTACTCCCTTTTGTCCCAACTCAAATACAAAAACCTCTACCATCCCTTTTTAGCAAAAGTGTGAAGAGCCGGAAACAATATGACCATCTTATTGCATTGTTTGACATGTGTTTTCTTTGATTTCACCGACACTTCTTATGTCATACAAATTCGAATAACCTATTAGAAATAAAATAATAAAAATTGATGCATAGTTTATTTATTAAAAATATGAGGTAATATATACAAATTGTCACCATGCTTTGTTATTATTATCATTATTACATAATTAAACAATTTAGTTAAACTCTCGCTATCCTTCGCGGTTGTGGTTCTATCCATTCATTGGAAATTGATTCCTGGAATAAAAAAATATATATAAAGTTTTATTCGCTTTTGAATTCACCTCCTCGAATGTTCGATTTTCTAAACCTTCTCGATTGATAAAATATGGTGCAGGACTTCTATTCCCACTTCTTGTTTCTCTTTTTGAATATGGTCTGTCAATATGACCATCATATAAAGTTCTATTTGCTCGTGGTTCAATTGGTTCACTCCACTCATCTGCTTCAGTATGTGTTTCCTCAGTTTTCTTGGATCTACAAACATGATACATTAAACGTGTTAATCCCTTTTGATGTTGTTTACCTCTGACAACATCCATAAAAGAGCAATAGCAAAGCGATTAATAATACTAATAAAACGAAAGAAAATATGACGAATGCAATCATGAACCAGAAATAGAGGTTTTGATAGTACTGTAAAAATTAGGTATGGTGATTGAAATTTTCTTAATGAAAATTACCGTATCACAAGAAACATATGGGTTTTGAGTTGTTGAAACAGCATTATAATATGCGCAACTTGTTTGATTCACATTCAAACTAGAACAACATGTTTTTTGCCCATAACTGCCACAAGTAAAACAATTATATCCATCATCTGTTGTAATACAACTCTGATCACAATTAAAACCATAATTATTCATGTTACATTGTCGGAGAACAGTTGCACCAAGAATCCTGAACAAAATTAGATCATTATAGTTTGAAATTTGAAAAATCTCACCATTTATTATTAGTTGAGGTAGTTTGCAAGTTATTTGCAATATTATTCGAATCGGGATCACCATTACTTTGTGTGAAAAGTAAGAATGAGTCAGCTAGTGGTGATACGGTACCACATGTTAGTGATATGACTGCAGAAATAGACACAAAACTTGTTGATTGTGGAATTGTGAAAGATGACTGATTGGTAAAAGACCAACTGGTAGATGATGCATCATATTGTTGCACAGAAAATGTTTGCTGATTCGAATAGCTGGAATTTTATTTCTTAAGATTAGGAGTAATTATACATTTAAAATAACTCTTTGCTTTTACAGACGATTTCGATTAAGGTTTTTGAGAAATAATAACTTCTATGAATTTTACATTAATAAATCTCTCTCATTCCCGAGAAAACCTTGTCATCCCGTTCCCAACAAAAATCATAATTTTAAAATTCACCTCGAGGAAGTTAATTGAAGAAACATCTCAATATTAGCACCATTACAATTTGTGAAATATTGTTTAATGGGGTTATTAAACTGCACTGAAATCTGACTAACTGTTATTTGAATAGAAGCGTGTGTTGTTATCACCTGTAAACAATCATTTTTCAATAATTCCAACAACATTTTTCCAGAAAAAAACTTACCAAACTTGTGGCAATACAGAAAACAAAAAATAGTTTCATATTGGTGATCTTGATGTTACGTATCAGTCAGTCAGTCAGTCGGAATGGCACAACTTGAATGCAAATAAAATTGAAATAAAAATTCGACACTAACAGCAGAAGAAGGAGAAAAAAGAGGGGGTTTGATAGTAACAATCAAATGCGAAATTTTGAGGCACGTATATTTGTCTTGTTTACATTAGGAATATATACATACAGAGTACAATTGTGTGTGCATATTTTGGAGCATAGTTATCGATACAAGAAAAAAGAGGGGAGAAGAAGACGCAGACGACACAATCAGGCAATCATTTACGATCCATTTGGTATCAATGTATGGTAGGCACCCGATAACATTGATTATGGTAATTTGGTTGTGAATTATTAGGAAAAAATTATAAAATTTGTATAATTTCTAAAATGAAAGTTTGGGGAGGAAAAGGGAGAAGGTGCACTTTTGCATACAACGGATTATCCTTGTTAGGATTCTTTTATAGGAAACCTACATTATTATAATTATAAAAACATAAAAATATGTGTTTTAGTTCACAAGTGTAGAATTAGAAATATATGGTTCAAATTAAAGAAATATGAAAAAAATTCATTTTTTTGTGTTTTGAAATACTCATCTTCAAAATAATAATCTAAAATTCTATAATAGAATATAACAACAAGAGTAAAAAGTAAGAAGTAAAAAAAATTGCGAAAAAAAATAAAAAGAAGGAACGGTGTTCTCACATTAGAAATGTTAGTATGATCGGTGTTTTTCATCTTTTTTTTTTCTCACGAGTTTGTTGCGTTTTCGAAACAATAGAAACATGTGAAGTTTTCACATTTCCAAGGCAAATTAAACAAAAGAGTAGAGTGATAGGAAGAAGAGGGTTTATTTCGAGGATTTTTCCAAAGGAATGGCAAAAAATGTTTAGCAAAATTGAAAGAAAAAACTTTCGAAAAAAAAAACTTATAAAAAGAAAAGTGGTGATAACTTTTTCACAGTGCGAGTGATTCTTGAATGCTTGTGATTGATCTGACATTGGTTAACTCACTACAAATCATACTAACATTAAGACTTACGGTTATGTCTATGAGTTTCATAATTATGCTTGATACATAAAAAACCATAAAAACTATACATTTCGTGCGATCTCCACTGATCTGGTCTCCTCATCTCCGATTAGTCATTTTAATTTAGCTTGTGTCATCTACCCCCCCCCCCCCCAAAAAAAAAATTCAATTCGATTTTGTTCTATTTTTTTTATTTTTGTTCGATTTCATTCTATTTTTATGTTTTATTTTACTTACTTCGGTGCTTCATTTTCTCTGACGGTGTATTTTCCGCTCATCGTAAATAAATAAATGAATAAATAAATAAATATTTTTCCGATCGTTTTTTAAAACTTAATTCATTTATATATTTATTTTTCGATAACTTAAAAAAATTCATCAATGATCAAAGGAGCTTCGGGTGCTTCCTCGGCTAGCAGCCACATTATATTGCCCTTCAAGTCATTCGATAGTTCGACGAATGCAAAATGTCGTTCCATTAGATGTTGAAGAGACGACACATCTTCATGACTTTTAGTCAACATTTCAATTTTAGGAATGCGACAATTTTCCAATAATTGAATGTTTTCTAAATTCAAGCTGATATAAATGAGCTTCAAATAATGCAATTTGGGGAAATCTTGGAAGATCTGAAATTTCAATATTACACATTTGTAGTTGATAATAAAAACGAACTTTCTTGAACGAATTCAAAGATAAATCATCTTCATCAATTTTAACTTCCAAACTCCTTAATGTTCTCGCTTTTCTCATTTTCAATGCATAAATCTCATTTTCGGTTGTACAATTGTTCAACTTTAAACACAATATGTGATCTGGCAAATCATTTATGAAATTGGCCCAATCTCGTATGTTTGTTGTTTGGTGTCGTCTTCTGAAATATTCCAAATAACAACTGTATTTTGTGAATTAAACAGAAACATACTTGATACTGAGTTTGGTTATATTTTTGCACTTTTTCAGGACATCCAACAACTTTTTGAAATGCAGCTTTTCGAAATATCCATCAATTGAAACTTTTTCCAATTTTGGCAGAAGTTCCAATTGACCAATTCTTTCCAATATATCCTCATTTTTTCCAACTTTCTGGGCTTTCAGGAGTGTGATGGATCGCAGCTAAAAATTATTAAATTATTCTTTCCAATTTGTAATTATTGTTGGAACTTACATGATAACAATATTTGGGAGATTTGATTGGTTGGTCATTGAGAGAAAACTCTCTTTCAAGCATACGATACCAGTGATAAACTTTGAAATTTTCGTGGTAGGCATTTTGAACATCGTATGAAACATGACGGCACCTAAAAATTTCCGAGAATAAATAAATTTTTATTCAATTCAATTAAATGTTAACATACCATTCTTTGTCATCCAAATAAATACTAGTATTTGGAATTCGTTGTGCCAGTTGTCTAAATTTATCAGCGCGCTCAAATCGAAGCATACTTTCAGTAAGATGCAATTCTTGTACATTGGGACCAACTAACTGCCAGACTTGTGTTCGGTGAATTGAAAGATCGAGTAACTTCAAAGATCTTATTCGTGAAATGAATCTTCCTAAAAATTACAATTGAACATCTCATTTTTTTCAGAACCAATTCCCTTCAAAAAACCAACCTTCCACAGAACCTTTCAGATTCAAATCTGTCAATTCGAGTTCAGCTAAACCAGGGAATCTGTCCAAAAAACCAAACACATTAGACGAGACTTGCAACTGTAATTGATTTATAACTGTATGGTTTGCGTGCAAACCACTTCCTACTTGTATATCAAATTCTTGTCTTCGCTCTCTGAAAAGATATTTGCGGCCTTTGATAGCAATTCTATGAATTGCATCAACTTCAAGAACTGGAAGACACATCATAATTCGATCTGTGAAAATAAAAAACAATCATTTTATGTTAACAATAAAAAAAACATACCAAAATCTTCATTTGTGATATTGTTACTCTCTATCTGAATCATGTATTTGATGTTGTTGTGTGTGACTTCCAATTTTTTGCCTCCATTATCCTACAAATACAATATTCAGGGTTTGGTTCTATTCCGATGATTGAATTTTTTGTATCATTAATTAACTTACATCAGATTGCTCAATAGTCAATGTTGTTTTCGATCGGTTTGGCATCGAACAGAACCAATTCATCCGCTTGCATGATAACTTTAGGTAAGTTTTGGTCGCAGTGTTTTCGATGCTATCCACAATATTTTGCAAAATCAAATGATTGCATACGATATGTTTTTGCAACTCCCCCAATCGTGAACTCTGCAAAATAAAATCATTATATCCGATTACGTAAAAAAAAGATGAATAAACTCACGCTTTGTTCGTTTTCGTCAAACACGAAGTTTGGAACATTTCGCCGATCCATTCTGTAAACAAAAAAAGACATGAAAATGAATTAAATAAAAGACGCAGTAGAGCCGTTTCGACATTTGAGTATAAAACCTGAACCTAACCTACGCGAGAAAAAAAAGGATAAAATGGGAAAAAATATCAAGGAAATCTTTGAGTGATTATAATGAAAACAGAAAAGAAGAGGAGAACACAATGTTAGAGAGGTAGAGTAGGTGAGAGAGTGTAGAGAGAATTAATGAGAGGAAGGAAACGTATACAGGGTGTACCAAAAGTATACGACACTCTGTTTCATACCATATTTCGGTTAGATGGTTAATTTTTTTGAATATATTGTGTTCAATCGGTAAATAGGACATAATTTGGTAACTTTGATCATGCATGTTTTTCATTTTGACTTAGAGTTTGATTTTAGGGTTAGGTTAGTGGTTCATGAAAAACGTCGGTGCGGCGCCTCGCTCTTGAACTTCAGAGACCTCTCATATCTGAGTCAATTTTATAAATTGGTTTCAATATTTTTTATGATCTACCTAAAGACCTCTAATAACGATCAGAATCCATCAAATATGGATATTTGACTTACTTTTATATTTTTCGGTGCTTGAATCAAATTTCAGAATTTGGATAAAATCGTCGAAAATCACGAAATAGCTCCAAATTGACTCATTTCACACTAGATTTTGAATATTCTGTTTTAGTTTAGTGAAATATTCTTTGTTATCATGTTCCATTCATTGAAATCATTTTGGTAACATTTCTTTGTTAGAAATAACGAAAATTTAAGAGATTTCAGAAAAAATCACCAGTTTTTGGAAATGAAACAGATTTTATAAAATTTCAGCTAGAAAGTCATATTCACAAGTTGAAAGCTACTTCAGAGGTGCAGATATATTATATTTTAACAACAGTCTAGATTTAGTTTGACCAGAAATCAAAACCAGTACAGCTGAATGTAAAGATTGCTAAAAACCACTCATGCTCGGCGCACCGAAATTTGTATCATTTTGATAGCTAAATTTTCTGAGAAATAGGCAGTTACTAATTCAATCTAACTTTTTTCATATTGCTGATGGTTTAGCTTATTCAGAAAAAAAATTTGGGCTCATTTGAACTTCTACTCGATGTGGAATGGACTTCAGAACCAACGACGTTTTTCATTGTTTTTGACATAGAAAATCAGTCCACGTCACGATAATCACGTGAAAATTGAAAGTTTATCAAATAAGTATACAATTCAGTTTTTGGGTGCCCCAGACATCGATTGAACACAATATATTAGGATTTAGACCCTGCTGGCAGTTTCAGGACTCATGAGAAAGTCCGTCGTATACTTTTGGTACACCCTGTATTCAAACTATTTTATTTTGTAAAATGCAACTATTGATCGAGTCAGGAAACTTGTGGTATATTTTTTTTTGAGATCAAATCGGTATTTTTAAAGAATGTTTATGTTATGGACATATTTAGCAGTTTTTTGTTCTATAATAAATGGTTGTTGAAGTCCATTTTTTGTGAAATATGAATTATAAATACCTTGAACTATTAAGGAAAGAAACAAAAATTGCAACAAACATGTGATGATTCTGTGATGATTCAAACATGTGATGAAAAACTTTCTATTAATTCTAGATAATGCATCATAACAGTAAGCATGTTATTTTTTGAAAAGCTGAACATTAATTTATCCTATTCGAAAGTTCACAAGAAACTGAGAGAAAGCGATATATTTATCATTGTGAAGTACTGTGTCAAATGAATTTTTGAAGTGTTGGAGTTGGACTGTTCAGTTCTCCCGACCAAGTTTCCAAAATTCTTGTTCATGAAATCCATTTAGTAAACTTTTTTTTTTGATTTTCAGTTTCTTTTTGTTCTTTCTGTCTTTCTGTTATGTATCGTCAAAAATATTACTGATAAGAGTTTTGTTTATGAACTAGAAGTATCTATTTAAATAGTTTTAGAAGTATTATTTCCATATTTAACGTTATGAACTAATGATGAAATTTGTTTTTCAAAACATTAAAAATTGATACAATCTTTGTAGTTATTTTTCTGTAAAAAAAATGAATAAATACACCTTTTTTAAATCCTGTGAAGGTAACTTATTTCAGTTAACCTTATTTTCTCTTATTTCTCATCCTTAAAGAAACACCCTCGTACATAATACCATTGCAAAATGTTTTCAAAGCCCAAAATATATTATATCAACCTATCGAGTCATGCTTACAAGCAATATGAAAAAGAAATTCTCAAAAACAATCAAATTTTACCACTTTTGAGAAAAAATTGTTTTTCGAAAATTTCCTACAGATTGCGCAGATCCGCAATTTTTGTGAAATTGTGCAAACATTTTGACAAAACTTGAATTTATTTTTTTTCATACTCACATTCAGAAAATAATTTTTTCCATGCTAATTGTCATTTTCCAAAACAAATGGAAAAAATCTCACTATACACATACAAACCCTTGAAAAATTGGCTATATTTTTCGTGTTGAAGAACATGTTATTGTTTTTTTCTGCCTTTTATTCAAATTTCTTCTCGGATACATATTTTTGAATACATACATAATATGTTCATAGAATAGCAGTTTTTCATCTTTCCCATATATGTATGTTCATACAAACTTTTGATGTTTATATTTTTTCAACATTTTTGCCTGACAAAAAACGGAAAAAGAGATGTTTGATTGTGGAAATTTCTTGAGTGCTTGAGACTTTAAATTAACCCATCTGCTCATTTGATTTCATTTTCTCACTCATTTCCGTTTCTTGTCGTTTTCCCCTTCATTTTTCCTATTTCTTCTCAAATTCTAAAGAAAACCGAGCCAAAACCAAGAAAAATAACAAACAAAATGTGTGAAAGGGACGAGCGTGTTCAATAGAGCGCGTTTACACCCCTACTTTCTTAATCAATTTTTCGTTTTTGGCATCAACACATTTTTTAAGGAAACATACATTTTAGAGCATTTGGTGCTCCAAAATAAAAGTTCAATCAGATATATACTTGTCTTGTTGGTCCTCTTTTCTTGTTGCTTGAAGATTCAAAGAAAAGCGCACATTTTTGCCATTTTTAATGTCATTGCGGTCTCTTCTATTGATTTTTGCCATGTCTATCTGTTGTTTCGTTTTATATATGCAGCTGCTGGTTTTCCCTCTGGTTTTTAGTGTTTTTTGAAAATGTCTCTTTTTGCAGAATGAGGTGAATAATGAGCAATCCGGGCAATTCTTCAACCATTCGCGATTTGGTGACTCCGAAAAATTGGGATTTTGATAACTTTAACAGCAATTGTAAGTTTTTTTCCAAATGTTATGTATAGTTCGATTGAAAAATTTTATAATTTCAGTAAATACTCCAACCCAACCTCCTTTATGTAATTGTGTAGCTGAAGCAATTCGGCGTGTTGCCATTCTTCGAAAATTAACATCACAAGAAGGTATTTCAAATGTTTTCCTGTTTTCTAAAATTAATTAAAATCTAGAATTTTTTCAGAAGGCGATTATACACTTGTAAATAATAATGAAGTCAAATGGGCCAAAATTTTTATGGAATTTGTTCTTGGCACGGCGTATTGTCAAAGCACAAAATGTCAAGGTAAGCAACATTTTGTGAAAATTATGAAAAAAAAAAGAAATCAAAAATGTTTTTTCAGCTCACTCGGATGATATGATTTGGTATGTTCATCAAAACAGGCTTTCATCTTCTTTCTATATGCAAGGGGTACGTTTTTTAAATATTAAAAATGATCCAATAGTTTCAAAATTCTCGTTGCTATTTCATTTTTTATTTTCAGAACCAAAGTCTCTTGCAAGTCTTCCGAAGACATAGCAAAAATCAACCAGCACCTTGTGATGAAAATTACAATTGGGAAGAAACTGTGTGCCTTAACATCATCATGCAACAATTGGATTTTTATGTAACCTGTGCGGTTTGCACAAAAACAGGTCCACAAAATTTGCAAATTATCCGCAAAAATTGTCAAAAAGTATTTCCATCGCCAAGTCGACGACGAATGGATTCGAAAGGCGAAAATGAGGAAATCACATTTCCGAAGTTGTATTTTGCTATTGATGGTTTTGAAGAGGTTAGTTTCATCATCAGTAGTTTTTTTAAAAAATGTGAAGTATTCCAGGTTTTCAACGATGTCATCATTCGGGATGGTGAATGTGTTTGCGTCGAACTCGTCGCAAAAGATCGTCAAAAAACTCGTGAAGCTGTCGTTTTTCTTGGGTCTATCAGATACGAAATATTGAAACAGGTTTATGATACAAAGGCATCTTCAACATGGCATTGGGCTCAAAAATTGATGAAATCGGGTGAAAGACGACAAGAATTTGTTCGAATGAGAGGACCACAAGGAAAAGGATATGCTGAAATGGCTGTTGCGCGAGTTCCAAATTGTGGATATGAGACTCCGCTCACTGAAAATCCCATTGATTTCTCTGATTTGGCCGGCGTTGAGAACAGTCTAGGAAAGCGTAGAATGTCGGAGACAAATCTTGCTGGTGGAACACGAATGTTTCCATCAAGATCTGTTGCAACACCATCACATTCTTCAAAAGGTCGAAGATGGCAAAGTGAAGCTGATACAGTTAATCAATATCCCGAAGTTGAAGGAAGCAATTTAGATGACGGTTTGTTTTTGTTTTCATTTTCATACTGATATTCTATTTTTATCTTTTGTTTCTATCTTCATATGGTTTCAACACGTACTTTTATTTTTCAAAGATCATTACTACATAGCTTATCATCATTTTTTTTTGATATTACAACAAAACTGTTCTTTTGATTCAGAACTGGACGAAGGCCCAACAAATAAATTATGGTCAATGAGAGGTTTCGCGCAAGTTTGGCACGGTTTGCGAGAGAAAAAACGAGCTGAATCCACTCCTCTCAATGCCTTTTTGACATATGTGACTCTGCCATGGAATAGTATTCTGAACGGTATTTTTTAAACAAATTATCATATTATCAGAATTAAAGAGTTTTTTTTTAGATCTTCTCAGTGATCGTCCAAAACGACCAATTCTGACATTCGAATTTGATGCACCAATTCATGATCCGCCAACGCATTGATTTTTTTCCGAACAAATTTTTAATAGAATGTTTCTGTAAGTACTTGATTCTTCTATGTATCTCTAACCAAACCCTTAAATTCTAGTCTCGATCTACTTATCTTAATCAGTTAATTTACCCCATAATTTCTTTTACCACTATCATTGATCTCTCTTTCAATATTTCTAATCATTCCTTCTCCGTATATTTGTAATTTTGAATTGGAATCTGTGAAGTTTCCTGAAAAAATAAATTTGATTGTTTTTTTCGTGAATCGAATTTACTCTATCTTGATCAAGCGGTAGACCATTGAAAAATTGTGTAAAATTAGACAACAAAATTTGGAAGGGAATTCATGGTAAACAACAACAAATTTTGTTCCAGAAAAATTAGAGAAAAGATTTCAGGATACGATTAGAAGATTATTTTCAAAAATATATGAGAACTGCAAAAATCTTGAAGAGTTGTGTTTGTTTTTTGAGAGATATTTGGTTTGAGCTCACAATCAGCTTTTTTTTCTAGTATGGAGAGTATATTTGGAAATTGGAATTTCCAATGAAAGATTGAAACTTCAGCTAATTATAAAAACCGAACAACTTTAAAGACAAACCGATAAACTTTTTAAGAAAATATACTGATTTTAAAGTAATTATTGTAACAATATTTCTAGAGTTCATAACATTTTTTAATGTTTTCATGTTCAACTTAATAATAGTTTTTCTTCCAAATTTTTGATTTTACCAACTTCAGATATTTTATTACATTTTGACACCAATATATCACTTATCTGTATTATCATTTTCTTCTGTACTTTGTGATCAAAATTCAGTGGAACTTTATCTTGCGGTATCTATCAAAAGACAAGTCAATTAATCTCAATCATCAAAAAAAGTTGAAAAATTCGCGATAAAAATCTAATAAGTTTCATGATGATATTTTACTATGAAATTGATTTCAGGTTTTTTCTAGTTCCTCCGCGCAATTTTAACGATAGTTTTTTATTTTCTCTTCTTTTTTTTTCATGGCAATTTTGAAATTGTTATCTTGATGACACGCCCATTTCACAATAACATCGTACTACTACAAAGTTGGAGCGTTTTCTCTCGGATTTCTCATTTTTCTTTTTGCAACTTTTTCAAATTTTGAAAGCGATTTTGAATTCCAGATGAAACTATTATACTTTTCATTTTTGCTAATCGTGCCAATTTTGGCTCAATATGAAGAGAATCCAATCATTCGATCCCCGCCAGCTCACACTCCTCAATTCAAAAAGGTTGAACCTAAGTTAAGAGCTCCACCAATTCCAAAATGGGTTCATATAGTAAGAATTTAGTTTGGAAAAAATATTCTGTGCAAATTCCACAAATAGAAAAAATCAGGATAATCTTTATTTTTAAATCTATCAATTTCTACCTATCAGTCTGACACTTGAATTTTATCAACAAAAAATAACCAGTTTAGGTCACGTTTTTTTTATTTCGAAAAATATTGTAATAACATTTTCAGGTGAATGAAAAGAATGAAGTGTTAACTGATGAAGTTGCTGGATCCGGTGTTTTAGGTGAACCAGAAGAATCAGGTGATCATTCTGGAGATTTGGAACCAAACGATGGATCTGGTGGATCTGGAGTTAGGCCAACTGATGTTTCTGGAGAAGGTGGGGGTGATGACGATTTTGGGAATATGATGAATAAAATGGAAAAACAAGCAGCTGATGCAGGAATTGCTTGCCCATCGGATATTATTTTTGTTCTTGATGCAACTAGTTCAGTCAAAGGGATTTTTGAGGAATATATCAACTATATTCTCAAGGTCAATTTTCCCTCGCTCCTTTTCATATAGAAGTAGCCAGAGATGAAACTTGACAAGTTTGAGTTTTCAGGTCATTGAAGGTCTTAGTATCTCACAATCTGGTGATCGTGTTGGAGTCATCGTTTATTCGTCAGAGCGAAAACAAAAAGAGAAAATTCGACTTGGTGAATTCAATTCGACAAGTGATTTGCAACAAGCAATTAGAGGTAAAGATTAACTTTGAGATAATAATTTGGGTCATTTTTTAATTGTTTTGTTTTTTTTCAGATTTACCATTTTTTGCTGGAATCACTGCAACTGGAGAGGCATTAAAATTTGCGTCAGAACATACAACTGATCGAAGAACAAAGTTGACATTGAACTATGTTGTTTTGACTGATGGATACAGGTTTGATGATAAAAACATAAACAAAATAGAACATAAAATGAAAAAAAAAATGTTTTCAGTTATGATATCATTGAAGCTGGAGCCCGTAAATTAAGAGCTGTTCCAAACTCAAAAATCTATGCAGTGTCTATCGGAGACTCGTTTGTCAAGAATGAACTTGAAATCATCACTGGAAATCCCGAAAATGTTTTGCATGGCGAATCATCTTATGCAGCCTTGGTGAAATCAATCAAAAATTGTAATTCAAGATCAGCTTTCCAACATGATTCAGAGGTAGGTTTACACTCGCTTTTCTGCTTTTTCGCGAATTTTGAATGAGAGTCGAAGAATAGAGCCTTTTGTTTCTAAAAAAATGATTCTTTCGGTTCAATCGATTCCTTGTTTTCAATTCAAAAACTACCGCTTATTCTTAAGTTGATTTTGAGTTTGCCTGTTTTCATTTTTCTTCTCAAAAATCTAGCAAACTTGAAGGCGGAAACGGTGACCGTTCGCTACATTCCAACCCCAATTGACTCTCAGGGCCGACATCTTGTTCCAAATCCAAAATTCACCAAAAACGGAGTTCGTGTTTTCAATGACAAAGCAACAAAAGAGCAAATTGAATCTGCAGGTGAGTCTTTATAAATTTCTACATAATCTCATGGTTTAAAAATGATATTTCAGTTCGTGAGAGCTCGCGAAGAAATGATAGATTTATTGTGTCTCCAACAACTGAAGTTTCACTTCTAACAACTGATTGTGAATATGATATTGGATTGATTTTTGACGCATCCGGTTCGCTCACTCAAAACTTCCAAGAACAATTGAAACATGCTGATAAATTGATTGATCAACTTCCAATCGCAAAAAATCAAACAAAAGTTGCAGTTGTTCAATTTGCAGGAAAAACAAAAACTAAAGTTCTGACAGATTTCGAGTTTGTCACTTTCCCACGCATTTTGTCAAAAAATGTGATGTTTCTATTTTCAGAGACAAGGCGTCTAAAGAAGAAATCAAAAAAATCATCAAATTGTCGCATTTCTATTCTGGAACTACTTTCACAAATCAAGCACTTTTGAAAATGGCCAATCTTTTCAAGGTATACATTTGGATATGGAACTTCAAATATAACTTATTTACAGAATTCAAACCGCGATAATGCTAAAAGAAAGATGATTATTTTCACTGACGGATATAGCGCTGAAGATACATCTGAAGGAATCGAAAAATTAAAATCCCAAGGTGTCACAATTTACACAGTTGGATGCAGTACAAATGGAATGGGAGTCAATGTTCATGAACTGGAGGTATATTGAATTTTGAAAAACTGAAATTCAATTTTTTTTTTGAATTGCAGAATATGGCTAGTGCTCCACAATTTTATTACGAATCAAATCATTTTGATGAACTTCTCCAACATTTCCCAACAACCAAATATTGCTGAAATAAAACAAAAATAAACAAAACTAAATAATTTTTTCAAGTACTCAGATTTCATAATTTATAACACTCAGCGAATAATAAATGATTTTATGCTATTTTTTTATGGATAAATTTTATTGCAACACATTGATTCACACAAAAATAAATAAATTTCTATCATTGTTCCGGGATTTCTCGTAGTCTAATTCTCCTCTTTGAATCAAAAGAATATGAATATTTTAAATTAAAAAAATTTCACTGTTTTTTTTTCCTCTCGACATATTTGTTCCAGTTGACACTCTTCAAAACTAGATTCATTCCCAATTTCTTTCCTTTTTTTACAAAAAAAAAACAAAAGATTTTTGATCATCACAAGAGAAAATTTAACAAGCTTCCTTGTTTCTCCTCACTTGTTTGCTAGATATTTTTCCAGAATTACATATATTTTTTCAGCAGGCAACCGCAAAAAAAAAATTGTGTGTGCTGTTTATATGTGAAATTTTTCTATGAATTAAAGATTAACAGATGAAAAAAAGTAAAAACAACGTGTTTATCTCAATTCCCATAAACAAAAGAATTAATTAGTTGTATCGTTTTTTTCTTTTCAAACAAAACAAAAATTGAGAACTTTGTCTAATGTTCTTTGAAATACTATCCAATGTTCATCTTATTTTCTTCGTTTCTCCGATATCCTAAAAAAGCTTTCAGGCGTTTAAATTGTTTTTTATCCTTTTTTCTAGCGGCAGAATTAGATTTTTTGTTGTTGTTCATCTCAATTACAAATGTTGCTGTTTTTTTGTAGTCATCCAAAAGTATTGAATTTCATTTTTCAGTCTCATGATTCATTGGCCTTTTTTTGATTTGAACGTCATCAAAAAATGTAAATCAAGCCACATAACCAATTATTTGTATAGTTAATAAGCTGGGAGTCTCTCATCCACTATTTTTCCGTTTAAATAAATGTCAACAATTTTTTTTCTTAATCTTCATATTTCATATTTTCAAGATAGATTAATCCAATGATTTTAGTCTATGTTCATGCGTTCATAATGTTCAGGTGACTAATTCACGAAATTCTTGGTATACGTAAAATAAAGCGGAAAATAATATTAATCAGGCGGAAAGAAAACTTTATTTCCTGATTTTTTCCTCTATCATAATTTCTGTCTATATAAAATCATATCTACAAATGTCAAATCAAAATGTGTAGTTACATAGTTTCCACCTTTAGACATCAATGATCAATGGCGTGTCGTTTTCCCTTAAAAAGTGTACAAAAAGTCGAAAACATGAAATGTTCGAAGCTCATGTCAGTATTTTCTGGCCCATTGAATTCGTTTTCCTCTTCTCTTCGTTTTTTTTCTCTCTTTCTTTTGTTATTTTTTGTCGTCGTGTGTCTTCTGTTGAAAAGAAAGAAACTACAATGATCTTGGTGTCATTTTTCCATTTTTTCTCCACTTTTTCAACCAAAATTTTCATACATATTCATACTTTTTGCCTATTTTTGGAACATCGCCTTTTTTCCAGTTATTTTTGTATTTGAATAATCGGTTTGACTATAAAAAGTGGCGAGAATCGCAACATTTTTGTTTTTCAGAGAATCTGAGGTTTTTTGAACTAATTGTTTTTGTCCTTTTTGTTTTTCTGGCACCACTTGTGGATTCTGTAATTCCCCAGAAATCAATTTATAGAACCAAATACATAAATAACATTTGAAAAAAAAATATATATATACAAAGGCAGTTTTCATCGGGTGAATCGTATTAGACGTTTTCATTGTTAGAAATTTTTTGGTGCAGTCATAAACTCTGGTATATATATATATATATATGTATATATATATACTTTTTTTACCCCCCCCCATGATCATTTAAGATCCCAATTTTCATTGGGTGTGGGGCATGTTCTAGAAATCACCAGTTTTTATCTTTCATTGTTGAAATATTTCTTATCTCAAAATTCTAAGGTTGTTCAAACAATCATAATTTTTAAACTTGCTCGTTTCAATGGTTGGTTTTTGTGCTTTCAGGATTATCTGATCTCTGAAATCCTCTCACTTCACATAAATAACATTATTATTTTATATTTTGTTCAAAATTCACAATTCAAAAACAAATTTGCAGCAGCGCATCAAAATAAATACATATATGGAAGAAACAAGGCGTGGTTGGTACCAATTATTTTCCTATCGTAAACATTTCTCCGTTTATCATTGAAAAAACGAGCACAGTGCTCTTTTTTTTGACACCGTATTATATTAGTTTTCTCTTCTTCTTTTTCTCACATTTGATGAGTTTCAAAAAACATATTATTTCACCCTAGTTTGCTCTTTTTTTTGCAGACATAATCCATAAAATATTAGTTTTCTTTGCGCAAATATGTGATGTCACAACAAACTCGCGGGCGTGTTTTTTCTCGCTTTTCAACAAATCTCATGTTTCTTACTGTAAAAGTAAAGTTAAATACATGTTCTGCTCCCATATAATTAGCCTTTTTTTCAGTGAAAATTTCGTGAGTAAGTAATTGCAGCTTTACTTTTAGTATACTCACCTTCTAATGTCTCAAAAATTTTCATTTTGCTTTGAGAATAAAGTTCTATCCTTGTCTAGCTTTCAACAAAAAAAATTATAATTAAAAATTAGTTCTCAGAAAATATGACAAAAAATGTAACACCTGCAATATGTACTTTAACACTGATCAAATTAATTCAAATGTTAATGCAACATTAGTCACAAATCGGAAACATATATTTATTTTATTTTTCTGTGATGTATGCGGATGAAAAATAAAATAAAAATGTTATTCCAAGAATCTTCACGTAAGATAACACGTGAGATCAATAGTTCTGGTTTTTCGACATAGCCACACTCCCCCGTCCTCTACTTTTTTGCTTTTTTCCCTCCTCCCTCACTCCCTCTCTTTTTCGTAGTTTTTGTCATATTTTTTTTTTCGTTGTCTGACTTACTTCGTCTCTTTCATTTTTTCACGTATCTCTTTTCTCTCCCTTTGCTAACCCGTTTCATTTTGCCGTTTTTTTCCGCGCACCAGGCAGGACCTTTTTATACAGAAAATATTATTTTGAAACTTTTTTCTTTCTTTGAAACAAATTTTTTTCTGTTGATAAAACACAATTCTAACAATTTATAGATCAAGCTGACAACTATGGGCGAGCTCGAAGTTCCTGAGCGTGAGCTCCAATATTTTTCGTCATCCGCACGGTCTGGCCGAAGAAATGCGTTGCCGGAAATTGAGGTTTGTCAGAATCATTCTAATTAGCTGCGTTTATCACGCGATTCTTCTTCTGCAATTTATTTCTTTTTATTTTGTATCAAAAAATTTAATTCAATTTTTGTAGGTCGAAATTAATGACCCAGGAGCAGCCAAACTTGCTGATCGACTTTCTGACATGACAGCTCATTGTGATTCGCAAAGCACATCTACAAATCAACAAGGTAACCAATTTTATTTCTGAACTTCTCCAATGTTAATTTTAAATTCTTCAGGAACCTCTAACCAACCGCAACAAGGCAATTCGTAAACTCGGCAATTTTTTTCTTCTCCAGTTTTTTTTCCACTCTCTATAATAATTCTCCTGCAATATTCATATTTTCTGCATAATTTACCACGTCAATCATTTTATTATATTATTTTTCCCTTTTTTCCCCTATTCAAAAGACAGCAGCATATTACGTTGTATCAGCTCATTTTGTACCCCGCTTTAAAATGATCCTCAACACAAAACACCTTACTTTAAGAGATTTTCAATATTATTTTCAAAACTAATTTAGAATTGCCATGTTTTCTTTCTTTTTCTTCTTGTTTCATTTTATTTTGTATATAGTTTATTATTTTTACCATTTTCTATTTTGTGCAAAAGTCCCTTCATTCATTCCACCGTTCTAACGGGTAGATCGATCTGGAAATGTGACTCTTGCCCTTCCCTTTCCCCTAAACCCTTTCTCAATATACTTATTATCCCCCTTTCTATATATTTTTCTTCCTTCTTCCTTATTCTTCTTCTCATTCAATCCATGATGAACATAAATTTGATTTGATTCAATAAACAAATAAATTCCCATGAACATTTCCCAAAAGAGCTGCTGCTTCTGGCGTGTGCGTGATTTTTGGTTCTGAAGGCCTGGCAAAAAAAGAAACGGAGCGCAAAAAAGTGTGTAATATTATGACGTCGAAAGAAGAAACGAAGAGCAAAAGTTTTTTGTTGTTGCTGGACCTGTGTGTCAAGACAAGAAAAAACGATGAGAAAGGCTCATAAAGTTTGATGAGTTCTTTCTGGCGACTTTTGCAATTCCTCACATCAGTAATTGTTTTGTGTCAGCTGAAAAAATGCATGGCAAGTGAAAAGAAAATGACGTGACTGGAAAATTGTTGTTTTTCTCTGCTGTTGTTAAATTGTTTCGTCAAACATACATAGATCAATTGGCGATTTCAATTGAGTTGGAAAAAATCGGATTAAAAATGAATCAACAAAAATTATTTGGGCAATCTGGGTGTGCTTGGATTTGATCTCGAATGAACTTGCAAATATATTAATTTCCTGATTCATTTCCGAGTTGGAAAATTTTCAGGAAGTTTTGAACTGATCTGTGGGAATTAGATAGAAGTGGGTGTTTTTCGGAATCAAAATTTATATGGAAATTAACATTTCATCGGAGTCATTCTTTGAGCATTCTGGACCTGATATTTGATTATTTTGGATTTGATTCAAAATGTGTTATTTCCCCATTTTCACCTGGCACCAACAAGAAATAAATTGAATATTATTGGATTTCAGAATAACAACCTCTTACATATATTTTTGTCTGAATTTTTTCAGAGATTTTCAACAAGTTTTGAACTGAACTCTGGAAATCAGATCTGATTTTAAATTATTTTTACCGCAATGTTTGAAGTCAGAAAATATCCAAATTTCAAAACTTCAATTAAATTTTTTTATTCTCCCATTTTCACCTGGCAAATGATTTTGATAAACAAGGAATTTCAGAAATAATCAAATATTTTGTGCCTGAACATTATGTTCAATATTGAAAACACAAACAACAATTTTGTTATGATTCGGGATTTCCGATTCCGGAAAATTCAAATTGACGTCAGCGACAAATTCAATTTATTTTTCAAAATCACAATCATTCCACATATAATAAATTCTCAGAAATTATATAATTTTTTCTTGATAACATATTTTAAAACCTCTGATTTAACCCCTCCTTTTGAATTCAAACCCCCTGAAAATATGAATATATTTTTTCAAGAAGCTTGTGTACTTTTTTCAGAAACCATGGCAATATTGCATGTGATTTTTTTGTTGTCTCGAACAAATTCAACGACTTTTTTGTTCAGCGTCTTGTTGGAAAAAATATGTTTATTACATAGTAATAAATATAGTGCAATTTTTGTGAAATGTAGAGGAATGAGATGGAATTTGGAAGAGAAACAAGAAGAGAAAGTAAAAGAAAAAAATAAAGAAAATGATGAGTATTTGGAATGAAATTCACAACACGTTCTCAGTAACAACTATTGCATAATAATTAAAGTACCGGATTGTTTTTGATTTGTTCGTTGACAAAAAATAAATTAATTAACTAATCGGGAGTAGGAAAAAACAAATGAAAATATGTACAATATTTGGGGGAAACTCATCATTCTTCATCCATTTCATTAGCTCGTTCATCATTGTCGTTTGGAAGGAACAAAACGACAACAGTCATCTGGAAAATTCACGTTTTCATTTAAAAATCAAGAATAACTCTATAAACTCATACCTGAATGATGAGAAGAATACAGAAAATTGCGCTTGGATAAACCGGATCAAATGTTCGAAGGAATGTTACCATTGGTGCAATAACCGAACCAAGTCTACCTCCAGCATTACAAACACCTCTGCCCATACTTCTAACTGATGTTGGGAAAAGTTCAGCAGAGTAAAGGTGATTGATTTTCCAGGTGGGATCCATACCAGCAGCAACAATCAATGACATCACGCTTATCAGGAAGTTTAGAAATGATATGTTCACTATTTGACTGTATGAAAAAATTTTATCACTTTGTCTCCTTCAATAAAAGTTTTAAACTTACAGTGGAACAATAATAACCGCTGCAACACAACAAATTGAGATTGAAAGAATCACAATATTACGTTTTGTCATATATGTTGATAACAAGAAGGGAGTGAATCCCAATATAAATTTGAAAAGTCCCATAAACGCAAGATTCATAAAACGATTTCCTGGCAGAACATCTAATGAAAAATAAAAACCAAATGAAACGATTGACGACGCGAGAAAACAATAAAACATGACTACGGTAGGCTTCAACAATTCCGGATCTTTGAACAGCGCAATAAATCGTTTTCCATGGTTTATATGAATTGGCTTGGAAAAACCGAGCACCTCAAACCATTCCATTTCTGATGTATCATCAATTTCTAAACTTGAACCATTCAGACTTCGAATACTTATTGCATTTTCTTTTGCAGAATGATAATTGCCATTTGAAGACAACCATCGACAACTTTCGAAAGAGAATGATTTCTGAAAATTTTCTAGTTAATTTCTTATTTTTCAAATGTGAATGATTGTCTTTTGAATGTCAGGAAAATAAACATACAGCAATAATCGTCATAAAAAATGCGATAACAGAAATAGTTGCATGATATGGCAACCAATGAAGAACCGACCATGCAATAAATGCTGTTGTGATCTGAAATATTTCTACGTGATTTTTGAAATTAATAAATATTTCAAAAACTGACCATAGAAAAACTCCATCCGTTTAATGATACAACAAGTAGTCGAGATCTTGGAAGTTCAAATGCTTCAGTCAAAATTACGAAATTTGTAACCTGAAATAAGATGATTCAAATAATACGATACACATTTAAATGAAATCATGAAATCAAGTGAAACAAACCATATAACCACCAGAGAAAAATCCCAACATCAATAAAATGAAACCGATAATATACACCGTTAGAAAATTTGAGAAACACAAAACACCATTTAGCAATGAAATCATTGCAAGACACCCTGAACAAAACATAATGTTAGTTAGCTGAACTCATATGATATGTTGTTACCTGTGAATACTGGTTTTCTACCAACGTAATCAGAAACAAATCCACAACAAAATGAGCCAATCAAAGCACCCCACATTAACAAACTTGAGAGGAGTGTTGTGATTGATGATGAATCACAGAAAAATCCGTATTCCATGCTGAGTGAGAAGAAATCATTGGTTTTCCAGTTTTTAGGTGGATTTGTGGAGTTGAGATACTTGCAGTATTCCTGGAAATATCTTTTGCTTTCACGATGAGAATGTCAGTAAAATGTTGAACTTCCTATCAAAATCTTGCAACGAAATCTGATCACTTCAGGAAGTAAAAATTTTCAAAGATCCCTTGTAAATTCAAATTGTTTTTTTTTAATATCGAATAGAATTTTTTTTGAAAAAACGACCAGTTTCCCACGCAATTTTTCAAAATCTAAAAATCAAAAATCACCTCTGATGGTTCTGCAAAAGTGGATAATAGCATAGAAGCGGCAACTGGAATATAACCCAATTGAGTGATAAGCAAAAGTCGAGTTTCATATTTTCTACAAAAAAACATTAAATCATAAAAATAGATCAAGAGCTCAAAAGTTACCCGAAGTCTTGTGATAAATTAGTTCTTGTGGTGGAAAACTTCAAAATTTGTCGACTTTCATCTTCTTTCTGCTCATTTTTGAGATCAGCTTCTTCGGTCATACCTGGAAAGGGAAACATTATGACAAAAATGATAATACGAAATAATTTTTTGGAAATTTAGATAAGACACAAAAGTTGAAAGACAAACTACGAGAACAAGAACGACATGAACAATGTTTTTTGTCATCATTTGAAAAAGCTTTTTCTAGTTTCCGTTTTTGCTGACAAATAATAAAAGAACATTTTTCCCTGGCTGGAAATGACACAAAAAAGCTCAGATGGGAAAAAACAAAACATTTGTCTTTCGCTTCATATATATATATATATTAAAACAATTTGGTTTTGAAATCGATTTAAACTGGGAAAATAGAAAAAAGAAAAACAGAGCATCAAATTTATATTTATATAAAAATAATAGAAAAAAATTGGTGAAATACGAGAAAGAGATGTTTGAACATGGAAAACCTCGATGTAATTATTTTGAGTAAATAAGTGAAGAAAAAAAGAATATGAAAGAAAAAAGAAAAAAATAATACAAGGGAAAAAGATTGAACAATTATTTGGATATGGAGAATGTATATACTGACATCATAATCTATATAAATATTGGTTTGGAAAAATGTTTTGATGTGTTTTTTGTTGGTCAATAATGACTCGTACAGAAAACAAATAGTAGTGAACTTTCCGGTGAAATTTGATAACATTTACTTTTTTTTAAATACCAAATAGAAAATGAAATCATTTTGGAGCAAGAATAATAACATGATACTGTAGGAAATGCACTTTTTATGTTCTACGAATTTCATCAACATCGAGATATAATATTTTTTTCATAAATAGAAATGAATTTGAAAAAAATAATTGGAGAAGAAGTATTTTCTAATACTCAGTTGGGATTTTTAAACTAATTGGATTCCTGAAACCTGAAATTTGCTGCGGAGTTTCGATAGAGAAATTACTTACAATTAAACTAAACTGCTAAACTAAAAACAAAATGTGAAAGGTATTGCATCACATTTTCTGATCAAAAACTATTGTGAACAAATCAAAGAACAATGCCGCCGAAAAATTTGAATAGTTAGAACTAATGATCAAATGACTGTTCATATTTGAATGAACGTGTGAAAATGAGTAGAATGAACATGTTAAACGTGAGAACTTTGTAAAAGTAGTGTTTTGTAGCATAAAAGATATAACTGAAGAATTAAGCGACGAAAGATTTCATAACGCGGCACTTCAGATTCAGACAGACAGTAAGTCGAAATTGCAATTTTATGAAATCGTATCCCATCCAAAACTACAGCATTTCCTCATTCAAAGTAAAAAAAATGAACATTGAACATCCTAAAGCACAAGCATGTTTGATGAATTCGTTAATTTTTGCTGTTTGAGCATAGTGTGCTCATTATTGTGATTTCAAGTAGAAGTTTCTGCTCATCAGTGTTTGTTCCGGGAAAGTAATCGAGAATTTCAATCGATAATCAATTATTTTTCGAAGAGCTCTTTCCATTTTAGGAGCACATTCAGGATATTTTAGGAAAAAACTCACCAAATCTCACAAGAATTCGAGGAGAGCCATAAATGATCGATAGAAATAATTATGCAGTATTTTTCCAATATTTTATGGTATGCACATACCAATCATAGAATATATAAAACAAGAAAAACCAAAAACAAACGAAAACACCAAATGAGCAACGGTAGACAGTAGGTGAAAAGGAGAGAGTGTAGACAGGCAAAGTGTCATCAATGGAGCGCGTTTCTAACACATACACTTGGCATCCTATTTTTACTGCACTATTTTCTTCAATTTTTCCAAATCTTTCAAGAAAAATTGATATAATCTTGTGGTATTAGAATATTTGAAAGTATATATTTATTTTTTTGCAACGGACAATGTCCTTTTTCTGGTCGCTGAAGAATTTTGATGCTTATCGTAAGCCGATGGACGATTTCCGGATAAAAACATTGTCTGGTGGCTTGGGTAAGTGCTAAACATTGCAAATTTTTCTTAAAAATAAATAGATTTTCAGTAACACTGATAGCGACAATCGTGATCGGGCTGTTGATTTTGCTCGAGACTAGGCAATATTTCAATGTTCAAACACTTGAACACTTATATGTTGATTCAACAACTTCTGATGAACATGTCGATATCGCATTTGACATCACTTTTCACAAACTGCCTTGTAATTGTGAGCTTTTTTAAAAAATTTTTCAAACGTTGAATTGTGAAAAAAGAATATTCTATTTCAGTTATTACGGTGGATGTGATGGATATAAGTAGTGAAGCTCAGGACAACATCAACGATGATATTTATCGCCTCCGATTGGATGAACATGGTAGAAATATTTCAGAAACTGCACAAAAAATCGGTGAGTACTATAATTTTCTTTATTTTATGGATTGTGAGAACAACATATTGTTTCAAAAACTAATTGATTTTTTTCTATAGAAGTGAATCAAAACAAAACATCATCGCCGTCAGAAACACCAACTGAAGTAAAATGTGGAAGTTGTTATGGAGCAGCAGGAGATGGAGTGTGAGTTTTTTATGTAGGGAGTTTTAGGAAATGGCTCTGAAATTAAAATTTTGAGAAGAGAGTTCTTGAAATTGAATGAACAATCAAGCTGACATTGGAAAACATTGAAATTTTCTAGAAGTTCTTTTGAAAAAATTTTATTTTTCAGATGCTGTAATACTTGTGAAGATGTCAAAAATGCATATGCAACCAAAGGATGGCAAGTGAACATCGAAGAAGTTGAACAATGTAAAGTGAGTTTTTGAATATATTTTTGAGAGGTACTGAAACTTTGAATTTTGTTTAAATTTGAATCACGTTTATCAAATTATTCCATCCAGTAATCAACAATTCAAAGCAGACGAATGAAGATTACTGATAATTCTGAAATGTGATGTTCATTAGAAGCTGAATCCCAGAAAATAGCGGCTACAGACTAGACTTCATTCAGGGTCAAGTTTATCAGTAAAATCTAGAATTTTTAGACACCGTGTCTGATGTGAATTTTATTGGAATATACAATTTAGACTTGAAATTGAACTATAAAATAAATATTGATTCATTCCACAAAATGAATTAGTGTTTCCATCAAAAATAATTGTTCCAGAACGACAAATGGGTAAAAGAATTCAACGAGCACAAAAATGAAGGATGCCGTGTTTATGGAAAAGTTCAAGTAGCCAAAGTTGCTGGAAACTTCCATCTTGCTCCAGGAGATCCACATCAAGCAATGCGATCTCATGGTAAGTTATTTCCATTCAATCCTGAACTTTTTTCAAAATAACCGAATTCTCTTCAGTTCACGATCTTCACAATCTTGACCCCATCAAATTCGACGCTTCCCACACTGTAAACCATGTTGCATTTGGCCAATGGTATCCAGGAAAACAATATCCCTTGGATGGGAAAGAATCGAAAGCAGATAAAGGAGGCATTATGTATCAATACTATGTCAAGGTTGTGCCGACAAGATATGTATATATTGATGGAAAATCAGAGCAAAGTCATCAGTTCTCAATTACAACGCACAGAAAAGATTTGAGTTTGCGTAAGTATTTGATTTATCTATTTTCCACTTCGGGAATGAAAATAAAGTTGATTCAAGTATAAATATTTCAAAAAATTTAGGTCAAAGTGGACTTCCTGGATTTTTTCTTGCAGTATGAATTCAGTCCGCTGATGGTTCATTACGAGGAGCATAGAGCGTATGTTTATAAGTTTTCTTCTATAAACAAATATATGATTTACCTTATATTGCAGAACACTAGCAACATTTTTGGTATCATTATGTGCAATTATTGGGGGAGTTTTTGCAATGGCTCAATTAGTTGATTTGACCATTTATCATTCTTCAAAGTACATCAAACAACGAATCGCTGGGAACAAATTAACATAAATATTTTACGGGTTTTTATTATCAGAATTTCTATCTATTTATTGATTTTTCATCTCACTTCTTCTTTGCAAGGGTAACAAAAATAAAACAAATCTTTCTAGAAAACTTTTTATTTCATTCAGATTACATGGAAAAAAACAATAACCGAATTGTAAGGTTAACTATTTGAACTGTCACAAATTTAAAACCGAGATTCCGCATAAGTTTAATGTTTAAATAATTAATTCCAGAAAAAAATCAAAGTTTGATAGGAACTTTGAAATTATATTGTTCACCATCCGCAAGAATAGTTGGAAATTTCAACGAATCGTGTCTTTTAAGAAGATAATAAATTTCATGAGTAATCGCATAGTTTTTCATTCTGAAATCCGGTCTTGGTGGATAAACTTCAGGTGGGAGAAGGAGTTCCAATGGAAGATTCGATACGCTTAGACCCGGATGCGGCTCTCTATTTTCCCTTTTATACAAAGTCATGATAAGTGCAAAACGTTCAGCAGCAATTCGTCGAATCAAAGGTGCCCATTCTTTACGATTCTCCAATTGCATACGTTTTTGCGCCGTAATATTATTTATTTCATCCATGTTTCTTTTCACTACCATTTTCATATTTCCATACCATCTTGTTGCATGAACTCGTAAAGGAGATCGCAACATTCGTTCTCTTCTCTCATCTAATTCAGGAAGTAAATCAACAGAATTTGTTGCATCCAATGCCTCTCTCATATTTTCAAATTTGCGCACCATGTCCGACAACATTTGTTGGCATTTTGATCTACATGGTAAATTTGAAGAGGGAAGTGTCATTTGACCAATTTCATCAGCTGTTGGTCGATCTTCTGGTGCTTTTTGCAACAAAGTATGCACCATATTTGTAACTAAAAATTATTATTTCAGGATTTTATTCATTTTGCTTATATTGATCACTTACAATCTTTTGATAATAAAAGCTGCGGGAAAATGATTGTTGCTCTACGAATTTTCCGGAAAACTGCAGCCGGAGTTTTATCGTAGAATGGGAATCGCCCAACAATCAACATATATAAAAGTACACCCAATCCCCAAATATCGCAAGCTTTTTCCAGAATATCCATCAGGTCCCATATCCAAGAGCTGTAAAAGTGAGGGTTTAGATTTGAAGAAAAAAAATAAAATCTAACTAACCTCTGGTGGAACAAACGCTGGAGATATAAATCGATCTTTGATTAAATCTTTTTCTGGATCATCAAGAAGTGTAAAATCTGTGATTGATGTGATATACAATATAGGCTTCGATTTTATATTTTTCAATAACATTCTTCTTGGTTTCAAATCTCGAACAATTATTCCAATTTGATGGCAAAAGTCAGTGATATTTGCCAATTGAAAGAAAATATTTTGAATATCGAATTCTGTCAAATCTTCAGCTTTATCAAATGCCAAAGTATGAACATTTTCTTCGATTGATGGAACAAATAACACATATTTGTTACTGTTCACTTTTATGAATTCAGCTTCTTTCGGCCAAATTCGATCACTAAATCAATGAATATTTTATATTAAAAAGATTCATTTTTCAATTAGCTTACCTCATTTCATCATAATTTTCTTTCTTGTAATATTTTTGGCCAATTTCAATACGATACAAAATTTTAATCACTTTCTGAGCTTCAATTGCATTATAAGATGTTGCAACAAAAACAGTTTTTGTTGGTGTGTGAATTGCTTTTACTGATTTACCACATCCATTAATCACATAATTATGATAAACTTCACCGTCGTTCAAATGATCAGATGATTTTGGTGGGGCAACAGAAGAAGGAAATGAGATCGGTGTTGAAGGTGAAGAATTTGATGAGGATGGTGGAGTTGATAAAGCAAACTTTTTGGATTGTGGAAGAGTCGGGTTCACAACATTTTGTGCAGCAGGTACATCACCAGTTTGAGGAAGACGTGACGAAAAATTTCGCTTGCGCGAAATCGATTGTCTTTCCATCTTCTGAAAATTTATGAGTTTAAAGCAAAACAATAAAGGTGATGAAAATGAGAACACATTGATTGGAACAAGAAAAATGTGAGAGAAAAAAATAGGTCTCATTTTCATAATAAATAAAAATAAAATTCACATTTTAAATTTTATTCCGAACTTATGAATTATATAGTCTGGATTTAACAATATGTTTCGTGAGATTGCAAAATACTGAATACAGTACTAACCAAAAAAGCGGGCGGGGCTTTTTGATGTGAGACGAAGAGGAAAAGTGAGAGACACAGAGAAACGTATTGCGAAATAGCATTGATTCAGATGAAATTTCGCAATGTTCGCCCACAAAGAAAAGAGATAGACGGCGAAGACAAATAGAAACGAATTGCGAAATACTTGAATTGTATGTATATTCGACAAATTTGGGGGGAGAATATTCGTAAGCGTTTCAGAATATGTACTTTAGCACATGACGCAATCTTAAGTTTCACAATCCTAAAAATAATTCATAGAAGTTTCGAGAACAAAATTGAGGGAACTTTCGAGAAACTTGAAAGTAAAGATAACTCTTGATCGTTGAAGAGAAGACATTGAAATTGACCTAATTATAAAGTTTATACTTTTGATGAGATGCAAGTTCTCAAAGATGGATGAAATTACTTTGAAAGGAATTCACATCAAAATGTTGAAACTTGAAAAAAAAAACGTTTTTATTGAACGTTATATCCAAAGTTGCACGTATGTATTCCAAAAATGTGACAATCTCACATTCGGAATACTTTTAGGATTCTAGAAAGTTAGGATGTTTTATCATTTTCCAATTCTAGTTCTGATAATCATTTTTGGCTCAACGTCGTCCCCAATCAAACGTGGCCAAAGTGTCCCAAGTCATTTTCAAAGTCCCCAAAAAAGGTTGAACATTACCACATACCCTAGCGTTTTTCGATGATGGCATTCAAATTTCAGCGAAATGAGGAATATCGGAAATGAACAAGACCAAATGAAAAATATTTTTCAATCGCGGCGTGGTTTATAAAATATCGCTTCGAAATGAAAAGGAGGAAATTTATAGCCTCTAATACAAAAAATTTCGAAATTTTCCGTAGCTTTACGAAATTCTTAAATTACGACTCTGTGAGTTATGTTCTCTGAGATTTGATGGGTGTGGTTTCTCCTGTGACCAGCATTGCTGAAATTCCAGTTTTTGCCAACAGTTGCAGTTTACCGGAGAAAAAAAGGAATACTGTAAGACATACGAATTTTTTTCCACTGACAACCTAACTTTTTTATTCAACTGATAAGAACTATGTGATTATAAAAAGACACATTGACCCAAGTGTTGCGAAATGAAACGTTTCCTGATATTTCAAAATTTTGAGGGACAATTTCTCGTTCACATGATCGAATTGATTTTGTTTTCCAACAGGAAATAACTACGGAATTGTTGTGTCTGTTTACATTCAAAAGCAAAGCAGGTTTCTGGTTTTAGGGGAGAAACAAAATAAGAACCATATTGCGAAACACTATTTTACATTAATTTTTAAAGAATTCAAAAAAATCATACGTATTACAACCTACTCAATAACAAGTAACACATAGTTTTCTCTAGAATAACGACCGAATTACTAAAAAAACAAAAAATAATATAAAAAAATTCGACGTCATTTTTTTTGGGGAATATACGAACCAAGTTGTGCGTCGCGTTTTCTAACCGCTTCGCATCTCTGTTTGTCTGTCACCCTCTTTCCCAAATTTCTCTCCTCCACTATTATTTCTCTATTTCTCCTTGTCTTCCTCGTGATGATACACAGTCAGTTCTCCAAATAATATGTATATCCAATTTTAGTCTTTTCTTGCCTTTTTCTAACCTATTAGCCCAGCTTTTCAGTGCATTCATTTATTTTTTCCTTCTTCTTTGCCTTTTACTTGTCGATAAAGACGGAAATGTCAATTTTCGTTCGAATTTGTGATAAAAATATTTGTTTTTTTTTGCAGGTTTCGAAATGGCGAACGCTTCATTCAATTATTCATATATTTTCAAATATATCATCATAGGAGATATGGGTGTTGGAAAATCTTGCTTGCTCCATCAATTCACCGAAAAGAAATGTTAGTTTTCCAAAAAAAAAACTATTTTTCTTCAAAAAATTGATTTTTATTGATTATTTTATAGTCATGCCCGATTGCCCACACACAATTGGAGTCGAATTCGGAACTCGAATCATCGAAGTCAGCGGGCAAAAAATCAAACTTCAAATTTGGGACACTGCTGGACAAGAAAGGTGCGCACCTTTTTTCTGATCGATCACTTGCTCGCCCACTATTGTATGTATAATAAATAAACAAATTTCCAGGTTTCGTGCTGTAACCCGATCATATTACCGTGGTGCTGCTGGAGCTTTGATGGTTTATGATATGACACGTCGATCAACATATAATCATTTGAGCAGCTGGTTGGCTGATGCTAGAAATTTGACACACCCAAACACGGTAAACATTTTTTGTCGGCAGAATTTTCTGGGGGGAAATTGAGATTGGGAGAAAGATTTCAAAACCTAATCATTCCAGGCAATCTTCCTGATTGGAAACAAAGCTGATCTTGAGGATCAAAGAGATGTTCCATACGAGGAGGCAAAGGCGTTCGCTGAGGAGAATGGGCTCACATTTTTGGAATGCAGTGCTAAAACGTAAGATTTTTCCACATCTAGATGTATCCATTCTGAATAATGATTTAAAATAGTACAACTGTTTTTCTAATTTGTTGGATACTGGGTCCATACAGATGTATAAATTTTGGCACGGTGCCATAAACACATACTGAACACTTGTTGTCCAGGTGTTGTTTCAAATAGTGTATTCCAATTTTTTCAGTGGCAGCAACGTCGAAGACGCATTCTTGGAAACTGCCAAACAAATTTATCAGAATATCCAAGACGGAAGGTAAGGAATTTTTCAAAATATCAGGAAGATTCATAAAAATAAAAAACTATATTTTCAGCCTTGACCTGAATGCTGCTGATACTGGTGTTCAACCAAAACAAAACTTGCCAAGAGCAACGGGAAATACATCAAACGAGAAGAATGACTGTAAATGCTGAATGCTGAATACTGTATAAATTTCAACGAAAATAATTTATTCTTACAGTTTTTTTTGAGATTAATTACCCTCTACTTGTGTTTTCTCTCTCTCTCTCTCTTCCTATTTTCCTTTCTCTCTCTTTTTTTTCAAAAATTCATTTCGAATTCAAATTCAAATTCATATTCCATCCCTGGGTTGTTCATTCTCGTGCTTCACTCACTTTTACTTATTTATTATTATTTCCCTTTTTCCATCCTTCCTATCCCATAATTCATAATTATTGTGCATATTATCATTCATTTATTTTATTTGACGAAAAAAAAATCAATTTCCCCCCTTTTGTGATATGACTGATTATATTCAAAAGTCGTAGTTGTGAGCCATATTCTTTTGCATGCATCAAAATATTCTTCATTTTTTAATTACTTTACTTTTTTTTTAAATGTATGATGATGAATGAGTTACTTTTTTCGAAAATTTATTCAAGAAGATTTTATAATAATGAATTTAGTGATAACGGTTTTTCACAGAAAAAACGCAAGGTCCACTCTACGCTAATCACGATATCGCAAAAGTTACCTTCTGAGCTACAGTCGAAGCCAAAAAGCTCCAAAGTGAATGTTGTGTGTTTTTATATAATACTTGACTTATTGAATTAGATATGCGGATCAGAAACGTGTAACAGAACATCAATATAGTCGTCAAACAAAGCATACATAAGTCAAACTGATATTTCAGATCTTCTATCCTAATAAAACCTAATCTACTGTAACATCCTGCAACGATATAACAGAGAATATTTTTGTAATCCGCGCTTCATCAGAAAATAATTCAATTTCTCACGTGGGCAATTTTAGACTTGAACAGTTCTGATGTCAATTTTTTAATGGCAAAAAATGTATTTCAAAAAATACAAAATCGTAGAATGGCTAATTATTTACTATGTTATGAATTAGTTACTTTTTATAAATTTTATTCAACAAGATTAAATACGTTGCACATAAGATAGTTAGAATCGACATAAATTGGTAGAATCGATTGGCAAAAAATCAGATCAACACGAGTAAATATAAAAAAATAAAAAAAACAAGGCAAAGACGTGGTGGGAAAAATCAACATAAAAAAGAAACAAAAAAAGTCTAGATTAGAATACTGGAATTAAATTCGAACAAAAATAGAACAACAAAAACACACAGACAATACAGAAAAGGGATAAGGCAATTTATGCGGTGATGATTGTCTTGACAATCAAAGTGAAGAGAAGTCCAGAGACGATTCCGAAGATGAGGAAGAATCCAGCCATCATTCCAGCGGTTTGAGCGCGCGAAGGATGAACACTGTTTGGTGTGTACATCATAGCAAGTCCACTGAAATATCCACTTCCAAAACTCATTGTTGCTCCGACGATTATGAACAACCAGGTTGATGGGAACCAGACTGGGAAAGTTCTAGTCTCTGGCATGTAATTGCACATTGCGAAGAATGGAATGTACAAAAGACGAGCATAGACTGGAATCCAGAGACGATTTGGAGCTGGCTGAAAAAATATGGAATTAGGTGGAAAAACGTTTTTAAGAATCAGGTTAACTTACGTATTGAACTTTTCCAGCAACAAGTGATCCGATGAATGCGAAAACATTGAATGACAAGAATGTGGTGATGTCCATAAAATATTTCTCTGAAAATTGAAATTTGTTGTTTGAACAGGCCAAAATTATATGTTTTTGATGTATTTTTAGAAAAAGCTTTGATTGAGCTATTTTGGGTAAAAAGTGCTTCATGATAAAATTATAATGAGAATAGCTATTTATCGAGAAATGTTTTTTGAAATAAAAATAGTGTCAGGGGAATTCATCAAAATATCTGGGACTCAAAAATTTGTGATGAATGTAAAAAAATTTCAAAATTCAAAATTGGCTCCAGGGTTTATGTCACCCTTTTCGGAAGGTTCCCCTAATTTTTCATCTTTACAAGGGCCTTTTTTTCTTTTCTATAATCTCACCTGGCAATACGAAGCTGTATTGTCCTCCTTTTGGTTCATCTCTGACGTACATCATAATTCCTGGGAAGATTGACAAAGTCACGAAGAAGACCAAGAAAACATTGATGAGTTGTGGGAAAGCCTCTTTGAATGTAGCAATGTATTTTTGGAGTCCGGCTTCTTCAGATGTTTCAGCATTCTTTGAACGTTGTTTGGCAGCTTTGTTGGTGTAATAACGGAAGAATGGCTGAAAAAAACTTGTTATTCAGATTTTGATTTGAATGGCAAAAGCTGTGATGATTTGAGCTCATCTTTGATTCCTAAAAGTGATATACCTTGGTTTTAAGCAAGAAGAATGATCCGAAGCAGAAAGCAAGTGTGATCAATGAAATTGAGAAGTAGGCAAAAGCACGATCAAGAACATTTTTGGTGAAAGCTTTTGTGGCCATGCTCAACAAAGTGACAAAAGTTCCGCAAAGGTTGTTACCAATGATAACAGCATTGGTATATTTGAATGGGAAATCCGATGCAAGTCCGAAGATACTGTTTTGATAAATTCCGTTGGCACCATTGAGAATGATGATTGTTAAAATTGTGATGGTGAAGAATGTTGGAACCCCTGCAAAAAAACTTTCAATCTTTTTTTTGTTTCGTCTTTTGTGAAAAAATGACAGATGCTCGTTTTCATTTAATCGACGACATATGATACATTGCACACGTTTTTGATCACTAAAAAAGTGCAAGTTTGAGAGATATCTTACATGTTGAAGTGTCGACATAAATGAAAGACATCGTAGAGATAACAGCAACAGCAACGACAATCAAGGAAACAGCAATACGTTTGACGAGACCACCTCTGAAAATCCAGATTTTTAATAATATTTTTTGTCTTTTTTATTTGTTTTTATTTACAATTAGTTTTTTTCTAATCTCAAAGATCGGTGTGATTTATTGCGCACATGTTTATTTTGGAGAGATATTATCTTGTCTATCAACTGAAAAAACGTGGTCAAATCTGTTCAACGATGTAAATCATATAAGGTCATTTTGAATGTTGATAAGAAATTTTGAATTTAAGAGGCGCTGATAAACTTACTGGACGACAACAAAAATGTTGATAAAATTAAGAAGAAGGTTTGGCACTTGTGCAGCAATCGTTTGATAGTTTTGGAAGTTAGAAGAGAAAACTGTAGCAACTCCACCAACAACAGCTCCATTTGCTGGATGAATTGTAGCATTGGCAAGCATTTTGAATGTCTCATAGTACTGCAAAATTATTTTGGAGAAAGTTTTTTATCTGATGATTGATCTAGATCTAAATAAAAAATCATAAAATGAACTTACATCATATGAGATGTTGATAAACATATTCCATGGCATCAAAGTTCCAATTCCATGAAGAAGAATGATGTAGAAGACGAGATTTCCACTATCCTCTGGTGGAACATCTTCGACAACTTCTTCAGTTTCCTTTTCCGGATCGTTTTGAAGTGGTTGCAACTCGGTTGCGTTTTCGATTGACATCTGAAACAATAAAAAATAAAAATTAGGAAAGAAACATTTTAGAAAATTTGAAATGCCGGCAAGCAAGAAGAAAAAAAAAAAGAAAGGGGGAAGATGCGAAAGGGACGCGTTACGAGACCCAGCGGAGTGTCGTTGCTCTTTGTTTAGCAGATGCTTCATAATTATTATTATTAGAGATAGAGTTTTTTTTCAAATTAGGAACTATTCGGAAAATTTTTACCTAGTGAAAAATTTAATGAAAAGAAAAGTGTACTATTTGGAAAAATGAAAGTATAAATGAATTGAAAAGATAGGTATTAGTTTTCATGAGTGTTTACCTATAGATAGATACACTTGAGAATTGGTAAATAAATAAATAAGTTAGCTTTTCATCAAAAAAGAAAGGAAGTTGCAAAAAAATAGAAAACGTGATACGAAAAAGTGAACACCTCTACAAAATGACGACGGTCCGCTCCACAAGCGAGCAAGGGGCGGAGCTTCACTGTATAAAAAATGGGCGTGGTCTGATTGGAAAGTGTAAAGTAAAGTGGACGAAAAATATGAGAGAATATACTCCGAAAAGTAATGAATGCGCAAATGCAATGCGATTGCCTAGCTATAATTATAATAAAAATAGCAATAATGATGGCTATGTCGATGACACTTTGATTTATTAGTATATGATATACCGACAATTTATACCACTTTTTTTCCGACAGGGTCATTTACCACATGTGTGGTCTATCTATTGACGCAAAAGCAAAAAAAAAGGAGCTGTTCACTATCGGTTTAGAATTGATAATATTAGGTTGATAATGAAAAAGTGCAATTCATTTTGCATAAAAAGTACACTTATGAATATTTGGATTTTCGGGAAAAAAAGATTTTGGGAAGTAGTTGAAGAACTTGATGTGTCACGCAACGTTTTTTTCCAAAAAAAATTCGAAAAAAAAAGGAAAGGAATTTTATTATCAACAGAATATAATATTATATTTGATATCAAGAAAATTGGTTTTCAAAAAAGCGGTTCCAATAATAAAGTGTCAATCGTAAACTACTTCTGTCTATTTGCTTTACGTTTGGAAAACATTTCATTTGGAGTTTGATTATTGAAAACTGAGAGAAATATAAAAAAATGACCGAAAATCAATCCGGATATGTTTTTTTTCATAGTCATTTCCGTGAAAATCAGCTGAGAATTTGGGAATAACAATATGGGGATCGATGAACAAGTCTTTGTTGTTTTAAGAATTTTTTTTTAAAGAATAACTGAGAAACTTGTTGAATTTATGAGGTCAATTAGAAGAACATGTGTCACTTCTTAATGTTGATGAAAATATCAAGTGAAATTTGTTTTAATTAGATGGTGAATGTTATTTTTTCTATAGTCACTTTCAATTGTATTTTGAACAAAATTATTTTATTGATAAATTAATGAAATAATTCTATACATTTTGTTGGATGAAACAATTATTGTGAAATTTTTGCAATAATTCCATTAGATTTACACAAAAAATTGTACAACTTCCCACTGTGAATCAGCTCATTACTTTCTACAGTAGTTTGTGCAAACATGTGAAACAAAAGATGATCATAGATTTGTTCGCCATTTTCCAATGACATTTACACGAAAAATTGTACAGTTTCCTATTCACTTCACTATGAATCAGCACATTACTTTCTACAGTAGTTTGAGCACTCGTTAGGAAACAAATGATGATCGTTGTAAATTTCTTGTCATTTGCTCATGACATTTACACGAAGAATGTGTGCAGCTTCACACCTATTGCCCTGAATCAGCCCATTACTTTTTTTTACAGTGGCTTGTGCAAACATCGTACTACGAAACGTCATAGTACAAGTTGAGTTGATGAACTTCAATATTTGGGGATTTTCATCAATTTATCGGAAATGAATTGACTTTTATTCAAAACAAAGATTGAAGAGTTTTTCTCAAGAAAGATTTTTCACCACATTCCCATGACATTTACAAAAAAATCGTACAGCTTCCTTCTAATTGGGCTCTGTGTCAGCCAATTATTTTTTTACAGTGACTTGTGCAAACATCAGAAACCAAAACATAATCGTATAGTTCAAACCAATATCTTATATTTCTTTGCTAACGATGTCGTTGATAAGGAAAAATGGCAAAAGTTTCAAAACATTACGGTCCGAACATTTTCATCAAATTGGATTGCACTTTGCACTTTCCTATATCAAAAAATGTATTACATAAAAATTGCGAAAGAAAACAATTACAGAAGCTGTGAATTCAAAAGAACTTCTTTTCAATTTCAATTCTTTTGATTTTGCCGCTTTTTCTGAATAACTTCATTTGTGAAAAGATTTGTGAGTGATTGATTAACAAAAGGCTTTTATAACTCCGTTTTTGTCGGCAAATCTTTGTTTATGAACCATTATTATATGTTGTCGGAAGTTTTTTATAACACCTTTGAAGCCAAAAAATCAGACACGTGTGAAAAACGGGGGAACAAGGCATCTGTGAAACATCTGTATGACCTCGTCGAAAAATAGGCAATATATGACAACTGTGTCGCGATGAAATATTTATGAATAATATATACATATCATGACTATTCAAGGGGTCAATTAAGGTCGGCAATAAGTTTGATCTAAATCAGAACAGGGGAGTGAGTAGAATTGATTAAAATTAAAACATTTGGGTAGAAAATGGTGGACTATTGGAAAACTCGTCTGTATTTCTTGAAACCTGACATAAAACCTTCCAAAGAGCTATAAAGGGGCTACGTTTGTCGACACGTTCACCCAACAGGAATGAATCCTTGAACATTGGATTTCCCCTCTGAAGATTTCTGAAGCAGTGTCTTGATTAATGTCAAGGTCCAATGTATCAACACTAATCATCGAAACCATTTTTCTATCAGCTTTGATAAAGACTATTTGCCAATTCCTTCTCGTTAGCATTTTCTTCTCCATGAATTCTCGATACTGAATTTGTATTTTGTGGTATCAATTAATTTGAATATCTGTCGTCTTTGGTTTTCACTTTTGTGACTTGTTTCCTGTAATTATTAGCGTATTAGTGATTTGGAGAGACAATTGTAATTATGAACTCACGAGTTCACACTTGCCAAATTTTGTAGTCAATCGCCACCATGGTGTTCTGAAAGAATTCAATTATTCAAGAAATGCCCAACAGAAAACAAGAAAAATCACAAAACGACTGATTTGCCTTTCTAAGCCTGTCAAAAATTGAGTTAACCAACAAAAGTTAATGTTTCTCAATAACTATTCGGCTCTATCGCAATATATGGGTCCCATGGAAATATATGGGTCCGTAAAAAATATAGGGGTCCGTAAAAACAAATGAGGGTCCCTCAGAAATATAAGGGTCCGTGAATTTTTTTATGGGTCCCAAAAAAATAAAAGGGTCCGTGATTTTTTTCATAGGTCTGATTTTTTTGATTTTTGGAGGAAAAAATCTGTGGTTTTTTAAATTTTCAATTGTTTTGTTGTATTTTTCTTGATTTTTTGACGATTCTTTGTATTTTCGGGGGGTTTACTAAGCCTAAGCCTAATTCTGAAGCTGAAAAGCCGAAAATAGAGTTACCAGACGACTCAAAATTTCTCTATTATTTTAGGCTTAGGCTTAGTAAACCCCCTAGAAAAATACTGACTGGCTAAAAAAAATGTGAAAAAATTACAAAAAATCACCAAAAATAAATAATTGAAATTAGAAAAATTACTTTTTTTTATGGACCCTCAAAAAAAATAACGGACCCTTATATTTTTTTGGGACCCATAAAAAAATTCACGGACCCTTATATTTCTGAGGGACCCTTATATGTTTTTACGGACCCATATATTTCCATGGGACCCATATATTGCGATAGAGCCAAATATTCATACAAAAATTCAAGAAAAACACTCCAAAAAATAAAAAATAGTGTCTTCTTTCAAAAAAAAACTCAAAAAAAAAGAAAAACATTTGCCTCCCGTAAATTACCAAACAAACGGGTCTCGCAGCGAACACACTCTCGCTAGTGCGCGTTTGCATTGTCACCGTTTCTTTTTCATTTTTTTGCGCTGCCCGTTTTTGAAGGTTTTTTTTTCATTTGTTGTTGAGAAACACGATAAGTTTTTTAGTTTAGGTTTCTTATGTTGGTATCTCTCTATTAACTTTTGATGAATACTCCCAGAAACATTCAAGTGTAAATTCTTGGAAAACGTTGTTCTGAACACTGAAAAATCGGATTATCCGTGTTCTCAAAAAGACTGAAAACTGAGTTCAATTTGTCCTTCCTGACGTCTTTGGCTTTATGATATTCGATTGTCAAAATTACTTTTCTGATATATGGTCTCTCGACCTTTTCTTATTTCAAATCTCTGTCTGAAACCTTATCCTGTTGACCTCTGAAAGTGAAAAGTTTATATCTTGTCAATCAAATTTGATGAAGAGTGTGCCAATTTACCAGTTCTGCTAGACATTTGATTAAAATTATGACGCAATCTCAATGTGTGAAAAATGTATCATCATACATAATTGTAAACAAATGTGTAGCTGATTTTTGAATATTTCGAATCTGGAAAATTATATATTCACATCAAAAAATATGGCCAGTTTTTATTGGTTTTTGATTTTAATATGAACAAGACAGTTTCTTTCAAACCTATATTTTGAAATTGTACAAGGCTCGTTTCTCGTTTCTCATTCATATTTTTATTAGAAACAGAAACATATAATTTTATTCACTCACAATGGTGAAACAACATTTTCCTACTAGAAATTATTTGCAGCGGAAAAAAAGCCAAAGATTTTCTAAATTTCAAAACATGTTCTCGCTTCAGCCTCAAGTCCTTTCTTTCATATTTGTTACATCTCTTTTTCAAACAAAAAGGTAATTCTCTATTTCATCTCAAAAATATCAATATTTCTGAAATTGCCATATTCCAATTTTCCATATACATTTTCCTTTTATTTCCTTTGCCATCTTTTTTTTCCTATCACATCTTTCTCTCACACACATTTTGAAATAAAAGATATTGTTCGCCCCGAGGAAAAAAGGGAAGAGCGAGAGAAACAAACAGTGATATGTTTGTTGTCGGTGTCTGCTGACCTAGTGCAATTGCGCGTCAACTTGTGTGTATTTTTGTGTGCAACGCTATTCAAAACCTTTTCTCATTCTTCTCGTTTTTTTCTTGTCTTCTTCGAGTTTTTCACTTATTTTTGTCGTGTAATGATTAACTTCTTGAAACATATTTGAATAATTGTATTGTTATCCACTATCAGTTGCATTTCTTGAGTTTCCGCTTGTTTTTTGCAACGTTTTTGATATAAAATGATATTTTTTTTAGGTCGAAACATATAAAATGTGGAGATCAATGACTGGTGGAGATCCACCACCATATTATGCAAGGATGAATAAACAATCAATGAATGTGTGAGTTTTTGAGAAAAATGCTAATAGATTGATAACTGAAAAAGTAATTTTCAGAAATCCGGTGACAAATTCATTGAAACGAGCATATGAAGCAAACACAACACTTCCTCCATTAGCAGCACATCGATCAGGAATTCTCCCACAAAGATCGCGACAAATATTTCCTGAATTGATGAATAGTGAAATTGGTCAACGTGTTGATGAATTATTGTCTCGATTCTTCACAACTGCTGGTATCTCATATGATTATGTTGATGATCCATCACTTGTTCAATTGATGAATTTGGTATGCCCCCAAGTTCATTTACCAACTCCAGCAACAATGGAACAATGCGTTCAAAGACTTGCATATCCGATGAAAGTCAAGGTAATTTATTGATATTTCCATTTTCTAAACAAATCCTTATTTGTTTTTCAGTCAGTCATCAATTTTGGAAAAGCAGTTGGTCCACTTACTGCAACTTTGCACACATACAAGCACAACGATGAGATTTTTCTTGCATATTCGATTCATTATTTCGATGATTATATACAGCGTCGAAATGTTGTTTTTATGAGAAAACTTATCCTTTGCGAGTGAGTCTTGAAAATTTTTAGATCTTTATAAAACTTGATATTTCTCAGAATCGATGGTGAAAGTGTTATCACATATGTCAGAAGATCAATCAACAATTTCAATTATGGAAATGTTCGTTTTACGAATATGGTGACTGTTGACGAAGGAATGGCTGATGAATTGATTCATACAAATGCAGTGACTAATAACTATATTTGCTTTTTCACATATCTTTCTCGATTTATTGACAATGTTTTGAAAATCGAGGATTTTCGATTGGGTCTTAATTCACTTCGAAACTTCATCTTATTCTTGAGAAGACACGCCGATTTGTACAGCAAATTCAGAAGAATGCAATTGTCAAAAAACGGTGAACTTGATTTGCCTTGCATTGATGATGGAAGATGGACATCGACTACAGTATTCCTTACAAGATGTCTACTTTTAGTGAGTTATTTTCCAAACAAATATTGAGTACTTTCTGAAATAATTTTCAAAAAATCATATTTCAGCACGAGACATTTGCCGATTTTGCAATGCGCTTCAGATTGACAACATATATTTCGGATGACACATATTCGAAATTGTCGTATCTTCAAAGATTGATGTCGCACTGTAGACGATTTGCTAGAGAACTTTCGACACCTGATAGTTCAGTATCACAAATTGTTCCAACTGTCACATCAATTAAAGGATTTTTGGATGGAAAATCAGTTGGATTTGGTTTTGAAGATGACGTGAAAGCTGTTTTCCGCAAACATTTGCTCCCTCTCATAAATGGTCAAGAAAATGTGAGATACGATTTTGCTTGTCTTCTTGATCCAAGATACGGATATCGTTGCAATATTTATACAATGGAAAAATGGTTGCAAGTTGAGGCTGATCTTCTCGCTCTGTTCAGCCAAGAAGATATGGTGCTCAATGATAAATGTCCTGGAGAAACTGTCATATTGAAACCGCATTCGAGAAATATTCGTCAAAACAAAATTAAGGAGGAGTTGAAATTGTATCGCACTGCATTGACTGCTTCTCGACCCAACACAACAACAAATGTTTTCCAATGGTGGGGTAGTAGAATGATGGAACTCGTCAATTTGTATAATAAATCTCGTGAACTTCTTGCTCCACCAGCTGTTGCAATTGACACCGAATATTACTTTGGTAGAAATGGAAAATGGACACATATGTGTTCGAATTTGAATTATGAGCAATTGGAAAATGCATTAAGTGTTGCAGCACAACAAGAACAATTCAAGTAAGAATTACCTTCAAAATGAGGATTAAAAATATTTTTCATTTTTTCAGAGGTCGCGGATATATCTCTGAAAGTGCTCTTGCTCCAATTGTACACGATCCAAAGCGACGTGCAACAAATCCAATTGCTCCAAGACCTAATCATTTGAAAACACATGCTGATACAAGAGATCCGAAGAACATACCTTCAACTTCTGCAGCTTCAGCATTACCTGATGATGATATGATGATGATGCAACCTCCACCATCCAAAAAACCTCGTGTTATGCCAGAAGCTGAAGTCAAAAAAGAGCCAGGAATCACTGATGATACTGTTATCAAAATTGAGCCAGATGATCCACCACCACAATTGGAAGTCAAGCAAGAAATTATTGATGAAGGTTATGAAGATGTCAAGCCACCAGTTCTACAAGCCAGTTCCTCAAAAACACAAGCGTAAGTTTTTTAATCAAAAATTATGTTCAATTATTCAACGATAATTTTCAGACCACCAAGCATATTGACAGAAAAAATAGATGAAGATGATTCGAAATGTTGTATTTGTTTGAGAGATGAAGAGCCGGAAAAACTCAAGGAATGTATATTGCCAAATGAAAAACTGCTAGTTTTACTTGGAATGGTTGTTGATTCAAAAATGTCAATTGAAGAGGCTCGATATTGTTATATGAAAATCAAAAGAACTTTGATTTGTCACAGACATTTCAAAGAATCGGTATGTTTTATTTCAACAATGTTATATTTCGAAAATCTCCTATTTTTTAGTGTGATCAATTGTTTTCGTCACTCGAACTCAATGTTACCGATGAGATTTTCCATCTTTCTCATGCTCGCATGAAGTATTTGTTGGATTATATTGAAGACATTAGAGCACAAGATATGCCACTTCTAGCATTCAAACAATTATTCACCATCTTCTGTGAAAAATATCCACCATCTCAATTGAAAGTTCCTGGAACAATCACTTTTGATGCAATTTTCTCACGCAATCATCGCCAAGAAGAAGGACCGTCAAGTTCTCAAAAGACATCACTTCTTCCAAAAGGATTACGCGCACAACGAAAACCAAATGAAAGAGATATGGATAGTCCAATTTTCCACAAAGCACAAGAAATGTTGAGTCAAGAGAAGGCGTCGCTCAACAATCAAGATAAAGGAATTTTGCCGAAATCACAACGAGCTCCACGAAAACAAAAATTGGAAGGTGATTCGGCGGAAAGTGAAGATATGATCATCCGAAGAGTTATTCCAATTGAAATCAATTATGAATTGCCATCAAGGATCAAGAATCCCGGAAAATGTTCATATTGTAACAACACTGTTGAAAGGGCTGATCTCATTCGAGTTCCAAAATCTGAAACTCGTCGTAAATTGTGGTTTGATAAACTTGGCGAAAAATTCGAGAGAAAAGTGAAAGCTTTTGAAAACAGTTTCATTTGCCGCGCTCATTTTGCTAAACATCATTTCTCAAAAACTGGAAGACTTGTGAAGAATGCAATGCCATATGCAATTGGAGAGTTAGTCTCATATGAGGTAAATTGATTTATAGAAAAACAACTGAATTTATCATTAAAATGAGTATATTTTCAGATTGTCGAAGATCATTTGCTTCAATCCGATGATGAAACTGAATCTGATGATGAGGCTGAACGATTTGTTCCACCAAATCAAATGCTTATGAACATTGTCAAAGAAGAAGAATTGGTTGATGTGAAGCCGGATATCGTTACTCTCAACGCTGAGGAAAAACCACCAACCATCAATGCTAAACCAACTGAAAGTGTCAAAAAACCTGCAGAAGTCAAGAAACCTGAAGCAGTCAAGAAACCTGTGGCAGTAAAGAAACCTGAACCAGTAAAGAAGCCTGAACCAGTGAAGAAAACTGCGCAAGTTCAAAAACCAGCGGAAATCAAGAAACCCGATGGAAAACGAGTGACTCGCTCATCTGGTAAACCATAAATGTGTCTAAATTCAAATTCAAGTTTAAATTGTTGATCTCTATCCCCGTTCTCATTTATTTTATTCTTTTTGTCACCCGTGAAATTATGAGTTTATTTCTAGTTTTATCCCATTATTCTCCATTTATTCATCATTTCTCCAATCAATTCATTATCTCGATTATTCTATAAACAGAATTCATCACGAATCCCAATTTTTCTTTTATTTTTCTTTTCTATTTTCAATGGTGTTGAATCCATTGCTTGTTATTTATTTATACACTATTATTATTCGAGAGACGCAGAGATGCAGAGAAAAGGAGAGATATCAATACTGCCCCTTTGTGAATGTTTGTGAGAAAAACGAGTGTGTGTCGCTGCAAGACCCAAGCGTTGTAAAAAAGGAATGTTCCCATAAAGTGTAGCGCGTATAGGCTCATTGTTTGCGTTTTTTGGGACGTTTTGATAAACTTACGTATTGATTTTTTTCAGAATGCAAGAATTCATATTGCAGTTTTTTGTAAACTTTCTGGACAATTTTCGCTGTGTTTTATGCGGAAAAGTGTTTCGATTTTCTGGCGATCATCGTTATTTGGACACACATTTACGTAGTGGACACAAATTGACTGAACGACAAATTATTGATGGTCCGAAAATACACGATAAGAAAAATGGATCTCCAGAATAGTGAGTTTGAGAGTTATTCAGATGAATATTTTGAACAAGTGAAATTTTTTCAGTGAGCTGGTCTCTCCCAATGATTATCAACATCGAAGAAGATGTCAGAATGGCAAAGGAAACTCATCACTTCCACAAGTTGTTTCAACGCCGCCGACAATTCAACCAATTCATGAGGTTTGTCTTGTTTTGCAAAAGTTTAGAAGAAAAATCGGATTCGAAAAATTCTACCACTTTTTGAATGTGCTCTGAATTATCCGCCCAAAAATTAGATTTGGGAAAATTTGTCCAAATCACGTTAAAATTTTATGAAAAACTGAAAATGAGAACTTTTTCCTGGTCCGATTGCGATAAAATATGAGAATTAAAAAAGGGGAAATCCCCGTTTCAAAAATCTCCCACGAATAATTTTCAGAACAATGCGGATAATCAACAAATTATTCAAATGTACTATCGAAAAATACCAAACGGTTATACTTGTACATTTTGTCATCGTCAATTTATCAAAAAATCAGATCATATTCTAATTTGTCATATTTCAATGGCTCATCCATCACTAAAAACAACTGAAGAAGCCGCATCAAGAGCAACTTTTATGGGAACTGGAACAAATGTCTCATTACCACACGACGATAATGAGCCAGATATATCCGAATATTTTCGTCGTTATAACAGTCGTCTTCAATGTGTTCTTTGCAATTTGTTGTTTGCAAATTCCAAACATTGTTCATCTCATATGGATTTGAAACATAATGAGATTTATCGATCATTGCCGTTGAAAGCTCCGAAGAAGTTTCGACGTGTTGACACATTGACTGAGCGAGAAAAGATTGAACGATTGAGAAAATTAAGATATGATCCAAGTTTGCCAAACATGATGCTCACTATTAATTATGACGATAGTGATGTGAGTTTTTATTCATTAACTTTTGTTATTTTTTGCAACTAAAAAAGCTTCAACATTATTTTTCAGGAAGACAACATCATTTGTGATTTTTACGAACCATTTGAAGACAAAATGCAATGTCTTATTTGCGATTTGATGATCAAAACAAAATCAGCGACCTTTCTACTCAAACATTTACGGACAAATCATAGTATTTTCAACGTCGATGTAAAAACAAAAAAGATGACTTTTGATGGTGCTCCGTCTGCTAAAAAGCCAAAAATTGCCGAAACGTGAGTTTTTAAGTTATTTTCATTTTGAATCATGCCTAAAACTAGGTCAGATTACCAGGGGGGAGCGGGATCCTCTAGATTTCTCTAATGTAAATTCTAGAAGTCTTTCGCTCCAAAAATAGGCACAACGTTCAATCAAAAATAATAATTTTTCAGCGAGAAGATGTCTCAAGATCTATTTGCAAATTATGACTCGCCTTCGTTGAGTGAAAACGTAAGTCATTTTTTTCATCACCCAAAAAATATTTTTCTACTTTTCCAGGATTCTGATTTCGTTTGGAATTTCTTCACTCTGAATGGTGAGAAACTCACATGTATGTGTTGTGGATTGGAATTCATTCGCAAAACCTATTCTTCACTTATCAAACATTTGCAATTGATGCATCCATCGGTGTATTCGCCAGCTTTGGAAAGAGACAAATCACCAGATCTTCCTGAATCATTGTCAATTTCGATGCGAAAGAAAATGGCTGATATGAAGTGAGTTTTTGTTTTTTTTTTTTTCATCACATAATTAATATTAATTTATTTTAGAAAGCCAAGATCATTCAAATCTGAACGTGTTCTCACAAAATTCTTGATTTCACACGGTGTTTCATATGAAGTGACAGAAGATCCAAACCTTCATAATATTCAAAGAGCTCTCAATAAAGTCACATCACTTGATAATGCTGCAGTTATTGATGGAATAATTGAAGATTGTGTTCAAGATTGTGCGGTAAGAATTTTATATTCTACAAATTTATATGAGAAATTTTTTGCAGAACTCGATAAAAATAATGCCAGATGATCCATTAACAATTTCGGCAGGTCTTTTTATGTGAAGGAAAAGAAGTTTTTGTTGCATTGGCCATCCATCATTTCGATGAGAATTTGGACAGAAACAACAATGTGATTTTGCGAAAACTGAAAACTTCCGAGTATGTTTTTCAACTTTAAAATACATTAAAGTCTGATTATTTATTTTTCAGATTGTCTGTAAAATCAATCGACAATTTGATGAAAGAGTTGAGCCATGAACATCGTTTTTCGATTTCACAAATCACTTCAATTATCACTGATCCTAAGCACATAAAATATTTTAACAATTTCCAATCAACAAATATGTAAGTTGCCTAACATTTTCAAATTTCAAAACAATAATTAAAAATTTCCAGATTCAAAAGTTTCCATGTTTGTATCGATGATTTCGCAAGAGCTGTTTTGAGAATTTCACAATTCGACACATCTTTGCAATCTCTTCGAGTGATTTTGGAGAAAATTTTGAACGATGATGATATGCTCGCTAAATTTGAGCTGCTGGTGAAAGCGAAATGTGCAAAGTTTGATATCACAGTCTCCCAATCGTCGACTTGGTTTGAATGTTTGGAAATGTTGGCTATGATTGTTGAAGATGAGCAGAATGTAAGTTTTATTCCAATAAAGATTGTTTCTTTCAATTATAATTATCTTTCAGTTCCAACTCATTTCAACATTCTCTCAACGTTGGCTTCCGGATAATGTGCTTAATGAGAACAGCACTTCTCACCTCACAATTTTGCTCAAAATTCTAAAAGACATCAACACTTTTGCAAAAATTGCCTCGTATGAAGATGGAACTATTTCAAGTGTTATACCATTGGTTCTCGAAATGATTTCAACATTAGAAACGTATGTTACCAAATATTTGAAAATTATCTAATAATTTATTGATTTCAGCGAACATTTGCCAATTCCAATAAGTGCAGCCTTGAACACATTGATCGATTGTCATTTGAAAGTATTTTTGGACTCGAATCAAAGTAGTCTTTATGATATTGCAATGTTTATGGATCCAAGATATGCAAATAGTGATCGAATTTATACACATGATAGATGGGCAAGTATTGAACTGATTGTCAAAGTATTAATATCTGGTAAGAAAAAATAAAATACATCTTATTCATTTTTAAATAAAATAATTTTCAGATGAAGGTCAGGAAACAGCGCGTGCCAAAAACCCAACAGTTCCCGATGCTGCTGGAATTTTCACACGAGAAGTTTCGGTGAGTTATATTTCAAAATTTCAATTAGCTCACATATACAAATTCACGAAACCTCTCAAAAACTTTATATTTTTCAGCGTGAACTTGTTGTGTATCACAATTTGATCAATTCAATCCGACCTGGACTTCAAGTAACTGATTGTTCACTTTGGTGGACCAGACAACGAAGCAAGCTACCGATTCTTTTCCGAAAAGCTAAGGAATTCTTCAGTGTCCCCTTATGTACATTAGATGCCAAATATTTCTTTGGGTATGTTTATTTTGTTGAAAAAAAAATCATACAAATGCAAAATTATTTGTAGAAAAGGTGGAAAATTCTCATTCCTGAATGCTACAATGAGCTATCGTCAATTCCAAAATGCGTTAATTGTTGCATCGGAGCAAGAGATTTTCAAAGGTCGCGGTTTCTATGCAAGTGTTGTGCCAGAATTCAACATGAATGGCTCGCCATCAACAAGTGATATCAAATCCGAATCACCATCAACACATCAAAAAGCTCCACCGTTGCCTGCAAAAATTGCCAGTTTTGCAGCAATTCGTAACAATTCCCAGCAGTTGGAAGATGAGAAATGTGCACGCATTAGAAAACAGAACCTTGTTTTGATGAAGCAACCATTGTAAGTTAATTCAACTCATTTTTTTATATTCCCATAACTTGAAAATATTATTTTCCAGAGATACCTCTCGATTCATCCGGAGAAATCGTCCTGAACTAGATGATGATTTAGATGATTATCTTATGATTCCTCCACCTCCAGTCTTGGAACAAATGTGTGAAAGACCAAAATCTGTTGAAAAACCGTAAGTTATTTCTCACATTCAAAAAAAAATAAATAAAAATAATTTGATTTTTTCAGACAAGAACCATCTGAAATCATCTGCAAAATCGAAGCCGATGAAGTTAAAAAAGAGATTTTGGATCCTTCTGAAATTAAAAAAGAAATTGAAGATCCAGATGATCAACCATCACAGCAAATGGCAGGCGTTGAAGTCAAAACTGAAGAACCCGACTTCTAATAATTGTTTTTTGTTCCTAAATTCTCCCAAATTGCCCCTAATTATTAAATTGATTATCCTTTTTTTGTTTTATATTCTACAACATCTCAGTGTCTTTGAAAACGTGTCCCATTTCTGAAAAACCCTACTGATTTATATTCTCAAAATGTGAAAAATGCCTTGGTCTCATGCCTTATATGTAAAAAATGACAGTTTTATAATAATACTTTTCTTGTGAAAAAAAAAGTGTTTTGCTTGTAATTTTGAAATAGTATGCTTCTATACTAATATTTTTGCTCTTGTAAAAACAATTTTTGAAAGCTTATATTGATTTTCAGGTTAGATGAGCCTAAAGCCTACTGCAAAAGGAGTTATTGTAAGTTTTAAGAGAATGGAATAATTTATTGAAATTTGCTTGATGTTCAGATCCCAACAACATCAGTTCAAATGAACCCAACAACTTCGAAAGGAAGAGTCCCGTTGGCTATAAAAAAGTGAGTAGAAAATATGGGAAAGTTATGTTAGAAAACAGGCAGGACCTAAATCTGGCCGTATTTTTTGGTTTCAGTTAAACCTCGCACAATCTCCAGTAAAATTTCTCACGTTTTCAGGAAAACAAATGCGTTGAAATATGACAAGCAAGTGAATATTGATGAAATGGTCTGTCAATTCTTTGCAAAAACTGGACTTCCATCTGATACTGTGCGAGATCCCTCGTTTATTCAATTGATTTATACACTGAATAAAGAATATTCTCCACCAACACCTTCGACTGTTGAATATGAATTAGATGCGATCACACATAAAATAAAGGTAACCCACTGCATTTCATCAAATTCTAGGTATTTTCATTATCAATTTCCAGTCTGACAAGCGAAGTACTGATTTGACAAAATTTGTTCAACCGATCTCAATCACTGTTGACACGTTAAAAAATGGTCCCGATGTATATTTGGCGTTTTCTTTGCATTATTTCAATGAAACCACGGGTCGTGAAAACACTGTGAAATTTATGAAAATGAGCTCGTTGGAGTAAGTTTAGAATAAAAAAATTCGAAAGAATATTCAAATTGAATAAATTTCCAGAATTGATCCAGTTTTGATTCTCGATGAGATTCAATACTCGGCAAATGAATATTGTGCAAAGAAAATAAGATTTCCGAGTCTGGTCACTGCCAACCCGGAAATTGCTCAATATTTCCATGAAGTTGATATGATTGATAGAAGCTATGATTGTTATTTTTCGTATATCACCAAATTTGCCGATGAGCTTCTCAAAATTCCAGAATTTGAAATAACTCTTGATGTTTTGAAGAACTTCTTCATAGGTGTCAAGAATGATAACAATTTCCAATTGCAAATTCAAAAGTGAGTTTGGAAAGATAAAAATGTTTTTTGTATGATAGATTTGTAACATTTTCAGATACTTTATTGCCAACAAGACACATTTTGATTTTCCAAAAATCCAACTAACAAAATGGACAGATGTTTCGGAATTTTTGTCAAATGTTTTACAATATGTGAGCTCATAATTTTCATCTCTTGCAATATACTATAAAACTGTTTCTTACAGCACCAATGGATGGCAGAATTATCACTCCGAAGCATCGAACACAAAGTATATATTGATGAAGTTGCATATGATCAGCTTATGATTCTCCAAACAATTCTAGCATGTTTGAGCAGTAGTGTTAAAGAACTTTCGAAATCCGACAGTTATGCTTCACAAGTTATTCCACAATTGGTCCGAATTAGAAAACTTATTTTGAAGTGAGTTCAACATTTTAGCCTGATTAATAGTGTCCCATAATTCAGAGATTTGGGCAATGAAACTTTGAGTAAACAATTGGAGGCTGTTTTTCTGAAAATTCTTGATCCATTATTGCACGGGTATAAAAATGGAGTTTATGATCTCGCAACTTTCCTTGATCCGCGTTATTCTCTGGAAACCGATATTTTGAGTTACGAAACTTGGCAAGGACTTGCAGAATTTACCAAAAACTATTTAAGTATGTTTCATAACCCTTTAATTCTTTTCACTGACTAACAATAAGAGTTTTTTAGTGAAATCAAGTATTGGATCGAAAATGTCGAATCGCGAAAAGAAAGCAAAAATCGATGTAGAAATGTATAATTTCCAAAGCATTGTCAAAAAACAACGACCAGCAACACACCCATTCAATTGGTGGAAAGTCTATTCAAAACGATTCGCATTTTTATACGATGTTGCCAAGACTTTTATCACACCGCCGCCGTGTGCAGTTGATGTTCAACAATATTTTGGGCCAAATGGAAAATATATGCGCAATGAAAGTAAATTGTCTTTGAAACAATTTAATAATAATTTGACAATTGCGGCATCGTTGGAAACTTTTAGAGGTCGAGGATATACTGATAAACATAATGAGCTTGAGCCAATTGCAATTAATCAAGGTTTATTAATGAATGTTCATCAACCGGTTAAAGCTCCAGTCATCAAGAGAAAGAATATTGACAGTTCGAATCCAGTGGTGTCAGTCACTCAATCTTATATCGTTCAAACCTCTAATCCAGCTCCTGCTCCAGCACCCATTTTGTAAGTTTCCAATTTTTTCATTGGTAAAATACCTTTCTTTTTTTCAGACAAAATATCGTTAAAGATGAACCACTTGATCCAGATGACGAAGGTGTTGATCTATCAAAATATTTGATGCAGCCACCAGATGTGAAAAAAGAACAATTAGATGAAGAATTTATTGATGGGTTAGTTCAAGATTCTGATTTTATCCTATTATCAAAAAATAATAATTTCAGAGGTTTGAGCGCTGAAGTGAAACCAGAATCATTGCTGATACCATCAAATGAAAGTTCAGTTAAAGTCGAGGAAGAACTTGTTGATGTGAAACCTGAGCGAATTGAAATCGCAGATACAAATACACCATCCACATCCACAGCCACACACGTCAAACAAAAATCGATTTATGTTAGCACACGAACTGATCTCGGAGCATCGCCAACATATTCGGAAACTGTTAGAGAAGTTCAGCGACCTGCTGATAGACGGGTTTTCATCAAAGTTCCGTGAGTTACCAAATATATTTTTCTTGTGAACTCGGTAAATCGTTCTTGTTTTAGTTATCAAAAGAAGGCTATGGAACGTGTTTTGGAGAAATCAACTGTAGAACAACCTACAAATGTATCAATGTAAGTTTGCTGCTTTTATCCAACTGACTTCTTAAATCTATATTTTTCAGTGACTATGTTCCATCTACAAGCGGTCAACCTCGTCAAATCAAAAGAATGTATGATTCTGTTCCCACGACACAAGGTATTGTTGTCGAATCGAATAAACGCTATAAAAGAGTTTGCACAAATTTCGAAACGGAAAATGGTGTTATTTGTAAAGAGTGAGTTTTCCCAAAAAAAAACACATGAACAATCTCCTAATAAATTTATAATTATTTTCAGAAGAATCTATCCATTTTCAACGCCTACAAGTTTGGAAAGTATAACTATTGCGAGACCACAAAAAATCCGCAATACACCAACTGGACCGTATCCAAAAGCAGACCTGTTAGTTTTTTTGTTGATTTTTTTCAAGCAAAAGAATAACTGGAAAATAATTTTCAGCTCCTCTACACCAGATCAAAAACCCAACGAGAAGTCTTGAAATGATCTCTTATATCCCGAATACCCGTGAACTGTTAGCTAATTGTATTTTCTCATCATTACTATTATTTTGTGCCACTCTTTTTTATATGAATTCAATTTTTGATCGTTGCAAGGTTGGGATAATCCGCTTGAATCTACCGAGTAATTAAAATGGCACACTCACACCTGCTATTTTTCTTTGAACTCTTGCTAAATAGCTCATAATGTATTATATTAAAAGCTATTTTTATGAAAAAAATCATTGGAAAATTGCACATCTTTACATATAAGACTGAAATATTGAAAAATTACGAGAAAATCAGAAAAATTGCATATTCGAAAATTTGTTGACATCTGTATCCGATTAATTCATATGATGCGTTGGGGTAAATAGCAGGTGCGATTTGTTACTGTCATAGATAATTACTGCATTGAAGATGAATATATATAATTGCTCAGTTTTTCAATGAGTAGATTGTTATGAGACAGATAAAAAAGCCCAAAGCTAAACCAAGGATAAACTTGTCAATATTTGTGAGCTGGAATAATAAAATTAATTTTCTAAAAAATATTTATTAGAACTCGATAAAAATGGTTTATTTTCTGAACTAACCTCCCACATGATTTGCAATAATCGAAAACTGAAGTAAGAGTTAAACTAAAATTATTAGCAATTTTTTGATTACAATTCTTTAATGAAAATATAATTTTTTTTTATTTAGTTAGCTAGTACTTACTCATTGTGAGGCTGTTAGCAAAAAAAGTAAAGTCATCATTAGACTTGCGTCAGCCCGGCAGGATAGCGAAACAACTAAAAAGGCTATAGAGTACCTCAAGTTCGATTGATGTTTTAATCAATTATGGAAATCGACTTATGAACCTTAGTTTTAAAAACAATCAGTTTATCAAATTGCTTTCTTGAAACATTTTGCGGATCTTTCTTTCATATTTGGTCGAGAAAACTCTGGAATCGCATTTTTTGTTTTCTAATAATGAGTACAATGAAAAGAATACAAATAGAAGTTTTATTCACTGAATAAATTTATGAAAAATACGTCACAAATTAATTTAATTTATGTTTATATGTGAAACGGTTCAATGCACTCATTCCAGACAAATTCCATAACTCAAACTGTACGAGGAAGATCTGAAATTAAAAATATATTAAACAAGAACAATTTCTCTGTAACTAACCTGAGAGAACGCGTTGGGCATCTTCCACACTATTTGTTGTTGAAAACTTGAAATAATAAGCCAATCTGTCCTCAGACAAAGTGAGCAAATTGAGCACGTGAGCACGATCAATGTCACAAAAATCATTGCTCTGTGCTGCTTCAGATTGTCTACGTTCTAAATTTTCCGTTGGAACAACAATTTCAACTGGTTGATTTTGTTCAACACGATTGTGACAGAATCTGGTGAAAAACATTTGGATTGCTCTCAAGCATTTTCCAAGTTGTGATTGAGCCTGAAAAATAGAGTTGTTTCAATAATTAAAAGTTTTGAAATTTTCATTTTAATCTTACACTTTCATCGATTGAACTCATGGCGGCAGAATATTAAAATAATGAAAGAGACTAGCATATTTTGTATTTTTAAGACGCTGAGAATAGGCGGAGCAAGATTTCAAGAAAATGTAAAGCGTCGACGAAATAGTATATTGAAAATTTGTAGATGTTAATATCCGAAAAAAATTTGGACGTCACGAGTGCAGAATAGTCCAAATCTAGGGAAATGATCAAGAAACACTTATAGTGATTATAGAAGTTTAGGAAATGAAAATTTGAAGGAAAATTCTGGTAATAGAACCTATTTCAAAGATTTCATATTTTTTGAAAAAATCCTAGTTTCACTATTGAAAAGATACCCTAACTTTTGAAATTGTATTTTTTTTCTTCTTTGTGTTTTCACCTGACCTTTTACATAAAACAACTGATTTTCATGCTGATATCTTTCTGGTATATTTCAGAAAATAATGATCAAAATAAATTTCATCATCACATATTTTCTTCAGGGTTTCAGAATAATAAAAGAATTATCTTTGAACTGCGTTTTAACCCAATTCAAATAAAAAACAATTATTTTCACTGATCCATAAAGCATCTCCGCGTGTGCTCACCTGTCTTTTTTCTCAAAAATCATAGGTTATATTTGGAAGTGGGCGGAGTTGGCCATTTATGCAAGCGTCACTGTTAATAATTACCTCAACTGGACAGCAAAAAGCACACCAGAAAACAATGGGCATTGTTTTGAGAAAACGTCTCGTTGGTTTTTTTCAAGTTTTTCATTTCCAAAATTTTCTTCAAAAGTTAATCATAGATTTTTTGTACTTCATTCTCATTACTTTGATTTCCAACTATTTTTCCATGATTTCAAAAAAATAATTGTGAAAAGGAATAATATGTTGTACTCTTTTAATAAAAAAAATCATCAAAACTTTATTAAAGTGCAAGAAAATAACATACATAACCATTTATCAATATGCATCCACAAAAACTGATAACTTTAACGACGCGTGGAATGTTATTCAATCTTTGTCAACTCTGAAAATCAAGAATTTTTTAGATTGTTTGGCAAAAATATATGTTTTTATTGAGTGTAGTTTGAAATTAGCTACATTCTATATTGAATTTTGAAAACCACGTTTACAGTAGATCATCAACTTTTTTTTTTTTGGTATTTGAGGGAAAAATCTTCCTATTGGCACTACGCCAAAAATTGATTTCGAATCGTTTGAGGGAAGCAGGCGTCTAGAGTATGCTGTTGGCAATGGCCCAATAGCTGGCAAACCGCCAATGTCTTTTTGTGTTGAGAGAGCGCGATACAAAACTGGGAAACGTGCCAGATGCCGATAGATTGGCAGAGTTTCAATAGAAGGAAAATGTTGGGTTGTTGCCAAAAAATAATTGGCTAAATTCCAAAATTATTTCGTAATCAACTTGGATCATTGCCAGAAACGGGAAAATGTGATTTTTACGCTCATTTCAATAGAAAATCAGAGCTGATCCGAAATAGACATGTTTTGAGAACATTTGACGTGGTATAATTAGAAAAGTTTAAGTGAACGATTCTGTGCTTTGATGCTGAAAAGTTAGACAAATGTTCAGTTTCAATGGTTTATCTTTGTTTATCTAATTTTGTTGGATCGAAGTTTGTTTTTTAAGTCACGGAACTATATACTCATAAGCTGACAATACTTGCAAGTTCTTCAAAATCAAGAATTTTCATAATAGGTCATTACGAATTATTTTTTCGAATGTGTGTATTTTGAAATGAGCCTAGCGAGTCAACATTATATTTTGAATTCCATATTCGCAGTATTGAATACCATTATTTCAGTAGATCATCTATTTTCTACCTTTGAACAATGTCTTCCTATTGGCAATGCACCAAAAATCGATTTCGAATCGGTTGAGAGAAGCAGACATCTAGAGTTTGCCGTTGGCAATGGGCCAATAGCTGGAAAACCGCCAATGTCTTTTTGTGTTGCGAGAGCGCTATACAAAACTGGGAAGCGTGCCAGATGCCGATAAATTGGCAGAGTTTCAATAGAAAGAAAATGTTGGGTTGTTGCCAAAAAATAATTGGCTAAATTCCAAAATTATTTCGTAATCAACTTGGATCATTGCCAGAAATGGGAAAATGTGTTTTTTATGCTCATTTCAATAGAAAATTAGAGCTGATCCGAAATAGACATGTTTTGAGAACATTTGATGTGGTATAACTAGAAAAGTTTGAGTGAGCGATTCTGTACTTTGATGTTGATACGTTAGAAAAAATATTCAGTTTCAATGGTTTATCTTTGTTTATCTATTTTTGTTGGATCCAAGTTTGTTTTTCAAGTCAAATAACTATAAATACTCATGAGCACACTTGTAAACTCTTCAAAATCAAGGATTTTTATAATAGGTTTTTACTAATTATCATTTTTTCAAATGTTCGTATTTTGAAATGAGCCTAGCGAGTCAACATTGTATTTTGAATACCATTTTTTCAGTGAATCATCTATTTTCTACCTTTGAAAATTGTCTTCCTATTGGCAATGCACCATAAATCGATTTCGAATCGCTAGAGAGGCGCAGACAACTAGAGTTTTCCGTTGGCAATAAGCCATCATCTGGCAAACCGCCAATGTCTTTTTGTGTTGAGAGAGCGCGATACAAAACTTGGAAGTGTGCCAAATGCCGAAAAATTGGCAAACTTTCAATAACACCGTTGGCTAAGTACCAAAGAATCTTGGCCCAATTCCAAAAATATTTCGAAACTACTTTGTCACCGCTCCAATATTTTATTTTGAATCATTTGAGAGACACAGACAGCTAGAGTTTGCCGTTGGCTGCACGCCAATAGCTGGCAAACCGCCAACGTTCTTCTTGTGTTGAGTTTGCGCGCTACAAAACTTGGAAGCGTGCCAAACGCCGATAAAATGGTCGAGTGTCAATGGAGGCAACATATTAGCTACGGGCCAACAATTTTCGCACAAATTCAAAAATAACTTGGAACATTGCCAAAAACTAGAAAATGTGGTTTTTTGACGCTTTTCCAGAGAGGAAATTTGTTTTAGGGATTATCCGAAATAAACATGTTTGCTCAATGTGATAAATTCGAAATGAAATGAGTGGGAAATTTTGAGAGTGGGAAATAAGTGGGAAATTTTTTAACAATTATCTTTTGGTGCAAAAGAGACAGAAAAAACATTAATTTTCAACGATTGAATATACACAAATTTTTACAGTAATAATTTGTTCTTCAAGATAATTTGAAATGAATGAATTGATGATTAGATAAAACTGATTAATAATGTTTTTACTTGGTTTTCTTCTGGTTAATTCATCCATTAACTATTTCTTACCGCTTGTTGCTTCTTTCCCAGCGATGGTTTTGCGATGTTCTTCCTGAACTTGATCAAAATGCTGAGGTAGTTCTGTTGAATTCAGTTTCAATACATCAAGTGTTTCTACAATGTTGTTTTCGTTTTTCACAGCTGGAATCTCGCTTGCTGGCACTCTCGTAACAGCAGGCCGCGGTATTTCGGGTCTTGGAGTCTCGATGCAATTTGATAGAAAGTTTCTTAATGGGCTGAAACATGTATTCAGAAATTCTCGAATAGTTTCACCAATCTGGAATTTTTATTATCATTGTTACTAATTATAAGATAATGTTTCTAATTGTCTAACTAACCGATTGACTCATCTTTTGTAACTTTCAAAGTTTTGAACCTGAAAACAAAAACAAAATTGTATATATTTTATTGGATATATTAATAAAATAAAAGTCAAACGAAAAGCAATAATGGATAAAAGTATGAATGATATCTCCATAGAGAGTAGTCATTTTCATCATTTTTTTGAGTAAAAAACGCTCACATTTTGTGTTTTTCAGCATAATATTTTGCTTTCAGTTTTCGATACATCATAATTAAAATGAGTACTGTATTTACGGAAAGATTTTGATTTCAATATTTACGGTAAAATGTTTATTTTCAAAATTATGTATTTACAATTACAAAGCCATAAGATAAAGAGAATAAAAAAGGGGTTAATATTCAAATACGACATATTTTTTCGAAAAAAAATGTATTTTTACATCAAAAATTGTAGTTTTGTATAAGGAATTAGTCTACAGGGGTCTCTATATTTTTTTTTTGAAAAAAGGTTGAAAAATGAAGATTAGGAAGGCTGAATGAAGAATATTATCACAAAAAAAGAGAGAATCGAAACATAGGATTAAATGTAGGAAAATAGTTGGGTATTGAGTTAACCGAATAAAATAACTTTTTTTTTTGAATTTCATGCTAATGAAAATGAAAATCTTGCGCTGAAACAAAATGTTTAAACATTTATTGAAACAATTGAATCGGCATCAACTGAAACGCGGTGTTGTCGGATGATTGATCCTGCATCTCCAGAAGTGCTTGATCGCCGAGTTGCTAAAACGAGCACCGGCTCACTTGAATCTTTGACTTCTTCCTCATCTGAAAAACTAACAATTCGTAGTACTGTAGATTTTTTAGTGTTTTTGTCCGCTTTATTGAACTAACCATCAGTCAGAATGAAAATCAAACAATCCAAGACTTTGTTGCAGCACCATTTGTAAAAACGACGTGATCGTTTTCCCAATTTTCGGCATTTTTGAGCAACTTTTTGATACCACGGCCAAGTGTCCTCTTCAAAAGATACCGATTTAGTTGTGTAGATTCGTTCAGCTGAACGAAGACTTGAATTCATCTGGAATCTTATAAATAATTTGTTTTTAGGATTTCGAGTTTCGAAAATTGGTTAAAGGTATATTGCATGATATCATTTTATGATAACATTGAAAAAAAAGGAAAATTGTAGAATTAACAACTGAACGCTTCATTTCGAATATTTAGCATTCTCGTAGAGACCGTAGAAAGTCAAGAAGAAGACGAAAAGCGCAATCATGAAGATTGAAATGCAAATATGACCGAATTTGACCTGAAACATCATCTTTGTATTAGAAAAATCTGAACACTTTTTCAGTAAACTTACGTATTTTTCGTATCTGCATCTTTCGTTGTAGCGTTGTTCGAAGCGTCTGATGTTGACCTCGATATCAACATCTCTCTCGTTCTCTGGAACAAGAGCTTGATGATCCTGAAAAAATAAATTATTCCAAATTGTTTCCGTATGCCGAAATAGAGAGATACCGATTCGTCGATTGGATGGACCATGATGAAGATGCACAGAATCTGGAATTATTGATTGGTATAAACATTTCAATAAAAATTTGAGCACCTGGAACATTTTGAGAAGAAGTTAGTTGGGATTAATGAAATATTTCGGAAATTCTGAGAGTTTTTCGAGTTTTTTTCGAATTCTAATAAAGTAGATTAAAAATACAAAACGCATTTTTTCTGGTTACGGTAGCTTATTAATTTGGTTTCTTTCTTCGACCAAAGGTTCAACAAACTCGAATTACGAAAATGTCAAATAAATGTTAATGAAAAAACAAATCGAAAGCTGACTAACTTTTATAATTTTTATTAAAAATTATAAAAAAATATCTCTGGGGAATTTTAAATCACAAGAAAAACATTTGACTATGTATCTTCTGAAAACAAAAAGAATCGACTCAAGCTTAAGGTAACAATGGCGGCACGGGATGATGATAGACGGGCGCAGAAAAGTGCAAAAACGAGAGAAAAAACGGAGAAAAAGGAATAGTACATTGTTATTCATCGCACTATTTGGGAATAATAGTTTTTTTGGCTGGTTAAAACAAAATCCATTAGGGAAAGCTAACCAAAAAATTTTCAGGCTGTTGAAATGAGCTAATTTCGAAGTGATGCTGATGGAAAAATGATTTGGTAGCACATAAAGAAGGTCTCGCAAACCAAAATTTTTATCTTCTTTTTTTTCGAAAAAATGATGTTTTGAATCAAGATCCACAGCATAGTTTTGTTTTGATTTTGATGGCAATTGTTCTTAACAATTTTCATGAACAGTTTGAAAAAACGGAAATATTGAACAAAATCCAAAAGAAAATAAAGAAAAGAAACGTTCGGCTGTTTTGACAAACGATATGAGTGTGTGCGGTTTGTGAAAATAACAGATGTATATATTTTTCAAATACACAGATGTAGACTGTGGGCAACAAAAATAGGAAACTCGCGCAAAGTTTTTGTTATGCAGGTGTTTGAAAGATGCATATGAATTGTGGAATAACATAGTTAGAAGATATGTAGACATTCACTTCGGGTGAAGCATATTTTTTGAAAACGATATTTACAACAGGGATGAACAGTATTTATGACAGGGTTAACAAAATAATTTCAAAAATGAGGACTAAATAGCGTAGAAAATGGGTGAAATTTCTGGTCCCGGTATGTAGAAATTTATGTTGACATGCTTCTAATTTGCAGTAACTTGTTTTATCCATCTTTGAAATATTAACTTTTTGTTATTCAGTGTCGTCGAGTTATGCATGGACAACGAACCAATCTTAAGCTTTTTTTTAGACATAGACAGGTCTGTAAAAATATGTTTCAATATATACTCCCACTTCGAATTTTCTCCGGAGATTTCTGAATCTTCAGATTGCAAAATCTTGTGACGTAAATTGTTTTCAATAAAGAAAACTTGATAAGTTAAATTTTGTCGTAGATTATTTGTATCTCTGAGATTTTGTTTTTCAGTGGAAATCTTTGGATTACGTTTGTAATAATCATGTTATGTCAAAAAATTTTTTGTTTTCAAACGTTTTGATAAAAAATTAGTAGGGGATCTCAAAATTTGAGAATGAGTAAAATGTTTATTAGCAAAGTTTGATTCTCAAAACTTGAAGCGAACTTTTTCTATGCTTGTTTTTCCAGTGACCATTGTTTCAGTTTTCAAATGTTTTCTTTCAACTTCTTTTATCTCAACCGCCTTGAAAACCAAGAGAAAAAAAAAGAAAAGAAACAAATTTGAGAAAGAATGTTTTTATTCGGACATTTACAAAAATGATTGCGAGAAATTGTATCCTCAAGCAATATTTGTGAAGAGAAAACATCGCGTTTAGCGACGTCGAGTTCCATCCTCGAAGAAGATTCCTCCATCGATGGCGCAGTATCTGAAAGAAAAAAAAATGATTATTAATCAGAAAATTGGAAAATTTTTTGTTTGTTTTTGACCGAAGAAAAACTCACTTTGGACAGATTCCTTTCTCTCCTTCGCCTCCTGGATTTCCTGGTGGTCCTGGTGGTCCTGGATTTCCGTCGCTTCCTGGTTGTCCTCCTGGTCCTGGTGGTCCTTTTGGTCCTGGCTCTCCTGGTCCTCCTTGAGCGCTTTGTCCATCTGGTCCTGGGGGTCCCGCTGGCCCTGGTGGTCCAGCTGGTCCTGGGCCTGCTGGTTCTGGGTATGAGCTTTCTCCGTCTGGTCCTGGTCCTCCTGGTTGTCCTGGTTGTCCGTCGTTACCGGCTGGCCCGGCTGGTCCTGGTGGTCCTGGTGGTCCTGGTGGAGATGGCCCAGCTGGTTGTCCAGCAGGTCCTGGCCCTCCGGCTGGTCCTGGTCCTCCGTCTGGTCCTGGCGGTCCAGGTGGTCCAGGTGGGCATGGTTGACAAGGTGGTGGAGTTGAAGCCTCACATGGTGCACTAGCTCCTTTTCCTTCAGCTCCAGCAGCTCCTGGTGCTCCAGGCTTTCCTGGTTTACCTGGCTTTCCTGGTGATCCACCTGGTCCTGGTGGTCCAGGATTACAACATCCAGAGCATCCACCTCCTCCTCCACCTCCACCTCCAGCAGGTGCAGCATATCCTCCTCCGCCGCCTCCAGCGTAAGCTTGTCTTGCTGTTCTGTTTCTTGGCAATTCAGATTCATTGATATCTGACCACATATCACTGATTGAGCTCTTACAGTAAAGTGATTCCTTGGCCATTTGAGCTTTTGTTGCTTGCACATAATTGTACATCAATGGCAAAGTGAAACATAATGAAATTGAAGCAATAAGAGAGAATCCAACAGCTGAGAAAGCGATGAAACGATATGTTTTGAGTTTCAAATCAACATGAGACTCCATTTTGTTGACTGGATTGGATAGAAGACAAAACCCAGTGAATTGAATGAGAAATGCTCGGAGGTGTTGCCTTTTATATGAAATGAATGTTGAACTATTTTTCTCAAACCAGTTATTTGTTTTGTTTTCGCTTAATATGTAGATGAAAATAAAAGATGTTAAAGATAATAAACACAATATTTTATTAGAATACGTGTTGGTTCCACTTGTTTTTCTGTTGTTTTAACTTATAAATCAATTTTACTAATCTTTCGCTTTTTTTCTGTTGTTTTCACACATTTTTTCATACCATAGTGCTTTCATTGGGTCAATTCTGCGACAATGGTTGTTTTGAAACTAGTTTTTGAATAATTTTGAACACTTTGTATGGTGATAATAATCATATAATACACTAATTATTCTAGAAATTCCAAACTATAAACAATACTTGTTTCGTTTCACAATAGGAACTTGATTTTTTGATAGTAATTCCCAGAGGATTGAATAATCTATAAAAACTCACTTTTCCTTCAGTTTTCCTCGTGACTGAAAATCATTCAACCAAAATTCGCCTCATCAATTGTTTTGATATTTCCATCATTTCGCTGACGATTTTCCTGTAAAATAGAAATGAGTGAAACCTAAATAAATACTGAAGAAAAAATCAAGAATGTACATTTTGCATAAAATTACTTTTTGAGCACCAGTTCTAGTATAAAACTATCGAGAATCAACTAAACTTGTGCTTCTTGTACTAGGAAAAAAAGATGAATATAAGTTTTAGAACAAGTTACATTCAAATTCATGGAAAAAACAACAAAAAATTCGTGAATGAAAAATTTCCGAAAAACAAAAAAAAGAAAATAAAAGTAAAAATGGAAGTGTGCCCCATTGATAAAAATAGCATGTCTCGCACTCTTTCAAAAATTTGTGTGTTTCGTCGTTGCTGTTTTATTATTAGACTAAAATGGTGTGATTTTTTGTATATTTCAAAATTTGAGAAAACAGTTTTGAAAAAAAAACATATTTATTCTTTTTTTAGTTCATGAAAAATATTTGCATTCAGAATTCTGGCTTGAAAAGGCTTTCACTTTTAATTTGTAGTTTTAATTTATTTTTATTGATATTTTCAGTTTGTTAATACAGGGTGGTCGCGAATTACCCGTACAAATTCAATTTGTAGACATATTTGACCAGTGAATGTAGACATGACTTTTGGTCTTAAAAAGCCTTCCCAGATATTGTTTTCATTATTTTAACATACAATCTTCTGATATAATCTAGTCCTGTGGTAGTTGGACTATCGAAAATCCATTTCTAAAAACCACCTCAGGCACGCACTTTTTTTCAAAAAGATCAAGATTTTCCTATTCTTGTGGAGTTTGAAACTATATGTTTCTAGATCAGAATTTGAAGATAATCCCTAGATGTGTTTGATTTTCGAAGGACATAAATTTTCGAAGGACATATATATCGATATGTTCTCTAACAATAATAGGAAGCAGTGAGCTGGACCCCTCAAAATAGATTTTTCAACTTAAAAACACGATTTTTATCATTTTTCTTGTTCACCATCAGGGTGTTTGATTAATTTTTGGTATTTTTTGTGCAAAATGTCCCTAGTAGGCCTGGTTTGACTATTTGACTCCGAAATCTTATATACATCACAAAATTTTTGATTTTGGCTTCACTTCTTATAATTGTTAGGAAAAACAGTGGATATTCAAAACACACCTAGAAATGATCTCATAAATATTTTCAAGAGGGTTTAATCTTGCGAAATACCTTTCTTGATACCCAATAAATACTAGGAAATTCAGCTATGATTCTGAAATTCCGATATTGTTTCAAATTCAGCAGTCAAAGTAGAAAAATTAATAGAAAAAATAGTAGCGTACGAAAAATTGTGTTGTTTCGTTTTGTATCGTCCCGGACAACCTCGCAAACTTGGCCCAGACATGAAGAATCTCTATGAGTCTTGGAATATTATCTTCAACATATGTATGTAAAACTGGATAATTAGAAACACAGAAACAAGATAGGGAGATTCTGAAATAATATTTGAGCGGTTAATATAAAAAATTGGTTTGTACGGGTAATTCGCGACCACCCTGTAATAAATAAATGTGAAGGAATCACATTTTCAGACATTTATTCTCCGTAATTTTTTTTTGAATTATCAAAACCAGATACTAAAATTGTTCTATTCCAAATTACGCAAACATTTCAAAATTTCAGAAATTTCGACAAACTTCACCAACTTCCTCAAGTCATTTTTAACCAATCAATTTAACCAATCAACTTCCCGAAAATACTTATCAATTGTTGTTTGTTCCTAAATGAAAATCGAAAAAAAAAATCATGGAACGAAAGAAAGAGAAACCGATTTTTTTGCGCATTGATAAGGTTAACTGTGACCATTTTCTGGCAGTATAAAACAGGTAAGAACGGCATTTTACTACAAAATTTTGTTCCTGGATAGCCAGTTTCTAAAACATCTCTCTTCTCATTTAAAATGACATTTTTTCAGATGTCGTACGCGGTCGCAGTTGCGAGTACTGCGTCAATTGTCGCTACCGGACTACTTCTGATTTCTGTTGGAAGTATCATTTCGGATTTGAACAATTTGCAACTTGAAGTTTCTGACAACATGAATGATTTGAAGGTAATTTAATTGATATTAGGGGAAAACATAACATAGAAAACATTTTCCAGATGAAATCCGATGAAACTTGGTCAAAGATTTTGTCTCTTCATGTCAATCCAACAGGAGAATCGCAAGCCGCTCCAACATTTGCAACTCTGTTCGGAAGACACAAACGTGACAACAGCCACTGCAACTGTGGACCTCAAACAAAGAACTGTCCAGATGGCCCACAAGGTCCACGTGGGCCACCAGGACAACCAGGTCTTCCCGGAAATCCAGGTCTCAATGGAAAACCAGGACTCGCTGGAAACAGTATTGTTTATCACCAAGTTTTCGACGGAGAATGTATTCCGTGTCAAGCTGGACCAGCTGGGCCACCAGGACCAGACGGAGAGCCAGGTGTTGGAGGACAAAACGGACCACCAGGACCAAACGGCAAGCCAGGAAATCCAGGCCCACCAGGACCACCAGGACCAGCCGGGCCAGCAGGAAACAAGGGACCAGCTGGACCAGCTGGACCAGCCGGACCAAAAGGAGCACCAGGAACACGTTACTCAAAGGGAGTCAATGGCAAACCAGGAATTCCAGGACCTTGCGGACCACCAGGGCCACCAGGACCAAACGGACCATCTGGAAAGCAAGGACAACCAGGAGAGCCAGGATTCGGTGGACAACCAGGAGTTCCAGGTCCACAAGGAGAAGATGGAAATCCAGGAAACCCAGGAAGCGATGGTGCTCCAGGAGACGATGCCGCTTATTGTTCATGCCCAAGCAGAACAATGTTCGCCGCCGCTGCTGCCGCTGCCGCTGTTTGATTCTCTTGCATCAAATAAACTCTTTTGCATTCAACACTGTTTTTAGAATTTTCAGAAAAAACTCAAGGTCAAAAAAATTTAGCGTCATTCATCGGAAACATTTCTTTAAATTTATCAGAATTTCAAAAGAAAAAGTGTTTTCAAGGTCGATCATTCAGCTCATTTCGATAGATTTTGCGATAAACGATACATTCTGAAATATTGGATTCATTTGCTTTTCATTGTTATCAAAAATATAATTAAAATCAATTTTCACCCTCAATCATTTGAGACTCAATTGATGAAAAATGAAAACATATTTGATTGGATATTTTTGTAATAATGATACATGGGAAAACCAATTCTGTGTCAGCTTAGAAGATGGCACGAACGAGATGAACAAACTTTGATCATTTTTTGAGAACAAATTTCAAAGAAATTGTTAGATGAACTAAAATAAACATTGAGATACAGTAGTGGCCAAAAAGCTATCAACTTTTGATTTTTTTCTATAATTCACCTCAACTTTATCGGATTGGGCTCAAATTTTTTTCTGGGCTATGTTAGTCACTAGTGAATATATTCCGAAAGTATTTGTCAAAAAATTTTTCATTGGTGGATGTTCAGATCATTCAAACTGATTTTCAGGATTCTGAGAATTTTCAATTTTTCTTAAAACTGCCCGGGAAACTTCAATATTGTCCACAAATTATAGAATTACTCAATCTCTATCATAGAAGACATATCTGACTATCGATTCCGACCTTAATATTGAAATTTCATTCATTGTGAACTCTATTCCGATGATTTCAGTGAGACCATCTAGAAAAATGGTTATGAACCAATAAATCGATTTTCATGACATATTATCATCGGATTTTCGATAAAACACTTCAATTTGATCATTTACATTCATAAACATCATTTTTGAATCGAAATCCGATGTTTTCGGTGTGATTTTGACATTGATGGAATTTAGATGTTTGTCTAGATCTTTGATTCTAGACCATCGAGGACATCAAAAAGTTGATTTTGATGTTGGATTTTATTACCAATATGATTCTGTTTATGTCCCACAATCAACCTGCAGGTCGCGGAACCTAACTCTTGAAATAAAGATCATTAAATGAAAAGTTCTCAAATTCATACTGTTTTCAATGGGTTTTCTTCACAAAAATTCAGTTTTGTTTTCAATGCTCTCCTATGGGACCACTGATGTTTGCAGAGGTGAAATTCTTTGTCAAACGTGTTCCGGTACACTTCGAGCATAAAATCCAACATCAAAATCAACTTTTTGATGTCCTCGATGGTCTAGAATCAAAGATCTAGACAAACATCTGAATTCCATCAATGTCAAAGTCATGCAAAAAACATCGGATTTCGATTCAAAAATGATGTTTATGAATGTAAATGATCAAATTGAAGTGTTTTATCGAAAATCCGATGATAATATGTCATGAAAATCGATTTATTGGTTCATAACCATTTTTCTAGATGGTCTCACTGAAATCATCGGAATAGAGTTCACAATGAATGAAATTTCAATATTAAGGTCGGAATCGATAGTCAGATATGTCTTCTATGATAGAGATTGAGTAATTCTATAATTTGTGGACAATATTGAAGTTTCCCGGGCAGTTTTAAGAAAAATTGAAAATTCTCAGAATCCTGAAAATCAGTTTGAATGATCTGAACATCCACCAATGAAAAATGTTTTGACAAATACTTTGAGAATATATTCACTAGTGACTAACATAGCCCAGAAAAAAATTTGAGCCCAATCCGATAAAGTTGAGGTGAATTATAGAAAAAAATCAAAAGTTGATAGCTTTTTGGCCACTACTGTATCACAACATTGAAATGTTATTACGTCAGTTAAATATGTGAAGATGTGGAATTTGTAAGGGTCTTTATTTTTCAGAAAAAAAACCATCTATTACTGTAACTCGTTTGAAAAGCTGACCTTTTATTAACCAACTTCTCTTTGACATTTCTTAACTGTTGACATTTTTGGGTTCTTGAAAACAATTGTGAATCATAAAAACTGAATCACCTCTTTTTTGTTTGAAAAAATAAGTAAAAGAAAGAAAAAGAGTCACGCGCGAATACAACAACAGAGTACTACCAAACACTGAAAAAGAACTTCCAAAAAATGTGATTAAAAAATAATATTTAATAGTGAAAAAAAGCTCTCATTGTATGAAATTAGAACTTAGAAAACATCCAAAACATAAAACAATTTTGATCAAAACCTTCCCGCTGCTTTTACATATGTTCTTACAATCTTTTTCTATTCAAATTTTTATTTGAACACTAATTAAATGTAGTCAAGTGTCTCAATAAAATCATTCATTAGAGTCTATTTCGTCTAGTTACAAATAGTTGAAATTGATTTATTGTTTTTTCTAGCATTGAAAATTTTTTAAAAAAATAACCCAATATCCACTATTTTAATTCACCCAGAAATTTATGAATTTTTTTTTGAGAAAAATTGATTTTCTGAGAAGTTCATTTTTTTTTTCCCAAATAAAGTCACATTCAGCTGTTCAATTGTACTTATTTGAATGTGTTTTTGTTAAGAATACACATCCTCGTGTCAATTTATTGTGAAATTCAAAATCAATCTCAACTCTAAGAATCTGAAAATTAAACGACCTTCCCTTAGTTTGCTCGAATCGTTTTCATAAAAACCAACCACTCTTTTTTACTTGAATTCTTTTACTTTGAAAAATAAGACAATAGCTACAGTATCCCCTTTTGTGCGTTTGGGATATTTGTGTTGAATCACATTTCTAAAGCCTCCAAATTTTTTCAAGTAAACACTTTTCGTATGTACTTTTGTTTCCAGTCACCTCTCATTGCACTTACACAAGTTAGTTATGGTTAACAAAAATTATGGGGTTTTTTTTGTACTACACCAACATCTGCCAAAAATTGTTATATTATTGATTCTTTCCAGACGCGTTTCTAATGGTTAAAAAAAAACAATTATGAAATTAATATTTCACAATTCCTGTTATGTGTTCGAAATTTTCCCAAACCAATGTTTTTTTAAACCTAAAGGGCGGTGCTCGCTGATGTTTCTAACATAAAAATATATTTTTCCATGTTACGCCCATATTGTCATCAGATCTATATAACTCGAGAGTACCCATTCTATTTATTACTCTTGTTAATTTTTAGTTGATGTTTTCATATCTACAAAAACATGATGTATGTCTACATATATTGTAGGAAAAGAGTCATTTATTAGTTCGATAACAACTTTCTATCATTTACTCTCTTTCTCTAATACAGAAGTGTTTTAGTTTTTTGTTTACATTTATAATTCATAATGGTCAACTTTTTTTGCATGGTCATCGTTTTATTTCGAATAATTACATAGTAACAGATTGTGGAAAAATTGAGCAACACAATTTTTGTTTATTTTATCAATATTTGTTATTTTCGTATTTTTCTTTTCATTGTTTTCATTTTCTATTATTTCAGGTTGTATCAATTATGAAGCTTCAACTGTTTTGTTTATTGCTCTTTTTCGAAATCTCCAGCGGTTTAAAAATATATCCAGTAAGTTTTTGAATTTGTAGAAAAATATCGCAAAAAATTATAAATGGTTTTAGAATGCGAGCCAGGTTGATAAACCGTTGAACGTTCCTTGTGACCAAAAAATGTGTGACGGACCATTGTCTTCAATTTATTGCAATGGAGACATATTGTATCTTTCCTGGCAATTTGGACTCCAAGAATCTTGCCCCGGTGATAAATTGAAAGTCAATGAAGCACAAGTTCTGTTCAATTTCGCTCGGTGAGTTTTCCCAACAAAAATAAACAATTACGAATTGAAAATATGAGAAGAATAATTGTCCAGCTTTATTTTCAAAAAAAATTTGGACATATGATGAAATATGAAATAAAATATTTTCAGCCTCAAATACCCGATCAAACGAGAAGATTTTGAGAACTTCTGCAATGCCAATTTTGAAAAATTCGATTATTTGGTACCATATCCCATTGTTCCAAAAACGGGAAACCTTCACTACACCAATGAAATCAATAATATGAAACATTTAAAATTGGCAATTGAAATCAACAAAAGATGGAATGATTTGTCGAAAGTTTTTAATCAAAAATTGTTATTACAACCACATCTTTTCCCAGTTCGAGTTGTTCAAGATCCTTTTATCATTCCTGGCGGTCGTTTCAATGTCTATTTTTATTGGGATTCATATTGGATCATCAAAGGATTGGCACGAGCTCGCTTGTGTGAATCAAGCACTTTCATTGTCAAAAATTTTATCTCACTTATCAACCAATATGGTTATGTTCCAAATTCTGGACACATACAGTTAGTTTAATTATGAACATCTTTATTTAAAGTCAGTTTTCTCCAGATTGTCACGTCGTTCCCAACCTCCAATGCTGCTTCATATGATTGAGGAACAATTTGCAAGCTGTCAGAATATAGAATACGATTGGTTAGAGGCAGCTGCGAAAGAAATGGAATTCTGGGAAACTAATCGAACAATAAAAATTGATAATCACACAATGTTTTTGTACAGGGTAGGAGTTCAAAGTATTAAATTTTATGAAAATTTCGTATTTTTTCTAGACACAAACCAATTGTCCTCGACCTGAAAGCTTTTTGGCTGATTACAACAAGGGTATCAGTTCAACAGATCCGAGAAAAGTTTGGAGAGGAATTTCTTCAGCGTGTGAAAGTGGTTGGGATTTTAGCAGTCGGTGGATTTCGGATAACTCGACCAACACTATTCAAGCAGATCGTATTGTGCCAGTTGATTTGAATGTTATCATGGCAAAGAATTATTATATTCTTTTTGAATTGTATAACTTGTTTGAGATGTTTGAGTAAGTTGGAAACTATTTTCTAATTATTTCCAACCTAACGAACTTTTTCCAACAGTTTCGCTGAAGTATATAAAAACAAGTATGAAGTGTTGTCAAATTCGATTCATGAATTGATGTGGAACGAAAATGAGAATAGCTGGTTTGATTTCAATCTTGACATAGAATCTCAAAGGTATTATAAAAAAAACTAGATGCTCAAATTAATTTTGTAAAACATTTTCAGCAACAAGTTCTACATTTCGAATCTTTTCCCACTTCTTCTTCCATCAATGCAACAACATGCCAACAAAACAGTTGATTTGGTGAAAAACATCACAAGATTTGATGGTAAGTAAAACAGAACTAAAAAAAATCAAGAAAAAAGAAAGAAACGTGTGTGAATCACGATTAATTTCCAATTACCTCTTTATCTATATTTTTTGAATAATATTCCGAATTTTAGGTGGAATTCCAATTTCATTAACACCTTCAACCGAGCAATGGGATTATCCAAATACATGGGCACCAACTCAACACTTATTCATTCAAAGTCTTCGTGCCACAAACAATCTTATTCTTCTTGAGGTATCGTTACATTATACAATTGATTTTTACATTTTTCAAACATCTATTTCATCAGATCGCCAAAACTCAATCTCTGAAATTCATTGAAACAGTATACAACGGCGTATTCAACCCACCAAAAGGACAAAATGGTACAATTTGGGAAAAATATGATGCACGATCTTCAAATGGAACTCCAGGAAAAGGCGGCGAATATATTGTGAGTTAATCGGGTTTCAGATCGAGAATGCTTTCAAAAATCTTATTTTCAGGTTCAAGAAGGGTTCGGTTGGACAAATGGAGCGGTGATTGATCTCATTTGGCAAGTGAGAGATGAATTCCCAAAACGAATAATTCCAAAGCCAAGAAACAACTCTCTAAAGAGAAACACACGCAAACCAGCACCACGTATTGACCAAAATTCTCTTCTGATGCAGTGGTTTGTCATTTCTGTTTTCTTATTTGTCATTTGCTGTATCCTCATTGACAATTTCATAATTGTTTGTCTCAACTTCCTCGTCACCTTTTTCACAATTATTATTGAATGTATCAATTACCTTCTCCGACTTTGCGAATCAGATCCAGAATATGACCGTTTCTAAACATCTCCAACTAATGTAAGTAATTAATTGTTTAATTAAATAATACTTGTAAATTGTATCTCATTTTTTAATGTTATCTTTATTTAAATTTCCATGGTAATCTCATAACTTTTGCCTTAACATTTTTGTATTGCCTCATAAATTGGTTCAAATGATCGAATTTCCGGAATGTAAGGAGGAACAAGTTCTTCATCTTCGACAAGTCCTAAATCGAGATGTCCAAAATCATGAGAATATTGATAACAAAATACGGATAACCATTCAATATCATAAACTGATTGACTTTCATCCAATCTAATGATCATATTTTGATTGGAAATATCTTTGGTGATGGCACAAATTCTGAAACATTTTGTTTTTTCATTCAAATTATTTTTCCTCTTGGAAGAACTTACTTGTTTGGCGTGTCTCGTCCTACAACTGCCGCTTTCTTTCCAGTATTTTGATCAATAGTTGCCCCAGTACCAGCATAAAAATAACCATCTGGTGTTTTCGAAGCTTCATAAGAAAAGTTTGGTACACGCAAAGTTCTCGAATCCAAAACTTCAATTGGATCGGAAATGATTCCATACTCTCCAAACAGTCCCATATCATCTTCTCTTTCAAAACAGCAAAACGGTTTTGGTGCATTTTTGTTGAGTTCTACTTGAGCTAGTATTATCTGAAAAAAATCCCTCGAAAAATTGAAAAAAAAAACTGAAAAAAAAAAGAACCCCGTTTTTATTGACCACGCCAAATTGTTTCATTTGCACATCTGAGCCAGCATTAACTACAAATCGACCATTTCCTTTCAAATTTTGAAGATCATTTCGAGATTTGAGCCAACTTCCGCCTGCAGAATGGAGATATTCATAAATCTTCGGCTTGATCCGTTTGTTTCCAGAAAGAATCACAAAAGGTCTATCAGCAATATCTATAAACAGCGTAATTAAGTTGAAAAATGAAAAAAAATATTATGGAGGTATGGGGAATTGAACCCCAGCCCTCTCCCATGCTAAGGGAGCGCTCTACCACTGAGCTATACCCCCAGTTGAATACCCAATATCGCAAGCCGGTTATATAAACACCTGTTAGGTCTTATGAATGAATAGAAATAATGAGAGAAAATGAGAAAAGGCAACATGTTTGTTGATTTGCGTAAATGCGCGAAAAATTGAAAATAAAAGTGAGAAGAACAAATAAAACTGGAGAAGCTGGAGAATATTATTGTTTGTTTTTTTTTTTGTGAAAATATAATTGGAAAGGTCAGAATACATTACAAGTTGAAGGAATTTCTATTGAAAATTAAAGTTTGAATACAAACAAAAAGTATAGATCTCATTAATTAATTTTAAACAGAATAAGAAAATAAGCGCACCATTTCAGTCTAATAAAAAACAGCAACGACGAAACACACAAATTTTTGAAAGAGTGCGAGACATTCTATTTTTATCAATGGGGCGCACTTCCATGTTTGCTTTTATTTTCTTGTTTTTGTTTTTCGGAAATTTTTCATTCACGTATTTTTTGTCGTTTTTTTTCATTAATTTGAATGAAACTTTTTGTAAATTTATATTTATCTGTTTTGCTAGTACAAGAAACACAAGTTAATAGATTTTCGATAGTTTATATTAAAACTGGTGCTCAGCAAGTAATTTTATGAAAATATGTACTTTCTTGAATTTTTTTCCGTTTAAAGTACTTATTTAAATTTGACTCATTTCTACTTTACAGGAAAAACGTCAGCGAAATGATGGAAATATTGAAACAATTTATGAAGCGAATTTTAGTTGAATGATTTTCAATCACGAGGAAAACTGAAGGAAAAGTGAGTTCTTTGAACATTTTTTTAATTTGAGGTTTTGAGTTTTATGCCCTGTGCAATTTCCAATGTTTTTTTAAACTATGGGATCCTCCCTTATAAAAAACAAAATTAAAAAAAAAAAAAACGAAAAAGTTTTCTGGAGGTATGGGGAATTGAACCCCAGCCCTCTCCCATGCTAAGGGAGCGCTCTACCACTGAGCTATACCCCCACACATTTCCACTCTCTCTAATGTCAGTTTTAAATGCATGCTGCAGCACCTGCCTGCTTCTCTGTCGTTTTTTCCGCGTTTTTTTCTGTGTTAGTGTCAGAGAAACATACCATCTGTTGTTGCATGAAAATTGAGAACTTGCAAATGTGTCGAATTAATGAGATAAATTTCTGCTTGTACAAAGTTGTTTTTTAAGCTTCCTACAAAGTTTCCATAATATTCGGAGCCTTGGATAATTCCTTTAATATTAAAATTATGTTTCAGTTTAAATATAATTCAAAACAAACCAATTGAAACTGAAATAATGAGAAATAATAGCATGACAGAAAGTAAAAATGAAAAGAAAAAGCCTAGACGAACTGATAAGTTAAACCTAACTTAACCCAGAAAACATTTGTATTGTAAACCAGTTTTTCATCTGAATGTAATTCATTCCGTACAACTTTCATTGTTTGTTTCACTGCCCATTTCCTCTTACCCCCTTAAAAATGACAAATTGGGAGATTATTTCTAGGGACCGGCTGTGACATATGAGTATAAAAAGAAAAAATCGAATGAATGAATGAGTCAGGAAAGAAGTGGGCATATGTGCATGTGAGATTATATAATAAGGCTGTTAGAAAATTGAAATTCCGAGTATTCTTTTTTTTTCTTCTTTCATCCTAGTTTGCTTATTTTTTTTTAGGAAAAAACTTGTACCTTTTCCATAATAAATTCACGTCGTTCTATTGCAATAGAATAATTTCATATAAATCGCTAGATCGTAAAGTCTTCAAAAAATTTTCTGGAAGATCAGAAATGTTTTTCATGAGAGTTGGCACACAATTTTTTTTTTGATAAACATATGTAGATGTACGAGAGTTATATTATAAACATGCTGAAAGTCTAGAATTCAACTTTCAGAATTAAAGAGTTCCGTTCAGAAGATAGATTTTTATGAAAGAATAGAATCTAAAAATTGTATTTTTTGTTTCAACATCGAAGTAGGTTTTCTTCTTTTTTGCTTTTTGTTGAGCAGATAAATGTACTTGACGAAATTTTTGTTGTCTTTGAAGCTTATCGAAGAACATAGAATTATGCTGTTGATTGACGACTTGAGGGCTTTGAGGGATAGTTGTTTTCTTCTGGTTCAATTGAAAAGGGAAAAATGTGAATATTCAACACCGTCTGTTCTTTTTTTGCTGCCACCCCATCCAATTCCATCTAATTTTCTAACCAACCACAAATGCACTCGCTCAGTCAGTTACATCATTTTGCCTCTTTTTCCAATTAATCGTCATCGACGTTCTTTTTTTCTTCTATTTTTTCTGGGCCTTCCATAATGTGAGCACAACAAGAAGATGGAGAAGCACATGCAGAAAAATCACATCCTGTCTTGTTATTATTTTTTTTCTTCTTTTTTTTTCCGTTTTTCAGTCTGTTTTTCTCTTATATAGGCTGGAAAAGAAAGAATAAATTATATGTGATGCTAGGAAGTGTGTGTCTTTTTTGTTTTGTTTGAATGATGTATATACAACAACGTCTTTTCCGGATTACATGAATGTTGGAAAAACAGAAGAAAATGAAAAAATGAACAGTCATAACAAAATAATTTGGGAGGAGATAGAAAGAATAGATTCTGTCTGAACAGGAAAAATCAGAAAATCTTCACGTCTAAAATTGTGTTTCTGTAATGTCAAATTTCTAGATTTTCTTTGGATTGTTAGGCGTTTAATGCATATTTCCCAGTCACTCCCCTGCTAGTCTTTTTGAACTCTGAATTTTGTAAATTTTTGTTATTTTTTCATTATTTGTATTTTCACCCACGACGGGTTGCCCAAGGTATTTTCGGAAAAATTATAATACTTTCTCGAGGATAAAATTAGATTCAATACTTTGCACTTTATTCTCCAGACTTCAAATTTCACATTTTCCAATCTCAATTTTTTTGAACAAAATGAACATATTTTTCATCTCTGGGCGTCTGAGTTGAAAAATATATGTCTTTAAAAAAATTAACCACCATGTTAACTCAAAAGTTACTCAAAAATCTTCACTGGTTTCAAAAAGACGATTTGAAAATTTGACCTCGAAGATTTTAACTTTTTAATTATCAATTTTGCTGTACAATTATTTTTTTCCATTCGATATTCAAGGAGATCCCAACATTAAGAAATGTTTTTTGATAGTCCATAGTTTTATCAGTTTTTTTTTTTCAAGTCATAAAATCTTGAAATTCTACATTTCTCGACCCCTATTTTCAAAAAAAAAAATCCATTTTCATATGATATCACCCGAAAAGCACACAATTCCTTTTTTCAATCTCATCTCTTTGAAAAAACTGAGAAGATGATTGACACCTTGTTTCATCACATATAAACGTCATGGGTGGTTCACATTCAATTTCCTTTGCCAAAATAATTATTTCGCATTTCCTCATATTTCAAAACCTCCGAAAATCTTGGACCTAATCAATTCCACCTTCCTGCTTCTCTCCACTTCCAAAAGAGTGCAATAAAAATAATATTTATACTTGGTGGCGGAGTTTTTTCATGTCCGGTGCTGCTTATTTGGCCTAGTTACCCCTTCATTTTCTTTTTTCTCTTCAACTGCTCCTATTACTACTCCCACTACTATTTTTCAAGTGCGAATTTTCCATTTTTCTCTTCTTTCCTTTTCTGTGCGTTCAAATGCGAGCAGAGAATAAGAATAAGTGAAAGAGCATCAAAAATAGAGACCGAAGAAAAAAGAAGACGAAGAAGAAGAAGACGAGAAAACGAAGAAGAAAAAGAAAAAAGTATTCAGAAAAGGGAAAAAAGAAGAAGACAGCAGAAAATGGAGAGAAAAAGGATTCGATTCGGTCGACGTGCACACACATGGCTTATTGGACATGCGCTGGGCATGGCTGACGAAGAGCTCGGCACAGAGAATATATATATTTCTATATATGTATATATATATATGCGTGTGTATACTAGACACCCGGGTATTTTTTTTTTGAAAAAAAAATTATTTTTCTCTGATTCTTTAGGTGATTATTATAACCATGATTTTGTTCTGTCTAATAGATTATATTTGAAAATTGTAATCACATATAACTGGAATGATCTGAATCTTCTAGTTTCCAAACATTTCTTTCATTTCTGAGTATCTCTTTTTTCTTTGACGTCAATCAAAATGCTCGTTTTCATTTCCTCCTTTTTCTCTGAAAACTAAAACTTGTCAGATCTTAGCTCTAGAATTGACTTTTGATTTTATCTAATTTCTCAATGATTCACCACGTTTTTTTCTGGAAATCCTATAAAATTCAAAGTGCTTTCGTTGAACTTTGACAATGTTGATGTTGATCAGTAGATTTTTAAATGAAGAATATTCCGTGAGACTTGTTTTGATGATTTCATTTTTTGACATCAGATTTTCATGCTTTATTTTTGAACTTGAAATGTTGAAATCATACGGAAAAAGTACGCAACTCACTACGCAGATTTTTAGTCAAGATATTGAGATTCTATTTAAGGATGTCAGACGGAGCATCAAAAAATAAAAGCAGCAATGAGTTTTTCTCAATTCAAGTTTCTGAACTCAAATTTTTTAAAAAATAAAGTTTTTTTAGAATCAGACTAATTTTTATTTTTTGAGATAGTCAAAATGTTGTATCTTTGAATCGAACTATTCGGAACAAGCCGCAAATTTTTCTAGAATTGTTGTTTCATCAATAGATGCTTTTTTTTAGCTCCCACAAAACATAATTCCACCTAAAATCATCTATTGAACATGGAACATCATTTATTGAACATGGCCTGGTTTCTCATATTAGGTTGAAAGCTTCCTAAAAATATCACCAAATTCTCTAAATCCTAGCAGATTCTTGAAAGTAAGACACAATCAATTCTAATAAAATGTGTAGAATTTTTCAACCTATCATAAACAACTTCAAAAGATGCCGCCGATAACTTTTGTTCCTGAACCCTAATTTTTCTGCAAAATAATTGTGTATAGAATCCATTTACAACCCGAAACTCTCCGATATGAAAAATCCTCTCTCACATTAATAAACTACATCTCCTTCTTTTTCTCCCCATGAATCTGAATCACAACTTATGTCGAAACTAACTCTCTTTTTTGTCCCGTTTTTGTTCGTATTTTTTCCAACAAAACATCTATTCTCTTTTCTCTTGTCACATAAAACTCGGGGATTTTTTCCTGTTTATTTATAGTGGTTGTTTTCTATCATTTGATTGAAATTTCAAGCCATTTTTTCTAGTGTATGTTGGTCCATTTGAGTTTTTTATGAGCAGTCCCTCGAGCCCCTCAGCTTGACACACAAAATTCATTGCCTAAAAGAGCATACACACTCTCAAAGCTTTTCACATTTTCCGTCTCTTTTTTTTCATGTTTTTTTCGCGTGCTGTGTCAATTGGATAAATGTGAATTTTTTTCAGGGAATCGTGGACAATACAAAAAATCATATGACTGAGTCCGTCGATCGGGCGACGTCTGCACATGTTTGAAGCTCTCAAGGTTGGTATTTTCTTTTGTTGAAAAAATTAATCAAAATATGTATCTCATTAAAAAATAAAAACAAAACAACTTTTTCGTATACATTTCACTCATAAAAACATTCCACTATATAGTATCATGTTTTCCCCTGAAAAAAAAACAATTCTGAAAAGAAAAGAAGTGTGGTGTACTTCTAATCCTTGTTTCTTTGAAAATTCTTTGAAAACTGTTCAAAGACAACGATTAGTCATACTTTCTGCTGCAAAATGAATGTCTTCATCTTTTTTGTATAGATACCGTAGTAAATTTTTTTTGAACTAACTCGTCATTTTTTCAATATGACGTTTAGCTATATAGAACTACAATTATGTTCATTAGCTATATGGTAGGTGTACATTTATTCATTTTTTCATCACCTCCCACTTCATTTTTCTTATTCTTCATCTAATTTTATACATATATTTCTCGCCTCTTGAGAATCGAAAAATTTCACAATTTTTCATTGCGAAACCCTGTCATCATTCATACCCCTATTTCCTTTTCAATTTCAAAAACGAAATATTCATAGAATCGACAGCCAGCAAAAAAAAAAAACAATTCGCATCATGAAAGTGCAAATTGAAAAAAAGTCATTAGGGGATCAATTTTTTGTCTTCAAAAGAAAATGGATATACAAATAAGACATTAATTTTGAGATGAGCTATTATTAGAATGACTATCGATTTTGTGAGGGAGTATTAGTCTGCATTTTTTGGATTAATCTAAAAATAAATTGGAAACTTATCTCAAATCCTAGCTAAAATTTAAAAAAATTCTCAGGAGGTTTTTTTTTTCTAAAATTGAACCACGTCACGTTATTACTTTCTGACAAAGTGTGCACTCTCTTTTTCTTGGATTTGAGTTTGGCCCATACTGCCCAATCGATTTTCAATATAATATAGAAAAATATTGGAAAATGTATTTTCAGAGTTCTCAAAATCCCCTACAAAAACACTGAAAAATAGTAAAGTAATTTTTTCGAGAAGCAAAATCAATAACATTTCTCATATGTTCTGCAAAAAGACAAATTCCATGAGCCGACAGAACTGAAACATAGTTTCTGAGAAAAACTAATGCTTTAAAATATTCCCATGGGTGTTAGGTGACATAAAAAATCTGCACTACTATTGTTCTTTCACTCCCCCACTCTTTTCCATCGTCCAAAAAATATATAATTGCTGAAAACCTCCCATTTCTTTTTTCGATGCTTTTTTTGCTTACCTGCGCATAGAGAATTGCACATACATTTTTCACACTTCGTACTAGTCGTTTTTCTTTTCTACTGTGCTTTTGCTCTTCTATTGTTTCTGGTGAACTATTTTTTCTTTCACAGATTTATGCTAAAGTTTGTCAAGAAAAAATCGAATGGTTTTTGTGCAGCGGTGAGAAGGGGCTTTTCTTCGATGGAAAAAAATAGGAGGCGGTGCTTGGACAGAGAATATAAGCTTTGTCTGTTAGTTCATTCGTCTTTTAGTCATTTTCAAACATTTTCAGTTCACATTGGAATATTCAAATAAGAGTTCATCTTTGCTCCCCTCTCCCCGAAATTTATTTAAATGCAAATTACCTTCTTTTGTTTCAGGAAGTGCTCGGAGAGATAAATAGCAAATTAGCTGCTGTGAATAATGAGCTGAACTCGAAAATGTCTGAAAATATGGTATCGTCGCGACCTGTCGCACAGGCACAATATTGCGGTCCTTATAAACTTGAAAAAACTCTTGGCAAAGGTCAAACTGGTGAGTTTTAAAAGGTTTTGTAGTGTTCTTATAAATACTTTTTCGCAAATATAAGAAGTGTAGATTTATGATGTTCAAAAAATCAGACCAGTGACAAAAATCACCTGAAAACATTTTGCAAATGTTGTCTGTTGAAATTCTACCATATCTCAAATTTGAGATGTCATCCATTCTTTCCTCTTTTTTGACTTCAACAAAGTCATATTTTATTCAAGATTGTAGTGTTGTTCATCTCAATTATTCGTTTTGGAAAAAAGAGAGAACAAATACCCGACACAGAGAAATCGATAAAAAACAAGAAAAGTGCAATCTCTTGGGGCACATTTTTCACTTTAACTCTTCTTCTCTTTTACAACCAAGATTTGCTTGAATAATACGAACTACAAACACACCAAAACCAAAACATACATTGTTTTAATGGTGTTGAAAAAAAAAACAAAAAAAGGGTCAAACAATTTTTTTCTTGTTAAAAATATTTTCAACATACATAATTTGTACAATTCTCCCCAGGGCTATGAATATGCAAATTACTAATTTTTCGAGACAAAAAAAGAGTCGACTTTGGAGTGAGAAAAATAAAAGGAAACAAAATGATTTATTGTTTTTTCTGTCTTGCAGGTTTGGTGAAAACGGGAACTCATTGTATAACGGGCCGGAAAGTTGCAATCAAGATTGTCAACAAGGAAAAACTTAGCGAATCAGTATTGCAAAAGGTAAGACTGCTTTTTCAGAATGAGAAAAAGGAGAGACTTGTATATAATAACAGGAGTAGAATTATAATAATCACATCACTGTTAAAAGTCGCTTTATTTTTAACTCATTATTATTCTGCAGACTTTGAAAAAACACATTTCAGTTTAATGATGATTTGAGATGAGCAGAATTCAGTTAGCACTTCTTGGTCGATAATGGGATCAAAAGTTGGAAAACCGCTATTTCAATTACTTTATTTTCTGGGCGGCTAGAACTTTGAGTACCAGATTGAATAAAATTCGGGATACTTTATCATCAGATGTAATAGATGAATCTAAAACCAAAATCCAATATTCAAATTCTATTGGGTTTTTTGAAAGTATTCTACAACTATGAGTTAGACCATTTCAAACTTTGGTTCCTTATTTTATCCTAATCCTCTCATTTATAATTATGGTCATCTATACTTTTTTCAACCAATCAGAAACCATACACATATTTTTGTTTACATTCTCATTTTCCTTTTTCATTCATGTAATAGACAAAATAGCCCCATTCCACTAATTCCCAAATGTGTTTGACGCATTTTGAATGAGTAAATGAATACACGAGTCGATTAATAATTAACACCTCGTTTCCTTCCTTCTGCTTTTTCTCCAAGTACCACACTCAACGTGTGGTCCTATCGATTTTTTATGTGTGGTCCACTCAAATGCCAATAACATTTTGAATTATAAATAACGAGGGAACCTTTTTTTCTAAAACGCTAATAGAGTTGTTGTTTTACAAAGAATCAGAAATCATCATTATGAACGGGAAAACAACAAAACACTTTCAATTGTTACAGGTGGAAAGAGAAATTGCAATTATGAAACTCATTGAGCATCCACATGTTTTGCATCTTTATGACGTCTACGAGAATAAAAAATACTTGTGAGTCAAATAATTCGAAGACTTCAAAAGCATCCGAAACAACATTTTTAGATATCTCCTTCTGGAACATGTAAGTGGTGGTGAACTATTTGATTATCTCGTGAGAAAAGGTCGATTGATGTCAAAAGAAGCCAGAAAATTCTTTCGACAAATCATATCAGCACTTGATTTTTGTCATGCTCATAATATTTGGTAAGATTAAAGTTCTTTCTGATTTTTATCCGAACAAAAAAACTCTTTTTTTTCTAGCCATCGAGATTTGAAGCCAGAAAACTTACTACTCGATGAAAGAAATAATATAAAAGTCGCTGATTTTGGAATGGCGTCACTTCAAGTAGAAGGATCTATGTTGGAAACAAGTTGCGGCTCACCGCATTACGCGTGTCCGGAAGTGATTCGCGGTGAAAAATATGATGGTCGAAAAGCGGATGTTTGGAGTTGTGGTGTCATTTTATATGCATTGTTGGTGGTTAGTTGGTCTTTATTTCTTCTGTATTTTGATGTATGGATTTTGAAAATAATATGGAAATTTGAGTGTTTATTCGTAACTCGAAACCTTTTATTTCTCAATATCCTTTTTTTTTTTCGATTCATATTTTGAAAAAAAAATTCTATTTTTAGGGAGCATTGCCTTTCGATGATGATAATTTGAGAAATCTTCTGGAGAAAGTGAAAAGAGGAGTTTTCCATATTCCACATTTCGTTCCAGCTGATGTTCAAAGTTTATTAAGAGCAATGATTGAAGTTGATCCTGCAAAAAGATACTCGGTAAGTAAATAAATTGACATCATTTTGAATCGAACTAATTGTATATACTTTTCAGCTGGCCGATGTTTTTAGACATCCATGGGTTGCAGGAACATCGAAAGCTGATCCTGAATTAGAACTGCCAATGTCGCAAGTTGTTCAAACTCATGTAATTCCCGGAGAAGATAGTATTGATCCTGATGTTTTGCGACATATGAATTGTTTGGGTTGTTTCAAAGACAAACAAAAACTTGTTAATGAATTACTTTCTCCACGACATAACACTGAAAAAATGGTGTATTTCTTGCTGTTAGATCGAAAACGTCGTCGTCCTGCACAAGAAGATGATACTGAAGTTGTGCTCCGTGGAGCTGCACCAAACAATGATCCACCAAAGAAGAGAACAGATACAACAAGATCGAATCGATATCCAGTTGGAAGTATTGCAGATGGAAGTCCAATTAATCCAAGAAAAACTTATGGAAGACATAGTAAATCAGGAAGACATTCAAGTCTTGGTGGCTCGCCAACCGAGTCACCAAGAACTTCTACAAGAGATCTGTTTGGATCATCGAGTGGACCATATTCAGCAAGAGGAACAGAAGACCGAGGAAGATCTGCTTCTAGATCTACAAATAGTTATCATTACTACACACAACCAGTTGATCCACAAACTCTTGCCGAAGCTGCACGACATGTTAGAGAAGTTAGAGAACTTGAACGAAGAGAAAGTCGAGATAGTGGTAGAGGATCTTCTAGAAAAGATTCGAAAGAATCGAAACCGGCAGATGCTTCATTCTCAAATGATGTGGTAAGAGCTTTTTTCTTTTCGTTTCTTAATACAAAATTATTAACCAAAAAAATTCTTATTTTACAGCCTCTCAAATATAGTCCACCATCAAATATGTCTGAAAGTGTTGTGGTTGGAGGAAGTGGAATCGGATCAACAACATCTTCCACAAGTAGTTTAATAGCAGGAAATAGTCAAACAAGTCTTGGATCAACTAGTGGACCATGGAGATCAAAATTGAATAACATCAAAAATTCATTCCTTGGAACACCAAGATTCCATCGGCGAAAAATGTCAAATGGAACTGCTGAAAGTGACAGTGAAGAGAGTCAGATGATTGACACTTCAGATCTTGTCAAAAAATCCTGGTTTGGATCTTTGGCGTCAAGTATAAGTGTTGAGCGAGAAGATACACATTGTGTACCAGTTCAAGGAAAAACATTGAATGGAATCAAAGCTGAACTCATACGAGCTTTCCTAACGGTGAGTTTTATTAGATGTAGAAACACAGAAAAACGAAAGAATTTTAGATTCATGAATTGAGCCACTCGGTTGTCGGACAGAACTCATTCCGTGTTGAATATAAACGTGGACCAACTGTTGGTGGAAGTGTCTTTTCACGAGGTGTTAAAATGAACGTGGATATTATTGCCAGTCCTCAACAAGTTGTGATGGCTGGAGAAACACCAACATACGTGGTGCAATTCACACTTCTAGCAGGTAAAATAGAGGACATTTTGAAATAGAATCGTTTTTGTTTTGGAACCGCATCACTTTTTTTAGGCCCAGTTCGCCGATTCAAACGACTTGTCGAACATTTGTCAGCAATCCTCCAAAATTCCACACAACAAAGAGTCGATCGACAGCAACAAGCTGCAATGATGGTTAGACCTCGAAGACTAAGTGATTCAAGTGTTGGAAGTGCATGTTCAGATAGTGAAAGTAATGCGAGTAGTATAAATATGATTGCAAGACATACGGTAATATTTATTATTTCTATAGGTTTCTGACCTGAATCCATTATTTTTTCCAGGAAAAACAAGATGTTCCAATAAACAACGATCCTTATAGTCAATCTCCATCGATGCGATCTGTTGGAAGTAGTACAGGTAAAAATCAATTGAAAATGTGTTTTGTTGAAATTTGAAATGTTCTTTTTTCTATCGCTTTTGAAATTTATTCAGGACAAGCCACATAATGCAAATGGTAAGTTTTCAAGGTAACTTGAAAAGTTGATAGCACGCTTTCTAATTCTTTGATCAATGATTAGTATTAACTCAAAACAACCTTCTGAACGTGTTCAAGACTGTCGTGTTCAACTGATTTTTCACAATACTATCCTTTTTCACGATACTTTCTCCGAAACCCTTTTTTATTATTGAAAATTGTATTTTTTCAAGACAACAAATTTTCATTTTTCGGAGTGTCTCATATTCACAAAAATAACAGCAAGAACGCACAATAGTTTTGATAATGTAAACATCTTTAGTTTCATAGTTATCCTGATAACATAGAGCTTCCCATTTGATTTCTAATATGTTTGATTTTTCGCTGACAAACAGTTTTTGCTTGTTAAAATTGTCCTGTGCTGAAAAAAACAGTTTTATTTTTTTTTTTTGAATTTTTTTTGTGTTGTGGTTAAAATGAGTGTTGATCAACAGATAATATTTTTCAAAAGAATAAATGAAATCGAAACCAATGAACAATAATTTCTAGGCTCCTACAAATCTCCAACTCCACATCGGCGTAATACAACAGCTTATGTTGAAAGAGGAGGTGCACATCAAAATTCGTCATCATCTTCAGCTGTTTCAGCGGTTGCAACAAGTTCAAAACCGCAAGGTGGTTCGGTTCGATATAATATTGGCTCTTCATCTGGAAATTATACATCATCTGCTCATGATTATTCGTATCAATCTGATTATACACAGAAAAATAATAGGTAATTGTTTATTTGTTATTTTACTTTCTACTATTCACCCATATATTTTTTTCTGAAATTGGTCACGTGTTTTGTAGAATTATCAAAACATTTTTTTCAGCACTTCCAATCAACCAAAACACCAATATTCACCAGGATCACAGCGTAGTTTTGCATTCTCCGTTTTCAACAAAGCTGATAAGGTCTAACTTTTTTCCACATTGTCTTCCAATCTATTTCCATTATTTCTTTTCCATTCTTTTATGTTATGTTAGAATTGCTTCAACCATTTTATTAACGAATTTTTCAAAACATTTTTTTTTCAAAAAAACACACACTGGTTTGTTAGTGAAAATAGTCAAAATTGTATTGCCAAATATAGTTAAATAGACCAAAATGACAATTATTTGTTTGAATTTCACAATTTCTTTTTTCTTCAAAGTCATCAGTAAGTGATATATTTGATTGTATTTTTGACTCGCGTTTATTTTTAATTTACATAATTTTTGAATTTTTATAATTATTTTTTTTCTGGTCTTTTTTCGGTTCTCTAATTTATCTCCAATTCCTATTTTGTTTCTATATTATGTATTTCCGTAAATAAAACCATTTTGAGAAAAATTTAATTTTGATAAAAGCTAGATTATTACTGGAAGGGATAATGAAAAATGCATTCAAATGTAGGATTCCATTCATAGTAGATCTCAGTTTAATCCTGGTCAAGATTATCTCATTTTTATTTTTATTTACTGTCGAGTGCATTTAAATGTTATTTTGCAAAGTTTGTGGTAAACAAGCTTATAGCATACACTACGAGGTGAGTTAAGGTTTATTTTTTTTATTGAGCTTGAGTCGATTGTAAAATTCTGAAAAGCACTCAATAAACCAAGTTGACAAATCATCGAGAATTGAAAAACATCTATTCTCAAAATGATCTCAAACAGTAACAAGTGGTAATTCTTAAGACTCAGAAAATGTTGAGTTGCTTCGAATCATGGTGATCTTTTTATTTTATAAAATTATTTGATAATTAATACATTCCAAGTTTAGATATACATAACGATAGCTGACAGTAAAATATGAAAAAAAAATCTTTTGGTGTGAACATTTTTTTCAAATAAATTTTTTGAAGGTTTTGACGTGCAATGCTTGCAAATCGTTTTTCCATCGTAACAAAATTAACCCGGTCAAAACTCGATGTCGGAATAATGCCCGTTGTTACTATAACCATTCCATTCACAAATGTGCTTTTTGTCGTCTGAAAAGATGTATTTCTGTTGGAATGTATTCAAAACACGAATCAATTGAACACATTACAATATTAGAAAACGCGGTGGACATTGATAGTATGAAAGCAATTGAAGCAGCTCTTAGTCATCTACACATATCTACATATAACCCTGTATTCCCTCCAAGTTTGGATGAAATGCTCAGTCAACCTATTTTTCTGAATACATACAAAAATTATAAGGTAAGTTAGATCATGTGTAATTTTTAATATATTGTAATAAGTGTTAGAAAAAATACATACATCTCATTCTATTTTTACAGATCGTCTGTTCTTGGCCGAGACCTGAATTTGAATTAATCCAAGAACAAAAATTATTGAGAACATTCAGATCTAGCTTCAACGATGAGCCAAAAAATAAACATTTCCCGGACACAATCCACACGTGTGTTTTGTTTTTTGATTCATGAAGTTATCAGTTTTTCATTGCAGAAAAGATTGGTTGACTATTGATGCAATTCTAGGTGTTCAATATTTGATGACGTTGCCATTTTTCAATAATCTGAGTCATATGGATCGAATAATTTTTGGACGAAATTCTACAGTTCGAGTGATGTGTTTCACGGTTTTTTATAAGAATTATGAGAAAGGAAATTGTTTCATAGAACAACCGGATGGATTGAAATTGAATATACCAGAACATAATCAGTTGTTCATGAACACAAAATTGTCAGTTTATTTTCTAAAAATGTATTTAAGGCACCCATTTCACCTTTATTTTCCCATTTTGCCCGTTGATAAAAATAATTAGGTCTAACACCGTCTAAAAACATTTTTTTTCCAGAGATAAATTATATGTGAAGAAGTTTGATACTAATTCGAATAACCAATCTCTCGTACCATTTTTTGAGAATCTCATTTCTGAAGAGGAATATTTGTTGATGAAAGCGATTATTGCTTGTGATCCAGGTAACGGATTTTATATATATTCCCGTTTAATCAACAATCATTTTCAGCGGCAACAAATAATCTGTCGGAAAATGGTCGAAAATTGATTGCTGCTCAACGTAACAAATATATCAATATATTATACACGTTATGTTTGAACAAAGAAGGGAAAATCAACGGATCTCTCAGAATGGGAAACCTGATTAGATTTTCTAGATTGATGGAGATTCAGCAAAAACAATTGAAAGAATTCATACTGTTATCAAGAATGTATCAAGATGGTGAGATATCTCACAAGGGAACCTTTTTTACTCAACACTTAAAATCATGATGAAATTTTGTCCAGAGACAGCTTTTGGGGTCATAAGAACACCCTAAAAATTTTAGTCTCCCAATGGACCTCTGAGCCAAGTTCTGGGCTCTCAAAAGTTCGAAAATTGCCAAAATTGGCTCATAAAACACATCATAACTCAATTTTCGATCATTTTTATGAAAAACTGAGTAGCAGATGATGATCAGCGTGGTCGATTTACCCAAAAACCATCAATAAATCGAATTTTCAGAAAAATTTTTGATTTTGAAAAAAAGAATGAGCAGGGGCACATATGAATTTTCATGAATTTTCAGCCCAAAAATAAAAAAATTCAAAATTTTTCGAAATAAAGTTTTTTATTGATTGACTTTTAGGTAATCGACTATGCTGATCAATATCTGAAACTTCATTTCTCCCAAAAAAAATTTTGAAATGGAGCTATGATGACTTTTATGACCATTTTTAGGCCTTTTTGAGTTTTTGAGAGCCCAGAACTTGGCTCAGAGGTCCATTGGGAGACTAAAATTTTTAGGGTGTTATTATGACCCCAAAAGCTGTCTCTGGACAAAATTTCATCATGATTTTAAGTGTTGAGTAAAAAAGGTTCCCTTGTCAATCAATACGTCGATGGGAGAAAGACGTGTTTGACAGTTCTTATTAGATTAATTTCTAGATTATCAAATATTAAAGTTGTTGAGTTATTCTTCCTCATATTTGTCAATTCTGTACCTTTTTTATTTCCTGTTGTTTTCAGCCATTTTCAGCAAGATTATTTTAAGACAGAACAATGATTTGTTTCAACAAAAAATTTCATTATTTTATTTTACATACAAAATTAATCATGCAAAATGACATCCAATAAATCTATCACACTTTTATTTACCCACAGTCAAGCCCAACTTTTTTGCAATGTATCAAAATATGCATCTTGTGAGGTATATTTCATACAAGTACCAAATGTTTCTTGGAACGATGTTGGATGAATCTGTGTTTTCTTTGTTCTACATCCGAATATTTTTTTTGATATTATATTGGATAATAAATTATATTTTTTGTTGTATTTTGAACAAATTATTGGAAACCCAAAGCTATAAATGAAAGCTAAAACATCAAATAAAAGTCCACTAATATTTTTTGATGTTTCGGAAGTCGATGAAAAACCAATCAAGAGACAAATGAATACAAGGCAGTTTAAAGAACTCATTGTAAGAATAATCCGTTTGACTAATTTGCAAAATCGAATATTTTCAGTTGTCTGAAAACGTTCAGCAAGATCACAGAATCTTGCACTGCTGTAAAACTGATCGTGAAAGTGTTCATTGATTTTTAGAATTTTCATATTTCCGAAAATCCCAAGAAAATTTAGAAGGATCATGATGAAAAACAGAAGAGCATTTATTGAATCTGAAAAAAAAAGTTAATATCTGGAATACTTCAATTCTCATTCACCATATTCGTTTTTGTGAAAAATATAAGAAAATAAAAAGGCAAGAAGGAAACATCCAGTAATAAGTATACGTGATATATAAACTCGATCAGTTTTCTCGTAATCTAAAATGTGAATTGTCGCAAAATATCTTTCAATTATCAATAATGGAAGTGCCATAAAACAAATTGATAATCCCCAAACACGAATAAATGAACACAATTGAAGAATCAAAACATAATTATTATAATTGTCACAAATATGAACAATTCTATAAACAATCAAACAAACTGAAGTAATACAGTGTTGTCCATATAACATTGTTATTATATTGGTCCAATTTTTATGAAATTGCTTTGCTGTTATATTTAACCAAATAAAAAAGCTGACATAAAAAATACTGAAAATTCTGGTTGTTTTGTTGATTCAAAGAAGTAAGTAACTTACTTGAATATAATTACTGAAATTTCAATTTTGTAAATTGCATCAAAAAACTCCCAAGTATTTGACTCATCTTCATTTAGAGAACGGTTGAAATTATTCAAGAATATCATATCAAATAATATGTGATTTATCAGATTTTGTGGCCTGCGCTACATTTTTTGTGGCAAAAATATAAATAAGAATACAGTATTCTGGAGGGCGGATGTGAAAACAAAAACAATAACAAAAATTGTATTTTTAGTGGTTACAGAGAAATATGGAATTCTGATCTTCCTCTTATTTTTATGATGAAATTTGCCTCTTATTTTTATGATGAAATGGTTGAAAATTGGAAAATTGAAACAATTGGAGGTTTACAAATCATAAGATCAGAACAGGCTAATTTAATTAGAAGAAAACTTGATGGATCTGAAAAAAAATTCCTAAAATTATTTCAATTAAAAAGTATTTCAGTTTATGAAGAATAAGTGATATTTACCTTAAATTTTGTTGATTGTTCCCTGAAATTATGTCAACTCTTGAAAATGCTGAAATATTTAAATATTTCAGTAAAATCCATTCTGTGAACAAAAATATATTATTCATTCCACAAGAAAAAAATCAAGAAACTTTCGCTGTGATATTACACCATATGATTCATTTTTTACAATAATTTTAACTCCAAGAAAATGAATATATCATATATGAGAAATGTGTTATATAAAAGCCAGTCCAACGTTTTTTTTGCATGAATTGTATCTGTTGAATGCAGTTACATAGATTGATGAAGCAGCTTAACCGCGCCCATCCGCCGCCATTTCTAGCGACGGCGTGATGATTTTTCCTTTTTCATCTTTTTCTTCATAGGCTTCATCTTCTTCTTTCTTCCTTTTATCCCTTGTTTTTTTCTGGTTTTCTTTTTCGCCTTTTTCCTTGTTCTTGTTCATAATTCTCGTTTTTGTCTTGCCCTGTTCAACTTTTTCAATCAGCTGTCGAGAAAGAATCAAACGAACACTTCTTCTTCTTTTTCTTCTCATATTCTTTATTCTCACTGTTCTTGATCATCGTTCAGACAAAAATATTTATTTATTTTATGAAAATGGCTTTCAGAATTTTGAATTTTATATGATGACTTCGGTATTGGCCACTATTTTTATTCTCATATTTTGTATGTTTCAACATATTTCTAGTCATTTTGAAGACATCGATCTCACATATGCTTCAGGTAGGGTTTATTCAAAAAAAATTGATGAAATTTGGAAAAATTAGTATATTTTTGAAAATGAAAACATACTCACATTCAGAAGATGTGCTTATTGGTGGTGTTAGAAAAATAAGAACATTTTTGCAAAAGTACTGCAGAAAAATTTGATTGATACAAAAAAAGTTATTTCTATTCGAAAAATTGTTCCGTGAAAATTATCAGTTTTGATCAAAAATAATTGTTCAAAATCTGAAATTCGCGGGATTTTGATTTACTGGTTTTCATTCATTTTGGTTCAATTTTTTTGTAATAATATTTTTTTTATTTTTGTCGTCTTTTCAATAGCCGCAAAAATTTTTCCAGCTTTTCCCGAATCTTGAATTTGATAACAAACATTGAGAACAAAAAAAGACCAATGTATTTCTGAAAAAATGATAAAAACTGTATAACATGTTATTCGGGTTCTTTCAATTTCCTTGTTTCTCTGTTTGTATGTGTTTTTTATTGCGCAATAATTATTCCAGTCGATCGAATGCAAAAATAAGAATGAATAAATCCGTGTTATTATCTTTTATTCATTTATCACAAACGAAAAAGAGAAAAAAAATCAATTGTACAAACAATTGATATGGAAATAAATCTACACAGCTGAAGCTTGTGGCAAAAAGAGAAAATGAAAATTGAAGAACACGAAAAATCAGTAGACAAAATCCAGTTATTGTTGATATTGCCTAATTGATATCTGACATTGGCAGAAGGGAGTGGAAAATAAAAGTTTTATCAAAGCTATCAGAAAAATTTCACTTATTAATTTGAAAATACGAATAAACAACAAAAACTAGACTTTATTTTATTTTATAGTCCAATATTTTTTATAGATTCGGAACTTGAAAAAATACAAGAATATTTGGCAAAACAAATGAGCAATATTGATTATGTTTTGAGACGAAAAAAACGAAGTATATCACCAATTTCATCATCATTACCAAATCGAGAATCAGCTGGATTTTTAAGTAGGATTGGCGCGATTCGAAAAACTATTGAAGAAAATACTGTGCAGAACAAAACATCTGAAAATGAGATAACACCAACACCATTGAGTGAAAATCAAGATGCACCACAGGCAGATATTCCAACAAAATTTGAAAGTGGAAAATTTCAAAAAGTATGTTTCAGCAAAAAATCTTTCGATCAACAAAAATATTTCCAATTGTAGATCAATGATTCATTGACTGAATGCAAAAAACTATCACAGCCTGAACTTGTTGCTGAACTCAAACAAAAAGGAACATATAATCCCGAACTGATGGCTTGGGATGCAATAGGTGTGATAAGATTTTTGGATCGCACACTTCACGAACATTATCAAGTGAGATATTTATTTATCATGTTTTTGTCACTTTTTGATGATTGATGTTTCAGAAAAATCCCAATCCGCAGCAAAATAATAGCAAGACGAAACCGAAAACTGAGGTTATTGATAAAAATGTTGAAGCATTGGAAAAACTTATGAAAGAGCTTAATGTTACGTGTGATATTAAATCAGAAGTTTTAAGAAATAAACTGCAAAGTTTAACGTTGTAAGTTCTCGTGATACGTGAAAAATATTGAATTTGAAAATTTTTTTTAGCTCTGATCCACGTCGAACAATAATTTCACCATCTCTCCGACGATCGAAGAGAATGGATAGCGTTTCATCATTTTTGAAAAGTATCAATGTGACGGTGAATGAAGAGTATATTCCACAAATGTCTGATCAACCATTGACAACAGAAAATGAGCGTGTAACAGTTCGTCAAAAACTTATCGGTTAGTTTTATTTCTGAAATAAACCAATGGGAAAAAGTTGTTCATATTTGAATAAAAAAACATTTATTCTTGTTGAGAAAAATGTATAGTAATTCAAAATATGCCTATCCACTTGAAATCCGCTGTTTTTTCTAGGAGAATCTCATGTTGTTCCATTTGGTTGTGATAAACGAGGTGCAGAAGAAGATGGTTATTTGAGGTTATGTGGTGCTTGTCAAGCCATCCGACGATTACCGGACACTTTTTTCCCACCATTCATCAATGAAGTTACATGTGATACAGACAAGGCTTGTCTATATTTTTATGATTACCGTGAGTGGTTTTTATTTCTATCAAATATCTCAATCAAAAAATTGCAGCTCACGGTAAGTGTCGACAAAAGCATATGAATTTTGTGGTTCTTCGTAATGTTGGAACAAAAGAATGTCAGGTTTGGAAGAAGTTCAATTTAAATGTTCGAGTTTCATGCGAATGTTTTGTTGGTGAGTTAATCCTACTGTGTTATATCATCTTTTTCAAAAAAACGTTTTTTCAGATGAAATGTCATTCTTTGCGAAATATGTATAACATGTAACAAACCGGTTATCCATTATTCTAGTCATTAAGATCTACAAAAAACAATGTTCGTCAGAAATAATTCAAAAATACAGGTAGAAAATGCTCAGATAATGATAAAAACAGTGATATACTTGAAATGCTATATTTGAATGTATATATAAAAACATCATTGAATAAATTATTTTTATGAAAAAAATGACACAAAATCATCAAAGAAAGACAATAAATATAAATAAAAATCTATATAAGAAAGAAAGATTTGAAAAACCCGGAAAATAAATATATATGTATGTATGTATTTAGTTAGTATGTGTATTCATGAAAAAAACTAGGGTTAAATAATCTAACAAAATTTACAACTCTTCGCACATTTACTACGCATATAATCTTTGAAAATTGTTTGATTGCACATTCCACTACTTGCCCATCTATCGCACCAACTTCTTGAATCTTCACAAACCACGCCTGCCGTAGTTTTGGTGCCCTTATCTTCTCCTTCTTCCTTACATTTTCCACAACTTTCAGCACAATTTTCAGTCATGAATCGAACACTGAATCGACTATCACAATGTCCAGCGCGAGCCAAAAATTCGCAATCTTTACGTCTAAAAAATTTCCGAGTAACAATTTTAAAAATTTAGTTGTGATATACTTACCTATCTTCGCATTTCCCATTTCCGGAATGAATAGCTATCAAATTTCCAAGCACTGATTTATCCTTGTCACCACCCAGCGATGATCCAATTTCTCCTTGTTTCCCACTCATTGGACCTGGCTTTTTAGTAATACTTTTCACTCTTTTAGTGTTTTCCGGTGATACTGTAGTTGTTGTAAAAGCCGGGCAATTGTAAAGCATATTAATTTTATAAATATCATTTTCTGAAAATCCAAGACGCTGTCCTATTTCAACATCCTTCTCTATTGGTTCGATAGTAGGCTTGCCATTCTGAAAAAAAAATATATAATTGTGTAAATGTTTATCAAGTAACATTTTTATTACCTTGGAAAAAGCAGTTGGTGCATAATGCATAACACTCCCATAATCATACTTTGTTCCAAGATGATCAATCATACTCAATGAATATTTGTCAAATTGATCTACAAAAAACTTCGATGAAAAGGATTCTTTAGATTATTAGCAAACCTTGCAAACCAGCTTCCACATTACTCCAATTAATTTTAACATACTCGTCTCGATCAGCACGACTTTGTTCGTGGAAAAATCCAACAGCGTGCATTAACTCGTGAATGATAATACCTTTTTGAATACACCCATCTCCAAGACTCACAGGTTGTTTTCCACCTAAAAAAAGATTTAACCATTTTTTTTTCAAAAATAGGTATGTACCTATTCTTCCTACTAATGAATAACATCCATCATCTGGAACAATATGAATATAATCCAAATCTCCAGCACTTTTTGGCGCGAAATCAATGCATGTTTTCTTGCGATATTCTTCGATAGCTTCAGCAATTTTTGATCGACTAAAATCATTAAATTGTTTTGAGAACCTACAAAATTATCCCACCTATAAGAAGAATATTGTGAACTGATAGTGTATGGGATTCTTCCATCTTCCCATTTCAAATAAGTTTGTCTAACTGCATTTCGTTGAACTCCAAAGATTCCGAAAAATGGTGAATCACCCATGAAACTATTAATCGAACCGGAATTCAATCCACTGTTTGCTGAAAACATTTTTTTGTCAACAAATTCAAATAGAATAAGTATAAGAGGATTAAGAACTTACCGATATCTCCTTCAAATCTAAGTGGATTATACATTGCTGAATCATTTGAGTTATACCATCGATCTTCTTTTCGATAAGTATTTATCATACGATAGTCATGTTCAGTCAGAACAGTTTCTTGTTCAGGTATCGAATCATCAAAATACTGAAATTTTCAAAATGAGTTTTCATTTTTTCGGGATAAAAAATTTTTAGAAAATATTCCTCCGTTTTTTTCAACTTACAGGGTTTCTGTGATATCCATGAACTGTGAAGATGAAAATAACAACAAAATAAAATGAAGTGTGGAAAAAAGTAGTCGATGGCATAAGTGAAAGTGTTTGACAGGGGCGAATGGAAGTAGAAAAAGCAGACAGCGAAAAAAAATGCGGGAAAAAGTGAAAACGACTAGACTGCTGCTTATATTGGCACAATATACTTTGCAATTTCAATTTCGATATGCCAAGGTCAATTGAATCTAGCTGTAAAACATTTATATACACTTGATCGACACGGAAAATGCTTGATCTCAAAGAAAATGTTTCTCAAAACTGACTTTGACTCAATTATAATGAAAAACATGAGCAGGATTGAATGGGGTGGAGTTTTGTTGTCAGGCTGTCTAAAATTAACCAAATTGATTGTGCAAGAAAAAAACGCGATAATAAATAATTAAAAAAGAGAAGAAACAAACAAATAATACGGAAGCGGCAATTAATATTATGTGTCAATTGAAATGATTGTTGATATCCGGGTGGGTGGTCAAAATAAACTCAGGGCGAGGAGCAAAATGCGAGAGAGAGATCGTTGGCATTTTAATAATAATCAAACAATGTGCGGACAGGAACTTAATCAGGAAAAATAATATTTGATAGAGAGATGTTTGGTTTTTAATAATATTCTTGACTATTTATTGTTAGTGAATTTTTTGAGAAAACTCAAAAATTTACAAAACTTACCCTTTTGGAAAACCATTCGATAAATTTTGTCAGGGAAAATATGAACAATGAATTAATTTTTTCAACTATTAAAGCTGAATATTGAAAATAACCCAAATATCAAATTTCGTCAAATGTTACCTATGCTATTCATGAAAACAAAGCACATACAAAATGTATAAAAATAGTCGACTTCAGCTAAAAATACACCACAAAAATGTTGCACTAAATTGCCTAGAAACGAGAATATTTTCTCTTCTCTTCATTTTTTTCCTGACATCTACTAGTTTTTGCAGTAATATTGCAATTATCCACGCATGTTTAACTCCAAAAAACACAATGAATAAATAAATGAATAAATAATTTTTATTCGAGATTCATAGGTTGTTTGAGATCAAATTAATTTCAAGTTTAACTTGATAATATATACAAATACAGTATTATAAAATAAATACGCATCTAGTTATTTTATTGTTGTGAATGATGAGTTTGTGAAGAAGACGCAACCGATGATGCAAAACTATCAGCTGATGTTGATTTCGGCACCGTACAATGATAGTTCTGCCGCTCCAAGGTTTGAAGAGTGTCATTAACACCACAAACAACATCAATTCTAGAAAAAAACATGTTTTAGTTAAAAGATTTTTTTCAAAAATAGAAAGTTACCCTTTATCCATCTGCGGTAATTTTTCCTCGACCGCATCCATCATCTCATTCAAACTTTGGAGAATTTCAGCAGAATTATCAATCACTGGTACAAGTGTTGTCAATTGTTTTGCGCTTGTCAATAACATCTGAAACAAAATAGTAAATAGACGTTCAAAGTTAGGAACAAAATAAATTTGAGAAGCTGCTGGCTATTTGACAGCAAATCTGCAAACTTTTGGGAAAAAATTGAAACAGATGTGACCGAAATATTGAGCTGACCGAGAAATATTGAGAACTAGGCTACAACAGCAAAATCGCTCTAACGAATTAATCTTGTTAGGTTTTTCTCACATTTTTTTCGCAGTTTCAAAAATTTGTTTGAAGAAAATCACTTGATTTTAAAATAAAAACTTACATCCGCTGATTGTGAGGCATTTATTGGAACTGCAAGTAAAGTTGAGGCATCGGTCACAATTTCTAGAATCTTGGTCGGAAGTTTTGCGCGACTTTCTAGCGAAACACTCATTTTTCCTGAAAGCATAGCGCGGATTGGAGTTTTCCTGGAAAGTTTTGAAGATATTGAAAACGAATTGAACGTTCTATCATAAAATTAAATTAAAATTGAGCATTTATTCTTTATTCTGAAATACAGTTTTCAAACAAATATAATAAAAAAAATATTAAAAATGCAAAAAGTAAGCGAAAATTGTCTATTGGTCCGCATCAGAATAAGGGAAATAATATCGGGGGGCTTGGTCACAAAAAATATTAGAGCAATTGATCGTCAACAAATAAAAATATGAATCATTAAAAAAATATATATCTCTAGGCAACACGTATTGAGAGAGGCACAAATGAGTGTACATCACAGAATATAGCACTCGATATTAAGCTAATCAAGACACATACATGCAAAAAACACACAGACACAACATATATAAATCTACTAAAGCGAAATGAGCAAATATGAAATAATAAGTAGGAAAATGGGAAGAAAAAAAAACAAAAATTATCTAACAAATATGATAAATATAACAAATGTTTTTATCATGATTGGTTATTTTTTGCGTAAAGATTCATGAATGAGTTCAATTGTTGTTCATATCTGAAAATATATTCCGTTTGTTTTTTCAATTTTAATAGTGTTTTGTAGATACTTACCGTTGTCTGTCAGCAATAACTGATTCCTTCAAATTATTCCAGAAATTTGTTTCATAATATGATTTAATTTGTTCGTATTGCTCATCCATTGTTGAGTTTTCATCAACATTCAAATTATTTTGAACCCAGGTCATTGAACTAGCCAATGTTGGTTTATCGAAGTGTGGAGCATTTCGATATCTGAAAATTGAACATTTAATTTTTTTTCTATATTTCAAATAAAATAAACTTACTTTTCGGCAAGTCCAACTTTGGCCATTTCATTTCTGAATACTTGCAAGAACATTCTTCTCGAATTTCTAACCGATGTCACATATTCAACAGCTCCAACAGATTTCATACGTTGCCATCTATCATGAGCATCAGCATATTCAACAGCAGCACTTCGATAAACTTTTTTCAATTCAACAGATCTTTCATTTGCCTCTTCTTTCTTTCCTTCAGCCCAAAGTTTAGCCATTGTTTCATCACTTCTCAACATCATATCAATTTGTTTTGGCTCACGGAACTTGATTCCAACAATCGCGTTTGGTTCAAGAATTCCACCTCGAGATTTCTCATCAGCAACAAGATGGATAAATTCAGGACGGATTTGACTGTCAAGAACAGCCCAAGCTCCACCACGAAGTTCACCAGATTCCGGAATATAAACAATGACTGGACGATCATAAAGGGCCAAAGCATCAACAATTTGTGCTCCGAATTTCAAAACCATATCATACATATCTTTTTGTCCTCCAGAGAATCCACGAAGACTTGCGATGATTAACAATGGCAAGTTTTCCTTGTTCAAATCATTGATAGCTTCCGCAGTCTTGTAAGCCGAATCTGGATACCAAACTTGACCGGCACGTTGAACACATTGAGCTTGTGATCCTTCCAAAGCTGGATCAGCTGGCACATTTGTTTGGAAGTTTCTGAATTCTGATGCAACAACACCGATTGGAATACCACAAAGACGAGCACGTCCAGCAACAATTGATTTAGCCCAATCTCCACAAATTTCATCGAATGACATTGTATCACAAATACCGTATTTGTTGTTGAGATCTTTTGAATCAATAAGATGACGAACATCATATTGTTTCTCTTCAGCTCCTTCAAGTGGAATTCGAACATCACGAACCTCGATATCATTTCCATGTTGTTCAAAGAATGGGAATTGATCATTTTGTGTTGGCAAGTATGACATCCATTTGAGAATCTTCGCAATACCTTCCAAATCATTGTCAACAACAGCGTGAGAAACACCATTACGGAACATAACTTCAGGTCCTCCGAGTTGATTGTTTGAAGTGTAAACTTCTTTTCCGAGCAATGTATTCAAAGCAGAAGCTCCGGTCAAAATCAAATGAGATTGTTTATGTTGAACAATACGGTGAGCCAAACGAGCAGTGTATGCTCCAATACCAACAGATCTTCCGGTAACATAACAATATGTTGGAATTTCAAAGTAAGCTCTTGATGTTTCACCAGCAATCAATCCAGATCCTTGCAAATTCTCAACTCCAATCTTCTCATTTTCTTCTCCGATAACAGCGAGAATTTTGAGTTTTCCATTGGAGAGCTCTTCATAAACAACTTGTCCCTCAATCTTATCCTTGTGTTCACCATCAATGTAAATGTAATCAAAACCTTGATCTGGTTTTTCCTCATTCTTCAATTGAACTTTCACCAATTTCGAGATCTTATCAGCAAGTCCAATACGAGCTCCAGAGTTGCAAGAAACATTGACACGTGGAAGTTTTTGTTGGCGAGAAAGTTGAGAAGCCAAAGCGAAAAGTTCATCTTCAGCAGTTCCAAATGATCCAGATTGGAATGTGATGTCATTTCCAATCAAAACAGTGTCATATCCTTCTGGTCTTTCTGGTGTGAAAAGTCTGAAATATATTCATTTTTAAAAATGTTTGATAGTTCGAATAAAATTAAAACATACCTCATTATCCATGCAACCATTCCACATTTGTTCAATCCATTTGTGGCACGATTTTTCAATTCTGAAGCATCACTGATCTTTTGGAGTTGTCCATTAACGGCAACAAGTTCGGTGATCTCAAAGAATTGTCTCCACAATCCTTGCTCATAAATTGTTCTCATATGTGAAGGAAGATTTGAAAGTTGAGTGGCATATGAAGCTTTATCAATTTGCTCGCTAGCTTTCCACGAGTTGAAAGCAGCCATACCGAAAATAATTGGGAAATCATAAATATAATTGGTATTGTTGGCACGAGTAGCAACACGTTTCTTTTCAATGGTTGACAATGTTGGATAAACACCGATAAACTTCTTATCAAATTGAGCGATAATTTCGGGAGTGACTCCAGTTTCATCACGGATCAAAATTCTCTTATGCTCTCCAATAGCTTCATAAACAATTTCAACTTCAGTGATTCTATGTTTGAACAAGATGGTTTTGTGATTTTCAACTTCTTGGGTAATACAATCTTTCATAAATGTCAAATACTCGTTGGATCCAATGATTTCTTCAGAAAGTCCTGGGCAAGAAATTGTGGCAAACACGTGGTTAGAAGTGAAGATCTTCTTAACTTTTCCCATGGCAACTTGAGCAGCAGTGCAAGAATTATCAAGAGCAACAAAAATGGCTTCAGAGATGCGTCTCTTTCTGAAAATATAAAAATAGTCTAAAAAATGAAATTCACCAAGAAAACTTACACTTCTTCAGAATTCTTTCCTTGAATCAAAATTTGTTGTCTAATGAAGAGTTTGGCAAACTTGTTATCAGCATCATCGTGTTGATAAGTTCTAACGGTTGACAAACGAGATGAGACTGGATATGTGTTTGGTGGAAGACGATATTTTTCCAGACGAACTTGCTCGAAGAATGTCAATTGTGGCAACGGACGATCATGAAGACAAAGAACAGTGTTGACACGTGGCAAAGCGTGTCCATCAGCTTCAAGAGCTTGACGAATTGTCAAAACTGCATTTTGAGAGATTTGAACTTTTTGCTCCTCTTCATCTGACAAGCAAGAGGCATCCTAAAACGATTTAAAAAATTGAAAATCAGTCAAATTTACGAAATATTTTAAAACTTACACGTGGTGTTGTTTCATCATTCAAAATTCGAACGAAAATCGAAATATTAATACCATTTCTAGCATTCTTGAAACTATCGAAATACTTGGTCATACAGTTCAAAAATTCAGAACTATCGAAAACTTGACTATATTGAGATGATGGAACTTGGAGGCGGACAACGAAAAGTTTGTCACCTGGCAACACAATTTTGTGGAATCTGGAAATTCATGATTATTTTTGAAATTATTGAAACAAAAATTACCTTGTTTGGGTTTTGATAAGATTGAAGGTGTTGATATCAACAGTGGCACCCAATGAATTGAGGATATATCTGTTTTCAGTGTATCCTTGTTCAGCTGAGATGTGATTGTTGACAAATCTTTCAAGTGCAATTGATCCAAGATTCTTCTCAAAGAAATATTCGTGAATAATCTTCCAGATGTTGGAATCTGGTCTTTGCGACAATGGGCTGTTCAACCAATCACTGATTTCCTGAGCAGTTGGTCTTTGACCATTGGTGAGTTCAAGGAAATTGTTTTTGTAGCACAAGTTTTGATGGATCAACAAAATTTCACGAGCCAAACTTGAGATTGAAGTGGAAAGATTACCAATTTCCCGAAGGTTGTCAAGAAGTGATGGAATGAATTTTGATCCAGTGACTTTCAAGGCTTCAAGAATTGCTTTGATAACAATATTTTTCGATTTGATTTGAGTGTGAGAATAAATGGTTTGAACAACTGCATCTCCACATGTGTAATTCTCCTTGATTTCAGCAACTGAATCATCATAAGCTTTTCCTTCGAAATATTTCTCAACTTTGATGTAATCTTCCAAAAGACTGTTCAAAACATTCGAAGCAAATCCTCTTGATCCATAGCTGAATTCCGAAACAGCATTCACAATTCTTGCACTTTCTTCACTATTCAAAACATAATCCTTAATGCATTCCAACAAATGTCTTCCATCATCATTTGCTTTAACAAGAGCTTCAACAACTTGTTGTTGACAATTTGAAGGCAAAGATTTGGTTACTTGTCCCATAAGTGGTTCCAAGATCATTTGTGCAAGATTGTCAGCATTCAAAAATTTGAAAAGCTCATTCGACAAATTGGTGATTTCCTTAACACCTCCAAGTGGAACTGAACCAGCCAAAATGTTTCGACATTTTTGAAGAACATTTGAGTAAAGACTCAAATTGTTTTCAGTTCTCATTTGACAAGCAGTTTCCCATTCTTTGAATGTTTCGGTGAAAAGTTGTGGGCGATATTGATCTGAATCTTGTTGATCAACAAGACGAGCAATAACCGATCCCGGGAACAACAAATCTCCTTCATTTGCAACACGAACAAGTCTAAAAACCATCAATTTTAATTTTCAGTATAATAAAAGAAATACTAACCTTCCAGGAGCTTTTTTAACTTCAACATTGAAAACAAGTTTCATCGATTCGACAGTTGCAAAAGTTTCTCCAACATCAATTAAATCACCATCCTCCTTTTTATAACTGAGAAGTTTTCCAGTGTATGGAGATTTCAAAACACTTGGATCATTATCTTTTTCAAAAACAATGATTTGATTTCCAATAGTGACTTTGAAAGTTTCCGATGTTTCTTCCAAATCACATTGGAATACACTTTCTCCGTGTGTTACCATCAATCCACCATTTCCAAGAAGAACAATATTGACAGTTGTGGTGGCACCATTCAAAAGAATAACAAATGAATATGGAGCACTTCTAGTGACTTTGACCTAAAATTAATAATTTGAGCTTTTTTTTTCATCATCATCTTTTTTTAAATTTTCTTACACTGTAGATTTTGAGATCCTTGACCAAATCAAAAAGGAATGTTTCTGTCAAATCATTTGGTGGCAAAACTTGTCCTCTTTGAATAGCCCCCTTGAAACTGTCGAATGCGTGTGTCACACGAGAATGACCAATGACAGCCGCCGAAATGGCGATAATATCGCTCATCGGAAGACTACACTTCTGCTTGATCTTCTTGGCGATACGAATATCCAACCATTGTGTGTCAAATTTATTATTGATGAAGTCTGGTTCCATGATCAAATCAACAAGATAAGAAACTTGTGATTTGAATGTGGCGCGAAGTTCGAGTTCTTTCAATGCTCCCAACATATTACCAATAGCTTCAGCACGAGTTCTTCCTCTTGCGAACAAATGACCAAATTGTGAATCAGCGAATTCGTGAACTTTTCCACCGCTTGAAACTGAGAAATATCCCCAAACATCTTGTGATGATCGGAAATTCAATGCTTCAACAGATCCAGTCGATGGACGGAAACTATCGTCTGGATCTTCACTAGTAATTCTTGCAGCAATCACACAATAATCAGTGTCAGTGAGAACTGTATCTTCTGGCAATTCATCATCTCCATTTCTTGGCATTCCGAAGAACAAACGAACGTCTTGAATTCTATGAAGTGGAAGTCCCATAGCAATTTGAATTTGAATTGCAGGAATACTAATATTAGCAATCATTTCAGTACATGGATGTTCAACTTGAAGTCTTGGATTAAGTTCCAAGAAATAATATTTATCTTCATGAGGAATATACATATATTCAACAGTACCAGCTGATTCATATCCAACATATTTGGCAATTTTAACAGCGTCCATTTGCATTGATTTCAAAGTTTCTTTACTGGCAATACTTGCTGGCGCTTCTTCAATGATTTTTTGACATCTTCTTTGAATTGAACAATCTCTTGTGAATACTGGGATAACATTTTCATATCGATCAGCAATCAATTGAACTTCGATGTGTCTTGCATTTTCCATACATTTCATCAAGAAAATCGGTGATCCTGGAAGTTCTTGAACAACTTCTTGGAACAAACTTTTAAAATCTTCAATTTTTGTGCATTTTCTGATTCCTTTACCACCACCACCTTCTGATGCTTTGATCTGGAAACAAAATCGAAATTGAATTGAAAATAAATGAAAATAGTAAAACAAACCATAAGTGGGAATCCAATATTATGAACTTTCAAGGCTTCCAATCCCTCTTGATAAGTTGAAACAGTAGCCTCATCCAATAATTCTTTAGGAACCTCAACAAATCCTCCCTTTGCTCTTTGCTTGGATTCCATCTGGATACCAGCCCCAGACCATGAAATGGTTGGAATTCCAACTGTCTGAAAACTCATCATTCGAAACATTTTTAAAAATGTATTATAGACAAACCTGAGCAATAATTGTACTAGCGATCTTGTCACCCAAACTAAACATTGCGCTACTTGGTGGACCGACAAATACAATATTATTTTCCGCAAGTCTTCTGGGTAGCTCCGGATTTTCAGACGCATGTCCCCAACCAGCCCAAACTGCATCCACATTTTTCTCAATCGCATGCTTCACAATTTCATCAACGTTTGCATAATTATTTCGATTACTTCCAGTTGGTGAAAATACCAAACTGTTTGCCAATTTCAAATATTCTGAAATTTAATTCGAATTGGTTTTTATTTGTTTTGTTTGCGGTTTATTTTTTCAGTAGAAAAAAACGAAAAAAACGTTATCTATGTATATTTGAATGTTTTATGATGTCCGTTGCGATACCATCATTTTTTTCACGTGAATATTTAATGAAGTTTTTGTGTGTGTCTAGTGAAGAAAACAAAAAACAAAAAACAAAGTAAAAACGTACCGGCATTTGATTCGACTTCATGTTGAGTTGTCAAACAGATAAATTTGATTTGTTTATCATCGCGGAAAAGTTGATTCAAAAGTCGACGAACTGAAAGTACACAACGAACAGCAGCTATACCATTTGTGGCAACAAGCATCTGCAATATATTTGATTTTGAAATCAGTTTTTCCTAAAATTAATAATAAAAGTACCTTTCTGATGGGCCGACGCTTGGATGGCTCTGTGACAAATTTTTCAACAAATTGTTCAATTGATTCATAATGACTGGCTCCTTGACTTATATTTTCCTAAAATAATTTTTAATGGGATGATGAATACTTGGAAAAGTTTGAAGCTTACATTTCCGGAAACATTGATTTTTTGAATTGCAGGTTTATGACCGTTGACAGACATGTTGAAAGGTCGTCCAAGATCGGAGACTCTGAAATTCGAGATGATTAGAATAATTACAAAAAATAGCATGTTGGTCAGTTTCAACAGAAAAGGGAACGTTTTTGCGTCAACTACTTCAGCAAACATGTTTTGTGTTCACATTTCAATTCGATTCAATCACATTTTACAATAATAAAAAGTAATAACACAATATTTATTTGCTAATGTAAGTTTTTGGAACGATGGTGTAATGTGAATAAAAATAGCTGTGAATGAATTGAAACATATACACACATACAAAAAACAGTGTGAAAATTTAGATGATAACAAAAATCACACTGTGCAAAAAAGCGAGAAATAATAAAATAAGAAGAAGAAGATGAGAAAGAACAGGACAGGAAAAGACAATATCACGCCATTTTTTGAACCCTTTTAATCGCTGAATTTTTTTCTGATAATTTTTTTTGACAATGGGCTGACTGAAACCTAAACGTTTTGCAATTTGCAAACGCGTAGGTCGAGACTGAGACTGTGACCAAACAGAGATTGGAAATCCATAAAAATTATAGAATCAGAGTAAAACAGAACAATGTCATCAATAACCATCAAGGTCATTTTTATACAACAAAAATAATAATATAATATTTCGACTAACTAATAAACACGCATTAATTCATTCACTAAAAAACTAACTGCACTTTCTCGAATCAACAAAAAAAAACGGTAAACGACAAGATACACGGCCAAAAAAAAGGTCAAGATTCCGAAACTTGGTTAGATGAGAAGAGATGGGCAGTGATTGTTATCTGATATATTCAATGTATGTCTAGTGAAGGAGGAATGCGCGAGATGAAGAGAAATGCGACTGAAACGTCCGAGAAATGACCTCGAAACATATAGAAAGGAAAAAATATGAGAGAAGAGGAAAAGGTGACCAACCGGGTACAGTAGCAACCGACAGGATAAAAAAGAAGAGATTTAGAAAGTCGGACGATGTCAAGAAAAAAGATGGATTTATTTGCTGGGTCATCGAAATCTCGTTTTTCATTTCATTTTTTTCTTTTTCTGACTAACAAAAAATCGAGGATTTCGAAAAATAATAGAAGAAAAAGAAACATTTAAAGTTTTTCATCAAAATGAAATCAGCCTTTATCAAACCAAACACCCACGATTTTTCTTCATTCAGAAATTCCTCGCGGTTTTTTTTCGCTGTTCAAAACAATTTTTTTATCGTGATCTCAAATCTTTTTCTTCTCTTATTTTTCGTCAATGGGCGGGGTGTACTGTATTTTTTATCTGATTCACTATTCTTCTTGCGCTTTTTATTGATGACGTGGAAATTGTTGTGACACACACGTGAGTAGAAATAAACAACAAAAAGGTCAACAACAAGTTCAGCTAACTACAAATTAATAAATCATAGATGATTTTAAGGTATCAAGAAAAGGGGCTGAGAAAATAACCCGAAAATGATATTTAACTCGCATATTTATATTGATAGGTTCAGCAGAATTTCTAGATAATAAATGTTCACTAGGGAAAAAAACTTTGCTGCTCAAAAAAACGACAATTTTATCACGCCACTACACAAAAAAACTGATAATCACCCGACGAATCAACACTGAAGAGGAAAAACACAAAAAATACTTTTGAAATTATGTATACCCAGGTTGAAAAATGTTAAGAACACTTTGGTGTGTGTTTGGAAATTCTTTGGGGTCGCCGATCATTGAACAAGCATTTTTGGTATGGTCGCTCGATCGAATGGTCATATGTTTTTGTGTTATTTACAACCAAAAAACCCACACTATTCTCTGATTCAGAAAAAAAACGTGTGAAACAAGAAAAAAACACTATCCTGTCAAAAAAGGACAACAAAACTTGAGATTGAAATAAAATGAGGGTATAAAAACATGTCCACTCAAGAAATAATTCTTTAATTACTATATTTTGCGGATGTTCGACGAATTAAACAAAAAAAGAACAAAGAATAATTCAAAAGTTTTTTTGGGATGCAAAGAGTTTTGAAAAATGATGAGATGAATCATATTTTAAAAATGTATCATTCAACAAATAAACAGAAACCTCGTTCCAATTTTCACTTTTTTTCACACTTTCCTTTTTTTGTTCATCTCGTGATGTTTACAAATAAGTACTTACCTTCTAGAAAATGTTGGAAGTTGTACAATACTACTGTTCAGAGCAATTCCCAAAGCTTCAATCAATTCCAGGTAATTGATGGAATTTCTTGTCGGTGATTCGAGTGATATTGTAACAGAATCTGAAAATTATCGATGTTTGTATGTTTTTTCTATCATATTTTAATTTTTCTGTCTGATTTCAAAAATTTTCATTTCCTCCAAACAAGCCTACAAATTGCAATTTTTCTGATAAGACAGTTTTTTCGCGGAGTGAAGTGACATACCACCTCTCGCCATATACAATTATTTTCCCCTCCCATTTTTCCTACAATGACAGAGATCACTTCGCCTTTCTTAGCAAAAATTCCAAACAAAACGTTTTGGGAAAGAAAGAAGAATGATCTTTGTATAAATAATAATAATATTTGGAATCCAAGATTTTTATCGGACCGAAACCGATTCTTCTCTTCTTTACTCTTTTTTTTTCTATTCCACTTTTGCTATTATTTTTCGATGAAAACAGTCTCGGTTTTGTATGTGTTTTGAGACAAGGGCGAGGATGTTTTTATTTGATAGTTTCCGATTTATTTGAAATATTTGTTGCAGCGTGGGTGGATTTGGGAAATAAAATAAAATAAAATATATAACAAAGTTTAGACAATGATTTTTTGTAAAACATATATAATATAGGGGGACCAGAAATTTTTTGTAAAGATCTTGGTGATGATTAAATTGAATGAGGGACAATTTTTTATCCGTATAGTCTTGACTAACAAAAAGAGGGAAGACCATTTTTTTATTATTTCCGACTGAAATTCAGTTGGAATTCCCCCCTTTTTGCAAAATTTCAAGCAAGGTTAAACGTATATGTTATTCCTTTTCAATAAATAAATTCAAAAATACATTTTGAATATGAGACTGAAGCCTAATTCTAAAACCTATGTTTCTAAAATCTAATCCTCTAATTCAACTCCCTTTCAAGAAATCAAAATTAGGCTTGCGTTTCTTCTATATCGCTTGGCAACCTTCTGGAATTTTTTTGTCGAAAATTCAAAAACACATTCCTAAATAAAACTTGACTGGATCTTTTTTGCAAAACTTTTAATAAAAAGTCCATACAATCATCTTTTTTTTCTCGACTAAATATTTTCTGATGAGTTTCTCTAACTTGATTCTATCTTTTTCTCACAGGGACGGGTGTACAACGACACTCCAAAAGTGCCCTCTGTTTAGTCAACCTATTTTCTCAGAAAAGTGTTTTATGTTACAAGTGTGCACCTAACAATAAATTCTCTCGTATCAGAAAAAAAATGTTTTTCACGTGCACCCAACTCAGATTATTATCAGGAAAAATTCGGAATTTTTTATCATCATTCAGTTTTCCGATAAATATTAGATTTTGAAAACAAAAATGATAATTCAACTAACCTCTTCTATAAAGTAGTTCTGATGCAAATTCTGAATCGTGTTCCGTACTGCTTTGCCTCAACAAAAGTGAGCACTCTGGAAGAGGAAAATTTATAATGTTTATAAGAAAGACACACGAATTTATATACCCTTTTAAAACATCTGAAAAAATGAGACAAGTGCAATATTCAATCGAAAATTGACTTCAATCAAGATAAAAAACTTTTCTCATGGAAAATTCAAGGGACAATTAAAATGAACAAAAAAACTTACTTCGCTTTTTGTCACTTCGTTTCCTGATCGGCATTTTTAACCCGGTATTGTTCTGTAGAAAATTTTAATTGGTAAGTTAGTGTAAAATGTTGAAATAAGAATATAAAGAAAAGAAAAGTCAAAAATATATGGGTTTTCTTGAAAATTTTGGGACTGGAAGAGGGCTGATTAGCTGAAATTGTTTTTTTTTTGAGAATGATGTAAAAACAGCTGTTTTTTCTCATTTCAGTAGAGAATCACCTGGTCTAACTTATTTGAAACATGATGAAGAAAAACTTAACAACAATCAATAGAAATGTGATCTACGAAATATTATTTTGAAAAAATACTATCCTATAACTGTCGAAATTTTAGGGGGAGAAAAGGAAAAAACAACATTGAAAAGAAAACATGACATATTGTTTTCTGTTTCCTAGCAAAAACAACAAAACAAAAAATACTTTGAAATGCAAGAAATGAGTGTCCAGGACAACATAATGGACCTGAAAATCAATAAAATGACGAGCGAACCAACAAAAAATCATAACGCTTGTTTGTTTAGTGACCCAATATAATCAAACTATGAACTAAACTGTTAAAAATGCCAGGAAGCAACAAAAACAATTGCAAAAAAATAAAAATTTCAAACATAAAACAACTCGAGAGCAGAAAAAAGTATGTATTGCAAAGGGAAAGAGAAAAAATAGTGTGTAAAAATGAGAGAGTAACAGGAGAACAAACGGCAGATGCTTGTCCACATTTAGCGTAGAAATCGCTTCGTCCACCACCCCAACATATTCTTTTTTCTTCTCAAGAACTATATTGTTAAGTGAGAAAACCCATGATTTGCACGTGTTTTTTTTCTTCAGATATATAATTTGAGATGTAAGAAATACCAATTTTTTTTTGAAAAAAAAAGACAAATAAAAAGTTTTTTGGCACAACTGTTACATTTTCTCATGAAAAAATGAATGAGATTTTTCGCAATTGTGTTATTTTATTTTTTATTTATGAATATTTATAAAAAACATTCCTATCATATTTTGTTTTTATGAAAAGAATAATTAGGTTAATGTTATTTTTGTACTATTTGACATCAAAAGTGGCGTCAATTGTGCTTATAAAAAACAAAAATAAAAATGTTTGTTTATTTGAATCATTGATTCACTATTTCTGAAAAGATGTAGAAAACCCCTATTTTTGTTTCCTTTTTACTAGTAAAAATATAAAAAATCGAGAAAAAGTAACCAGAAAAAGACTGAAAAAAGAATCAATCAAACGGTGAGAAGATTATCTCACACAGAATGCCAAAACATATGTTTTTTTGGAATGGAAATAAAGTATAGGAAGAAGTCTAAAACTCTTCAAAAATAGCATTTTGTCCTGTTGTTGAACAAATAAACGAGCATCGAAATCTGGCTTACACAAATATTTGACATTAGTTTGTAGCCAGTCAGTTTCATGTGCGTAATATTTTTGCAATTTGTAGACTATTCGAAAAAACACACACACAATGAGGCTAATCTATTTCGAAATTATTGTTTCATTGTTTACAAAAATGATGTGATAGGTTTTGTGAAAAACTTGGAAAATGATGAAAATCAGGTGATTTGAAGCCTTAACGTTGAAGGGAAAGTGGAGTGAGAAAAAATCGGAAAAGGTTTCAAAAATAAACATTGTTATTGGTGTGCACAAATACGAGGAGAACGAGTTGTGGCTTGAACAAAAAATACAGTGTTATTAAACTGGAAAAATTTGAACGAGATTCAAGGAATCAAGTGAGAACATTTTCAGTAGAAAACTTATCAGGAATTTCTAAAGAGAAACAAAAATATCAGAACACACTTTCAAAATTGTTGGTATTGTGGTTGCCTCAATCAAACAATTTTCAATTCATAATTTTTTTACAAAACTTGGACCTGATTCATTTGCTTTTTGATAGTAACATTGAATAAAATCTATTGAAAAAGTATTTACTCTATTTTGATTCAAATATCTAAAATCTGTTCGGCCTAGTTGTTCGGGAATTTGAATTACACACATTACTAATACTAATTCAAACCAAGAATATATAAGTTTTTTGTTCAAAGTTTGATAATGTTTTTCAAGTGAATAAGTGCGGATATGCCATTTATGTGAAACTAATTATACCTCACGTTTAACAATCAAATAATTTGATTTAATGATAACTTTCAGATTCGATGAGCATTTTTTCTATTTGGCCCAACAGATGATTATACTCTTTCCCCGTGGATAAAATTTTAATTAAAGAACTCTCTATGGTTAGTTTTCCGATCTACTATATACTAATTTATTATTAAAAATAAAAAAATGAATTAATAACAAAAAACAAAATCGTTTCAACTTGCGACTGTGAAGAAGTTTCAAATTGCAATCGATTCAGCCAGTCAGAATTCTTAGATTCACCTTTTTTGGAATTAACTTTTAGTCGTAGTATCAAATTGGTTGAAATTTTTTTATTCTTTTTTTCTTGCGTAAAACTGACTAACGAGAATAGTTCCAACAAGGAAGGAAATTGATCTTTAGAGACTAATTGTGCATAGAATATTAAAATAGTGTACATAAGTTCATGATTAACTTTTATTCATTATAATCAAAGAAATCATGTTAACACTTATAAAAATAGAAAATCTATTTTCAATAGTATTTTTATTGAATTGAAGTTTTCTAGTTTTCTTGATTACGACTTCCCTCAAAATTTCCCCAGCATTTTAGAAAGAAGAACTACAATTATTTGAATTTGATATTTTTCATGATATCATCCAGTTCGTTTTTCTGCAATTTTCATAAATATTTTTCAGAATTCTAGTTTACACATTGTTTTGAACATAATCTTGCAATTTCCCAAAAATATTTATTCAGGAATTCACATTCAGTATAGTCCGTTACAGCTCATAATTTCTTCAAAATATTTGCATTGGATTTTCCTTGAGAAAAAATGATGTCAACTTTGGTTTCAAATTGCCGTTGATCTCATATGATAGACTAATCATGTGAAAACCACAAAGATAAGTGGGGGTTATTAAACCTGATAAACTTTTCCAGGAATTTTCTCAGATTGTGGGAAAAAGTTTTGTTTCAAACTTGAAGTTCAGTTTCCTTGTGACTAATATACACATTGTGAAATTCTGATAAATCTCAATAAAAAACAATATTTTTTCATTTTTTGTAGTCTGTATAGATTCTTGAAAAAAACATTTTTTCGTATAGGTCTTCTGAACTAAAAATTTATGTTTTTGTATGTGGTCAGACTAATCGCAAATTTTTATTATTATAGAGTGACTGGATTTAAATTACATTAGTTATACAAAAACAATTGAACCTCACCAATTCGCAAAACAAATATTTTTAATGATTCGCAAAAATAGATTTTTTCCAAATTTCAAAAAGAATTTTTGCTTCCCCTACAAACATAATTTTTTTTGTTTTTTTTATTCATATCCGTCTTCTTTGAATCCCATGACGGAATAAATCTTGTCAGAAAAAAATTGTCTTCAAACTGAAAAAATCAACATTTTATGTGTACATTGTCTGAAAAGTCTCCTGGAAAAAACAAAAGAAAAAACTCGATAATTTGGTCGATGAAAAGATTAAATGGTCCCACAAGAGTTCTCACATTGAAAAATGACCCATGTTGCTGAAAAACATAGATAGATAGAGAAGAAGAGATGGAAAAAAGTCAATTTGAAATTTATCGTTTTTTTCACACAAACATTCTGAAAGGCTTGAAAGCTTCACAAATTGGTGGGTGGAATAAGTTCAGCGATAATTTATTCATTTTTTATTGAAAATGGAATGGAATCACTTTTCTTTTTGGAAATAAAAAAAAGTGGAGTGGGATATAAATCACAAAGTTTAACCTTTAGATTTCAGGGAAATTTTTGAAGATTTTTTTTTGCAGAAAATAGCCCAATGAAGCAGCTCGGCAGTGGTTAAACTCAAGGTTACAAGTTCGATTCCCAGTGTCCGCTTTTTTCAGAGACGTAATCTAAGTAAAGCTCAAGTAGAAGACACCATCTGAAGCAGTATAAGACTTGATCTTTATTGAACAAAATTTTTTCCACAAAACATCGAGTACACTTGTTTGCAGAATAACAATTCCTCCAAACTTTGATCATTACATGTTGTTTTTTCTCCGCGCAGGGAAAAAAAAAATCTGCCTTTGTCACATCACTCTATTTCAAAACACCACTTGCATATTTGGTGGAACCCGAAAAATACGGTGTGTCATTGACAGATGCCACCTACAGAAATGACCGCTTCTTTACTTTTTCCTTTTCCGAATTCGTGTGTTTTTTATTCTTCTACTTTTTCTTCTGTCTATTCAGATTCTGTCGAGATAGAAAGATAGGACCGCCTCTCTGTATATGGGAGAAAAAAAAACGAGAAAAGCAAAACGAAATAGAAGTGTCACGCCCCTTTGACTACTTCATTCTTGCGACATGCTCTCCTTCGTCCATACTCTTATTCTTGCTCTTTTGTGCTCAATCATCTTCGTTGAAGCGATGCCAAGGTAAGTCAAAATTGATAAATGTTTCAGAAGATAGAACACAGAACTGAATTCAAATAGAAAAAAAAACAATTTTTTCTGGAAACTCTTGAAATTTTCTTATTTTCAATTGATCTAATGAAAAAAATTGAACTCTATTTTAGGTTCATATTTGAACTCAAACAAGAAATCCTGGCATTAGGGTTTTCGCTAAACCCACCCACCATATCGCTGGGTATCAGCGGCGCCAAAACAGTCCGCTGAAAAAATACTGACGCTTTTGGGTGCCCTGGGCGAGCTCTAGTGCTGAGCAAGCGCCCGGCTCACGTTCCGTTTTTCTCGACCTCATCTTATCGCTCCTACTAGACTAAATTTCAATATTCATAAGAAATATCCAAAATTTTATCAATAAAATCCCATTAGAATCTCTTGTTGAGAGAAAAACAGAATAAAATTCACATCAAAAAGTAGCGGGAAAAAAGTTGAAACGTTGTGCTGTACACGCTCCATCAACCAAACCTTTTTTGAGTATTACTTTGGTGGTGTGAGAAAGAATTCGTACTTGTAGTATGAAATATTCACGAGATTTTGTTCCTTGCTTTCTAATTTGAATGATTAGCGATCATAAATATTCATACTTATTATAAAGTGCGGATGCAATTGAATTATTCATTTGAAAGCAAAAAATATCTGATTATTCATATTATTATAAAGTATAATAAAAGTAATGATTTCATATATACATTTTTTTTCCACACATGACTCCGCCTATTTTTTGGATAAGTAAAAGGAAGAAGAAACTTTGAAAGGAAAGTGATAAATTCTTGTCCATTGGGATTAAAGTGTGAAATTTTTGGAAATAAAAACTCAACTCAAGTGTTTATATAGCTTTTTTCGAAGAATCTCGTTTCAAGAATCTGATGCTTATATAAATAAACAGCAAATTTAAAATGCATAAATCGTCATATTTTGTTTTCCATATAAAGTTAAATGGAAAAAACAAAACTCGAAATAGAAGAAATAAAAAAATACGAATCGAAGAAATGACAAAGTATGGGCATATATCAGAAGAAAACAATATTTTTCCAGAAACCGACCAGCCAAAAAGGCCATGCGCAATTCTTTGGTTCGATTCGGTAAACGAGGTGGAGGTGAACAACTAGCAGCTGATGATGTGTTTTTGGGAGAATCATATGGACCAGTTGAAACATATGAACAATTCAGAGGAGATAGCTACGCCAACCAAGCTCCATCAGTCATCTTCTATTAAATTGTGACCCTTTGATAACATTGGTTCAATCAAAATTCAATTAGATCTCGAATTTCTTCGTTTTTTCTGTATTCAACTTCAAATCAAAAAATCATCGCAACACGATCTCAATTCTTTTGTAGACGTCATTCATATTTTATTTGAAACTAACTATGTTCCAATAAATGTTATCTGTGAAATTAATTGCACTTATAAGGTTCTGGGATAGGTTGGAAAATGATTTTCAAGAACATCACAATTTGTAGACACGCAAATTTGGGATTGAATTCTGTAATTCAAATTTTTGGTTTGAAGAGTGTCATTTTTGGCTCAAAAATATGCTTTCCTTCAAAAGAACCGAATACTAGACAATTACAAACCTGACATGTTTTTGTGAAATTTCACAAATTTGTCCAATTTTCCCAATAATTTGCTATTGAAAAGCACCACTTTTCATTAAATATAATCGGTGCTAAACGGGAAAAAGGGTTTCAGAAGAAAAAGGGGTAATAAATGTCTTTCAAAATTTTGAATTCTTCACTTTCCATGATAAATTTTCAAAAAATCAGATTTCGCTAACATTAAGAAAGTGTTTTATTTTCAATTGAATTGTACCATGTCACCTATATTTATGCTAGTTCCTTGTTGAAACGATGTTTGTCTTATGTAAATACCAAATGTGAGTTTCTGATTTTTTCTAAAATTTCTCAAGGCTAGAATTAGTGATGGATCTTTAACTCCGGTGTCTGGATCGATGCATATCATTTCACATCGAAGGCATTTGTCCACAACCTGAAAATTATCAAAAAATAACATTTGAAATATCTTGTTAGTAAACAAAAATATAGACGAACCTCAAAATTGATACCCTCAATGCTTAAATGTTTTGCAGTATCTTCAATGAATGGTGGCATTCCTCTCACAACAATATTTGATCGAAAACGTGTGATTATTTCTGATGTTGGAATATCTGAAAAACAAAATCACGTTGATATTTTGTCTAAAGTTTTAAACATACTAATTATTTGAGATAGAATATGTACACTGGCTTCATTTATAAGCAAAAACGGGCTTTCATTCACAAAGCTCTTGAAGGAATCGTTAGTAACTCGAACAAGTTGACAATTTTGCATATCTAGAACATTATCAAGCCACTTGTTAGTTTTTTCATCGCAAGAAATTGTTGAAATCTTGTTCCGACAGACAAACCGCTCTTGTTCAGAATTATTTGAATACTTCAGTGGATATTCCAACATTTCACCAAACGCTTTGATTTCCAGCATAGATTTATCTTCTGAAATCTTCAAAAAATTTATGAATCTGTTATTCAAATATACACAGAAAAATACCGTAGCTGAAATTCTACATAATTCCGGATGAGTTTTCAATGACAATGTGATACCACTCTGAACAATCATAAAATCTCTATCATATTCAAAACCACGTTCAGTTAGATTGAAACTGAAATAACATTTAGGAAGTCAGTACCATTACTTCTGAAAAATTAGCATACCTGTCTTTAGTTTCGGATGCACAACTTTTAATTGGGAAAGCGCATAATCTCACAACTTCAGGGGAATAATTATGAATTTTGAGACTTGTTGAAACTTGCGAAAATTGTGCCATTGAGCCAACAAAACAATTATCAATCATATTTTCTACTACTAGAATGTCGTCTTCTTCCGATTGTCTTCCAAATGAGATTCTAACAGCTCCGGTTGGTTTTCCATCAATCAAATCCATCTCATCTCCACATCGCTTTCCTTGCTAAATGAAAATATATTTTAAAAATAACCGATTTTTTAAATTGTGGAAAATACCCGTTGATTATTTTGAATCATTTCATGAGAAATTCCCAAATACTTTCTACATGCTCCGATGTTGCAAAAACATCCAGTTCTGATTTCGATACCAAAAATTGCACATATTTTTTCAACCTGAAAAAAAAACTTTGCTCTATTCATCTATCCTTCATACGAACTGTAGAAATGTTTTTATTTTTGGTCGCGACGATTAAAAAAAGCAGCCGCGCTCTAATCGACAAAAAATTCAAAAAATGGAGAAAAAAAAAACTAGAGGGACACAGAATCGCTACAAGACCCAACATAAACACACATGTCATTTTCCTCACATTCAGTGTCTCATTTTTTCCCTGTCTCAATAGAAAAATCCCTCATACCTCATTATAACCGTAGTAGCCTCCATCAGGTCGTTTGATATTGAATGTTATTATTGCGCCTTGCTCATCTTGCGTTCCAAATTCAGAAGAATTTTGTGAATAAATTTCAACAACCTGTTTCCCATTCTCATGCACTTTTGTGGAAAGCATTTTGAACATCTGTTTGGCAATCGAATATGTTTTATTTTGAATATTCTTTATACCACCACATCTTTCTATTTCATCAAAACCATGTTGAATTGCTGCGATTCCGTGGAAATTCATTGTTCCTTCCTCGTAAGCATCTTCCAAATCTTTACTAATAAAATAGAAACTATCTTCTTCCACGCTTTGAACTGTTCCACCAGCGAATGAGTTTTTAGGAATCATCTGTTCAGAATCTACAAAATCACTGTCTTATTTGAAAAAGAAAAATTTTTTCTCCCACTTTTTCTAATAATTAGAGCACCAACACCTGTAGGATAACCAAACATTTTGTAAAATGACAATGCGACAAAATTCGGCCTATATTTTTTGAGATCCAATGGTGCTGTTGAAACCAAACTAGCTGCATCTAGACACACGCTCCAACCCTTTTCTTGCAATTTTGCAATGTTGTCTAAATCATATTTCTTCCCGCAGAAGTTGCTCATAGCTGTGAGCACAAAGAGACTGTTTGATGTGTTGGGAATATTTTCAAAAGCATTTTCTGATACGCAGGAGATGGAGTCCACCTGTAAACTTTTTCAAAATCACTATCGTAGTTGTTGTAACAGTTTTCAATAAGAATTTTCCCATGGTTTGCAAAAAGGACATTGCAATTAGTTTGAACAATTATTGTGTGATTCATATATCATGGGACTGCAGACAATTTTCTGTATTTGTTTTACAATTATTTTTCTTTTTTTGTCACAAGGTTTATTTTAGTTTCTTTTATTTTTTTAATTTTGATCGTTTGATTTTGTGATTACAAAAAAACCCTGATAAACTCCAAAACCTCACCCTATTTTTGACAAAATTTCGAAGTCCGATCACTGAATGATGAGAATCGTAAAGATATGCAAATTGTGATTGATTTTCATAGAGAATATTCGAAATTTCACTAACTTCTTCAGTTTTCGTTCTGGTAAATTTGAAATTTTCAGCCACGATTTTCAATGAATGAGTTGTATTATAAGTGAACACAACAAAATAATCATCAGAAGACGCGTTGAAATATTGTAAAACTCTGAAACACAAGTTAGCAGAACTCAGAAAAAAAAGTTTCAAAAAAATACCGTAGTCTAGCAGAATTCATCAATTGCTTAGTTTTGAGTGCAGTTGAATGTCTTGAATGAGGGTTTGCCAAAATCATATCATTTCGAAATTTTGATAATTCATCAAGCTGTCGTTTTGATGGAAGCGCAGCTCCTGCATTATCAAGATACGGCATGCTCTCTGCAGAAATAAAACTGATCGTGAATAAAAAAATTGTTTTCTTATCAGAGAGAAAGTTTCTCCGAGTGCAAGCACAATGATATGATAATAATGTTTTTTTATTTCTTGTTGTAATCGAATTTGGGAAGTGATGGGGTCTGATTCAAGTCGAAAAGAATTAATGAAAAAATATTGTGAGACAAAAATGTTCGATTCACTAAATGTCAAAAACTGATTTTTTTTCCTATTTTTTTCACATAAACTTGAAAATATCTCGCAACGAAAATGATTCATTGGGAAAATATTTTAAACAAATGAAATCCAATGAATCATTTTCGTGGTGAGATATTTTCATGTTTATGTGAAAAAAAAGGAAAAAAAATATTTCGACATATGTTGAATAGAATTTTTTTATCAAAAAAGTTTTTTTTATTAATTTTTTTCGACTTGAATCACTGAAAATTTGCATTTTTCCAAACCATACCAGTTCCAGTTCATTTCTATCTTCTCTTTTCCTTTTTTATTTTATCAATGAGAAAAAAAAAACACAGATGTTTCCTAGTTTTCTAGTATCTTTCTCTTACAATCCAAAAATATCTCTCTCCTCATTTCTCCCATTTTTTCTGCATTTGTTCGTCAATTGTGCAAACACCGCATTTTTGTTTTTTTTTCTTGTAAACTTTTTTTATTTTTTATCTAGTCAGTCTTTCTTATTATGCTATCCTCTAGGAATTTTTTAAATACTTTTGCAAAAATTCAATCTGTCAGAATGGCATCTTTTGCTCCGGTCGCTTCTGAACGTGTCAAGAATCATAAACCATCAATTTGGTTAGTTTTATAATTTTGTTTGAAGTATTCAAAACTATCATTATTTGTTATAGGGTCGAATTCACAACTTTGGCTGCCGAATGTCAAGCTGTCAATCTTGGACAAGGCTTTCCTGACAGCCCAGCTCCAAAATTTGTCACAGACATTTTGAAAAACATCTCGGAGCATCCAGAACTTCCAGCTTGTCATCAATACACAAGAGGTTACGGACATCCACAACTTGTTGGAATTCTTGCCAAAATGTACAGTAGTCTTTATGGTGTTAATGTCAATGCTAATGATGAGGCAAGAAATCGTTAATAGGGAATGTTCAAGAAAAATATATTTTCAGATTCTCGTGACAGTTGGAGCTTATCTTGCACTTTATTATACAATCTTGGGATGGGTTAACAAAGGAGATGAAGTTTTGAGTAAGTGTTTCAATAATTTGACATCATAATTTTGAAAATGAGAAATTGGGTAACAGGGAAAACATTGGGCAGATCAACTGATCGAAAAGAAAACATCTAAAAAAATTAAGGCCAGAGTCTGAATCCGTAATCAATTTTAACAGAAATTTCGAATAGTCTCATCAAAATTATCGATTTTCAGTCATCGAGCCAGCCTATGATTGCTACTATCCTCAAGTAAAAATGGCTGGCGGTGTACCAGTTCCAATTGTAATGTCACTTCCACAAGATGCTACCAGCGCTTCGCAATTCACTATTGATTTCGATGCGATGGAAAAGAAGATCAACAGCAAAACCAAGGTACCCAAAACTTTTTTGAAAATTAAAATATCTCCTCACATCAATATATAAATATTTTTAGATGTTGATTATCAACAATCCACACAACCCAACTGGAAAACTGTTCACCCGCGAGGAACTCGAAAAACTTGCCGATATTGCCAAAAGACATAATTTGTTGGTTATCGCTGATGAGGTTTATGAGTTCCATGTTTGGCAAAAAGAAGATATGATTCGATTTGGTAATTATTTCATTTTGATCTACATACTTTTTTGATATCCAAAAAATGTAAATCATAATGTGTTTCTTGTTTCAGCCAGTCTTCCTGGAATGTACGAGCGAACAATTTCAATTGGAAGTGCTGGAAAAGCATTCTCCGTGACTGGATGGAAATTGGGATGGGCTGTTGGACCCAAAAACTTGTTAGAACCTTTAAAAGCGATTCATCAAAATTGTGTCTTTACTTGCTCGACACCAACTCAAAAAGGAATTGCTGAGGCTTTCGAAGCGGAGTAAGTTAGAACACCACCTTTCAAAAGAAAAAATTAAATATAGTTTGGTGATAACAATCAGTAACTATGAATAATATGTTCAGAATGTGAATCTTCGGAATTTTCGAAACAGTCAAGAAGTTTGATTAACTTTCCCTTTTAATTTCCAATTCCCCAGAAACATTTCATCGACAATCCCTAATCCCTATTACAATTTGTCTACAAAAACATTCGTTCATATGTACTGAAACTTTCAGACAGTGTAAATATAAAACTGAATAGATAGATAAGATAAAAAAATGTGATCAAAATGACCAATTTGCAGCTGGCCAAAATTCTTGTCGGATCCACAAAACTCGTATCTCGCAACTGGACTCTCATCGGAACTTAAAGCGAAACGCGATAAGCTTGCGAAAATGTTAACTGATGGAAATTTCCGTCCAATTATCCCTGATGCTGGATATTTCATGTTGGCTGATTATTCGCACTTGAAAACTGGTTAGTTTTTTTGGTTTCTGTTTGTATCTTTTCTTTATATGAAACAAAACAAAACAAAAATGAAAGAATATTATGAAGAACTTCAAAAGTAGCGTGTTTCAGGCCAGGAATTGAAAGGTCACGAAGATCCAGCTGATTTCATTTTTTCGAGATGGTTGTGCAGAGAGAAAAAATTGGCGGTCATCCCACCAACCGCTTTCTATTCCGAACCGGAAATGAAAAACAAAAATGATCATTTGGTCCGTCTTTGCTACTTCAAGAAGGATGAAACTCTCGAAGCCGCTGAAAAAATTCTCAAGGAACTTGGACACCATTAAGTTAGATATTTCTTTGCGATATTCGTGTTTTTTTCTCAATTTTCTTAAGCGGTGTTGCCATACTTATTTCATCTTCTCTCGAAACGTGTAATTTAGTACATCGTAATCCCAAAATTATTTTTTTGCATACCAAACCAAATAAACTGTTATTTTGATCGAGTGAAATTACATACAACATACATATAAGATAAAAAGGGTCGAGGACATATATCTACATACACACAATCGCACTTTTTATATATACATAGATATATTTTTTTCTTCAAAGTTTTTCGTCATTCTCATTCTTCCTTAACAGAACCAGTTTCAAAAAAAAAGTAATTGTAAATTTGGACACACCTCCAATTCGCACTTTTGACTAAATATTTTCTATTCTTTGTTTTTTTCCTGTGAACATTATGGAAATATCAGAAGAGGATAAGAAAAAAATTGAAGAGTTACGTGAACTTGTTAAGGTGAGTGTTACTTTTTTAATCATGAAAATAATATTTTTTTCTGTTTCTACTGTCAAAAAAACCGGTCAGCTTATGCAAATATCTAGTTTTTGTTCATGATTTATTCATAGTTATGGTCTAACAAACTTTCATGAAAGAATTTTAAAAAACAAAAATAAATATGTGTGAAAAATTGGAAATAGAAAAATAAGAAAAATAATTGCATGACCAAATTATTTACTTATAGAAACTACTTTCTGGTTTTTTGAGTACTTGTTATTTTAATTAAAAACTTACATCAAGTTTTCAGGACGATTTGACTGACTATTATGACACAGACTTCAATATTCTTCGATGGTTACAAGGACATAATAATCTATCAATTTCTGAAATTGCAAGAAAACTTCGACATCATTTGAAACTCAGAAAAGCTTGGAACCTCGACGAATTTCACTTGAAAGAGAGGAATCATCCGATTCATAATCATTGGAAATATGGAATTACAGGAGAATCTGGAATTATTGAGAATGTTATTGTAAATATTGAGCAGGTCTGATTTTTGCCTCTTGAAACATTCATAAAACAAAAACAACAAGAGTTTTTCAGTGCGGGAAAACAGATTATAATGGTATGATGGAGTCATTCTCAATAATGGAAATAATGCGGGCAAGAACTTTGGATTTGGAGCAAATGTTGGCTCAAGTTATGTCTATTGAAAGAAAAACTGGGAAACAAGCATATATTTTGTATGTTATGGATATCACTGGTTTAGAATATAATAAACACTTGTATAATTTGGTGACTGGTTCAATGAAATCATTGGCTGATTTTATGGCGGAACATTATGTTGAAATGATAAAAGTAAGAATAGTTGTTACAATTCAAGAAGCAAAGTTTTTATTCGGTTTTTTTCAGTTTTTTGTGCCAACTTGTGTTCCAAATTTTGCAAATGCTCTTTTCGTTGTTGTAAAACCTTTGTTACCTGAGAAAACTAGAGATAAGGTAAGTTTTATTTAAAAGTTTTAAAAAAAATCTGGAATATGAAGACGCACTAATTGAAAATTCTTTGTTCTTGAAAGATGTTGAAGATTTTAAAATTTATTTTATAATTTTCAAAACCTATAATTTTTCTAGGTTCGACTAATTCCTGAACATAATTGGAGAAAAGACATTTTGGAATTTGCCAAACCAATTGTTCTTCCATCAATTTGGAATGACGAAAACCACAATTTCTCAGCAAATATAGATCTTCCGATAAAATACCCGACCGATATGTATTACTCCAACCAAACCCACGAGGTATTTCAAAACCCTTTGTTCTTAACAAAGATGTGATTTTTCAGAAACTCTCTAATCTCGAGACCATATATATTTCTGCTGGAAAAATCCACACAGTTTGTAATTATCTGAAAAAGGGAAGTCGATTAAAATGGTGGTGTCGCGGAAATCGTAATTTCGGCTTTGGAGTATTTTGGAGCGAAAAGGAGAAAATCGCCGATTATTTCATGTCAGTTTCTTTGACATGCCTCCAATTTTCATCCTGTTTTCATTTTGTTTTTGGTTTTTCAGAGCAAATCAAGTTTCTCCTTGTTTTCCGTGGATGCCTGATCCATCATTAGTTCCAATGGAAGATTCGATAATTGTCGACAGAGTGAGCATCTCAATTGAAAATGAAATAGTAGTTTTTTTCCAGGATGCTTATTATCACGTCTGGGTGAGTAATGAACGATCATGGTGGTTCACATTGGAAGCTCAACTTGCTGTTAAATTTGGAGAATTGTAATGCTTATATAAATAATATATATTTATAGATATCATATATAGAAACGTCTTATTAGTCAACGTCTGATTGAACCAATTATTCTCATTTTTATGTTATATGAACTATTTTGTTTGAGATTTTTGCTTTTCTTTTTTTTTGCCACACAGAACGGAACACTTTATGAGAGCGGAAATGAGACAAGAAAATGGTGTTTGATCAGTTATGTTGTTAGTAAAGAAAAAGCATTAGTTTAGTTTACATTAATGACGCTTAATTTTTCAGTAATCATTTTTGTTGGAATAATTTTCCAAGAATTGTTTTTGACTGAATTGATGTTCCATCAAGAAGAAGTCATGGGAAAAATATGCATAACATATATGTGTCCCATTGGGATGTTATTTTTGAGAAAAAATAAGATTGTATTTCAAAACAACAAGGTACATCATTATTTGTACATTTTTCGTTTTTTTTTTCGTTTAAAAACGAAGACTTTTAGTTGTCTCTCCTTCTTCTTCTTCGTTCTGAAAAATAGACAAAGATGAAGCTGAAAACAATTCACATTTGCAATTTTCCATGTTATTATTGTTTTTCATGAAAATCATCTGCAAATTTCTTTTTCGATCTTCTTTAAATAATAATAATATTCTACTATAATGAATAAATGTTCAAATGTGCGTGATATTTAAAATGACATTTTTTGGTTGTTTCAGAGACATTAAATTGTTCAATTTTTCAAAAATTTTCGGAAACAAAACGAAAAGTGACATGAATGATTGATTTTTCTCATTCTTAAATTGACATTTTTGAATTACAAATATATCCTTGAACTCTTCGTTTTTGGCTCAACTCTCAAGACTAAACAAAAGTGATGTGTCAGACATGTGCAAAAAATCAGCTGTTTTAGTATTTCTGAATCCTCCAATTAATTTCTTGGAAAATACTTATTCATATTTTTTAGACCCCTTTATTTCACCGGAAAAAACTTTGAATTCGTGCAAAACGAAAAACGTCGTCACTTTGTACAATACAAAATTAGTTAAATCAGAGCATGTTTGCCGCTTTTTCTCATTTATTTTATATAATAAGCTTCATTTACTTTTGTCACTCACTTATATAATTTCCACTGGAACAAGACGAAAAAATGAAATGACAATCAAAAATAATTTTTCTTCGCTTCTGACATACCTCTTCTTATGTGTGAGTCAGTCAGAAATATGTGTTTTGAGATCTCTTTACTTTTCCATTCTTATGCATTTTTCTTATATTTTTGCTTTTCTCATATTTTCATATGGAGATAGATAAATACTCTGCGAGCCAAATTGGAATGACGATCGGCTCTCAAGTGTTAGTTTTAGCTTACATTATTTTTCTTCTTGCTCTTCTTTTTCTATTTTCTTACTAATTAGGATCAAGCAATGCATGCTTGAAAAATAAAATAACAGTTGGTTGGTTTTGCGCGTATCTCGAATTTTTTAGAGAGAGTGAGAGAGAGCTAGTCATTTATGAAAAAAAAAAACATTTCCCCTCTAATAATTAGCCAAATAATGCACTCTTAGCGCATTAGCAGTTGTTCAAATCTATAATTAGGAGTCAGATTAAAGTTCACAGCAATTTAGAAATCAAATATTTCTTCTTTTTTTTTCTTCAAAAAATATTGGTTTCGATATGAATAATGCTAACAAGAAAACATTTTCAACTCAAAATCGAGTTTCAGTTAAAAGTTTTTTTTTTGAAAATAATAACTCTTACTGACGAACATCAAGAAAACGTTACCTTCATAAGAAAACTATGACATAATTTGTAGATCGCTTAAACCCTACCTGGAGAAGATACATGGAATTTTCGCAAGAAAATGACTTCATTCAGATACATTCGGGAATGTTGCTTTAGAAATTTGAACAACAAACTCCATCGAAAGTTCAATAGCATTTCATCTACTGAATTTTTGATTTTCGAAAAATAAAAATTGCAATTAACAAAAATTCAAATGTTTCATTTAATTTTTTGAATACTTGAAATCTATGTTTTATTCATTCTGAAAATACATTTCAAAATTTTATGCCATTCTTTCTTATTTCACTTTTCGAAAAAATCCGTAGACAAGGAAAAATGCACAAGCTCAATTATCTAACGAGAGGAAAGCGTCTTTCTTGGAAGATTCTAATTTTTGCACTTCATATCCGGTTTTTTTCGTCTTTTGTTTCATTTCATTCATCAAGTACATGCATTTATTTTGTGAATTTCAAAAATAAACACACACAAAAAAGTTCCTAAATTCAACATTTTTTCCTCATTTTCGATTTTCACAATTTCGAAAGACATCTTGACGTATTTCTCTTTTTTTTATTCATTTTCTTATTTTTCTTATTTTTCTTGAGAGAATTTTACTTTTTTCGTCCGGTAATCGAAAGAGTGCATGTAACAAACAAGAAAGTTTTCTTTTCGCTGTTTTTGTTATTTTTAAGGTTGTTTGGGGAATAATAAAATGCAACTTTTTTTCGACAAAAAACACTTTGTTCAATTGAACTTTTTTCTGCGAAACTATGCAAAACGTACTAGGAAATTGGTGTTTTTTCATCATAAAAAGGATATTAATATGGGCAGATTCAGTGGAATGATTTACAATTTCCGGAGTATATCACTCACTGTGAAAACTGATTTTTTCCCTCATGTTTTTAGTTTTGCTTCTCCTGGTCATTGAACAATTTTTTTCTAAATCAGGTGTCTAAATATTAGTTATTTTGTAATACAACTCTTGCCGACATTTTACTTGATCATTCATTTTTTAACAGTTTCATAAGTTGTTTTTCTGTGGCTCTTCTTCAATTATCAGAAACTATTTTTCCATCAAAAAATTTCAAATTGTGTTAAATTTCTCGAGACAAAACGTTTTGTTTTCATCCGCGTGACAAAACAAACAATTCAAAATAAGCGACCAATAATTTTAGATCAAAAACAAAAGAATCATGAAATCTATCACAAAAAGGTTTTCCAGATTTTCAAGTTGTATACTTTTTTTTCGGATTGTTTTTACTTTTTTTTTTCGTTTTCTTTAAAGACAAAAAAGCAAAGAAGTGTGGGTGAGTGTCAAATGTCATTTATTCAACCATACTATGTATGTATTCTTCTCATTTTCCATCATGACACATCGTCCGTCTTTCGAAAAAAAAAAACGTTGAGTTGAATCAAATAATTTCCATGTTTTTTCCGGGATTTTTTCCCGGTAAATGTCTCAATTTCCGTTTTGATTTATTTTGACTTTTAGAATGGAAATGAGTGAAGTGGTAATTTCAACACATAAGAGCTTTGGAACCAGAATTTTGTTTATTTTCTTTTTGGGGTTTTTCGATCCATCTCTGGAGAATTGAGAAAAGTCGCGAGAAAAGTAAAATTAGTGAATTGAATTTCGTCAAAATATTTCGTATCCTCAACCCGACAATTCTCTTTTTCTTCTTCAATTCTAGTCAATTCATGATGATGATGTGAACTGAACGGAGACAATGGGACCAAAAAAAAAACTTCTTTTTTTGTTGTTGCTTCGTTTATTTCATTTTTTCATTTCTTTTTTATTCCTAAAGAAACATTTGTTCTTGGATGTTTGATGGAATGTGATTAGATGAGCATTTTTGGTTTTTTGATCATTTGTTGAAAGACAAACCGGAAACAATTGCAGAAATATAAATCTAATGAGAAGAGTGTACTTTTTTTGATAATGAGGTGAAACTACGAGTCACGAGTTTTTCTGCAATTTCCAATATTTCCTGTTTATAATTTGGTTTGTTTCGAAAACGAATCTCCGCTTGAATCATGCAAATTACACTTGATATTTTTTTCGTGCATACATATTCAAAAATTGCGAATATCGTTTTCTTCTATTCTAGAATTAGCATATGTTAATATGCTTTTCTCGTAAAAATGAGAGGTTTTTATCCCCAAAATTTGAGGCCCAACAAAAAAAACTTTTTTATTTACCCCAATCGAATTTCAGCTTTCTCTAACTTTCACACGGACTAATTTCGAACGTTGAGAAAAGAGAAACCTAATAAACAAAAAGTGAGGAAAAGTTCAATCTGGTTTTTGTACCTAACAAGCTGAAAATCTAATTTCTCTTTCTTTACGTTTTTTGGCACTTTCCGGCCGCCCACGTTGAGGGGTTTCAGCATCCACTCACAAATGGAACTTTTTTCTTATGTAGATGCTGTAAAAGTAGCTTTTCTCACAAATATTTGATTACATCAGACGTTTTTTCGATTTTGACACATAACTAATCTCTTGAAAAATAAAATAATCAGACCAAAAATTAGAAGATGCTCCAGTGGTTCATTATTATTATTATATGAAAAAATCTTCATCATCGTATTATATATTAGGTTCGTTAAACATCTCTTCAGTTTTTTACCTCATGTTATTTATCTCATGATTTACCGAGAATGAAAAATAAGTATGAGTTCAGATGTTGTTTGATACCTCCCTGGAAGGCAAAAAAAAATCCGGGTAGCGGAAAAATTGGGGAAGAGAGAGAAGTTTTAAATCGAATTTTTGCTCGTTATTTTTTAGTCATAATATTCTGTTTTTCTTTTTCTTTTCATACCAAAAAACCAAAGAAAAATCTGAAATGTACTTTCTTCAAAACCCAAAGTTTTTTTTTATGTATCCAAGTTTTTCAACCAATTCTGTTGCACTTTGAAATTTTGGTGTCTCGCGCCAAAACCAAATCTAATCATTCCAGTTTTCATGTCACTCACAAAAAATCAAGTTTCTCAAAAACATCATTGTAGTTTGGCTATGATGTTGATACGAAGAAGCAAGCAAGCTAGCAAAAAAAAGAGTTTGAGTTTGGACCGTATACTATTTTTAGATATATTCATTAGACTCCGCCCCTTTTCTTTTTAGTTAGTAAGAAGGGCTCACTTCTTCGTCTTATTCTAAATGAAGCTGATGAGCATTCATTCCGTTTTTATTCATATCAAGTTAGTTATGAGAATAGAATAGAATAAGAAGAATGAAAGCAGCACTTGTCATGGATTGAACTTTTGGATTTTCTTTATTTTTTGCATCTATTTGTTTTCTTTCTTAATCCCTCTAGCATTTGATTCCAATGAACAAATCTATCAGACCAAGGAAGTTCACAGAATTCTTGTCTTGTGTAAACTAAACCACAAATCCTTTTATTTTAATCCCCCGCTTTCAAAAAAAAAAATAATGGTTTCTTTTGGAATTACGCAAAAAATATGAAAAACATAGTGCGAAGGTATAAGAAATGAATGACCTCTTGTTTTCAGTGCCTTTCATTTGAATTTTTCCAGAACCATTTCCTCAAATTTCCAAATAATGTTTGGACGTAAATTGAAACTTTGTTGCGTTTCCATTTTCTATTGTTTTGGAATACGTTAGAAATCCGACTATTTTTTTGTTTTTGTCCAATAGTTTCGCATATCAATTTAGTTTCTCTTTTTTTGGTTTTTGTATCCAGCCTATTTTAGTTTGGAGAAATAAAGTAAAGATGAAAGAGACGTGTCTTAAAATGCTGCGATTCATTATTTTCTCATTGCTATACTTCATAATTAGATATGACTCAAGTCATATGTATCTTCCTTACTTGCTTCCTTGCTTACTAGCTTGCTTACTAGGCTTGCTTCTCATTTTTTGCTGCTCTCAAAACTTTTTTCTTCTATTATATATTAGAAGGAAATATGGAATAGTGGCACATGAATGTTGCTTAATCGTGCTCTATAATTAAGTGTGGTGTGAAACCGATTTTTTTCTCATTAAAAATATTATTCATATTATATTTTATTTTATTTTGCTTCTTTCTTTCTCCTACTTATAATATCGTATGAAGGATATAATTTGTAGATTCAAAATTTTTTTGTTTAGTTGGCGTGCCTGTGGAAAGAAAAAACCAAAATAGAAAACAATGCTAATTCATACCTCCCTTGTGTTTTTTTTTCATATATTTGTATCCACTATACAAGTTAGAGCAGATTTTGAGAAAGTTATTGACACACTTTTGAGAACTTCAGAAAGTAATAGTAATGAATACTTCCCCTAGAAAAATACGGGAACACTCCCCACGGGAAAAATACAACGTCAAGGCGACACTCTGGTGCTCCGAGGCAAAAAATCATCGCGCCCGCATGCAAGTGCCAAACTCACGGCACCCAAACATTTTTCGACTGTTCCAAAAAGGTGTCATTTTTCCCGAGCACATAAACATAATGTAGTTTATTTTAACAAATGATCATACACAAAAAAGAGTTTATTTATTCATTTATTTATTTATAACGCTGAACATGATCTTTAAGATTTTCGTGGGAATTCCTAGAATTCCAACCTCCCAATAAAAACCGAAAATTAATTTCTATTTTTCAATTTCTCCCATAAATTCCTAATGAATTTTTCTTGTTAGCAAAATTTATTTCTTCAAATATCACAATAGTTTTTGTATTAAAATATCAAACAAAAAAACTAGGATTTTCTTTTTTCCTCCTGCTGCTATAGATAGATTTATGTACATGTTCATCCGTTCTATTGTTCATCTCCAATACCTCACATACTTTATTATTCCAGGTCAGAGTCACAAAAACAACCAAAAATATTCGAAAAAAAATAAAAATTAGAAAGAAAAACTCATTTTTTGTTGTGAACCAAGTATTAGGACTTATATTCCTTTAATTTCGCATTTCCATTTTCTTCAAATTCATTTTCGTTTCTTTTCTTTTCCTCATTTGAACCCTAAAAAGGACTAATGAAGCTTTTTTTTCTAAATAAAAAAGAGACACAAATAATCAACCAAACAAAATGTTTTTTTCGGCTGGCCAATGTCATTTTTTTGCTTTTCCAATTTCAGGATATGCTGAATAATGCCCTTTCGAAAAAAAATTGGCAAAAAAGCGTCATGGCAAAAAATAAAGCAAACAAATTCAGATTGGATTAAAATATTTTGTCATATCCGCTATTATATCCCTCCCATTCTACTTTCTAAATATCAGCAGCATGTGTATTTTTGCTCTGCTCCACGGATTTTTGATTTGGTTGAAAATTCATCTGCTTCATTTCAAAACCTTTTTTTTCTTTATTTTTCGTTCAAGCTTTAATTGCAAGTTATTTTTTCAAATAAAATAAGATAAGATTTCAGCCAAAGATGAATGATGTTTTGATGAACTATACAGGTGTTCCACAATGCTGGAAAGAAGGGAGAACATGTAAATTCATCAATATAGAAAAACAGGTTGGTTTACTTGATGTGAAAGTACATAATTGTGTGAATTTGCACGAATTGAATAACAAAAACAAAATACAAACTACTGTCATTTTGCAGGTCCCGTTCAATTGGGCCATTCCAATGTATGGATATATTATGCCAATAATTGCATCGCTAACAATTGCAACAAATAGTTTCATTGTTGTTGTGTTGTCTCACAAATATCTACGAACTCCAACAAATTTTGTGCTTTTGGCGATGGCAGTTTCCGAATTGCTGACTGGTGTTGTATGTTTACCCTGGTTCATCTATTATTTCACGCTTGCAGGTAACAATTATATTCAGATCTTTGAAACACCTAAATTTATTTTAAGGATACAAGGATGATAAAGATCGCGGTCTTCCTGAATTTTGGTGTAAAGCTGTGCCATTATTGGCATCATTTTTGCCCTCCGTTTCACATACAATGGCTATTTGGTTGACTGTTTATCTTGCGATTCAAAGATACATTTATATTTGTGTCCCATCGTTAGTTCGTAAATTTTGCACTATCCGTCGAAGCAAACAGGTTAGTTGTATGTATCAAAGCAAACTTAGAAATTCAATTAATTTTTTCTTCAACTTCTATAGAGATGTTCATTGAGCGGCGCACACTGAAAATCCATACCTAAATTAAAAACAACAGAAAAAGAGTACAAACAGCCAATTATTCAGAAAAATATAGACAAAAACAACACTAAAAATTGTTTTTACGCTAGAATGAATATTAAAGATATTAATTCACTAACTGCAAATTTTTTAGTGATCATAAATTAGCCAAAAAATGAAAATAATAATGATTACAGGTTATACTCTTAATTTGTATTGTGGCTCCGCTTGTTTACACACCCGAAATTTTAAGCCACCGAAATGAGTCGTATGAGTTAACCGATAACTACACACATGGTAAAATAGTGTGAAATAAAAACTGAATGTAAAAATTATGATTTTCAGCTAAAAAACGATACTGTTTCCGTGTTCGCAGCACATTTATTGATGGGATTTCTGATAATTCCTACTATAATGTGCAATATTTTATCCAAATCGTTTTCATTCACTTTATACCATGTGTTCTTCTTGTTATTTTCACGTGGAAACTTGTTCACGCTATTCGAGTTGCAGATAAAAGACATGCAAATTTGTTGAACAAATATTCAGCACCAAATAGGTCTACCAGACGAAAAATGAGTGAAGCCACAAGTTCATCTGATAATGAAAATCGACTTGTGAGATTGTTCAAACAACGTGAAAGTGTTAGTGTTAGTGAGCCAAGAAGAGCACAAGGTTTGAAACAGGTAAGATTTCGAAAAAAGCAACAAGAAACTTCCAAATTGATTTTTTATTCAGAACACAAGAATGTTGGTTGTTGTGATTTTGCTATTTTTGGTGACTGAAATTCCAGCAGCAATCATTTTTATGATGCACGCAATTGCAGTTTCATTCCGTTTGTCGTTGTTTGAGTATAAAAATATTAACAAGATGATTATCATCAGGTTTGTTCAAACTACTAAAAAAAATAAGACACCCGAATCATTTCATTTCTAGAAATGTTCTGATTGTCGTTTCATATCCGTTCCGATTTGCAATCTACTGTGGAATGTCCCAACAATTCAGAGATGTTGTTCGACAGGTGAAACATTGTGAAAATTAAAAATAACCCACGAACCGAAATAGTTTCAGATGTTCACTGGAAAAATGGCAACTCACCCAGTTCGCGACAAGGATAATTCCACAACTCTCGCACTTGTTCAAGGAATTAATGAGCATAGTGATGATAAGAGGTTGTTTTGCTGGGAAAAAAAGGTTGATTTAAAAAATGTTTCAGACAATCGGTTGTACTTTGTTCGACAAATGGAACTTTGGTTTCGAGTATTGCAGAAGAAAGAGTTACTAAAAGAGACAAGGTTTGTTTTGCAGTCAGCCAATCAAAAATCTATGAAATATGTGTCAAGTAAAATTTTCTGTGATATTTTCCAAACATTTTGCTTTGCTTCCAAGCTTAATGGAAAATATGTACAAAACTTCTATCATTATTTTGAACGCCTTTCATTCTATCCGTCTGTGTTTCTATTTAACTACATTCTTTCCAAAAAAAGAATTCGAGATGGTAAATATTGTATCTTTATTTAAAACAACTTTTCAGGTCCCTCAGAATTGTGAAATAGGAGATATGTCATGTTAAGGTATACTAACACTCACAAAAGTTTTCATTTGATTCAAACGTGATTTTTTTTGTTTGAAATGTTTCCCCCATTGTCCGTCCGTGCGCTTTTGTGTTTTTTCCTCAGCATGCAGCGAAATATTTTGGTTATGCTGTAAAGTAACACCCCCAAATGATTTAACCGATTCCCTTTAGGAATATATTTTTATTTCTTTTGGTTTGTCGCACAGCAACAATAATTGGTTTTAGGCTGTCCAATGTGATCCAAGCTTAAATGATGAATGTGTGCCATTTGATCCATTTTTATCCGATTTGGCAGTTCTTCATGAGGCTCCAGGATGCCCATATCGTGTCAAATTGTCCGGTATGAAAATAACTTATTTTTAAATAAGTTTTTAGAAATTTAAATCATTTTTTAGAATCTCGAAGCCATTGCTCAACCCAGTGTAGTACTGATATAGACAATCAATTTTTCGCAAAACGAAAAAGCTCACTTCTCCGCGCTGCACTAGTTCAAAACACGCAATTGTCGGCTGTAGTGGCTCAAGTTCAATAATACTGTTCGCTGTCATTTAATCATTTCATGATGCTCTCTTATTTTTATGTTAAACAAAACAATGTTTTAGTCCCCGGGTAGATGGTAACTGCAAACACGTCAACATAAATTCCAAATTACAAATGTATGTAGGTAGATTTTATTGACACACAAACGTGTATATAATTAAATTTGAAACTTATTATTCTTATTCTTCTTCTTATTATTACAATTGTTCTTTAATATGTATTTGATTCATGTTAGATAAAGCATTCATTGTCTTTTAAAGACAATTATAATGTTCCAGCAGTATCAAGATTTGAATATTCTGCAACTTCTGGTGGATCATCCAACATATCAGCAATCATTCTGCAAAAAAAAGTATAATTCATAAATCAAGCAGATTCACTTGTATAATAAATCAAAAACCAAACCTTCTTGATTTCAAAAAGTCGAAAACTGCTCGTTCATGCAAAACAAATTGACTTTCACGTGGCTCCCCTGGTAACATGATTTATTATAAGTTTTAATTAGACGACTCACCATTTCGAAGTGCTTTGAAAACGGGGGCGGATACGAAAAATACATTGATTCTTCCACGAAGCTCCGCAGCAGAATCAGAAATTATTTTATCGAATTTTGCAAGAGCTTTATCAATGTATCGTTGTTTTAATAAATCGCAAACTGGAATTTCATCACTACGACTTCGGGCCGACAGTTTTTTGTCGCATTTTGAAATGAGGAAAATAATCTGAAAAAAAAACAGTTCCAAAATGTCAGACCAATTTTATACCGTTGTGTTTCTTCGATATGCAATTTTAGCAAATGAAAGATCTTGGTCGGTTGGTGTTTGATCAACAAGAATGAATAAGGCAGTGAATGATGAGATATTGTATTTACTGAAATGTAAATAATTAGTTCTTGAAAAATACAAAAAAAAAAACAAAACAAACTCGATAAATTCAAAATATGAATTTATTTTCTTGGGGTAATGAAGTTCAAACAAGGTCACATTATATCGCAAAACATTGTCGTCGAAATCGAATTTCTCACAACTTCCGGATTTGGATTTACTCTGCAAAAAAATGTATTTTAATTACATATTACAAAAATAGTCATTATGTAGGTGGATATTATTTTTTTTAAATATATCTTCAGATTACAAAGATCGCCTAGTTACATAATTACAAGGATGATACCAGGGGAAAAACTAACTTTAGTTGCTGATTGAGGATGTTTCGAAGACATTCCTCGCATCGCGTCAATTAGTGATGATTTTCCAACACCGTGTCCACCAATAAAACCATAATTGAAGCATGTCTGAAAAAAATCAAGAAACTTCTTCTAATTAATTTTCAAAATCACTTTTCCTGCACGTCTTATCATTGTCTTTGGCTCTAAAGACTGATAAACTCGATCATCGGTTCCATACATGATTTCGAATCCTGCATCTGCTAGAACTGTCGAATTCTGATATGGATTTGGTAGTGGTTTATCATCCTAAAGCTCAAAATTATTAACAAAAGATTTTTTGATTACATACAATTGTGAAATTTGTCATATCCATTTTGGCTGGCCTGGCCACTTCAACTTGCTGATCACGTTCTTTTCTCAACTTTGATTCCAATTGATAATGACATCCAGTTTTCAATTCAACCAAATCTAATAATCTTTCTTCGTTGAGAAGATAGTGTAGGTATCTAGAGATTCAATTTTTTTGAAATAACAATATTGTGGAAAACATACCCAACAGTTCCGCTAACCAGATTCCGAGCACATGGAGCACTTACAAATAATAGTTCGACAGATTGTAAAATTTGTGCTTTTGTTTGGAGATATCGTGAAAACACATTTCTGGCTATAACAAAAAGATCTAAAAATTTGAATAAAAGTTTTGTTACCTGTCAACTCATAATTTCTTTTCAAAGTTTGATCTAGCCTTTGACCAGTCTCTCGATTTTCAGCATCTAAATCGTCATCACTTTTAGTTGATAGAAATGTAATAGGTGTTCGTCGAGAATGTGCAACTCTTGCGAATGTTATATCTTCATCAGTTGGAGCGCCATCAGGAATTAGAATAAATAATCGTTTGAACAATTTCAGCTTGTGGGCTCTGTAAGAACACAATAACTTTGAATTTAATTCCTGAATGTGAGGAAACGAACTCATAGAATTTGTCGAATCCCATATTAGCATCAAAAACATCATTGATAGATGAAAATGATCTTGGATACGGTATCTCCCAAAGCACAGATTGTTGCAAATCGCCTTCAATAAATCTGAACGGCTCCATTCTATCGCAAGGATTTCTTCCAGCAGATTGCGGATCTCCATTGTTCAAACCACGTAAAGCATTGATTAAGGATGATTTTCCAGCACCACTTCTACCACAGAACCCGAAATTTTGACGGTTCTAATTGAATTATTTTTTAACTATTCTTTTTTGTGATTTTCAAACGAAAAAAACTTACGACATCAATTGGAAAAGCGCCAGTATGAAATGTCATACCAGATTTGAAAGAAAAATCAGAGATCACATTATAAATTGGATAATCATCAGCGCCAGCCTAAAAATGTATCGTTTTATTCATTTTTTCGAAAAAAAAACGCAGAAGTCAGATAATAAGCACCTGGCTCATATTTCTAGTAGATGTTGAATCCACAGTACTCTGATTAGATTTGACATTAACTCTTGGCACAGTAGTCGGTGATGAATATTCTTCTCGTTTTTTAGTATTTGTTTTTGGTCTATCAATTGTATTGATAGCTTCGAACATGGCTATTTTATCTTTTGCATAATATATTGGTCGTTTTATAATTGGAGCGTCGGCATTTCTGGGTGGTGGCGGTAATGGACTTGAATTTCTTTCGAGAACAGTTTCGCCAAATCGTTTCTGGAAAATTTCGAAATGGATAATTGATTGAATCTGTTAGGTTCAAACATGAATTGTGCTTCAGATTTTTTGACCCGTTTAATTTTTTGGTCTACTTTTAAAAAATTTTTCTGTATTGAATTTTTTTGTAAACGTGTTCTGAAAGTTTGAAGAAGAAAAATTTGAAATTATAAGATATCTAGATTTGAAAACGAAATCTACAAACTCAAAAAATCTATTTCAAATACAATTTTTCATTTTCACCCACCCTAGTAACTTCATCGTGATAAATTCCTGGGATAACAGGTTGTGGCGGTGGAAATGATGGCGGAGGAGGAGGTGGAGATTTTGGTGGAGTTGTTTGAATCAAAATCGGCGTTTCTTCAATCCATGACTTGACGCTTAATTCAAAAAGGCTTTCCATTTATTTTTATACAAATAAAATGAATATTCAACATAAACTATGGTTGTTTTGGAATGCGTTCAGACGGGTAATCCCCAAACTAATCCCTTTCACCCTAAATATATAACTATGAATGTATGTTTATAAATAAAAACCTGTGTGAATCTCGTGGGGTTGGTGGAGGAGCAAATGGACTCGGACAATCCGGTTGGTAAATTGGCGTTGGTGCGGTTAGTGTTATATTCGGAAGATTTGCAAGTTGTTCTGCAGTCGGAAAAGCAACATAATTCTCGGGTTTTTCACCTTTCGATGTTTTATGTCCCATTTGTGCCCTGAAATCTTTGCTTCGATAAAATAAAAAATGAAAAAAAACCAAACAGTTTATTGAATTCGCATACGAATAAAAATATACATAACAATGCCACATTTTTTTCGCAAAAGTAAATGTTTTAATCTTCTTCCATTTTTTTTGTGATGCAACTGTATTTTTGTCGCAATTTCCATAAATTTAAACAAAAAATAAATGATTCATATTCAATCGACAGAAAAAATAAAACTGAATGTGTTGATTTTTAGACGTGATCTGTGAATAAAAGTCATAAATCAATATGTACAGGGTGTACCAAAAGTATACGACGGACTTTCTCACGAGTCCTGAAACTGCCAGCAGGGTCTAAATCCTAATATATTGTGTCCAATCGATGTTTTGGGTACCCAAAAACTAAATTGTATACTTATTTGATAAACTTTCAATTTTCACGTGATTATCGTGACGTGGACTGATTTTCTATGTCAAAAACAATGAAAAACGTCGTTGGTTCTGAAGTCCATTCCACATCGAGTAGAAGTTCAAATGAGCCCAAAATTTTTTTCCGAATAAGCTAAACCATCAGCAATATGAAAAAAGTAAGATTGAATTAGTAACTGCCTATGTCTCAGAAAATTTAGCTATCAAAATGATGCAAATTTCGGTGCGCCGAGCAAGAGTGGTTTTTAGCAATCTTCCCATTCAGCTGAACTGGTTTTGATTTCTGGTCAAACTAAATCTAGACTGTTGTCAAAATATGATATATCTGCACCTCTGAAGTAGCTTTCAACTTGTGGATATGACTTTCTAGCTGAAATTTTATAAAATCTGTATCATTTCCAAAAACTGGTGATTTTTTCTGAAATCTCTCAAATTTCCGATATTTCTAGAGAAGAAATGTTACCAAAATGATTTGAATGGATGGAACATGATAATTAGAGATATTTCACTGAACTAAAACAGAATATTCAAAATCTAATGTGAAATGAGTCAATTTGGAGCTATTTCGTGATTTTCGACGATTTTATCCAAATTCTAAAATTTGATTCAAGCTCCGAAAAATATAAAAGTAAGTCAGATATCCATATTTGATGGATTCTGATCGTTATTAGAGGTCTTTAGGTAGATCATTAAAAATATTGGAACCAATTTATAAAATTGACTCAGATATGAGAGGTCTCTGAAGTTCAGGAGCGAGGCGCCGCACCGACGTTTTTCATGAACCACTAACCTAACCCTAAAATCAAACTCTAAGTCAAATTGAAAAACATGCATGATCAAAGTTACTAAATTATGTCCTATTTACCCATTGAACTCAATATATTAAAAAAAATTAACCATCTAACCGAAATATGGTATGAAATAGAGTGTCGTATACTTTTGGTACACCCTGTATGTACATATTCAAAAAATAGCAACATGAATTCAAAGCAGTTGATTTTTGAAAAATGCATTTCTGTTTTTCTTGTTAAATATATTTCCATTGACCGAGTAAAACTAAGTTTTCTTATTTCTGACATTTTTTTTCTGAAAAGTTGCAATAACTCAGAATCAGAATTGCCATGTTTCTGAGTTTTTCACCTTGTATCGGTCTACTAAGACCATATGTAGATTAAGAATTATTTCCTGATGGTGAAAATCACAGTCGACAAATGTATTATTTTAAAATGACAGGACCACATCAACAATGAATTTGACACTTAAAATTTATTTGAACTTATCTTTCAATTACAGAAATAATTTAATACAAACGTAATTCATGAAGAAAAAATCAAGAACATCAAAAATACAGGAATGTCAACTTTTAAAGATCTATCAATCAGTTCCAAGGTGCTTCTGCGCGGTCAATTGTTTTTTCTAAATTCGCCGTTTGCTCTGAGTCTTGGGAAATGTTTTGTTTCTTCCGGATTGTGTGCCAGAGTTTTGATATAAAGATCGAGAAGAAAGTGGAAGTCTACCTGAAAACACAAAACTTGTCAATGATTTTTCGAATTAGTTTAACTATTTTATGATGATTTCAACAATCAAAGGGGTTCTATTTCAGCGTATATAGCAAAACTAAATAATTTCAGAGTTTTTAAAAACTTTTCCTTTTGAGGCCAATAATAATTCCAAACACAACTTACCACTTTCAATGCTTTGTATTCGAATTGTTCCACACACAAATATTGCATCGGTGAAATTGGATTTGGTGAACTTGCTGGTTTTTTTTGACGAGCATCTCTGACTCTCAAAATCATGAACTTCATTCTTCTAGCTTGAAGCTGAAAATAAAACATTTTTTCAATAAGTCAACAATTAAAAAAAAACTTACAATAATCTCTGGATCCGTAATTTTTTTGAATGCTCTCTCATATGTTATGGCTTTGTCACATTCTTTGAATCCTTCAGGTCCTAAAAGATGATCTAATCCAGTGCGGGAAAAGTCAAGTGGCTTCTCATCTTTGAATGACATTTTTCTCTGAAAATTCAAGAATAGGAACATAAATTAGAAAAAAAACAAGAAAATAAAAAAACCACCAACACCCAAACACAAAAAATACAATAATGATGGGTACCAAGAAAAAAGGGCGTTTAGATATGCACTCTCTTCATCTTACACGCTATCTCATTATGCTCACAGGTGCAAGGTGTGATGTTCATTTTGACACCAATTTTGTTATGGGAAAAATAAAAATTATGAACAAAGAAAAGATTTTGGGAAGTTAGAAATCAATAAACAAAGACAGTAAGAATGACAGAATAAGGCATTTTTTTCAATTCAGTGAATTCAATATCATTTTCACACTAGGAAATCTCTATGAAAATACCGTAGGAAACGTTAGAGATCCTTGAAAATACAAATTTTTTAACTTCAAAAGTTCTAAAATCTACGAAACGAGAAATTATTGTGGAAATATATATATGAAATATCCAGTTTGTGAACGCGTCTGGAAAAAATCATTCCGAAATAAATCTTTTTTGGTGGATTTGTTCTCCGCAAAGGACAAAATTCAAAGAAAGAACCTATATTTCAAATCGGCGCCTTTCACTTGTCAGTAACTCTAGCATTTTCATATGATTTATGAGATATTGTTCGTTAAAATATGGATCCGTCGGGATATTTTCTGAAAATTGAGCAAAAATATTTATTGATATAACGATATGTGAACTGCAATTACAAGTCCATAACATAATATTTGAAAATAGCTACAATTAAACATGAAAAATATATTGATAAAAAGATAAATCGCACAATGTTCCAGTTTCGAGTTTTCTGTAAAATTTTTTCATTTTTTCGAATTTTCAAAAAGGAGTTCGTTATCCACTTACTTTGTTGTAATGAAGAATACAAAAACCATAAATGAGGCCATAAATAGCCGAAAAAATATGATGTCCATGAGCATATACACCTTTTCCGTGTGTTAAAATATAGTACAAATCTTCTCCAAAATCCGAAAAAATGTGAATAAAAATCCAAATCGCTTGGAGATGATTGTAAGAAATATCTTTATAATTCTGAAAAAAAAAGAAAATAGTTATTCATCATCGCTCGTTATTATTATATTACCAATATAAGATTGGAAACTTGTGCAAAAATTAGAGCAAAATCACCACCAGAAGCTCCGCAAGTGAAATTTTCTTTTTTTCTGATAGCATTCATAAAAATTTCCGAAAACATAATTCCACCGGAATACAGTGGAGCAATGTAAATATAACTAAATGCAATCTCTTGAGGAATTCCAAAAATAATTTGAGCACTCATGTTTTTTAGAAGATGGTATCTACTAAAATGAAGAAATCCATGAGTCAAAATTCGCCAAATTTCGTATTTGATAGTTGGAGAAGAAGTGAATACACTTCTTAGGCATCCATAATAACTATAATAGTATCGAATTTCATAGTAAAAATATACTGATATCTGAAAAATCATAGAAATTTGAATCTCGACTGAAACCAAATAAAACCTGAAAAATAGTCATCGAAATCATAAAGATAGGTAAATGTGCCCATGTTTTGTTGTCGATTGCAGAATTAACATCTCTTCTTTGCTTTTCACCAGTCACAAGAGTTGCCAAATATTTCAAGAATTTTTTTAGTTTTTGATATTTCTGAAAAAAAATGTTGATTCTGGTAAAAATAACGAGCACTTACAACTTGTTTTTCGAGTGAAACAATCTCGAGTTGCTCTATGTTCATCTTTAAAAAAAATAAAAAGAAGTTCAAATTGGTTTTTCAAAATTAAAATGAAATGACTTGCACGACAGTTGGCGATGATAAACTCGTAAAAAATTATAAAAAATAGAAGATTGGGTCGATGCTAAAGCATAGGCTATACTTCATTGTTTGTGTTGGGTGATTGATGGATTAATCAGTTGGATTTGACAAGATGCTCACAAAAAACACCTCGGAATGTGTGAAATAAAAGTTTGCGTGGAGTTAAAATGAAAAATTGGAACAAGATTAGGTCCAGAAAAGAGAAACGGGACATAAAATGACATAAATGCATATATTTATTTTGAAAATCTGAACATTAAGACATGAATAAAAAACTAAGCAAGGTTTTGTTGAAGGAAAATTGGAGTAGGATCTGCGAAAAACTTCCTATAGTTTCCGAAATAAACTTTGAGAATAGCAACAGCCAAACACGAGAAGAATATGGATAATATTATTACTCGAGCAGTGTTCCAACGAGAAGTTTTCTGGAAATTTTTATTACATATTTTTAACTTGAGATAACTCACTTTTTTGTAGCATATAATGCATAAACCATATATAAAACCGTAAACTGCTGCGAAGATATATAGATTATAAACACAGTATATTTTTGGAGTACCATCGTTATAATAAACATTTTCTACAAACTCGGAGATAACATAAATGGAGATGAAAAACAATTGAACAAAATAGAAAGGTATGTCTTTATTGTTCTGAAAATACATTTCCTATGTTTAAAAAAATGAATAGCTCTTACCACAACGAGGTTTGATATTTGAGCAAAAACAAGAGCAAAAGCACCGCTTGAATATCCAATATTATCAATCCATCTCGCCCATACTGCTTTCAGAAAAATATCAGTAAACAGTATTCCACCGACGTAAAGCGGAATAATATGCATAGCACTGAAAGCTATTTCTAATGGAATTCCAAACAGTATTTGAATACTCATATTTTTCAACAGACGATATTTCCCAGAATAAATTAATGCATTAGTGAAAAGTCGCCAAATTGTTATTCCAAAGTGATGAGTATTTCTAAAAATAACTTCAATACTTTTTTGAATAATGAATGTGAATACCTCTGTATCATAATTTGATCATTAGCTGGAAGAGAGAAAACTTGTAATTCGTAGTATGTATATATTGATAACTGAAATGTAAACTGAATTTCAAATATGGGAAAAATAAAAGAAAACTAACCTGAAAAATAGTCATTAAAACTATAAAAGTTGGTAAATGCATCCATGTTTTTTTGTTGATCCCGAAATAAACTTGTTTTCTTTGCTCTTTACTGATTACAAATGTAGCAATGTATTTCAACCATAATTTCAGTTTTTGAAATTTCTGGAAAATGTTTTTGAATAAAAATTAGATATTAGTAACTCACGATGTTTTCTTGTTGCTCTTTACCACAGTTTTTATTTTGTTCCAAATCCATTGAAAACAAGTAAAAACAATTCTAGAGTATACGAAATTATTTTTTCAAATTCAGAACAAGAATTTTAAAGCAGTTGTTGTGGATAGAAGTTTTTTGGAACAAAAAATAGAAGATGGGGTCAAAGGGAAGATGCAGCTATTTTTTCCTCCTGAAAAGAATGATAAATCAAAACAAATATGTTGAAGAAAAATTGCGTGCAGATGTTCATTTTTCAGTTTGAACTTTCACTTTCATGTGAAATACTTTATTCTGAAAAAAAATGTAACGAATATTGAAAAATCTTTATATTACAGATGAAAATATTCTTTTGGGGTGAAATATTTGACAATTGCAATTATGACAAACAAAAAATAACTGGCAAGAATAATTGTCCGCACATATCGTTTCAATCTGGTCGTCTATGAAAAATGTGTTTTTTTTTCTTAAATTTTCTATATTTTTACCTCTTTATAATGAAGAATGAAAAATCCATAAATAAGTCCGAAAATGGCAGAATTAAAATGAACACCATGTGCATATTTCGTTTTTCCATATTTCAAAAATAAATAGATGTCTTCACCAAAATCGGAAAATATGTGAAGAAAAATGAGAGCTGCTTGAGTTTTTCGTCTTGGAATTTCCCGCCAATTCTAAAGAAGGTTTGAAACTTTTTTAAAAGTTCGGAAATGGAAAAAAAATAATTACTGACTAGCATTAAATTTGAAATTTGAGCAAAAATAAGAGCATAATCCCCGCCTGATGCACCACATCCAAAAAGAGAATTCGGTTGAATTGCATTCATCATAATGATTGAAAAACCAACACCGCCAAAATATAAAGGAGCTATTTTATGAATACGATATGCAATTTCTTGTGGAATTCCTATTAAAACCTGTGCCATCATATTTTTGAATAAATGATAATTTCCAGAATGAAGAAAAGATGCTGTGATATGTCGCCATAATTGAAATCGAAATTTTGGATGATATGTTAGAAAACTGGTGACACATCCACCTGTGAAAGTTTTTAACTCATCTTTGTCTTCGGTTAATTTATATTCATATCGAATGAGATAGAAAATAAATATTGAAATCTGAAATTTTTTTTTGATTGAAGAGAAATTTGCTGAAATCACTCAAAAAACTGGCAAAACATTTACGAATCTACTATACATTTTTTATCACACTTGAGCTGTCCAAAAATGTTGTATATGTGAATTTCGTTTATCTGTTGTTGAAATTTTTAATTGAAAAAATATGAAAATGAACGAAAACCTCACTATCTCAAGAAATATGAATACCTATATTAGCTTTTGAAAATTGTGTGTAGTTTCATTTTTCGAACATATACAGGTATCTTCTGCCATAAAAACAGACTTGAATTGAACTTTTTTCGGTCTCATTATAATTTTCAGATTCATATTTCCATTTTTCAAGACTTTCATCAATTTTTTTGAGTGATTCCAATAAAAAGTTTAGTTGCCTAATAAATATCAAAGTTATACCTGAAAACTAGTTATAAGTGTCATGAAAATAGGTGGTGGCCGCAATAACTTTTTGTCAATATTATGGTCTGATTTTTCTTTCTGTTCCTTGTTCGTCACAAGACTTGCAATGTTTTTCAATACCGATTTGAGTCTGGAGGTCTCCTGGAAAATAATAATCCGAAAAATGCTTTCAATCATGAACGTTTCATTTCTAATATATTCTAAAAATAATTTATGCTATGACAAAATCATTTTGTCATGTTCTTGACTAAAACCAAAAACCAAATCGCCCATGAGAAAATGATTTAATTAAAAATGCTCAAAATAACTTACATTTTGCACTATGAAAACTTCAGCTTCCTCCTCTTGTTTCAATGACATTTTTTCAATGTCTGAAAAAATACTCTCTTGCAAAAAAGCAAGGAAAAACGCAGACAATAGTTCATTTTTATTCGAAAGACACTTTAATTGTGGCTAATTTCAACACAGGAATTTTTCACGACTTTTTTTGAGTGTTTTGAGTGGTTTGGTTTGATTTTCCAAAGTTTAAAAGCGAGCGAACAAAGTTTTTTTTTAAACATTCACATAAATCTCATCAACAGAAAAAAAACCTAACATTTTTTTTTCAAAAGTATGATGAAGGAAGTTGGAAAAAAAATCCCAAAGGAATTTCGAGAAACTCTTTTTTTTTTTCAAAAAGAAAAAATGCACTTTGTCAAATGAATGCGCCAAAAACCGAAAAAAAGCTTGTTCTACTTTCAATGATTTATGTTCCTGTTTGAGCAATTTTCAATATTACTTCCCATCTAAAATAATATAAAAAGTTTCTGATTCTAATTGAATATATGATGTGTGCTCTTTTGGAGATTTGCGTCCCAAAATGTTGTTGAAAATTTGTCTGAAACAGAGAAACAGAGAAACAAAGTTTTGCTCGTTTTTTGTTAACATGTTTATTTCACACACAATCCGACTAATAAGCGACATACTAATAATTAGGTAAAATGACACAAACGAGCAACTAGTCAGTCACATGCTACAAATGAATTGGGTGAAATACTTTGAAGGGGCATTTATTTTAAGAGTATGAAATGATTTCCTATGGTTTGGTAAAAACTAGCGATGCAAATACAATAATTTATTTATAATTATTAGAAAAATGTGGCATTGGTTGATCCAGCGAAGAGTGATTCATCAAGCGCATAAACGGTTTCATCGTGAATATATATATTTATATTTTGAATGATGCATCCGATCAAAACCAAAATGTACAAAGCGATAAAAGTGAGACGAGCAGCACGCCATTTTGCAGTTTCCTGAAATTTAGCATTGAATGTATTGTTTTCAAACTTTGTAATGAAATTTCTTACTCCTTTGAAATACAAGAAGCAGAATCCATAGAGAAGACCATAAATAGCAGCGTGAGAATGAGTTCCGTGATCATAGTTGATTTGTTTTCCCATTAGGACATTTTTAAAATCTTCTCCGCAATCAGCAGCCACATTGACAAAAATCACAAGTGCTTGAACTTTGCGGTATGGAACTTCTTTCCAGTTCTAAAACTATTTTTGAAAAGATTTTACTCAATTAGCTAACAAACCACAATCAAGTTGGCCACTTGAGCAAAAATAAGTGCATAATCTCCACCGGATGCGCCACATAAGAAAATTGATCTTTCTTGAAATGTTCGCATAACAATTTCAGAGAACATGATTCCTCCGAAGTAAAGCGGAGCGATTTTTGGGAAACGGAAAGCGATTTCTTGTGGAATACCAAGAAAAACTTGAACAATCATGTTTTTGAACAAATGATATTCCCAAAGATGAAGGAATGAATGAGTGACCAAACGCCATACTTCATACGGATACATTGGTGAAATACTGAAGATACTTGTATAGCAGCCACCAACAAACACAAATAATTCAATTGGATCATCAGTAAGTTTGTAGTGGTATCTGATGTAGTAATACATGAAAACCGAAATCTAAAAGAATTTAAATGATATCTTTGAGCCTAAGAAACAAATTAACCTGGAACAAGGTGAAGAAAATGAAAAACAATGGTGGCATTCGCCATAGTTTTGTTTCAATGTCTGCATTAACTTGCTCTCTTTGTTTTTCGCTTGTCACAAAGCTCACAAGAAACTTCAAGAAATTTCTGAATCTTGTAGGTTTCTAAAAATAAATTATATATATATATATTCATATACTTATCGGAACTTACAACTTCTACAACTTGAACATTTGCTTCGATAAAAGAGTCATTCTCTTGTCCTTCTTCTTGTTGTTCTCGTCCCGACATTTTCAGAAATGATACGAAAAAGAAGAGAATACCCTCCTGTTAAATGTCGAAAAAAATCAGTGACTTATAGTTTCTTGGTCAAAAACATCCCATCGTTTCTCTGAAACTGCTTTTTTTGGAGTTTGCTTGAAAAATGATTAATGACAGTCTGGTTGATAAAAAAGAAAAAGAAAAATAACCAAGAAGTAATGACGATCCAATAAAATGAGAAAAGGAAAAAAGACGAAAAAAAAACTTCTTTTTTTTCTGTTTCAAAAATAACCTTTAATTTCTCGAACATCGAAGGAGGCGAACTGGAAAACCATAAAGATCAGCATTTTTTTATTTCGTTTTTTTTGTCGTTCTTGCAAATTAGATTCGCCGCTGTAGTCAAAAATCATTTTTTTCTCACTTCTCATAAAACTTTCTAATGAAAAATAACCGCCCTCGATGAAAAAAAAGGAATATAGAAGATCTCATTTCACACTTTCTTAATATTACCAAGAAAAAAACAGAGAATGATGGATGACCTTCATTAATCATTGCTTTTTCACATCATATTTCGTGGATGGAACCGTTTTCAGATTCGAACGTAGGCGACCAGAAAAAAAAACAATCTTATCAACATTTTTATTTTCAACTGGAAAAAAGGAAGGAATATAAAAAAAATGGGTGGCGGCTTAGTCAAGATGTATTAGTGAAACGAGAAAAAGTTTAATTAAAATGCTGAACTTCTGATTCTTTGATATGAACGGCCAGAAAACTAGCAGCCAAACCGAAAAGAAGAAAATAAGAAAATGCATATATGAAAGCCATTTGTCGTCTTTTCTTCTCCTGAAAAAAAGTAAAAAATAATTAACATTTTTGTATCATAATTTACATTATTATGATGAACAAAAATGTATCCGAATAATGTAGCAATAATAAATGTATTTCCACGATCAATGATATATTTCAACATATGGTCAACAAAGTTTCCACTAGCAAAAATGTATATAAATAACTTGGCTACGTCATACAACATTATTACTCCAATGAACCGTATCTGAAATTTCGCATATGGCATTTCGTTTCGATTCTGAAAAAATAATACACTTATTTCATTTTTTTGTTCTTATAACATTTTGTGTACATACAAGGATCCAATTGACGAGTTGGAAGAAGATAATAGTGTATATACCACCGGATGCACCACAAAGCGCCAATTTTGGGAAGAAAGCTTGCATGAAAACTGTCGTTGTTATCAATCCAACAATAAAGAGAGATCCAATTACTTTTCCACCAAAAACTATTTCCTGTGGCATTCCAAAAACTGTCAAAATAATGAGTGTTTTCATGAGATGGAAGAAGTCGTCGTGAAGTAACGTGAACGGTAAAAACAACGATGGGTAAGAGTCGAAATACACTTGGGAATTGACAATACATATATTATTCATTGTTCCAGATTTGATTGAAAGTATGATGAAAATAAACACCTGGAATAGTTCGTCATTTTTGTTTTTTGTTCAAATGTCTGCATTTTTCACCTGAGAGATTGCTATTATACAAATGAAAAATGGAAATGATATCCATATTGGATTTGAGTTCAAAAACCGATAACTTTCTTTAACTTGATTTTCACTTGTTACTAATCCAGCTGAAATCTTCATCAGTCTCAAAGTCTTATTATAGTACTGCGGAACCTTAATAAATTTGATTAAACATGTGTCATATATGCAACTAAAAAACAAAACTCACATCACTCTCAATTTCTTCGATCAGATTTTCGGAATTTTCATCAGACATTTTTGTTTGATAAATGAGACAAATAAATTATCACCTATTATATATAGAGAGGTGTTAATTGATAACATTGGATACGGTGTTAGTTTATGGTTGATAAAGAAAAGAAAACTGTTACAAAATAGCCACAAACAACAACACTTTTTTCCCACAGAAACGGAAGATGAAAAAAATATTGGTGGTATGTTGTTGGATATCTTATTGATATCGGAATTTCGTTTGAAAATGCCTGGATGATATGATGACAGAAAAAAAACATCACAATCAGTGAGAATTGAAGAGGATAATTTACAAATGTTATGCGAAGAAGGGGATTTAACATTTTTCAAGTGCCACATCATAACTTTTCAGATAATGTTAGTTTTGAAGTTTTGATCTTTCTTAAAATCGTCGTGTGGCGATACATTTTTAACCAATTTCAGACTTAATAGGATTTTAGAACTGGAAAATTTTCCAAAATTTTCCTTTTTTTTGCGCTTATCTGGAAATTCAAGTACTACGTTTTTTACACCTACTCATAGGGTTCAAAAGAAAATAATAATATATTTATTTTCTTTTGAATAAGAGCAGTTTGGGAGCGTACGCCTAATTATAGTAGTGTCTCTTTGTTTCACGATAAATGATTGGAACAAATAAGGAAAACATCGCGAATCCATATATTGAAACTCTCATCCTGCAGCTTTCATTTACGTTTTTCTGAAAAAGCTCTGATTTACGTTTGTAAAATTATGGTAAAAAGCTCACGCATTTTTTGTTGATCAGAAAATAACCAATGAAAAAACCAATAAAGCCAGTGTAACAATAAAATGTGAACGTATAAACTGTTAAAGTAACTAATACATAATTTGTCGAACGATTGAATGAATATATACTTCGTATGATATCAATTATGGTATGAATAAACAAGATTGAAATAATTCCAAAATTCCAATGTTTCTTTTCCATCGTTTTTCGATTCTGAATTTGTTTTTAGTTTTTGCAATTCAATAAAATTCGACTAACCATAACCCAATTTGTGAGACTTATGAACACTAAAACATTATCAACACTGAATGATCCACAGACATATCCATTTTCAAAAACTGCAAGAGTTACAATCTCTGGAAGAACTGCTCCTGCGACAAATGTACTTGCAATTATTTCACTGCCAAAAGCGATTTCGAGAGGAATACCAATAAATATTTGACTGAAAATATTATGTGCAAAGTCCCAATAATCTAGATGTAGAAAAACGTGTGTGAGATGTTGCCAGATCAAAGTTTCATATGCATTGCTTGATACAAAAATGCCTGTACATTGTTTACCCGAATGAACATTGACAATAATGTATAAAATTATCTGAAAAAACTTTATTTTTGATCCTGATAATATTACTTAAAAAACTGAACCGTGAAAAGTGTGAAAAATGTCAAAATGAAAGGCGGGAACGTCCAACTTCGATTTTTTATATTATTTTCAGCTTCTTTCAATTGGTCTTTGCTGGTTACCAGAGTTGCAATAAATATCAAAGTTTTATTGAGAAACAAATATTTCTGCTGAAATTAGTAAATTTGTTAGCTTTTCAAAAATTCAAAACAAACCGGTTCGGGTAATTCCGGTTGTATAGTAGAATTATTATTCAAATTCTCTCTATTCTGAAATTATTTCAGGGGTAACAGATAAATCCCAAATCAATATTTCATTTATAACTCACAGCCTCTCTTTCTGCATTCGATTCCAGAAGAACATCATCTGCATTTTCACCTTTTGGCAACATTATAAAGGAATAAATGATATGATTCTAAGAAGTTTTTCATTTTTTATTTAATTTTTTCTATAAGTGATAAATTGATTGATATGTTGCGTTTTCAATCCAAAAAACATGATACCTTTATGTTCAAACCGGATCTACATTAACTTTTTTGTGAAACTCAAAAAAAAAACGAAAATTTGGCTTCGCAGGCGAGAGAAACTGATCCTTCGAATGAGGAGCATTTTCTTTTCGAGGGCGGATTTTTCACCAATGGTGCAACTCTGAAACCTTTTGCAAAAGAATCAGCAGCTATTTACATACAAATTCTCATCAAAAGTCAATTTACTGACCATATTTACTTCCCTTCTCAGAAAAAAACCATTCATTAGTTCGGCGGTAGAAAATACCAATGTATGTCAAAATCTCTATAACAAAGTACGACAAATGTGATAAAAACGAACAGAAAAATTGCAATCCTCCATGACTTTTTCCATTTTTCGTCATCCTTAAATTAGTTTTAAATATTCATTCTTTTTTAAAAACTCACTTCTTTTTTGTTGATAATAAAAGATCCAAAAAAACATCCAAGCATTGAACAAAGCATGTTCTTAAGAAACACATCAAACAGAGCAAATCCGATGTTAACAATTTCATTCGTAAAATATATGCCATCAAGAATCAAAATCAGTAACAACAATGGAGACTGAAATCGTCTATAAGGCATTGTTTTTCGGTTCTAAAAAACTTTAATTATATATCGACAACTTTTTTGGAACCACTGGCTTTTTCGTAAAAGACAAATGGGAAAAGTTCACAAACCAATGAAAAGTTGGACAAATGAATAAAAAGTATAACAACATTGACAGTTTCAGATCCGCACTTCATTCCGAATTTTGGAACCATTCGGAGAATAACTGCACCAATAATGAACGAGAGTCCAATTAATTCCGAACCAAATGCGGCTTCTAATGGAATACCAAAAAATATTTGTTGTATTGAGACCAAAAATAATGAAAACTTCTCGGTATGAACAAGTGTATAAATGAAAAAATTTAGATTTGATGAAATATATTCCAGCCGATAACAGATGTATCTATATCGATACACATAAACATTAAGAGTATACACTAAAATCTGAAACAAATAGATTAAAAGCCATAAAGTATATTTGAACACGCTCTCTACCTGGATCAACGTTAGAACTCCGAAAAACCAGGGAAACATAACTTTTCTATTTTTGATACGCACTTCAGCTTCTTTCATTTGTTGCTCGCTTGTCACTAGGCTTGCCAAAAACATCATAGACCGCACAAAAAATTGAAGAGTTCTGAATTTTTTAGCAATGAAATCACAGGAATAGGTACAAACTCACAGGTTGTTGAGGTTCATTCGATTCCAAAAATACATCATTTACGGTATCTTCTTGTGGTAACATTTATGAAAATGAAAAAATACTGGATATTTTCGAAACATTAACAAATCGATCATTTTTTGTGTTTATTTGACTGATTGTTGCGATTTTTGTGTTAGACAGGAATAGGTGTGATATGATAGTAATTGAATGGGAAAAGACAAAAAATGATGAGAGAATGAATATTCCAGATTTTTTTTACTTTCTTTCTTTCGTTTTTTTTCTCAACAAAAAATTGTGATGAATGTTGGTTTTTGACTATCGCAACACTACAGGAATCATGTTTGTTGATATTTCGGTAAGTTTTCATAAAATTTTCATAGTTTTCATGTTAATTTTCAGGAAAAATTACTGATTTCCAATTTCCTAATGTAAGGATATTCGATGTGAATTCAAAATTCAAGCAGATTGTGATTTGGTAAGTTTTTTGTTAATGTTTAATGATAGCTGCTAGTTAGCTGCTAGGTAACAAGGTTATTATTCTTCGAAAATATACTCGACTTCTTCAATTTTCGGGATATTGCCACCTTTTTCAACGACTATTAAAATATTTCTTCGCTCAAATGATCACTTATATTATATATTCTTTCGATAAATTCGCTAAATTTTCCCGATTTTTTATCCGGTTTCACTAGTTTCTTGATTTCGACAAACGAAAAAATAAAAGTAAAACAACAAAACTCCGCGTGACACTGCGCTCACACAATCGCGGCAATTTTTTTTATTTTCAAACCAGTGTTTTTTAATTTTTTTCTTTTGCTCCAAAAAAGGTTTAGAGTAGGTTTTGAAAGTTCTCTCTCTGTAGATGTGTTAAAAATAGTATGGAGAACGTGATTTTGGCCTATTTTGTCTATTTCTTTAAGCTGTGTTCATAGTTTGGTCCTTAACTTCATCAAATCAACACCTCGAGAAATAATTTATTTTATCTTCATTTTATTCATTATAAATGTGCATTGAAAACTTTACGTGCTCGCAATTAGCAGATATTGGAATACATAATCCATCAAAAGTTGAAGTAAAAGTTCGAAGTTTTCATTTGACATGATTTATTTTTATCAATTCTCAAATTTTCCTCTGAATTTTAATATAGGTTTCACTCTTAACGCTCAATTTTTGATATTTCCGTTCGAAAAAAAACATTCATTTTCAATTCACTATGTGAGTTAATTTCCGAATTTCTCAGTTTTCTTCTTGCAACAAAAACTTTTCAGACGTTTGAAAGAGAACACATAGTTTTTCATCACAAAATGTTCGATTTTTTTCAATTTTCCCGGAAACTTTGGAAAAACTGGTTGATTTGTTTTTTATGCAGTATCTTCTTCATAAACATTTTCAAAGATATTTCGAAAATCTGGAGAATGAAAGATGAGTCGAAATTGTAAAAGTAACAAAATCTCTTTTTTCGTAATCATAAAACACCAAATGGCAAATAAGTTGTAAATGTGCTTTCTTGACTCCGCCCTCAAATTATTAATAACTTTTTGGATGTCGTCCTTCTGTCCGTCCGTTCAAAACCATAAGGTGGAAATGTGTCGTTTTCGACCGTCGTTTCATCTCAAGTTTCCGTTTTATCTTCTTTTCGTTTTCATCTTCTCAATTTCTCTTCCTTCTTATCCGACATTATGACCAGTAGAGGGCGGAGGTAAAATAGGCTTAAATTTCAAAACCTCATCACACTTTCAAACAACTTTTATCACACATTCTCCCCTATCAAAACTCTCTTTTCTCCTAATATCTATCTACAATACCGTATCCTTTCCCATAAGGATAAGAATTTTTTGTTAGATTCCCTAATGCAGCTGTGACCCACGTGTGTTTAGCTTTTTCACAAGACAAATCTATGGTTTTTTGGATGACACAGGATGGTAATTAATGCCATCACTTTTTGAAAAAGGCGTGGTCGTAAAATTTGAATAATTTTACGCATTTTTGTCTTTTCTCTTCAATTGGTATCATTTTCACTTATGTTTTCCCTTTTTCACTTACAGTAACCTATTTGTCATCTTTTTTGTTGAAAAAGTTTGAAGCCTTTATAGTTGACAACTTGAAACAATTGGTACTGAAAATGAATTGATATGAAAATTTCGAGAACATTTGTTCCATCAAAAAGTATTTTTTTTTTGAGTGTGGAATGAGTCAACCCCATTATAACCTTCCCATCCAATCACATCATCAATCCAATTAAATGAATTGGCCAAAGGGAAAGGCAATAGATATTGAGCAAGAACGAAAGATGATTAGAGCTAATGAATCATTGTCTATCGTGTATCTAGAAAAAAATGATAGTAGTGTGCAGTGTGCACAAAGGACACTTTCACCGAATGTTATCAAAAATCCCATAAAATAAACATTTTTGCGATGTTCTCCCCTCCCACATTTTTTTCTTACTTGCTCGTTCAAAATATTTCTTTCCCCCCAATTGCTTGGGTCAAAAACCTGTAATCGATTAAACCTAACAACTGATGGATGTTGAAAAGAAAGAAAAAAAAAGAGTCGTCGAATCTTTTTTCAAATTCTCGGCTAACGGTAATTAATGAGTTCGGTTTGCTGTTGCAATCAATGGGGCAAAATCTTCTCTTTGAAAAAAATATATATTTCATTTCTCCTCCCTCTTTTATCACCAATCACTTTTTATTCTGTTGCATATATACATTTTTTGTGTCTTTTTCTTAGCACTTTTATAATTTTCAATATTTTTTTTTCAGTAAAATGCGATTGCCGGATGGGAGCCTAGCTCCTTTCGGTTTGTTTATCATACTCATCCTGATAGGGATTTGCTCAACACAAAGAAGTTTGAAAAATGATGCAAATGATCCGACTGGAAAATCTTCACTTGCTTTTGTATTTGATATTACTGGTTCAATGTTTGATGATTTAGTGCAAGTTCGAGAAGGAGCTGCCAAGATTTTCAAGACTGTTATGGCTCAAAGAGAGAAGCTGATTTATAATTATATCATGGTACCATTTCATGATCCACGTGAGTTTTCTCAAATATTTCGTTTTGTTTCGAATTTCTTTTTTTTTTCAAACATCATAGAACTTTTTTGAATTTTCACTTTTCTCTGAAAAATCGTTGTGTTTTGCTCTTTCCTCATCATCTCAAATTTCTGATTCATTCTGAAACATTGTAAATTATATCAATATTTCATCCAGTAAAACGATAATCATATATCTTGATCTTCTCTTCAAACATAACATATTGTCAAAAAAAAAAGAGACAGACTGAAAATCTATGAGAAGAATGAATTCCGTTGGAAAAAAGTGAGATGCAAGCAAAAAAGATGTGGGCCACATATATCACCTCAATACACATTTTCACATTCATCGAAAATCAGCACTGGGTTGGGATGAAACAAAAAAAAGTCCAAATAGTCACATTTGAGCAATATTAATGAGTTTGAGATTTGTTGGTGTGTGTGGATATGTTACAGCATACATTCTTCTTCAGATATTTTTGAGATTATCATGAATAGAACAAACTAGAAAGATGATAAATATATAAATTGGATAAATGTTGAAAAAAATGTTAGATACATGTGTTTTGTTTGGAAAGGTGTCTAGAGTTTGGGTGGTGATTTATTGCCATTTTATTTTTTGATCAACTGTTCAATGTTTTTCGCAATTGACCATGTGATATTGAAAAAAAATGAAAAATAATGGAAGACAAAAAATATTTGAAATATTTTAAGATTAATGATATGAGTTGTTTTTGCAGATCTCGGCGATATCATCAACACAACTGATTCAACATATTTTATGCGCCAATTGGGCAAAGTATATGTACACGGAGGTGGTGATTGTCCAGAAAAGACATTAACCGGTAAGCCGCCAAAAAAATGGCAGATCAATTGTGTTTGTATTTGCATTTTCATTTTTTATTTCGGCAAAAATGTTGCGAATTGGTTTCGCCAAATTGATTTTATTCGATTTTATGGGCCCTGACTGAGTGAATACATTTCATTTTCGCACCCGCCTAGTGGGAGACACAAAAACCGTAATTGAGTTTTTTCTTTCTTTTTTTGCAAAGAAAATAGTTATGAGTCATTGGAAAGTAATTGAATACTTCTTGAGGTGACTGAATGATTTATATATTTATCAAATATAATAAGTGTAACAAACTTGTAATTTGTTGGTTGGATTTCGGGGGGGAGAGAAGGGTGCAATATAATATGTATTGGAAACAGACGATCGGTTGTAAAGAAATCATAATGTTTATTTTTCGAACTTTTTCCATTTCATTTTATTATTATTCAAAAACACCGCCTCTTGTTAAAATAACATTAGAAAAGGGAACAAATCAAAACATATCAACAAGAAATAACAAAACAAAAATTGTTTTCAGGTATTTTGAAAGCTCTTGAAATCTCATTGCCATCATCTTTCATTTATGTTTTCACCGATGCTCGTTCGAAAGATTATCACTTGGAAGATCAAGTACTTAACACAATTCAAGAAAAACAAAGTTCCGTAGTTTTTGTGATGACTGGTGATTGTGGTAATCGTACTCATCCAGGTTTCCGAACTTATGAGAAAATTGCCGCAGCTTCTTTTGGACAAGTGAGAAAAAAAAAGAAAAAAAATAGCAACAATTTTATATATCTTTTCTAGGTTTTCCACTTGGAAAAAAGTGATGTGAGCAAAGTGTTGGAATATGTGAGACATGCTGTAAAACAGAAAAAAGTGCATATGATGTATGAGGCTCGTGAACGAGGTGGTACAACTGTTCGAACCATTCCAGTTGACAAACATTTGTCTGAATTGACAATTTCATTATCTGGTGATAAAGATGATTCAGATGTTTTGGATATTACATTGAGAGATTCGAATGGAAATAAAGTTGACAAACAAAGTTATAGTAAAGAAGGTGGAACTATTGACTTGAAAAATGTGAAATTGATTCGATTGAAGGATCCTGCTCCAGGACCTTGGCAAGTTATCACAAATTCAAGACTGAAACATACAATTCGTGTTTTTGGACATGGTGCTATTGATTTCAAATATGGATTCGCCTCAAGACCTCTTGATCGCATTGAACTTGTTAGTAAAAAAAAACTTTTTTTGTTCAAATTGTCTATTAACTTTTTTAGGCTCGCCCACGTCCTGTATTGAATCAAAACACATATTTACTTATCAATATGACTGGATTGATTCCACCAGGAACTGTTGGTGAAATTTCACTCGTTGATTATCACGGAAACACACTTTTCGCTAGAGCAGCTTCACCACATCGAACAAATCCACATATGTATTTTGTTGGTCCATTTGTTCCACCAAAAGGATTATTCTTTGTTCAAGTAACTGGTGTCGACGAAGAAGATTATGAGTTTAAACGGATTGCGCCAACTGCTATTGGAAGTGTTGTTGTTGGAGGACCACGAGCATTTATGGCACCATTTCACCAAGCTTTTGTTGGAACTGTTAGTAATTTTGATCTCCAGAAAAAAAACGTTTTAAGTTTACTAAAAAAAAAAAAAATATTTTCAGGATGTTAACCTCACTTGTACTGTTGAAAGTGCCTCACCATTCACTTTATATTGGACAAGAGGAAATGGTGAAAGAGTTGGTGGACCACTTTTCTATCAGTAAGATTTTCTTATTTTTTCTTCTCATTTATATTGTCAAAATTTTTAGGACAACTGATTCAGCAGTTTGGACTCTTCCTGAACTCTCTCTAAAAGATGGTGGAGAATACAAATGTGAAGTGATAAGTGACAATGGAAATTATACAGTCGCAACTCGTGTTGAGCCAAGAGAATCACCGCCACAAATTATTGGTGCGAGAAATGTGTCGGCACCAATTGGCTCGGCAGCTTTCCTTCATTGTCCAACTCAATCTGCTGGACCTGTTGAAATCAGATGGATTCGACATGGCGCAACTGTGTTTACTGGACCAAATACTGAAAGAAATTTGAATAATGGAACTTTGAAGATTCATTCAGTTTCAAGATCAGATTCTGGAGTTTATGAGTGTCAGGCAAGAAATGCAGGTGGTATGACGTCACAAACTATTCGACTTGATGTAAGAACGACGATATTTTTAAGATGATAAAAATTGCTTTTTTTCAGATTATGGAGCCACCACAAGCTAAAGTTCAACCTGAAAGAGTATATTTCGTTCCACGAGACAGTATCAATATTTCCTGTTATGGAATTGGTGAACCAAAACCCGAACTTCACTGGTATTTCAATGGTAGAAGATTGATCTCGGATTCCAGATATTATATCGGCCCTGAATCTAGTTAGTTTTTCATTCTATTGATGTTTTACAATATACCTTTCATTTTCAAAATATTTTCGTTATCAGGTTCGTTGTATCTTCGAGATGCTAGTCATTATGACGAGGGAAAATATGAATGTCGTGCGATGAGTCCAGCTGGAATTCACACTGATACTTCAGAATTTATTCTTGCCGTATCTCCAAGAGTTGAACTCAGTCAAAGTAAAACAATGATTGGACGAGGAGATAGTATTTCATTTGAATGTAAAGTTTTACAAGGAAAACCAACACCAAAAATTCGATGGTTGCGAAATGGGAAAGAATTGTTTATTCAAAATGATAAATATATTAGAATAAATGAGGGTCATTTGCACATTTCTGGAGCACAAGACAGTGATGCTGGAACATATTCTTGTGTTGCTGAAAATATGGCTGGAAAAGATAGTGGAACTGTTGATCTCACAATTGGCCGAATGCCATCGATTGTTCCATCTGCTCAAACAGTTCGGGTTAATATTGAGAGACAATTAACTTTGCAATGTTTGGCGATTGGACATCCACAACCAGAAATTGAATGGCAGAAAGAAGGTATTTCATTGGGTGCAGTTGGAAATGATAGGTACACTCAACTTGCTGATGGTAATCTTCTTATCACTGATGCTCAAGTTGAAGATCAAGGTAGATTCACATGTATTGCCAAGAATATCTACGGACAACAATCTCAAACAACCGCTGTTATTGTGACTGGATTAGGTTTGTTTTTTTTTCATTTTTTTTTTGAAGATCGAAAATTTAAATTTCAGTGTCACCTGTTTTAGGACATGTTCCACCAGAAGAGCAATTAATCGAAGGACAGGATTTGCATCTCTCATGTGTTGTTGTTCTTGGAACTCCTCGACCAAATATTGTTTGGTTGAAAGATGGAAAACCTGTTGATCAATCTCCATCACTCATTGTAAATTTAACCAAAAAATGTAATTTTTGCTCTCAATCGGAAAAATTTATAGATCGAAGGCGGTGGAACTGGATTACTTCTTCGTGGAGGCGATCCAAAAGATGAGGGAAAATACACTTGCGTTGCTGTTTCTCCAGCGGGAAATGCGACAATCAACATAAATGTGCAATTGATAAGTAAGTTGTTTTCGCATGCTGCGTGCCTTCTTTTCTCAAAACCTATCAAGATTTCGTGTCTTGTCTACAATTGATCAATCATGCATGATTGTGTTGTGTTCAGAGAAGCCAGAGTTCGTGAACGTGTCTGATCCCGCCAATAAACCAAAAGTGCCTGGAATCGATGATTCGCATATTGCAATCGTCAACACAACTCACGATGTTTTGGATGGTGATGGTTTTGCGATTCCGTGTCTTGTATTTGGACAACCACCCCCGACTATTACTTGGTATTTGGATGGAAGACCAATTGTTGCAAACAGAAAAGATTTTGTCATTTTGGTAAGATTGAACAGTTTTTGAGTTGAAAAATAAGATTTTAATATTTTAGCCGGACAACACATTATTGGTAAAGCGCGCTGATAAAACATTCAGTGGAACATATGTTTGCCAAGCTGCAAATAGTGCAGGAGAAAATTCGCAGGTACATATTTTTTTTCATATTGAAAAATCTTCTTGTCGTTGAGGAAAAATTTTCATGCAAAGTAAATTTTTACAAGCCTGAAGAAGGGTTTCAGTTTTGAATGTCATATTTCAAGCCTACCTACCTGCCTTCTGAAATTACAAAATATATATTTTCTAGCAAACAACAGTTCGTATTATGAGCAAACCTTCAATTTCTGCTGGTCAGAGTTCTTTCAATTTGGTTGTAAACGAAGCTGTAAATATTCCCTGTGATGTATTTGGCGATCCAAAACCAAAAATCTTGTGGTATCTTGATGATGTTATTTTTACCGACGGAATTATAAATGAGGATGGAAGCTTAACAATCCCAAATCTCAGCGAAAATCATCGAGGAACATTGACTTGTCGTGCTGAAAATGCAGCTGGTGTTGATAGTCGAAGTGTTACTTTGACTGTTCATACAACTCCACACATTGATGTCGAGGTAATTTGTTTTTTTTTTTTGAGAAAAAACAATTATATTATAAATCAGTACAATATTTCAGAATCAAGAAAAATCGGTTATTTTGAACGAAACAATTGTCTTAGAATGTCCAGCTCAAGCACATCCGCCTCCTGTCAGAATTTGGACATATGAGGGAGAGAAGATTGACACATTGCTTATTCCAGTAATATTTTTTCTCATATGTTCTTTCTCTTTTTTCTATTTGCTCTTATTTTTTAATATTTTTCAGCACACAATTCGTAGTGATGGAGCTTTGGTTTTGGAAAAAATGCAAGTTGAGCATACTGGTGTTTTCACGTGTCAAGTATCAAATTTGGCTGGAGAAGATTCCTTGGTTTATACTGTTAACGTTTTGGAGAAACCAAAAATCATCTCGGAGACACCTGGAACAATTGATGTTGTTAAAGGATTGATGATTGAGATTCCATGTCGTGCAACCGGAATTCCAGAAGTTTCAAGAGCTTGGCAAAAAGATGGAATTAATATTGGAATTGACTCTCAAAAATTCACTGTCGATAATTTTGGAACTTTGCGAATTTACAATGCAACCAAAAGTGATGCTGGAAACTACAATTGTATTGTTACAAATCAAGTTGGAAGTGATAATACAAGCACAATTGTTGTTGTTCAAGAACCACCGGTTATTCTACCATCAACTACTGTTAATTACACATCTGTTATTGGTGACAAACTAGAACTTCGTTGTTATGTTGATGCATATCCACCAGCAACAATTCAATGGTTGAGAAGAGGAATTCCGATTGCTGATGGAACTCGTGGAATTACTTTGGAAAGTGATGGAAGTTTGACTATTGAAGAAACATCGCTGGAAGATGCTACTATTTTCACATGTAAAGCTTCAAACCCTGCTGGAAAAGCCGAGGCAAATTTGCAAGTAACAATCATTGCTGCACCAGATATTCCAGATCAAGATACAGTTGTTCTTGAATCAGTCAGAGAATCACAACCATTTTCACTATATTGTCCAGTATTCAGCACACCACTTCCTTCAATTACCTGGTATGTCAATGATAAACCATTGACTGAAGATTTATCAATTCTCAATTTGTCGGATGATCGTAGAAAACTTCATTTTTATCACGTAAGTTGTTGCAAAAATTGATTTTTCTCGACAAAAAGCATTGATAATTTCAGGCTAAAGTTACTGATTCTGGAGTTTATAAATGTGTTGCTCGAAATGCCGCCGGTGAAGGAAGCAAGAGTTTCCAAGTCGAAGTTATTGGTGAGTTTTTTTTTGGGTATTATCAAATAACAAATTGTTTTCAGTTCCTCTGAACTTGGATGAATCAGAATTCAAGAAGAAGGTGTTTGCTAAAGAAGGAGAAGAAGTGACATTAGGATGTCCAGTTTCTGGATATCCAACTCCAACAATTAATTGGGTTATTGATGGGCGACTTATGCAACCTGATGAAGAATATAAAGGTGCTAAATTATCTCCAGATGGTAGAACAGTGAGTTTCGCTATTCGAGTGATTTTATTTAATAATGTATGAGTTTAGCTTCATTTCACTGAAGTTGGCATCAAACAAGAAGGAGTTTATCATTGTGTCGCACAAAGCAAATCAGGAACATTGGACGTCGATGTCGAATTATCTGTCTTGGGTACATCTTCTTCTCCTTCTCCCACACCACGACCCAAAAAATTAATTAGCTTCAAGCCGGCTAATATTTCTGTAGCTTGGGCGCAAAAGCTTGGGACTAACAGAACACAGAAACCAACCAAAACTTTTAGACCTAAACAAATTAGTTTGAATATGGGAGGTTCTCCGAAAATTTCCAAATTGAATAAAAACAGAAATAAATTCAAACCAAAAAATATAAATTTGAATATGACACCTATTATTTCAAAAAACAAGAAAAAATTTAAGCCAAAAAATATTAAAATTGATATGAATTCTAAAAAATCAAGTAAAAAAGTAATACCAAGAATTTCAAATATCTCTCCCAAACCTCACGAAAACAATGAAACAATCTTTCATACCAATGATCTCTTTTAAAAATCATCACTTTCAAAGAAAAAAACATTTGCAGTGTAAACTAAAAACGGTGGTTTCTCTCATTTCAATTGTAAATTTCATATTTATTTTCTCTCTCAATGAAGCATAAGCATAAGAATATTTTGCTATTTTCAATTTCTCATATAATATTGCAGCAATTCCAAGACTTGGAGATGATGAAATTATTGAAGTTGTTACTGGAAAACCAGTTATGTTATCATGCGATGTTTTGACTGAAACTGATGAGAAAACAACCTTTGTTTGGTCCATGGTAAAGTTGTTGTGTTGTGTTTCTAATAGTGGTAACTTTTTTTGCAGAATGGTTCCGAAGTTTTCGATAAAACAAATATTCAAATTCCAATGAATGGACAACGTTTATATATCACAGAAACTACACCTGAAAATAAAGGAGAATATAAATGTAGAGTTTCAAATTCAGCAGGAAAATCAGAGAAAACTATTGATCTCAAAGTTCTCGGTGAGAAACTCAAGAAATTACTGATTTTCCAAAAAAAAAGTATCTTGATTTCAGAACCTCCTGTGTTTGTCGAAGAAACTTACAACGAGAATGAACAACTTATACCTGGAAAACCCTTGATTTTATCATGCTTGGCTAGAGGAAATCCAAAACCGACAGTTGAATGGAGAATTGATGGAGAATTAGTGCAAGATTCACTTTTGTTGTATGTTTTTTTTTGCTTCTTGAAAAAAAACTAATTAATTTTTTCAATTATAGAGATGGCGAAAAATTGCGAATTGAAAAGCTCGACTCAAGATCTGCACAGATAACATGTGATGCTAAAAACGCAGCAGGAGACATTTCTCGTGACTTTTTCGTGCAGAATATTACTCCTCCTAAAATTATCAAAGGTTCTTCTGGAGATCCAACGGTTTGTTTGTTTTTAGAAATTCATTGGGGACTAAAACATTAATTGTGATATTTGCAGTTCCGTGAAGGTGACACAATTGTTTTGGATTGTCCAGTTTCTCACGGCGACTTTGAAATCACATGGATGAAACAAGGAGCACCGATCAATGTAAGTTATTTTTAAATTTTTCGAATATAACCACAAACCGTTACTAAATATAGCTATGAAATAAACATTCATGAAAAATACCGATTTGATCTCGAAAATAATATCTGTTGAAATTCAACCACAATTTTCCCACGGGCGAAAAAACAAGACAAAAAAGGCACACTTTTTTCACTGCGGACTTTTAGGGGAAAAGGGGCGTGTCATGTACCCTACAGTGTACCTTATGGGAATCCCTCCAGAGTCAGCTCTGATCACTCCTCGATTCATATTATCTCTCGTTTGAGAATCGACAAAAAAGTGAAAATGAAAAGAAAATACAACAAAATGATTTTTTCGCGCACTGATTTTTAGGTAGATCAAATTAAAATCTGAATAGTCCGCAATGAAGAAAAATGTTTGATTTTTTCGCCCGTGATTTCCTGACTCGATCAAAAATTTCCTTTTATAAAATACATTAGTTTGAATATACATCTCCTTCCTCTCATTAATTCTCTCTTCATTTTCCACACTCTCTCACCTACTCTGTTTCTCTAACATTACGTCTCGCTATTCTTTTCATGTTCGCATTAATTTTATTTTATAATCACCTGAAGATTTCCTTGTTATTTTTTCTATTTTCTACCATTTCGCGCTTAGATTAGGTTAAGGTTTCATAGTCAAGCTTCAGCAGAGAGGCTTCACTGATGAGGCCTACCTCTTCGCCGTCTGTAACCAAAATTTATGCTTCATTTTTTGAGACAATCCTAACTTTTGTAAAAAATAATTCAAATATTCATTTTCCAGGACAAGGAAGTGATTTTGACATTGGACAAAACACGATTAACAATTTTGAACGCTAGAAGAGATCATGAAGATGTTTACACTTGTGTTGCTAATAATCCAGCTGGACAAGTTGCTCAAGATTTTGATGTGGCTGTTCACGTCCCACCAAAGATTGCTGGCTCCGCATTTTTGCAAATTGAAGCTGATGAAGGTACTGAAATTGCTCTAAATTGTGATGGCGAAGGAAATCCAAAACCAGAAATTCTTTGGGATTTCAATCGAGAACCATTGAATGCAAATGCTCAACTTGTCAATGAAAATCAAACTGTTGTTTTGAAACAAATCAAACTTGAAGATGCTGGAGTATACAAATGTTATCAAATTAATGTTGTTGGTCAAGCTGTTAAAACAATCAATGTCATTGTTAAAGCACGACCAAGTTTCTTGGGTTCTGACAATCTTATCAAGCAAAATGTGAATATTACTAGATCCACAACTTTGGAATGTGATGTAAATGATGCTGTTGATATTGATATCACGTGGACAGCTCACGGAGTTCCACTTCTTGCTGATACAGAAAGTGTTCAAATTTTGAGTGGTGGAAGGTATTTACATATTCCATCTGCTAGAGTTGAAGATGATGGAACATATTCCTGCACAGTTACAAATTCCGCTGGTAGTGCTTCGAAAAATTTCAGACTTCATGTTCAAGGTAAGGCAATTCATTAAAAATTCATTCTTTTGTTCATCTTCATATATTGTTCATCTTCAGTTCCTCCAACAATCATCAATGATGGCGGAGAACATACAGTTATCGAAAACAATTCATTGGTTTTGCCTTGTGAAGTTGATGGAAGTCCGAGACCAGTTATTACCTGGACAAAAGATGGAAAACCATTGGGTGATTTGAAATCAGTTCAAATTTTATCCGAAGGTCAACAATTCAAAATTGTTCATGCTGAAACTCGCCACCGTGGTTCATATGTTTGCCGCGCTCAAAATGATGTTGGAACAGCTGAAATTAATTTTGATGTTGACATTATCAGTGAGTCCAAAACTCGAAATTTCATTGTATTATTGATAAATTTTTCTAGCTCGTCCATCAATTGCCAAAGGAATTAAGGACATTGTTGAAGTTGTTCAAGGAGAAACTGCTAGTTTCAAATGTCCAGTCGCTGATAAAAACTTCAAAGGACAAATTATTTGGTTATACAACTTCCAACCAATCACTTTTGGAGAGGATCCAAGATTGTCAACATCTCATAGCGATAAACGACTCAACTTGCAAGAGTAAGATTATTTCATAGTTTTTTTAATTCTCGTTATCTTTTAATTCTAAATTTCAGCGCAAAAATTGAAGACGAAGGACCATATAGTTGTAGAATTCGAAACGATGCCGGCGAAACAAAATTCGATTTCAAGTTGCAAGTTCTTGTTCCACCAAAGATTGTTATGCTTGACAAAGATAAGAACAGGTAGAACAAATGTTAAATTGGATAAAAATGTAAAATATTTTTTTACAGAGTTGTTGTTGAAAATAGTATGATAACACTATCATGTCCAGCAACTGGAAAACCAGAACCAGATATCAAATGGTATAAAGATGGTGAAGAATTGACTATTGATAATATTGATGGAATTGTTCCATCTGGTGAACTCAATGGAAATGAGTTGAAAATAATGCGAGTTAAAGATAAAGATTCTGGAAAATACTCGTGTGAAGCTATCAATGCTGCTGGAAGCACTGATCAAGAAATTGGTTTGAATGTTCAGAGTGAGTTAAAATATTTGAAACATATAGATTTGTTTATTCACGCTGGAACCATATTTGCAGTATTTGAAGAAGATCATTCAGAATAAAAAAATCATGAAGAATTAGAATGAAAACCCTACAACTAACTTCAAAATATTTTGAATACTTTTGAAAATTTCAGAATGTGTAAAAATCCCATTTTAAATAAGTTTTTTTCAGCAGAATTTCAATGTAGACTCAATAGGTTTGTACTCTCACCCATGATAATTAATTTCAGCTGTTCCAAGAATCGAAAAGGAAGGAATCCCGTCTGTATATAACAGCTTGCGTGGTCAGCGTGTCACCATTTCCTGTCCGGTTTTTGCCAAACCATCTGCAACTGTGACATGGTTAAAAGCTGGCAAACCACTTCAAAGTGATCAAAACGTCAAAACCAGTGCCAATGGTCAAAAATTATATCTTCTCAAGCTCCAAAAATCCGATTCTGACAAATATACTTGTGTTGCTAAAAACCCCGCCGGTGAAGATAAACGTGACTTCACTGTTAATATTCTTGGTAATATTTTTTCACACAAATCCATTTTTTAATTCATTTTTTTTTCAGTTGCTCCATTTTTCGATGAGCCAAATGTTGTGAGACGAATTTTGACAAACGCTGGAAAACCATCTGTTTTGAATTGTCCTGCAAATGGAAGCCCACCCCCAACAATTACATGGTAAATTCAATTTATTTTCAGTTTTCAGTTTACAAATTGAAAAAAAATGAAGAAATAGAAAAAAGATTGGTTGTACCACCAACCAGCAAACCAAATTTATGTCTTCAATTTCAAAAAAATGCAGACGTAATTTGTTTGAAATTTATTTGAGAAACAAGAAAATAATTGTTTTTCCCCTTTTTCTAGGCTCAAAGACGGAATCGGTCTCGAGGAAAACGAACGATATGTTTTGTTTGATGGAGGTAGACAATTACAAATTAGTAGTACACAGGGTGATGATCAAGGAAGATATACATGTATTGCGACAAATTCAGAGGGATCTGATGATTTAGAAAATACGCTTGATGTAATTGTACCACCTGTCATTCAAGGTCCACCACATGAAAATATTTCGGTGATTGATGGATTTGCAGCTGAATTGATATGTGATGTAAGCTTGGAGACAAATTGATTTAGACTGATTGATTGATTTGTGTTTTTTATAGTCTGATCATACTGGAATGGAAGTCGAATGGCAACGAAATGGACAACGAATCACACCAGAAACATTGCGTGGTGATTCATTTTTACAGATCCCATCTTCAGGAAAACGTTTGAGTTTCTTATCATCAAGAAAAGGAGATTCCGGAAAATATACCTGTATTATGAGAAATGCCGCAGGAGAATCTAGAAAAACCTTCGATTTCAATGTCATTGGTAATTTTTGCAAGAACAAAGCTTTGTATATATTCGTTTTGATTTCAGTCCCACCAACAATCATAAGTGAAATGTCTTCGGAAACTATTCAAACCGGAAATCCATCTGATACAATCGAAATAAATTGTGTTGTTGCTGGAACCCCACATCCAAAGGTAACTTATTTACTTTTTTGTTTTCGCTTTTCAGTTTTGCATCAATTTTAAATGACACAAAAAATATTCATCATTTTTGGGAATGGAAACAAACAAATTGAACTTGGCAAAGAAAAACTTTTTAAAAAATAATAAAAAATTCAGGTGACCTGGATGTTCAATGGTAAACCAATCAGTAATGATAATCGAGAATATGAATTCCCTAACGATGGAGAATCTATCAAAATTCATCATACTAATGAAGATAACGTTGGAAAATATACATGTTCTGCTGAAAACGATGGTGGAAAAGTTGAAAAAGACTTTTTGATCAGAATCACAGCTCCACCGAAATTCGAAAAGGAAAATGAATCTGTTGAACTAAAAGTTGGCGATTCAATTATGTTAGCTTGTAATGCTGAATCCGCAACTCCTGTTACAACAACTTGGAGTGTCGTTGGAACTGATAAAAATATCACTGATGTTGAAGCAAGAATATATAATATCACAAATGTTCAAATGGAAGATCAAGGAACTTATGTTTGTAAAGCTGTTAATAATGCTGGTGAAGTTTCGAAGAACTTTGATTTGAAAGTCATTGGTAAGTTAATCAGCTTTTTTCAGTTGAAGTTATATTCCCAAACAACTTTTTTTCAGAAGTTCCAACATTCTACGATCGCCAGGTCCAATTCCCAATTGTGATTGGCAGACGAGTGACACTTGATTGTACTGCAAGCGGAACACCAGAACCAACAATACTTTGGATGAAGGTTAGTTTATTTTGAATGTCTTTGTTGAAAAATCACTCATAGAAAAAGAAAAATATTTATCACAATGAATTCGGGGAAGGGAAATTGGGTTGAGGAATAGGCAAAAAATGAAAGAAGAAAAAAACAAAAATCATTTTTCATAGAAAACAAACAAACAAAAAAGACTAGAAAGAAAAGTGAACATCCACGTAATTTTTGAAATATTCGAACCGTATTTAGTTATGAATTATAATAAAAATCATGCAATTAGAAATCTGTTAAATCAAATTGTGAAAAATACAAAAAGTATGAAGAGAAATGGAATCACTAGGGACATTTGAGACGATGAGCAAACCCCATATTTGTTGCAAACTTTACCACCCGCACATTCAAGGCCAACACGCCAAATTGGTTTCGAAAATATATCCATAATTTTGTGTTTTCTGTATGCATTTTGACATCGACGATTTGACGGCTTCTACAATTTTTTCAATAAAATTAGGAATGGCTTTTCTCCCAAAACTCACCGCCGTGAAATCATAACAGCATAATTGACATCGATCTTCCGATGCAAAACCCGTATCTGGATCAATTGAAGGACATTCACACACCATCAAATGTGGTGCAGCTCGTGTACATGGATTCTCACAAACATTATCCACACATAGTTTTTCTTGTCTGCAAAAAAAACCGTTCTTAGTTTCTATGATATTCTTTCACCGGAAACATACTTTCTATCACAGACAGATCCAGGTTTTTTCGTATGACACACAGAATTTGAGCAACGTCCACCTAAAACACAAATATAAATCATACTAATTGAATTGTCAGTTGGTGTTGTTTATATATTTTTTTGTTTTTTTTTTGCATTTATACAAACCTATACACAATCTTTTCGAGTCTGTATCATCACACGGCAAGCCTTCTAATTCGCTCCCATGCATTCGACACCTTGAACAAGCTTCTCGTTCCCATCGTTCGCCATTTGGCCTGCAAAAAAAAATGAAACGAAATAGTCATTTGTTTGTTTGTTTTTGGTTTTGATACTGGTGGGAAATAGAAACCTTAGAATATTATGATTATGAGCCGGCGCACATTTATTCTCCGAATTTCCACAACAAAGATAACAATATTTATCATCTTCCGAATCACAATCGCATTCTTTCATTCCTCGAATTGAACAAGCAGAAACACATCTGAAATGAACATTTTTATGTGATTTTCTTTTTGTTTCATTTCATCTTTTTCAAACAGAATATATATATTTATAAATATATATATATTCTTTGCTATTTGTGTAACAAATATACATAGCTTTGAGAATATGTGAAAAACATGACATGGTCAATTTTTGATGTTCCCTTCAGCAAAAAAAAACGCCTTTTCTAAAATAAAATGGAGAAAATAATAGATTCCTTTTTTCCTCTCCCATTTTTTTTGTTTGAAATACGATTAGTCTAACCCCAAACAAATCGAGATTAAGAAAAGGAGCAAAAAATGGGATATATAGTAAGGAAATATTTATGAAGAAGTCCCTGTTTGACTTTTCTTTTTATTTGGTTCGTTGAATAGCGCAAAGAAATCTGTTTTGTTTTCATTTTTTTGCAATTTTGTTTTTGGAAAAAAACAACAAATACTTCCACGAACAGACAAAACCCATGTGTTGTTCTCAATTTCTTTAGAATTATGAGAATAACAAAAATATCAGTAATTGAAGGGCATATTTTTTTATATTCTCACATTGCAATTATTATAAAGTACAACTACATTTTAACCCCCTTTTTGGAAAATAGAAAGAGTTTGTTCTGCTGACAAAGCCAATTAATTTGGAAAGAAAAAATGAAGAAATGTGCCCTTTAGATACTCTTCCATCTTTTTTTTTTCTTTTAAAAGAGAAACCGTTTCAATGCACTTCATTATAATTTCCTGTTTTGTTCGTCCACTTGGTGTTGTTGAAAAATCGCATTTCTTCGCGCAATAGTCCCTTGAGAGACTTGAGTTTCTATTTTTTCTTCTTTCCTTGCTTTTCTTTGGCAGAGTAAATGTACATATTGGGACGGAGAAAAAGAAAGACAAAGTAGAAAAAGAAGAATTATCACACATGATCTCCTCACTTTTGATATGCCCTTGGGAAAATGAGAGTGGTTTTGGAAGAGTTGTATATTTTTCTACATAGAGTGGAGCTTCAATTTTGGACTATTTATGTTTGAATTAATGATTTTTCAGAGGAAAATAAACAAATGAAATTTTCTACAAAAAAAAGTACTAAATTCCTTCTTCACTTCACCCTGAACTCATTGTGCCAGAAAAAAAGTGTTTTTTTTTTCGAATTTTTAAACGCCGTCATTTCCTTCCAAACCAAACATATTTCATTTTTTCTTTCTTTCGTAGTTTTCCTCGTTTTTTCTGAGGCTAAAAAAACCAAGAACCAAATGACTCTGCACTTATTATTAATTGTAGTGGAGACAAAAATTGTGATTCTTTGGTTTGAAAAAAGGACTTTTGAGGAGCAAGGAAAGAAAGGGGGAGAAAAACGAAAACGAATTTCGATTCTTTTCGCAACAACTTGATAAAAAAAGGGGAAGTTTGCGGAAGGCGTTTTTTTTTTAGATAATCGAATAAAATTATTCATTCATTGGATTACTCCATTTTGGTTGTATAAATTTTAAATTCCGTTGCACTTTGAACACGAAAAGTGCCTTAGCGAATGCGGAAAAGTTTAACTTGATGTTTCCTGTTTTTTTCCACTTGCTTCACCGGAACAAAAAAGCAAAAATATATAACCATTAGTTCCAATTAGCACATAGTTTTTTCTATTTTTTTTGTGTTAATGAAAAAGCAAAAAAAAATAACTCACGTATTGTTCCGACATACTGTAGCTGCTTGTTCTGAGCAAATAGCTCCTTCTGTTGAGCATTCGTGAGTTCGATGTTCACAATCGGCAATTTTGACACACATAAAAAGTAGCAATATGAGCAATGATGAATTTTTGACTAATAATTGTTGTATGACACCTCCAGAATCGAATCCGGCACCAAAACTCATGATTTAATGAGTTGTTGATTGACTTTTTCTCTCTCTTCAATTGATATAATAAATAATAGTAAATGAATAATAAAGTGCAAATTGGGCACAAAATAAAAACATGTGAAAAACGTGAACTTCTTCGGTTGACACTCCGAATGGAAACAAGAGGAATAAGAAAATAGAGCAAAACGATGAAAGAGACGAAATAAGAATGAAGAAAAAAGAGGGTGTAGTGTGAGTAGAATAGAAAAAAAAGAAGAAGAAGAAGAAAAAGCACGGAGGGAGGGAAAATGGCTTGGCTTGTTGAAGCTCACGCACACGCACACCACACACACTCAAACTCACTACATCACAGCTAGAAAAATAGCAAATGAATTGGAGAGATGTAGAGATTTTTTAGAGACACGCCCCATTTTCTACTAACACTCACATATATACATTGAATGAATGAAAATGAGGATTGACTTCGGGAGGGTGTAGAGAGCATGTCATTTCAAAACCTAATCATTTTGATTTTTTTTTCTCTTGTTGCTGGCTCTCTTTAGTACATAACCAACTGAATGAGGTTTGCAAATTTTGAAATAGGGAGAGGAAATACTGTAGAAAAAATGAGGGGATGTTTTGAATCGCACCCGATGAATCAGGCAAGGTTCAATTTTGAGAATGTCTGCATGGAACCAAGGTGAATAAAAAAACGGAAAATTTTTGAAAATGTTTCTATTCAGGCACCCAAAGTAGACTTTGAGTTTCTCTTTAGAACCTGGACCTGACAAGATTCCTCTTTGGTGGTTCGATTCCTACAAAAAAATGTGGTTACAATCGGTGAGATTAATTGAACCTGGCCTTATTCCTCGGACTGAATGATATCAATTTTTTGAAAACTTCAGGAACTTTTTTAATAATGGAACTACAGTAGACAATTAATATATTGTGTTTGATTCGAAAACAAGAAAATGAGTCCAGATAAAATTTTGAAGTAACGTTCACTATTAGTATCTGAATGTAAATCTAAAAATTCAGAAAAAAAGTAGGAATCTCATCTAGTCAGACATATTCAAGAAGTAAAGCATCAGATTCGATTCGGAACTCAAAAACAAAGTAAACAAAAAAACATAATTAGAGAGTATGAAAAAAACCTTGCTATACGTTTTTTCGAAGATATCATTAACCACATACATCAGCTTATATACCCAGTCATCGAAAAAAGTGGCATTTTGACCGGAATAACTCATATGATTAATAGATATTCTCGCAAATGCCATTTCGTATCAATTTTTCATAAAACTGAACTTTTCTCCTGGTGCACTATTAGAATATTCTATCAATTTCAGAAAAAGTGTAAAAAAAGTTAATCAGATTCTTGTTTTTCCTTTTTCACTCTCAATTTCCGTTACAGAAATGAATAATAATAATAAAATTGTTAGATTTCGATTTAGATTCAGAAATTGTCATACTCATAAGTGCAAATTATTTTGAGATAAATATAATTTAGACTCGAAAATATAAAAAATATATATTCTTCTGGAGAAAGAAAAAACAAAACATAATAAGAAAATTGTTGGATAAATCTATTAGTCTTGTTTTTCTAACTTATTCAAATGATGATGACTGACTAGAATATCAAAATTTGCTTAACAAATTCCTTGTTTTCATCTGACATGAATTTATTTTCAGTTAATGACACTTTTTTTTCCCGGGTTCACCAACATCCGGCTATTGTTATTTCCTTGAGAAAGTGTGTAGAGGTGCGTTGCATATACAAAAATAATTGAAAAAATATCTATCGCTCAAAAAGTTTTTTTTTCGCAAAATTCAATATACATAACGATCATATTTCTGCACTTTTTTGTGCATGTGTCAGATTACTTATCCTCTCATCGCATGCGGTTCATTTGTGCCTGAACCCTTGAGCCGACTAATTTGAAGAGCAACACAAAAAAAACAAGAAAATGGGATTAGTGGGTGCATAAACGCAGATATAATTAAAGACAGAAACACAAGAAAAATGTGTGTGGATGAGGAAGAATGAATAATGGTTTTCATGAATAATCGAATAACGAAAAAATCGTAATTTTTCTCAAAAACCAACAAAAAAATAAATGAGCCCTTGAACGTGGAGAAAAGATTGATGAATCATAAAAAGTTGGCCTTTCCCTCGCTCCAAACACACAAAAAAACTAAACTATATAATATATATTTGAGATTGCACAAAAAAGAGGAATAAAAACCAATGGTGAGAAAAAACGAACGACGGCGTTCCCTTTTGATTTTGGTTGGTTGTAAAAGAAAGTTATGCTGGTTGAGAAAACACTTGAAAATTATACTAACTAACAAGAATGAACTCTCCCACGAAGATTTCTCTTTTTTTCAAGCTAACAACTTTTAGTCAACTGAAATATTTTCGGAAATGAGAGAAATATAATTGGGACAATTATTCAGTGCACTTTCAAGTTTTTTGCAATACATATAATTTGTTAAATCACCTTTTCACACACAAGTGACACGAGAAAAAAGCATATTTTATTGGGATATCTTCCAAGAGCGAAAGAAAAACTAGAAGAAGAAAATCTAATAGTTTTTCGTTGTATATAGATATTTTATTGTGTCTGAGCAAATGCCTCTAATGTTTTTGCTCTGTGTTTGCGTGACAAATTATGTCCGGCTTTCGTTTTTTTTTTTGAAAAAAAAACGAAAAGCAAAGCAAAATATTCGAAAAACTCCAGATGGAGTTTCGTTTTTGCGTAGTATCCATTTTTCTTCTTTTTTCTACGACTGATTTCTGTTCAACGCGACACACAAAATCGAATCAGTTTGTGGGGGCGATGATACATTATTTTATGTTGGCTGGTATATAAAATGTGTTGTTTTTGACACAACAACAAATTGACGCGACATGAATCATTTTTACTGACTGATTTATATCCCCGTTTTTACTAAATGAAACAATAAACCTATGAAGAAAACATATGAGAATGAAACATGGTTCCTTTCGTGAGAAAAATTCCAAAGATTTCTGCCAAACACGCGATTTTTATTAGTTTTTGAACAAAAAAATAGGAAAAAAATGGGTGGCAATAATAATAAAAATAAAAATTGTTGGTAGGTGAATTCAAAATTCGACTAGCTCATATGTGATTCAGAAAAATTTCGGGAAAACCCTTTAAACTTTTAAATTTACAAATAGAATTTTTCAATTTCTAAAGAAAATGAATTTTTTTTTTGAAAAAATTAAAAGTCGTTTCAATGAAAAATCTAGAACAATAATAAAAATTCCCGAAAAAATTAAAACCATTTCTACACGCGATTTTTATTAGTTTTTGAGAAAAGTATCAAAAAAGTATTCATAAAATAACAACCGAAAACAATTTCTTGAACTTTTGAAATGAAATCAATTCCGAAAATGACTCACAATCATTTCTAATATCAAAAACTAAATGTAAGAAAAATCGATTATAATAATGTCTTTTCATAACCAAAAAACCACTATTGAAAATGAAAAAGACAAAACTATGTATTTCGGGATCTGCAAAGAAAAGAAAAACAGAAGTTCTAAAACATAACAATCAAATATGCATACCGTAGAGAAAAATGAATGATGATGAAAAGCAGAGAAAAACAACAAAAACGAACATTTATCCACAAATTTTCATTTTTTTACAGGATGGACGACGACTCAATTCGTCATTTGAAGAAATGTTGATTGGAAAAACGCATTTGGTTATTGAAAATCCACGAGTGAGTATATTATATGTAAAGAAAAAAAAGAAAAAAGTCAAATCCATCATCTACATGAATAAAATATTGAATATAAGAGTCACTGACTACTCGCTATTTTTTCAGGAGGATACAGCTGGACGCTACACATGTATTGCTGAAAACAAGGCTGGAAGAGTTGAAAAAGATATGATTGTTGATGTTTTAAGTAAGATCGAATTCCGAAGAGAAAAACAGAATAGAAACTAGAAACAAAAGAATGAGATGTTTAGTTAATAATTGATAGAAATGTATGAAATTTCAGAACCACCACAACTTCCACAACAAACTATTTTTACTGAAGTTTCGGAAAAAGAAACTCTCACATTACAATGTCCAATTGAGGTATGTATATTAATTATTCATTTTTTTTCGTTTTTCGAAAAAACGCCAACTTTTTGCGGGAAAAAATGCACTTCTTTTTTTCATGAAATATTTAAGTGCACTTTGAAAACGTTTTGAAGAGAGGAAATCTTCTTCACATCTCGTTTAAAAAATTTTAAATCATTTTCAGGAGAACGATAACAATGTTGATATCAAATGGTTCAAACAAGGTGTTCTAATTCCAGCTAGCGACAGATTCCAGGTGATAAATATATAAAATTGTTTTCTTGGGAAATTGAAAATAAAAAATAAAATAGGGACCGTGACAGGAGCGAAAACTTCTTTTTTTTTTCAAAAATGAATGAATAAAAGTAAAAGTAAAAGGACAGCTGCAAGGGTGAATAATAGAAAATATATAAATGCTGGAAACAAAAAAAAACACAAAAGAGTTGACCTCAAAAATCTATAATTGTCCAATTTCGTTTTTCAGATTTCAATTGGTCAGGATAAACTTTATATAATGAATGCTGAGCCAAGTGACAGTGCACAATATTCTTGTACTGTTACAAATCAAGCTGGAGAAGCATCAGCAATGATCGATGCAACTGTTAATGGTACATCAAAATTATTTGAGAAAAAGTCTTTTGAAAAATAATGATAATTTTTCAGTTCCACCGAAAATTCTTGGTGATGTTTATCAAACCGTGAACGCCGTTGCTAATAACACTGTTGAAATCAATTGTGATTATTCTGGAACTCCTGCACCAAAGATCACTTGGTTCCTTGATGGAAAAGCGCTTCATGATTCAGATAACTATGAGGTTTGTTTAAAAAAAATTCAAGCATAATAAGAAATGTGACATTTTCAGCTGCGTAAAAATGATGGTCAACTTGTTCTTCACAATATCACACCAAGTCAAAAAGGAAGATATACTTGTAGAGCTGATAATAAAGTGGGAAAAGTTGAGCAAGATACATATATTGAAGTTTCAGGTTAGTTTTTGGTAATGTGGGATGGCAGAGAAATGTAGAACCAACTTTATATTTCAATTTAAACTTCATAATTTGTTCGCAAATTGAAAACTCATCGAGAGAATCATAAGTTGTAGTGAAATTTTACGAAAATAAATTGAAACTCTTGAAAATGAAACTCGAAAAATGAACAAATTCATTCAGAATTATTGTTCAAATCTCACAATTTCATTATTCACTAAACTCCCTAAAAATCAATGTTTCAGTTCCACCAAAGGTGTTCATGTCTTCGGAAGAAATGAAAGTAGTTGCTGGTCGACAAGCTACTATTCGCTGCGAGGTTTGTTTAGTTGTCTTTATGTCTCCTCCCCTTTTCTTTCTCCATCTTCTCTCTTCTTTCCTTCTCCCTTTTCTCACAACAGCACACTTATGTGTATAACATTGTATTGTTGGTTAGATGTGAGGGGGTATAGCTCAGGGGTAGAGCGCTCGCTTTGCATGCGAGAAGTCTGGGGTTCGATTCCCCATACCTCCAGTAATCTTTTTTCTTTTTTTGGATTTATTTTTTACTTTCAATGATTCTGTTTTAGGTGCTTGGAGAGCCTGAGCCAAGTGTTGAATGGTTGAAGAATGGCGAACCTTTCAAATCGGATCTTTTGCAATATTCAACAAGATTGAGTTATTTGCATTTGCGCGAAGCCGATGTTAAAGATTCTGGAAGGTATGAAATTAGCAAAACATTGAGAAAAACAAATTTATGTTGATAAATTGTAGATACACATGCATTGCTAGTAATTCTGCTGGAGAAGATCGAACCAGTACACAAGTGCAAGTTTTGAGTATGTTTATTTTTTGTTATCACGCAATAATTACATAAGAATTTCTAATGATAATAATAACAATATTTTTCTAGTTCCGCCAGTAATTGCTGATGAAGAACGAGTTTTACAAGTGAAAGAAGAAACACCATTCACAATTTTGTGCCCAGCTGTTGGAAGTCCAACACCATCAATTGTCTGGAAAAAAGATGGAGTCGAAATTGAAGGTTTTTTCTTTGTTTTATTTGACATTTCAAAGAGATGAATGAAATAATGGTTTGGTTTAGGAGCTACTACAACATCGCTTGATTTGGGAATTGTTGATTCGAAAACTGATGGAAGGTAGGGGGATTTGCTTTATTTTTTATACATTCAAAAAACAAAACATTTTCAGATACACTTGTGTTGCTACCAATGAAGCTGGATCTGCTACTGCTGATTTCATGGTTGATGTTATGACTAGACCGAAGTTTAGCAAGAGTGAAAATGAAATCAAGGTGATTGAAGGTGACAGAACAAAGCTTGAATGTAAAGTTGATGGACATCCAAAACCAACAATTAAATGGCTCAAAGGTGGTAGACCTCTTAATATGACAAATATGATCTTGTCACCAAGAGGTGAAACTTTGATGATTTTGAATGCAAGAAGATCTGATGGTGGTTCGTATTCTTGTGTTGCTAGAAATGCTGCCGGTGAATCGGAAGCTGGTTTCAATGTGAATATTCTAACAGTTCCATATATCGAAGAGCAAATTGACCAAAATCCAAGAGTTGTAGCTGGACAATCATTGGTTATGAGATGCCCAGTTAGAGGAAATCCTAAACCAGTTATTCAATGGTCAAGAAATAACAAGAAAATTACATATGGTGATATTTATGCATTACTAAATGATCAAGATCTGGTCATCAAAGAGCCTAAGGTTAGTATAGGAAAATAATATTCACTCTTCAGTTATAAAAAATACATCCAACAATAACTTTCAGACTGATGATGAGGGAACTTATACTTGTGAAGCATCAAATGAAGCTGGAGAATTGAATACAAACTTTGCCGCCGAAGTTATTGGAAAACCAACATTCACCAGACAAGGTGACAATATTTATGAGGTTATCGAAGATGAAAGTATTGTTATTGATTGTGGAGTTACAACAAGACCAATTCCTGAAATCAATTGGTATCGTGGAGAAAATCCTCTTTATCTCACTGACAACTTTGCATTGTCTCACGATAATATGCAATTAACTGTGAAGAAAGCCAAATTATCAGATGGTGGAAAATATATTTGTCGAGCATCAAATGAAGCTGGAAACACTGATATTGATCTCATTCTCAAAGTTCTCATTCCACCAAAAATTGACAAATCAAATATTATTGGTAACCCATTGGCTATTGTTAATCGAAATATTTATTTGGAATGTCCTGTGTTTGGTATTCCTCAACCATCAGTTATTTGGACCAAAGATGGAAAAACTATCGATTTATCAGATAGTCGAGTCGTTTTTGCTCATGTGAGTTTTCCGAATGAATTATTTGAGGAAAACATTTAAAAATTTTTAATTTTAAATTTTTTCAGAACAATGAAACATTTGGAATTGAAGGTGTAACACCTGCAGATCAAGGAAGATACACTTGCACAGCTTCTAATAGTGGAGGAGTTGTTGCTCATGATTTCAATTTGGATGTTCTTTGTAAGATCTCTATGGAAATTTTCAAATTCTCAAAAAATCTTTCAGCGCCTCCAACATTTGATGTGAATAGTACTAAACCAACAATCAAAAGAGAGGGTGATACTATAACTTTGACATGTCCAATCAAAATGCCAGATGATGTTGCTGATCAAGTTATGGATGTTACTTGGGTTAAAGATTCAAGACCAGTTGATAACAATGAGAACAATATTGAGGTTAAATTTTTCATTTTGTTTTTCGAAAATTTTTATTTTTTCTAGATTTCGGATGATGGAAGAAGATTGACAATTAGTGCAGCCGCTTTGTCGAATGCTGGAACCTATTCTTGCATCGCTTTGAATCGTGCCGGAGAAACTTCGCTCGAATTCAAAGTGGAAATTTTGTGTAGGCATCTTGCAACCCCGCAGTGCCGTGAGCTCGAAGATAACTTTATTGCTCGTCATACGTCGCATGTCATAACCGTATCACCGACAGATGTAGCGTATCGCGAAAAAATGCGGAGATATCAAGATTATCTCAGAGACTATGAAAATAATTTGAGACTTCAAAGAGAGGAAACTTTACGCAGAGAGAGAAACTATTGGGAAATGAGAAGGAGAAAAGAGGCTGTAGTGATAAGTAGACCAGCCTTTAGAACTAGAAGAATAACAACCCCTAGAGTTATCACAACTACTACAACCACAACAATGAGCCCTCCTCCTGTTACTCAAAAACTCCCCTGGTCTTATAACCCTAAATTTGGTCATCCGACTGGCGCGAAAGGTGTTATGAATGTTAAAGCAACTTTTCAACAACCCAAAAAACTATCTAGGTCAAAAAGAGTTAGAGCCCAAATAAGATGTTTTTATTATGACCCACTAACTAGAAAATATCTGCGAGAAAAGAGTAATGAGAATTCCCGTGACATGAGAGCAGATTTTCTTAATTATCCATTGAATTAATTAGATATTCATTTTTCCATGTCTCATCAGAATTTCAGAACGACTCTGGCTTGTCCTTGTCCTTGTGTTTTTATTTATTTATTGTCATAATCATAACATTACTTGTATATTGAATTTGTGTTAATTTATTCTGGTTTTTTGTTTGAAGTGTACTTACTTACCAAATTTTGATGATAAATGAATCTTTCATGTATGGTTGTTTTTTTCTAACACAAACAATTTGATATGCGGTGAATACTAAACTTACAGAACTGGAAACTTATTACAAAAATTACAGCTCCACCTGTTATTGACACTTCGCGAAATGATGTAGCACCACAAGTTGCATTGAATCAACCAACTTTGATGTATTGCCCTGTTTCTGGACATCCATTCCCAGCTGTCAAATGGCTCAAGGATGGAGTTCTTGTAACTCGTTAGTCATTATTTTTTAATTTGAAAATATATCTAGAAAAAATTAAAATTTTTCAGCCGATGATAACATTCGAATTATTGACAAAGGCCAGACTATTCAAATTTCAAAGACTGATTTGAAACATGCTGGAACTTGGAGTTGTATTGCTGAGAATGATGCAGGCGCCAAAGAACACGAAATGATTCTTGACGTTTTTAGTAAGTTTTCTGATCTAATTTTTCTGATCATAATTTTTAACAATTTTTTTAGCCCCGCCAGTGATTCAAGTTCATTCTGAAAATCCAATAAAGGCGATCGGAGAAACGATAACAATTTATTGTAATGCATCTGGAAATCCACAGCCAACATTAAAATGGACTAAAAATGGTCAACCACTTCATGATTCGTCAGATGGTGTTAGAATATCATTGAAGGGAAGTCGATTAGATATTCCACACCTCAAGAAAACTGATGTTGGAGATTATACATGTTTGGGAGTTAATGAAGCTGGAACTTCGGATAATAGTATTTCGGTTGATGTTTTAGTTCCACCAGAGATTTCCAGAGATGGAATCGATATGTCACCGAGACTTCCAGCTGGACAAAGTTTGAGTTTACAATGTCTCGCAAGTGGAAAACCACAGCCAACTGTAAAATGGATGTTGAATGGAACATTGATCAGTGAAAAGACTCCTGGAATCACAATTGCTTCGGATGCGAGATTTGTCCAAATCAACAATTTAACATTGTCAGATAAGGGTGTTTATACTTGTCTTGCTGAAAATGTGGCTGGAAATGATAAAGTTATGTATAATGTTGATGTTGTTCGTAAGTCATTTTTTTTATAATTGATCTAACTTTTCAAAAAATTTGAAAAAAAATAACAGAAGCGCCAGTTATTTCAAATGGTGGAACTAAACAAGTAATCGAAGGAGATAATGCTATTATCGAATGTTTGGTCGAAGGATATCCAGCTCCACAAGTTTCGTGGCTTCGAAATGGAATTCGTGTGGAAACTGGAGTTCAAGGCGTTCGATATGTTGCAGAAGACAAAAATTTGACAGTTTTTGAAGCGAGAAGTGCAGATTCAGGAATTTATGTCTGCGCTGCAACAAATGAAGCCGGAACTGCGCAACAAGCTTATACTCTTGAAGTTTTGATAACTCCAAAGATTGTGAAAACCGCACCACTTACATTGTCTCAAGCATCTGGTTCAAAGTTCAGTATTCCATGTTCAGTTCGAGGATATCCAGAACCTGATATTTATTGGAGTTTGAATGGAAAACAACTTATCAATGGCACAGATGGGTTCTTGATTAGTGAGTTAATTGGTTTCAAATTAAATTTATATTTCTTTGAGTTTAGGCGACGATGGCACATTGACTGTTGAAAGTGCTGAAGGCAGAAACTTGAAATTCGAATGTAATGCCAAAAACGCTGCTGGAGACGATACACTTGAATATAATGTTCAAACAATCAGTGAGTTTCTGATCGATGCAGGGTTTTCAAAATAATTTTATAGATCTTTTTTTGCTTCTTTTGATCCAAATCTCAATTTAACATATTTCAGACGCTCCAAAGATCAGTTCAACAGGTGATCGTTATGTAAATGGATCGGAAGGAGAACAAACTTCGATTAATTGTGATATGGAAGGTGATACTTATGATATCACTTGGAGTAGAGTAAGTTTTAAATCTCTTTTTTTTCGAATCATTCATTGATATTTCCAGAACGGTAGCCCACTTCTTCCATCCAGTAATATTAATTTCTCTGATGATAAGAAAACAATCAATATTGTATCAACAAGATTGACCGATGGTGGAGAATATAGTTGTACAGCTACAAACAAAGCTGGAACTGCTACTCAAAAAACCAAATTGAATGTTGGAGTTCCACCAAAAATCCTTGAAAGACCCAAAACTCAAGTTGTTAACAAAGGAGATCAAGTAACACTTTGGTGTGAAGCATCAGGAGTTCCACAACCAAATATTGAATGGTATCGAGATGACGTCCTAATTTCAAATAGTGAGTTATCAAAAATCATTTCAAATGAAACCTAACATATTTCTAGCGGCTGTTGCTGAAACCACAACAACAAAGAAGAAGGCAGCAATTTTCTCCTCAATCACACCTGAACAATCTGGAGTTTACACTTGCAAAGCTGAAAATTGGGTTGGAGAAACTGAAGAAGATGTTGATCTTATTGTCATGAGTGAGTTCTTCGGAATAGATTTTTTCTGTTTATCATAATGTTTTTCAGTTGCTCCTGAAGTTATTCCTGAAAGAATGAATGTTTCGACAAATCCAAGACAGACAGTTTTCTTGTCTTGTAATGCTACTGGAATTCCAGAACCTGTTATCAGTTGGATCAAGGTTCCTAACACGGCTATTGTTGCAAATGAAAGTGAGTTGTAAATATGTTATTTCTAGTAACTTGTTTTTGTAGAATATCAACTTCTCGGAACTACATTGGCCATTCGAAATGTGCTGCCAGATGATGATGGTTTTTACCATTGTATCGCAAAATCAGAAGCTGGCCAGAAAATCGCATCAAGAAAATTGTCAGTGAATAAAATCAGCGATAAACCAGCTCCAATTTGGGTGGAATGTGATGAGAATAACAAACCAAAACGAACTGAATATATGGTTGATCGAGGTGATTCTCCAGATGATAATCCACAACTTCTTCCATGGAAAGATGTTGAAGATGAATCAATCGATAATAGCATTACATATCGTTGTATGCCTGGTCCACGATCTGCAAGAACTGTACTTCTTCACTCAGCTCCACAATTTATTGTCACCCCAAAAAATCATACAGCAGCTCTTGGCGCGACAGTTGATTTGAAATGCAGTGCTGCTGGACCACCAGTTCCAGTTATAAGTTGGGCAAAGAATGGAAGAATGATTGAGAGAAACAAGACTGAACTTGGTTATTCAATTCTCAAAGTTCAATTAAACAATATTTCGGATTCTGGAAATTATACATGTTTTGCACAAAATAGTGTTGGTATCAGCACAGTAAGTTTATTGCTTTCTTCTTTTACTTTTGAATAAAAAATATTATTCAGTCAGTTTTAATATAATTATATTTTCAGTCTGTTGCTTATCTCACTCTCGATGAAATGACAAGAAATCCAGAAAATGATAAGAAGAAGAAAAATGTTGCGGTTATAACTTGTTATGATAGAAACGTTGCATACAGTCGAGGAATAACTTGGGAATTCCGTGGTGTTCCATTACAGCGAAATCTAGCTGGTATTCATTTCATGAATAATGGTTCTTTGGTTATTTTGGACACAACTACTTTGAAACCTGGAGATTTGAAACTATACACTTGTAGAGTCAGAAATCGCCGCCGCCATACAGTTGCACACTTGGTACGCGTTCAAACTTGATTTAGAAAAAAACAAAAACAATTTTTTTTTCTAGAAATCAGCATTTGAGGAACTTCCAGTTGTAAAAACTCCAGAAAAAGTTGTTGCCAATTCCGGAGACCCAGTTGTTATTGATTGCGAAGTTCGCGGTGATCCATTGACAACAAATGTTTTGTGGACAAAGAATGATCAAAAATTGGTTGATGATGATGTTGTATATGTTTTGGTGAGTTCTAGAATCTTCAGAAAAAAAAACTGAATCAATAAATATTTCAGCCAAACAATAGTCTTGTTTTGATGTCTGTTGAAAAATACGATGAAGGAACTTATAAATGTGTAGCATCAAATAATATTGGCAAATCATACGATGATGTTCAATTAATTGTTAATGGTTTGTTTTGAAAACATGCTAAAATGCTTATTCCTCAGTTTTGTTACCCTGCTGCTGACCTTAACATGTTATCCAAATACTAACCAACAGCCCTTTCACGTTAGAAACCGGTCAGTAAAAAGGTGACATTAGTTTTCGAAAAAAAGAGTTTTCTTTTTGAAGAAGATGAGTTTTCACAACTGGCCGGAGACGAAGGAAGTGGTTTTGATCCACCTTTGCTTTCGAATCCAGTTTCTCCTACAGAATCAGACGAAGAGGGAGAGTTCGAAATTGGAACCGAGTCCACAACTTCCTCGAGCACAACGACGAGCACGACAACTACAGCTGCTCCGAAAACCACAACAACAGAAAAACCCGTTGAAGGAAGTGCACTTCCTGAAACCAAAGTGAGTTCATTATAGAATATTTTATGGAACAGGAACATCCGAATTTTAATCAGAATTGTACTTGTTTTTTGCAAGTTCTAGTTTTTTTTCATCAACATCTAGGAGCGAAATCTCACAATCATATTTATAGGAAGCTGAACCAACCACAATTGATTCAATTGTTGAAAAACCAATCACTGAAGGGCAATTTGTTGACACTCCTGATTGTTATGATGGAGAAATTGATGAGAACGGAGAATGTATTGAGAAAAACGGGGAACATCATAAATTGAAGATTCTTGCTGGAAATGATAATTGTCCAAGTGGTTTCTCGTGGAACACTAGAACAGGAGTCTGTGAAGGTATGTAAATTATTTTCAAAATCAAGAAAACAGTTATTTCGAATTTATGATTTTTTCAGATATCGATGAATGTGCTTTTGATCAACCTTGTGAATTTGAATGTACCAACCTTGAAGGAAGCTATAAATGTCGTTGTCCAGACGGCTATGATTTGACAGAAGACGGATGTTTCGGTACCTCTCTTTTTTCTCTAGGTACTTATCACTTATTCACAATTTTTCAGATATCAACGAATGTGATGAGATGCGTTGTGACGCTGGAAAAGCTTGTTTCAATAAACTTGGTGGTTATGAATGTATTGACGATCCGTGCCCAAGCAATTTCACACTTGTTGATGATCGATATTGTGAACCAAATTGTGATAACTGTGGTGATATGCCAATCACAGTTCATATGTTGGCAATTCCAGCCGGTCTTCCTGTTTCACATATTGCTACTTTGACAGCTTATGACAAACATGGAAGAGTATTAACTGATACAACATATGCAATCTCTGAAACGTATCAAGGATTGGATAAGAGTATGAAACACATTTTTTTCAGCAAGTTAAATTTAATCATTAATATATTTTCAGAACTCACTCGTGCTGGTCCATTTACCATCAAAGCTGTAAATGGAGGTCACGCACAAGTTTGGACAAATAGAGTACTCCGCCCTGGAACTCATCACAAAGTCAGAGTACGAGCTCATTCTGATCAAGGAGAAAAAGAGTTGAACACACCGAAAGAGACAAACTTCTTGGTTTTGATCAATGTTGGGCATTATCCATTCTAATTTTTATTTATCTTTTCGTTTTTGTACTTATCAAATTTGCCATTTAATGAAATCATTTTCTCATATTTTTAAACAAAGTAACACTTCTGAGTTCATTTTGAAAACTGTTTTTAGCATTCGAGGACAATTTTTTTATGGTATCCAATTTTTATTAATTTACAGAAATGTTATCTTGGACTAGTAAGTTTGTGAGTTTCCCGTAATTTTGAATGACATTTTGCGGTTTATTTTTTGACAACTTCTTCTTCTGGTGTATCAGCAGCAATAACGAACATGATTTCAACATTTTGCGATTTCAGGTAATTTTCAGTGTATTCTGAGACGTTTTCAACAATTTCAGGAGCATCCAATTTCGAATCAAGATTATAAAATCTGAAATCACATCAAAATGTTCCTTATTTTTATATTAATTATTAAAACGACTCACTTTCCATCTTTCTGTAAAACTGCAAACCAATGTCTCCCATTCATAAATGGTATGTAGGTTCGGCATGGGATATTGAAAACAATCGCATTTACAGCAAGAAATTGGATGTTTGAAACTGGAGTTCTTTTGTCGAACCAAATAACCTGTAAAAAATGAGATTTCGCAATACTTCCTTTATAAAAAGAGAGAAATCAAGATTGTTCTTTTGAAAAGTTGGAGCTTTTTTTGAGATACCTGAATTATTTTTTTCTGATGTTTCCCACACAATGAAATACTTATATATACTTTTTAGGGACTGTTAGCCCCCAGGCGTAACAGTCTTCTTATTTATTTCAGTTCCCCTTGTTTCTGTAATTATTGTCAATTTTCTGAAATCATGCATTTTTACTCGAAAAAGAAGGATTTGTAAAACTGGAAAATTTTCCAGATTTTCAAATTTTGAGCCAAACAAAAGTTGGGCAAAAATGGTATAAATTGAAGAGAGCAATCAAAAAGTGCTCAACAAATAAAATGATATCAATTTCTGACTGAAATCATGAATTTTGCCTAGCTCCCACTCAATTGATGAATGAGCTTCAAAATTTTCTTGTTTTTTTAACAGTGTTAAAAAAGAGCCAAGCTCTCATTTGCCTAGTTTACGTTGGTTTCGATTGCCTTGATTTTTTGTAGACAGATTTTCTGACAATATTTGTTATACTGATTGTGAGTTCCAGCCAGGTCAAAAAACATTTGAATTTAGTTTTATTGCACCTCTATATACTTTTTTCTTTTTATTTTCCTTGAATATAGTTTACCTTCATATCGTGTAATTGAAGAGCTCCCATCAATATATTTGCATCATAATTACCTAACCCTATCCAAGATCTGAAATTTGATCATATTGAATTTGACATATCTGAACCGTGATTTCTTACTTGTGCGCATTGAACCATCTACTACTATCATATGAATAACATATTTCATTCACTTTTTCGACATTGAATTCTTTCTTTTGCAAAATATTATTCAATGTATGAATCAAGCAGTGTTGTAATTTTTGCTTCTCGTGGTACAGATCTGATGTGTTCATCTGTAATTTTTCGATCGGCGTGAATTCTTTCTAATTTTTCAAAAAATTATCAAGTAATAAGTATATGATATCTGTAACATATTCAAACGGTTTCCAATTTGATGAATCTCATTTATTTCTTTTAAAACAAGAAAAAACCAAGAAAGTATAAAGTAAAATAATTATTATTCAAATACGATTTTACACAACACCTGCAAAAAGAAAGTTTTGAAAATTTGTAAGAAAAGGAGAAGAGAAGAAGACCAGTAAAAATCATTCAAATTAAAACGCAAAATTAGCGATGATGAGAGTTGTTAAAACACTAGAAATGACCGCGTTTTGGAGATGAGAAATGAATTAAGAAAACCAGCACAAAACCCCTAATTAATTTTGTGACTGGGGGAAGACAAATAAATAAAGTGAATAAATAAAGAACATGGGATAGGATAGAATAATTTAGAGTTCATCCTTCTCATCAGCTCCTTCTTCTGGGGCAGCACCTCCTTCGCCATCCTTGTAGAGTTTGCTGATGATTGGTTGGACCTTTCCTTCCAATTCCTTCTTTTGTTCTTTGAGATCTTCAGCTGAAGCATCTTCGTTAGATCCCAACCATGAGATAGCCTCATCGACGGCTTCTTCGATGGTCTTCTTGTCGTCTTCATCAAGTTTTCCTCCGAGTTTCTCGTTATCTCCTATTTGGTTTTTGAGGTTGTAGGCGTATGATTCGAGTTCGTTACGGGCTTCGGCCTGGAAAAATATCATTATTATTAAACATGTTGTTATTCATTAAAATCTATTACCTTTTCTTTGACCTTCTTGTCATCTTCAGCGAATTTCTCCGCATCGTTAATCATTCTTTCGATGTCTTCGGGGCTCAATCTGTTTTGATCGTTGGTAATGGTGATCTTGTTCTTGTTTCCAGTTCCCTTATCTTCAGCAGTAACGTGGAGGATACCGTTGACATCAATTTCGAAGGTAACTTCGATTTGTGGAACTCCTCTTGGTGCTGGTGGGATTCCGGTCAAATCGAATTTTCCGAGTTGATGGTTATCCTTGGTCATTGGACGTTCTCCTTCGAAGACTTGGATGGTGACAGTTGGTTGGTTATCAGCGGCAGTCGAGAAGACTTGTGATTTCTTGGTTGGGATGACAGTGTTTCTCGAGATCAATTTGGTCATGACTCCTCCGACGGTCTCAATTCCCATGGTCAATGGATTGACATCAAGAAGAACAATTTCTCCGGTATCTTCTTCTCCTGAGATAACTCCTCCTTGAACGGCGGCTCCGTAAGCAACAGCTTCATCTGGGTTAATACCACGGGATGGTTCCTTTCCGTTGAAGAATTCCTTGATGAGTTGTTGAACCTTTGGAATACGGGTTGATCCTCCGACAAGAACAATCTCGTGAACTTCTTCCTTCTTCAAGTCAGAATCTTCAAGAACTTTTTGGACTGGCTTAAGGGTGGCACGGAAGAGATCCATGTTGAGTTCCTCGAATTTGGCACGGGTAAGAGTTTCAGAGAAGTCTTCTCCATCGAAAAGTGATTCGACTTCGACCTTGGTTTGATGTTGAGTGGAGAGGGCTCTCTTTGCCTTTTCGACTTCACGACGGAGTTTTTGGACGGCTCTCTTGTCTTTACGGAGATCCTTTCCAGATTTCTTCTTGTACAATTTGATGAAGTATTCCATAACACGTTGATCGAAATCTTCTCCTCCCAAGTGAGTGTCTCCGTTGGTAGCAAGAACTTCGAAAACTCCATTGTCAATGGTGAGCATAGAAACATCGAAAGTACCACCTCCAAGATCGAAAACGAGGATGTTGCGTTCTCCTGAAAACAATAAATTCTTGCACTTGACTCTCAAAGTTTAATTCTAATTCAAGATAAATATACTTATCCGCCGCACTGTTTTTTTAGAACTGGTTTGAGCAAACAGTAAGTCGGCGTACCAGTCAGTGACCTTTGTTTGCTCATAACCGTCGATCGGTCGGTCAAACAAATAATCTGTATTTTTTTTCCTACTTACCTTCTTTCTTGTCAAGTCCGTAGGCGATAGCGGCAGCAGTTGGCTCGTTGATGATACGAACAACATTCAATCCAGCGATGGTTCCGGCATCCTTGGTAGCTTGACGTTGAGCGTCGTTGAAGTAGGCTGGAACAGTGACGACGGCGTTCTTGACTTCCTTTCCGAGGTATGATTCGGCGATTTCCTTCATCTTGACGAGAACCATAGCGGAAACTTCTTCTGGGCTGAATTGTTTTTGTTCGGCTCCAACTTTGACTTGGACATGTGGCTTGTTTGAACGATCAATAACCTGGAAAATTGTTTTGTATACGAGATCTGAAATGAATCTGAAGTTTTAACTTACGTTGAATGGCCAGAGTTTGACATCAGCTTGAACAGTCTTGTCATTGTAATCTCTTCCGATCAATCTCTTGGCGTCGAAGATGGTGTTTTCTGGGTTGATGGTGAGCTGATTCTTGGCAGCATCTCCGATCAATCGTTCTCCTTGTTCTCCAGAGAAGGCAACATATGATGGTGTGATACGGTTTCCTTGATCGTTGGCAATAATTTCGACACGTCCATTCTTGAAAACTCCGACACATGAATAAGTTGTTCCCAAATCGATACCAATAATTGTTCCATATTTAGTCTCTTTTTTCTCAGTCGCTGCCTCTTCTTCTTCGGCGTAGGCGCTAAGGACAAGAAGTCCTAATAAGAATAAGGTCTTCATTTGTTTTACCTGGAATAAAAATATTGAGAATTGGATTATTAGAGGATGAAGAAGGAGAAAAAAGAAAATGCGAAGGGCATGACAAATAATACCAACAACGCTAAAAGTGGGTCATTCATAGAAAAGAGACAAGAAATGCAAGGTCACCATCAATAAAGTGGTACGTCCACGACACTGAGCTCGAATAGAATTGGAAAGAAAAGGGGCAGAACAGAGAGTTAGACGGGAAAAGGGAGGGGCGAGACTAATGTCGACGTGGACAAACGGTGTGCAGACACACAGAGTACGCCACTATGCAACGTCTCCTTAATGCTCTGCTCTGTTTGTAGGCCGATTTGGTGAGAGATGGAGAGTATATTGGCCAATAGCAAATGGTCGGAATAACACGTCAGTATAGTAAAAACGGATAGGAAAAAAAGGGGGAGACAACTTATACACATTATTATATTACTGTTATTGTTAGACAGTTTACGAAATATGGGAGATTTAGAGAAAGACTAGCGGGTTAACAGATATTATCTTAGCTGACCTTATTTAGGTTGACAAAAAATTGCGTCGCTTTTTTGAAGACAAGTCAAAAGATTAGCCAAGAATTGCCGATGACACTACCTGGGGAAAGAGATTGAACAATTTTTCCGAGTTATGGGAGAACTAGATATCGCAAAGCTTATCAAAATAAAACAATTCTCGAAATGTTGCTAAATCAGAAGAATGTGGAGAGTATCTTATAATCATGGGGAGGTTCAATTTTTTTGAAATTCACTATCAAAAGTGGGACAGTTGTGTCAGAACTATAAGATAATGAATCAGAAAAAAATGAAGATAGATTTTTATGTTGCAAAAATTGTTGAATGAAAAAACGGCATTTGGAAATCTAGGGATCCTGTTGAAACTTGTGCGAAGATGAAAGATTTTTTTTGAAATTTGTGGTTTTGAATTTCTAGAGAAAATTAAATCGAAATGTTTATTTATTCAAGGTCCAAAGCAAACCAAGATTTAAATTAATTTTCTATCCGAAACGTTTCTTTTTTCAATTTAAAACCCTTCTCACAGTCGTCATGCATTTCGAATATGAGGTGAAAGCATTAATCAATTCATTCCTCTGGCTCTTTTCAATTTTGTTTTGATATTGTCAAGTTTAACTGTTATAGTAAACGTCAAGTTCATTATTTTTTATTACACAAATCAAAAGAATCGTATAGTCTGCATAGTTTTTTGCTTCTAAAATTACCTTATCAAAAAATAAACAAAGAAATCTGATCGATTGTTTATGCGAGAACAATTTATCAGATTTCCCGGGCAAACTATTTTTTTCAAAAATAAAACAATCTAATCTGACATTTTTAAACAAATAAATTGACAGAAGTGTTTTTCACACATTTTGGGAATGTTTCAAAATCCATATTTCGGCGACAACTAGGAAAAACAGCAATCATATAAAATTTCTACATACATCTTTTGAATTTCATTCATCGTTTCAAAAGTGCATCGTATCACAAGGTTATTGTACTAAAGGTATAAGTACAATTGATGGACAGACAAACTCTACAAACAGACGCAAAAAAAGAAAACGCAAAAGTAAACGAGGGATGTTCGTTTGAAAAGGGTCAGGGTTGTCAATAGAGCGCAATTTCTCCTTCTCGCTTTAGTTTGTTGTTTCATTTCTTCTTCTTTCCCGAAATAACAATAATATTTTTATTGATTTTATTCATGTTAATAGAATAGAATGAGTAAACTTCTAACAACTATTTTACTATGTATTTTGTTTTCACAAGTTTTATCAACATTTCATCATTTATCGTTGAGAGTAAGTTTTTCAAAATTTCATAATTTGTTTCAAAACAAAAAAATAAATAAATTTAGGATGATTCGCGACGAAACATTATCTTCAGTGATTTTGGTTTTGGGTCAAATGGCACACTTGATATCGGAATAACAAATTTCACAGTCCCTGATAAAATAAAAGATTCTGTGGATTCGACTGAAAATGCCGATAAATTAGGAGTTATTGGATTTTCATTGTCTCACGGCTCGGAGATTTCAAGAGGAGTTGGCTCAAATCCTCATGTTTGTCAGCTTCAGGTTAGTAGTTTTTCTCTTTTAATGAAAGATTTTTAAAAATTTGTTGAGAAAAATATGATCTTTTGCAGCAAACAGATCAAGGTTTTGATGCTATCTTCTTTTTTGCGGATCTTCCCAATAAAAGATTGCGGGTGTTCCGAAGTGGATTGGGAAAGAAGATTAGAATCTGCGCTACGGCTTATCAGTGAGTTTCATATCCAAAAGTTTGAAAATAAAGTCTATTTCAGGTGCCAAACTGAAAACTCTACAAGAGTGCCGAGGCCCGAAGAATTGAACAATGAAAACGTGAAAAGTGTTGATGAACATCAAGGATGGTTCAGGAACTTATTCGGAAGATTTCTGAATCCAAGTGATCCACAAATCGCATATGAAAACTTTATTCCACTAGAAGTTCATAATGATAATCAGTTCTCAACTAATGTAAGTTTTTTCTTGATTACTACCTTAAAAAATCTAAAATTGAAAAGTATGTACGATTCTAGATGTCATTCCGATTTGATGGCGAAATTATTGGTGAATACGTCTTTATGTTTCACAATTGCTATAATTATCGAGCTCATGGTTATAGTGATCGAGTTGCAGTTGATATCACTATTGATCTTGTTGAGAGAAACATCCATTCATATTTATCAATCAGTGAAATTCCAAAACCACAAGTTCTTCTCTATATGTCAATAATGTTCACATTTCTCGCAGTATTTTGGTCAAATTTACTTTGCAGATCAATGTAAGTTCTATTCCTCACATTTTTTGTACTTGAAATTAAAAATCAATTTTATCAGTTCGGATAATATCTATCGAGTGCATAAATTTATGACAGTTTTGGTATTCTTGAAAGCTGTTTCATTATTTTTCCATGGTTTGAATTATTATTTCCTGAGCAAATATGGAATGCAAAAAGAGTTTTGGGCATTACTCTTTTATATAACTCATTTGCTCAAAGGACTTTTGTTATTTGGAACAATTATTTTGATTGGAACTGGTTTCACTTTCATCAAACAATTCTTAACCGATCGTGATCGCCGAGTTTTCATGGTTGTTCTGCCAATTCAAGTGTTGGATAACATATTTTTGATCATTTTGAATGAAAGTGAATTGGGAAATGAGGGACATCGACTTTGGCTAAAACTTTTTATATTTTTGGATATCCTTTGCTGTTTCCTTGTCAGTTTACCTATTGTTTGGTGAGTTAATTTTTTTGAGTATTTTCATTCAAACTTATTGAATTCAGGTCGATTCAACATTTACAAGAAGGCGCAACAACTGATGGAAAAGCTGCCGCCAACTTGAACAAACTCCGATTATTCCGACAATTTTACATAACTGTTGTGATCTATATTTATTCCACACGATTTTTTAGCGTCTTGCTAAGGGTAACTTTGATTTATTCAATTATTTTATATCATTGAATTTTTTCAGTTCATTTTGCCAGCAACTATGGACTGGGTTGTGGTTGGAGCTGTGGAAATGGTTACATTTGTGTTTTTCATAATTGTTGGATTCAAATTCCGACCCACAAATACGCACAATTATCTTTTGCTCAGCAATTTAGAAAATTATGATATTGAGAATGGTGAAATTGTTGCTGAAGATGAGGATGATGAAGAAGGACAAGTTGATCAGTGAGTTATTTTGATATGATTCTAAAATATTCACAGTTGGAGTTAATGTTTCAAACATTTAAAAGTTTTGAATTTTAAGTTCATTGGAATAAAAAAGTAAACCAGTTCTTTCCTGATTCCTGCTGTAATTTCCTGAAATCGTTATCAATTTTAAAACAGTTTCACTTGTGACAATCACGATGCTAAATTTCATAATAGTTCCATTCAATTTCAAGACCAAAGTTCTCTCTAACATAACTGAGTAATTTAGAATTTAAAAAACATGTTTTGTACATCTTCAGATTTCTCAACAAGGCATATTCGGAAGGAAATGTGTCACGTCGTGTTGTTTCGGAAGATTCGACTGAAAATGGCCACTCGAAATTGACAAAGAAGTCAAGTACCCAAGCCTTTGAACAATCATTAATCGACTAATTTCACACATTGTTTTCTCTCTTTTTTTCATTATTTCTATGGTCTATTGTGTCGGGTTTATCATAATAAAATAGTCAGCTCTATCTGTCAAAAATATATATATACTTATGAGTCATGTTTCTAACAATAAAAAGAGAAAAAATAATTTCCGGTGATGAAAAAAACTTTTTTTTTGGTTTTTTTTTTGCATTACAGCGGTGTAAAATTCTTTCTTTCTTTTTTGTTGTGTGCTTTCTGTGCCCAATTTTCCATTTTACTCATACATTTTTTGTTTCCTTCTCCTTTTTCTTCTTTTTTCACAGCTGATGGTGTGCATTTGTTCGTCGCCGTGTTTACACATTGTGTGTCCATTCTCTCAAATGTATGTGCGCGCATTCCATTCTCTTTTTTTTGTCACTTCTTTTTCGGTGGTCTTCAAAATGTTTTTTTTTAATTTTAAGCAGTTTACTTCTTTTCTCTTTCGTTCTCAAATTTATTGATTTTTTTGAAATGTGGTAAACATGAATTCCTCTTCTCCCCGATATAGATAATAATCAGCTAGATATATTCTTTTCTTTTTACTTGTTGTACTTCTTTTCGTGACGTCTTCAACGAAATGCACTTTTTTGTCGTAAATACCATGTGGACTCTTTTCAAAAAAAAAAGCTTGTATAATATAATAATAGAATTACAAGCAGCACCATCTGGCAGCGTTTTTGCATTTTTTTTCTCCTCGAAAAATTGTGTGTTTTTTCTGTCTAATAAAGACGTATTGTGGTATTTCTTCTATTGTTCGCTTTAGAAAACTTTATTGGTAGTGTTAGTTATCAAATCATCAATCATTTTGTGGTTTTTCATAATTTAGTTATCATATTTCCGATTTTTCAGTTCGTTAGTTAATCAACCTTTTTTCCTGGGGCAAAGTTCACAAAATTTTTATATATATAAAACACTTTGGAATGTTTTGCACTTTATGACCAACCAACTGATTTTTGTTATCTTCTTTTTATTTTTTTTTTGTCTTGAAAGTTAACAGAAAATAAGTCTGGCATTTTTAATGAAATTATTTTTATGACTTTTCTCAGAGTTTTATACACTGGATGTGATGTGAGCTTTTTTGAGAAAACTGAGACAAAAAGTTTGCTGAACATTTGAACGAAACTGATCTCAAAATATCATATTACACACTTTTTTTTCGATCATTACAGTTTAACGATTTTATTTGTTTTTTTTTTTGAACGATTCGAACAGTCATCGCTCTCTATTTTTGTTTTGGTTCATATCTATTTCGTAACGAAATTCAGTTCAATTTTTTCTCTCCTAGAGCTATATAGTTTTAGTTTTAGTTTTGATTTGTCTTGTGACATTTCTAATCGAATCATCATATATAGCAAGAAAAAACTTTCAGTGAAAAAAAACAACATATTGATTGGAATAAAAACTACAAATTCTATGCTCATGCCATTTTTTTTTCGCTCAAGAATAAAAACAACGAAATAATTAATGAGCTGCCAGTGATTTTCTTTTTTTTTCAAAACGAATCTCAAAACAACCGACCGGAGGTATCAGAAAAAACAAACTTTTTGTGAGTGTGTGTGTATGTGGTCGTTGGTTTCATTTATTTTTATATTTTTTCAAATGTTATTTCAATTGGAAAGAAAACACTCTTTGTATCGATCTGAAAATGTCTAATATGCATTGTCGCTTCTTTAGGAAACGCTTCATTTGATATTCAATTCTGACCTCAATAAATGGCCGCATTTCACGCTTTGAACTTTGATCCAACATTTTTTTGTTTCGATGCATTGCCACTCAAATGTCAGTGAGGTCCCTAGTGGGAAAAAAGCTTGTTGAACTCAAATTTCTTATTGATATAAAATATTTTATGCTCTCTTCTTTTATAAGAATTATAACCAGAGCAGGGTGAATTGTAAATAAGGGACTTCAAATGATTTTTTTTTAAATTTAGATAGGGTACTATAATAAAACTTGTAGGACTTTAAGTAACATCAGTGAAAGCCTGTTTTACGATTTCACTCTAGAATATATGTAATAAAAAATAATAAATCAAAAACAACAGAGCAGTTTTAATTGTTGGTCATACACACATGTGTATATGTTTTTTTACGCTCCTATTTTTTCTATCTGTACTATACATTGCACCCATAGAGAAAATGACGGCCACTAGTATGTCTGCCGTTCGGTTTTGATCGTCATAAGAGTGTTGACACACTTCATTTCCTATACGGTTTTTTCTTTCTTTCTATGATGTCCTGTTGTTTGGTTCTGGTTCTAGTTTTCGCGTTTTTGTTGTGCTCAACAAAATATTCCACAACATTAATAATTTCTTTTTATGTGTGAAATAATGACCGTTGTCCTCTTTTGATAGAGAAATAAATAATTATTTTTATTATCAAAAAATAAAAAGAATTTTTTCGGAGAAATTGAAAACTGATAAGACATCAGTCGACCGACCATTTTTCATTGTTTCTCGAAATCTTGTTCTCCATCTATTTTTTGCTGCATCATTGTCTAGTTTAACTTTGGTTTTCTTTATCTAAATTTGATTGATTTTCAGCCAACAATGTTCGACACTTCAAGCTGGAAATCATCAGAAGCGTCAAGCTCACTTGGAGATGAACGGGAACGTGCAAAGATTCTGCAGAAGATTATAGAGGTTAAGGATAAATTGAAAGTGATGAATGATGAACGAGAAGCCGAAGTTGTTAAATTCCTTCAAATCACAAAAACATCGGAGAAGAACAAGGGAATCACAGAAAACCCGCAACTCATTAGAATTAGAAATAATTTCGAAAGACGCAACAAGAAACATACAAATGAGACAGAACATCTTCAGGTGAGCAAAAATTATAATTTTTTTGTTGAAATAATATTTATTACCTGGAAAATATTTTAGCGTAAGTTAGCGGAATATGAGGAACGTTTGAAATTGATTGATAATGGACAATATGAAGTGAATGTTAGTAAATCGGCTGTTATCACAAATGGAATTAAGAAAGCGAGTGCAAATGTGAAAGGAATGACAGAATCAGTTATAACTGCACCATTGGAATTGGCACAACGTTTGAAATCTGCATTTGGATCAGCGGATAATATTAGTCTTTCAAGAGATGGAACTGGTAAGTTCATTGATTTATTTTCATAATTATTTGAAAAACATGTATGAGACAAAAACAATTGGAAGCATCAAAATTGTTGAGAATGTTTTCGCACTATTGCAATAGTCTCCTTGACAACAATAGTAAGATTCAACTGATCCTGATGATTTTGGAGGATTGCTGTAGCTTCCAGACTTCTAAAAAAAAATAAAAGTAATGTTATCAGTTTAGTTTTGGGTACACAATGTGTTTCTTACCCCACAATAGCTTCCATTATCACAATCTTTTCTCACTTTGACTACATTGTTCTGATATGTTTCTGTCATTCTAAAAATATAAATTGATAATTAAATTAATTGAAAAAGTAAGTTCGCTCACGTGTAGCAATACATATTTGAAGAGCATTCACCGTATGCAGAATACGGTGTATCTGCACTATCTTGTTCTTGAACACATGTGAATGATGTGACTCCAAGAATAGGTAAAATTAGAAAGAGAATTGAGAATTGCATGGTAAAGCCAAAAAAAGTAAAATGACAGTTGAGTCAACAATTTGGTGCCCTTTTATAGTTTCTCTGAATTTCCATATTTGTAATGTTTACATTTATCAAAAAAGGGTATTCGAGAAAAAAGATAATCCACCCCTCGATATTTGCGTTATGCTTCATAAACAAACTTTTTCTCGTCAATCAAATATGAGTCATATTTGAGGTATTACAGAAGGTGGAAGACTTGGACAATCAACATTTTTCACAAATCGAAAAAGTCAAGATGGCAACGAAAGCGATATTTCGGAAAAGAAGTCGTCAAAAGCAAGAGGAAGTGCAACACTTCCACCAAATATGTCATTGAATATTAGCGATATTCCTCCTGTGCACGATGAATCGCTTGCTTTAACATCAAGACCAAGTAGTTCAAACGAAGGAAATTCATCAAATATTTTTCAAACCGCTAATAATAGTCTATATTTTCCACCAATCTCGTCTCAAACACAAAATTCGGGTCAAAATGCAGCCAGTCATGAACATAATCAACAAGTCAATGAACAAATTGGCAATCTTCTTCAATATGTTAGTGCTCTTGAATCCAAATACGATAATTTAAAGGTACATAGTTTATTTTTTTTGTTATAAATATCTAATTTCTGAAATTTGATACTTTCAGAGAGATGTTGCCGAAGAACTTGCTTATTATTCTGAAGCTCTTGAAGAGGAACGTTTCAAAATTACAGTGAGTTCAGAAAAAAAAAGGATTTTTTGTCCAAAATTGAGTCAGGCTGATACCAAACTTGGCTCCAATTTAAACATCGCCAAACAAATGCATTTTTTCAGACTCTCGAGAAATTACTCAACGATACAATTGAGTTGCACCAAGCTGAGTTCAGATCATTAAAAGAGCAAAATATTCTTGCAAATCGTGTCGATTTTCATCATATGGATCGCTTCAAAAATCTTGAGGAACACATTGAATCCGTGGAGAATAAGGTAACTCATTTTAAATGATTTAGAAGGTTTTTAACACTGAAAAATTATTCCTGATACCTTTATCTAAAATACAATTTGTAAAAAAAAATCATTCATATAATTTTTCAGATAATTCGCATGGACAATGTTGTTGCGGACTCTTTAAATGCCAAACTCAACAATCCGGTTTGGGGAAATGCTGCACTTTCCGGAGCCAATATTGTGGTATGTTTTTATTTCTATGTATTTTCATTTTTATGATTGATTGACATCACTTTCACTTTCACAAAACCAAACAAAAAACAATTAAGAGCCGGAAACACCTATTATTTCAAGGACATTTTTAGAAAAAAGTGTAGTTGAAGTTGAGAACAAAAAACTATAATTCTTCTATGACACTGAAAAACAAAAAAAATTACAGGTCGAGTTTCTGAAAATTGTATTATTTGTTGTCGCATCGGCGTTGGATTTCATTCGACCATTAACTGGATCCAGAAATCGTGCCGGTTTGGCGTTGATCGGATTAATTGTTCTTTTTGTCTTTGGTCATCATCTCTCAAAATTGAACCCGTTCGCTGGACGAACCCAAAATACCACCAATCTTGATTTGTAATTACCAAATTTGATCCCCAAAAATTCAGGAAGTTTTTTTTTGTAGTCACCACCTTTCATTTTCTTCATATTTTATTTCAAAAATAATTGACTAGGGTATATCATCGAGTTTTATTTCTTCATTTTTCTACTTCTTTCTCGAAAATGTGCTGGTTTGCATTATGTTTTGGTTGCCGATTCGGTTTCATACATTCCTTGTATTCTTTTTTCTTCTTCTCATGTTTTTTTTCTGAAAATATTTTTTTGTATTCAAAAACAACGTACAATTGATTTGACGCCATTCTTCATAATGAGCTTTTTCTCTGTTTTATATCGGTAAATTGAATTTTTATTGAAATTATTTGAATGAATAGTTAGATTTTATACATTATTTTGTCTGAATTATTCAGTGTCTGGGAAATAAGTTCTGCACGCAACGCGTTCACTGGTTGTCTCTCCACATCTGAAAAAGGTCAATTGAGAGAAAAACACTCGAATTGAAATAAATTGCTCACTTTGCAATAGTACAAGTTGGTCGAGCATTTGGATTCGCATCGGTTGTTTTCAAATCATAGGCAATTTTCATACATTGCCCATTTTCTTTCACCGTTTTCTCTTTGTGTTCCTGAAAAGCATCACTTATACTACAGAAATGGATCCTAACTATAAATGTTGAAAACTCACAGATTTGGTGCTTCCTCGTTTGATACGATAAAAATTTTCTGCCGGATAGGCAACAATAATAGAAATAAGAAGGAAGAGAATGAAGAGAACTTTCATGATTTTTTTCTCAAAAAAATGAAAATAAATAAAAATCTCGAGTTTTTATACCGAAGTTTTGTTTTTCTCCAGGAAGACCAATAAAAAACAGTTGTTGTTTTGGTAGTTTTGTGTTAAAAAAAAACGTGAGTTAGCCAAAAACAAAAAGCAATACAATCTTTATTCTTCTTTACTAATTCAGAATTGATCCGAGAAAAAAACTAGACATTGTTTTCAACGGCTAAACATGAGTCAATGAGTGCTTGAATAAATCTTCTAATATCGACATAGTTGTTGTAAAGATGAACTGGAGCAACACGGATAACATTCGGGTAACGCTTGTCGACCTGAAATTGAATCATTTGAGAATGAAAACTCTATTTGGAGAGAAAAAACTTACAGCAACTCCGCGTTTTACAAGTTCCTTGTAGATCAAATCAATTGGAACAGAAAATTTGAGAGAAAGTTGACAACCACGTTGATGGAAATCTGATGGTGTGATAATACTGATTGTGATTTTTGTCGCGAGTTTATCTGAGCCAACTCCGAAGAAGGTGTTAACAAGATATTCTAAATATCCTGTCAAGTAACAGGAGCGACTTCTCAAATCATCAAGTCTCACTGATCTATAGACTTCCAAACTTCCCAGAAGTGGAACAATCAGATGGATTGGTGGGTTGCTGATTCGATATCCAGCTGCACCTTCGTCAAGATCCAATTCTAAAAAGAATATGTGAAAAAAATAACGCACAACTTTTTACTTGTTCTTGATCAATGTCATATAAAAATGTTTACCATTGTTCATAACGAATCTTGAAGACATTTTATGGCTCCACCATCCCAACATCCGATCTCTTTTATCATTTTTGAAACGTTCGTGAACAAATAATCCAGCGATTCCACCAGCTCCAGTGCACCCATATTTATAAGAACACCAACAAGCAAAATCAACATCCCACCAATGAAGATGAAGTGGAACATTACAGTAAGCGTGAGCAAGATCCCAGCCAACTAAGCAGCCCTGGAAATATAATTTTAATTAACTTTCAAAATTGAACATCAACAAATTTCATATAAATAAAAATACCTTACGATGTCCAGCTTCAGTGATATTTTTGATATCAAACAATTGTCCAGTATAATATTGAATACCGGAAAAGAAAACGACAGCAATTTCATCTCCATGTTTCTCAATATAATCAATGATATCTTCAGTTCTCAACGTTTCTTCGCTTTCTCTTGGTTCTAAACAAACCATACTTTCTTCAACGTTTCTTCCTTTCAAGCGAATTTGTGATTCAATTGCATAATGATCAGAAGGAAAAGCTTTTGATTCGAGAAGGATCTTATGGCGAGTTTCAGTTGGTTTATAGAATGCGCTCTAGAAATGATGTTGTGATCCGAAAATTTAAAATCCATTTCAAAGCTCAAAAAACTAACCAGTAAAACATGAATATTGATGGTCAATCCGTTGCAAACTGCGATTTCTTCCGGTTTCGCTCCAACCAAATGACCAACTTCAGTTACAGCAAGTTCATCAGCATGTGCCCACGGAATATCACCACTCAAATGTCCGAATACACCTCTGAAATTTGAATGCTGCTGATTTTCAATTTTTTAAAGTCAAAAGTAACTAACAATTTTGACCATTTATCCAATTGCTCTGTCATGATTCTTTCTGTAGCTTTTGGCATCAATCCAAGAGAATTTCCACACAAATAAATTCCGTCGGATTCTGGATCAACGAGCGATGCATCAACTAGAAATTATACTTTGTTTTTTATTGAATACATTTGAAAAACACAAACCATCTGGGAAACTTCCAGCCTTTGGATAGTGGAATTTGTCACGAATAACTTTCAGGGCATCGCTCTCACTCAAAAACTCAGCCAATCCAGGATCAGTCAAATCAGCAATTCCAGATTCGGCAGACATTTTGTTCAAAAATTCCAACACCTTGTCTTGGGTACAAACGCATGTTGCTTCAGTTTCTGGTTGTGGTGGCTCTTCAGACATCTTTAAAATGAAAAAGAAAACTTTTTTGAAAACTAAAGCAAAATGACAATAAAAATGAGAAAAAAACAACAGCTGCACTATATCATTTTTTATGTACAAAAAGCAAGCAAATAAACAAAAAAATAAATATTTTCTCAAGACCAAATGTCAAGGTTAGGTATCGATTCGATAAAAAGTACTAAAACATGTTGTTTCAGACATATCAATCTATTTTTCATCCATTTAAATGTACAATTTTTCGTGATAAGATAAGATTCAATAGTTTTTTTTATTTAAAGAAAAATAACTCGTAATAATTTAAGAATTAAATACATAAACAGCAAATTGATGAACATCGGAAGAATATAATGAATTGAAAAGTGGGCTATCAAAAGATGTTGATGTCAAAATTGGATAAGCATTTGATAATGATGGTATATATTTGACAATCGCTTGTTCTTCACTATCAACCATCTGTAACAATATCATTTGTTTTATTTTATTTCTTTCTTTACAAAAGATCAAACCTTCAGAGATGCAGAAAAATAGAAATCGAGCAAGCTATTTAAAGTATTAATACTTTTATCAGATTCCAAATTTGAGGTCAATTTCTGAAGAAGCTTCACAACACTGCTATTCATATCCATTCCATTATTTTCAATTGGTGCAACTAATTTTGTGAGAAGTCCATGAGTTCCAACACGTGTTCCAATTTTATCAAAAATCAATCTCACGTCATATTTCGATTTGACATCTTTCAACTGCCAATCTTTCAACTCTTCCGAAACCGCTTCATGAATTGATTCCATCAATTGAGGAACACCTGAAAATTTATAAATTTTCTAAAAAAAATAACCAGGTGATTTGAACCTCGAAGTGTGAAATATTGCACACATTGCAAGAATATTCTTCGATTTCCAACTTCCATACTACTATTTTGAGCTGGTTGTGGAGTATTTGGAATGAGTGAAGACAATGATTCCGGAAGATATGATTTCCTGAAGTTGGTTTTGGTTAAAAAATTGGTAGGAAAATGGATTTAACAAACCAATCAGATTGAGTTTTCCGTTTTTCAAATTGAAGACAAGTATCTGCGGCAAGAATCGAGATTTGAGCCTTGAGAGTGAGTGTCAAAATTGAGAAACAATATGCAACTGCGATAATGCGGCAAAACACGTTTCTCTAGAAAAATGATAATAATTGAAATTTTGAATTATTATAGGTTACTCTTTTCTAAAGTATGCTTTAGGAGTTTTCAATAATATCAGAATTTTCAATTAATTCTCATCCAATTTTTTTCTATTTATCTCCTATCTCCTTTTCAAAAAAAAAAACCCAAACATACCTTGAGAAGATCCCATAATTGAATTTTCTGATCAATCGGTAAATCCGGAGCATTCAATTTCTCTCTAATTGAATCGACTTCAAATCTTCCTTCAATTTGCGAAGTAATTGAAGGAATCAAATCAGTAATTGATTGATCGCAAGAACGATGTGTTGAATCAAAAATATAATGGCGCCGAGCTTGATTTGGCAATTCTTCATGAGCATGAGCAGTTTCCAAATTCTTTAGTGTTGGTCTCGAAGTTGCATATGCAATGGCACTTCCAACAAGAACACCTCCTGAAAATTTATGATTTTATCTGAAAAAATACGAAAGAAAACTTACCAGTGATGATTTTTCCCTTGTGACGTTTTGTGAACTCCCAAGCAGCCGAAAACATGTTTCAAATCAAACCTGATACAATTCTGAGAGAAAAAATCGATTTTGCCAATCAGCAGAAAAACAAAAAAGGTACGAGAAAGAAAAACGCGCTTGTTATCTGTTGACCCTACGTTGTAGTTTGTTGGTGTTAAATATGGAGAGGGAGAGAAAGAGAGAAAAATAAGGTATCGCGGGTAGATGAATATACATAATTTAGAAAAACACTTACAATTAGGAATGCTTCAAAAACTTGGCTTTTTGGAAGATCAAAAAATCATAAGACAAAAAACTAATTTTGGCAATTGAATGATTTCCTGATTTATGTTTGCAGCTGGTAGTGCTTTGAGATTAACTTTATTTCTGATTTTTTTTATTTCAGAGAACATACATTTTGAAATTATTGGGTTATTGCGGAAATGTTTGGTGTCTACCCTGTAATAAAATTCCGGAATTGTTGTTGTTTATCTGATAACTGATGTGAAATATTTCAATTTCTTTTTTGAAAATTACATATTGAACTTTTCAACTGTTTCTGTCTGGAAAACTTTAAATATAATCATTGTGCAAAAATCATAGTTCAGGTTTTTTAAAAATGAATCGAATGTCTGATATTGACGTAATTTGAACAATTTTTCTTAATCTAATATGATAACTAATAAAAAATTGAGAATTCTTTGAATTCTCGACCACAATTAGATGCTTTCTTCAACACGTAAAGTAGTTGATTTTTCTTCAAAATTTTCAAAATCTCTTTAAGTCTTCTCTGATATGATTTCCCCCCCAAAAACAAAACTTATTTTCCTGTTCATGATAAATTCCTAACTTTCTGATTTATCAAAACATAAACAACCAAATAATTGAATTTTGTCATTTTTGTAAATTGTTTTCAGCTGCTCCAAGTTGTAACTTCATTTTATTCCGCTTTCAAAAACAACTGAGAGATCTAGTCTATTTTTTCGAGCAAAAATTATTCAAACATAACTCTCACATAATTTTTCCCACGATCATAACGCAAATTTTGTAGTCTCACGCACCGAAGGCGTGGAAACCACAACTTTGTTACTCACTTTTTTTTGAAATGATTGTTTTATTGTAGTCTTGTCTCATGTATTGTTGAAATTTTCTAGTCATAAAAGTAAACATTAAATTTTCAGAAATGGAGACAGTTTATCTCAAAGCTCTAATGTGTATCTGGGGAATTTTTTGGAACTTGTTGATTGTTGTCGCTATTTACACTGATAGTGTTTTGCGAAAATCATCAACATTTTTACTTTTATCTGCCCATTTCATAGCTTGTGCAATAGATGTTGGTTCTCGTTTAGTTTTCGATGTTCCATCTGAAATTCTAAACCGCCCGCTTTTCCGATTATCCCAAAATTATACTGATTTTCCAACTAAACTTTTTCATTTTACAACATATTCTGGATGGTTTTTCCAATTGTATACCTTAATTGCAATTGCTTTTTCGCACATTGTTGCAGTTTATGTATCATTATATTATGCAAAAATGAATCCAAAGAAAACTATTTATCTTATTTTTGCGTTGATACTTTTATCAATGTTTTCAGTTTCCTATTTATGGGGAAATTTTCCTATTTTATTTTATACAGAATTCTGGGGTTGGTCAGAAGATCGAACTCAACCTTGGGTTCAATTTTTCTTCAACTTGAATTATGTTGTTCAAGTGAGTAACTTTAATGAAATTTTATTAGAAAATTACTGAACATTTCAGGCAATCGTATTTTTCTGTCTATTCCTGGCTGATGTTATGATCATCTACAAAATTAGTAGCATCAAAAAATCAGCAGTGGAGAGAAGTGTTACTGTAAGACCAAATGTTATTAGATCCATACCAGTTGAAAATCAGGTATCCGCCGTAAATCAACCAACAAATTCGTCATTCTCACGTTCCAAAATATCAACCGAACTCAAAGTTTCATTAAACTTTATCATTGTTTCATTGTTCTTGCTCACTCAAACATTGATTTATAACATCTGCACATTGTGAGAATCAAAATGTTTTCCTTGAAAAACAATTAAAAATTCCAGATATGATACGCCATTATGTTTGTTTCTTCTATTTATAGCACCAATCTTCAGAGGTAGCAAATGTCTTGCATATTTGGTTTCTGGAAGTGCACTTCGAACTGCGATCAAAAATCTAATCTTTTGTAGGAAACAGTTTTAAAGATCATTGCGACTATTTTTGATAAAAAGTGCATTTTTGCTCCAAGTGTTTTTAAATTTTTTCATTTTCCTCATTAGAAAAAAAATGATTATTAGCACCGGTTCCCTGCAGAAAACTGCAATAATTGAACTTCAAAATTCCTTTTATTTTGCTAATCCCCGTCATGCTAGAACTGAATTTTTTATTGATGGATTTCTATGGTAATTTTTATTGTTAATTATTTTGTGTGGAATAAATTGAATCAATCAATCTTTTTGTAGGAAATTCTGTTTTGATGAGCAAATAATCACCGTCAAACTTTTATCTGAAATATCTGATGGAGACTACATAAATCTGATCTTAGATGTTTCTGATTACACTTACCGGAAAACAATCGTGAGTCCGAGGTTCTGCAACCCACAGAAATTGTGACGTTATTTTTCAGACAGCTGAAATCTCAACAAACAGTCTGTGTTTCACATTTGATTGGAATTCTTGTACTCACTCTGTTCAGATAGGCATTGACCAAAAGTTTATGTATGTTTGATGAACTACATAAAAATTATCAAAATTAATTATGAACCTTTTACAGAGAATGTCAATTATCAGGACACGACTTTTCAAAACCAGATGACTTATCGGATGCAGTTTTGATTGTAGAAAATGTTATTTTTCATGTTCATACAACGGTATTTCTTAAAAACGATTTTTTTTCAAATCTAATTTTTTTCAGATCTTGAGCTTGTTCTCACCATATTTCAAAACACTATTTTTCGGAAAATTCAAAGAATCGAGTGATTTGTCGAAGCCAATTGAATTAAAAGAAATCAACCCAAAATCATTTCGAAACTTTTTGAACTGTTTATATTCGTATCCATATAACTTTAAAGTTACAAGTGAGTTAGGTATCAAAGTCTCGATTTCAAATAACTTTTATTTTCAGGAGAAAACGTGACTGAGTTGCTTGAGTTGGCACACTTCTATGATTGCAAAAACGTTTTGGCGATATGTGAGACATTTATTGATAAACATAATTGCTGATAAATTATTAAATTAAATTATGAAAAATATTAGACTAATATAAAGAACAACTACAGAGAAATCATTTTAAGAAAATAAATAAATTACAGGAAGAATACGGTAGGGGTCTCAAATTACTTTCAATTTATCTCCAATCTGTGAGTCTCATTACCTTAAAAATGCAAAAAAAAATTGGAAAAAAACAAGCTCACGAGTTATTGGAGAGATCAAAAAGTTCATGTAATTTGACTCACAGAATTTTTAGAAAAAGTACAATTAAAAACCCATTCCCACCTATGGTGACTATTAGAAGTTCTTCATCTTGTTGAAAAGAATCTAATAAAATAAAAATTATGGCTTCCAAGAAAAATCACCCTTCAGATCACAAATCCCTAACTTTAGCATCAAATGCTTTCACAACTTTTAAAGCAACTTCCATTTTTTTGGCTGGACCAAATCTCAAATTCAACAAGGATGCTAATTCGTTATATGGTACAAAAACCATGACTGATCCATCGATTTCTTCTCGCTCAAAAATGTGACGATATTCATCGCTATTTGTAACTTGTTGTGTCCATTGTTGACATTCGTCAACAGTCCAAAGTGATAATCTTTTGAGTGGAAGACCTCCTGGAAGTTGTTGAAGTGAACAACCAGCTACTTCAAGAGCACATTCTTCAGCGATCTTTTGCAATGTTTTATCACCCGATGTAGCAGTGTTTGTAGGAGTTTTTGGTGTAGCTGGTTGAGATACTTGCGCCTCAACTGTGGTAGTAGAAGTTTCAGCATCTAAAAACCAATTAGTTTTCATAAAAAATCTGACATGAGAATAATGAAACTTACGAGTTCCTTCAACTTCTTCTACAGCTACATTATTTTGATTATTTATTGAAGTCGATGTTTCAACATTGTTTTCAGTTTCATTCTGTTCAACGTTTTCTTCTGGAGGAGTTGGTTCAACTGGAGGAGCGGCTGTAGCGGCTCCTAAACACACATTTTCTTGTGAATATGTTAGATTTAAAAAAAATAAAATCTTACTTGTCGCGACCATTGGAGATCTTCTAGTTGTTGTTTCGGGCAGCGCAATCGGAGAGCTGTTTCCAGTGATTTTTGGTGAATTTTTTTGTCTAGGTTTTACACAGAATGATGGTTTTGTTTCTGCAATTCTAGCTTTAGCGCTAACTTTCGCCAAAAAGTCTTCAAAATAATCTTCTTGTCCTCTCGACAATTTGATTTCCTGAAAGTATTTTTGATATGCAATACCGTTTTTAATGAAATCATAATAACGAACCTTTTTAGGATCCTCTTTTTTGTTTGAATGTTGTCGTTTGTTGGTTTTTTTGTTGAGTTTATTTGGAGTGACCGGTTTTAAGCCAACAAGTGCTGAAAAATAATCATTTATCACATTTAAAAAAAACGTAAAAAAATTTATAAAACTCACATGAAACATTTTTAATTTTTTCCGCAGTGACAACTCCAACATCCCCCTTTTGAGGTTTCGTATATTCCGTGAAAGTTGTTCCTTTAAAATTGTGTTGTAAAACTTCTTTTTCTGGTTTGAAAACAGCTTCCATCAAAAATTGATCCAAATCATATGCTTCGGGAGAATAGAAGTTTTTTGCAGTCACATTTTTTGGCTTTGGTGGAGGATAGATAACCAAAGAGTCATCTTCTACCGGAAGAGTTCGTCGTTTCTTTGGTGACTGAGGTTTTGAAAGAGGTTCTGCTGCAGGCAGAGTGAGATCAGAGGCAGATGCAGATTTTGCAGGTTTTGCCAAATTAAGTTTAACAATATTATGAGTGTTGGTACCCGAAGTTCCTTGTTCTGATGAAGTTTGAACATTTTGTTTGCATGGTTCTTCTTGTTGAAGAACTGGTGGTTTATCATTTCCATCATTATTATTGAATTGGATTGTTATTGGTTTTCCAAGTCTTTCAAATTGATGTTTGCTAAGAACAATTGGATCTCGATTTGGTTGAGTTGTGAATGGCACCGCTTGAAAAACCGTCGGTGCTCCATTATTTTGTGTTTGAGGTCTCGGTTGGATTTGACGATTCATTGTCAAAATTGGTGCTTGTCCAGGTTGAATCTGGAATTAATTTTGAATTGTTTGTTTCCAATTTTGGAAAAACTTACAGTTGCATATCGAACAGGTCCAGATCTTGGTACAATTTTATGATATTGTGGAATGAGCCGCTGTCCAGGTTCATTAGGATTTGGAACGATTTGGCGGTATTGCTGAAAATGTATAGAAATGTAAGAATTATAATTGTTTAGATGATTGACTAACCGCTGTTCCAACTAATCGCAAATTTTCAAGTGTTGGTGGTGGAGGACCATTTGATGAACCCTGACCCTGAAAATTGTAGATTCAAAGTTTGAATTTTGAATGAAATTCTGATACTTTTCAGAGACAAATTTTTGAAGTTAGATTTATTCTTTGAAAAGTAATAGGTACAACTCATTTTTCGAAATGTCTGTCTTTTCCTCTCTCAAAATTATTGAAAATTGTGCATTAAAAATCTACAACATTTTTTGCACTTTTGAATCATTTTCCCTTCCCTCAAACATAATTTGACCCAATTTTCGTGATTGAAGAAATATTTCAATATAGCTAATTTTCTATGGAAAAAAAATTTGAATGACATTTTTATCTTGTTCATATTTATCTTCGTCTAACAAGGAAGGTTTCTGAATTTTTTTTCTGAAACTCTACAACTTTCCAAAATTCTGAATGAACTCTTCTGGTTTTAATTTCCAACAACTCTGATAGGATCCTAAAATTTAAAATCTGGAAAAAAACTCACATTATTCGAAACAAAACGTCCTGGAGTTGGTTGAATTGGCTGCTGAAAATTCTTCAGTTGGAAGGTTCCTAGATTTTCAGCTCTAATTAATAAAACTTACAAAAAACTGATGTTGTTGTGAATGTGTTGTCTGTTGCTGCATTTGTCGAACTGGTACAACTTGTGATGAAGTTGCTTGTGGCTGTGATTGTTGAGCTGGTTGCGCTCCCTGAAAATTGAAAAAAAAAATATTTATACACTACACCATTAACAAAATAGGAACGAACCGGTTGGAAAACTGCCACCTGCATAATCCTAGGTCTGCCATTATCACCCATTTCGAATCTGTAATTCTTTTATCAAAAAATAAGAGAGAATCGTGAAAACAAGCAATTTTTTTGGTTTAAAGGAAGCAAACAAAAAGAAAAGGACTAACGAGAGAAAGAAAACAAAACATTGCAGGGACAACATATTATCATCAGGGCGCGCTTGTTGCCATGAAACCGAGAGAGAAAAGAAAACGAGAGAGCATAGACGACGAAAGAAAATATATTTACGAAAGGGACGTAATTTTTTGTTGAATAGAAAGGGCAAGAAAATGGTGTATATGACTAATATGATGAGAAATAATGTGCGGTTAGTCAGGTGCTGGCTGATATTTGAACAAAAGTACTAATTAGAGGGACATTTTGCGAAAATAAAATGACAAAAATAATTGCTACTTACGTTAGTTATTAGTTAAAAGTAGAAGCAAACAAATACAAAAAAAATAAATAAAATATACTACAAAAAGATAAAAAATACAAATTCAAAAATGTTCGAGCACAGAAAAACAATTAACTGCTGATACATTTTTTTTTTCATTTATCTTTATCGATAACACCCCGAGGGTCACTTTTGATGAAAACAACAAATACTTGTTGTTTTATCATCTGTTTTAGTTCGCCTTTCGTCGGCGAAAAAGACTAATTTTTATTTATTTATCTGATTTTTGATATCATTTTTCTACAGAATGAGACTACTAATATATCATCGATTTTCATTGATTCGGTATAACTCAAATGGGATTCCTTATCAGAAGTTAAGAGTTGGCGTTCCGAAAGAAAGCTTTCCAGGTTAGTAAAAACTTATATAAGAAAATTGAGGACGACGAGAAGTTGTTATGTGAAAGAAAGAAAACGACACAAATCGAATATTTATTGTTTTTTCATAATCGATCGAATATTCGAATAAAAAAAGACATTCAAAATGTTATAAAATTAATTTAATCATAGTTTTTTCCTAACAGAGAATATCAAGGTTTTCGTTAGTACGTTTTTCTCAAGAAAATCTAATCCACAAAGTATATATCAACAGGTGAAAAACGAGTATCGCTCAGCCCGACCGGTGTTTCAATTCTCCATAAACAAGGAATAGCTGTTTCGGTAACTAACAACAAATAAAATATGATTTTCAAGAGAATGTATTTTTTAGATTGAGGAAAATGCGGGTGTTCAAGCTGGATATTCAAATGAAGATTATTCAAAAAATGGAGCCAGTATTGAGAAAATCGACAATGTTTTTGAAAAAGACGTGATTTTGAAAATTCGTTCCCCATCTACTGCTGAAATCTCAAAACTGAAAACTGGATCAACATTGATTTCTTTCATACAACCTGGACAGAATAAAGAGTTATTGGAAAAGCTGAAACTGCAAAAAGGAAATGTGCTCGCAATGGATTGTATACCAAGAATTAGTAGAGCCCAGGTAACAACCACACGCAAAATTCATGTGAAAAAATTGTTTGTTAGGTTTTTGATGCATTATCATCAATGGCAAACATCGCCGGATATCGTGCAGTTATTGAAGCTGCCAATCATTTTGGAAGATTTTTCACGGGACAAATAACTGCAGCTGGTAAAGTACCACCTGCCAAAGTATTAGTCATTGGGGGAGGTGTCGCTGGATTAAGTGCAATTGGCACCGCCAGAGGAATGGTAAATTATTAATTAATGCCTTGAAATAAAAATAAAAAAGTGTTTCTAGGGTGCAGTTGTTCGAGGGTTTGATACAAGATTATCGGTGAAAGAGCACGTTGAGTCACTAGGTGCTCAATTTCTAACAGTAAATGTAAAAGAAGATGGGGAAGGTGGTGGTGGATATGCAAAAGAGATGAGTAAAGAATTTATCGAAGCAGAAATGAAACTGTTTAGCGAACAATGTAAAGATGTTGATATAATCATTTCAACTGCTCTTATTCCTGGTAGAAAAGCTCCTATTTTGATAACTGAAGAAATGATAAAAACAATGAAAAGCGGAAGTGTTATCGTTGATTTGGCTGCAGAATCTGGCGGGAATTTTGAGACAACTAAACCTGGAGAAATATACACAAAACATGGCGTTGTTCACATTGGTTTGACTGATTTCCCATCAAGGTGACAGCTCTTTAACAGCTTGTGTCGAAAAAAAAACGTTTTTTATAGGTTGCCAACACAAAGCAGTGAACTCTATTCAAATAATATTGCCAAATTTTTGCTATCACTTGGAGGAGACAAACAGTTCTTTATTAATAAAGATGATGACGTCACTCGTGGCGCCTTGATAATTCATAATGGTGAAATCACTTGGCCGCCACCGCCGATTAACTTTCCGGCGCCAGTTGAACCGAAAAAAGATGATTCGAAACTGGTGAAACCAATTCAAGCTGTTGAGATTACACCATTTCGAAAAACATTGAACTCATCTTTAATGCTCACTTCAGGTTTAGGAACTGTTTCACTTTTGGGCTTAACATCTTCAAACCCTCAAATAACCGCAATGTCAACAACTTTTGCCTTATCTGGAATAGTTGGTCAGTGATTTTTTATTGTTGATAAGGATGAAAAACCTCAAAAAACTTGACTTATTAGGTTATCATACGGTATGGGGAGTTACACCAGCTCTTCATTCTCCATTGATGAGTGTAACCAATGCGATTTCTGGAACAACAGCAGCCGGGGCACTTTGTCTAATGGGAGGTGAATTAATATTCAAAAAAAATTGACAAAAACCGTAAACACGGAAATATTTCAGGAGGTCTTTATCCACAAAACTCATATCAAGCAATGGCTTTTTTGGCAACATTTATTTCATCAGTGAATATTGGTGGTGGATTTTTAGTCACTAAAAGAATGTTAGATATGTTCAAAAGAAGAGGTAACTGAAAATGATACCCATAAATACGGAAGTTTTTGAAACCAATTACAGATGATCCTCCTGAGCATAACTATTTATATGCTATTCCGGCTACTGTGTTTTTCGGAGGTTATGGCTATGGAATTTTGACAGTGAGTCACTAAAAACGTTCAGCTACGAGGAAGGTTTTCTATATTTTATAAATTTTATTAAAACCTGAGCACATAACAATTAATTTCAAAGACATTCAAATTTTCATTATGATAATCAATCACTTTGTTGAAAAAGAATCCAATCTTCTTCATTTCAGTTCCTTTCTGAAAATATTTGTTCAGGCCGCCCCAATGTTACATTCATATGCTTATCTTGGATCTTCACTCTGTTGCGTCGGTGCTTTAGCTGGATTATCCTCTCAAAAAACAGCGAGATTTGGAAATGCACTTGGAATAATTGGAGTTACTGGTGGAATTGGTGCAACAGTCGGAATGTTGAATCCTGATATGCATACACTTGCTCAAATGGGAGCTGCAATTGGTTCTGGAACTTTGATTGGACTTGGAATTGCAAATCGTATAAAAGTGACAGATCTCCCTCAACTTGTTGCAGCTTTTCATTCATTTGTTGGATTGGCTGCTACATTAACATGTCTTGCTAATTATATCAAGGAATATCCTCATTTTCTAGAAGATCCAAATGGTACCAAAATAAAATAAAAAAAAGAGAGAGAGAGAAAGAGTTATTCAATTATGTATTTCAGCTGCGATTGCTGCCAAATTAGCCTTGTTTCTTGGTGCGTATATTGGTGGTGTAACATTTACTGGAAGTATGATGGCTTATGGAAAATTGCAAGGAATTCTGAAGTCGGCACCAACATATTTACCTGCAAGACATTTGGTGAATACTGGATTATTAGCTGGAAATATAGGAGCTCTTGGATTGTATATGTCTAGTGGAGATTTTTCAACAGGAATGTCTATGTTAGGAACTACTGTAGGATTATCTTCGTTGATGGGTGTCACTCTAACAATGGCTATTGGTGGAGCTGATATGCCAATTGTTATCACAGTGTTAAATTCTTATAGTGGTTGGGCATTATGTGCCGAAGGATTTATGTTAGATAATAATTTGCTAACTATTCTTGGAGCATTAATTGGTAGTTCTGGTGCAATTTTATCACATATAATGTGTAAAGCAATGAACAGATCGTTATTGAATGTAATTTTGGGAGGTGTTGGAACAAAATCACAAGGATCTGGAACTGCGAAAGCCATTGAAGGAACAGCTAAAGAAATTACCAGTGATCAAACTACTGATGTTCTTCTCAATGCAAAATCTGTGATAATTGTTCCAGGATACGGTTTATGTGCTGCTCAAGCACAATATCCGATTGCCGAGTTAGTGAAAGAGTTGCAAAATCGTGGAGTTCGTGTTCGTTTTGCAATTCACCCAGTTGCCGGAAGAATGCCTGGACAATTGAATGTTTTGTTAGCAGAAGCTGGTGTTCCATATGATATTGTTGAAGAAATGGAAGAAATTAATGACGAATTTTCGAATAATGATGTTGCCCTTGTTATTGGTTTGTGACGATTTGTCGAGAAATGTTATTTCGTACAACAACAATAATATTTCAGGGTCAAATGACACAATAAATTGTGCCGCTGAAGATGATCCAAACAGTTCAATCGCTGGAATGCCAGTTCTCCGAGTTTGGAATTCGAAACATGTGATTATTGTGAAACGAACTCTTGGAACTGGTTATGCAGCAGTTGATAATCCAGTATTTTTCAAAGATAACACTTCAATGCTTCTTGGAGATGCAAAGAAAATGTGTGAAAAACTTCTTGAAGAAGTCAAATCCAAACCAATGTGATAAACTTGATAAACTTCTAAATATTCTGTATAAATGATTGGCAGTTTTAAAATTTCATTTTATCGAAAAATAACCTGGCTATGAGGAATTGAAAAAAAAAGAAAAAAGTCGAATGTTTAAGTAAAAAAATAGGAAAACCTCTAAAAATCTTGAAAATGTCATTGGAACAAGTAGAAAGCGACAACTGAGAGAATTGTAACCATTGAGAAAGTTGATTGAACAAAGTTGCATGGAGCATTGTCCTGAAAAAATTATAATCGTTTTGATAACATTCAAAAATCGAACACAATAAATAAAATGAATACCTTTTCGTTGGTACATTGATAATAGTACAATTGGATAGCGTGATTTCCAGTCTTCTTGAGTCCATCAACATTTTCTCCAGAATACGCGCATTCTCTTACGATGATTTCTTCTCCTTCAACGTTTTGCGAAATTTTACGGCATCCGATGGCTTTTTGGTTATTGTTTGGTCCGCAAACCTGCGTTCAAAAGTGTTTTTCAAGTGTTAACAAATATACAAATGATACCTTGTTGAACGCTTTGAGATCATTTTCGTCGTTTTGTTCGCAAACCTTGTTTTCATTTGATGTACATTGGAAACAGTGGATGTTTGCGCTGAAAATCTGCATAGTTATAGTGAAATTTTGATAATTTTGAGTTTACCTAACTCCGGCGATGGTGGCAGCCAACAAAACAATAGTCAAGACTTGCATACTGAAAAATAAAAGATATAGGAAAATAAAAAAATATCAGATCAGATTTTTGTTTAATATAAAAATAAGACAGGGGAAAGAAACAATCAATATTATGTTTAAAAAACAAATGAAAAAAAAAGAATGTCTCGTAAAAAAGAGTAGGGTGGACAATGTGAGAAGAAAGAAAAAAGTGACAGACACAGCACAACCTAAAGAGCATTTTTTCTTTATAACAATGCAAAAAAATGTTACTTTTTGTTACACTATTTTTGGTCGTTGGAAAAGGACGATTATTGTTATTGTAAGAAGACGAAGATGAAGAAGAAGCAAAAAGAAAGAGAGAGGAAAAAATTGAGGATTAGAACAAAAAATAAATAAAGACGACACAAAAATGAAAGAAGAAGCACAAAAGTGTACAGTTGATGCGTTATCGAGAAGAAAAAATAATGGCATTAACTTTGGGCGTCAATGCAACATTTTTTTGATATTAGATAGAAATGAAACGATTGATAAATTTTTATGGATTGCTGTGTTTTTGACATTTTTTGGAAAACCTGAATCAGTAGTTAAAACCAACAACATTTCGTATATTTCTTTCGAAAATGCAGATGCGTGTTGACTTTGGAGGAAAAAAGAGCATGTGTTTATGAAAAAGAAGAAACATGTTAGAAATTAAGAGAAAACAGACATAAAAGTTATGGGACTGCGAATTCATTATTTATAGAATGTAGAAAATATGTTTTCTTTTTATTTTTATAATAATTGAAAATCGATTGAAGTTAAGACCACCCAATGTTTGCCATTGTTCGAGAAAAATATATTGACAAACGAACAAAAGTGTTTTTTTTCTTGGCTAGAATGACCTTGTTCAATTTGAAAAAAATAAAAATTTTATCTTTGAATCAGTATTGGAAAACTACAAAAAACCATCAATAAAATGAAATGGGAAAAAATCTATTTTTGTTCCACCTTGATGGACAATTAAAAATTTCACTTTTCTTTTGGAAAAAATAACCCGACAAAAATTCAATTATGTTTTTTTTTCCAACATTTTTTCTCTCTCTGTTTCACGTCCAACATAAACAGTGGAAGAAAAAGACGAAAAAATAAAATAAAGCAAAAAAAAAAGAGCAAAGGTTCGTATTACTGCTACTGCTCCTGGGCTCAGCAAATAATGAAAATGCGATTCGCCTTTTTGATTCCGACATCTTTATTTCTTACCCATCTCAATGTTTACCCTTCGGCAAAAGTACAAATATTGATGTCAAAAAAATGTAATTAAAATTGATTGGATAAAAATAATAGATTTTTTATTCAACGAATTTATTTTTTCCACAAGAAAAAGTGAAATGCAATACAATTATTCCAAATAACAAATATTTGAAAGATCAATTTTTGTTGTGTTCGTTTTTTTTGAAAGGGAAAGTTTTTTGAAAATTTGAAAATGAAAATTGAAAAAAATAGACAGTGATCACGGTGTACAGAAGTTTTTGTTAGAAAAAATGAAGGTTAATTATGATCCATTAGTGACTGGTACAGGTGAAGCTGTTGACGCTCGAACTGCTGATTCTGATGCTTCATTTTCAGCTTGAGATCTTGCGATTTCTTCTTCAAAGTCACCAAGCATAGCCTTAAATTTACGGATAATTTTTTCAATTAACAAAATTTGTTTGTAAATTCAAAAACTAATAAAGTTACCTTTAAACCCATAATTTCGCCCTTGACAACTAATAATTGTGGTAAATTTCGGAAATCTTCCAAAACTTCATAATTTCTGCAAAGATGTACAATGACCTTTTTCAAGTTTTGATGATTTGCCAATTCGACAACTGTTCCACGATTAATTTTTTCGAGATCAAGTTCGCGAAGATATATGAACTACAAAAAATTACGATGATATATTTTTGTACTCAAATCGTGCTGTTACCTGAAGTTGTGGCATTTTCTTTGCCATATATGAGAAAAGTGAATCTGGCAAGAATGGATAATCAACTGGTTTATCAACAAGACAAACTCGTTCAACTCTTTGCTCGAATTTCTCCAAAATTGCCATGAGTGGACCCTGGAAAAAATACAACTTTTTTGGCTCCCCCTAATCCGATTTGCAACAATTTTCATTCCGCTTCGCTTGAGTGGATGGAATCAAAGAATTTTTTTTAGTTTTTTCGTTTTTCTTTCTATTTGAAACTTTACGATTTTTTATATCACATTTCAAAAAATCTCAGATTGAAATTCGATATCCGAAGTGAAATCCTAAAAGCAAATGATTATGTAATTTTTGGTGCGTTGCTTGCTCATCAGGAAAATCCTAATTTATCCTGTGTTGGAGCCAATTTCCAATTAATGCTCTCTCTATTTTCCAGATCGGGAAAAAAAAACAAAAACGAATTTGTCTCTGTGTTTTCCCGTTCAAAGCCCAATGAATGACTAACAAATGCAAGGCAATAAAAACACAATTTGAATATACATATACGTATAAAACTCTCTAAAAGAGCTCTATGCCTGCTCTCCTTGATGGATCGTTTTGTGTTCCTCCACCAACAGAAAAACATAGACAGACACCAATGTTTTTGTAGAAACAACATTCATTTATTAGTCAATGTTTGTTTTTTTTTCTTGCAAGTGTTCATAATAGACTGGGTGGTCTCATGGGATAACTACAGTATACCAGGTATCTTTGAAAAACATCTCAAAGATTAATAACCGGATAGGGAGGGACACAATATTTTTGAAGGATCAGAAAACATGTTTGTTTCTAGATAAACTAAATTTACCTCATGCTCATCAAAATGACACGAACAGCAATAAATATAAGCAACTTGACGTTTCCAGAAAATTGGACCATCGAAACTGATATTTACTGTCATTTTTTCATGCCCTGCAAAAGTTTTTCAATTATGACTGGCTAGAAAAATTGACTAACCTGAGCAATGATTTTTTCTGAAAATAATATAAACCCATACAGGTTTAGTTTCATTCCTCGTTGCTTCCATCACAGTTTCTTTCCACTTTTTAGAAACACGCTCAGATCTGAAAAAAAAAACAGAAAATGAATGAAGAAAATGAGGGCGGGGTTGAGCCAAAAAAATCATAAAAAATTTCGAAATTTCTGGTGTACTACAAGATGCCAATTAGGTTAAGATGTATGTTGTTTTTATGTATATTTTTGAGACAAAAAATATCGACGGAAAAATTGAATTGGTGTCTTATAGATTTATAATTGAATAAAGAAGAGGAGAAGATATTCGAAAAATAATTCAATTTCTATTCATTTTTCCTGACTTGAGTATGCACTAAAATAAAATAAAATCATTCATAACACCCATAAAAATGTATACATACATATATTCTCAAAAAAAGAGGGGAGCTTCTAAAATTATTTGTTGTTTTTTTCAGCGTCTGTGCTCCAAGACACAAGTGTGAAAATTTCGCTTTCGTCTGGAGTGTTACTTTTTACGACCAAAAAGAGGATTTTGCAGTTCAGTGAGAGCAACACAAAAAACGAGGGAGGAAGTAAATGAGTTTTTTTTTGTTTGAGGAAAAAACAATTACATTTTTTTCAATGTGTTGATTTTAAAAACCTGCAATTTTTCGGGGAGAAGAGATTGTGAGAAAAATAAAAATAGGGTTGAGGAGAGTGGTAAATTTCTAGATGAATTAAATTTTTTGAAATGAATTAAAAAATCATTATAGTAGGAAAATGTTGCTGAATTAGAGATCTACATATAACTCAAAGTATAATATGATCAACAATAATTTCAATTCGGAGTTCTAACCTGTGAATATTTTTTATTAAATTTCAAAAGTTTTGAAGAATTTACTTTAAAAAAATTTTAATAGATATTTAACAGAATCTCAAATAAAAAACTTCGAATCAGTTTTTTCTCGAGAAAAAAATCTAAAACAAAAAATTTTTCAGAACAGAACACATGAAAAAACGTATGCTTCCTGGTAATTTTATGAACAATAAAATTTTATGACCCTTGTCTTTTGGATCAATTTGAATTGTCTGAAAATTTAGTAGTACGAAGCATACTACTATGAAAAAAAAAACAGCAACATGAAAAAGCCAAAAATAGAAAGTGCTAGATTAAATTTCATGGATCACACTATGTTTGGTCGTCTATATATGAATATATTTTTGAAAACACTAGATTGTACAAATTCAGAACATATCTGACTGGAATAGGAATGAAAACAGAGATGAAAATAGAAATCACAACAACAATAACAACAACAAAAAAAGCACCCAAGGACGAGTGTCTCCAGAGAGAGACCCCAAAAAAGGAAGAAGCATGAAAAAAAATGGAAAAGAGTTGTAGAACAAGAAGAAGAAAGAAAAGAGCTGCTGCAGTTGTCGCTTCTTGTCTCCTCTCGCCTTCCAAAAACTCTTTTTTTTTGCTCCTTATTCTATTCCTTCTTCCACCAATAGTACCACCAAAATATATCTACATTGGGTGGGTGAAGCAAACAAAAAGGAAAGCAAAAAAGGGCGGGATTTCGAGCATGTTTCATTTTTTGCTGCTGCGAGAAAAAAAGTGACACATGGGAATTTTAGTTCTGATTTTTTTTTCATGCCTCAGTCAAGACAAAAAAGTTTTTTTTGTCTTTTCCTTGCCGCCTTGCATTTTGGACTCTATGATTTTGGTTGCATGTTTGCACTTTCCGGTTTGGAATTTCAATAGTCCGGAAAGATTAAATGAATTGGATTTGACTTATTTTTGGATGAGGGATCTATTTTGAATGCTAGACTTTCTTTGGGCTATGATTGGCTGAAAGTGCAACAGATTGTCTGGCGGTTATTTTTGAATAACATGTGGGACCTTGGGATTTTGAGAAATCACAGAACTGAATTATGTGTTTCCAACAGATAGCATAATCTAGGGAAACGTTGGCAATCCAAATATTTTTGTTTCGGATTTTTTATTAAAAACTAAAAACCTTATTTTTTGGTTCAAAATGTTTTACTTTGTAAAAAAATTGGTTTGAAACGGATTGAAAACACTTCAGAAGAGTAATTTGACTCCAACAAGTCTGAGTTGAAAAAAAACTACGAGAAAAAAACTTGACCAGGTGTCATATCAGTTGTCAGGAAAAAGTTTGAACTTTTCAGGTAAACAAAATTATTGTGGGAGTTAGATTTATGTCAAGGAAATTCTGGAAATTCAGAGAAAAAACTCGGAAAAATGAAAAAAAAAACTTCAAATTCGAAAGAAATATAGAACTTTTCCACACCAAATCAATTTTGAATTTTTAATGGTTTAAAGTTTGAAGTTCCCGAAAACCCCAAATAAACTAGAACAGTTGTAACATTATTCCAAGTTTGCGAACAATTCTAAAATTCAGGATTATTTCATTCAGAAGTTGTGGAAACTCGAATATTTAAAGAAAATCTACACAGTTTTTTTCAACTAAAACTTTTCCTAATTGAAAAATGCAAGAATTTTGGAATTCCAAGTTTTCGAACAAAGCAAATGGTCAAAAAACGTTGAATTTCCGAAAAAATCCAATTTTAAAATGGAATCCGAACGAATTTGTGCAGAACATCAATTATCTCACTGTAATTCGATTTGAAAATAAGTGGATGCACTTTACTTTTTCTCTTTTTTCTATTCCAATTTCAAAATAGGATAGAATAAAAAATAAATAAAATTGATGTCAGTATCGGAAAAAAACACTGACTCGAACACAACAATTAAAATTTCGGAAAAATGGGGTCCAGTTTTTTCTTTGAATAAAATAGCCAGTGTCCAGCTGTATAAAGAACAAGCACGAAAAGTGATGAAAAGCTGAGTTGAAAGCTCGAAAATTGTGAGGAGAAGAAAAACGCATTGAAATGAACACGAAAAAAAGAAGATGGCAGCAAAAAAGACAAGAGTTGGGTGTGTATATAGTGAAAAAATACGAAATGATATTTTTACACATTCAAAAGATTGACAACACAAATTTATTCGAATATGCATTTTTTGTTTATTTATTTGTTTGAGTCGGAATTTTTTATTTAGAAGAGTTTCAGAAAAATATGAGATTTCTGTCTCTCTGGAATAGAAGTGATGTGTTTGATTGTCATCATCATATTTTTTTTTGTTCTTTTTGAGTACTTCAGATTTGATGAACACATTTTTTCTTTTCCTATTGTTGGAACAGAAGCGTCGGTCGTCACACATTTTTTTTATTTGAAAAAATCTCGTAAAATTTGTCAAAAAATTCGACAACTGTTTGATGGGTCAGCTTACAAACAACTATGTGCAAAAAATATAATGTAAAGAAAAACAATTACTAATCTTATTTTGTTTGAAAACTGATATTTTGTTGAAATTCTGATCTTTTGTTTTCAAGATGGATCATCTGTTCGTTTAGCTCATGTCAAGAAAAATCTGCAAAAATTATGCAAAACAAAACCTCAAGGGACATTGAACTTTAAAGTTTTTGTTGCACATTTGGAGAAGACCTTTTTAGGAAATTAGATGGACTAAAGTTCAACGATTCCCCAAAGGTTCGATTAATTATAAGATTAGAAGGTTTTTCGAAAAAGTGACGAATTTCTTGTCAGTTTTTTTGTCAATCATCCGATGTTTACAAGATTTTTTTTGGAGAAATATGGAGGATGGAAAGGAGAATGGACTGAAGAAGAACAAAACATGTCGTGTAAACATTTTTCAAGAGTCTTATTTTTGCACAAAGAATGATGAGAATACATGGTGGTCCTAAAAAATAAAACTAAAGATTCTGAACATTTTTGTGGATTTTGCTCAAAATGTGCAACTTTATGGAAAATAAATTGTTTACTTTTCTTCTCTATTCTCAAGTAAAACTCACACATTTTATCAAACATCTGAAAACTCTAGAAAAATAAATAAATCAAAAACGCACCTGGTTCGTTGTCTCAATGACAATTGCGATAAAATGCGAACAGCAAGATCAGTTGGCAACACCGATAGTGGATCAACTTTCTTTGGCAACAAATCGATAGCTGATACAGGAACACTGTCGATTGACATTTTCCGGCTGAATTTTGAAAATGGCCATGGCATTTTATTATGAGATTAGGATAGAATAAGAAATGAAACGAATTCAAGTGAGATGATACGGAAATGAAATGGAATATGATGGAAAATATGTGGGTAAGGAAGGAAAGGAAATATGAATATTGGGAAAGAAAAATCAAAGAATGATGATGTGTGAAGAAAAGGAAATGAAATGATGAAATAAAATATTGAATAAAGAAAACTAGAAAATGTGTGAGTGAGTATAATTAGAGCAAAAAGAAGAAGCTGGTAGTGGTACTAGAAATAAGTATTGGATTACTTTTCGAAATTATTTTAAGTTGGCACTGAATTTTTTGCTATGCTCAATTTGATCAGATTGAAAGGAAATGGAAGAAATTATATTTTAGAGTACGGTAGATTTAAATATCATGCTTCTTGAATTGAGCCTCTGAAAATAAAATCATCAATTTAAAAATCCGATTCAAATTTATTTTTATATGAAAAATTAGACGCAATAAATCAAAAACTGGAGCTTGCAAAATATTTTTCAAAGATTCATCACAAAAGCTTTCAGAATTCAGAATGCTACCATAAATCCATTTAGGAAGCAAAACTGAATTAATGTCATTCATCTACATAATCTGCAAGTCAATTTATTCGTATCATGTAAAAAGAAAATAGAACGGACCAAGAAGAACGTTTGAAAAAATGAAGAGGTTCGAAAAAACCTAATTATTTTTCTAATTGAAAAAAGTCGTCGACTTTTCCTTTTCGCTGAAAAAAAACCACATTTTACTTTTTTCGTTTAACCAAGTAAGGTATGAATATTTCATCAGTCGCAAAATTTTCTGGGTTAAAAACTTGGCCAAGTAATTTATCAAGAAAAGATGGGGCTTACAGAAAAATTCTTCTTTGTTTTTTTTTTGCACGCACACGTTGCAAGGAAAAAAACACAGACACCCAAAAAAAGGTGAAATGCGTGGGTAGATTAGATTATCTGAATAAAGAACGTGTTGATTCATTTTGTCATTGAAATCTCAAGAGACTCTGGAAACATAAAATACTCAAGAACACAGAAATGAAGTATATCTATTCCAGGAAAAATGAAAGAAAAAGGACACAAAATCGTTCATGTATGAAAAAACCCATTGTTTCTTGAACAAATCAGAATAAAACTTTTTTTTTACTTCTCAAGAGTACATTTATACGCTAGATTAAATAGATAGTTTTCAAAGATTCGAGAATTTTCGACTTTTTTTTGGAAGACTTAGGAGAAATTGGAGAGTTTTTCTTCAGAAAGTGGAGCCTGATTTCCAGACTCACGCGAACATTTGAATTTTCAACGTTTCCACCATTCAAATTCCAGGTTCAGAGAATTGAGGAAACTAGAGAACAGATTCTCATCAAATTTAGAAACCATAGTTGGAAACCGGAATGAATTGTTAAAATTTTAACAAGATTCTAGACTATTTTGAAACCGTATTTTTTTTTTTTTGAAAAACCCTTCTGTTTCGAACAGAGCCAAAATTTCAATATATTTTTTCGGGAATGTTGAAAAAATGCAATATATTTGCTGACAGAAAAAGAAAAGTGTTCGAATTTTCAATGATGAGAAAATTGGAACAAAAAATGCTGAATGTGAATATTTAGAAAACATTGATGTGAGAAAATTCAGTCATTTTGCCTGAAGAATTCTGAAATTGAATAAACCGCCCGTGTTTTCTAACGTAAAGTAGCCAGCCATCTGAAAAACACACACCCACTAGGTTGGCAAAAATATTCAATTTTTTTATTTTATATTCACGAGAATTGAATATAAAATTGAATTGGGTTTTTGAAAAAAAATAAAGTGAGTATTGTGAATTTCATATTCAAGCAGCATTGTCTGTTGGAGCGACCAACCAAAAAACTTTTTTTGTTGTTTTTTGGAAATCAGTTTGCGTGATGCTCTTCGAGTTCAATTAAAAGCAGCCAAGAAAAAAGTGCGACAAAATGAGGGAATCGCGTGCGAAATTGAGGATTCAAAAAATATAGTTTTTTTATTTTTCGAAAAAAAAATTGACAAGAAAAAAAAAACACGTAAACAAATAAATAAATTTCAGGAAAAAATACATATATTTGGAATGAATGACAAGCGAGTTCATTAAACATTTTTGTTTCGCGGAAAAGAGGAATATTTGAACAATTATAGCACCATATACGATGAGCAATCATCTCCTATTCAATTGAGAAAAATAATATATTCAAGAATTGTTAGAATAAAAAACCGGGAAAAATATAAAAATATGAAAAATAAAAATAAAAATAAGGAGATGAAAAAATATGGATAACAAGAACCCATAACAAAATTAGAAAAAAAAGAAAGAGAACTTTCTTAAATAGCAAGTAAAAAAAATAATGGAACCCTATATCATCAAAATGTACACATAAATAATGAGAAAAAAATAAGATCCATTTTTGTAGGAAATGGAAATTGTGTTCGTGTATTTTTCTCGCTTTGTTAATGGAAAAACCACCGAATGTTTTTGCATTAATTTGTGCTCTTCGTTTTTTGTTCGTTTTTTCTTTCTCATTCTAATATTAGAATGAGAATGATGTCGTTGAATTGGATGTTGTTGCTGTGCTATTATTACGAGGAGATTGGAGATCAACCTGAAAAAATTATTGGTTTTGTGGGGGATTTTTCAAAAGGTTTGAGAAATGTTGATTGATTGTAAGCCAGTTGTAAATAGGCTTGACAAAATCTAGACAAGGAAGTCTAAATCAAATATAAATTGTATCAGTTTTGAGTTGTTTTTTATTAGACTCATAAATCTAGTCTGAATCAATTTTCATCTGTGGCTCTAGATTTCATTAGACAATATCGATTATGTTCAAATTCAGATGTTCCAATACAGAATTATATTCAAGACGTCTTGCAGCTGTGTCGAGAATATACAGTACTGGCCAAAAAGATATGCAAAACTTGTTTTTCGAGTAAATTAACTCGAAACTGTCGAATTTCGACCCGAAACCTATTAGAGGTTATTTTTTACGCCAAATCTGATTATATGCATGAATTTCATAAATGAAAAAAATGTCTTGATCTTACTAGGTCGGATCATCAAATTTCGACTTTTTCAGAATTTTCAAGTTTTCACTATTCCTTGATTTCTTTTCAAAAATACAGAGTTTCCGACCGAGAATCAACTTGCAGAAATGACTAGACATCATTATCTTTCATTTCCGACCTTAACCTTCAATTTTCATGAATCCTAAGATCGACACTGATGTCTTCAGTGAGACCATCTAGAAAATTGGGTTTAGGTCATTTCCCCGATATTTCCTGAAATTTTATCATCAGATTTTCTTGAAAACATGTTTTTTGATCATTTCCAATGTGATACCACAAAATTCCAACCCTAACTTGAAGTTTTGACATAGTTTTGACATTGCTGGATTCCTGATGTTCATCTAGAACTTCAGATCTAGACCATCAGGAACTTCAGAATCGTATTTTTATTGGTGGAATCCGTTCCTAGAATGGGTGAAATAGTTATTTATGATCGATCAAGGCCAGAAAGCTCTTTTGAATTCAGTTATACCACATTATGTTCCAAAATACAAGAATTTGCATATTTCACAGAGGAAAACAGTGTAAAAGTACAACATTTTTGTGTTAACCCGATTCAACTTCCGATTTGAGTTTGGAACCTTCCATAAACTATCAATTATGCTTTGCTACACCATATTGACCATCCCAGGAACGGATTTCATCAATAAAAATGCGATTCTGAAGTTCCTGATGGTCTAGATCTGAAGTTCTAGATGAACATCAGGAATCCAGCAATGTCAAAACTATGTCAAAACTTCAAGTTAGGGTTGGAATTTTGTGGTATCACATTGGAAATGATCAAAAAACATGTTTTCAAGAAAATCTGATGATAAAATTTCAGGAAATATCGGGGAAATGACCTAAACCCAATTTTCTAGATGGTCTCACTGAAGACATCAGTGTCGATCTTAGGATTCATGAAAATTGAAGGTTAAGGTCGGAAATGAAAGATAATGATGTCTAGTCATTTCTGCAAGTTGATTCTCGGTCGGAAACTCTGTATTTTTGAAAAGAAATCAAGGAATAGTGAAAACTTGAAAATTCTGAAAAAGTCGAAATTTGATGATCCGACCTAGTAAGATCAAGACATTTTTTTCATTTATGAAAATCATGCATATAATCAGATTTGGCGTAAAAAATAACCTCTAAAAAGTTTTCGGGTCGAAATTCGACAGTTTCGAGTTAATTTACTCGAAAAACAAGTTTTGCATATCTTTTTGGCCAGTACTGTATATGTACTTTATCATAAAACCGCGAGTGAAATATTAGACATCTGGTGGACAATTTTTTGTGTAATGGGAAATTGGATATTTTCTAATTAGCACCGTAAAATGAAGAACTTTAGCAATGAACTTTTAGTAAGAATGTATATATGACAGATTGTATAAACACTTCGAAATTTAAATAAATCCGAGGAAACATGTATGACAAGATGTAAAAAAAATCAAATCAAAATATAAATGATAAAATCTGAAACTTGACTACAAAAGGAACACTGTTTTTCTTTTTTTTTTAGGTTTTTTGTTAACTTTCTAGATTTCCGCTTCTAATACCCAAAAATTTTCAAATTCACTCACAGTCACTCTATTAATCGGAGCCTTCGGTGGATATGCTGGACAAGTTGGAACCCCCGTTGGTAATGGATATGAAGATGGTGTTTCCATATCATCAAATTCTTCATCTGCAAATAGAATTCAAATGAAATCACGCTAAAACAAACAAAAAAACAAACCTGAAAAATCATCATAAAAACTTTCTCTATATGATCCAAACATTTTTGTCGTTTCATTCAATCCACCATTGTTGACCACTTGAATTGTCGTTTTTGGTCTAAAAATAAATGTTTTAAAATTTTTTTCACGGAAGAAACTGAAAAACTAGAAAACTAGAAAACACATACGGTGGTGGAGGTGGCGGCATTTTTGGTCGCTGAATAGTAGCAAATCGTGAATCGGTACTCACTAAAATAGAGCTACTACCAGTTCCGGAAGAATGTGACATTTTGCGGCTTTGATATGGGCTCGCTGCCAATATTTGAATTTGTCCGTTGTGATATGGACTCGAATTTTTGTCGTGTTTTGTTTTGATTTTTTTGAAACAATTGAGCATTTTCGAAGTATATCGACCGACAATCCAAAATGTGACACCAATTAAAAATAGGATTACCGAAACGATAGCGAATATCTGGAAAATATCAACATTTTAAAAAGAGAAAATAGGTAGATCAAAAATAAAATAAAAAATTCTATGTGCAAGAAAATTTCTGGATTGATTGATGGTCTGAAAAATCAGAAAGACATTACAATCGAGCAAAAAAACCAAGATATATCTCTACCAGTTTTCAAAAACTGCAAAGTAATCAAAAACGTTCTTGTGGTGTAAAATGACAAACAGCTGTTTCTCTCAATAATTTTGGCGCATCACAACCCAACCGAACAAATTTTTTTTTGCATCCTTCATTTTTTCTCTCATCACGGACTAAACCCCAAGTATTTGTTGTATTTGAAAACAACATTGACCGATTGTGAGAAAAAACAGCAAAAACTATGAAGGAAGAAAGACAAAAAAAATAGAAGAAATATGAGACTCGATGAGATGTGATGAATTTTTTCGAGACAAAAGGTGAAAGGTGAAACGTAAAGAGAATGAGTGAAATGTGAAAAAAATATATATAAAGAGGAAAAAAGATATTGAGGACATCTAAAGTTTGTTGTGTACCACCTGGGGAGCTTAATTACTATTATTTATGAGAATTGTTAAAGAGAAAAACCTAATAAAATGTTGCATCTTGAATCTTGGCTTTTAATGACCCAGTAACAAACAAATTTAGTGAAAAACGAGGAAAATCGATGGAAAAAATGAGGACATGGAAATAATACGGACAATAAAAAGATAATCATCACCGGAATACCTTATTATTAATAATAGAATTGAGAAAACATAAAATACGAAGGAAAGGAAATGGGTAAAAAGAAAACAGGAAAACGAGTGGGATAAAGATTAATTACTAGTATATACGGATACCAAATAACCTTGGTTTGGCTATTGTTTTGAGAAGAAGAAGACAACGATTTTTTTAGTAAGATAAATTTGACTTTATATGGGATGGGCATGTATATTGTCAATAAGAGAAAAATGGACTTGTGGGAAAAAAAACAAAGAAGAGTGCATTATTCTAGCGGAATAATTTCCCTCATTTTTTTTGAGTAACCGAAATATTTAGGCATTTGTGATCTACCAGAAAAATCAATTGAAAAGTTTGAGGTTTTGTGATTTTGAGTAGTAATTACATACTGCAAAACAAGCAAAAACGTTTACACTCGAGGTCTGGTTATCACAAAATTCAGTTATTATTTGGTGAAGTATATAACCCACTGTGCTTCTATTTTATTACTGACAAATACATTTTTTTCTCAAGAGTAAAATTCTTATTTACGTTCCCATAATGAACCTTTGATAAGGTTATTTATTTACATAAATTTTACGATGAGAAAAAAGAAACCTAAAAATGCATAAAAATAACTGACCAAAAAGAATGGATGCACTTGATATTGGCAAGTATGTGGTCGACAATTCAAATCAGAACATCGAGTCGCTAAACCACAATCACAATCTTCACCCTCTTCAATAACTCCGTTCCCACAAACCGGCTCACTTCTAAAATCAAAGCAATATATTAATCGCTATTATTTACCAAAAATGTGTATGTGCCATTATTGACACATATAATACGCCCTCAATCTTTCAACTTTTCTTATTTCTGTGTGAGGCATGTTTGATTTTAGGCTAGTCCAGGTTGTTAGACACAACATTTTCTTGAAGAAAAATAAATTAAACTTACGAATCGAAGATTGGCTCCTTTTGTGGTAAGCATTTATTTTTGTATACAACATTGACAAATTGTTGAACTGTACAATCATGATCAAAACCAGGAATTCGAAGACAACCTTCTTCGCCTTTTGCATCTTTTGGAGTACATGCACAATTTGGAACATAAATTGATTCATTGATAGCTCGATGAGGTACACCAACAAGATGCGCGATTTCGTGAAAGAAAATTGATCCCATTGCTCGTGGCTCATTTGGATAAAACTGAAAAATGTTTTTTTTTATTTTCTGAATCATCAGTACATGACTTTTTCTATGAATAATCCATCGTAAATATTTGATAATCATTATGCATGGTAACCTATGAGTTGAATTGATGAGTCATAAATTTTTCAACATTCATTTTTTTCCGAAATAACAAAATTGTTAAACAAATTAATCCACCATTTGATTATGAAAAAAAAACGGTAGACCTCTCTTTTCAAATTTCATGATGATAAGACACTCAAGTTTTTTTTCTATGCTTCTCCGGAGCATTATGTGAAGAGAAATAGTTTCTACTGAAACAATTTCTCGAGTTAACTGCTACGTCATTTTGTTCAACGCTTTCAGATAAATTCAGCCCTTCTCGGTGAGCCGACGTCGCCCAAAACGGTGCCACAACCGTACACCAGTAAGAACGAAATATTATTCTGTGTTGAAGTTTAAAAGTAAAAGGAAAAAATTTCAGACATTTTTTTAAAGAGTGTCAATCACTCAGACTATACATAGAAGCTTTATTGTTATTATTTGGCTAGTTTTTCAGTTCAATAATTTATTTGATCGAAAAGTTCAATATTGATAATGATAAAATGTTTTGAAAACTATACAATTGTGAAATCCAACATATCTCACAATATTTCAAAATTCCATTTCATTTCATTCAAATTTCATTACTGCTGAACTTCTTTCAAATTTTAGTTTTCTCAAATTACGTAACATTTCACTCCATCTTCCACTTTTCCATTCCCCCCTCATCGTTTATTAGCCCGAATCTTTTTCCATTGCGTCTTTTTCAAAACGACGATTATCCATCGAGGGAATAGCTAATTTGTGGTTGGAGGACGTAGGAAAAAGATGGAGAAGCTTCCCAAAATTACGCACACATTCATCAACATGTGCCAATTTTATTGGGCGACATAAGTGCTCGTATAATAATTGTAATTATTAATAATAGTAGTACTATTTCAAGTGTTGTTTTGATTTCTCGGAGCAGAAAACTCATATTTGGAAAGATTTTAAAAAAACTAACCCCAGAAAGTGAGACCGAATGACTCGAACACATTCCATTAACATATGCAAGACCACCTGCATATTTATAAGAAATCAGTGTTGCGAATTCATGCTCCGGCAGTTTGTTGAGTCTGGAAAAATTTGCACTTTCTGAAAGGAAAAGTTCAAAAGGATCAGGAGTGAGAAAATACGAGACAGGGAAGCCTGAAGTCGTTGCAAAAAATGTATTGAAGGAGTTATAATTCAGTAATTTTCATGTGGAGGTGTTGCTCATATTATCATATTAAGCTCAATTATTCAAGCCCACTTCAAAATTGTCCTTAAAACAAAACCAAAATGTATTTCTTACCTCGCATTTCGATACTCTTGAAAAGACTGCAAACTCAAATCGCCTCGGTTTGTTTGATAAATTGCCGTGATAATAATACCTACACTTAATTGATTCAAATATTTATTCGCCTCATCAACCATTTTCATAATATTCAGTTTAACCCGTGTCATATCATATTCATAAAATGATGTCTGAAAAAACAATTTTTTGTTTAAAAAAAAGAGTTTTCAAAAAAAAAATACCGTTTTGTTATCCACAAAAATAACACCTCTCATAAAAATGGTGGTCCCATCGTTTGCCGAAGCCAAACCATAATCGGGCGCTTTCGCACCCCAAACAGCTGCACCATAATCGATATATACTATCTGAAAATAAGCAATTTAACGTAACTTAATTTTTTTTTTGAGAGTCAAGTTGACTCAGTCAACTCACTTCAGATCCTTTAATAAAGGATGCAAAAAATGTGAAAATAAAAAATAATAGTTGCATATCCAATTCCATTCGTAAAATTATTGTTTCCTAATATAACATCTACAAAAAAATTAAATTTGATGTCTCCGCAAGGCAGTCAGCCACAAAAAAATCAAGTAAAACATACAAATCAAGATAACAAAATAAAGCAAATATTGTGCCTTATTAATATATTTTATTGTTCATAAGTGTTTGTGGAAAGAATATTGTAAATGAGGTGGAAATTATTGTAAAATAAAATGAGAGGAGTTGAGTTGATTCTTGAAAATATGTAGATGGTTGGTGAACAACAAAGAGCAGAAGGTGCAAAGTAAGGACACACAAGAGGAGATGAAAAGACTAACTAAATTATTCACATACTTATTTCTGACTCACTCATATCAGTGTTCTTCCTGCTATAAACTTGAGAAAATGAAGAAGCAACGCAGTTAAAAATCACATCTCATAAAAGTTCGAATGTCAAGGTGAAATTTCGATTTTCCCTGCTTTTTGATTTTTTTTTTCTGATACAAGGAACTTGGGATTGATATTTTCGGGAGTATAAAAATAATGTGGTGGTTAATTTATAGGTGAGAACAAGAACAAGAAAAAACCTGTACCTTTTTTGGATCAATGAGAGAAAAACACCTGGCTTTTTATGGGAGAAGAATAGGGTTTTCAATGAAAATATGTATGTGCCTAGAAACCAAGTTTTTTTTATAAAGAGACACTTCATTTTCAGAAAGAGAGAGAGAAATGGTTATTCAATTTTCGCTCAAAAAGTTTAATTTCAGAGCGAAAACATTGGAAGAGGGATTTTCAATCGAAATTTCTTCCAGGGTGCTCTTCGGCGGCAAAACTTCTGTTTCAGAAAAAGCTTCTTCCGAAGTTTATAAATCACCGAAGTCACCTCAAAATTCCCCAGATTTTCTCACCATTAAAAAAAACTCATTGAAAAAACAAACATCGGAAAAGAATCGTTATGGGGTGAAACAAAAAAGAATTCACTAACCGGAGGGTGTTTGACCATGAAAATACGAGCCATAATGACCCCTATCCGCAGGCCGACACATAAGCTATTTAGAATTAGAAATGAGTGGTGTGGTGCAAGCAAAAAAATCAACAGGCTGGGCGAACAGCAAAAAAAAAGTATGGGTGGTCATTTAAAAAAAGGAGGAGGCAGAAATATATATACACACAAACAGATATATAAATAAGTAGTAGAGTAGGCTGGCGCAAAATGATGGTGGATGAATGGGTGGTCTGGCGAGAATGACCCTTTGAGGATGAGAAAGAATAAAATGGATATATTGGAAACATTTATGTGGTGAGAATGAGAGGGAGGAGAAAACACCTTTTATATGAGGCGCTAGCGGGCGACTTGAAAGTGCAACATCAGCTGATTGATGAATTGGAATGTAAGGGCATAGTATTATGAATTCATGAGATCGTAAAAACAAAGTTCAAACCGTTTGGTTTTTTCTTTGGTTTCTGTGTTTTGCAACAAAAAAATGCGAGGTCCAAAAATTTACATTTATTTCACTTAACATCCACCGGAAAGGGAAACAATTGCCGAAAAATGCGCGAATTTCCCTGGAGGTTTTTTCTCGTGCGCGCGAGAAAAAAATGCGTTTTGATCTGCTTGAGCCAATAAATGATTTTGACCTTTTCTTATGACCAAAATTGTTTTGTGCCAAAAACAAATTATTTTCATGAAAATGGTGAATCCGCTAGATTCACTTTAAGAAAATTGGTTTCTGCAAAGGAAATGATTTTTATCAACAAATGTTAGACTTTTATATCACACCTCATTTAACCATGATACTGTAGGCTTCTCAAAACAAGCTGTGTAATCTTCAATTTTCATTTTTATTTTATTTTTAGAATTTCTTGTGAGCTTTTTTGCAGACACAGTGTAATTGAACAAAAATTTGGGGTTTCCGAAAAAATAAAGCTGTCGTTTATTTTTTGAGATAATTATTTATTTATTTATTTATTCATATTCACATACAGCTGGTCGCTAAAGTAATCCAACTATGGATTTGAGCAACAACTGGACAAAACAGATTAGAGCAAGAAAAAAACATGAGAAGTGGACAAAAAAGCAAAACATATGTATGTTTGAAATGAGAATGAGTGAATAGAAGAAGAAGAAGACATTTACCGGACTGCGTTGCAAATAAAACATATGTAAAATGAAATAAAATGAAAACGAACGGCTGTGTGTTTAAATGGGTTTGAAGCATGCAAAAAACGAATCAGTTTTTCGTTAAATATGTACAGGTTTGGAGAGTGAATGGGTTATAAAATGAACAGCAGATTGATGAGTTTGTTTTGCACTTCGTTTCAGTCCTGTGTTGGGACGAACAAATAGAGAAAACGCGACGCAGACACAAAAAACCCCGAAAAATTTTTGAAAATGAGAATTCATGGACCATCGCTTCGGGACCCAACAGTTGGCTGGGTGCCAGCCTTATTAAATTTCGCGGTATTTTCAGTTTCGCGGTTTTTTCTTTCGCACTCTACACACTCTCTCTGTCTCTATTTGTTCGCCCTGAAACGAAGTGTTTGGGAAGAAATGGGAAAAATCATGAGAAAATTTTTGAATGGAAGAAAATGGTAGAAGAAAGCTTGTACATATTTGCCGATAGTGAAACTTATCAGAACATTGGTCAAGTGAGAAAAATTCATGGACGTTTTTTGGAAAAGGAAGAGTGACAATTCGGAGGGAAACTGAAGCCCAGATATAAAAAATATAAAAAAAATATAAATATAAAATTATTGATTACATATTTTCAGTTTCGGGATAGATAACTGCCAATATTATGACCATTCTTTTTGAGACTAAACAGAAAAATATTATAAAAATCCTTTGGTAAAAAATTCGAAAAACAACCTAAATTTATTTCACAACACCAAAAATCTAGCACAACAATTTCAAATGAAAATGAATTTCCTTCAGCACAAGATTTCGAAATATCCTCAAAAAAAACAGAACGTCTCCAAAAAAACAAAAAATTGGCGATTTAGACGTATTAAACAAACAAATAATTGATATGATTCACCAGTTGGGTCAACGCGACAATTTTTGTCTGTTGCTCGTCCATGTGTTTTTCGCGCCTTTTTTTTGCATTTTTTGCCTTTTCAACTACTAACATAAAAAGGTCAATTAGAAATGAGAATTGAAAAGAGGAACACATTGAATTAATTACGGGATTTTAGAATTGACCTTGAGTAGTGAGGGAACTATATAAAATATGTATATATTTATATGTATTTAACTTTTTTGTTCAAGTTTACAAATGTGTGAAAACAAATAGATTTGAAAATAATGAGATTAAACAGATTGAAACTAAAAAACAGTCTGCTTCAAAACTGGATTTTTTCAATTTGTAAAAAAAGTTAGAAAAAACATATGGGTTTTATTAGAAATGATACGATGTGAACGAGCATAATATTCTAAAAAATATGTATATGTCTATATAATAATAATAACAAAAATAAAAAAGCACTACAAATACGGACATTTGCATTTTTCACATCGAACTGACTCATCCTTGGTGCAAAATGAAAAAAAAAGGAAGAAAGAAGAAGCAAGCAGGCACAATAAATTTGGAAGTCCGAAATTAATAGTAAAAGGGTATGAATGATTCAATTAGTTTGTTCGCCAAAATTTTGGCAGGAAATTGCATTTTTACATAAAACAATTCAATTGTTCTTCCTGTTGTGAATAATACTTGTTCAATTAATATAAGAAAAAAAGATGAGATTTTAGAGAGGCAATGATGAGAAAAATGAAACAAAAACATCTCATTTCTCGAGAGTCATATTATGAATACAGATAAGTAGTTTGGTAAATTTTTTGCGAGTTACTGGTTCAGAGATTTTTTTTAGAAAATTCTAACAAAAAAGCATGAAATCACATTTGAAGTTTCGATAATGAGTAAAATCACAATTTTGCGAACAATTAGTCAGTAAAAAATCGTAAAATCTCGACAATTTCTAGGTATCCAAATCTGGAAATCAGAAAACTATTTTAAACTTATAGGTCAAAAATATTCTCTACTTACAGACCAAATCAAGACTCACCGGATTAATTCAGATCAGCAGTCAAAACAATATTGTAATCCTCGTGAACTTTGTATTACGTTTCAAAAAAAGTTGAAACACGAATGTAATACATTTATCACTCTAGCCAGAAAAAAAACCATTGTGCAAAAAAATTGGAAGAAAAAAAAAAGACTGGCTATTTTGAACAGCTGTGTTGATTGTTTTATTAATTCCATAGACTTTATTATCCATTGTTGAAGTCCGGAAAAATTGGAAACAAAAAAGAAGCAAGAAAAATAAATATAAAAATATAGCAAAATATTACATAATTTACATATTCTATCATTTTGGACAAGTAGTGTAATCGACACTTTTTCCTACTTTGCCGCAAATTGTTCATTAATCTTATACATATGACTAATATGAAAAAAGCAACTTTGGGTGTCAAATTATCTGATATTTTTTAACATAAATGCTGAAGTTTGAAAGTATATAAATAACAAAGCCCATATTTACCGAACAACGGAATCGTTAATAATTACTGATGTGCAATTTTTGGGTTTCTGATTTCCCAAAGTTTTTTTGTCTTGAGTTCCCCTCCAGCAACAGAAATATATATTTTTTTATGATATCTGTTTTTTCTCATAATTTTGCATTCCATTGTGGGAAATTTCTAAACGGAATTTCTAAACAAAAAAAAAATCAAATTAACAAAATATGTTTGAAGTAAAATTTAAGAATTTAGCGCTGAACACCTTGAATAAGTATCTAGACTCGGGCCATTTTCAATGGAGTTTTTCAAGAGCGCGCGTACAATTTTATAGTTTTTGAAAATTTAGCGCTTCTTACATTAAAATATTGAGAAAACAGGTAAAACTCGCTCCTATTTTTTCCAAAAATAAGGTATTGGAGAGATTTTTTGAGAATCAATTATTTTGCAAATCTGATAATACATCTCAATTTACCCCAAACTAATTTTAAGTGGAAACTTGAAAATTTTCATTCACAAAAAAAGTTGACCATTTACTTTAATCTTAATCCAAGTGATCGCTTTCAGGAAAAACGACAAAATGTTTGGCAATTCTTTTTTTTTAAACGGAATTTTTAAATTCCCCCAGAAAACAGTGAATATTCACAGTTCAGCAACCTTATGATGTTTCAGTTCAAAAAAAACTGTTTTCATTTCAAATTTTCCGACCTCGTTTACTTTTTATCATTCACAAAACATTTAAATAAAAATTCAAAAAATTTGAATTAGCTACTTGTTTTTTTAATGTGTAAATATGTACATTTTATTGCTTCATACTCGATATTTACTTTCTGATTCAACTCCTACCTCTCTTATCGATTGCAAAAAAAAGAATCTGGAAAAAAATTTATGTGACACAAGTGAAGAAAAATCTACAATCGACGCTCTACATAGTAGTGATCAGATGAAAAAAATGCAAATTTAAAATCTAGTAAAACAAAATAAAATATATGTATAGCTTCATATGTATGTTCATATTATGATTCTTCTAGATTGACATTCAACTACAAGGAAAGAAAGGGGAAAATTAAAACCATAAAAATGAGAAAAGGAGAGAAAATGAAAAAATAAAGCTTGATCCGAAAGAAATACACCCAGAAATATATGTATAAAATTATGAATATATGTTTTCAAAAAAGGAAAAAAACTATATTCTTTAACTGCTTTCAGGGCTGTCCAATCTTGGTGAGATCTGAGGTGAGGATAGAGGTGTAAGGCTGAGACTTCCATCTGATTTCATATCAAGGCGAGGTGATGTGTTCTGAAAATCAAAAAATTTATTTGAATGAAGTTTGAATTTATAGAGAAGTGTTATGAAACTTACCAAATGTGGAATTCGATTATTTTCATGAGTTGCTCTGTGAACAAGCAAAGTTCTTGATTGACAAAATCCTTTTCCACAAAGTTCGCATTTGAAGGGTTTGTCTTTTTGATGAATAAATTTGTGATCTCTCAAATGATCTTGACGTCTGAATGCTTTTTGACAAACATCGCATGAATATGGTCGCTCATCAGTGTGAGTTCTGAAAAAAACATTTAATTCTGCAAATTCTGTAAGATTAAAATCCAAAAAGAAAATTCTTCCTTGAAAAAACTGACCTTTCATGAATAAGCAAATTATAACTCTTTGTAAAATGTCTATCACAATATTTACAAATGAATTCCTTCTTTGGTCTAGTTGCACGTCCAGAAGTTCTACCTCTTCCAGGAATCAAAAACCATGGTTGTTCATACGGCATCAATGTTCGCGGCGGCGATGAAGTTGAAGTCTTCTCCGATGCCTTGATTTTTTGTTCTGATTCAATAGAATCCGCCAAATGTGTAAAATCAAATTTCTCTGTTTTCTTCACCTCGGTCTTTGGTGGTGTCACCAATGTTTGTAAAAGTGAAGGTGGCGAAGCAGCAAGTTCAGCCATCTTCTTCTGATGCATCAAATTTTGAAATGTGAATTGTTGGTAGGCCAAAAACATTCGAATAAACTGCTCATTTGGTTGTTGTTGTGGAAAAATTGAGGATCTTTGTGGAGTTGTTGGTGGAACTGTCAGAGGAAGTGGAAACATTTTCACAAACCTGGAAAAATAAAAATTTTTAAATGTAAAGATTTGAAAAATATTTGAAAAGGAGGAAAAAATGAAGAGGAAATAAAAAAAGTGTGAGAAAAATGGAAGTTGTCAGATTTTTAGTTATCGTCTTATGCAGTTCATAATCCTCGACAAACAATCATAACTATGACCCCGCCTTATCTTCATCATCACCCAAAGGTGTCAACAAATAGAAAAAAAGAAGGAAGGATCCAAGAAAAAAGACCACCCACAATGGTGTCAAGTATACTAAAAATGCTCATCTGAGAATGTTGATGAGAAAAACATTTGTCATAAAGTAAAAACCAGCACAGCAGGGTTGCCTTTGATATACGCGAACTTTTTATGATCCTCATGTCAAAAATGATATACAGATATTTAATGATATATTTTTGGTTTGAAATCTGACACTGCATTATTTCAATGTTGTTTATTCACTCCTTCAACCGACCAGTCAGAAAACGCGTTTTTACTGATAAAATAACAATAAAATCTAGAGCTTCTGTAATAGATCAAAACGTTGTGCCGACATTTGAAGGTGTGATATTTTGCCGTTTGATTAAAATAATAATTTCATTTTTATCAGTGCGAGAAATAAGAATCTTTTTGTGAAAAGAATTGAAAAAAAAGTAGAAAAAGACGCTATTCCAATATTTCCAAAATGTGTGAAAAAATGTAATTTCTCGATTCAATGAATGCCAAAAAAAAGCGATGATAGGCAAACATGGCCAAAGGCGATGAAATATGTTTACAAATGATAGTTTGAAATAAATATTATGTAGCTACTTTTAGAAGAAAAAAAACCAACGGTTATGAAATTCGATTGTTCTTATCACAAGCTACCGTACCTGGAGAAAAATACTCTTTTTTGTTGGAAAAAGGTAGTCAGTTTATCTTTCCGATTATTTGCATTTTCCGTGTTTGAGAGTGTAGACTTTTTGGCTGGAGGGGTAAACGAAAAATGTCTAACCTAGACTAGATGGAGCTATTTGAAAAAACGCATATTATGGCAGAAAAGTAGATAAATTTTGAAATTGTGCCTAATTTGAGTTATTTTCAGAGAATCAGAACCATAATGTTATCTCAGAAGATGAATCGGGACGATATATGTCCAGGAGAATACAGCTATTGATTAGTTCCGAAAAAAATAATACAATCATGAAGCCCCTGGAACCCCAAGTAAAAAAAAAAGAAAGGAAATTAATCAAAACCTGGACCAAACTCGGAGCTCACACCAAAAACCGTCAGCATAGAAGGTGCGAAAAATGTGCCACTAACCCAGAAGCATACAATACACACCGCCTCCTTTAGCTGTCGGCTGACAGCCCCTTTTTCCTTTCTTTATTTAGTCAAGCTCCGCCTCTTTGCCTCTCTGCTTGGTTGAAAAGAATACGGTAGATTGTGTGTATAATGCCTTGATGTCTGTTGTTTATGGAAATAAATAAATGTGAAAGAAAAACTGGAAAATGATGATTTACACACACAGTGATATGATTGAATGTTAATAGAGTGCAAAAAATGTTTGTACAATTTTTTTCTCGTTTTTTTTTGTTGAAGTGAAGAAAAAACTAAAGACATCCGCATCTGCGATTTTAATGGGAAGACTCGATGAACATTTTTTTCTTTCTATAACAGTACTTTTTGTATAAAACACAGCTGGCACAGGTGCCACAAAAAAAACGCGAGATTGGCCAATATGATGCAATTCAGAAAATCATATTTGTATAGTGAACATCTTGAACTTCTAAGAATTATAGATTTTTAGAGGCGATTATGACTAACTCGTGACATTTCAAAATGATAAGGTTGTTTTCCAACACCTGGAACAGCTTTAACTTGATCGACATGTGGAAACCTTGAGGACAAAGTCTACAGAATTTTCAAATCAAAACACTCAACCCAAATCAAATCAACACCAACTCCCACCATATCATTTACAAACACTCTTATCACCATCAATTTCTTGTTCTACACCCAAAACACCCAACACCTAACTGCCTTTATTTGGTAATTTTATGTTCTTGTTACACCATCATAATGAGAGCCGACAAATTTGTTGTAATTTAACGACATTTTCGATGCCTTTAACTTGGCCGCTATAATTATTATCATCACCTTAACATTGAATTGAATGGTATGGTGTCTGTGAAAAGGGTGAAATGATGGGGAACGATGTTTTGATTGAAATAAAAATGACATGGGAAGAAAGATTGGATGCAAAAAGGAAAAGCGGAAGTGAAGGAAATTTATGTTTGGGCATGTTGTGGGAATGGGGAGTAAGCTATTTTTGAGGAGAAATTGAGGTTATGAAGTTATTGAAAACATCTGATAATGTTTATATCTTTTGAAAAATAATTCAAAAAATGTTCAGTAGAGAATTCAGATCCACGTGTTAACTTTCAAGCAAATAGGAAAAATGAGATAAATAAAAATGACGGTTAATGAAGTGTTTCTAATCAGTTCAAATTTAGAATAATAAGAATTCATGTTAATCTAGAAAAAAAACATTTATTTGGAGAAAAAAATCACTTCATTTGGAAAAAGAGAATTTTTTTTGGAAATTTCCAATGTCTGGGCTCTGTATTGAAATCTCTAAAAAGCATGAAAAGTTTTGAAAGTCAATTTACCGTTTTGGATATTTGGTCGATGAATAATGTTACACTTAACCTTATACCTAGAAATGTTTTTCTTCCAAATTCCTCAAACCTCAATTCTTAAAAAATCTCACAATTTCAACTTTTTAAACTAGTAATTATTAAGAAGCGAAAAAATGTCAGAATAACAATCGTTGATGATAGGTGATAACAATATGTGTGCTTCTATTTAGTAGGCAACTCTAATCCTCTTACCAGAGTTTTTGGGAGGAGCACTATATCATGTTATCATCTATGACATGACAAATACACTTTTTCACCCTCCTTGTCAACATCTCACACAAATATTTCGAGGGAGGTATTACTGTAAGAATACAGTGATGATGATGATGATGAATCACTCGTTTTCCGATATATTTATTGTATTATTAATCCGTTTTATGACCCATTTTGTGCTCGTTTTGATGCACAATACCGAAAATCCGCCAAATTTGGCTACATGCCGGGATTTTATTGGTGTTGTGCAAATAAATTTATTAATTTTGTAAGGTATTGCCGACCAACCGGCCGGACATTTTTTCTCTTTTTTTTTTTGAAAAAAACACAACAAAAAAGGGTTTGAAAACAAAAAAAGAGGAAAATTCATTAGTAGCCTCTTTTGTTTGGATTACTGTAGGTTTGCCTCAATACCGCAATATACAGTTGAGTCAGGAGATGATTTTATTTTCTGTTTTTGTGGTTTTTAAAAATATAATAAAGAAAACTAGCCGATGGCAATTTTAGTTTGCCTGAAAGAAACAGTGATTTTTGGGAAATTAAAGAAAATAGAAAAAAAAGGGAATGACAGGTGTTACCTAATTCATTCATTCATCCAATACAATTCCCGTCGGTCCGCTGATATTATCAATGAATAGAAGAAGCGGTATCGAAACAATGGATAAAAAGCATGATATAATAAATAAATGAAAAAAAGGAAGAATGAATACCCAAATACAAACAGAACCCCTCTGTCGGCTTCTTCAATTAATTGTAGAAAAATAAAAATATTATTATTATTGCCAACCTATCAAAAAGGGTTGTGGTATGTGGGAGGTGGGTGATGATTCATTTTGAGTAAACGGGATGATGACGGAGAACACGTTTTCCGGAAACATCTGATTACGAAGATTATGCGAAATTTTGAAATTTCTTTTTATCAGTTCAGTTAGGCAACATAAACCGCTTTTGGCAATTATTCATCGTCTAAAATGTGGTTTGCTCTCAATCAGAAAATAGTGACAAGAAAAATTCATGGTCAGAAAGATGTTGATAATTTTGTGAATTTTTAGAATCCGAGCAATGATTAAAATTCCGAGCAGTTTTAGGAACTATTGAGGATAATGTTGTATTTGAGCTTGAGAATTATCACGCTAGAACTGTGTGCTTCACAGTTATGATTACTGATAATGGCTTGACATAGGTGACATAGAGCCAAGTTGATTAACAAGAAAATATATAAAATGTCAGAGTCGAATGATCAGAAATAGTCAATCTGTCAAAAGTTATTTGTAAATTCTTGTGTCTAACTCAAAATAGTTTTATAGATGAATAAAAATCGGTACACAAAATTAAGAGAATCGAGATAATTTTTATGAATTCTGAAAAATTAACGGTTGATTTTTCAGTTATTTTCTAACTGGTGCCTATAGTTCTGCTTAACACTTCAAACATAAACCACACAAAAATTGTTCTAGAACTTTGCCCCACACGCCTCCCATACAGTACTTTTAGATTAAAAATCACCTCTCAATCAAAACCTAAAAATTGATCTACTTTTACGTCTTTACCCATGCTCCTCTATTTTTTACCCAACAATGATAAAGTAATGCGTTTTTTCTCGCTTACTACGGTAGTGGCACAAAAACCGTTGTCAACGCTAGCTACCTTATCATCAACATTAAACACCTTAACAATTCAAAAATTGTTTGGAAGGGGGAGAGAAAATCGCTAAAACCTTGCTCAAATATAGTGAGGTGTAATGTACACACAATAAAAATATGTATATTCGTCTTCATTTTTCTTCACCTCGCTCACACACAAACTATTTATGTTTGACACGTGTGTGAGTTATGGATTAGCTAACTATCAAATCTTTATTTATTGGTTTGGTTTCGGTTCAACTTAACGAACCTTTGAAGTGTTATATATTTGATATCAAATTACAAATATAAATGTATGTATGTACATGCCAAAAAAGGTTAACAACAAAAAATGTGGAGAAATTAGGAAAAACGCCTATCTAGATGTTGATGAGAACATTTCCCTGGATAAATCTTCATTAGCTTTTCCTGCTCCCTTCAAATCAAACTAACAACAAAAAATGCGCCAAATATGGGAAGGTGCCCAGATGTCTAGCAAAGCTTCCCCTTTGTTTTCATTTTATTATAATATAGTTTGAGTAAAAAACTCATAAAATTATAAAAAATTACTTGTAAAAACCTCCTTCAGTGTGTAATTGGATGTCGTAAAATTGTGTATAATAAATGTTCACGTGTTTTGGTTTTGTTATGGTTATAAAATGAAATGAAATAAAATGGCGATAAATAACAGGTGCCAAATTGGGGGTCGAGAGAAGCGCGCGCGCGAGAAAAAATTGTGTTTACTTTTTAACAGAAAAGGGAATGTTATGAGTGCGGATTAAAAAAGTACTGTAAACTACTATAGTTGTGCTAACTTTGGTGACTCAAAAATTATTGATTTTGAATGAACACTTTTCTCTTCCAAAAATTCTTTTATTTTATTTCTCACTTCTCTGTGTAATACAAGTTCCGAAAAAGGGTGTCATAAACCTACCGTAGTGCAAAGAAATATATGGATGATGTAGACCAGTTGAAATGCACACACAACAAATAAATTGTTCTTGGTTTATTTTATTTTATTTTATTATTGTGTGGTGGTCTTCCGGAGGACTGAATATGCTTGCCGCACTCATTTTTTTAGTGTGTGAAATTTTGAGCGATGGATTACTGTAGTTATGAGGCTGCTGAACAGAATGCTTTATGGCTTTTGGTATATGTGAGAAATATTCGATGTTTTTATGGAGACTGTTTACAAGAATTGATTTTGAATGATTGTTTAGCAAAGGGATGATTCTAGTAAGGGGGAGTATCTGGAAAATGTTTCAAAATGATGGGAAACGCTGAGAGTGTTGAAATCGACCCGATGTATTAGAGACATTTTTGAGAATTAGCCAATAAAGATACCTTTTCAAGAAATGTTCTGAAAATTTTATTAATTGTTGTAAATTTTTAGGCCCAGTAGAAGTTAAACTTTTACGAAAAAAATTACCTTTAAAAACAGTTTTTCCAGTCGGAAACAATTAGCACTATATGACTCATTGTTATTTGATTAAACCGACAAATTCATCAAATAATCTAACCGAAAGTTATGTTTCCCAAACCTAAACTTTATCACGCACTTCTAATTTAACGACAATGCCGGTTAACTTCCAAAGACACTTTCATATTTTCCAAGATTTAACGACTCATTTACTTGAGCACAAAAATAAAAGAAAGAAGCATGTCGGCAAAACGTCTTTGATCACATTTCATTTTGGAATCGAAAAACTTATCAGAGACTGTACCAAAGAATTATTTGATATGTCTGTATTAACATATTATTCATTATGCTGGTTTCCCATACAGGAAAATATAGAAGAAAACAAGTATTTGTCATAAACGAGAACAAAAGAAAAGCTACAGAATTCCCATCAGTTAACGACTCAAAAAACATAATTTTTCTCATCTTGTATGCATACTCTCTGTATTCATGATAAATGAGAAGGAAAAAAAAACAATTATGAGGGAGCAATGTTTCTCAAGACTTGTGAATAGAGAAGCGGTCAAATCAAAGGGACAGTACTTCCGGAATCGTGGGAGTTTGGAGAAGTCTGAAAAAAAGTGAAGAGGCGTAAGGGTGATTTTGATGGAGGGAATTTTATTTGAAAAATTGCTATATTTTAGAATTAGAGAGCCAAAAGAACTTCATTTCGTTTTATCTTCTTGATTTTTTATTACAATACTCACAGCCGGACAATATTTTTATTTACTATTTTCATTGAATTTATCATAACACTCGAACTATGCTAATCAAGTACTGTAATCTGTAACAAAAACAAACAACACCAAAAAGCACATATCCAAAGAATACCGCCGTTTCCTTCTCTCGGTTCATTACAGTAATCAAAGTCAATATTATTGTTTTTGAGTAGAATAGTTTTTCGCGCGCGTGTCTCTTCTCATGCCTGACATGCTTGCCGACAAAGAAAAGATTATCCGATTATCAATATTTCCTCGTTTGTCTCAAATATTTATTGACTTTAGATGGATGCATGTGTGTGTGTGTGTGTGTGTGTTTGATACTTTTTAGCGGATTCACCTCACTCTTTCATCTTTTACCGCCCGGATGCACATTTTGACACGTTTGCTTGATTTTGTGTACATAAAAAAATAATGATATTAATAACAATAAAGTCATTGTTTTGATCAGATTGTTGGAGGGAAAAATATTGAAACGGAACCCCAATAATTGCAATGAAATGAAACCAATTTGTTTTCATTTCTCTCATGAAAATGATGAATTTAGCAAGGAAAAATTGAAAACAAAAACCAACGAAAATTCTTTGCTTTTTTTAGATTCTCGATGATTCAACATTTGTTTTGTTTTCTTCGCCGCTCATACACTCAAAACAGTTTTGACGTCGTTTTCGATTTCTTGGAATTGTTTTGTTATTTTGTGTTTGTGCCGAAATGCAATCTGATGAATTTTGTGTTGAGTGAGTTAAAAAAAAGTCATCAGGGCTGCTCAAATGAGGCTCGGTTCAACACAGGGTTTTGTGGGAAAAATTTTCCAATTAGTTTATAATAAATTACTATAGTTGAACCTCACTCTAGTTGAACCTCATTTCACACTCAAAAATATGTTTCAAGGTATCCCAATGGTGGTCGAATCAATAAGAGAAGGCAATCCACTGTAAGATCATTTTGTTTCTTCCAATACCACAAACTGAACACTTTTTAGAGTTGGGATAATGAGGTGAAAGCATTGGAATTATCAGTTCCCAAGACAGATCGAAGAAATTCTCATACATTAGCTCAACTTCTCGAATCCACTCGACAAGCATCTGTTGATTCCAAAGATGAACATGATATTGAGGTTTTTTGAACATTTTCAAAAAAAATCTGAACCGTAACATTTACAATATTTTCCTAGGATGCAATTCTGACTAGAAGAAAAAGTATGAATTCTCGAAGAAGTTCGATTGCTGAACTATCTGATAGTGGAATTACCACAACTAATTCGGATGATTGTGTTGTTTTGACACAAACTCTTGGGACTTCAACTACTTATTTTTTTCAAAAAGAACCAACGGCAATGAATATGAATTTGAGACCATCTGCAAAGGAGAGAGGTTTATATAATGTGAGTTATCAACATTTTATAGAAAAAACAAATTTCTGGATGTTTTGTGAAAATTATGAATCGACATTGAAGTTTTATGTATTCAAAAATATTAAAATTTTTGCAGTTCGATGACATGATTAAAGAAAAACCAACTCGTCCAACTGACACACCACGTCCATCTGTTGTCCATCTTCCTCCACCACCACCAATTCTATCAACAATTCCAAAATATTCTGGAGATTTACCAGTTACAACATGTGAATCTTCTAGACGTCCTTCTCAATTCGAAAGAGGACTTCCATGTGTAAGTTGTTTCTCACATTCACTAAATTATACTTTTTTCTTATTTTAGCTCAAATTTCAAACAACTGAACAACCAGTTATGTATCGAGGAAGGACACTTGAAAAGGTAATTGTTAATGTGAGAATTTTCTTTTTGTCTTTTTTACTTATGTTTTTTTGCAGCAAAGGCGAGGAGATCCCCGTTTCAACAATGAACTTGATGTTGGATTTTTTAAACTATTTTTTTTTGTTTTTTTTTAAGTTACATAGACGCGACTTTCAAATTTCAAATTTTCAGAGAATAATCGCAAATCGTCGTAAAATATTAGAGGAAGAAGAAGCTGTTCGAGAATCTTCAAATTTGATTAGGCCAAGATCGAGAGATCCAGTTCGGATTCAACAAAGACCACATCATTATAACGGACAGATTCCCAATTTGAATTCCCCGATTAGATTGATGGAGGTATTTTTTATTCTTTTTTTCTTGAACTATTGACTGGCTATCTCGAAAACTAGAACGAGGGGAGATTAGATTTTTATTTGTGGAATTGATGTTATGAATTTACAAGGTTTTTTCGGGATATCCTTTTTTCCTGTCCGCTAACAAAATGCTTTTGAGATCAGGATCACATGTTCAATGAAACACCATTCAAACAAATATCTTTTTAAAACGGATTTTGATAACACATTTTTGAAGAATGATCAATTTTGTAGTTTGTAACGCCTTCCTGTTTAAATTAAATCAAATTAAAAAGCAACATATGTTCAGGAACTTCGTACGCAAATTGATGGAACAGGAGAAGTTGATCGAATTGTCAAAGAAAAGAAAACGACAACGGTGACCGAAACTAGAGAAATTATTTATTTCACGCATCGCTTACCTTCTTCTATCGCTATATCGACTAATGTTCGGCTTTTTTCTTTATCTTTTATCTCTTTTGGAATTTTTCTTTGAAAATTGAATGAAACAACTTTTTACAGCTTTCATCGACCGGTGTTCCTGTCAATCAAAATCGTAGATCGATCACTAGTTTAGATAATTCATGGTAAGAAAAAAATCGTTTCTTTCTGCCAGTCGAGAAAGTAGGTGAAGAAATATTTTGAAACCTGATGTAAAATATAAAAATATGTAAAAGAGTTATGGCTTACATTAGAAACCTACTTTATTGGTCTGATGTTTTAAATTTCAAAACCGCAAAGAACATCAATTCTTTGGCTCCGCTACCTTCTTCCCGTCTTTACATTTTTTCTACAAAATTAACATTTTTAGTCCTCCAATACTTGATCGTCCATATGTAAGAGCATCTGATTTGAAGCCACCAATATCTTCACCACATAAACAAGTCACTATTCGAGTTCCAGAGCATCAGGTAAATAAAACAAAAATGATATACTTCAACACAGAAATACAAACAAAATTTTAAAAAATATATAGGAACATGTTCATCATACCTTGAGGAGATCAGCTACACCTTCACCACATAACGTTAGGTTTTGTAAAATTTAATGTTGTTGTTTAGTATTTACTCCCAGCATGTTTTAAGCATCAACTAAATTCACTAAAAATAATAAAAATATATTTTATTTCAGACTTCTGACATCTGCAGAGAAGGAAACTCTTCGTCGTGAAGCTTCAAAATATGATAATAACCCATCACCATCTTCACACCCTTTAGATACCGCAGCTGATAATTGTCGCCAAAGCTAATTTCTCTTCATTTATACTTTTCTAAAATTATTGTTTTGTTTTTTCAAAATCATAAAGATTTTTAGATGGGCAAACAGAACTTTTCATTCTCTGACTGCAGTGAAAATGATATTTTGGAGTAAATGAGATTGATGTCAAACTTGTTTTTCTCGAAGCAAAGCTAATACATATCGATAACTTCTCAAAGTTTGAGAAAGCTAGTAAATTTGTTATCTTGACATATCAGTTACTAACAAAAATATAAACAACAATTTATATTTCGATTTCTTCTATATCATTCACTTTCTATGTATGATCATAAAATTATGAATAACAAGTTGAACAGATTTCTTTTCGCGTTCTTTTGATTGTGTTCTGGTTCATAATCTTTGCAGTAATTTTTTCCTTCTTAAATTACATTTTTCAGAAAAAATCAAAGTTGTTGCAAATGCGAAATATAAGTTTATGCATATTTCAAATTTCACAATGGAACAATAATTTCCTATTTATTTTATTCATATACACAGTTCCGTTCACTCATTCCTGCTTACCTACTCAAAGTACAGAAGGTTGGTTTAAATATAAATCATGATTTATGTGCATTTTTTGTTTTCAAATCAACCTTCTATTGTTTGGTTCATAATAACGATATTAATCTAGTCCTTTGAAAAGTTTTCTCCTAATTTCAAGATAGTGAAACAGGTGATTTATTAGTTCAATTCCGCGCATCAAAGATGATAAGAAATAAAAGTCACTAATAAGTACCAATTGACTCGAATGAACCAAAACAACATTCTTGAAGAGAATTTCAAAGAAATTATCAAATTTTGAGCAATAAAATAGATTGAATTGCGGATGAGTTTTCTCAGATTTTTTAAATTTAGATGACACGACACCGACTTTTACAGAAGTTTCAAGTACTACTACTACTACGACTACAAGTATGTTTTGTTCAATCTACTAATTTTTTGAATATTTTTCATACTAGTTCAAAAACGATACGTTTTGATAATTTCTAATTTTCGTTTCCACTTTTTCACAATCAAAATAATAATTTCTGTTCAAAATAACTTATTTTACAATTTTTCGTTGTTTTCAATTCTACAATATTTTCAGCGCCAACGACTACAACTGAAACTCCATATCGTAAGTTTTTAGAACTTAATTTTTAAATAACAGTTTTTTCAGCGTGTTCTGTGTGCCCTAAAATTTATAGTCCAGGATGTCTTGGCGGAGATATTTGTGCATCAATAGCTGAAGTTGGATTGAAATATACATTAGGCTTATTACCAGGATATAATTATGGTGATGCCAATACTTGCTCGTAGGTGGATGTTTCTTTGTGTGAAAAAATCATCAGAAAAAAATTTATAGAACCATTTTCTCATGTCCGATTGGAACAACATCGCGAGTGCGTGAATTGTTAACTGGTTTGATTGTTCCGGGACCTCCTTTAGTGATTGCAACTTGTTCTGAAACTGGTGCAAATGCCGGAACATGGTATCTCGGAATTCCTCCACTTGTGACACCGATTGAAATTGTTGCAACTTCCTGTTTAGGAGTTATTTAGTTGTGTTCTGTTTTCATTTATATTTTGAAATTTTAGTGGCAAGGTTAATAATAAATTGTTTCATGAGGAAAAAAATGTTTTTTTATTATATCGGATGATTTTGAAAAAATTGTGTTACTATAACAAAACCTGTATAAGCGATAGAAAACTTGTAAGAAAAGTGAACAAAGATCATAATAATGAGAAGATATGCGAACACTATTTTCATGGAAATTCTTCCAAAGCTTTTTGTTTCATCTTTTTGTCCGTTTCATCCAATTAACGAATATGTCAAGACAAGAAAAAAGTCGGTATCTGGGCTTGATTTAGTGCGCAGGTCATTCGCTTGTACCCTTCCCAAACATTATCTAACATTGAACAATCCAAATGAAGTCGGTGTTTTTGGCGATTCTTATTTTCTATTTTTTCATTATTTGTGATACATGTCTACCCACACAAAATGTTGACAGTAGGTTTTGTTTTCTATGTTTCTAGCATGCCAATTTTGAGCTTCTTTTTTAATGCAAATTTTGCTTGCAGCTTTTATTGATGCTAAGTGTCAGCTTTTTCCCAAGTTCTTGAAACTGTAAGATGTACTTGAATAAATTAAAAAAAAATGAAATTTCTCATCACGAACAAAATCGAATAGGAAAACTTGAACTTGATCTTTTGAAAAAAAACTATTTTATGCTAACCACCACTTTGCTTCATCACATTGAATTGTTTTTGATCTTTTGAGAACACTGTCGAGAAAACTAGCAATATCTTGATTATCAAATGAAAATAACCAAATAATTGAAATACTTTCATTGATCGTTATCAAAAAAAAACTAGAAAAACAAGAGATATCACCTGCAGACAATGGGAGAAAACTGATTTAAAGATCATCCTATACAGAGTTTTTTCTGAAAACAAATCAATTAAAAAATAATGGATAGGTGGTTATTTTCAACACTAACTAATCTAGACATAACTGAGAATGTGTCGACCACAATTTCCGGTGCTACAGATGGATCATATGCATCTTCTGGCTCTTCTTCATCTGATTCTACAACAACAACTACAACAAGTATGCTTTCTTTTTGTTGATTTGCACTGCACCAACTCACTGCACGAATAGGCTTTTGAAAACTCATTGAATTAGAATTGTAAGAAATATATATTTTTTAGCAACAACTACAACAACAACAACCACGACCACTACCACAACAGAGGCTCCATATCGTTAGATTCAATTTTTTTGTTTCCATCCAAAATTTAATATTTTCAGCATGCTCCGTTTGTCCGAAAATTTATGGTTCAGGATGTTTGGGAGGAAGTGTATCCGATATTTGTGCATCAATAGCTGAAGTTGGATTAAAATATACATTAGGCTTATTGCCAGGTTATAATTATGGAGATGCAAATACATGCTCGTAAGTTTAAAAAGAAAAAAATATATATTTGAACATTATAATTTTTCTAGAACAATTTTCTCGTGTCCACTAGGATATACATCGAAAGTGAAATTACCAATTGTGAATTTGATTGTGCCTGGACCATCGTTAGTTATAGCAACTTGTCAAGAAACTGGATCAGATGCTGGAATATGGTATTATGGAATTCCTCCACTTACAACACCAGTCGAAATTGTTGGAACAACATGTCAAAGTATTATTTAAGATATAAATTTAGATGAAAAAACAACTTGTACAGAATTACGGATTGCAGGGTTAATAATTGAATTATATGAATGAATAATTTTTTTGCATCAAACGTTGTTTTTTTTTTTGATAAATAATAGACAGCTGATCTTTAACAAAAACGTAAGTTAATAAATAAAAAATAGAACTAAAAAAAAAGAAAAACCATTTCTCAAGACAACAGAAAAACAGAACAACAAAAATAAAAAGTTGTTCAAGAAAACAACCATTGTTTTCCTGATAGGAAAAAGTAGTTCTTCACTTTTCTCTATTTTCCTGTACTTATGCTTTTATTTATTAATTTCAAATCCATAAATTAACATGAAACACAACAACAAAAAAGACATATGAAAATTCTCTCATAATTTGAACGATTCATTTGAAAATAAAAAACATTCAAGATATTCTGATGAAAATATTAAATTTTTCTGAATTACCTAAACCTTTTCTGAACAGAAAACGTTGTTGTTGCAAAAAAATATTTTTGATCTCACAGCAAAAAACCACACACCGCGAAAAAAATGTTTAAAAGAAACAACATGCATGTTTCCCAAACACTCGTGAGACGAGGTAAAAGGCCGTTGTCTATTTCTTTTTATTCTTTTTTTGGCGTTGTTTTCTCCAAATTTTAGACGTTTTTTTCTTAAACAAGAAGAAACACTAATTAATCGAAGAAATTCATGATAATAACATTGATCGAACATGGGTGTATAATTACAGATTAACCATTGATTTTAGAACTTTACATTAAGTTAAAAATAAAAACGAATGTTCTTTTTAATATCCCACCTTTTTCAGGGTTATTATTTCTGATAGCTGTTATCTATAAATAGTCTATTTTTATCAAAACATACATTTTTCCTTTTTTCTAGTACAATTACAAATTCCAAGAATTTAGTTAGAGCAAAGCATTAAAAGAAACTACACACAATATCTGCCTCTCTTCATTCCAACACACACACACATTTGAATGTGTACTCTAACTGTCTGCACTCTCTTCTTCCCCACTCTCTCCTCGTGTTGTTTTTTTTTGCAGTCGTAGTTTAGATAGCTCGTTTTTTTTCATATTTCGTTTTTTATTGAATTCTTGTTGTGATTATCCCTCTTCCCCGAACAGTTAAAGATATTATCATTTAACATTTTATAGAATGGATCGGCGAAATGTTCCAAACTTCGTGTTTGACGAAAACGAACAAAGCGTAAGTTTATTCAACTTTTTTAAGTGATCGGATATAATGATTTTAATTTGCAGAGTTCACGATTGGGGGAGTTGCAAAAACATATCGTATACAATCATTTGATTTTGCAAAATATTTTGGATAAGATCGATAACACCGAGACGAAAACTTGCCTAAAGTTATCATGCAAGCGAATGAATTGGTTCTGTTCGATGCCAAACCGATCGGAAACAACATTGACGATTGAGCAATCTGATGTAAGTTGATATTTCATACGAAGAATTCGATCCTCGGAGGAAACATCATTTGGATTTCCTTAAATGTTCTCAATTTTCCTGAAGCCTACTTGTTTGAATTTAACTTCAAAGATGTTGCTTTTTTGGATGAAAAATATCAAAATTTAATATTTATTGTATTTGTAGGATAATGGAGGCAAAAAATTGGAAGTCACACACAACAACATCAAATACATGATTCAGATAGAGAGTAACAATATCACAAATGAAGATTTTGGTATGTTTTTTTAATTGTTAACATAAAATAATTGTTTTATTTTCACAGATCGAATTATGATGTGTCTTCCAGTTCTTGAAGTTGATGCAATTCATAGAATTGCTATCAAAGGCCGCAAATATCTTTTCAGAGAACGAAGACAAGAATTTGATATACAAGTAGGAAGTGGTTTGCACGCAAACCATACAGTTATAAATCAATTACAGTTGCAAGTCTCGTCTAATGTGTTTGGTTTTTTGGACAGATTCCCTGGTTTAGCTGAACTCGAATTGACAGATTTGAATCTGAAAGGTTCTGTGGAAGGTTGGTTTTTTGAAGGGAATTGGTTCTTTGAAAAAATTGTAATTTTTAGGAAGATTCATTTCACGAATAAGATCGTTGAAGTTACTCGATCTTTCAATTCACCGAACACAAGTCTGGCAGTTAGTTGGTCCCAATGTACAAGAATTGCATCTTACTGAAAGTATGCTTCGATTTGAGCGCGCTGATAAATTTAGACAACTGGCACAACGAATTCCAAATACTAGTATTTATTTGGATGACAAAGAATGGTATGTTAACATTTAATTGAATTGAATAAAAATTTATTTATTCTCGGAAATTTTTAGGTGCCGTCATGTTTCATACGATGTTCAAAACGCCTACCACGAAAATTTCAAAGTGTATCCCTGGTATCGTATGCTTGAAAGAGAGTTTTCTCTCAATGACCAACCAATCAAATCTCCCAAATATTGTTATCATGTAAGTTCCAACAATAATTACAGATTGGAAAGAATATTTTAATAATTTTTAGCTGCGATCCATCACACTCCTGAAAGCCCAGAAAGTTGGAAAAAATGCGGATATATTGGAAAGAATTGGTCAATTGGAACTTTTGCCAAAATTGGAAAAAGTTTCAATTGATGGATATTTCGAGAAGCTGCATTTCAAAAAATTGTTGGATGTCCTGAAAAAGTGCAAAAATATAACCAAACTCAGTATCAAGTATGTTTCTGTTTAATTCACAAAATACGACGGTTAATTAGAACATTTCAGAAGACGACACCAAACAACAAATATACGAGATTGGGCCAATTTCATAAATGATTTACCAGATCACATATTGTGTTTAAAGTTGAACAACTGTACAACCGATAATGAGATTTATGCATTGAAAATGAGAAAAGCGAGAACATTAAGGAGTTTGGAAGTTAAAATTGATGAACATCATTTATCTTTGAATTCGTTCAAGAAAGTTCGTTTTTTATTATCAACTACAAATGTGTAATATTGAAATTTCAGATCTTCCAAGATTTCCCAAAATTGCGTTATTTGAAGCTCATTTACATCAGTTTGAATTTGGAAAACATTCAATTATTGGAAAATTGTCGCATTCCAAAAATTGAAATGTTCACCAAATTTCATGAAAAAGTGTCGTCTCTTGAGAATGCAATGAAAAAACACTACAAATCCGTCGAAAGTTCGTATGTCGGTCACTGGAATATCGAATGGGTTTTATTGAAAGAAACACCAGAAACTAGAAGTCTTCTTCAACTCCGTTTACGTCAAATTTTCGATGACAATCTGGAAGATGATCATGATGAACGAGTCCATCGATTTATCCACAATCGTCGAATCCTTCGTCACCGTTTCTAATTGTATATACATAATTCAAAACTGTTTCATAATTATTCCATCATCTCTTATTGTCTGGTTTATATCGTTGTGTTGTTTTAATCAAGTTATTATTGTTGTACAATGAATTTTCAACAAAAATTTTCGTATCTACATTCGTTTCCTAACCACTTGGAAACATATCGCTCCAATACTACCAATAGACTTATCATAACTCAATGCGTTCAGGACAAGATGATCGAAATTGCCTGTGAATAACGACCCGTGTTCCATATTTTCATAGTAATTTTCTTGTAACTTATCTCTATGTCAGAAAAATAACTGATTGTGAATTAAATCATTATTTTTGTATTTGAATGAATATTTGGCTATCTAAAGTTATTGTCATATTCAGCTGACTCAATTATTATTTGAAAACTTTGTGTAATCTTTTTTTCTTTCAAGTTTTAAAGTTGTTCACACCTAAGATCTCCAACATACAAATTATATTTTATCACTAGATTCCAAAAGTGTTTTTTCACTGGACAAGAAGCATCTTCCAATTTGAGCAATACTTTTTAGATTCAAAACTGTTGCTTTGGGTGAAAATATTTTTGAATCCATTTCTTTCTTCAAAACTAATGATATTTCCCGAGTTAAAACACGTTCGAAGATATATCTTTTCAACATGACAATCACGCATTTCTTTAAAAAAAAATGAAAAGCTAGCAGATCTAATAATAAAAGTTGGTATGTAGAAAATACCATTTAGCCAAAAACACAATAATCAATGCAAGCTTTTCTAAATGGAACAAAAATTCTATATTCATTTATTTTTTGTTTTTTTCTATAACACTGATTATATTCTAATATACATCATTTATCTATTTTTTTTGTATATCGATAAAAATCAAGGTAAATAATTTTAAATCTTTATGACGATACTGAAAAATATAAAATATCTATATGAACAAATTACAAAAGTAAAGGAATCAAGTTAAATTCATTTAATGAAATTTTGAGATCAATTTGTGTGGATTTTATCAAATGTAGAATTATTATTCGATGTTTTCTGAAAAAAAAACATATTTTTCAAATATATGTGTAAGTCAATCAATATATGCACTTACCGGTTTTATTTTCTTCACCTTCCATTTCTTCCAATTTGATTTCTCTATGCAGCTCTGGAATTGTCCCAAGTTCATTATCAGGAGCTGGCGAAGATGGTTCATTTATAACAGGTGGATTTGACACTGATTTTGTTTCAGTTTCTTTGTTTCCAAGTCCATCTTCTTTCTGAACACGACTACTGTCATCCTCAATTATTACTTCTTCTTTTACTTCTTTTCTTATTGGGCAACACTCTTCCTTGATTGGAGCACACTCTTCTGCAAGTGTGATAGGCACATCTGCCTTTTTGATTTGATCATCTCCTTTTTCTTTTATTGGATCAGTTTTTTCTGTTGTTTGAACATCTTCTACCACTTCTTCTTTTATTTCTTCTTTTATCTGAGCCATTTTTTCTTTCTTCGGAGTTGCACCTTTTTTGGGTGTCGATGATGAAGATGGTCTTGATTTGATTTCTTCTTTGATATCTCTTTTTTGTTTTTTTTCAGCAACTTCTGGCGTTCCATCATCATCGGTTTCTTCTCCGTGTTCTTCATCTTCCACATCTTCTTTTGCCATCGCGGCTCGTTTGCTCTGCAAATATTTTTGTCTTACACGATGTTTCAATTTTGCTTATGTTAATGTATTTTTCAACAAAAAAAAAACTCACCAAGGACAAGATTGGATGAGCCATTCGTGATTGTTGAGCATTTGCAAACCAATCGGATTCGGCCAAAACTTGAGCAACTGTTTTATCAATCTCTGAAAATTTACATTTTTCAAAACGTTCAAATTTGATTTCAAAACTTACTTTTTCGCTGTGCCAAATAAATTTCTCTCACGGTCCGGTTATAAAATTCTGTTGCTTCCAAACCAGTTATCATCCTTTCAACACAGTTTGTGACTGAAAAAACCAAACAATTTTTGAATTATTCAACAAATTTCAAAAAAAAAAACTAACCAATATCTTCAACATTTTCAGGTTCATTGGTTGCAGTTGGAACCATAGTACGAAGTGTTCTCTTTGGTCGGTTACTCATTTTTCTAAACAATAAATATGATTAGTAAAATCTAAATTAGTGAACTTTTATTATTCAATAACAAAACATAACAAATGCGAGAGACAGAAAGCAACGCCACTTTTTTCTCTAACACTCTCCCTTTTCTCGCACTATTTCGCCGTTTCTCACAAATTATTTTGTGCAAATACCTATAAACAAAAAAAAAAGATCGATAACCTTAAAATGAAAAAAAAACTGTAAAATTATTTTGAGAATAAACATGCAAAAATGTGAATTTTTCTGTATGAACTGCTTAGCTTTCCGAGAAAACATTTTTGAAGACCTCCCTGAAGAAAAATAGACATTAGCAATAGGGCGCAAATGCTCGATTGAAATATGTCCCTGTGAGTATAGAATACGATGATTGGATAACACCTTTGAACAGTAGTATTAATGTATATCAACGCAACAAAAAAATTTAAAGTCTCATCAAAAACAAACTGAAATATTTACAAATTTTTTTTTAAATTTTCAAGCTAAATTCTAAATGCTTTGTAATTTTTGTGAAATTTTTAATAGCAATTCTGAGTCCAATTTTTTATACGAAAGTGAATAAATAGTTTTTTTATAATTCAAATTGACGTACATTTCAATTCGATAAAATTTCCCAGCAATTTCTAACTATTGAAACACACGTCAACGTATTTTATATTGAACTTATATTAAAGCAGACAAAAATTGGTGAAGTGATCAATTGAAGTTTTTTAGGCATTGGTGTGTAATAGATTATGGTTCACAAAAATCCAGGTAAGTCACAATACCTCTTTCATAATTTTCCTATTTGCAAAATCAATTAATTAATTCAAACTCGATATTCTCTTCAAAGCACTGTTGTTTTTCTTAAGAAGTTTTTTCGTCAATATGCGTTCGCTTTTTTGTGTTCCGTGATTTGTATCATTTTGAAACATCTTCAATGACCTTCTTGTTTTTAAGAGATAAGTTTCATGACAAAAATCTCAGGTTTTCTCTAGTTCTCATTGTTTGTTGATTGAGAAATTGATGATTGACCGCTTTTCTGTTGCATAGTTTTCTTGAACTACTTGTTATCAAGTACATATTCTTGGATAAGAAAAGAACATCAACAAAAAACTGGGTCAAGCATATATACATCTATACCATTCATCATAGAAGAGTACATCAAAATGGTAATATGAACTTCGTAAATTTTGAAATTTCAAGAATTTCAGATTTTTTCAACTATCTCACTCACTCGAACTTGAACAAAGCGATATGATCAGGGGTTCAAATTTCAAAAAGTTCAATTTTCCTTAATCGTTCTATTTGAACAACTGTTATCAGAATTTATATTTTTTATCGATGAAAACAAATTACTGTACCAAAAAACTCAAATTTTTGACATTGTTGGCAGGTTTGCCACGTGATTTTATTTTGGACAACTTTGTGCACAAAATGTTTAAATTTGGTTAAAACTGCCAAAATTATTTTTAAAAAATGCAATTTGGTGAATCCTTCTATTGTTTAAGACTTCATAGCTCGTTACATCATGAAAACATCTATTATTCATAAATTTATCATTCAAAGATCAAAAAATCACAGAAAAACCTGGTCTGAATGATCTGTCTAATCTTAGCAAATCATCGTGCGCAATGAACAAAGATGCAAATTATTTGCCGAATTTGCATATATTTTAAAAATTGATCGTCTCGCTCGCGAAAAATCAAGTTTCAATCGCCCATTGAAACATCATTGTGTTTTCGTTCAAAATTAGAACACACAAAAATTATCCAATATTTTTTTTCAAGATACTTCACTTTATCATATAGTGAATTAAGACCTAGTTTTCATAAAGTGTAATTCAAAAATTTTTAGGTTATCAAGTACAGCAATACTATACGTTCATAATCAAAGAAAAATTGTCAAAATGGATTAAGATCGGTTTTTCTTGTTGTTTATGATTCGCTTCTTATCAAAAACTTCGAAAGAGTGCACAATTGGCGGTGATATGTCAAATCTAATATGTTAAGGGTTCTGTACTTTGGCAGAAATCGGATATATAAACGAAAAGAACAACATGTTTCAAATCAAATTTCTGAACCATATTCTGCAACTAAAAATCAGGTATGCTATTTTTCTGAGATTGAAAAGTGAAAATATTGAAAAACGTGACTGTCTGACTGTAGAAAATGATTATCTATCAAAAATGAATATCTCCGATAGACATCTTCAAATATATTATTTCATTTTGTTATTCATTTTTGATATGCAAAAATTTTGTGATTTGGCAAAAAATACATTTAAAACAAGAAAAAACATTTCCGAACACCATTTGAGAAGGTCATATGACAACAAAAAAGTGCAACAATTTTATCGTAAATTAATCTTTCAGCTATCGTAATTGTCCTTCTTTCCCATACCAATTTTACATTGTCTGTTTTTTACAGAAGTTTTTTCTTATTTTCAAAAAAATAATTTCGTGAGAACAATACGTTATTGTTTTTGTCTGACAGAATTTCTGAAAACAGTCAATTTTCATCGCTCTTTTTTTCGAATGAAGAAATATTTTCAGATGGAACCATCTAGACGTAACTTCATCCTATTCCGTGATTGGGCTCTCTTCATCTTCTCACATTTGCTAACAATTGCAATCTATGCAGTTGCTTTGAAATGGCTCAACTCTTTGCTCCCTGGACTTTTCACACCAAGTTGGTGGATTATCCGATTGGTTATAGCGCACTTCTCCTATCTCATATATTCGCATTTCCAACGATCTTTAACTTTACCACCAGGACCTCCACCAATGATTATATTTGGAAATTCACCATGTGTTAGTGTAGTGACACCAGAAGTCACATTTTTGGAATATCGAGAATTATACGGACCTGTTTTCACACTTCACCTTGGAAGTGAGTTTTTGAATTTTTTAAATTTATAGAAGAGTGTACTTGAAATTATCCTTCTCTTCAGAGCCAACAGTTGTACTTGCTAGTCATGAAACAATTCATCAAGGATTAATTACCGAAGGTATATTTATTATGATTTATATCCATCCTATAATTTCGAAAATGAAATTCAGGTCCTCATACAGCTGGAAGATCAAGCAACGAATCGTTTACCTTGTTCACTAATGATCGTGAGAACGGAGACGGTATTATTCTTGCAATGCGCCAGAAGTGGAGAGATATGAGAAGTGAAATAACACGTTTCATGGGGTATTTGTTGAATTTCTGTTTCGAAATATACCAGTTCTATTTTTTCAGAGGCTTATATGGTGATAGAATTGATGAAATCATTAGATATCACACAAGATTGTTGGAGACAGAAATGTTGAAAATCTCCGAGCATAAGGTAGATTTCATATGCTTATTCAAATTTAAAAAAAAAGTTTTTTTCAGGGACTCATTGATTTACGTGATCCACTAGCTGGCGCTATTGCTAATGTTATTCAACAAATCACGATTGGAAAAACATTCATGTTTCAAGATCAAGAATTCCAAGATCAACTTCGCGATATAAATGCAGTAGTCAAAGAAATTATGACTGGGGAAGTTTTTCTAGTCAACAGATTTCCAGTTTTGAAAATGTTGCCGGAAGGGCTTCTCAGAAAATGGACAAACTACAAAAAAAGTGGATTCAGACTTCAACAATGGTTCAGAACTATTCTTGAAGATCATTTAATAAATCGTCATCAAGGAGATTATATGTCTTATATGGTTGAAAGAAAGGAATCCGGAAAAGCTATGTTCAAGTGAGTGAATACTGTGGTTTCACCAATTCAAAAATGTTTTTCTAGGGATTTATCAATCATCCTAACATGCGGAGATATTTGGACAGGTGGAATGGAAACTACAGTAACCACGCTTCGTTGGGGTATTATATATTTGTTGAAAAATATGGAAGTTCAAGAAAAATGCCACCGAGAAATTGTTGAAGTTTTTGGAGAAGAGGAACCAGAAATGAGAAGGATGTTGGAAACTCCATATGTTCGAGCAACAATCTCAGAAATTCAAAGACTTGCAAATGTTTTGCCATGGGCTATCCCACATAAGTGAGTTATTGAGATTAGTTATGCCGTGTAATTATACTACTTTTGCAGAACATTGGCCACTTGTACAATTGGAGGATACACAATTCCAGAAAACACCGATCTGATTCCTGGGATTGGCGCAGTTTTGAATGACCCTGAAATTTTTGAAGATCCCAAAAAATTCGATCCAGAAAGGTACCTCATCAAAGCAATATGTAAACAACTCAAAATTCAATTTTCCAGGTTCCTCGACAAATCTGGAAACTACGTGACTTTGGAGAAATTCCGACCATTTGGATTGGGACCAAGATCCTGTTTGGGGGAGAGAATTGCCAGAACTGAATTATATATGATTTTCTGCACACTTGTTCAGAATTTCAAGTTTTATTTGAATGAGAGTGAGTAAATTCTTGAAAGAAGATTTGAGTTCAACAATTGAATTTTTTAGATGACCCAGTTCCCTCGACGGATCGTGTTATTGGTGGAATAACTGCGCCGCCTCAACCATTTGCAGTAAGACTTGAATACAGAAATATACGCCCTGTAAAATAATTTCACTAATTAACTAAAAACAATTTATGATACAAATGTACAGCTAATTGCTTTATTTTTCTTGTTGAAACTAGTCAGCATTTCTACTTTCTCTTATGTATAATTTTGTGAAAAAAGATTGAACCGAATAAACTATAAAAAATATAATATTTACAAATCTAAAAAAAACCCGAAGAGAGAATACGTAAATACAAAGGCAAGATATGGCATTGGAATCAAATCACGGCTCATGTTTTTGTTAAGTTGTTTGGCATTTGAGGTTAAGTGTGAGCAAACGCTACTTTTTGATCTTTCTCATCTTCTGGAACTGGATATCTAGCATCTAATTCAGCCATAAGATCTGTCACATTTTTCTCCTGAAAAAGATGATTGTTTTAAATTGAGTTTTATTTTAGAAAAAATTAAATAACTTACATCAATAACAACAAATTGTTTTTTGTCCTTTGAGAACAAATAATCTTCACCAGCATAAATATCGAACCACATTCCATGAATATGTAGTTTTCCTGATTCCAAATATTCTTTCAAAAATTCATGTGAGCAAATGTTTACGAGTTGTTGAAGGACATTAATCTGAAAAGTTGGAATTTTTGGTAAATGAAGTATTGTTTTCGGAAATGATCATAATTGTTTTCAAAAAAATTTTAATGTAAAACTGTTCAGCCTGATAATAAGAAATGAACCTATCTCACCTGTGAAAGTTTATCTTCAACTGGCAGCCGATCAACTGGATCAATAATTGCTTCAAAAGATTGGCTTGGAACAACTTCATTTTCAAATTTCATTGCTGACGGTCCTCGGTGAAGTCGTTCATTCAATCGTTTCACTGAATTAAATCCATTTCGTCTCACCCAATGATCCATTGGCGAAGAAGAATCGAAATTTTTTGGACATTGATGTAAACCATATAATGTGTTGATGGCCTGATAACATAAAATGTTTATGTTATGTTTTCTTCGTTCAGATATGGGAGAAAAATGCCATAGTTCATTCAAAACGTTTACTGTAATTTTTATCAACAAAATATTCGTGCGAAAACGTTTTTTTTTTGAAAATTGATAGGTAAAAGTGAAAAACAATAACAATTCAACTCACTTTGCAATCTGAATGTCCGCAAACAACAATATGTCGAATTCCGCCTCGTTTCACAGCAAGTTCCAAAGCAGCGGGTTCGGTGTTCACAGAGACTTCGGAAAATGCGCCATAAGTTGGAGCATCGGGAATCATATTGCCAGCATTTCTCACAACAAACATATCTCCAACCTGAGATTGGGTGAATCTTGTGGGAAGCATTCGAGAATCCATGCAAGTAAACATAACAGCAGTTGGCTGAAAAAAATGCAAATATAAATGGTAAAGTCAATAAGAAAACACTTACAGTTGGATGATCTTGAATTTCTGCAAATTGTTTCGCCAAATCTTTCCGCACGGTTTGCCGAAACTGTACAACTCCTCTCAAAATTTTGTTCATGTTTGCTGGAAAAAAAATCAATTTCCTTTTATCAAAAATGAAGAAAAATAGGAATGGAAAGAAAACAAAAACGAAACAGAATGAAAACGAAAAATCATCTACTAGTACCTTTGTTACAACAACCCAAAGAATAAAAATAAAAATTGAATGACCTGTTGCAGTTGTTGCGAAGAACAATCTATTTCGTGACATATGAGACGAGAAAAAAAAAGAGATATTGATCAAAAGTACATATCAATGATCATTACTTGCACATTGAAACAACACAACTCAAAATCATCTGAAGAATGAAATATTTTATCTAACCGCTTCGCATTTATGGCATTTGATTTGTAAACAGACATAGATAATAATTAAAAAAAGAGGTAATAGAGAGAAAAAGAAATAATAAACAAACACTACTCTAACCTGTTAAATAATCAATAAGGTCAAATTGTTCACTTATCATTATACAATTTACGAACTGTGTTGTTCATTGAAGTTTCAACAAAATGATCAATTGGATGAACAATGAATGGAATTGTTGCAAGTCCAAGAAGAGTAACTGTATATTTTCTAGAAGTTGGTGGAAGTTTTGTAGACCTATGAAAATTAAATTATTTTTATGGAAATTCTATTAAATTATTTAAAAAATACGTTCAAAAAACCTACTTTTCAAGAAGGATGTTTGTGAAATGGCAAAAACGATTAATCGTAAAACCAGGAATCATAACTGACGCCAAAGTTTGCCATAAAACAGTGTCCCCAGCAACAATTGCAACTCGTTTTGTTTTTTCACCATCATTCGCGAATGATTTCTGGAAAAACCGAACTCGAAAATCATATAAATTGTAAATTTTAATACTGACCTTTGATTCCTTGGCACTTTTATCAATCGAATCCGCAGCTACATATCCGAAAGCAACAACATATGAGAATTTGACAACTATCGGTTTGACCAGACTTCGAAAAGCTTCTCCAACCTCGTTTGCATATCCCAAAAAACGAACCGGTGTATCGCGGAAAATATCCTTCTCTCCTTCTGTCATCTGAAAATTTTTCAAAACATGCAAAACTTTTTTGAAAAAATACAAATAGAAAGCTTGAGAAGTATTTGCAGAAGATTTGAAACCATATGAAAAAATTAATAAATAGTAAAAAATAAATAAGTTGTTTATCGCAATAACTTTCTAAAAAACAAATTAGTGCTTGGTGGTACACGTAACATTAAAAGGCCTTCAATATAGCCAATAACTAGACCCGCTAAAACATCGGTTATATAATGTCGACCCAAAGCAACTCTCGATAATCCAATAATAAATGGTAATGGGATGAATAACATTGATGTGATTGAAGAATGTTGTGATCTAAAAATTAGAATATAATAAAAGAAATATGAAGAGTGAAACTTGAAATTTGACTTTAAAAAAAACTCACAATAAAACAATAAGCATGACAGCACGCGTTGTGTGACCAGAAGGAAATGAGTAGAAATCAACAGTGTGTTCGAGGATCTATAACATGCATAGATTATAGATCGAATATTCCGAATCAACAACTTACGTGTCCTTTTGCTGATACTGGTCGCTCACGCTGCACTAGGAATTTGAGCAAGGCAACAATAATCAAATCAAAATATAATCCAAAATTAAGGAGTAAATATCCGAATTGTGTTGATTCTTCCCATTCTCGTCCATAAGCTATTATCAAAAATAGACTGCTACATACAAACCAAGGAAATCCATGAACCTAAAAATACTTTTCGAAATGTATAAGCTTTTGTTTCATCTTAACATACCATCCATTCAATCCATATGCAAACTTCAGGATATTTATTGCTTTTATATAACCGTGATGAAATTCGGGAATCCAAATCAAGCAAATAGTTTGTGACTAAAAATACACAAACATGTTTGGTTTATAAACTCAAAATAAATCTCACCTCTCTCCATTATTCATGAATAAATAAATATATAGAAAAATTGACAGCAAATGTTGGATGTTGTTCAGAAAATATGTACACGTCTTTTTGGAACCTTAGGCCATAACCTAAAAACCGACACAATGTATTTCACAATAGTTCCATTTGAAAAAAGCAAAACGTTTGAGCGTCAAGAAGGGATAACGAAAAAAAGGAGAAAAAGAGAAAAGGAAGCAAAACGCTGTTTGTCCGAGAGAAGTACACAAATGTTGGTTTTCTAGTCCTCAAAGAAAATGAATGTGTTAGTCCATCATATGAATAGTGTATTTTTGGGTTATTTGATGTTTTAGAGTTATTTCAAGAAAATCAAAGTTGAACACGAGAATAAATATGTATATTCTTGAAAATCAGAGTGAACCCTCTTGAAATTCGTATATCCTGGACATTTAACTCGCTCTAGGTTTTAATACTTTATTAAAAATGCGATTGTTATTAAGATTTTCAGATCTAAGATAACATCAAGAATGGGAATGTTTACAGAAACAACGAAGATATACTGACAAACAATAAAAAGCATGTTGTCCGAGAGAACTACACAAAATTTGGTTTTCTAGTCCTCAATAGAAAAATATTTGTTAGTCCGCGTTACGAAATACAGAGTTCTATCAAACGGTTTCTGGGTTCTAATTAGGAATCTTATTGAAGAAACGTGGAATATTTTTAAAAAAGACTATTATTAGAAAGTTTGAAAAATATTCATAGGTGAGGTGGACTAGTCTAGCACAGAAAATGAGTCGTTGTGAAAATCTGTACCTTTCAGACAAAATGGAAACATTTTTTTAATGAATTTGAATGATTTATTATTTTCTACCCGAACAAAAGATTATAAATTCCTCGCTTAGAAACAATAAAACTTGTTATAACTGTATTACATAATTTTCAAAAAAAACACTCATATAAAAAAATCAACAAATCAGCATTGAATTGAATTTGTTGGTGATACTTGTAAAGCTTGCAATTTCGCTACACTCAAAATTGTTCGAGCAATTTTCTGCGGATTTCTTTTTGATAAAATGTCAAGTGGTGAGCAGATGGTTGACTGAAAATGGAAAAAATTGATTGAGTTTGATTTAGTTAATTGAATTGACTTACATCTGGTACACCGATTTTTTTACAATATTGCACAAATTTGTCAGCATTCATTTTTGCTCGAATTGTTGCAATACTTGAATCATGATTTGTTGCAATATTGATTGGTTCCGGTGATATTTTATTCACAAATTTACATAATTCGACACCATCGGATATTTGGAGACTGAAACTCATATCTCCTTTACTCATTGTAAAACTTGGGCCAAGTTTATCACGCATCATTTTTCTTGCATTTTCAACATCGCTGGCTGGAGGTGTTCGACTTCCATTTTCTGAAGATAATTCTTGTTTTTGTTTTCAAATTGAAAACAAGATTGATGGGAATTACACATTATAACTAACATTCAAATAGTTTGAGTATCCAAAAATAACTCCCGAAGTTTCAAAAATTATATTCTACCCAGGCATAGTTTGAAGTACAGATCAAAAATAATAAACAACTTACTATTCAGCGCCATCGAACTAGCAGAAATCAATTTTGTAGGAGCTTTCAAAGGCGCAGGTTCTTCCGATTTTCGTGTTGTTATAGTCTTTGGTTTGGTCACTGGTATATTCTCTTTTTTTACAATTGCTGATTTCGAAAGAGCTGTAGCTGGAGCTGCACGGCGAGTTGTTGTGTGCGATGTGGTTAATTTCTACAAAAATAATCATGTGCTTTCATGTTTTTGTGAAATATTTCAAAACCCTACCGTTTGATTATTTCCGTTCATTCCTGATGATGGTGGACGTATGGTATTTTTCATAATTGGCGCAACTTTCGAGATTGGTTTCTTTGCTAAAAATATATATATATATATTTATATATATATATATATATATAAGTTTTATCGATTGAGTTTTGAAAAAACTTGATAATCAAAAATAAACTCACATAACCCCGGACTTGACAAATTATTGGTAACAACTTTATTATTGTTATTGTTTTGTTCATCTGGAGTTGATTGACGTGAATTGTTCTCTTTTCCGACGTTTGATGGGACCGACGAGATTCTATTATGCACAATTTGCACGTGTTTTTTATTCGAATTTGCAGGTGGCTCGACTATTTCCTAAAAAATATTGATTTTCTCAATGTTTTTGATTAGTGTTGAATGAATGAAACAAATCAGTCAGGATTGTGAATAAATCAAAAACTTCAAATAAAAAACAACATGCAAGTGTGAACTACTAATAAAGGTTGTTAAAAAATGAGAATGACAACAATAGTAAATGTATTTTGATATTTGAAAAACCTGTTAGTGTTGCTCATATCATATCAGTAGACGATCACCAGAAAATAAATAAGTTTCGTGATTTTTTTATTGTTGGGTAAGCTTGACTTGTTTTTTTAGAAAAGAAACTTACTTTAAGTCGATGAAGTCCATTATGATGGGCCACTGGTTCAGATGCATTTCGAAGGTTTCTGAAATGGATTAGTCTTTTTTCAAAGTTTTTATCCCAATGAAATAAAATGAGTTATGATTCCCCAAGAAGATTTTTTAAAAAAGAAGTAGAAAAATAGTATAGAAAACTACCACAATCACAGTTGTGCTAGAGAAAAATCCTTGAACAACAACAATCCATCATATTCATTTATAATTACCTCAATTCATTCTCATTTTTCATCACATTCATCTTGCGATTCTCGGAACAATCTCGTTGTGATGACGACGATGAAGAAGAGCCAGATGTTCGACCCTCTAACCACTTGAAAACATGAACGATTCCCTGCAAAATGATATCCATTTCTTTTCTTGGTCGCTGTTCAATGGTCCATAAATAAACATACCCTTTCAACAACTTGAATTGGCGGCGATTTTAAAGGGTTACACGACAATTGCAAATTACGCAAATCGCTCATTTTGGCCATTTCTAATGGTAGATACGTGAGATTGTTTTGTGAGAGATCAAGAGTTCGAAGCTCGAGTGATGTGCAAAGTTCCATTGGGAATTCTTCAATATGGTTTCTTGCTATTTTCAAAACTTTCAACGATTTCAAAAATCTTAAATGGCTTTGCAAATTGCGTATTTCATTTCGTGATAAATCCAAATATGCTAAAGTTGGAGCAAGTCGACGAATCGCTTCAGGAATTGTAGCAATTTTATTTCCAGTTAGAAGAAGGGTGGTTAACGGTAGATCAAAAAGACTATCCGGAAGATGAGATATTTCGTTGAAACTAAAATCAAGATAAGTAAGTTGTTCAATAGAACATATACACGTAGGAATAGTTCGAAATCGATTCGAATTGGCAATACATGAGATCAAACAATCAAACACTGCAAAATCAGCTGGTAATGTTGATAAACGATTGTCACTGAGGTCTGAAATATTATTAATTTCTTTTTCTTGATGATTTTTTTCGAAAAACTAACCGATGAAAACGATATCCAAAAGTTCAACATTGGATAATGCTTCGACCGGAAATTCAGTGAGTCTCAAACCATGTAATAAAAGCCGTCCTGAATATTCAGCCTCTTTGAAACTAGTCCCCACTGATGAAGTGTATGGAGTTGTCTGCAAAAAAAAGAAGTCTATTCAGTCGGCAACATCAAAACTATATGTTGACAATAGGGAGAATTTCTCACAAATCGGTCAACACCTCTATGAGTCATCGTTTTCTCTTTGAAATCACGGGTGCTGCTAGATTTTTCTCGACATTATTGCTTTTTTTGGAGAACCAAAAAAGAATACGAATGATGAATGTACTTTTTCTATGCAAAGCTTTGAAAAGTTTCCCTTGAAAATATTTTTGGACAACAAAAAATTGTTGCCTTGAAAGATTGAATAATTCACACTTACTCATTATCATGTCAATGTGATTTTTTGAAGAATAAAAAGAAGGGGAGAAAGAGTTGTTGAAGGTCAGTAAATTGTTTCAAAAACATGTCTATTTTGTAAATAATTTATTGACATGAGCAAGCAGTTTTTGTCAAAAGTTGATTTCAAAAAACCAAGAAAAATGATGTGAATTTCATTAGATTTGAAATTTGTCTCACAATAAGAGAAAGGTTTTGATCTACAATTTTGAAGGTTGCGTTGTCTTTAAGCTTAATTTTAGCAACTTTAGGAAAACATAATTTAACTTGAAAAAACGTTATTTTTTTAAAAATTTTTCTCCATCCAGAAGCAATAACTTCAGTAGCCCTTTGATTAATTCTCAAACCGGAACTCTAAATTTTTAATTAAAAATTTGGCAACTAATCATGATTTCCTATTTTTTTTCTCCAAAAAATTATGAGAATAAACATTTTTACCTGTCCAAAATGTATAGATCCAGTTGATGTTGTTGATCGACTAACTGATGGCTCCGATGAATCAAGATCTGATGAAGATTTATGTTTCAATCCGACCGAAGCAGCATGATCTGATGCGTCACTCTTCTTCTTTCGTTTACCCGTCCATGAAAATGTGAGCATACCTTTTTTACCTACAAAAAATTACATTAGATCAAAACAAAATTATCATATTTCTCATATCACTGAAAAATAATGAAAAGTAAAAAGAAAGAGTGAAGACGAAAAAAAAGAAAAGAAAGCAAAACACCTGGTGATTCAAAAATGGTCATTTTTCAGTTTGTGTTGAGAATCGGGGAAGAATGGTGATGGGTGGAGGGAAAGGGGGGGGGGGGGCACATACTCGCGATGAAAGAAGAGAAGAGGAGCGCGCGGCAAAATGGATGGACAGGAAGGAAGCAAAAAAAAGGAAGAAGAAAGAAAGAAACATTTTTTGAAATTAGATAATGGACTTTTTTGTGGGCTAGCAAGGAATTTTTGGAAGAATGAATGAAATGAAAAGATTTCAGATAAATAATGAGAGAACATTATGTACTACTAATATAATACTAGTATGTTAGAATAATGATGCTAATGGACTGAATATATATCCATCGAATAATTGAGAAAGTTTTTATGTTTATTATTTTTCTGATGTTCTTTTAATGTTAGAAGCATAATATTCTGAAAATGGATGAACGAGGGAATCTTCTCAACTCGAAGTTTTATATTTCCAGAGAAAGCATATAATAATTTTTTTTTAAATAAATCACAATCACAAGCTATACTTTTTCTATACAAGAAAAACTGTCTCATGTTTGGCCGGTCAGATTCCGCTAGAGCTCAAACTTTAATACAATTTCTTACAGTAGTCTCCACAGGCACATTCAAAAACTTCAAAAACTTCAAGTCAATTGAAAAAAAAACAAAATAATTGCGATCTTCAAAAAATTTAGAAGTACCATTGTACCTAGACAATTTTATAAATATAAATATTTTTGAAGAAAAAAACTAGTTTGCAGTCAATATGCAAAAACAAAATGGCGAGCAAAACAAAAAGGAAATCTCAAACTCAAACATTTGCTTGAGGTTATTTATTCACTTATGCTATGTTATGTTATGTTGCATACCTTTCCGTAAATTTGATTATGCGCAGTTTACAAATTGGCTTCGATTTTTCGAGAAAAAAAATCATATATATTTTCCTTATAGAAAAAAATAGAACGGCTAAAATTGCAGAAGGAAACTGCACTTTCCGCCTATTAAAAAAATTGTGAGCGACTAAATTCCAAAAAAATCGGAAATATAATAGAGAAAAAATATAGTAAGAAAAAAAGCAGATGTTCTTTTTTTCACAAAACCAACCAAAAAAAAGGCTGCAAAAATGTGTTTTTGTGCTGCAGTTGGAAAAAAGTGAGCCAAAAAAAGAACATCGGTTCGTCTGGTGAAGTAATGGGTTCATTATTGAGCCACATTTTTTTTTCGAGAAGAGAGAAAAAGATAAGGTTCGGTTCGAAACTGAAATAGTTTTATTTTTCCTTTCCTATGCCTATTTTTCCTCTTTTTTTCTCATTTTCCCTAACTGAATGGGTTGGGAAAATTTGGGGTTTGCATATTTTCAAAACACAAAAAAACTGGGATACAAATTTGGATATGAGGAAAAAATATATGAGAAACCTTGAAAGAACTTGCCACTTTTGAATAATAAATTTTTCATTGGTTTTTTCTCGTTTCGCAAAAACTATATGAATGTTTTTTTGAGATTTTTTTTTCGTTGCACACAACATATTGAAAAAAAAAGATAGGAAAAAAAAACAAAAAAAAATATCAGAGAATGTTTTTGCAATTAAAAAATGATCGATTTGTAAAAAAACGTTTGGGAGTATATTTTTGGAAGCCTTAAAGTTGGTTGTGATTTGAAAATTAAATATGCTATGATGGGATAAAAAAGGAAAAAATATTTAAAAAAAAGAAACAAAAAATACGGGATTGTGATCAGTGGTTCAAACACTACTAGAAACATATATTTCATTAAAAATCTCTTTGGGAAGTTTAAACAGTTCTTTCTTGAAAATAAAATAAAATGACAAATTGTTTTGAATAAAGAAAAAGGGCAACTTTTTAGAAGAAATGGAAATTGAAAAGATCCAATTTGTAGATACACAATTAAAAATAATTAAGATCATACTTTCTAATTAATCAGCGTTCTCATACTCACATTCAGAGAAAAATCAATTTCAAATAAATCTTCCGTCTTGACAAACAGTTGTACAACTGACTGAAAATGAAGAAAAAAGATCCGTTTTGACAAAAAAAATAAAGAAAAAACTAATATTTGTTGAGAAATGTATATGACATCGCAATTCATTCACACCCATGAAACTGACCATCGATGTGTTGTAGGATAGGGAAAAGCAAAGAAAATATTATGTTTTTCTCCAAAAATATGCATAAAACAACAATTGTAAAACAGTTATTACCAATACTATTATTTGTTTGTTGTTTGTTATTATGCAAGTTTTTTGTCGACTCGACTGGTTTAGAAACAAGTTTGAAAATAGAAGAGGAAAATACGGAAAAAAATGTTTCAATATTAGTGTTCTTTTCTGACCTCAATATGTATGTTTTTTCATGTAATGTCATTTACTAATAAAATTGACCGAAGAAAAAAGACGCAAAAAGAAATTCAATGTCGTTTTCAAACAATGAAACAATAAAAATCTTGGTCTTTCAAGGATTCTGTTTCGGATTCGGATTCGAAAAAGTTATTCAACAAAAACAACAACTGTTCAGAAAAATATATTTTTTGCGAAATCGATCTTGCGAGAAAAGGTGTAAACAAAAAACTGTCACGCCAAAAGACATATAAAAATTTAGGAAAAAAGTCTAACCAAATATTTGGCATCAATAAAAATAGTCAAACTTGTGTGTGAGCAGCACCTGTTTTTCACTATAAAATGTCAGAAGCTCATAAAAAATGCTCAAAAAATCTCAACCCCCAGAGAATTCCATGTTTTATTTCGGCAATCAAAAAGTTTTTTGACACTCTGCACACAATATATCTCAAAAACAATCTGTTTCACATGAAACTTGGTCATAAAAAAGTTCAGAGAAAAAAAGAAAACATAAGGGGACAACGGGTAGGTTTAATATATTTCAAAAGTTAGACGTTCCACGTGAAACTTTATCATGAAAAATTCCAAAAAAAAAAAGTATTGAAAAAAGAGGAAAAAAAGTTTCGACCACGGCAGGATTCGAACCTACAATCTTCTGCTCCGTAGGCAGACGCGTTATCCATTGCGCCACGCGGCCACATTTCACCATCATACACAATTGTCTACAGATGTTGAGTGCACAGCAACACAAAAAAGAAGAAAAAGATGAAGAGTAAGAGAAGAAAAGGTGATAGTTGTACAGATGTTTGGTTAGAGAAATGTGTGAAACAAAAAAATTGCTATATAAATGATGAAAAAAGGAACAAAAAACTAATATCTGGAAAAAATTATTATTGTTTGCCTCCGGCTATAAATTGTACAAATAATAACAATATGAATATTTTTTGGTTATCTTTATTTTTTTGAGTGAAGGAAAATATAAAAAACTGCAAAATCAACTTGTCGTGTGACATTGCCGAAAAATAGTATCAAGTTACAAAGCATGATACATCTTTTTCTACTTACTTAACTTAAGATTTGCGAACAGAAAGAAGGAATAATTGTAGAATGGGCCCCATCATTGTGTATTCCAGTACCAACAAGTCAAACAGTTTGGCTAATCTTATCAGAAACTTATTAGCGTAAATTTATATTTCAGGCCTTATATTTTAATGACCAGACATATGGGGGACCAAATGATAATGGTGAGGACGTTTTTCTCGAAATACCTTATAATCAAAGTAAGAGCCCGAAAATGTATAAAAGTTATCATGAGAATTCTCAAAAGTCCCACCCCAAAATATAGTCATCATCCAAAAAATGTCCCCACCCAAAAAAAACACAAATAGAGATAGAAATAAGATGCATAGGAACATGTATTTATGTAAAACAACAATCAAATGATTCGTTTCGTTCCCATGAGAGATTTGTCGAATTTATGAATATGCTAATAGATTACGAAAACGAGTGAAATAAGGAAGAAAATGAAAAAAAAAGAAAAAAAAAGATGGATAAAAATGTCCAAGAATTTTCACTCGGAAGTGTATAGAAACGAATCAAAAATAAGAAAAACTGAAAAAAAGAGAAACTAAAATGTGTGAGCGTGGAAATTATATTTGATTGGCAAGTGAGATGTGTAAATTTATTACATTCATTTCAAGAAAAATGATGAATTGTTCCAAAATATGGATTTTCCCACCACCAACCACCACATAATACACATACACAACAGATGTTTTCAAATCCATTAAAATGATGTCAATTTCACATTTCACATTTCAAAAACATCCATTTCATCTTAAAAAATGACAAGGGAAAGTTTTTTAGATGTGGTTCAAAATTCAGAGAATATGCAGTACTCGCAATAATTTTCAGACTAATATGAATCTTTCAGATAAATTAATAGTTTCTTTGGACTGAAATTGATAATTCAAAAAAAATAGAAAGTTTTAATAGAACTCGCACGTTCATTTTATATAGTGCTCTTCCAAAAACAAAATTCACCTTTACCCCAGAAAATAAAAAAATTTCGACCACGGCAGGATTCGAACCTACAATCTTCTGCTCCGTAGGCAGACGCGTTATCCATTGCGCCACGCGGCCAGGTGGAAGGCTAGGTGTGAATAGCCAAGAAAAAGAAGGAAAAAGAAGAAGAAGTGTTATGCAATGAGGCTAATGAATATATGTGTGTTTATAAAAGACAAAAAAATGTAGGAAAGTGCAAAAATCAAATCGCTCGAACACTCGAACACCACCCAAAACCACACCTCAAAAAGTTTAAACAAAAGAGGAAGCAAAAAAACACATATAGATAGTGAGAGAGAGAAAAAGTGAGAAACTTGTAATAACCCATTTCACTCGCCAAAAACTCAAGTGAAACATATGTCAAAGGTTGTCATCGAACATCGTTTTTTTTTGTTTCGTTGTCGCGTTCAAGTGGTTTTTTCACACACCGCAATGAGAGAAGCTGAGCGAAGCAAAAAGGCGGCGGATCTATTTGACTAGGCACATTTGGTGACCAAAAATGTATATCAACCTCATGGGACCAACTATTTGTCAGCATTTTAGTTTTAGGCGACAAAAAAGAGTCAAACAATATATGAATATTGTGCGCAAGACAACCCGACAAGATGTTTGCATACAGAATTTTTCATTGATTCATTATTATTTTCATAATTATTTATGTGTGCACCCGCCACAACCACCAAACAGGTGTAATTTGATATATTAAATTCATTATTATTTTTTCTTTGTGCATTTCAAGAAAAAAAAGAAGAAAAAAGAACAAGTTTTCAAATTCATGGAAAATGTGCACTAGTATGTATAATTAATTGTATTAAAAAGTGGTGTTCAGAGGACGAGAAAGATGAATGCGGATTAATTGCTATTCGACCAAACGACACGGCATTTCAGTCATTTTTTCATTCGCATTGTAACAATTCGAATTTTAACAGAATAAAAATGTTGGGGAATCGGAAAGTATGATTCTATGAAGATATCATAGTTCGTCAAACTAATTATTTTAGAAAAATTAAAAAGTGCACAACTCATCTAAAACAAATTATGACGTATTTTTTTTAAATAAACAAATAAGATTTTTCAAAATTGGAGAGACATACAAAAGTCTAAAGAAATCGCTAAAAAATTAACAATATGTAATATACTATTCATTACCGCTTTGTGCCAAGTATCAAAAAATATCCAGAAAATATTCGGCAAATGTGAAATTGACGCTGTAAGCTTTAAATTCACGAGACTTGTTTTTCGAAAAATTGTGTACTCTAGAAATTTACAGAATATTTTTCTTCTCGCATTGAAACGTTAAGAATAATACATAAATGTTTTGAAAAAAGTGCGAACAGCCAAAAAAAATGGAAAATAAACAGATTCATCTAACCATATGGCTCGGCATCTTCCAAGACATATTTTACGATAGATTTTCTTTTTTTGAAAATGTGTAAATTATATTAATAGTATCATCGAATACATAATATATTAAATAAAACCCACAAGTATAAATAGAAAAGAAAAACCATAACATTCAAGTACCATAAAGAGGCGTTGAGGTCAGAGACAAATATGTATGTATGTTTTTAGTTTAGTTTACTATTAGTAATGTAGACTGTGATTGCAGAAAAAAAACATCAAACGTATAAAATTTTTAATTAAACAGACAGAAAACTAAAATGATGCATGTGAGTGAGAAAAAAAAGAACAACAAGCAATGGTGTTCACAATTAATCCGTGATGATCTTTGAGGATTATCTGGATTTGTGTGCCAGGTGCTTTTTGCAAAGCAGGTAATGTTGCAATATTTTTCGGTTGGGTAAAACAAAGATATTCAAAAAACTGGGTGGAAAAGATTAGGGTTTCAAAAACCAATTTTGTCGCACAACAGCACTTTGAAGAAAAAATATCAAATTTCATTTTGAGCAACACATTTTGAAGTTGCGTTTGGGAAAACTGCAATTTTGATTCGATTGAGTGTGTCAAAGATTGAGATGATCTATGATCAGAATATCAGGACACTTATGATTTTTTTTGGATTTAGAGAGATAGTTTGAATAGAAATCCAATAAAATTTAAAAAATATATTACGAGTAGTTCAAAAATTAGCAAGCATAATATTGTTGTGTTTTAATCCGATTTGAAACAAAATTATTTGGAAAAATGTTTGGAGATAAGAAAACAAAAATTATTTTCTGAATCTCATCAACTCTAACTATAACTTCTCGAAACCTAGCAACATTTCTTTTAAATTCAGTGATCGCCTCATAAAATTTAAATTTCACATTCGAAAAAAATCTTAAAATGTCTGTCTACTATAGCACAAAACTAAAAACCATAAATCCACAAATATCCTAACCAAATTCTAAATCTTCTCAAAGACAACAACGAAGTGAATAAAAAAAAGAAGAAGCAGAAGAAGCATAAACGACAACCAAGGAAAAAATGAATAAAAAAGAACCAGATTAATTGGTTGTTTTGGAGCCGACGAGAGGTGCTCATTTGTGCTCGCGCGCGCGAGAAACGTTAAAATAGAAAGAAGGATAGATAGATAGATGGGAACACTGTTCGCAGGCCCTTCACCAAACAGCTGCCACCCTTTTCCTCTTTTTTCTCAATTCTTTTTTCCTTTCAATGAAAAAATCGCTAATTTGATCGATTTTTTGCGAGAGAGGTTTTTGTGAGTGAGAATGGTCCAATTAGTTGAGAAAATGTTATGGTCAGTTGGTAGAATTGGTCATAAAAAATATATTTTGCTGGGGCGGCGGCGGTTTACGAGGGGTTTAGAGAAATTTTACAAGCGATCTGATACATTTTCAAAAAATATATCTAAAAAGGATATAAACAAGCAATCAAAGAATATTATAGAATCAAGAAATGAATTCACAATAAATAAGAATATTCTAACACTTTTGTTACCAGGGTTCAACGTCAATATGTGAATACTTTACAACGTGGTGCAAATAGGTACAACTTTTTTGTTTTCATCTTTTCTTTTTTATGATTTTTCGAGAAAAGGATATCTTAATGTTAAAATAAAAACACTACGAACATAAGTATCATTAAAAGTTCTCCAAATATTCGATAAATATAAAATTGATGTGTCATTTTTTTTATTCATACATTTTTGTTTGAAAAATGTCTATCTATCTCTATGTATACTACTGTTGTACAAATATAAAATTATTTCATTGTCAAAGCCAAAAAGTATTGAAAACGTCAGAACAACGCAGAAAAAAAAACATTTTTTGTTGTTGTTCAGCTCATTATACCGGCCAAAAGTCTTCCTTCCTTCTCTTTGACAACAAAAAAAGTGGAGAAAAACTTTTTTGTGTCGTTCAAAGTCAAAAAGAAAAAAATCTTGTTTATGAGTGACTTTGTATGAAGAAAAAGACGAGGCTGGGAAAAAATATAGAAGAATATAATATTTTCAGTGGCGGTCAGAGCCAAGCAAATTATTTATGAAAAAAATATTTTCGAATTAATAACAACATCTTCATTCATTCATTCAGTGTTGGAAAAATAAATAAATAAACACGATCTTGGTTTTTTTCCCACTTTCAGAAGAATGTGGTTTCATTGTTGACCAAAAGAGATCCACCATCAGCACGTCCTTTATTCTTGATATCGAATTCCCAAAGAATCAAGAAATATGTTAATATCGCAGAGAAAAGCTGAAATTCAATAGTTCGCTCTTATTTTCTCGATTATATATGGAACACTTACACTCAAAATGATGCTTCGATTCATATCGAAATAATTTGATGCCGAAAGTGTCAATTTAGTTGCATGAATTTGGAAAGTAAAGAAAGTCATTTGACTCAAAACTGTAAGATCTCTCTCCTCGTGGAAGGTTTCATGATACATTCTGAAAGAGGCCGCCATAAGTCTCTCACCCTGGAAGAAAAAAAAATGAATTTTTTAAACTCAAAAAATATAAGATACATCTTCGTGGATCATAAAAGCTGGAAGACTGAACAAAAGAAGAACCAAAATCGCATTAATGATCCAAATGACAACAGATAAAACTTCAGTCCAGCAAACGTGAGTCGATGTCATTACCGCAAAAATAAGGAAACAGAAAATAGGAATACAAACTCCGTATGCATAAAATAATGCAAAAGAGTAGTAATCCTCAATAACTGATTTACCATTAAAGATTTTTTTGGTAAATTATCTGAACGTCGTGAATTTTCTTCAATGATGATTCTGGCAATGGGCATCTGACAATTTGATAAAGTGGATTTGTCTATGAAAAAAATGAAAAAAATTATTTACTCATCCTGATCCTCCGGTACCATTTCTTTTATTAGGTGTTTGATGCTTCTCCGAATCACCGAACAATGTTGGTAGAACAAAATTGCCAATGCCGAAATTGCAGCTCTTGAGATGAATAACTGGAATAAATTCAGAATTTTAAATTGTTATGTTTTTTTTTGTATTTCTTCTCTTACCGCATATGCATCAATCATAACACAATAAATTGTTTCTGTTGACAAATTTGGAGTTCCCATGCTTTTCATTATGTATCCATACTTTGCCACTAAAGAATATCAAATTTGTTATTGTTTTTTTTTTGCAAAAAAACACTTATATATACTTACAAGCATAAGTAAGGGCCATGAGAAACGCCAATCCAGCACTGAAAACCGCCAAAAATGTGTTGAAAATAAATTGTCGTTTTTCGGCTTCAGCGGTCCGATGTGAAATTGACAATTCGCAGAGAACCTATAATTCAGGAAAAAACAATTTTTATTTTTTTTGTGAAAAAGAGAGTTCTAACGTACTTTCAAGGGATTCAACTTTTTTCCGCCGAGTGTATAAAGCAACGAAGAAGCCAAAAAACCGCTGAATAATATTTTAATATTAGACTAATCTACTGAATTGAAAAAAAATGCTTACCTCATCATCATCAAGGCATTGCACAAAGTGATCAAACTCAAAGGATTTGCGAAAAACTGTTCCAAAGTTTCACGATCACCATTGCTTTTTACACCGATTTGATTGAATTTGCGAATGGTTGTGAAAAGCTGGAAGTTTGTCAAAAACTTTTCGCAGAATTCATATTTTTAGAGCTAAAAACTGGGCTCCAAGATTCATCAGAGAATTAGTGAGAATCTGCTTTCATCTGATCACTTGTCAGAAGCTATCAAATGTTATTTCAAAGATATTACAGATAAGGTTTCCTTGTTTGATCATTGGAGTGAATAAAATAGTGTTTCAAAAATATAGGTGGGAGACGTTCAAAGTTTTCATCAAAAATTCAAAACTTGATCAAAACACAACTTGTTCCAACTCACCAGAAGAAGAAATACAAACCAGCTGTAGAAACGATAAGCCAAAGAATAATTAGGACGAATAGATTGATTCAAGCCAAGCAAAAGAAGCAGATAATAAATAGGAAAAAGTGTTCGATCGCAAAGTTTCCATTTATTTCGGGATGCGAACACTTTTGTGATCATGGTTTTTTTCACTGAAAAATCAAAATCAAAACGTGACATTTTCTTGCGAATTACTGTACAAAATGAGGGTTTATGTCTTTTTTGTATTCAAGAAATGATGACAAATAAAAACTATAATTGCAAAGGATTATTGTTTGAATCTTCAAAACTTGCAATTTTTGAGATTAAAACTAGAAAACCACCTGCATTCAATGGAAAACACCTGATTTTTTGATTAACTAACCTCCGATTATTGAATTTTTGATGGAAAAATTAACTTGTGTATGTGATGGCATTTTTTGAGTTTTGATGCTCAGCTAGAGGAAATGAGAAGATGCCTCACTTTTGTTGTTTTTATTCTTTCCGAAATCACAATTAACTTTTTCTTTATTTAATTAGAATTTTCTCGGCATTTTTCATACGGTAGGTGTTTTCTTTCTATTTATAAATTAACTTTTGGTGCGATGGAAAATTCAATATTAAAGAGAGTGAGCAATACGTTTGAGCTTTTAGGAAAAATATCAAATGACATTCAAAATTTGGAGAAATAAGAATTTTATTTGCAGAAAAAAGACATGTGTTCTTGATTTTTGCTCTCAAAATGATGCATTAGGAGTATCAGAAATTGAAAAGTGTTTCTATCAGAGCAAAAAAATTAAATGTCGATTTCTCTATTTTTTGAATCACAAGATATGACCAACGATCCATAGACTATAAAAAAACAAATGCAACTAGTTGTTTTTCGTTTTCTGAATGAAGTTAATTTTCTTAAAAGCAAGAATGATTGGAAAGAAAAGAAATGGAATGAGAAACATATTTTCACTATGGTGAAAAACAAAAGGACATGGGAAATGAAACCCGTAGTTTTGCAGTTTTCAAGGAATGAATATTTAAGTTGAGTGAAACGATAGTTTTTTGCTAAATTTGGAAACATGTAAAGCATATGAATGTAGGCAATAAATAATTCATAAGTTAAACCAACTTTTTTTTTAAATGAGCATCAAAGCAGAATCTTTTGATACATATATGAAATATTTGGGTGAATGGCATAAACAAAGATGTTCATTGGATGAGAAACCGTACTTACCTTCATCGAACATCACTCAACTCTAAAAGTACTCGTTTCTTGCGGCACTAGATGAATAAAACATTTTACCTTATAGTTTGTTTAGATGACTTCATCATTCTATTTGTCTTTTTGAATATTTTCGAATTCAATTGAATAATGTTTTTTCAACAGATTTTCGCTATTTCGAAATGTTTGTCTGATGCTATGAGAAAACATGCACTAACAATTTACAAGGAGAGTATTGAACTTAAAGGGACTGTTCTGGGTTTTTCTACACTTGCTGTTGTGTGTGTTATTTTCCATAAATTTTCCCTAACATTTTCCAATTATGAAAGATGCTAATAATACAATTTAGTCTCCTTCATAGTTCATTGAAGATTTGGGATTTAATCTGGTTATGATGTATCTAGTTATCTTCGAGAAGTTTTTATTCTAGGTGAAGCAGCAAGTACAAGTGTCAATTTTCTTTCGGACATACAACTTTCCGCTTTTGGGAATGTGTAATGGTTGGGATTCTAAATTCCACGACATTATTAGGTCAATCCGATATTTCGCATCCAAAAACTTTCTGCACCTTTTTGGGTCACTCATTTTTAAATAATTGTTCAAAGTATATTTATTTGCAAGAAAAACTATTAAAAAATATAAAATACAGATACCAACTAAAAATTATTTTTTTTTACAAGCTGAAACCAAAAGCAATTTCAAGAAGCTCAAGAACATCTCATTCATTTAGATTTTCTCTTAACATTTGCAACATGAGATGCTCGTCGTTCATCAATGTTGAGTGGAGCAATCATACTCGAAGTGGCTTCAGAAACATCTGGAGAATTCACATCTGAAAATAACATCTCGGGAAAAGAACCGCAATTGTGGCAGCATTTGTCGCAGCGCTGCGGCAATTTGTCGCAGCGCTGCAGCATTTTTTTGTTGCAACACACGCGCCGGAGTTGCGACAAAACTCGCAACTGTTGCGTGAACTGTTGCGGAAATGGGCGCAACTCCGGCGCATGTGTTGCAGTGCCGCAGCGCTGCGACAAATGCTGCTACAGTTGCAGTAAGTTGCGGTTCTTTTCCCGAGATATAATATTGAATTTCCTTGTTTCAATCATTCATTGTCAACTCACGTTCCCAGATTGGTTCATATGGAAGCTCTGGAGAGAGTTTAAGAACTTCAGTATTATCTTGTGGAATATATTTTGGAGTACTTGATTTTCTTGGAGTTTCTGGGATGTTTTTGACTTCCTTATTTTTCTTTGAAGAACAAATTGTTTCAACCAGAGTTGAATCGGATCTAGATCTTGCTGTTCGACTTATCGTTGAAGAAGATCTTGATGAATACAAACTTGTCAGAATCTTCATGAGCTCGTTGATTTGAACTTGAATACCATTCTGAGTTCTCTCGAAACTATCAATCTTGTCATCCAAATGAATCCAGTTTCCATCACTTAATTGCTTCAAATTTGAGATTTTTTCCTCGATATCCAATCTGGTATCATTGATCACTTTCTGAAAGTTATCTTTGATGTTGTTTCTTAAATAATATGGTATTTGTAAATCTCACCAAAATTTCATCAATACTCTCTTGCCCAACAAAATTCGAACTATTTAATTTTTCTTTCAAAGTCAAGTGTTCCTTCGTCAAATTTCCCACTGTTTCATTCAACGCAATTACTTGTGGAACACCATCTTTATTCTAAAAATATTTTTTTACTTCTTAGACAGAGTTTGATTTCGGAGAATGTACAAAAAACAAACATTTTTTTCGTTTTCCAATTCTTCATTCGTGTTCAATTGTTTCTTGGTTTTCTGAAAAAAAGAACAAATATTTGAAATTTCACACTTTTTTTCGGAAATTGAGAAAAGAAAAAGATTGCGACCTTTGATGTTTTATTTTCTATTTGTTCCAAAATATTGTCAAGTTTCGAATTGATTTCGTATAAAACATCCTGAAATTTAGAATGTGTAATGATTTTCATACTGAAAATGAAATAAAAACCTTTGGAGCAGAATAGTTTTGAAGTGGACCTGTTTGATCTTTGACCACTTGAACATAAACAGGTTGTTTCTCATAACTTGGAACATAATGCTGAAATTATTCAAACAACATATTATTGAGATCAACCGAATTTTACCTGTTCAGGGATGATAGTTTCCCTAATAATAACTGATGCTGGTCTCTCTTGATACTCTGGGTTTCTTCGAAGAACTACAAATGGTTTTTCGATAGCTCTATCGACTCGACTATTATGCTAGAAAAATTTTTGTTCTGAATCCCTGAAATATCAAATGCACTTACAGTATCCACAAAAGTTTTTTTGTAGATAATTTCCTTTCTACGAAGTGTAGGAATTGGCCGCGACATTTTTTTTTAAATAAAATAATGATACTTTTTTCCTCTCCAAAAATTGAAATGTTTGGAAATTCGCAAATTGTTGATAATTCAATGATTCGTCATTTTTTTACAAAAACAAAATAATCTATACAGATGTTTCTTCGGCAGGAAAATGTGTTTATTACATTATGTATTCATGTATGTATAATAGAATATAATACACAAGCAATAGGGAAAAAAAAAGAGAAGTGAAATTTAAAAGCTTTGCAGGTTTGTATAATTTTTGGCAGTTTTAAAGTTGTTTGATGGATTAATAGGTTTTGCGGAGAATTTGAATAGAACGGTATTCGCGATGTTGTTGAGTTGGTGAATCAAGATTGACGTGAGAATTGTTACCATTGCGAAGAATGCCAGTTGTGCTGCTGGCTGGTGAATCAACACGATATCCATTTCTGCTTTCCGATCTGTGAGATGATGATTGAGCACGGGAACTTGATCTTTCTTCTTGATGTTGGTGTTGTTGTTGATGATTGATAGTATTTCCATTAGTAGCCGATCCATTATAAGCGCCTAAAAGATTAATTTAATTAAAAATCTTTTTTTTCCTGTTAGTTAATCAGGAAATCATGTTAGATGCAAAAAGGTTTTGTGCTTTTTTTGAGAACCGAAAGTGTTTAGTTAAAACCTTGTTCAAAATTGTTACGAATTGTATCAAACACTTGTTTTCCAGGTGATCGTTGTTCCGGAGTAACAGTACGCTCTACATTTATGAATTATCAAAAATTATTAATTATGTGTAAGTTTTCATTAATCATTAATTAGAAGTATGGGTTTCTTTTTTTTAACTCACCGCTAGTGGTAACACGTGAAGCAGCTGGGCTATAGGCTCTATTTTCAGTGGTGCGAATTGGAACATCATGTGGAGAAAGACGATTGCGAGAGTCAGAACGATGGTAACTGTATGAATGTGAAGAATAAACATCTCTTGATCCTGGAGAATCGTTCAATCTTTCAGCTCGTGAACCACTTCTGCTTGAAGCACTTCGAGAATCTTGTTCAGTTTGGATATGGATTGGTGAATTTGGTCCTCTTTGACTTCTCAATGTTGATGATTCAAATCTTGGCGAATTGCGACCAGCTCCTTCGATTGGAATCAATCTTTCACGAGAATTGAGAGCGTTTGAGAATTTGGCAGCTTCAACGTTCAATTTTCCCTGCAATAAAACTCATTTTAAAAATTTCGACTCTGATTTAAAAATAAAACAAACCTTGGAGTCAATGCTACTTTGGATAGAATTAAAATCAACATCTTTTGGCAATTGATATTTTCGGATAAAGTACATTTTGGTGAAATTATCCCGATCTCTAACATCTTCATGTCTTCCCTCAATAAGCAAAGTATCATCCAAAGTCTTGACTTGAATTTCCTCTGGTCTGAATTGATAGCAATCAACATCAACAGCAAATCTACGTTCATCATTCACAACATTTGAGTTGACATCAATTCCATCTTTGAATATTGGTTCAGCCCATCTTGGATAAATATCCATCCAGAATGGATCTTTACGCCAGTTGTTGTCAAGACGATCAAGTTGGGTTGAGAACTATAATATTTTTGTGAACAACTTTATAAGACATTCTAGAACTTACTCTTGGCATCACTGCATCCATACGTGGCCAATCAACTGGCCACTCTTTCCACCAATTGTCAGTGTTTCGTGAGAACTGAAAGAAAAATCAATATATTCAAAAATGCTACCTTTTGCTACAAAAAAAGAAATAGGAAACCGGACAGTAAAATGAAAATTGTTGGATAGATAATTGCAAGAGAGAGGGAGAGGATGAATAGCCTCTCGCTCACTCATATTTATAGGCATGACCGATTTTTATTTTTGAATTCAAATCCGACGCAACTTACTCGATGAAAGAAATCTCTTGGTTTTGGCCAATCCATTGGCCAATCATTGAAATCGTCAAGCCATAAATCATTGTCTTTCCACAAATCGCGTCGCCCAAAATCGGTATGTCTTGTTGCGAGAGTCATTTCAATACAGAATAAAGTTCGCTGAAACATTGAATTATATTTAAATTATATCCGATTTATATATATATATACATATGAATACGATCAAATTCATCACATTAGTAGAAAAAAACATAAATTTGATAATTGTCAAAACCAATTTTGTTCTAGAAAAATCCAAAATTTTATAAATAAATTCTGGGCAACAAAAATGGGCGTCAACTACCTAACTATGAAATTTTTTGTCAACACTACTCGTATTTTTGTCAAAGGGCACACACAAATACATCAGAAGAAGAAAAACGAGAAAAATAAATATTCAAAGATGACTTTGGACAGGAAAGGAAGAGGGAATGTGTTGTATTATTTTCACTTGACAAAGTTTTTTTTTGCCATTTTTAATACTAAAAATAAATATGAACAAAAAACATGTGACACTGATTCAGTAAATATATTTTGGCATTTCCCAGAATTGAATTATGTATATTAAAAAAAAACATATTGATATTATTATGAAAGAGAGAAATTTATGAGAGCTTTCTATCAAACAGAAAACAGTGCATGGTTATATACCCTCCAGCTGACATGGGCGTTGGCTGGTCAAACTTAGTCCATATTGGTTGACTCATTCAAAAAGGGCGGCATTCACATTTGTCTGAATTTCTTCTCCTATCACACTATTTCTCTCTCGCCTACATTTCGGTTGATGATCAAAAGTGATAGTTAATCAGTAGCGCGCGAACATTCGAGATGAATTCAAGTTTTTTCAGGGTTCGACCATATCATTTTTGTTATTCTTGTTGTTTTTTTCTGAAATATAATTGTTCTGTTATTTCGAAATAGGAACGATTTGGTTTTTAATGACTAATATGTTCTGAATAGAACGATGATAAATTCTTTTGTTATGTTTTCAGGAAACACATTTTTGTAAATCAACCAACTGTGAAATTTCAATTCGTTTTTAAATTTTATGTGAACATATATTCAACATTGATATTTTGATAAAAATAGGAAAACACGTTTCAGAAAAAAAAACAGATATTGCTAAAGAATATTTGAAGGCATCCTGAATTTCAGAAGTATCCTTGAAGCATCTAATGATGCTTTTCGAGAATTCCAATCAGAGTTTGAAGGTCCAAATAACACAAAAATGACACAACTAAAAAACTGCCCTGGTTTTACAAGCCACACATGTGTTTCGCACATTCTTCCTTTTGCACCTGTTTTTATTCAAGATGCCACATTACCTACCCGCGAGATGTCTGCCACATTAAAACATGGGGTTATAAAAGAAACCACACATTTTGATGTTTTGTTCTTCCGAGAACATATACTAAAATTGGAACAATACAGAGAAGATTAGCATGGCCCCTGCGCAAGGATGACACGCAAATTCGTGAAGCGTTCCAAATTTTTTGCAACATTTTTTTCATATTAGTCATTCATTCCAATCACCAAAAATCAAATCATTTTTCTATTTTCTCCCATATAAAAAATGCGGGGGGTCTAATCCACTTGAAAAATACCGGCTCACATAACCAACAATTTTTTTGATCAACCTAAACTAATAAAATAACTCAAAAGGGCGAGAGCGACAATTTCCAAATTTAGCCATAAAAAAGTTTGGAAAAGTGTTTGATTTCGCTTTTAGTCGATGTTTGCTTGTGTATGAGTAAAATACACATCGGTTAAGTTTTTTTGAGTTATATTATATTAAAAAGATCAAAATCAACGAGGGAGTTCCAATAAAATATTTTTTATTACATTATACCCAACAAAACTTATAAGAATTTGAACTTCAATTTAGAGAGAAGAAAATCCTGGATGAACAGTATCACGTTCGGAAACAATCAAAGTATCCTTATCCTTGATTGGCCAATCAACATTGATATCTTCATCGAATGGGTTGATTCCGAACTCGGTTTTTGGGTCATAAACAGCCGAGCATTTGTAAGTAACATGAGCTCCTTCCTTGCTCAAAACTTGGAATCCATGCAAAAATCCAGCTGGAATCCAGAAAGCATGTTTATTGTTTCCGTTGAGGATAACTCCGTGCCATTTTCCATATGTTGGACTTCCCTTGCGAATATCAACGGCGACATCGAAAATTTCTCCACTGACCTGGAAATTTGTTGAAATTAATAAGAAAAAAATATTGAAAATTCCAAGTTTTTGTTTGAACTTACAACAGTCACAAGTTTTCCCATATGAGGCTGTGAGTGAAGACCACGAAGAACTCCATAGTGGGAGAAAGAGTGGTTATCCTGGTAAATATGATTTTGGAATTTCGATATTTGCTAACTGAACTCACTTGTTGCAAGTCCTCGGTGTATCCGATTTTCTCGGCCCATTCGGTTTTGTTGTAACTCTCGGAGAAGAACCCTCTATCATCCGGGAAGACCTGAAACATCGAAGAATGGAAAATTTAAGAAACCTTCTGGAACAACGTTCACTATAAAAATTCATGAGAGTTAGAAGATATTTGAAAATAAAGTGAGACAGTTTGAAAAAATCACTTTTGAGAATTCTAAACTAATATAAGAAAAAAATCAGCACTAAATTCCATAACTTACTCGCAAATTTTAACTGAAAAAAATTCTCAATTCCGGTATTCCTTTAATTTAATTTTTCTGAAAAATTCCACGTGTTTTCTATCAAAAATAACCATTTAATGCAACGATTCCCTATGTTTACATATTCATCTCACAGGGACAAAATATATTCAACGCTTCAAACGCGCCCTACCTAATCTCATTTTCTCTGTCTCTCACTCGTTTTCCCCTGCTCTCTAGTTGTCCCCAACTAATCAACGCGGAAACGTTTTTGTTTGTTGTTGTCAACAGTTTACATGCATTAGTTTTTTATCATTTACTCGTGTTTTCTAATTTTTTGTTAGTTTCCGAATTTTTTTAATGAGTTAGCCCCTATATAACGAATAGTTTTAGACAACTTACCTTTGGTTTAATGACCAATAAATCCGGAATAGCAGCAATGACTTCTTTCTCAAGTTGAAAACGTTTATCTGGAGTTGGATGAGACATTATTCTTTTGTTTCTTTTCAAAATGAATACGACTGTTTGGAATAATAAGTTTTTTCTCGCAAAATGCGGACATTCAGCCTTGACATGTTCTGATATCTTGCCCTACAAATCTTTCCCTCCCGGTTTTTTGTATAGATCCTAAATGAAGATAGGATTTTTTGCGGGATTTCAAATTTGTTTCGATTTTTTGTCCGGTGTTATTGAACCACTCATTGTGTTTGAAAATTTGAATAATGATAAGAATAGACAAGAAAAACGTGCTACAAGTTCAAGTTTGTTTATTGGAGTCTTATCAACGGTCACATTTTGATTCAAACCAACATCGTAAGATAACCAACCAGAGTACGTCATTCGTTGTTTTATTTTTCATGTTTTGCGTGCGATTTAGGTTGTGTTGTGTTCAGAAAACTTTTGAGCAGTACCTCTGAAGGTATATGGTTTGCACACAGAAAAAACAAATGTTCTCTACGTTGACGCACAGTTGACTATTTTACTAAAATTTCTGTTGAGTGAGTAAATACGAGAAAAGATGGGTTGACTCGACCAGCGATCAAACTTATTTCTTACACAACCCGCGTGTTTCTCACGTTCTCAACATTTTCTCCTCCTTTTTTCTTCAGAAAGAGATAGAGAAGAAAACACAAAAAAAACATGGGCTGTGCAATGTCTTATTTCGTTTTCTTCAAATTCCTCCCATCTTATTTTGATTTGATTATTTTTCCAGGTAACCCTATTCATTGCGAAAAATGAGCGTCTCCAAGAAGGTCTTTACTACTGCCGTCCGTGGAAAGTGAGTGAACTTGAAACATTTCCAAAACAAAATAAAATGCCAATTAATTTCAGATCATGGTGGACTCACGTCGAAATGGGACCACCTGATGCAATTCTCGGAGTCACTGAGGCATTCAAGGCTGATAAGAACCCAAAGAAAATCAATCTTGGAGTCGGAGCTTATCGTGATGATCAAGGAAAACCATTTGTTCTTCCATCTGTCAAAGAAGCTGAAAGACAAGTCATTGCTGCTAATCTCGATAAAGAATACGCAGGAATTGTTGGACTCCCAGAATTCACCAAATTGTCTGCCAAACTTGCTCTTGGAGAAAACAGCGAGGTTATCAAGAACAACCGAATTTTCACAACTCAATCTATCTCCGGAACTGGAGCTTTGAGAATTGGAGCCGAATTCTTGGCCAAATATGCCAAGACTAAGGTTATCTATCAACCAACTCCAACTTGGGGAAATCACGTTCCAATCTTCAAGTAAGTTTGGAGAAAAACTGCTTTTGAGAATCTTATTGAAAAATATTTTTTTTAGATTCACCGGAGTTGATGTGAAGAACTACCGTTACTACGACAAATCCACATGTGGATTCGACGAGGCTGGAGCTCTTCAAGATATCGCTGCTATCCCAGAAGGATCAATCATCCTTCTCCATGCTTGCGCTCACAATCCAACTGGAGTCGACCCATCGGTAAATTTTCTTATAATTCCTGTTTAAACAACCAAAAATATTTTTTTTTAGAAAGACCAATGGAAAAAGATCTCCGAAATTGTCAAGAAGCGCAATCTTTTCGTTTTCTTCGATATGGCTTATCAAGGATTCGCTTCTGGAAACGTTGACAACGATGCTTTCGCTGTCAGATATTTCCTCGAACAAGGACACAATATTGTTTTGGCTCAATCATTCGCCAAAAACATGGGACTTTATGGAGAACGTGTTGGAGCATTCTCAGTTGTTACATCTGATGCTGATGAAGCTGCTAGAGTTGCCTCTCAAGTCAAGATTCTTATCCGTCCACTTTATTCCAACCCACCAGTTCATGGAGCCAGAATTGCTTCAAGAATCTTGGCTGATCCAGCACTCAACCAACAATGGTTAGTTTTTATAATCAAATATTTTGAATTAAATACTCATAATACAATTATTTCAGGCTCGGAGATGTTAAATTGATGGCCGACCGTATTATCAGCATGCGTACTCAACTCAAGAGTTTGCTCGCCAAGGAAGGATCAACCCGCAACTGGGAACACATCACCAACCAAATTGGAATGTTCTGCTTTACTGGAATCAACCCACAACAAGTTGAGAAGCTCATCAAGGAACATTCGATTTATTTGACAAAGGATGGACGTATTTCAGTTGCCGGAATTTCATCGAATAATGTTGGTTATCTTGCCCACGCTCTTCATCAAGTCACCAAGTGAATAATTGTATTTTTGCGACCATTTTTGTTCTATTTATTTTATCCGGTCATAATAGACAATGATTCTTTTCTTACCCTTAAAACCTTAACTCTAGTTTTAGTCAATCTCTTTATCGCCGGTGATTATTTTCTATTTTTTGAACAAATATAAATTGTTTTCTTGTAAAATTTTGTTTGATAAGATTTGATATGGCGTGGTTTCGAGTTTTCATAGTTCTTCGGAGTCGAAACCACATGGCTGATGAGAAAAATTTTACACAATAAAACGTGTTTTAGTGAACTTATATCAGTGATGACCAAAGAATGATTAGGTTCTGACTTTTTACCAAAAAAAGTTTGGGTTTGTATGATATTGAATTGATCCTGCTAAACTTTTTGATCAAAATTGACATTGATGGAGATTGAGAACATTTTTATATTTGGGAGCAAAATACAAAAACTTAGGTGGAATTTTAATTTTTTAAATTGATCTGTATGTAGTTTGAAACTTGAATAATTCAAATAACCAATACCGTAAGATATAAGTTGTTTAACGAAAAATTGAATGTTTATAAAAAGTTTTGAAAAAAATTGTTATAAATGAAATATAAACATTCGGAATTGTATAATGAATGAAAATCGATAAATGTAGGTTCTTGAACTTTGCTGAAAAAATGGTCCAATTTTCATATTTGAAGCTTTCCAGGTTTAGTCCAAACATTGCAACTCATTTTTTTAAATATCATTTAAGTTTCTCACCATTCCCCGGTTTTTGTGAATTTTATGGTTTCGGAGAAATGAGTACTGTATACACTCTCTCAATAATTCAGTTTTTTTACAATTCATCAATCAAAATATGTAGTGCTGATAAAACAAAATAAAGCATTAGTAGGAAGAAAACCTAGAATCATTTGATAATCATTGACTTTTAGTCGACAAACAACTTTCTTGAATCGGTTTTCCTTGAAGGGGTAATAATAAATTAGAGCTCATCAGAAACCAGATTTCATTCAAAAATAAAAACATGTATGTCACGAATTGTTTTTTTTTCAGAGAAGCCCACATAAAAAATGACTCATAAAAACTAGATATGATGAAGATTAAAGATTTAGAGATCTCTGTGAAAATGTTTTGAACTTATTTATATAATTTTTTTTCGATCAGTCATTTTTTTTTTCAAAGTCAACAACTTCATTAATATCTTCGTAATTTCTAAAGATTCCTGCTGAAGCCTGTGATGCTGAAATATTTTTTGCTAACGCGATTCCATTAAACTTCCACTCATTGTTCCCATTTCCAAATGTATATTTTGTTTCATATTCAAACATTTATGAGCATCAACTTTCTTTCTCAACTTTTTTTCAGCCCCCAATTTTTCATCTTTGCAAAAAAATGTTCAAGAAATCAAAAAAAAATTTAAGCCAACCATAAAGTTTTCATTAAATCCCAAACAAAACCATATATGTATACGAAAATTACGAAAAGATTAAATTTACGTAGGCCGTTGTTTACACAGTACATTTTCATTAGCAAAATTAAAAGTTTTTTTGTTGTTTTCGTCGAAAACTTTTGATTTGATTCCTTGAACTTTCGTTAGAAAGGAACCAAATTTGATCATTGCAAAAATTCTATACAATTCCAATAAAATTGATATTTGAAAATGTTCTATTGAACAGAATATGTTCTCTATTATAATTATATAATTTTAATCCTTTCGAAAAATATTTGAAGCTTATCAGAAATTTGTTTTTTTCTCTGAAAAATGATATTAGATTAGAATAATTAGAATTCTACTGTTGGTTTCTTTTCTGATGAAAACTCATCTTTATTCAACAAATCGGAGATCAAAAATCTTAACATTTTTGTTGTGTCTATTTTCAGCCATACATTCCAAATTGAATCCTAAAAATAACAATCTAGACACTGACCAGCATCAATTTGCAACTAACAAAAAAGTGCTATAAAATTCCAGACACGCAATGGTACCTGAAATATGCATGTATGAATATTTATATTTATATTTAGATGCGAACAGAAACCCCCGTTCGAAAAATATAATAGTTCTCGAAAAAATTCATTGGAACCAAATCAAATGTTTGTTTAGCTGCGTGTTTTGACAACAAAAAAATCTGGAGAAAAACGTTTTTGTACACAAATAAATATCAATAAAGCTGAACAAATTCCATGTTCGATTTTATATGCAAATTGTTTGTTATTTATTATTTATCACACCACTTTCATTTCAATGTGTTTTCTTTTTTTTTTTGTTTTTGCTGTGTAATCAATATTACTGATAAAACAAAATTCCTGGAAAAACTCTATACAAATCATTTTTTGATCTTTCAAGAAGCTCAATCCCTTCTTAATAAAAACCAAAAACTAGATAGTTAGAGACCTATTGTGAGTATGTGCAACAAAAAGTGCACTTCCCTCTTTTTTCAGACTTTTTTTTCGGTTTCGCCAACAATGGATGGGAAAAAAGATGAATAATGCAGTTCTTCGAAAAACTTTAGTCCTTTTTATTGTTTTAGAGCGATTTGGTTTGGTTGTGTTTTGAAAATTGCGAAAGGAAGTTTTTAAAGTTCAAAGTTCTGCACTTTTATGTTGTACGCAGCTTAGGAAGTTCATGTGAACCTTTGTTTTCTGTATGAATCCATATAAATTCTCTAGTTTCGCGCAAAAAATATAAAAAATAAATTGAGTTAGAGTTTTTTTCCAGCAAAAATCGGGGACAAATTCAATTCTGTTCGGAGCTTCAAAGTAATTGAATTTAAAAGTGGTTTCCTCGTTTATTTCACTTCAACCTTCGATCAAACTTCGACAAAAAATCCCCAAAAACAAAGATTATATTCTTCTGAAAATGCGTAATCAGAAGACTCTTCCATTCCGAGTAAATCTTTAATAATCAACGCGTAATAACAAAATCCCTTGAGACGATTTGTCTTGTCAGAGATAATATTATTTCTAGCTTCATTAAAAAGGACATTTGTTACGTCAAAAACAGAGATTACTAAAACCACACCACATTTTCTCTTTCATGAATCTATAATTCCCCGTGCAAAAAGATGAGAGTGCCACGCACTTATTTTTTATTCAAATATTTGCACGCATTGATGAGAATTTATATTTCTTCGTAGTTTTTATTTGGAAATAATGCGTAATGGGCCTGGTTGATTCATGACAACTTTCGAAATACAATCAGGTGTTCAAACAATGTTTTGAATCATCAGAACAATAGAGATTTGATTTCACTAATCCGATCTCAAAAAAGTGCAACTTCCTTATGAAATATGTATAAATATATAATTCTTGTTCCGTTTTTTTCATATATTTTTTTTGAACTTTAGGAAATGCAAAAAGTGGAAATAATCTAATTTCCGTCACCTTGACTACGTAACAAATTCCATCTCATTTTGTATCTGATATTTACTTGGTAAAGGCCAAAATTCCCCCTTCCTTCCTTTACGGAATGAATAATGTGATATATAATCATCTGCAGGTGGAATAGAGTTTACAAGAAACAATCAATCATTTGCAGGTGCAAAATTGTTAGAAGAAGAATTTTTTGGAATGGAATGAATTGCATGATGAATATTCATATCGTCTGTCATATTTATCGTGAGAAAATAGAGTATGATCACATTTTCTGCACTTATGAATAATACCCCTGAGAAAATAAATAAATAAAAGTTGTTTCGGCACCTTTTTTCCAAAGCACAGATTTTACGACAATTTCTTCTGGTTTGCCGACTCTTTTCTTCAGAATTCTCCCTCCCTTTTTGTATGATTCATTCGTACAAAATGTGTTTTTTAATTAAATTTCTAACGTCTGATACATAGTACATTTTTTTCCAAGAGTTCAAGCTTTTTCGTTTTTCTTTTTGGTGTTCGGCTAAGTCGATCAAATATTCATTTCGGTTTTTCGTCAAGTGAAAACGAGAGGAAAAGGCAGAAATGAACCATGAGTGCGCATGACTCAAATTTCAGAAATTCGAATCTTGGAGTATGAAAAAATGCGCAAAATGGGAATAGAATCGAGTATGCACGGAGAAGATTATTTGTAGGGGGAAGAAAAATGAAATGCAATTGACAAGTCCTTTGGGACCAAAGATTTTTTCTTGAGAAAAAGTTTCCTTTTCAAGTTCCTTGCAAAAATATTACATTTCAAAATGAACTACCAATTTTTTTTGACATTTTTTTTGGTTTTTGGTTGAATGAAAAAAAATGAATTAGCTAATAATGATGAAATATAAGGTTTTGCATCATATGGAAAGCCCTACAATTTTTAGGTTATGAAATAAAAATGATCAAAAAACTTATATTCTTATTATTACAAAAATCACCTCAATTTGTGTGTAATACTCCTTTTTTGTCCTCTGGAAAAAAGGGTGTCGGTTTCCAGCTTTATTAAAATATTTTTACACCAAAATTTTCAACCTCACTCATTCTTCGACCTTTCCTTGACAGCGTTGTTCTTTTCGAAAATTTTCACACAAATCTCTGCCCTTTTCTTGACAAACTTCAGGTATCTTCATTTTTTATCGGCGGCTACGACGAAACCCAATGTGTCGCCGACATTTCTCTACTTCTCCTCATTTTCTCGATATATTTTTTACAAAAAAATGATGAAGAAGAGAGAAAAAGTATCTGTGTTTCGATGTTATTCGAAACAACACACATATAAATATCGAAACTTTTCGAACATTTTCGAAAATGATAATATAGAAAACATCACAATATTGTTCCGTTCTGATATGATTAGTCATAAATGCGATTGTTAAGGGCGTGGGTAGACATAATGTGAGAAAAAACTTATGATTCATACCTACCAAGTCTAATAAACTTTACCAAAGAACCTCAAGGGAATTGCTTTATAATTCGAGTAATTCATCTTGTTTTGTTGTGGTTTTACTCATTAGTAGGTGAAGAAAACGCGTAGGAAGATATCTTTTGCCTGCCTCCCCCGAAAAAAATATGAGAGAAACAACTCAAAGTTCAATTCGCAATGTTTTCGAATGTCTTATCATAGATTTTCGTGTTATCTGTGTTTCTCCCAATCAACAAAAAATTATAAATTCGAAGATTTTCGAATGTGCGAAGATAGAAAAAAACGAAAAGATGGAAACGAGATCAAGTGGTTTGGTTAATTGAATTTGGCCAAAAAATAAATGCGAGAGATTCGACAAAACTTAATTATAAGAGTCCTTTTTCTGACCATATAACATATCAGATTCATGAGAAGAGAGAATTGAGGAAATAGAACCCTTAATGTTTACTGATCACTGGTCACCTACTAAACAAACAGACTATAATTTTCTTTGATATTAGTACCTATAATTTTCCGCTCACTGCTCACTCAAAGAATAAGTAACTAAGCAAAAATGTATACCTGACTGACTAGTACTTGGAATTTATTATTTTTTTGCTTGGTCTCCTCAACATCAGAGATCTGGTCTCAAAAAATTTTCATTAGTTTTTTTTCATCTCATTTTTTTGCAAAGGACAAGTTAATACAAACTAAGGACCACGAGAGTTTGAAAGACAGAAAGGACATTTTCTTTTCAGAGAAGAAAATTATGTAACTGGAAAGGAAAAAAAGTGGCTGAAAAACAACAACAAGCAAAGCAGTTCTCAAAAATAGACGAGTAATTTATAACGAGAATATCTAATTGTGTTGTTGTGATCATTCTTGGACTTTCAGAACTTCTCCAGATTCATTTTCTTGTTTTCATTTCCTTCCCAAAAAATGTCTGATTCGACTAATCCAAAATGAGATTAAATTGAGGAAGAGAGACTGAAAATCCATTTTTCCTTGAATCCGATTCAATTTATTTTTCAATAAAATCTCATTTTATTCTACAACGTTTACTCTAGAAGCACATTTCGCCATAATTTCGAAACCTTCTCGAAACAGTCACCAAAATCCCAGCAATTTTTCGAAAAAATTCGAAGAGAAGCACAGAAAAAATAGTGTGCGTTGGAAGGAGAGTGTGAGAGAAAAGAGGTGGAGTCAAGGCTCCGCCCACTTTTGCCGCTTGGTCGTATATAAAGGAAAAGGGGGAGGCGAGCTAGTCACATACATCGAATCCAGTTTGACCGAAAGCAAGTCTAAGGCGAAGAACATACACACCAATTCAGGGTGTTGGTGTTCTTCGCCACTCGGTCTATTTATTATTCATTATTCCAAACATCCATTCAAATCAATTCAACATCAAGATATGGATACTGGTTCTCGATTGTTGTCCAAAATGAAAAGGACTTCTTCAATATCGACATTCTTATTTTTCGATTTCTAAATTCGTTGGATACTTCGGACCGCGACCAATTCAAATCAACAACAACATCTTCAAAATCTACAGCAGCAGCCGATATGAGTTTCCTTTTCTCCCTTTCCCCCTTTTTCATTTCTGAATTTCTCCAAATTTTGTTGCTCTGAATTCTTGTATCCTGATGCACACTTCCGGTCATACGGTGGACCAAATGGAGGTTAGTTCGTGGTGACACGGCTTCATTTCAACAAATCGAATCAAATTCTGAAATTTTTCTGAAACTGTTAGATATTTGAAAAGATAATCAAAATGATATTGATTTTCGAAATTATAAGACAATTTGAAAAGTGAGCGTTTTGAACGCAAGTGTCCTGTTGCACACTTCCGGTCATACGGTGGACCAAATGGAGGTTCGTACATGGTGACTTGCGTTCAATTCGACGCTAAAATTGCTGTTAATTTTAATTATCACACATTTCATTTACAGTGGGTTTTTGATACAAATGAGCCCTTGCTTCCGGTCATACGGTGGACCAATGGAAGTTGGCTAAAAGCATTTGTATCAATACACCATTAAAAATGTGACTTCAAATTGATTACTTTTCATGATAACAGATAGTCTTCTAAAAAGTAGAGTTTCTATGCAATCCATTCATGTTTAGGATTCCTTTTCTATCATTTTTTATTTGTAAATACCCCTTTCTGAACTCTCCAAAGTTCAGAAAGCGTCAAAATTGTCCGAAAAATGTACAAAAAAATTGACAAACTTTAATTCCTCAGGCAGTTGATCTGCACACAAAAAAATTGAAAAAAATGTTCTCAAATTTCAAAAAAAGTTTCTAATTTATCTGATGGTTATTATGTTCCTTTTTTTGTTATTCAAATTCTCCCCAATCTCATCCAGTGTTTTGTTTGTATATCATTTTATATGTTCTTTTTTTGCTGGTATTTTTATTGTAATCTATTCTATTGTATTGTAATGTGCGGATAGAAAAATCAAAACCTTCACAAAAAAACGAGTAATAAATTTTTATTTGAATCTACGTTTTCGAGTTTTTTTTTGTTGTTGTTCTAAATTTACAGGGTGAAGCTGAGCAGAAAAATGAAAATCAATAGAGTTCGTCTTGAGAAAACAAATAGTACGGCGAACCGGAAGATTTTTTCGTGTCGTTTCGTCTCATAATATTTATCCGTTCCGTTCTAATTCATTCCGAACCGAACCGAAGAAAAATGAGCTGTTCAGCGAAATTTTTATTGCACATTGAGAAAAATGGGAGATTTTTATTGTTTGGTTTACTACTCTTTGTGTATAGTAAAGTAGTATATCCCTCCTTTTCTTTCTAGATCAACTTAACTCACTTGCCAAACAATGGGTGTCCCCGCGAAGTGGTGGATCGATTTACCTCCACGCGGGGACACAATGACAGATGGTTTGGGCTTTTTATGTGACACATTTCCGTTCACCGGAAATTTCATTTTCCTTTTTTGCAGAAATTCTATTGTTGTATTTGGGGAAAACCCAAAAGTATAGAAAATAATTGAAACATCAAATATGTTTCTGATCAAAATACTCTTACGCTTTCTTCCAAATCAACCTTTTTTTCTGAATTGCGTCATTTCCCATCAATTTGTAGTAAACAACAGTGAAAAAACTCGTCGACTATCCCATCCCATCACATCACAATGAAAGTGAGAGAGAAAACGAATAGAGATCAATCAGACATCGAAAGACAAAATCGATTTCATCACACACATCGATTTGAATCGAAAAGTTTTTTCCGTGACAAAACACTGGGAGTGGTGGAAATGACGAGAAAAAAGAAGAAAAGAGACAGAAAAAACCGTCCTTTGTCTGTGAAACATTTTCGACAAATTTTATTTTTGAAACCGTACGTACAGGAAAAAAGTCAACCTGTTTCGGAATGTGAGATGAAGATAGAAGGGGGCAAAGGCATGTGACTGACTGAATGACTCCAGGGATGAATGATTTTGATGTTATTTTCAATTTGAGGCAATACGATCCAGTTTTCCGTATCGTATCTTCTGAAAAATCGAATGTTTACGAAAAATGTATAAACATTTCTCACGACTTGAGATTCAAAATTGGAGAAAAACATGTGTTTTTATTACAAATCAAAAAAATATGTGTTCAATTGATGTGTGAACGTGGATCTCAAATCTTTACACAAAAAAAAAAAGAACAATTTTATCCCGTGTGACATTCTCAATCTTTTGTAGCATGCACTTTTCTTATCATTTGGACACACCAACACAAAAACCAATTTGAAAACACGAGATAGATCTTTTGTAGTTTGATACGTGAGAAAAATCTTGTGCCAAAATAAACCTTGTGTTGAATGAATAATTCTGTTAAGTCGTTTTTTCACACACTTATGTAGATTTTTCTTGCTTTTTGCCATTCTGTCACCAAAAACCATTGATTTGTCGATGAAAAAAACCGCCGGGGTTTATAGTAAACAACGACTTTCATCTTTTTTTTTCTTTTCTTCACTACACCACTCGTGATAAAAAAGAAAACACGTGAAAAATAGAAACATCATCCCACGGGTACACATTGGCAAATAAATAAATGACTCCTGTTGTTATTATTTTGCTCTCCCATGACATCATTTGACCGGAGCCGATAGTAACTATAAAGAGTGAATAATTGTGGTTGTGTGGGAGATTATTTGTAGTTGGAGGTGGTGTGGGTATTTGTTTGAACTCTGATGTTTGATAAAGCCCACAGCGTATTTTTTATGGGAGAATCGTAAAACATTTGAATATCTTTGATTGTACATACATATTGTTTGAATTTATTACATCGTTAATGTTGATGCTTTTTTCTGACAAGAGCGTTTTTCTCACCCTTCTCTCAATCCTAAAAATAAACAGAGCTGAGTTTTTTAATCGTAGCAGAAACCAACTAGTTTTCATTTATTTATTTTTTTGAAAAAAAACGGAAAAGTTATGCAAATATGTAAACAATGTGACTGACTTTTTCATTGAAATCGTTATCTAAAATTTTATGATATGCTCAACTCAATGCTCCACAAAAAACCACACAGACGCACAACGATAAATTTTTTTGGTTGATCAGACATTTTGGAGTCAGCGAACAAACATTCCGGATAGCGCATCCAAAAAAAGACAGATTTAAATAACAGATAAGGCCAATTAACATATATGTGAATATGTCTAGATGTAATCTGTGTTAATATAAATTGACATTTACGTCTTTAATGACCAACTGGTTTTTTTTTGCTTTTTTTTTTTGAAATCAAATGTTTTGTCAAGGAGTTTTGTTGTGGTGAGGAGAGTCACGAGTTTTTGATATTGGTATTATTATTCCCGGATGGTAAACAACGACTAAAAATGTGATAAAGACAAGAAGTGAAAAACTTTATGATTTGTAAACATGATTTTTGAAGTTGAAGGTTTTTCAGAAAAAAAATGTGCTCAAACAATGTTTCTATAGTTCTTTTATTTGCACAGTTTTTTTGGAAACAATGTATGTTTTTATGTTACAAAAAATCAGTATTATCCGCCGGATTAGTTTTTCATGTCTATCCAAAGTCCGTTTTTTCACCTGAGCTGATGTCATAGCACATGTTATGACAAAAAAACGTTGATCAGTTTCATTGTGCATAGAGAAATTGGAAATTTGAAGGGAATGTTTTCAGGTATGGAAATACATAATTATCGTATCTATCGGTAAAGGTCATATCAATTAAGTTTACGCTTTTATGTGACTGACTGACTTATAATTACGCCTACATTGTTTCTCTCATTCGTTTCCCATAATCTGATTCATTGTTTCAAAAGGACATTCTAATCCTGGTTGTAATAAATAGTTTATGACTGATTCGCAACGCATTGTTAATTCATAAAAACGAAAAGGGAAGAACCATGATCAGAAACCAAAAAAATTATTTATGCAAATATATTTCTTTTTGCAGGTTAAGATTATTTTTGGACTAAAGATAGATTTTCTTTATATGTAAGGGGAACAATTAAATCGATTCAGGTCATCCTCATTTTATTGTTGTTGATGGTATATTTTTTCGAGGTTATCCAAATGTTGTTGCAAAAAAAAGAGAAAAAGGGACAAGTACTCACTCATCAATACAATGATTTCCAACTGTGAGAAAATGTGTTAATCTATTTTCTTCTTCATATTTATGTATATTGAATAATGGAAATATTAATGAAAACAAACACTATGTCACATTTTGGGGTTCCACTAATTATTATCATTTTTTTTATTTCATAATAAATAAATTAGCTTCAAGTTTTTACATGATTTATCAAACCAGTCTTTTATTATTAGAAATCATCCAAAAAAGAAATTTATTATTAATTCGTATCCATACAGTATGTTATAGATGTTAATCTAACCAAATAAGGGTGAATGTGTACCATACATTAATCAACAAACACATCTGCCACTTATTAGTCCAAACAGCAGATGTCATCTTTAACATACAAAAGTAATCAAACAGGTGTTAATGTTGACCTTTCTTTGTTGTGTGTGAGGTTGAATATATTATCAGGGAGATTTTAGAAGAAGAACGAAAGACTACTATTCAAAATTGAACAATTTTTATGACTGACTGAATAAGAAATTTTTCTATGAAATGGTCAACCAAAATATTGATATATGAGTATAGCCTTTTAAAAAAACAAGAGAGGAAGGTCAAAAATTGAAGAATATTGTAAAATCGGAACCAATTCGATAAATTGTGAAACCTACTGAGAGAAATAGAACTCATATGCAAAAAAATATCCCTTCAAAGAATATGTACCTTTTTTTGCATTTTAACACGGAATGTAACAATTTGAACATCACTTTTTTCAAAAATTTAGATATGGAATATGGCAAGTTTTATCGTTAACAACTTTGTCTGGAAAATCTCTGCTAGAAACATTTGAAGTTTCATCAAGGAATATTGTTTATAACTTCTCCGTTGTTTGAAAAACTGTATGTTTCTATTTAAAAATACATTTATTAAAATCGCAAACGGAAACTGAATGAACTATCGAATTTCATTATTTTAATAACAATTAGTGAAGTTGTTGGTTGACGATGTGAAGAGGCAGACATGTGGCAAGCTATAAACAGAAAATAAGATATATGTCACTTTTTTTACATGTAAAACAAGTAACATTTTTCAAAATTCACAATCAAACAATTTGATAAAATAAGATATATGTCACTTTTTTTACATGTAAAACAAGTAACATTTTTCAAAATTCACATTCAAACAATTTGATAAAATAAAATATATGTCACTTTTTTTACATGTAAAACAAGTAACATTTTTCAAAATTCACAATCAAACAATTTGATAAAATAAGATATATGTCACTTTTTTTACATGTAAAACAAGTAACATTTTTCAAAATTCACAATCAAACAATTTGATAAAATAAGATATATGTCACTTTTTTTACATGTAAAACAAGTAACATTTTTCAAAATTCACATTCAAACAATTTGATAAAATAAAATATATGTCACTTTTTTTACATGTAAAACAAGTAACATTTTTCAAAATTCACAATCAAACAATTTGATAAAATAAGATATATGTCACTTTTTTTACATGTAAAACAAGTAACATTTTTCAAAATTCACAATCAAACAATTTGATAAAATAAGATATATGTCACTTTTTTTACATGTAAAACAAGTAACATTTTTCAAAATTCACATTCAAACAATTTGATAAAATAAAATATATGTCACTTTTTTTACATGTAAAACAAGTAACATTTTTCAAAATTCACAATCAAACAATTTGATAAAATAAGATATATGTCACTTTTTTTACATGTAAAACAAGTAACATTTTTCAAAATTCACAATCAAACAATTTGATAAAATAAGATATATGTCACTTTTTTTACATGTAAAACAAGTAACATTTTTCAAAATTCACGTTCAAACAATTTGATAAAATAAGATATATGTCACTTTTTTTACATGTAAAACAAGTAACATTTTTCAAAATTCACAATCAAACAATTTGATAAAATAAGATATATGTCACTTTTTTTACATGTAAAACAAGTAACATTTTTCAAAATTCACATTCAAACAATTTGATAAAATAAGATATATGTCACTTTTTTTACATGTAAAACAAGTAACATTTTTCAAAATTCATGTTCAAACAATTTGATAAAACAAGATATATGTCACTTTTTTTACATGTAAAACAAGTAACATTTTTCAAAATTCACATTCAAACAATTTGATAAAATAAGATATATGTCACTTTTTTTACATGTAAAACAAGTAACATTTTTCAAAATTCACAATCAAACAATTTGATAAAATAAGATATATGTCACTTTTTTTACATGTAAAACAAGTAACATTTTTCAAAATTCACAATCAAACAATTTGATAAAATAAGATATATGTCACTTTTTTTACATGTAAAACAAGTAACATTTTTCAAAATTCACAATCAAACAATTTGATAAAATAAGATATATGTCACTTTTTTTACATGTAAAACAAGTAACATTTTTTACATGTTCAACTTCAATTTTTTGTGAAGTAAATGAATTTTTAGTTTCATTCATCAACATTTGAAAATTTTTAAAAAATGTAATCATAATCTACGTTGCCGGACCATTTGAGCGTCCAGTTTTAAACAGTGGAATATTTAAATTCAAATTCCCCCTCCCACAAAAAAAACCTACAGTAAATTCATCTTCATCATCAGTAAATCTTGCTCCTTCAGGTATTTCACCATCATTTCGATTCACCATATGCACCACATTATTCTCTTCTTCACTACTCGTCGATTCTCCTCGTTGCTTCTTTTTTCGTTTTCTTCTTACTTTCTTTCGCTTTTTTCCAACTCAATGTCGAATCCTGTTGTTCCATATATCGATGCAATCCAAAAACCAACAATCCAACCGATGCAATCCAACAAGCAATCCAACAATTCACTTCTTCTCCTAATTCATATATTGGATGATGTATTGGTTGTCGAAATGTCGCTTCAATATCACTTTCATTCTCAGATTCTAAATCAAGTCCTTCCGGAATCGGCACTTTTCTTTGAGCTTTCATAGCAACTGGATTCAATTCTCCATCATAAAGCAGAGCGAATTCATGATCCATTTTCTCTTTTTTTCTGATGCAATCCTTCAGCAATTCGAATAATCGTCATTAATGTACAAGCTCTTTCTTGAGAATGTTCGGATAACTCGAATTGTGGAAATTTGGAGAGCATCAAATTATCAAGTGATTCAATTGCATCCCAATCATCATTTTCTTCTTCTGCTTGACTTAAAAGCGATGAATTCGATTTCGAACATGTCTGAAAAAAAGGAAAATTGTGAATCCGATATGAACTGCAGAATTCAAAAAATTCCGAACTTTAAAAATCAAAAAAATTCCAAAGTCTGTGATTATATTTTGGCTTTTGGTCCAATTTCCGAGTTCTAATAATTCTAAAAATTATAAAATCTCAACTCACTGGCTATATTCTCCACAAATCCAAGCGGCAGCCAACAAAACTTCACACAAATTACTTCTTTGTTGAGCACTTCCAGCCAATAAAACATGAGCATTTTCAACAATTAATGCCATTTGAGAAACCGAGAAATGTCGAATCGACTCAACACGACCTGTCACATCTTTAATTTGTTCAGCAATTTTTGCGCCATGTTTAGTTGCTTCAAATTTTGTCAATTCAACTAATACCGAAATATACCATTCAAAATTGGTAATATATTGATAGTTATTACAAATACATATTCCAATTATTCTTGACAATAATTCATCTCGATAATGTGATCCTTCAGCTGCTTCAACATGTTCCACTGATTTCTTCACAATTTCAACAATATTTTTCTTTGAAATCATTCCATAAAATAAATCAAGTGATCTTAATCGAATACTTTCATCTTTATCATCCAAACATCTCAATACAATATCTTTATGTGCTTGAACTGCTTTTGGATGGGTTTTTGGATTTTTCCCATCGCAAGAAGTCCAAGATATTTCAAATTTTGGTCTCAATCTTCGATAAGAACTTCAAGTTTCTGAAAAAAAAGTTGAATACTTGCAGTATGATCCTTCAGCAGATATACTTATCAGAACAGCAATTACTGTATTGATACATTCATATAACAGCGACATTGCAGATGTGCTATTTATCCAATTTGTCAAAGGTTCCAGTTATTTGTTTCCAAGTCTTGGCTCCAAAGGAAAAAGTGATCCAAACTAAACAAGTCATAATTATAGAACTTAAGTTTCTAATAAAAATGAATACTCACCAATTTAATAATTTCAATAAGAATCCAATTATTGCTACTCGTTGTCATTAATTTGAAAAATACCGGAGCAAGAGTAAAATAATTCTTCGGATTTTTTCGAGCAAATTCACAAATCACATTAACAGCTTTGAAATCCCGGATCTGCCTCTTCTAATTTTTCTTTGAGACGTGGAAATATAACAACTGGATGACGCGAGATGAATGAGAATGAGAAAATTGCGGCCGAATGAAAACATCAAATTCAATTTTTTCGAAATCAAACTCGAGTCCTCACCAAATTTACAATATCAGCAGCAATATATCTTGCCAAATCAGGAGTAATGAAACAAAAAAAATCCACCAAGTGCAATACCACTTTTATACATATTCGAACTATTCACATCTTTCCTAATCAAATTCGTGGTCAACATCAAAACTTCAGTCTCGTCGTGAAAACTTTGAGCGGCTGCCAAATAACCAATTCGTTTTTCAGTGTATTTTGTAGATGCCATAACTTCGATCACATTAAATGATGCCCAAGAAATGTCATATCCTAATTGGCCAACATTTGAAGCTGAAAAGGGAAGTTTCGAAGTTAGAAGGTCGAGATAAATTTTCCCAATCAAATTTTGAAGCTTCATGAGAGTAAAAATTAATCACTTTGTCTAATTGATTTTTTTTATGTAAATGTAACACTTGTTATCATTTTCCGGTAATTTCAAACTAACGCAAACTTTTTAAATAGAAGCGCTCTTATATGATGGTTGAAGGCTCCAGTCTTGAGACGTCAACCAGTTTAGTAATTCATGAAAAATTATAGAAATAATCTTTTTTGTTGATTTTACACAAAATGTGCCAAGATGTTGTCAAGTAATTCAATTGATCGTATTGGGGTCTGTCATAAAATCGATTCATCTGAATCAATTTCAAGACAATAGTTCCTGGTTAAAATAACCGATTGACGAATTTTCAGTAAGAATGGGAATTGACATAAAACATTATTCCATGCAGAAAACGTTTTTCTTTCCATTCACAAACAAACAATGTCATGCACTAAAAATTCGACCACAAAAAACTCACTTTCAACAAAACCTTCTTCGCCATAACCTCACTGAATCTCTAGAAAACCAAAGTTCTACCTTTCCCATCGCATCGCGTGAACTGAAAATAATATAATAATCATATTGAAATTAAAATTCACAGAAGCAAAAGAAAAAGTAGTGAAAACATGAAAAACAAAGAATTTCAGCTGCAAACAAACGGGCGGCCATTAAGCGCGCTAAAATCGACACAAAACATTTTTGCGCGTCAGGTCTGGTGTTTTTTTTTCACGGACTTGCCTGGTCGCCCGATTTGACGCGCAATTTTCAGTTTTTTGCTTTTTAAAGAGAAAAAAAATATTTTTAGAGAAATTCTTACCCGTCGAAACAATAATCTTCATAAAATTGTATTTATAGAAACTTGATGATGCCTAGAAAGTTTGTGATGTATAGAGATGAAGATCGATATATCATATGTGAGGATTTTGTAAGACGACCATATTTCAAACTTGCAACATGCTCACTTATTCTAAAAGATCCGCCAATTTTTCTACCATCTGAAGTGAGTTTAACATTTTGTTTTAAAATATAGATGGCTTAATTTTAGATTAAAAGCGATGAATCTTCAGTTTCTGTTGATGTTTGTAAACTAGATTCTAATTGGTTTCTGGATAATTTGTTGGAAAATCCGCAATTGACATGTCAGCCTATAAAAGCAATGTTGCAGTCGAAAAATGAGCTGAAGGTGAAAATGGTTTTGGTTTTCGTCTATTAAATCTATTAAATTTTTTTCAGGTTGTCTACGAAAATGCTACCCTCGTCTTCAACAGAAATCAACTCGTTTTCCGCAGTTTGGTTGAACTAGTTGAACAACTAGAGCAAACTGTCACATTGGCAGAGTTTAATCCGGAGACAAATTCGTTGGTTCCACTCAATGATCAACAAATGCCCACAACATCAACAACATCAACAACAACAGCAAATCGAAGAAGCAAACGTCTTTCTAATAAAAGAATGCCCGTTGATCCACCGCCGATGAAAACGGCCAAAAAAATGAGAAAACGTCAAAAAGGAGAAGAAGATACTCCAATATTAAATAGACCAAATACGATCGAAACCGTAAATAAAGGAGGAGAGAAAGAACATGTAATGGAACAAGAAGTGGCGGAGGCGGTTAGCGAATTTGGATCAAATACGATCGAAACCGTAAATAAAGGAGGAGAGAAAGAACATGTAATGGGACAAGAAGTGGCGGAGGCGGTTAGCGAATTTGGATCAAATACGATCGAAACCGTAAATAAAGGAGGAGAGAAAGAACATGTAATGGGACAAGAAGTGGCGGAGGCGGTTAGCGAATTTGGATCACATACGATCGAAACCGTAAATCAAGGAGGAGAGAAAGAACATGTAATGGGACAAGAAGTGGCGGAGGCGGTTAGCGAATTTGGATCAAATACGATCGAAACCGTAAATAAAGGAGGAGAGAAAGAACATGTAATGGGACAAGAAGTGGCGGAGGCGGTTAGCGAATTTGGATCACATACGATCGAAACCGTAAATAAAGGAGGAGAGAGAGAACATGTAATGGGACAAGAAGTGGCGGAGGCGGTTAGCGAATTTGGATCACATACGATCGAAACCGTAAATCAAGGAGGAGAGAGAGAACATGTAATGGAACAAGAAGTGGCGGAGGCGGTTAGCGAATTTGGATCAAATACGATCGAAACCGTAAATAAAGGAGGAGAGAAAGAACATGTAATGGGACAAGAAGTGGCGGAGGCGGTTAGCGAATTTGGATCACATACGATCGAAACCGTAAATCAAGGAGGAGAGAGAGAACATGTAATGGGACAAGAAGTGGCGGAGGCGGTTAGCGAATTTGGATCAAATACGATCGAAACCGTAAATAAAGGAGGAGAGAAAGAACATGTAATGGAACAAGAAGTGGCGGAGGCGGTTAGCGAATTTGGATCAAATACGATCGAAACCGTAAATAAAGGAGGAAAGAAAGAACATGTAATGGGACAAGAAGTGGCGGAGGCGGTTAGCGAATTTGGATCACATACGATCGAAACCGTAAATAAAGGAGGAGAGAGAGAACATGTAATGGGACAAGAAGTGGCGGAGGCGGTTAGCGAATTTGGATCACATACGATCGAAACCGTAAATAAAGGAGGAGAGAAAGAACATGTAATGGAACAAGAAGTGGCGGAGGCGGTTAGCGAATTTGGATCAAATACGATCGAAACCGTAAATAAAGGAGGAGAGAAAGAACATGTAATGGAACAAGAAGTGGCGGAGGCGGTTAGCGAATTTGGATCAAATACGATCGAAACCGTAAATAAAGGAGGAGAGAAAGAACATGTAATGGGACAAGAAGTGGCGGAGGCGGTTAGCGAATTTGGATCACATACGATCGAAACCGTAAATCAAGGAGGAGAGAGAGAACATGTAATGGAACAAGAAGTGGCGGAGGCGGTTAGCGAATTTGGATCAAATACGATCGAAACCGTAAATAAAGGAGGAGAGAAAGAACATGTAATGGGACAAGAAGTGGCGGAGGCGGTTAGCGAATTTGGATCACATACGATCGAAACCGTAAATCAAGGAGGAGAGAGAGAACATGTAATGGGACAAGAAGTGGCGGAGGCGGTTAGCGAATTTGGATCACATACGATCGAAACCGTAAATAAAGGAGGAGAAGAGAATGCTTCTACGGACGGAAATTCCAACATCAAACCACCCGCTGTGAGTGTTTTAAAATAAATATTTTAATAAATATTCCAAATTTGGATCCAATCCCATTTGAGCAGCCCTGAAATTTGCTGACAACCTTTTTACTTCAAATCTTGATTTTTTACTTCAAATCAGACGCTAAAATTTGTAGTCCCGCAATGGACCTCTGAGCCAAGTTCTGGACTCTCAAAATTTCAACTTTGTTCTACATGTTCAAAAATTGCCAAAATTGGCTCATAAAATTTATCATAGCTCAATTTCATATAAATTTAACGAAAACTTTTTTATTTGAAATTTTCATGTAGAACAAAGTTGAAAATAGATACCATTTCATTCAATGTATCTTACAAAATTACAAGGAAACGTTTGCAATGTTCCCTCCCCCCTGAAAAAAGTGATACTATGCGGAAAGTGTAGTACCAAGGGGTGTGAAAAGGCCCAAAGGGAATTTGGAAACAAAAATTTATTTTTATGGGAAAGTTGTCACCGAAGATCAAAAAAGATGTCATTTTCAAAAAATCACGAAAAGTTTCGATCAAAACAGGATTCTGTAGCTAAAAATCACAATTAAAATAAGATTAAAATTGACAATTTTAGCTACAGAATCCTGTTTTGATCGAAACATCGTGATTTTTTGAAAATGACATCTTTTTTGATCTTCGGTGACAACTTTCCTATAAAAATAAATTTTTGTTTCCAAATTCCCTTTGGGCCAGGCCTGATCGGAATCGGAATTTCGGAATTCCGAAATTCCGATTCCGATCAGGTTTTTCGGAATGAGACAAACGTGTCTCGGAATCGGAATCTATTTTCTCGGAATCGGAATCATTCCGATGTTACTTCCGAAACTTTTTGGAATTTCGGAATGTGTTTCTCTTCCGAATTTCGGAATTTTTCGGAATGTTTGAGCTGAAATTAGTGAAAAATTCAACAAAAACATGGAAAAATTGATGAATTTTACCTGTCATTTTCAAAAAATCTCTTTTTCTCTTGTGATTCTCGAAAAATTTAACTTTTGAATACAAATTTTTGAAGTTTTATATCATTCCGAAACATTCCGAAAAATTCCGAAATTCCGAGGTAAAAATGTCGGAATGGAGGTTCGGAATTCGGAATTACGATCTGACCACTCGGAATGAGTGTGCTCATTCCGAACCTTCCGACAAGGTCCATTCCGATCAGGCCTGCTTTGGGCCTTCTCACACCCTTTGGTACACTTTCCGCATAGTATCACTTTTTTCAGGGGGGGGGAACATTGCAAACGTTTCCTTGTTAGTTTTGTAGTTCATGTTATGATCAGAATTCGAGTTTGTCGACCTGGAAATCGATCCTCTGGATTCTAATTTTGAACATTATTAACAAAACATGAATTCTGAAGCAATTACAGCAAGAAAAATGGGAGTAGAGGGCCTAATTTCACACGATTTTTCCATAACTATATTAATTTCAGGCACATTCCAATGATGTTTCTCATCCAACAGAACCTGGAAAACCGGAGGAGACGAAGTCGCGAATTCAAGTGGGTTTTTTAAAGGTCTTTTTGCGCTCATTTTTTTTTACTTTTTCGCCCGTTGCTTTTATTTACTCTTTATTTTATTTTTATTGTTTCATGTTCGGTATGGTTCCGTCAAAGTATATTTTTCTTTATAAGTTTTCTAAACTAAAAAAATATAGGTAAATGGAATTCGTTGACGAAAAACCTTCAATGGATTATCCATCATTGGTTATGGTAGGTTTTTCATTTATGAAATATTTTAATAGCATAATTCTCAGAGCATTGATGAGCATCTAAAGATCGAACGAGATCAATTCAAAAATTTCTGCTCTGGTGAATACGAGTCTATTGACGACATTTTGAAAATAAAATGTTGCGATTTGCATTGTAATTTGAAAATTACCAAGTGAGTGACTTCAAAAGTCACAATTATCCGCCAACTCATTAATTTTTAGGCTCTATTGCCTAGATTCGAGAGCAGCATATATCAAACATTTTCATGAAAATTCGGAAAAATACAAGCATCAAGTCTGGTAAACATTGTTTTGCAAAAACAACAGTTATTTTTACAGATTAGACAATTATTTTTCACAAATCCTTCAGAGTTTGATTTGACAGCTCAATTTCCGTGTTTGTCTATGAGATCTCGTATTTATGGCGTGGAAACGCACCGGTACGCTAACGTTTTTTGTTAATACCAACAGAAAATCGAATAATTTTTTAAAGTCAATCGCGTGAATTTTTGCAGGTTGCTTGATTATGCTTCCGGCGAGAAAAGTTATCAGTCTCACATAAAAAGAAATCATCAGAAAACAATACTAAATTTGGCTGATGGTTTAGTCAACATTGAACCATTCGTTCAATATAATCCTGCGGGAGGAATAATTATACCATCAAATCACAAAATTCGGTGTGTAATTAATTTCCAACCAAATTATTCTATAAACTTTTACAGGGGCACAAATGGTAAAATTTTAAGAAGAAAAGTTTTGAAAAATAAATGTAAAATGGCAATTAGAAGACGAAAGGTGATTAGAAAATTAATTGAAAATTAACACCATATCCTAATTTTTAGCGTGATTTTTTCCTCCGATGTTCTTGTTGTTCATGCTTACAGTATGAAAAAATTCATGGATTTTTGAACAAATCAAAGTCAAAGAAAATGCTGGATGCTCACTACAGCCAAATCGGGTAAGAAAATTCAACATTGCATGTGTTCTTTTTGATTTTTCAAGAAAATATTTGGAATATCAAATACCAGAACTTTTTTCTTTTCATTTCAGAACGGAACGAGTTATTACTTCAACTGTTGAAAAACTTTCGCGAAAATCGGATTGCGACTTGGTCGTTCTTCGGACGGACGGAATGTCCAATAAGAATACGAAGCTTCCAATGTTGGACCAAAGACCGAAATTTATCGGGGACAGCTTTCGTTTGACCATTCATCTAAACACTGTTCAAGTGGCAGATTCTTCAGGTTTCAGTTTTCATACATACCTTGTCCGAATTCCCTTTTACTTTTCCGAGTGTTTACTTTTCCGAGTGTTTGCTTTTCCGAGTGTTTTTGCTTTTCTGAGTGCGCAGGAAGAACAAAACAAGTAAATAACTAATGCTCTCTATTTCAGATGGATTTCAATATAAAAATTTTGAATACATTACTGCAGACAAAAAATACAGAATGACTTCATCTTATATTTTGTCGATATACATTGATGCGATGCTAAAGGTAAAATACAGTTCAAAATTCGAATTCAAGTTACACTTTGTTTGCGAATTTACTAAATTAATTTCGGAAGAAAGTTTCGTAAAATTCTTAAATTAAAGAATAATTCTGTTGAAAAAATTTATAAATAGTTGACGAACATCATTTTTCTTCCATAATTTGCAGCTCAGTCACATTCCGAGTCATCTGATCATTATAATGGATAATGCAAGGAATAACAAATCAGATGTTATTATCGGAGGATTTGCTTATCTTTTACACCACTTGAAAAATGTTGAAAGGGTACTTAAATTGTTCAAAGAAATTATTCAAACTTATTTTGTAGGTGACTTTGTTGTATCCGTCCGTTGGTCACACTCATGGGCCAACGGACAGTCATTTCGGTGTCATCAGCGATGTGTTGAAACACAGCGAATGCGTGGACGTATCAGGTTTTCAGATTGATTCTCAACAATTCAGAAAAATAGAGTATTGAAAACTATTTCAAATTCAGATTTTGAACGAGTTGTATCCGAAATTCCATCCACCACAAGTGTACGCCATAATGTATCAATTTATAATTTCGACAACATTAAAGATCACATGGTTCCTTGGAAATATCGAACTGATGTTCATCAAATCGTATTATTGAAAGGAACTGGAGGTATACCGTGAAATTTCATACCAATACGAAATATTTCAATACATGATTGCAGATTTAGTTTTTATTGATGAAATTGAACAATTTCAGGCAAAGTCTACTGGAGTTGTTCAAATGAAATGACAACGGAGAATTTGTTTGTGTTTGAGCGCCAAAAAACCTTCAATGTTTTCAAGGTTTTTTTTCTGTTAAATATTCATTAAATGTGTATTTTTGAGGATAACTTTGATCTTGGTTCTTTTTTCCCATTTCATACAACACCAGATGCAGATGGAAATTGTTTGTCAAGTATCAATGATTTCATTGGAAAAATGGGTGCACTTTTGACAATGGAAAAAATTGATCTTCTTCGTTTTCATGTGAACGAATGTGGGAAGAAAAGTAAGAATGTAGGAAAAAAATATTTGAAAATGCTCAAGTGACAAAATGCCAAAAAAAACACACAATGGCTCAACTCATTTTTTAAAGATATTGCCGGTCTGATCAATGATCTCAACTCAAAGCCTCCCAAACTTCCTACAATTGATATAGATTTGTCATCACCGAGCACAATAATAAATTTCCTCAAAGAAATCGGATATGATGTTGGAAAGTTGGGAAGAACCCCTGTTCCCTGTTAATTGTACTTTGAAATTTTTCAATCGTGAATTTTTTTTGTTTTGTATTTTAATGAAAATGAATTTGTCTCGTAGTCAGTTAGTTCTCTTTGATTTTTTAAAACTATAGTGAAGCAAGCAATATAATTTGACGCGCGGAGCAATGGGGCGATTGGGTCACCCAGTTCATTATTATTTTTCTCTAATTTTGGGAAGGAAAAAGTCTAATAAAAACATTTTTTCAGGTTAACGAGATGGATGCTACAAGTATACAAATTGATAGGAATAATGAATTAGGAAGTCAGGAAGATCCATTTAAAATTTTTAATACTCCTCAATCGAAACAAAATGATGATAATATTCGAGAACAATTTCCGAATACTTCACCTGAAAATCGTGTTGATATTTCTACAAATGCTTCACCACAACATGTTGATAATTATCCAAATGAATATTCGGACAATGATAGTTCTAAGAGTGACGAATCATATCAAATGAGAAAGGCAAGGCAAATAAATTTTGGCGACTCATCGAGCGACGACGAAGAACGAAGCCAAAATGTTATGGATGGAGAAGAAGTAGAGGAGGAGGAGGATGATGAAGAAGTTGAGGAGGAGGAGGAGGATGAAGAAGAGGAAGAAGAGGAAGAAGAGGAAGAAGAGGAAGAAGAGGAAGAAGAGGAAGAAGAGGAAGAAGAAGGAGAAGAAGGGGAAGAAGAAGAAGGGGAAGAAGAAAGCGGCGAGAGAAGGAATCCGAAAAAACAAGTGAAAAATAAGCAGGTGAGAATTTAGCCATTTTGTCGCATCCTTTTGGTAAAATTGCCAAGTCCTTGCGGGAATGACTATGAATTGAAAGATTATGGAGCTATTTAGATTAATTTCTCAACCAAAAAACAGGAGGAGAAAGGAGGAGAAACTCCATTCAGAAAACACAAAAAAAGGAGGAGAAACTCAATTTCTCAACCTACTTTTTTGAGAAATTTTAAGTTTGAAAAATATTTTGAGCAGCGCCGTTTAACTAAAAAAATTGATGACTTTAGCATCAGAATGCTTTTTTGACCGAGCACTTTCGTTAACTTTGAGCCTAAAAATAATAAATAAATAAATAAATAAATAAATACGATTTTTTGAAAGCGTAGGTTTTTTTTATATAAAAATTTAGTCAGTTACCGTAACTCTTGAAATAGATTTTTATTTCCTTAATCCCGTTGGGCTTTTTCTTACCTATCCCTAAATCTTTCATTTTTGCGTTGATTCCACCCCTCAAAACCGTGTCAGGGATCAAAAAATGCGCGAAATTGTTGGGTAGTAAATACATCGTGTGCTGGGTATTTGCAGAAAACTAAATACTCTTCAGAAAATTTTAAATAAAGCTCAAAAAAGATGCCGATCCAAAATTTATAGAAAATTAAGTTCTGTGTGACATGTTTTACTTCAGACTGTAAGTTTTTAATTTAGATTTTTGAATTCAAAATTCAAGTTCGAAAAATATTGTTTCCTTCTTCTTTGAAGACTGTTCTATTTTCTTGAAATCCCTTTTTCAATGCCTTTTTTCCCTATTTTTCCTGTTCAGAACCGATTTGTATAATTTTGAAGTTCGAAAAACAAAAGTGCAGAATCTACGGAATCCATACGAAATCTCATAGAAAACTGTTCGGATCTGAACAGAAATTTTTAGAGGAAAAAAGATGGGGTTTGATTTTTTAAGCCTAAATTCTATGCAAATGTTTCTTTAATAAAACTTCTGAAAAGTGGATTCCGAGATGAATTTTTATCAGATACTACCTCAGAAGCTTCAAAAACCTTGATTTGTCATCATTTTTGGCGGAAGAATTCGAAATTGCTTGAGCTTAACTATATTGATACTCCCAAACACATCAAAACTCACTTTAAAAAATTCACATCGAAGCCTTTACTTCTCTTCTTGTGAGAGAAATTATTCAATATCTGAAAGTTCGAAAAAATTTTGAATTTATCTACAGTAGTTTGACTCACTTTATTTAAATTTATTTTTCAAACCGATTAGTAGTAGAGTAAGAGCGAGAAATGATCAAAAATGTCCCGCTATGACTGAGCAATAAAAAGATCAGATAAGATACGTGACCTAGCCATTTTTTCTGATTAAAAACGTGCTCATTCTTTTTAGCACGAAAAAAGTTTTGATTTTTCACATGAAAACTCGCGAAATCTGAATAGAGTTTCTCCTCCTTTCTGCTTCCAATTAGGCGACGCAAAAGATCGACAAGAAACTCTAAACGTGCGCAGCTTTGCTAAAACGTTGCTAGGAGCTTCCAATTTTCCGAACTTTTCCCGAACCATATTGTCTAAAGTGTGATTCAAATATGAGCAGCCTTAACTTAAACAGAGTGAATTTCCAGAGAAATCGACAGGAAGTGGAAATACAGAAAAAAGAAGAAATCGAAGAAATGAAACAACGAGTGAACAACTTTTTGTTTTCTGTTGTTAAACAGAGTAAAATCGAGCTGAATTCATCTCAATTGGTTGTAACAAAAGATTTCTGCCTCGATCAACGAAAGAAAATCGAGAAAATGCGAGAAAGAATAAGAAATGGAGAAAGTCTAGAAAGCGAAGATCCAATTACAATACGTAAGAAGTGAGTATTTTTCAAAGGAGCTTTTTAAAGAAACACCCTTGTATAATAAGGCCATTGCTAAATGCTTTCAAACATGGTAAATAGATGATTATTATTTCCAGAGATGGCCAATTTCTTGTTGTTTCTGGACGAGCCCGAGTTGAAGCCTACCAGAACGAAAAAGATACGAAGGTAACTTTTTGACTCTGTTTTTGAATTAACGGCCACATTGAGAAAGGAGAAAGGGGGAGATTTTATTGAAACAACCGGAAAAATATCCATAAACTTTTCTCAACATAAGTTGAAGTTTATGGAAATTCATCAACGTATATAAGGCGAGGGTAGTCTCAAAAAAGTAGTTTTTTGCATAAAACCAGAATTGAAAAACCATTCAGAAAAAAAACATCATGTAATTTTTTGTATTAATTTTTTGTTTTAGTTTTGGTGTAGGCACACGCTATTTTTAGAACAAAAACTTTTGGTTTAGTTTTGAATGTGTACAACCAAATTTCGATGAATAATCTAAACAAAAGACAAATTGGTATTTATAACAAAAAATTATTTCAAAGTTAAAGAAAAATGAGCTTCGGCCGAGTTTAGAAAAGAAGACGATGATCGAAAATGATTCCAGAGCGGTGAATTCACTGGGCAGCGGCTTCTGTAATAATAATATTTTTATTTGTTATTGATTTTGATTTCAAATTTCGTTTTGGGGTTTTTATTTACCAGATTTTTTTTCGACAATTCTAAAAGGGTAGGGAAAAAATAAGTCAATTTTTTTAATTTTTATGTGACCTAACGTGCTCGATGCATCATGCCTCAAAATGCTCGAAAAATTGACTGAAAATTCGAAGAATTTCTACAGCAGCCTCGAAAAATCGAGCATTTTGAGGCATGATGCCTCGAGCACGTTATTTTTTCTCTACCCTTTTTGAATTGTCGAAAAAAATCTGGTAAAAAATAAAATAAAAACTCAAAAAACAAAATTTGAAATCAAAAACAAATAAAAATATTATTATTACAGAAGCCGCTGCCCAGTGAATTCACCGCTCTGGAATCATTTTCGATCATCGTCTTCTTTTCTAAACTCGGCCGAAGCTCATTTTTCTTTAACTTTGAAATAATTTTTTGTTATAAATACCAATTTGTCTTTTGTTTAGATTATTCATCGAAATTTGGTTGTACACATTCAAAACTAAACCAAAAGTTTTTGTTCTGAAAATAGCTTGTGCCTACACCAAAACTAAAAAATCTATCTAGAAAAAATTTATCACTCAACAACTTTTCTTAAAACCGAAGAGAATGCTGCTTCCTATATTTTCAGATTTTTTTGTTTTTATGCAAAAAATCACTTTTTTGAGACTACCCTCGCCTTATATGTTACGTGGAATATTTTTTCAACGCATTTCGAGAAAAATCTCTTGATGGTTCTACACTGCTCCACAAAAAGTCTCAAAATTTTCAAATAATCGAAAAATTAAAGTTCTCAGTAAATGTTTGTTTTTTTTTAATATATAAAAAATTCAAATGGGACACTAATTTATCTCAGAAATCAATTTTTGGGTTTATAAGTCACGAAAATAATTTTTTTTTGAATTTTTCAAATTTTTCAAAAAATCGAAAATTTCCGATCCACAAAAGTATGGCCTCACTTCAAAAAATCGCTCTGGAAATGGTTTTTTGGGTTAGATAACTTCGGTTATTGTTGATAAGTACTCATACGTCAGGGTATTTTTTTAGGGATGGCTGACATATTATTTTTTGTTTCAGATAACTGTTGGTATAGTATCAGAAAGTGATATCAACTCATATGTTACTCGAAAAATTCTGATGGACACCACCACACATGTAAATACAAACTTGAAGGTGAATTTCATTGGGAGTCTTATTCATTTTTTCTTAAAAATATATTCTATTCAAGAACCAACTTTCAGATACGATCTATAGTTTTTATTGCAAACTATTGTAAATTTCCGGCCAACTTCATCAGAAACAGCACCGTAGCTGCTATCAGAAATGTTTTCGCAAATATAGTAAAAGTGAGTTTACTGTTCTGAAAACTCAAATTAATACAACATCCTTTGTAATTTTTGATTTTTTAGAGTTGTAATGTTAATTTGATAAAATTATCATTGATCGATATACAACTTCAAAAGCTTATTCTCCTAACCAGCGAAAAACACGAATTGAGCGGAAGAATGATTTCTCTTATACTTAATAAAATGAAGTACAATCAAAAAGGATGTTTACAAGTTCTGAAGGAACATATGGAGAATCCTATCCCTATTGCAAAATCCCTGTCTATTGTAAGTAATTTATATCTTTTTGTTCATTTTATTCTCTAAAGTTTTCAATAATTTTGAAACGTTTTTTCAGGAACTCAAGAATTTGAAGCCGGATTTGTTGTCGGTGTGTGTGTTGAAGCATCTTCGAAACTCCACAATTGATTTCATATTATCAAGATTTAGCGGATCGATAGAATTTACGGAAATGCTGAGGTGAAATTTTATTTTTTTTTTTTCAATTTAGGGTCTTTAAGGCGAGCCTGAGGCGGGCAAAATTTGTAAAAACCCAGGTGGGCAATTTTTTATCCACTTCTCTAGGTTCTTGGGTGAGGTTTGGTTATTGCACAGTATGATGAAATTCAGTGAAATTCAGATTTTCAGAATTGTTTCTCGCCTTTTTTTGGATTGGTATAATTCTAGTTTTAACAAAAAATGTAGAGTAATTGATCGGGTCTTTCAAACTTTGGAGTTTAGACTTCAAAATAATGGGGACCATATATTTATTCTTGAAAACGAAATGGATGACAAAAAATGTAACGTGAAAATTTTCAGAATTTTAATAACTTTTTTCATTTTCTTAGCAAATTATCAAAAATGAAATACCCACATCGCGTGCCCGTAGCGCGTGTTTTCTGAAACAGATTCATCTATTTCTTATACACTAATTTTCAGCAAAATGAGATCAAAGAAATCGCGGCCTCTTGTATTACATGCCATACTCGACAAGTGGAATGCGTTGCAAATTGAAAAACCGGCAACGAAAGTGATGTTGGTTCGAGATAAAGTGTCACCGGAAATTATATTTTCAAATAGATCAGTAGGTTTTTGAATTCAATAGAAATGCTGAATTTCATTTACAATTAGGAAACTCTTTGAAAAAAATGTTATTGGTTAAGAAAACAAGTCGAATACTTTGTTAAGTACACATGCTTCCAACAATTTCGAATTTTAGCAGTTCTGAGATAACCACAATTATCTCAAGTAAAACTGTTTAGTTAAAGTGTCTTATAATCAACGTTCCAGAATCATTTCTGGAATTGTTAGATTTTTTGGAAAGACTCGAACACAAAAAAATGAACTTGACGGAAAATCCACGAATCGACATTCAAGTTTAATTAAAAAAAAATGTTTTTCAGATCCAGGAACTCTCTCGAAAGTACACGCTATCCAATGGAACTGTTTTAATTCTCACCACGAGTAACGCGGATAATCAGTGCACATTCATTACCAGTTTGTTGTTGGATCGCGAGAATTGGGTTTTAAAAAATAAGGGTACGTTTGACTATCATTTATATTTTCTGATTTTGCGCAAGAAAATACTCTACGGCGTGGATTCGAAAACTAAAATATTTTGAATAATTTTCAAATGGTCAAAGATTTCAATGAATCGAACAAAAAACCGTGTTAGTAACTCTGAACGGAAAAAGAGGGGTTTAGGAAAAAAAGAAGGGTTTTTGAAAAAAAAGAGGGGTTATGAAAAAAAGAGGGGTTTTCAAAAACTTGATTTTTTAGAAAGCTTGGAACGATATCCAAAAGTTGATTTCAGAAGTAGCTTTTGTTCAGAATTTCAAACTTAATCTGATCCTTGCGCTCAAATTTTATGAAAAGTGAAAATATTCCCACATTTGAGAGCATAAAGATTTAAAAACCCCTCTTTTTTGTCAAAACCCCTCTTTCTTTCGAAAACCCCTCTTTTTTTTCTAAACCCCTATTTTTTTCTAAAACCCTCTTTTTCCGTTTAGAGCCAAAATTTCAAGGACACGGCATGTCCTAAGAAAACAGCTCATGTTTGATAAACCGTAAAAAATTTGAAAAGTTTACTGAATTAATTATTGTCAATCCGAAAAAATAAGAACTGTGGAAGAGAAAACCAAAATAGAGTAGACTTCGCGGCTGCTTTGATATTTTGTATTGAAAGAGGAAATATTTGGTTTTCTAGGCCATATCGGTTCTCTTCCAACGGTCACAAAATTTCGGACTGACAATATTTATAATTTGCATAAAAGCTAATTTCACACGAAACATAAACTAAAGCTTTTCAATTTTCTTGAGTTTGAAAAATTTATTTTCCAAAATGTTTTCGAAAAAATGAAGTTTCGCTCAAATATCCGTAAGAATCGTGACTACATAGTAGATAACTTAATAATTTTGGCTTGTTTCAGAATATATTGATACACTCCAAGTATATGTGCTGATGTTACAAAATGGATCCATTTGCTCAAAATCGGAATATTTGAATTTCCATGAGCAACGTTTCAAGGACTCCGCCAACTCATCTCTCAAAATTGATGACCTAATAAAATATTTTAATGCATTCGATAAATTGTTTGTAGAACTAGACGAAGTTCATGTTGGTGAGTTATATTTTTTGTTTTAACCCGACAAAAAAAACATTACAGAAAAGATTAGTCGACTGTTTTTGCATTTGAAATCAATTCACACCACGGATATATCCACACAAAATTATATTCACGAATTATTCCTCAAAAAATTGTAAAAGGTAATGATTTTATGAAAATAATTAAAATGTTACATTTTTGACATGTCAAAAAAGTAACATGAAATATTGAGAATGAAAAAATGAAAATGTTACTTTTTTGACATGTTAAAAAAGGAACATAGAGAAAAGATTTGATGAAAAATAATTAAAATGTTACATTTTTGACATGTCAAAAAAGTAACATGAAATATTGAGAATGAAAAAATGAAAATGTTACTTTTTTGACATGTTAAAAAAGGAACATAGAGAAAAGATTTGATGAAAAATAATTAAAATGTTACATTTTTGACATGTCAAAAAAGTAACATAAATAAAAACGATTTGATGAAAAATGAAAACGTTGATACAAGTTTTGCAGGCTGATCGTCAATCGTCGTGGAATCATGTAAAATAATATCGTGTACAATTTACTATTTTTACTCTTTGAAAAAATGAAATTTTTTTAAAAGTTGGGTTTATTGTTTATTTATGTCGAGAATTAATAACGGCGCTCCGCGCCGGTTTCATTCATGAGATATCAAATGTTTTTTCTTTCAAAATTTCTTCAAAACTTCATTCGCATTGATACTGTTATTATTGTTTGGATGAAGTGTCAAAATTGTAACATCCTTTTTTCGTCAGTTCTAAAACCTTCAAAATGGTTTTGTACTGTTTCAGATAAAAAGAGAGGAAAATGAGTGGTTTCGTTTGCCTTTTTAAAAGGCTATACTCATATATGTAGACTGAAAAATGTCAAATATGTGTTTGAAAATGGTTACGCCTCACATCTACTGAAAAATTTCTACAAAACGCAAGAGAACTGATTAACCAATTTCACAGCTTTTTATATTTTTGTGTTTTATTTTTCAAATATATGAAATGAAGACGTTTGGAGAAAGATGCTGACCCATTTCCTCACGCCATGGCCACACGGAACATTTCTCAAAAAAAAAACCAAAAATATGTGCTTATACCCTATAAATCTCTAGATATTGGTCCAAAAAAAATAAAAGTTGATAGTTATCAAATCCTTTTGTCAAAAAGCTTACTTCTAGAATTTATGGAAATGCCATCACACTAATTGTACGACAAAACCTAAAATTTTTTCTGTTCAAAATTTTTGAACATTCATCCATCCATATTATTCTTATTGCAAATGAAAAAATAACTTTAATTAGACCCAAAATGTTGATTTTCCTAACTCTAGCAGTTCAATTTATTGCATCATAGTATTCTTCTTCGAGAAAAACATGTTGACTACTAAAATACGTGTGGATCTAGACAAACTGAAGTGTGATCATCCAAATTTCATATTATAAATGTATTCAGTGACTACTGTACTATACGACTACAAATTTTGAAAAATAATTTTTGCTTCATTCACAAAAACAGAAATTTATCATGCAGGGAATGTTACATTTATCTCTGTTTTCCCAAAAAAAAAAAAAAACATAACTTTCATATAACTTGAAATGTTGAGTGAATCGAAATATTGTATAAATTAGCTGTTGAGAAAATAAAAACTTCTTTCATTGAATGACTTTGTTGAATAGCCCCTGAGATCATTCCCTCAGCGCAACTTCGAGATTTACAGCTAACTTTAACTTACATTTTTTAAAACCCAAAACTCAGAAATTTGAAAAGACAATTGAACATTTTATGATACACTACTTTTTGAAAAACTCAAGAGATTTTTCATATGCTGCAATATCAAATTCTGAGGTGCCAAATCGAGACAAATGTTCCAAGGAATTTTGAAGTAATGCTGTGTTCGAAGTGATTGATTCCACCAATTCCTGAAAAATTCACAATATAATTATGCAAGGCGATAATAAAATTTCCACAGTTAATCTTTTTAATAATTGGTTTTTGGAAAAAAAACTGATTTCAGAAAAACCTTTTCGGACGACATTATTATTAGGCTAACAAGCCGAAATGTGCTGCAATTTGTAAGAGCAAAATTAAAGTACATATTGATTTGCGATAACTTTGTAGAACAAATCATACTCACATCAAAATCGAAGTCGGTTGCAGCATTATACAAAACATATTCCATGTGTTGAATGAACGTTCTGAGTTTAATGATAATGGTAACAAGCATCTGCCGTCTTTCATTAGGTTCATTTTTCATTCTGCGCAGAATTTCTTCAAATTTTTTCTGAAACTCGATGAATGTTGTTATACTATCCGATATTTTTTGCTGGAAAAATATAAAATTTCCTTAATATTATAAATTACACTCAAATTACCGCTTGATCTGGAAGCATCGGGACTCTTAGATCTCCCGACATTGTGAGAAAAACAATCTTCAATTATCGAGTACCAGTAACTCTTATCGATGAAAACTTTAATATCCGAATTATAACAGAAGTGAATGTTCTAGTTATTGTTTATAAATTATTTATATGAAGCTGATGCAGATATAAAAATCTTGGAATAAAGTAACGTTTTAACAATAGAACAAAAAGGGGGAAATATAATAAAGCAGGTTGGTTTCAAATTAAAATTTCTCACTAATTATATATTTTACTATAAAAGAAGGATTAATATTTACAAACTCTAGGTAAAAGTATAATTTTAGTAATGTTGCCAAGGAGAAGGGGCCGTTTGATAATATGCAATTAAACAACAAAAAGATACACCGAAATTAAGTAGACCACAAATTATGATGCACGAATCTAGATAGGTTCAGTTCCAGTTATTAATTTTGCGGAGTTGTGCAATGTTTTTCAGAGCGACAAAGTTACCACAATTGTTTCTTTGCAGCTTTTCAAGTTCATCAACTGATTTTTTCAATACAGTATGCTTTGTTTCGACGTTCAACATAACCATCTGAAAAAATGAAAAGATTGCGCATAATTAAAATTAGATTTAAGATTGCTCACCTCATAATTCACTGAAATATGTGGATTGTACATAATAGTTTCTAGATATGTGACTACATCATTTATTTTAGCGATAACTTTTACAATGGCAGTTCGGCCTCTAGGATCTTGTTCTGTGATTCGTTTGAGAAAATCTTTGAAAAGTTGTGAATATTCAGTAAACGATGTGATATAATTAGAAACCCTTAGCTGCAATCAAATATCATTTAAAAATTCCAGAAATGAAAAAAAAACTAACAGTTTGTTCCGGAAACATAGGAACACGACTACATTCATCCATTTTTAGAAAAAGTGTGACTGGCTAACCCGAATAAAAATATAGCAAAAAGAATACGATTGACTAAATTTTTTTTGACGGAACAGATGTAGAATGAAAAAAATTGTGTGATGAAAAAGGAGTATATTTCAATGAAGCGGACACTTTCTTTGTGTTTAAAAGCTTTGTTTTTCTTTGATGGAAACGAGAAGTCACCAATTAAACAAAGAATATTGGATATGGAGTAAAATTTTTGCTTTTTAAAATATTACGAATCTCAGCTCACATTAGAAATATTGTTTTGCATGAGAATTCAAAGAAATAACACAGAAGCAAGAAAGGGAAAAATCTACAAGTTCTCCATTTCCCCTTTGAAAAAGAAAACTCTGAAAACCATTAAAATGTTGCAGTTACGGTAACCCGTGATTGATGTGCAAAGGAACAAATTCTTGATGTAAAAAGAAGAAGATAAACAATTTCAACACTGTAATTTTCCTGGAAGTTTTTTAATTCATAAATCTGTTTTGGATTTTCCTTCTCTCGTTCCAGAGACTTTTGTTTTACCTATTTTTTTTATTTTTCAGATATCAGCAACAATTTTGGATTCAATTTTCAATTTTAAAGTTTTATGACCTATATAAATACTTGTGAAATGGTTTTAATGTTGTAAAACATAACTTCAGAATTCAAAATTTCGGTCAAAAATCAAACGTCACCATATCATACTTTTCACGAGATATTCACTGACTTTTAACTTGAAAACAATTTTTTTTAACGATTTTTTGACATTCATTATAATCTTTTCATATTCAAATCGCAACAGTGTCAAAGTTTTTTTGATTGAATATTTTAATCAGTGCACAATCAGGTCAAACGTCGTTTTCAACAACAAAATTGATAAAACTAGCCTTCATTCTGTGTTGAGTTTTCATTGCACTAAATATCACTATCATGTTTATTCTTCTTTTTTTATTTGACAGTTTTTTTTACGGTAAGATGCTATAACACCACCTGCTCATCAATCAATAAATGAGTACATACTTGTTTGGTAATGACTCTGTTCCTCCTATTTTTTAGCACTATTTTGTGAGTTGACTAGGTAGCACAAATGTGCAAGCATTCTCTATGCGTGCGTAATATGCACTTTCCTACAAAAAATTGTTTTCCACTATACTAATCAGCTCCAATTTTTTCTCCGAATAATAAAAATGTTCAAGAAATCAAAAAAATATTTTTCACATTATACTTTGTCATGCATATATGTTTTTTTATTTCAATCTGATTGACGTTAGCTTTTTGCTGATTAAGACAACTGTGATCTTTAAGACTTGTTTGTCACAACTCGTAAGACTTCAATTGTGGATAATTATATGTAAATATCTACATTGTTAGTTGATAACAAGTTTTTCTCATATTTTTTTGCTATATGAAATATGAGAATATTTGAAATATTTATTACAATTCTATATAGTGCAGCATGAGAAAAAAAATGATTTTTTTTGTGAGAATATTTGATGTGGACAAAAAACCAATCACATGTTGTGTTTATGTGATCCTATTTCATTTTATTTCGAAATTTTGTCCAAGGTTTTTTTCATTGAAAAATATTTAATGAGTGCTGAACCCTATGACGGTAGATGGAGCCCCGCTTTGAAAAAACTTGTTTTTGATGTAGCCTCTGTACTGATTTTAGATGCTTTTCCGTATAAAAGACCTCTATATGAAGTTATGGCACAATTGTTTCATGTCCCCATTTTCATTAAGGATGTCTGCTAAAAATTAATTTGGACATTTTCTGAGTTTTATCCGGATACAATAACCGATTTGATCTTTGTTTTAAAAATTCTGATTTTTTGGCTGTTCCACACACAAAAAAACTAATCAAGACCAATTTTCTAATCAGTGATGCAACCTTTTTTTGGTAGAGATTATCATCATTTTTCAAGAAAAAAAGTTGTTCCATTGGCACATATACATAGTGAGTGATATGATAATAAAATAAATTCGGAAAATACGATTTTTTTGCCATTCGAAAATGTTTTCTGCTCAATAAAAATACTTTCGATTACTCTCTCTTGTCTTGTTTTTTGTTGTCCAGTTGACTTCTTTTTCTTCTCTAACTCTCTTCTTTTCAGTTTCAAACCAATTTTTGTGTTAGAAAATTGAAAAAAAAAACATATTTTTTATCTTGGTATTTTCTGTGTGATGTATTGCGCATTTTTTGAACATTTCAGATAAAAATCATCATTAAAATGTGAAAAAGAAAAATACACACACTATGTATATTACACAACAACAAAATATATATTTATTTCAATCTTTTTTATATTTCGTTCATGCCGTTCTTTTTCTTTTTCATCATTTTTCATACACTTTTGTTCACAGATTCAAGAAACTAAAATAATGACTGAAGAAGAAACAACAAAAAAAGTTGCCAAGATGAGTTCAATGCCCAATGAAATTCTCTTGTATATTTTTGCATATTGTGATATGGATTCTCTTGTCAACATGAAAATGGTTAGTTTAGTTTAGTTTTAAATTGGAATTTCTTATTTGACAACGCCCTGTGTTTTTGAAAAGAACAAACTGTTTTAGGTTAAGCAATCGATTTTGATAAGATAAAATTTTTGAAATACTTTGCTTTAACCGGTTTCAGACAAATAAAGCAAATCTCTCACGTGTTCATGAAATTTTGCGGAGAAAAACAGAATTTCGCGCTGGAGATCGGTTGCAATTTATGGATGGCATGCACGCCAATTGCTCCTTGGCTGCTCAGAAAATATTGCGTTTCATGAGATTGATGCCAAATCTTCGGAGAGTGTCATTTGTAGATATTCCAGCAAGAATTACTTTACCTGAATTGATTGCGGTAGGAAATATTAACAGACTAAAATTTCATATGTCATTATTTTATCAGATGAACTTGCACAATCCATATATCAGACATATTGAATTTGTTCAAAATCAATTCAATTTTATTGAACGTGATGCTTTTCTTGGGCTTCGCTACATGAGAAATTTGAGAAGTTTGAAAATTGTTAATTGGAATCCAATGCATGTTGTTCGTAGAGGTAAAAACAATCAAATCAAAAATAATTTTTGAAAATGTGTTTCATTCCAGGTTGCTCCTCGCGTATCGAAACAATTCCAGCTGAAATTCTTCAAGATTTGAAAGTTTTTGAAATTGCTGGAGATGGAGAAACAGTTGAGAACATTTTCTCATTTATGGAACAATATTCAGTTTATATGGAGAGAATAATCACCTTGAAGGTTAGTTTCAGTTTGGTGAGTATGAAGCAAATGATTGTTCCAGGTACATGTAAGAATCACAACAAGTCGGGTTTCCAGCCTGATTTTTAGATTCATTATGAGACATCCTCATTTGAAAGAAATTGCATTCAACGGACTTTTGTTCGATACACAAAGCCAAGTTCAAGAATTCTATTCGTAAGTTGAAAATTGCAATACAAAAAAAAACATCAAAAATTCAACATATTTTTTTGCAGGATGTTGATGGTGAATCCACAATTGCGCATTCTTGACATAGAAAACTGTGCGGTTGTTGAACGTCTCGAAAATACAATTTCAAGAAATTTTGTAGAACGCCTGTACGAGAATGGAGTGCAACTTGTTGGTCAAGTCAAAAGTCTTCGCCATATCTGAATCACATAATGAATGAATAAACAAAACAATGGTTTATTTGATAATTTTTATTTTTACTGGTATTTGTACAAAACCATACTTATTTAACGTTACAATGTAATTGCCAGTGGTGCACCAGCCCACTTTGTAACAAAATTCTGAATGTTCAGTAAATTGTCTGTTTGATGCGATTTTATAATTATTAATAAACGATTCAAATCTTCCCGCTCAGCTGTCAATTCTCCAATTTGAACCGGTTCATTGATTACAGGATAACCTTTAAAAATATAAATTGTTTTGTCATTTTTTCACTTTAAATCAAAAAATAAAATATACCTGTTATTAGACATGGTTCTGAAGGTGAACCGCCAGTTCCATCAGATAACGACGCCTCAAAAATACCGCGAATATCATAAACAAGTTTTTTGTTTGAAGAATCATCGACTGATGCTGCCAACACCCATTCTTTTATATCTTCATGTTTCTGACTCTGTAATAAAACCGTTTTTTCTCTAAAATTAAGAACATTGAATGCGGTTACCTCTAGCCATTGTTTGGATGGAAGTGCAACTTCTGTTGGAATATCTGATTTTTCCAAAGAAGCATAATCTACAAGTTCTCCATTTCCTTCTTCAATTGCATCAACAAGATCTAAATAGTGATTCAAAAGAAGGAACCCAAGATTTTCATAAGTTCCACCAATTTCTTTGGCAGCTAAACCAGCTTCATAAAAAATTCGATCAGGTGGCAAAATATCAGTGAATCTCAAAAGTGCCAACGATTGTTTGAAACACAGTTTAGGAGCATCTGAAGTGTTTCCAAATTCTTCCAAAGCAGTTCTCATTGATAATAGATGCAAAGCCCATAAATAACGTTCAAATAATTCAACATGTTCTGAATTTTCACTTCTCAAAGATTTATATACTTCCAAATGAATGTTTCGAACTCTTGAAATTTCATCATACACAATTGTTGGCTTGTCAAGAACTTCTTCAACCAATAATTTATATATTGAGAAGTTTGCAGGATTTCCAGAAGCACCATATTTTTCCAAAATTGTCAATACTTTACTCAATTCATTGCGATGAACAAGAAGAGCTGCATATTGTGCAACATATTTGTCAAGAAGTGGACGATACTGAAAAAAAATAAATTTTGTTTATCTTAAGTATTTCTTAAAAACACAACCAACATTTTGTTGTTTGGCAGTGTCCAGTGCTTTTTCCCACTGATCTCGTTCAATCATCAAATCAATTGCAGTAATAACATCAACATCTATGAGTTCACCAAGTCTGCCTTCATTCTGAAAAACAATTGTTTTTTTTTCTCTATAACATGTGTTGAAATGAAAATTAACCTTTAAACTTTCTTTATAAGCTTTCTCAATTTCTGGTATCATTTCTGGAAGATATTCAGAAGCAACTTGTTTAGCTTTTGACCATTCTTTTGCACTACACAATGCAGAAATGGCTGCTTTTGTTTGACCAATGTTGAGAAGAAGTTCAGCACTTTTCTCATGCATTCCAGCTTCTTCCAGCGTTGTAAGAACCATTCGAATTGTCTGTATAACATTGTTATTAATTTTTCTAAATTTCATTTTCAGTTTACCTGCTCATCTCCCAACAAAAACTTGATAGTTAGCTCTGTTGCTTTATTCAAACTTAATCGAATAATATCCTCATTTTCAGTCACTTCACTATTGATTTTCAACAAAGTTTGAACCGCGCGAGCCCAATCTCCTTGAGCTTCCCAATCTTTTGCTTGTTGAATGAATGAATCTACACCTCTTGCACCACTTCGAAGTTCAGCTTTTTCATATTCTTCTCGAATCAAAGCATATTGATGAGGTAGATATTCTTTAGCAATTCGAAGTGCATCTGGCCACATTTCAGCTTCTTTGAAGTACCTGAAATAAATAATTATTAAAAAAATAACTCGATTGGAAGACCAATTTCATTACCTCAAAATTATATCCGGTTTGTTGGCTCGAAGTAGGAAACTTTCACCCCGAACATGATCTCCTTCTTCCAAAGCCTTTCTTGCTTTACCGGTATAAACATCTGGTAACATATTTGGAGCGTGATCTTTTGCGATGTTATATGCTGCTGACCAATCTTTATCCTCAATAAACATTCTGACAGCTTCTTCTGGTTTTGCTCCATCAATATAATGTTTAGCAGCATCTTCCATTCTACCATCCTCTTCTAATTGAATCGCCATTCTTATATGAACCTCCGGTAATCGATCTTTCGATCCAATCCTTGATAAATCAAAAGCAAAATCAAATGCACCAGTTTCACATGCAAAGTCAATTCCTTCAGATAACATTCCATATCTATTCAATAATTTGACAGCTGCATCTCCACCCAAATTCTTTGCCCACATAAACAAAACTTGTTTTTCAGCATTGTCTCCACCTTCAAATTTTGCAATTCGATGTGCATCAGACCACATTTCATTTTCTTTATACATATTAACAGCAGATTTCCAATCACCTGCTTTTAAGAATTCATCTTCAGCAGCCTTCAGATCACCTCTTTGCTCATATTCCATAGCAAAATGTTTTCTTGTTTCTTGTAAATGTTCACCGTGATATCTTTCAACAAGTCGAAGAACATCTTCATCTCGCCCAGCTGTTTTATACATTTGAATTGCTTTGTTTGATAGTCCAATTGAGATATATAGTTGCTCGGCTTCACTAAATCTACCTTGTCCTTCTAATTCTTCAGCTTTTCTTTCATACATTCGCAAAGTTTCCTCCTTCCCAAGAAATTCTTCTGACAACTGTAAAACTTTTTAAATCAAAATCCCAAGTTTCGTGTTCAGTTAGACCTACCCTATAAGCATCAGACCATCGATTATTTTTGATATACATAGTGATAGCTTCTTTCTGAAGGTCAGCTTCGATGAAAAGTCTTTCCGCTCTCTGAAAATTATCTTTCAATTATTTGACAAATGTTTTTTTTTTCAATTTTTACATCAAATTCTCCAACTCCGGCATAATGATCTGCAATTTTCCCATAATATTGTTTGCTGACATTCTGATCTTGAATTACATCAACAATCTGAAAAACAACTTCTTTGAAATTGAATTTTTCTAATTAACTCACATGAACAGCTTTACTCCATTCTTTAGCACGAATTGCCGCATCAACAGCTTTTTGAGATTGATTTGATTCCAAGAAATGATTGATAGCTGCTTCATGTTGACCAATCGAGCTCAAATGATCACCCCATTCTTCTTCCAAATCAACAACTTTCTCCGGATATGCAAATCTTGCCAATTGAATAGCATTTGAATAGGCTTTCCCTTTCCGATAACAATCCAAAGCTGTCTCGAATTCTTTCAATTTTTCAAAAACATCTCCTGCTCTATCAAAAATCTGATTTTTCATTAAAGATGCAGCAATTTGTCTCAATAATGCGTCATCAGTTGATAAATGTGAATCGTGCATTGCAGTGTTGAGAGCAAGCAGTGGCTTATTTCCTTTGAGATACAATTGAATAGCTGATAAAGGATCTCCTTCAGTGACTTTCAATTCAGCAGCTTTTGAATCTTGTCCAGTTTCATGCAATGCTCTCAAATAACTTGTTCTCAATTGTTCATATCCGGGATAATTTGTTGCTTTCGCTAATTCTAATGCTTCATCCCATTTGTGCAATGTTGTATACATATTTACTGCTCCTTCAATATCATTTTCTTCCAGGAAAATTCTTTCAGCGTCTTTAAACTTTCTTCCCATTACTGCCAACATTGCTCTAACTTTATATGAATTCATTCCATCTCCACCGGTATTTTGACTGATCTCATCAGCCAATTCCATTATTTCCTGAAACATTAAACGTGGAGTTCGAGATAAATACAAGTTATCTTCATTACCGGGTTCTTGCTACACTTGGTGAACACCCGTTTGTCGAAAAAAAAGAAGAAAAACTAGCATATGAGAACAAAAGCGAATAGAAACAGCCATTCGCATACTCTCATGAGGGAGGCAAACGCGCTCTAGCGAACAGACGGAACTTTTGAATTTTCTGCGTTTTTTTTTTTCATTTTTTTCCATAGTTTATTTTTTTCAGTCAAAACCTGAGGAAGAAATAGATATTGAACGCTTTTTGGTTTATGTCGCACTTTGCTTTAATACTTTTCATTATTTTTCCCCATTTCCTGTTCACATACATGACATTTTCTGGCCCTTGCCACATCATTAATTGCTGCATAACATTGTTGTGCCACAAAAACATCACTATGTTCTAATGCCAAATCAGCAACTCTTGTCCACATCGAATATCTGTAAGATTTTGGGCTTTGTTGACAATTATTAAAAATTGTGAAACAAATCCAAAACTTACGAATCTGGTCCAGATGGATTATTATTCAAAAACATGACTGCTCGTTCAAAATCTCGTTTTTCCAAAGCAGCTCCGAATTCAATTTGAGTACTATCCAATTCATAAGCAACTTTTGCTGTTGGTTCTTGAACTATAACTTCAGTTCGATCAGCATCTCTCAAAACAGTTTCAATTTCCCCTTTGATTTTGATGTTTGTGACTTGTTCTGGGAGATCTGGATTATACCAAACTGCTAGTGTATCACCAGTTTGTGCAACGATAACATCACTCATAGGAACCCATTGAACATATGTACAAAATGATAGAAGAACACTTCTTTGATCTGTAGAAATATCAGCCAATGTCACTTTTGATCTTTTGTCACGATATAACAATTTTGTTGCTGATTCATTTAATTCAATCCAATCAATCGCACCAGTATGATTGATATAAGATTCTTGTTGTGAATTAATCAAATTATCTAGAAATTTTCAAATAATGAAGTCAATACAATTAAATAAACTAACATATCGAAATTGTTGTTGGATCGACTAGATAGGCTAACTTTTTCACTTTTTTACTTTCTTCCACATCAAAATCACTAATTTGCACACTCAACAAATGCGGACTTGTCAATTCAGTTCTAACCCATCCAAGTGATCCATCAACTCCATATTCAACCACAGTAATCTCACCAGCATTGATTATCAAGCAACAGTTATTGAATTCGCAGTAGAATCTGGAAAAACAAAATTTCGTCATATTTTATATTGGAAAAGTATAACATGCAAGATATTTTGAATGTTCTTCTTCACCTTTCATGTCCGCCACTTTGCCATTCAATTTCGGAAAATCTCTGAACTTCTGTATCCGCAATAATTAGACTTGAGGAAGTGTATCCTACAACGAATCGATCTTTACCCATTATTTTCAACTCATCAATTGCTAATCCTTTGTTTGATATGAGATTTGTTCTTGTGTCATTTGCAACATCTTTAATGATAACATGCGATGGAGCAACATAAGTTGTTTCAAATCGACTTTTTAACATTCCTCGCCGCAAACAACAGTCAATCGCAAGAACTGCGCCAGTCACGGTTCCCTGAAAAAGGTGTTTTTTAATAATCTTTATCGGGTGGAATCACTGGAGTCTAGTATCACTATGTAAACTTTTAAAAAATCAACAAACTCACTGCGTAAACTGTTGACCCATCCATTTTCCATCCTAATGCAGTTATCATATACAAATTCTCAATCTCCAATGGTGTTCCTTCATCCCACGCTCCTCTTCTAACTGACCAAGAAAATAACCGAATTCGATCATAACTTGCAACAACAACATTTTGAGCGGTTGGATCACAAACAATCGAAGAAAACTCTTTCTCATCTTGATCACTATAATCAAATTGTTGTTGAACAACTCCGTTTTCTGTATATGATAAAACTCTTCTATCTGCTCCAGCAATCACTAATCCATAATTAGTGAATACCATGTTATATGGAGATGTTTGAAGTGTACAAATTTTTGATTGAGTTCGACTGCTGAAGCTGTACATAATTATACTTCCGTCCGAATGAGCTGATACAAAACATGTTTTCTTTGGGCTGTAAATTCGATTATCAAAATGGATTTGAAAAAAAAACATTCATAAAAATCTTACTGTGCATGCATGCTGACCACCGCTTGATCAGTCTTGTATAATGAACTGCATTTGTTATTTTTCATTAATCCAATACGAACCTACAATTATTTTGTTGTTCGTATAGCTACAGTACTCTTTCCTTTTTTGCAAATGCACTTTTATTAGTTTCTAAAAATAGATTTGTCTGAACTTTCAATTTGTTATTTGATACACGGTGTAATTTTTCTCGATTTTCTCATACCTTTCCATCAAGCTGCCCGATTAAAATCTTATCATCGAAGGGCCAATTCAAACAACTAACAGCAGAAGGTTGCACAAATTTGTTGACAATCACTTTTTTTTCGTTCCTTCAAAAAATGATTATTAAAAGAGCACTTTACAACGAGAACAATTATTTTTTTGGGCTATTTCATAAAAAAAAGCCAAGGTGTGCATACCATGTCGTGCCGACTTTATATATAAAGACAACGTTATCACTTTGACCGACGGCGACGCGAGATGAATCAGGCGAAAATGTCATACAAATTATTGTGAATGATTTTTTTGAGTACTGTAATGGAACATTTAGAAAAATGTTAGAATGTTTTGGGAGTGAATAGAAAAACTTATACCTTTGAATCAACTGGTTTGCATGTGAACCTATCTTTCTGATTTCCATTTTCATCAAGAAGAACAATTGAACGATCAGCACAAGCAATTGCAGTTCTCTGACCGTTTGGAGAACACGCTATACAAGTTATTTTCGATTCGCCATCCTCAAAAAATGATTTTCAGTTTTATTATGTGAAAATATTTTGATTTAAGTGTGTGAAAAAGTAATATATTGCTATTGACAATTCTCTTTGTTTTTTTTTATGGAAAGAGAGATAAAACAAAATCAACATTTTTTAAGCTCGGATTTTTATATAAATCTCCACCCAGATCTTTCATTGCAACAAAATTTTAGAAACCCAAAAAAAATTAAAATTAACATTTCATCTGAAAACAGTATATAGAGATGGTCTATGAAGTTCAATTCAAGTAAGACTCAAACAAAACATGTAACCACTAACTTTTCAAAATTGTAAATTTCTATGACCCCTTGTTTCCTGACCATTTCCTCAAAATTGTAACGTTCTCAACACTTGACATTTTCTAAAGAAATTCTTTCATCTTCACCGAAATCGAGAGCAATTATTTTTTGAAAAATCAAAACATTTTTATCAAAAATGTTTTGAGAAACAGTACGACAATTAGTGAACTATGAGAAAAAGATGAAACAATTATATGAGTCATATTGCAAAGAATTATTTTTGTCTATAACTTTTTTTTTTAAAAGAATGGAGAATTATATTATAAAATATTATATGAAACGGAATGAGAAAAAAAATGGGAAAAAGTGAAATGAAGTGCATTTCGTATAGTTGTTAAATGGCATGGTTATGCTAAAAACATGTGATTTGATTATAGCCTAGAACTATGTCTAATTTTTTTGATTCTGAAATCACGTCGAAGCTCATATGAACTATTGCTCATAAAAACTAAAAGAGCTACGGTTATAGAAAACTATTCTTTTTTTCGATTTAAAAAAAAACTTCTATTGTAAAAATTTACCTGTGATGGGATTATTGTTTCCAAAAATTTGAGCTTCATTCAAATAAAAATATAAAATGAAAGAATAGAGAAGATGCAGATGTCTGTGCGTTACCCCTTTTGCCCAATTCTCAAGAAAAATTGCCATAGCAACCGATTTACACACTTAGCCACACACAAAACATTTTGAGATTATATTTATTATGAAATAACAAAAAGAAAGAATCAGTGGGGGCAATAATGAGAGCAAAAAAATGATGGGATAAAAAATTAATGGCAATATTAATATAGGCACATTTCAAGAAAATACACACAGAAAAAAGCTACCATATAGTACAAACAAAACATGTTTCTTTCAAATTTTGAGGAAGGATACACATAATTAATTGGAGAATTGGGAAAAAATAGTGAAATACAACAGTATGTATGGAGCACCGTGAGCACAGGAGGAACATGAAAATAAAGACAAAACTTAAGTAAAATAAAAGACGCTGGATAGTGATATAAAACGGGGAAAAGGGGAATAAAAAAAGAAAAAGGTAACAGAGATCCATTTGCGTGCTCTGAGACATAGATAAAATGAAGCGCTCATTTAATTTATTTGGAAAAATGTTTTCAATAATATAAGAAAACTTTTTTCACATTCAGTTTGGAGATAAATTAAAAAAATAAATCGAAAAATGACACAAACACACTTTAGAATGATGCATTTTCTTGATTGACAAAGAAACACAATTATGAGAGGGGAAATATGGAAATACTGGTCACAACGGTGCTGTGGAATTTTTGTTTTTGGAGGAAGTTTAGTTAGATAAATAAAATGGATTTTCTCATGTGATTAATTTAAAAGAATAAGAGACTAGCGAAAAATATACAATGTTTTTGGTGATATTCACCATTGTTCATATGGCAAGACTTTTTCATCGCGAATAATATCCTGAGATTGCTGATGATGTTCGGATTGTTGCTGTTGCTGTTGTTGCTGATCAGGAACACCCATTTGATATTGTTGATTAATCATTGAATAATCGAAATTCGGCACATATTCTTGACCGGTTGTCAGTAGCACACAATTGTCAAGCTATAAAAAACACATTTTTTTTGTTGTTTTGACCCCTAACATAAACATTTTCAGACACTTTTTAATTGCAACAAAAACCCGCTCTCATAAATTGAAACATTCCATGGTGTTCTTTCGTTCAATGTGAAGAGAAAACCAGTTTCTCGAAATTTTGTTCCACAAACAAATTCTATTTTCAGAATCAGCTTTTTTATTATTTTAAAATTTTTGAGGAAAAGAATTTGAAAATAAAATATGACTCACCGGCGGTTGATATCCACCGATTTGTTGTTGCGATAACATCATATCCGGTTGACTCGTCACAATATACTGAGAATGAGCTGTGTTATCGTGTTGAATGCCATAGTCCATATTTGATGAAACAGAAGGCAGGGATGTTGATGTCAAATGATGAACTGATGGCTGCAAAGAATTAAAAGTAGTTTCAATATTTAAGTTCACAATATTACCAATTGTTGAGAGTTCAACTGTCTAAAATTGAGCAAATTCATCTGCATCGGCAATTGCATATTCAACGCGTTCACCGAATTTTGTGAATCAACCTTATTTTCAAGCATACTTGCATCATCTAAACCAGATAACATTCCATTTCCATGTCGACTTCCTAGCGGACCATCAACATCTCCATATAATTGCATCAAAATGTTTTGACTTTGACTATGCATAAGTGTATCAAGTGAAGAAGTATCAAGATCTAACTGATGATCGCTTGGTGGAATTAATGAACTCTGCAAAAACAGAATAATAATAATACTCATCAGAAAAATATAACGAGAAAAAACTAACCGCTTGAAGTGGTTGCACATTATTCAAATGCATTTGTTGTGATCCTTGCGTCAATTTAACTTTGAAAACCTTTTTTCTTTTTTGGCGACGTCGTTGTTGTGATCAATGGATGATGTGTTGAAGAAGATGTTGAAGATGCGGCAATTCCGCCATTTTCCTCTTGCTCCATCATCTAAAAGTTTTTTTGTGTTGTTGTGTGAATTAATGACCCTTTGAAAATAAATAGACCCCAATAAAAATTTGACACCAACCATTTTTCGTTTGGCGGCTGTCGCGTATGTCAGTTGGCGTAGATCGTTGTCAAGGTGTGCGGATGTTTCATTTTTTCGTTGATGCATATCTTTATGACACTGAAAAATAAATGAGTTTTTGTTAAATTTTTGAAATTATAAAAAAATCCGGTGACAGACAACACTGAAACAACACAATATTTCGAAACATACCCAACTTTTTTTTAGAATAAAACATTTACTGAAATCAAGAAAGTTTCAAGTTTTGAATAAAATCAACCCACCTTTAAACTATTTTTCCATTTGAATGTCATCTGACAGACGGTACAAACAAAAGGTTTGGCATCCGAATGAATACGTTTATGATTCCAAAGTGTTGATCTACGATTGAATCGAGCTTTACAAACATCACATTCAAACGGTTTCATTCCGGTATGTGAATTCTGATGTTCTTCTAACTCCATTTTCGATCCAAATTTTGATGGGCACAAATTACAAGGATACGGTCGTTTACGATCCGCCGCCAATGCACGGCCTGCAAAATCTACAACTATATGATAGAATTTCATTTTTCAAATTCCAAAAAACTCACCATTTTGTGTGACTTTCGAATGATTATTATTATTCAAAGGATCACTATTATTGCTGACTGGTGTGCAAAAAGATGGATGAATTTGAAAATTACCAAAAACCATATCCGACGAATTATCCAAATCTGAAAAAAAACCTATTATTTAGCTAAAAGATTTAGCAGATACACATATTTTATTATATGATTTTTATTATGTTGCGCAAATGTGTGTTGTTTTTGATTTATTGCCGCATAGGAAGAGGCAAGTGTTGCAAGTTTTCTGGTGTTTGCCGATTTTTGGGCAATTTGAGAATAATTAATGAATGAATATCAACAAAAAAAAACTTCCCGGAAACTTTTTTTGCAAGAAAAATTCTAGATAGAATTTTTACTTTTATTTTTCAAAAAATACCGTAGTCAAAATCAAAAACATCTATCTTTTCTCTATCCCCCACACCTTTGACAAAAATAACAAAATCCTCTTTTTCTTCGTCATACTTTTTGCTGATTGATGTCCTCTATTTGTCAAAAAAAAACAACTCACATGGACTTTTTATCAGTGTTTTCGGTGGAGTTGATGGTTGCTCAGATTTAACAATATCGTATGGATTGTGATGAAGCATTTGTGTTTGAATCTCCATTTTTGGTTTTGGTTTTATATGGAATGTGCAATGAATCCAAGTTATATATTATTTCGCTGAAAAAAATACGAAATTAAAGAGATCAATAAAAACTGTTGATGATGTTGATGAAGGAAAGTGAGAAAGGAACTATGGCATCACATATGGGCAAAAAACAGAGAAGAAAGAAACATGAATCTAGATAGAATAAAAGAAAAAACGATAGAAAGATAGATAGATGAAAAGGTTATCACTACTATCATGAAAGAAAAAAAATGTTAGCGAAAAAAGTATTGGAGAAAAAGGTAACGAGGACCTCCAAACTTGTTTTGATTTTTTTCATTTCAATTCTGTTTCTATTCACAAAAAAAGAGGAAAAGAAACGAACATCCATAAAACAATTGTCGCCAATGAATGCTCCGCCCCACTCAAATACAACTCCTACTGTAGGTTTGGCTCGACTCTCAGAAGATAGATAGATATGCGGATAAATCGACTGATTAGTTAGCAGAGAGAGATACAAGCACACAAAAAAAGTAGGCAAAAAGAGATGAGCAGAATGGGAAGGAAGGAAGGGGACAGCAACAAAAAAAGTAAGCGAAGAAGAAGAAGCTGGTGAGCAATCGGCAGGTGGGCGTGGCTTGAAATATTGTCACCTATGGTGAAGATGGTCAAAACTGGGCGGGGTTTTATGTATACTTTGATGATGCCTTCGACAGAGTGTTCGAAAGATCAAATTTAGACTCTAAAAAAACATTTCTAAATTTTCGTAGTGCGGTCGAAATTAGAAATTCTTTATCTGAAACGAAATATCAGAAAACAAGTTTCAAACTTTGAAAAAGGGATTTCCCGATCATCAACTGATCAATGAGTATTACACCATCTTCAAGAAACAAAAAGACGGAACAAGAACAAGGAAAAAACAGCAAAGAGAGAATTGAGAAATTCTCACGCTTATTTTAAACTGTAACAATTATGAGTGTAATATAAATGCTTTAAGATTGTGTAACATCATTGGTTCAGTCGGCTCTTCGAACCTTTGTCTTCATCAGACGATTCTCTATTTTTCTCGATTTTTTAAAGTTTTCATTATTTTTTAAATCCTTAATCTGCTACCCCGAGTCCGGAGAGATGGGTAAACTTTAGATCAATTTTTGAAAGTGGGCCCATAACTTTCGAAAATATTAGGGTTCTTAATTCTTCTAGGAGTCAAAAACTAACACAAAATGAGTGAAGTGGGTTGATTTTTAAAAAAAGGTGCTAGCTATGTGTTTCTGCTATAAAATATTAATGAGAAATATTTTTTAAAACACTCAATGCATTATTATTAATAAATAAAGTTCATCTCTTTTATTTAGCGACAGAATTCATATTTTTTGAAAGATGACGAATTTCAAAATCTATTTCGAAATATATTCGAGCACGGGATTTCTTAAAAGACTTGGAACAATTAGTCTCGTGATATTTTTTATTCAACTGACGGATTAATATTTTAAAAAACTAACCTAGATGCAAACTTAGAGTCAGCAATTCTATTTTTGATTTGAAAAAAATCAATTTTGAAAATTCGGTGATTCATGGAAATCGTTAACATAATGTGAAATGGCTAATTTTGAATAAAAATAATATTTTTTTCAGCAAAAATTGTATGTTTCATAAAAATGTATGTTTTTTAAACACACAAAAGAAACGTTCGTTAATCTTGAAGTCAATCAACTTTTTGCAACTTTCTTTTTTTGTCGGTTCTCATCCAATCCTGTTTTGCTGTTCGTTCAAACAAACACCTTCGAGATATACCTTTTTCAGAACTTTTGTACGAATCAAGAAAAAGAAAAAACATTACAAGATGGATAAGAAGAAGAAAAAGAAGAAGATAAAAAGAAGAAGAAGAAATAGGAGAACACACAACGATTCATCTTATATTTTGCGATGCGAGAGAGCTCTGATTCTAACAGGGCATCCCAACAAAATATAGTGATTGGATGTCTCGATAGATAGATAGCGTCAGGTGTTATGAGCCCAGATAAGCTCCATCTCAAATCAATAAATATTCGCCTCTTTCTTTTGCCCTCGTCTATTTCGTTTTTCTAACATAAGCCATAATATGATAAGAAAAAAGAAGAAGAAGAAAAGAAGAATCAAAAACAGACAATTTCAGTCAGTCATGAAACATTCCATCAAATACATACAGTAATTTTGTTCGTTCCGCTTCTCGTTGTCATTCAGTGACTAGAAATATCAGATGGTAAAAAAAGAAATTACTAACTAACTAACCAACTGACTGACTAAAAATAAATAAAAAGGGGTCATTCTGACTGAAAACAGAAAACCCGTTAGGTCAGCAATCGATTTTGGTATATTTTTTCGAATTCAACAAACCGGTGTTCGTTTATTTTTTTTTGTTTATTCATTTTTCAATTATTTTGTTGTAGCTTTTAAAACTCAATAAAAAGAGAGAAGTCTAAAAGTTTTTTTTTCAACACGCGGCTATAATAATAACCCAACCCAACCAGATGTCTGATTCAAATCTTCCACAAAACTTTTTCTCATTCACATTCGCTCGTTCAACGCGGCTTTTTTAGCTTCTAGCTTCTATTCAAGGTCGATTCGAAATCGGTTAAAAATCGAGGGTGATAAGCTAAAAAAAAGAGAAAAGATAAGAAGAAGAGGAAAAAAAAAGATGAAGAAGCCAATAGAAAAAAAACAACAAAAATGAAACAAATCTGCATACCCGGTTTTAGAGGACATAATATAATAATAAAATGGAGAGGATATAAAGATATACATATATACAAACAGTCAATGATTCAGTCATTGCCCTTCTAGTATTAGAAATACGTAGAAAAGGTGGTCTATTTTAGTTGTAGACAGAATGGGAGTGACAGAAAAATAGTAAAGATTTTATCAACATCTGAAAATGCTGGTTACTTTCCACCTTTCTAATATGGAACAAAAGCTGGACCTTGGAAGAAGACAAAAAAACAATGGAAATCGAAAGTAAAAATGAATTAATTCGACGAAGAAAAAAAATGAGGAAAAACTCTCATAAAGGAATGGATATATAGGACGGCAGCCGATATATGCATCTCCAGATGTTTGAAGAAGCAAAAAAAAAAGAGTTATATAGATCAGATGCACAAGAAGGAGCAGCAAAAATACATATATATCCGCCGACCAACATATGAACAACTTTTTATATAGATATTTATTTCTTCCATCTATCTTATTGTTTTTCCCCGTTCAATTTTTTTTTGGCGTTTGGTGGGACTCATGAAATACGCGCCAACTGGCGCAGTAATCATTAACAAATGTCGGTGGTAGTTCAAAAGAGAATCGAACAAATTGTTGCAATTTTTCGCGGATTCTTTTTTTCTATTTTAACTAATGAAATATGGATTGCGCGGTTTCTTTGTGTGTTCATTTAAAAAAAAGCCGAGATAAGAACTCACTTGTTTCGAAGTTTACAAATTTACAAACACATCCAATCCTGAAAGAAATTATAAAAATAAAAAATCTCGAAAAAGAATAAAAAAAAAGTAAAAGTTGAATCGAGAGAACATTAAGCGTAAAAAAGTTTCCAGAGAAAATGATCATAAATGAGATGTTTCTGCCTACGGCAGTCGCAAGCAGAAAAAAAGGAAGAAGGGCGGTGTTGCGCAACACAAAAAAGGAAAAGAAGATGCAAAAACAAAATAAGAAATAGAAGCATCAAATCAAAGACGACGATGGCAGCAGCAAAAAAAAGAAAGTTGTTGGCCTGATGGGTTTAAGATTAATGAGAAACGTTGAAAACGATTAAATCAGGTATGAGGAAAAAAAGAGGGAAGAAGAAGTAGGAAGGAGGAAATGAGGAGAAAGCTTTTTTGGCAAGAATTGGAATGGCAAGGTGAAAGTGATTGTACATACACGGAAACAAGAAATTGAAAGATAAAAAAAACAACAAGACAGACATTGTGTACCGGATGAGATTTGGACAAGAGTGAAAGGTGGTATACGGTATGAATGAGGAAATGGAGAAAAAACCTAATCAAGCAAGCTACCTGGTAGATGTTGATTATATATTTCTCTTTGTGTTTCATGCTTTACTGTGTAATAAGAAACAAAAAACAATGATGTTATTTATCACTGATTCTTTAGGTTTTTTCTCGGTTAGAAATTCGTCATAGCCATAAAAAGTATTTTTTTTTCATTTTTTTTTTCGAAAAAAGGTAATGTGAAGCTAGACAAAATACTTTCCGTAAGAAAACCAAGAATCAAAAATGGAGCCGGGTAGTTTACTCATTAATCATTGAGAAGAATGGTAATTTTTCATCAGGAGGCGCGAAAAAAAGTTTCATGACATTTCACGCCCAAGGAAGAAAAATTGTGAAGTGGAACTTCTCACAAATTTAGCATCGAAAAAAATCGATCAGAGAAATAAAAATGAATACGAGAATTTTAGGTTTATCCCGGCAAGTGAAAGCAAGTCGTAAAATGTCATGTGCATAGGCAAACTCTCGCGTCTGCTCAGGATATTCCAACATCTGGATACGGCCAATTCAATGAGTAATAATAATGAGGTCCAGATGATAATAGTTGAAACTGAGGTCTTATTTCAAAAATGCTTTTTCCCATTCTTCCTGACTTTTTCTTTGTTCTGTGGGTTTTTCAATTTAAGTCATAAGTGAAATTTGATCAAAGTACGGTACTCTTAAGATCCACTCACTCACTATACAATGTTTTCTATAATCAAATCATGTTTCATCTCAAGCTTCATCATCATCTTCATCGAAAGCGCTTAACTTTCACTAATATAATAAATGAGTGATGGAAAAAGTGAAAATCGGCAATGCTTGCTTGAAAAGGAGAGGTTAACGTGGTGCTTGACAATTACATAACATCGACAATATTTTCTTCTTTTCTTCGTTTATCTCTTCGCGCAATAACACAGAAGAAAAAAAATGGAAAAAAAGAATAAGATGAAAAAGAAGAAAGAGAAATTGATTCTGATGACTGACTTCGCTTACATAAAACTTGCTAACAACAAACACAGGCAAATGAGAGCGAAACGGACGATCGCGACATTACGTAATCGAAAAAAGAGAATATGAAAAAGAAGAAGCTGAAGCAGAAGCTATAAGGGATCTATCCTGTTATCATTTCTCCCCGTGTGTTTTTTCTCGCATTTCCTCACAAAATTGCAACTGTTGTTTAGTTATATATACTCATTGAATGAGCAGCCAGTTGTCATATGAAATATGTACATGATATAGCAAAAAATTAGAAGAAGAAGAAAATGAGATGGATTTAGAGGAGCACCCAATCATAAATCTCGCGTTGACGTCGTAAATATTAATAAAGCAAAAATCGCCAGAACTATTGGAGGAACAATTGGTAATGCACATTAATCACTGGTTATGGTTATGACATCTTGTTCAGCAGAACATTTCATTTTTTCAAATGAATTGGGTACACAAAATGAATAATGTTTCGTGGAGTTACACAAAAATTATTTGAAAAAATTATGAGAATAAAATTCTGAAAGAACTTCAGCAGAAAAAAACAACAACTATGTGGTAATTGAGAAAAATAACATTTTTTCATGACCTTCGACTCTCTTCCACCTATAATCCATCACCCCCTAAACAAAAAAATCAGGCAGGCAGGCATTTATTTAACAGGTTATATCACTCTATCATCAAAATAATTGTTGTTTTTCCAACAAAAAATGTCAAAAAAAGATTGTTCGGTCAAATGGCAACGAGAAAAAAATTCATCTCTTCATTTTTCATTTCAACCCGGCTGAGCGTTGCCGCCGCTGTAAATTTCCCACGATACACTGTAATTTCCCACGGGGAAGATGAGAGAAGAAGGTGTTGCACCTTTCGAGACACACTCTCTTTTCTCATCTGTGTAATTTCGTGTTGTTTTTTTCTCGACATTTTGTAAAGTCTTTGTAATATTTTCGAACAATTTGACGTCATTTGGTTTGTTTGGATGATCAAGAAATGAAATGTAATAAAATGAAACATTTTATTTATTTTTTTTTGAGGAAAAATTTAGAGGCGACCAAATAAAAAACACGTTTCTGAAACGCGTTATCTAGAAATGGTAAATAACCAGGTCTCCTTGTTTTTTTTTCAGAAGAAGCGCTAAAAATTGAACAAGAAAAAATGAAGGGAGAAAAAAAAGCAAAATTTCCCAGGCAATTGAAATTATGCGAAACAGATCAAGGGATAGGCAAAAAGCAAGCGAAAGAGCAACGCGAAAACGCATGATTGACTGTTTCTTGGCTGCTGTGAGCGGATTTCAAGAGGTACTACAGACATGGATGGGCAAATATGTTCCGATCTGGACGAAGAAGAAAAATTGAGCGAGATAAAGATGCGAGAAAAAAAGATGAAACATTTAACGGGTTTCTGAGTGAGAGAGCCCAAAAAAGAGATAATATTGATATAAGGGTGTGAATATGATACTTGACACATTCATCCTCTTTTTTTTGGATTGGTCAGATGAAAATTAGGTCCACAAGGTTTTTGAAAAACTGTCGATGAGTTGTGAAACATTTAATTTTCTATCTAGTTTCAAAAAATGTGGAAGAAATAAATAAAAAGAATGCATCAAGAAAATTTATAAAAATATCCAGAAAACCACATATAAAAATATATGTGTTTGTCACGACTTTGAACACTGGTTCAATAATCACATGTTCTAATATTTCAAATCACGGATAAGAATTTGAAAAAAAGAAAGAATGATTTTTTTATTAAAAAATTCTTTGTAATTGAAATTTGTGATTTTTTTTCATTTTTCAGATAATTCAAATGTTTCACAATTTTTTGTTGATGAAATGAAATATTTTTTGTAAATTGAATGTTTTCTGAACCGGAGTGAATCCGGAGCTTTTTTGTGATATTTAAAACAGTTTTTTCGTAGTCAATTCAAACTGGAAAAAAGTGTTTCATTGTCGGCCTTTAAAAATTTCTACAGTAAACAATTTTTCCAGAATCCGCATTCATCAAAAGTAATTCAATACGTATTGGTCACCTTTTGCACTCTTTGAAATAGGAGATATGTAATTACTTCTTTTTCCTCATTTTCCGTGCTTTTCCTAACAGATATAAGTAACAGATCAGGTGAACGGATAAGCAAAGCAAAAGCAGAGCAGAAAAAAGACAAACGATGGCTCATCTTCTTCTTTCTTCTTGTCAAAAACAGTTTTGTGGCAGCTGTTATCGAGACTATGGCGGTCTTTTTCTTTTTACGTGTGCACCTTTATGCGCCTGCCTGGCTCGCTTCACTTTCTTTTCAATCGTGTTACGGGAAGAGACACAGAAAAGAAGGATAATAACTCTTTTACTTGTCAGGAGGTCAGCAGAAGTCGGGAATGAGGAGGAGCAAGAAAAAATAAAGGACGATGAATGATGAAACGATCGACAACTTTTAATTTTTGGAGATGAATGCGGGGGTTGTGAAATATATGTATATGAGCACAATTGGAAAATTTCTTTTGGGAAGTTAATAAGGTTGGAAGTGTTACTAGTAACAAGCTAACAGCACGACTTCCCAAAACTCCCAGTTGGAACCGGCCTGATCGGAAATAACCTTGCCATACAGTGAAATGGCTGGTCCTGAAAAATTATGAATGTAATTTTTGTTTCAGGGAGTTTAGATTTAATAATATTCATAGAATTTATATCAAGAACGCAAATTTAGATTTCCAAATATTCTGTCTTATTTTTTATGTTTTCTCATCGCTCCGTTAAATGATCTTCCTCCAGTTGACCTATAAATGTTTCAGAAATATCTCAAAACATAATTAAATCTCCCTTCGCCTCACAACATAATCACATTACCCTCACATAATCTAGTTCTATGGAAAATTAGCAGAGTGTAGTTATGAAATTAATTCCTCCTACAACATAGTTCCGCATTCGATTATCATGTGAATAATTTTTGTTACTTTCTTATGTATTTTTTATATCTTCAAATTTCTCGAACATGAGAACGTCAACTAATTACAAAATTCTCAAATTAAAGCCCTTAAAAAAGAAGCTTGAAGAGTTGGAAAAACTTTGCGTTTCAATTATTTCTCAAGAACTCATTCTCAAAAATGCATGCACATTTCGACAATTTTTGGTGACAGCTTAGAGTTAATCGTTGCTCTTTTTCACTTGAGAAAAAAATGAAAAAAACTAGAAGTGCAGAAAGTGAAATCATTATTACTCATTTGTGGTAAATTTCATTACGAGTATTTTTCAAAGATCATAAAATTATGTTTTTTAGGGGTTGACGTGAATGTGACAATTTCTAAGCTGTCAATTTGTTTCTTTTGTAATTAGAAAGTAAGCTCTTCGAAAAAAAAAACGAGAATTAAATTTGTCTGTCACTCGAAGCTTTTTTCATTTCCCCCTCTTCCAAATTCCATAGAACACAACAATAAAATGGCTAGCTTGTATGTTGGCTGCAAGTTTTGTTTTGGAACATTTCAATTAAAAAAGCATTTTCTCTGATTCCGATTGGCAGAAAAACAAAAACAAAAAACAAACAGAAAATCAAAGACATGCCTAATCATGTTCTAGTATATGTATGTATATAATATCATATTGCGTGTGTCACCATCATTTCCTTTGTCGGTCAAAAAGATGTTCTGCTCGCGGAAAAAAAAATGTCTGCTAGTTTTGTTTTATTGCATAAGACTAATGATACTAAATAAAGCTATTGCATAACAATAATAATAAAAACTATTTTATTAAAGAAAAACCATCTAACAGAAAACCGGGATTTTGAGACTAACAATAATAATTTTAAAAATGGCATGTGTTGTTTTTCGGAATATTTTGTTGAAACCCATTGTAGAAAATTGTGTTATTACATTACATACAAAGAAAATATTGTCTAGAAAAAATGTGTTTAAAGATGACGATGTTAGAAAAGAAAAATATTGCAAATCTTGATGATTTTTGGCAGATTTAGGTGTTAATTGGCAAATGAGTGTGTGTACATGTGAAAAACTACCGATGTTGGATGAATGAAAGTAGAAGGTTTTTGTCTCGTTGTTTTTTGAAGAAACGTGTTTTTACAAAAAAAAGAGGAAGACATCTAGTTGGCAACAATGTGCATAATTTTTCGATCATTCAAATTTTGTACAGGTCTGTAGTTTTTCTTGATTGGCTTCTTTTCAATATCCTGAACTTGACGGAAGAGTTCTAATTGATCGTGGGTTACTGTAACAGGTTCGGTGAAAATCGTCCAAGTGACAACTTCAGAGCATGGTGGTGTTGTGAGCGATCCTTCATATCTGCAAGAAAAAATCCTTTGTTGGCCCCACTGCATATTTTTCATATTTCTTCTTCTTTATTCAAAAACCCTCTAAATCAAATTTGTTGAATTCTCAATTTTTCAGAAGAAAAAGAACGATGTTTTTCTTTGAGGCTTCGGAAAAGGAAAAGCAGCAGCAAAAAAATAGATGAAGAAGAAGCAGAAAAAGGGAGAAGAAAAACAAACAATAATAAATTGTGTTGTTTTTGTGTGCCAAATTACCTCCAGAAAGATCGTCGATTCTTCGGAAGTTTTTCGCTGAGAACAACATTATCGATTTTGGTCACCGCTTCCGGATTCTTCAATTTTCCCAAAACTCTTTCCTCGTTGCTCAATGCATGTCCTTCCTTGGCAATTTGCAAGAAAACACCAACAACTGCCAATTTTTCCGGGTTCTCAAGTCCTTGATGAACAAGATGAAGTTCAGCTGGATATCTGAGGCCTCCTAATGTGTGTTCAGATCCTTCGTTGTCATTCTCTCCCCAATGGAAATGATATTGTACCAATCGGTAGACTTGATCTAATCCTCCTCCGTAGATTTCTGGATGTTCTGATCGCAATTCCGGTGTCATTTGAACTGAAAAACAAATGTGTTCTTTTAAGAAACACATAATTGCTGAAATACACTAACCTGAATGACCATTATTAACAATTTCTCCCTGAATTGGATGATCATAGTTAACAAATTTGATAGCATCGTGTGTATCACGTCTTTCAACTTCACCAAGATCAATATTAATTGGTGATTGGTGTTGTCCTGTTGGCCAACGATTTGGACCTGAAATAACCCGGATGTGTGCTCAATTCGCAACTTTTTCCTATCAGTTTTTTTCTTGCCCTTCTTATCACGATTCTGATCTTTGACTACTATAAATAAAACTAAATTAAATTTAATGGGAAAAAAAGCATGATGGATTTGTTTTGAATGTATTTCTAATTGAAAATTCTTTTAAGAAAAATTATTCTGCTTGAAAACCGAGCATCGCATGACTCGTCTTTGAACTCTTGGAACATTTGTTGCTCCACTACATCAGAAAAAAGAAAAAGCACGAACCACATTCGTCATCATCGCAATAACTCCAATGACCTGAAAAAAATTAAAGATTATGCTTCGGTTTCCTCCTAGAAAACTGCTAGAAATAAAAAAAAGTTTTACTCACCAGTCATTTTTTTGCTGCCTCCACTCGATGGGCTCACACGGGGTGAGGTTGCACAGAATAGATAAGACGAATCTGAAAAAAAATGAAATGCAATGCAACTCCCACATATTTACGACTTTTCTGATAAAGACAAAAGAGCGAAAAAGTCAATTCGAGGTTGAAACCGAAAAAAAGAGAAAAAAAACCAACGAAATTTTCCGATTATTCGATGAAATAATGATTCCTCTGATTCTGAGTTTGACATTTTTGTATTTGCGCGAAGATCTATCTAAAATTTTAAATCTCTCACACAGACTCTCAATTTTCCACCTCCTCAAAAAATTTTGCTTTCCTCGGGTCACAAAAACTTTGCTATCGAGTTACATTGAACTTTGTCTTGTTTATCCGTCAAATGTTTCTTGGTCCAGGTAAGAAGAAAAAAAAGACTAGAGTTTTTTTATTGCTGGTTCCGGGTTTTTGCTCACACTTGAGCGACTTGTTAGAGCATTTTATGTGTGTTTGGAGCAAGGAAAAATGTTCATTAAATATTATAAGAAAAAGATGGAATGTATGTAATGAAAAAAATGGCGAAAATATTGTTATTTTTTTTTTGAGAATAATAACACACTCCTCTTGGGAAATGACAAGAAAACAGAATAAAAAACATATTTCGAGCATGCTCATTCTCAGGCTGTAAATTGATTCTTTATTGAGTCAATTTATGTATAAGAAATAAATAAAGGAAAACACATGTTCAAAATTATGATCCCAGATTAAATAAAGATTAACATGAGATCTGTAAGAGTTCGGTGAAATTCAGAAATCATTCAACAAGTTTTCTTTGTATGAGAATGAGAAAAGTTCACTAATTGAGGAGTAAACTTTTTCTCTCAACCGGAAGTTCATTTTTTGAAAAAAAAAGCTTTTTTTCAAAGGAAAGGGGCAAAAAAGAGAGAGACTAAACCTCCTCTGAAACGGAAAAAAAAGAAGAAAACAAAAGCTGGAAAAGTCACAAAAAATCACCGAAAAAAACAATAGCGCAATTCAGACTGAAATAAAATAAAATAAAAAACTACGTGTAACGGCTTCTCTAACCCTTCTATCTCTATGTTTTCGGCGTTTCAAAACCGAGCAAGCATCACACAAGCCTTCAGTCCTTCTCCTCTTCTGCCTTCTTTTTTCTTTTTCTTCGTTTTTTTCTCCTTTCAAAGAAAAGACAGAGATCATCTTTTTCGAAGCAGCAGCATAGGAAAAACGCAGAAAAATAAAGAATAGAAAGAAGAAGAAGAAGGAGAAAAAAGAAGACACCCACGAGCCACCAAAAAAATAATGCAAAGTTTATTCCCCTTGGGCGACGGAAGTGACATTTTTGGAAAAATAAATAACATTCTTTTTCAGAATAACCTTCTCAATTTGATTATCTCTATCTATTCATTTGGTTATTGGAGAGATCCAATACATAGATTGGGACCACTGAAACACCTGCTTACATCACAATTTTTTCAAAAAAAAAGTGTGATGTTTGAGATTTGGTGAAGCTTGATTGATTGACATTTTAGCCGTGGAAAATTCATGTAGGCTACAGTAATTCAGAAAAAACTTGAGGAGAACATAAAGAAGAAGAAGTTTGAAGGAGCAGATGAATGTTTTCTGAATGCAATGAAACGCCCTGAATTTATAGGTCGGCGTCGACTTAAACTCCGCCCCAAAGTTTCTTGAAGCAATTGCGCTTCAGAAGAGCGAACGAGCGAGATGGAGATTACTGTAGCCGCAGGGCAAATAAAATTGTAGTGTGTTTCGATGATTCATAATAATGTTATAAGAAATCGATTACAAGTGATCTATGATAAAAACGGGTATGTATGATGCCAGAAAAAAAATCATGAAAACGATGGAAGAGAACAAATAGATGATGTGAAATTCAAAAACAAACAAAGTGGGCTCCATTTTTTCGTGGAAGCGAAAAGACTACAATGGAAAACAGATCTCTGGTTTAACATCTGGGCCAAGGAGGACCGTTTGTGCAAACATGTTTTTTCTCGATTCAAAATTAACCTGATGTTTATTATATGTTCTGATGTCAGCTTTTGAGTCTAAGATGTTCCTGTAATTTTTTTTGGAATTTTTTTTCAATTGCGAAAGTGGATGAGTCAAAATAAATATTTTGAATGTGTAACCTATACTGATAATTATTGTAGAGTTTGGGAAAGGAATCATGGAGTGTGGTTCAAGATTTCGGATGCAGAGTTATAGGATGACCATATTTGAATAGAACCAATAAGAAACAGTTGATCACTCGGGAAAAAAGTAGCAAGTCTGGCGAAAAAAATAGACTTTTAGCCAGCTTGCGACCATTTTTAGCAAGCTTGCTACATTTTTATAATGGGAAAAAATGTAGCAAGCTTGCTAAAAATGGTCGCAAGCTGGCTAAAAGTCTATTTTTTGTCGCCAGACTTGCTACTTTTTTCCCGAGCAATCATTCTCTTTTTTCTTGTATTCTATTCAAAAATTCGCATAATTTTCTCATAATTAGTGCAAAATATGAAATATGCATACAAAAAGTTTCACATGAAAAGTAGTTCTCCAATATCAAGTTTTTTTCATTTTTCCAAGAATCAAGTTGAATATTTTTAGCATATGAAATTGCTTTGATGTTCTTTGGAATAATTAATATTATTTTATTTTAGTTTATTTTTTCCGTCCATCGCTTGTCAAAAGTACAAAGCGAATAACAATAACAGTTGCTAAAATTAAATTGCTTGAGCCTACGCTTCCTTCTGGTTTTGTGTTGCAAAAAAAAACTCCATTTGTTAAAAAACACGACGGAAACCAAGAAAATGTTAATCTGGGAATTTTTTTCTTTAAAGCCTCATTTTCACACATACACATACAAACATGAGTTTCTGTTTTCAACGAGGTTTTTTCCACTTTCTCAAGAACAAAAAAAAAGAACCTAATCTGATCCTCGCTCTTCTAATGAGCATGACGTTTTTCTCATTTCCCTGAGGTCCATTTCTCAGGTTCCCTCTAATCAGGCACAATTTAAGAAAACGGAAGAAAAAAAGAGAAAAAAGAGTGCAAGATATACTTTAACCAAAAAATGTTACTTACTTCAAGAGAATTGAATTATAGTGAAAAATGAAATTCTCTAGGGATAAAAAATTGGACATTTTTCAGAGAACAAATTCGAGAATATCATCATTTACATACATATAAATTCAGACTTTTAGTTTTTGATACGTTATTCATTAAAGTTCAGAATATGAATCCAATCAACCAAATATAACCTGTTACATACATACATCAGAAACGTTTCTGTTTTAAAGGACATTTCCGGGTTTGGTATACGGTAGGAGAGGGTTTTTGCTTAATTGTGACTCGCTCAAGAGTTCGAGGAAATGCATATTTTTTGAAGAGGCGGAAAAACAAAAAGACAACTACTAAAATAGATTTACGACATCGAATATGAATGTTTTGGGAATTTTTCGCAGATATTTTTCTGGTTAAAACAATATTTCATAGTGCTTAAAGTTTTGGAAAAGTTTTTTAAGTCTTCTGATTTTTTTTCAGCTTTTTTCCCTTGCGAGTTGGTTGTTTGATTTTGAAGACTTATGAACTTGGAAGTACAAATGAGCAGGCTTGTTTTTAAAAACTTTCCTGACAAAACATAATGAGGAAGTTATTCTCTAAAGAACAATCATGGTTTAATCTTTTTTCTCATTAATATTTTATCATCCTGTATTTTATAAAATTTCTAAAAAAAATTATTTTATTTTCAAAGTTTTGATTTCACAAAAACACTGAACAATATTGATACAACTCACCTGATTTCGATGATCTTGGATATTTTCTGATTTCTCCAAATCTGTAAAAAAGAAAATTGCAACCTTACATATAGCATAAAGCTTGGCAGAAGAATGGCAGAGAATAAAAGATGAAAATAATGATAGTTGTGCCAAAAATCATATAATCCTTTTTTTCGGTCAAACATCCATTTTTATCTACCTGATTACAAACAACTTGCAGGCATTCAACAATTTCTTTCAGGTTGAAACTTTTTTGATTGCACTATTTGTTCAATTAGGTTTCACTTGTATATTCTTTATTAGTCATAGAACAACATGAATTGACTCTTGGTTTTTTTTTTGAACCAAATTGAAGGATTACTGTGCTGGATTAATTGACATATTTAATTACAGACCAATTAGTTTTTGTTTCAAAGGTTTAAAAAAAAAAGAACGAACAAAATGATTCGTTTTTTTCTCTTTCAAAGTCCCACTACCAAGCAACAATACCAATGAAAATCGTAGATCATCGAAACAAACTCGTTCCGATTTCCGAATCCTAGACTACAGTGAATCATTGAAAAACACACACTTTGTAATAATAAATATCGAGAGAAACAAAGAAACAAGAAAAATAGTAGTTCTTTGAAGTCAAATAAACCAGTGCAATGAAAACCCAGAGAACGAACAGCAGATCAAAAAAACCTTGGGAGAGAAAATCGAATTAAGTTATGAAAATGATATCATTAAAAAACATCTATTGACTGATAAATAATTCAAAATTATAACAAATTATCAATATTTTATGTTGTATGTGTGTTTTTACTTGATGAGAAATTTAGCATCACGCAAACTCTGAGAATCAATTTATTCGACCTACTATGTAAATATTTTTCATCTTTTTCTTCTTTTTTCTTTATTTTGGAAGTGTTTGATTGGTATATGGGGAATATGAAAAAAAAATGAAATAATAATAATTTTCGTCAGATCAAGTGGGAGTAGGTTCTAAAAATAAGATAAATAAGTTTACTGAAAAACGATGCAAATAATTTAGTTAACATTAACATAACAGAATAGAATATCCTGGAATTTCCGGTTAGAAAGTTTATGAAAATTAATTTATCAAACTTTGATTTTATCAAATATATACTTCATGGAAAATTTGGTATATTTTTTTTTCAAAAGTATTCTCTGAAATCTAAAATTCGTGGGAATATCTAACTTGGTTTTTTATCCAGGTGATTCGAAAAAGTGTTTTTTTACCCAGAGAAGTTCTTTGAGAAAGATATTTTTTTTTGTTATATATTTGAACTACTGGAAAATCAATTATCAAAAAGTGATAAGTGAATTTTCCCAAATAAAATAAAAAAAATCTTGACGAAGCCTAAACAAAAAACCTCCAACTCTATAATTAAATTTACACATAACTTTTCAGCTGTTTTATGTGTATTTTGAATTTTGGAAGATTTCTGATTTATAAAATCACTGAAATCTTTTTTAGTAGATATGAGTCAAAAACCATCTGAAAATACATAAAACATTATTTGATATTCAAATATCATAAAAATAATGACTATGTAGGAACAGTGTAGCTTATGAGAAAAATATTCTTCAAAAAACACGACTGGGCTCAAAGAACTATTTAGCAGCTGTAATAAGTTGCGTAAAAAATTGAAAATTATGTTGTTGACATATACCTAATAACTATTCGCTTTTTTGCTGATGTACTTATTTTAGACTTTTGATGGCTACTGAACAACTTTTTTGATGAGAGAAAATTTATTTAGCGAAAGGAAAGAAAGGAGATCAAAATAAAAAGTACGGAATGTATGTGTTAAAGAATATTTTTTGAAAAATAGGAAAAATAAGCGAGATGACAGCATAGCGTACAAGCATTGTTTCTTTTTCCGTAATTATTCAAATTCTGTTTTGAAATTTGAATTGATGACAGCAGCGACAAAATCCATATTAACTTGATCGGTTATCACAATATTCATATTTTGACGTTCTTGATGAGTAGTAGAATTAACAAAATCAGTTGTTGTTTTTCTTCCAGGCAATGACAAATCTTTCTTCAGCGAACTGAACAAATGTGTTGCCTGTAAAATGAAAGAAACTTGTTTTACACTAATTTGAAAAACATACAATATCAGAGAATCTTGCAGTCATAACACCTTGAAGAACATTAAAGCGTGTTTCATCGAACTTTGTTACTTCTTCACGCATAGATTTGATCAATTCATAGATTTTATTCTTATTTGGCCATTTACTGCGTACAGTTTCCATAGAATATACAATCCCATGAAGATTATGGCAAAATGGTCCAACAACAATCAATCTGAAAACGTTTTTTTTGAAAAAGAACAAAAAATTCATAATTGGATACCTGTGATTTGTTTCAACGAGCTCACTAATAGTTGCATTAACAATATCAACCATAACTGGACAAAACGAGTCTCTTCCAAACAATTGTTCAATTGGAAGTACAAAATATTGAAGGAATTCAGTTTCCGACATTTGATAAATGTGATTGACATCAATAATCACAACTTCTTCAGGATTATCATCCATAAATTGTTTGATTTCTTGCATAAATGTGGGACTTTCCGCCCCATATAATGCATGAACCAAATAAGGACTCTATAATAAATGAGATTATATAAACATCAGAGAAATTGTATTCAAACCTTATCATCTACATTATTTGTAGCCAATTCCAATCGGATATCCAAATACCGTATACCAAGATTCAATTGTTCTGTGATCGACAAGCTGAAATATAATATCAAATGTTTCACCTGTTCGTTTCAAAAATAAAATAAAATAAAAACCTTTGTGTCTCCGACCATCGTTTGATAATTAATTTGACTGCTGGGATCTTGCTGACTGCTCTGAGAAGCGGGCTGAATTTTTGATCACGAGCCAATGGATAATCAACATGTAACTGATGAGCTCCCGTATCGTGTGATCCAGGAATCAACAATCTGTTTATTGGTTTTTGTTTGAGCTCGTCTGGTAAATCTGCCATCCATCGATGCATGTTTCACTGAAAACAGAACATTTAACTTGAATGAAAAGCACTGATTGAATTCAAAAGATATTGAAAATGTGAAAGAACATTTGAAATATTATAAAAAATAAAACATAAATAGCAATATTTATTATTATTGTTTGAATTGCTCATTGATGGGTTCTTTTGGTCTCCTTGAAACTTCAGAATGTATTTTTGATATTCGACGCCTTGTTGATCTTGATGATTCTCGATATTCAGCAACAAAACCTTTCTCTTCTTCCGCGTTATCCGTGTGCAAAACTAATAATATTTCAGAGCCTGTACTTGTTATTATCTCCGGTATCGTATCTCCACAAAACCTTCCAAATAACATATCAGGGTTTGCTTCTGATCCATCATAAACTTCAACATAATCATAATGACAATCATCTTCGGCTTCTAGATTAAATGTTGAAAAATGTAGACGAACTCCACGTCCTGCATTTTTTGCTGAAACACTCCAAGAGCAGTCCTGAACAAAAAATGACATTGTTTGTCATACATCTGTCTGGGAGTTTGATGATTTTCTAACCTGGTTTTTTCCATATTTGCTGTCACTAAATGTCGCGTGTGAATAGATATGACCAGGAGTTGATTCAGCGATCAAACGACCACCACAAACTGAAAAATTGGATAATAATATCGATATTATTAAAATTTTGAAAAAAAGAAAACCTGATGAATATTGTGCTTGAAAACCTCTTCGAGATACTGAAGCATCTGAAGTGAATGTCAAATACAATTCATTCAAACTAGATAACAATAATGGAGGTGGCAAAAGTCCACAAAACACTCCAGCTAAAGCTGCATCAGAATCACCACCATCAAAAACTGAAACTGCATCATATTTACATTGGGAATGCTCCTCAACTTGGAATGTTGAAAATGTCTGAAAATATGATTTATTTTAGAAAATCTTCGAAAGTATGTGATACCAGCATAAGTCGATGTCCTGGTGTTGTTACAAAATGCCAGGAACAATTTTGGCTTTTTGGATAATCACTTGGAAAACTGGGAGAATTGATTTCACCTAAAAAAAATATTTGTGTTTTTTCAACGACATTTAATCAAAGAAAGAATACCTGATGGTGCATTGAGTTCAAAAAAGCAACTTCCTTCTTTACAATTATGTTTATCTTCAGACAGAATGAATCCAGCATTACATGTACAAATATAAGAACCTACAATTTCATGGAATTTTTTTTCGGATTAGTCATATATTTTGCTCACCCAATCGATTTTGGCAAGAATGTTCACATCCCGCGTTATCATATTGACATTCATCAAAATCGGCAATAAAATTTGCAAAAAATCCATCTCTTTCGACCGATGAGTCAGAGCTAAATTCAATTCTCACACGATTTTGAGGCGTTGTGAAAATCAAAGGTTCATCTAAAAACAATATTCGTTCTTTTTCTTATATTAAAAATAAATGTCTTACGATATTCTCCACATAGTTTTTCACTATCTCCAATTTTTACATAATCATAAGCACATTCAGTTCGCAATCCTTCTACATTGAATTTTGTGAAGTTGAGGAATATATGATATCCAGTTTCTGCCTCAATTTCCCAAACACATGTTTTTGAGTTTGGATATTTTGCGGGAAAATTTGGAGACGAAAACGAGCCATTTGATGATTTCAAAAATCCGCCACAAGTAGTTTCACAACTATAACCATTATCACTCAAACTAAAACCAACACGACATGAACATTTGAAACCGCCAACAATATTTGAACAATAATGTTCACAATTATTTTTATCTGTTGCACATTCATTCAACTCTTTTGAAAAGCGTAATTCAAATCCAGTTTTTTGCACCGAGTTATCCGAGAAAAATCGAAGAGAAAGTTGGTTGCTTTTACTAACATATGTTTTTGTTTCAATAATTCCACAAAGTGTTTCACTCGATTGATCTTTCTCTTTTCCACTTTCAGATAATATCAATCGATCATATATACATTCTTTATGTTGTTCTAACTGAAAAAAAACAAATCTAACACGTTCTCATAAGTAAGGAAAGAGAGATGAAAGGTTATTAAACTCAAAAAATCGTAACAAGATGAAAGAAAGGTTACAGCAATCAGGCACATACTTTAAAAAAACAATATATTTTGATTTATATAATATCAAGAGGAGTTCAACAAAAATGAGAAATATGATGAAAGACTTGTGTTAATTGTTTGCACACGAAAACAAGGTGATGAAATAAACTTGCTGTTGTCAATCAAAAACATTTAGCAAAAGTGTATCCTATTTCTGATTGTCTAGGTAAAACTCACATGAAAATATACAATTTCAATTGCCACTTGACTATCCTCATCAACTTGAATAGTCCATTGACAATCACTATTAGGCGGATATGATTCCGGATATTTTGGACTTTGAATAACTCCCTCATTTGCATATATTGGCCCACCACAGATAGCATAATATGTAGCAAAAGGTATAGGTGATGGAAGTGTTGATTGAATATTTATCATCATTCGATTACCAGACGATGCAATCGTTCGAAAACTATTATCATCTCCACATATTTGATCAAGTAAAGCTGAAGATGTTGAAACGCCATCTCTAACCATAATCACATTCTGCTGCTCGATAAAACATGTCGAATGAGGCTTTGAAAGGGTTGAACCTGGAAATGGGCGGAGCTTGAGAAGCTGTGTACCAAGAGAAATACAAAGAAGGAAAGAAAAAGGGATAAAATGAAGAAAAGGATAAGATCAAATAAAACATTATGTAATTGATTCTTCTCGTCTTCATCTATTATCCTTTTTTTAATTAAATCACGTTCAAATTTCAAATATTTAATGAAAATCGTATATCACATGGTTTTTAATGAAGACTTTTTGTTTGTTCAGAACGTTTCAGCGATTTCATCAGGGGGAAAATAATGCAAAAAAAAATAAGACACACGTCATATATTGTAACTTTTTTCGAAAAACACTAGAATTGCCGTGTGAATTTCGATATTGTCATGGAGATGAGAATAAGAAAGTAACTAAAAGAACATCTAGAATACAATTTATGAATGTTCTCCGAAAAATATTATATTTCGGTTGGTCGATATTTTTTTCAAGAAAAATACATTTTTCGAGAAAACAAAAACATGTTATCAGTTAGTATCAGGAAAAAACAAAAACAAGGGTCAATTTACTTACCTGTTATATTTAGGAAGATAGTGTGTCCTTGTGGTGCAATTATGTGCCAGGTACATTTTCCAGTATGTGTGATTGCTAGATTACCAGATTCTTGCATCAAAGTTCCACCGCATTCCAAACATTTATATAGTTTTTTGGTTTGTCTGATGTCACCTTCACTCAACTGAATACGTTGACCAATTTCTGATCGGAAACCTGAACTTGGTTTTGGAAGAATTGTATCGTGAAATGCACCGCGAGAAAATGTATCTCGGGCATAATGCATTATCTGAAACAGGAAAAAAAATTGTTGAAAAACAATATTATAACTCACTGACGAAAAATCGTATGGTTCTCCAAGCGAGTCAACCTCCTCCGGTTTCGATTTCTCAAAATTATAGTCCTGGCCAGTCTGTATACTTTTATAGAAAATATCAACATACAAATCACGATCGGGTCGAGTATGTTCGTGCCAAAATCCAACAACATGACCAAGTTCGTGAACCACTATACCGAATTTATCGCAATTTTTGCCAATCGAAATCGCTTGTGGACCTTCACCGCGTCGACCAACGTATGAGCAACAACTGTGAAAATGAAAAAAAAATGTTGTTTAATTATTTCTGTGTCCAAAAAAAGGACACACAAGATTAAGATGGATGATTAAATTTTTCTGGTTCGTGTTGTGTTCATTGTGTGGTGCAACGTGTATTTTATCGTTGCGTGCATGTTACACGACTTTTTTGACAATTCTGTCGTTTTTTCAATAACTTCAATTACTCACCCACATTTGTCGACTGTGAATATTATATAGTGCTTATGATGTGGCTGTTTTGGCACAAATGAAACACACGTATAATTTTCCCAATGACGCATTGCTCGCAGAAATAAATGCTGATGTTCTCCTGAAAATATATTTGAATAAGATAAGATTATGCAAATTTTTAAGAGCCTAGTTTTTCTTTTTTCCTTCTGCTTTTTTACTATGCATTTTTTTCAGAAAAAAGTTCTTTCTAATTGGCACTTAAAACTGAAAAAAACTAGGATGTGTGTGGAAATTGATCTTGTTAGACATCTTCTCTCACATGTTCAGTAATTTGAAACCCGCAGACAAAAGTTCAAAAACACAAACACATAGCAACTAACCAGAGAAATTTGAAGTGATAACAAATGGGATGATTCCTTCCGGCCATATCCGTTCTTTTCGAGCTGTTGCTGCTCGAACTATTCTTGATGAAGATGAGGAAGAAGATGAATAAAATCTTCGAAATCGAATAATTTCCGTTGATAAATTTTCGGATGATAAATCAATAATGAAAAATGAGAGAATAATGAGAAACGCATTGGAAATAGTCATAAACTAATTGTTTCAAAAATGATATATGATATAATTGTTTTTGTGTTGCAAAGTGAAGAGTTGGGGCAAGATCTGAAAGAAAACAATTTTGAAAAAAGCATGGTACAGTCCAGCACTTCTACTCGACTATATCACATTCACAAAAACAAACGAACATAAATAGTTACAGATGTGTGTGTATATTTGTGTGTGAGTGTCTGTGTTCATTGTTGGCACAACAGAGTTTCATCTTCAATTTCATTTTCTTCTTCATCATCGAATTCGATAAAATGAATGAGACTTTCTTTACATTACATATTTATCAGTCAAGATATTTTTCACACAAGGTGCAAAAAAGATGAAATGAGATTTTATGAGATGTGATATAAAAGAGCAATGAGAGGAAGGAAGGAAGGAAAGGTGAGAAAAAATAAGAAGAAATGACATACGGGATGAGTTTCTTTTTCGTCTTTGGAGAGCAATGAGGGGCATCTGTTGAAATATATATATGAGCGGCACAGATATTTTATATTCTACATAGAACATCATAAAATACGCCCAATTTACATATCGATATTGTTTTTATTCTTTCTGTTGATCTCTTCGTTTTGTTGCATCTCATCTATAAAAAAGTTAAGCTTAATTTAATTTAGATTTTTGTAGGTATCGTATATTTCCTCTTCAACAAACAACTTTGATTAATTAAAAAAGTTTAATTTTAGATTTTCCTACGCTTTGTGGCCATAAGATCAAAGTGATGTTTTCTCTTTTTTCTGTAAGCACTTCTTAACTTTTTCTGTCATTTTTTCACAGGATTTCAGTAGATAAAGAAAAAGTCTGAAAGCTTGAACACGAGGAACGTTTGTCGTCTTTGGGGCAAGAACTATTTCTCACGTGGATTTGGGGATCAAAATGTTTGCACGTGAACATTAATAATTCTGGGGAATTTTTTGGGCAAAAATACATTTGTGCACTTGGTGTTGGGAGTAGAATAAATGAAAAAACTTTTTAAAACATTTCACTAACTCAAGAATGACTAAACCTAAAAAGTTTTCACATAATATATTTCGAAGTGTCCGTCTAGATTTTATTCTTCTACATATGCTCATTATTAGAATACTGAAAACTCAGAAAATCACGTATTCAAAAGATTATTTGAATTTGATCTGATTTTGAATAAGAAAAAATTAACCGGAAAATCATCTTCCATTTTTAGAAATATTTTTTTTCTGAAAAATAATTCAACAATTTTAAAACTACAAAAGTAATTTATGCGTATTTCAAAAACAAATGTAAAATTTCAGGCAGTCAAAAGCAATAAGAATATAGAACAATATTCATTTTACACGATAAATAAAAAATCTGACATTGATTTCTTTGTGTGTGTGTATGTCTTTGTGAGTTGAAAAAAAATGAAAAGATGTTAAAAATGGAAAACTTGATCAGCTTATTCATAAATAAAATTGGGTGATGAACTTTAAATACAAACTAGATGACGAGGTGATGTGTGAATAGCAATCAGCTATAAATAAAGAATTTTACATAAAGATAGAAAAAGGGTTTTGGTGAAGCTAGCTGCTTTTTGCGGGGAGGGCAATTTAGACTTTTGTAATTCTACGTGGTCCGGCTCTTGGTGGCGCTGGTCGAGCAAATGATTTTGGTGCTTCAACTGGTAATGGATGAATCACTTCGAGGAGAGCTTTTTCTGATAAATCGTCTTTGGCATCAACTTCCATCTAGAAAAAGATTGAATTTGGAGTTGTTGGATTGAATTTGAAGTTGTTTTTTTACTAGTTAACATTTTCTACCAAATTGGGTTTGAAGTCAAATCAAAGACTGGCTAACTTCCTATAAATTGATAAGGTTCTGCCACCTTGTTAGTTCTTAACTTACCCAGATCTCTGGTAGATGTTCTAATATAATTTTGGATCATATTTTTTTCTCATTCTATAAAATTTTAGCAGGTTAGCTAGTTTTATCATAAAAATTTAAAAGTTTCATATTTTCTCCACTATTTTTTCAAAATATTTTTCCTGAAATTCCAATTGTTTTTCATCAAAACTAACCTTATTTGTGATAATGATTCCATATGAATTTTGAGCTGCTCCCAAGAATGGTCCTTTACAACTTGAATATAACATTCGTTCTTTGATTGAACTACCGGATGAAGGTAAGGAATAGATAAATACTGAAAAAGCATTTTTTTTTCAAATTTTGAAAATATTTTTCTCTTAATTGACTCACATGTGCATTTTTGTGGTACACCTTCCCATGAATGATCGAAATTATAAAATGTGTATCTTGGTTTATCTCTTGGCACTTTTGATGCAAGTGCTGATGGTTCTAAAGTGTCCAATGTTTGTTCCAATTTTATGGCTTCATTGAGGGTGTCAACCTGAAAAAATGTGAAACGTGGAATTTTTGTTGCTATTTTTGGTTATCGAGTTTTTCACATGATTGATAACAAAAATTTTTCTTACATAACATTTTTTAATGGATTAACAATACATAAAGTGCAATATGTTCAAGTCTACCAAAATTAATTTCTCAAAGAGTACATTTTGTTTCGTTTGCTTTTCACATTTCACAGCCCCACTTCATTATCCCCCATCCGGTCTTTAAACATCAAAGGAACATATGTGTGTGAAATACTAATTAGTTCCATTTTTCCATTAGATTTTTTTCCAATTCAACGATCAAGTGAAACCGTGTTCTTCCACTTGACTTACCAATAAAATGAAAAACAACTAACCGATAATTGAACAAAGCTCAATTGGCCTTTTCCAAGTTGTCGAAGAGCTTCTTCAGCATTTCGATCAACTGGGAATGCAACACCTTTCATATGTTGTGGTCCAGCATGTGCAACTGCAGCTCTTTCTTGTTGAGCATTATGGAGTTCTCTTTCGACTTCACTCATTGGTCCAAGCTCAGTTTTTGCTTTGAGCCATTTTTCAAAAGCATCTAATGTGAGATCTTTGCGATCTGTCACATGTTTTTCGTGTTCGATGTAACATTGACCGAATTCGGATTTGAATGTTGCGCAAGTAGCTGCGAGCAGCATTTTTTCTCGAACTGGTGCACGATCATCAACAAATCTGAAATAATTTTATTGTTCAAACAAACAACTAATTAATTTTTGCAATCCTTTTCACTATAAAGTTCTTTTTCGAAACATTTTTAATTGAAACCACCGATTGGAAAAAACAAAAATTTGAAACATTGAGAAATGAAAATTCGATTTTTTAAATGTTATGATGTTTACATTTGCTAATTGAAATGATTCTTTGACGATCATAAGACTTCAAAAATCATGTTTCGCAAGTTTCCCATTTTTTTTATTCCAAAAGAAACTTTCAGAACTTTGAGCAACTTCTCAGTTGACCAAACAGTTGTCATTTTGTTTCCCTTCATACAAAAACAACTCAAAAATGACTCACGTGATAAGCACCCATTCAGTAATAGTGTTCAATCTGAATAAAACAAAACATGGTTCATAAGCATCTACACATTCCGGTAAGCACGCCCGCCAATCATCCCGCCAATTTGTTGTACCCGCAAATTCATAGTTTGGTGTCAGCTCCTCATTATTCACTACAATCTTGATTAATCGAAGTTTGGCTTGTTTTCCAAGATTGAGTGCATTTCGCAAAGCTGCGTTGGCTGAAAAATATTACGTTTCGATCTTCTGTTTGCTTTTTTTTGGTTATTCAAAACTTTTTTTCTGTATTTGAATGCATGTATGTATGTAAAAAAGACGCTTCCACACAATACACATTCACAAAAAAGTGTTTCCTTTGGGAAAATACACTTTTTTCTATTTTTTTTTACTACTATTGTCTACATGTTTGTGGTTGTATGCCTTCATCCATTCATCAACTAAAAAGGGAAAATGAGAGCAAAGATTTTGTGTTGGAAGAAAATAAAAGAAGAAGAAGAAGAAGAAGAAGAAGATGCTCATTATGGTGTGCTCTTTTTTCTACCAAATTTAGCGCAATGTTATATGAACAGACAGACAGCTGCGCGCCCTCTTCATCATGAAAATATATATTTATATATATACATACATGATTTTATATACATATTCTTATATTTATTTTACGAGAAAAACGATTCTCTGCGTCTAACCCATTATTAAATGAATGAATGAATGAATAAAGAGAAAACGAAAGAGATGCAAAAATCGGAGGAGTTCCGATATATCCCCCCAATCTATCCGATTGGCCTAAAATAAAAGGATATTTGTATATGTTCGGTTTTTTGTTGTCAACAAAACAATTTCCAACTGTCAATCGCCTTTCGTTTATGGTTTTTCTATTTTGTGGAGAAAGCATGAAAACTTCTTATTAGAAAAAAATTGAAAAAGTACAAAAGCACTTGAAGTTTCCTGAAAGACACTTGAAATCGAAACTGAAATGTCAAAAGTCAAAAGTGGAAAGGTCGAAAATATTAATTATGTGAGGTTTTTTTGAAAAAAAATTGGATTTCAAGTAGTTTGAAAAAAACTGGAAGATATTTTCCTAATTTCAGAGAAGAAATAGGACAGAAAGAAAATTGTGAAGAAAACATTCTGGGATATTATTGATTTTTGAAACATTATTGTCTCTATAGAGTTTAGGCCTGGGAAATACTGAATGGAATTTCTGATTCTCTGAAAAAATGAGACATTTTCCTGAATTTCAAAAAATTCTGAACTCATTTTGTACGCTATGATAAAAAATGTTTTCTGGTCATGAAGACTAGTTTCCAGAGCAGAACTCTTTTGAAACTCATTTTATTTTGCTCTCATTTCATTGTTTCTAATCTCGGGGCTTCAAAATTCTGGCTTCACAAAAAATTCATGTAAATTTTCTGAATGTTGAACAACCAAAAAGAAATAAAACGAAACAAATAGCTCACCTGACATGACCTAATAAAATATGAAACTAACGCTCAATAAACTCTCTTTTTGTCAAAAATAGTCATCGACCTTTTTATGCGCAAAGTAAAAGTGTCAACAAACCTCGAATTCCAGTTTGGCACGCCATATACACAACAAATAATAACAACGAATGAAAAATTGATAATCTATCGACTGGTTCGAAAGAAAAACTTCGAGGCCAACCAAAAAAATGTGAAACTTGTTGTGTTGAGTAGAGCTTCTTTGAACGAAGAGCCAGCAGCAACAGCCAGCAGTAGCAGCAGCTAGCTAATACTGCGCGCAATACACAAAAACGCGAAAGAAAAAACCTCGTCAACCAGCCAACCAACCAGTGCACTCTCTCTTTCCACTTTTCTTTTCTCTCTCTTTTTCTCTATCAATTTTTCTTGCCAGTTAGTCCTTGTTTAGTGTCTATGTCTCTACAATGTTTCATTATCTCTAGTTCATCATAAATGTCTGTGTTTCTCAACTTTTTATTGTCCCTCACTTCTTTTCCATCTCTTCATAAATATTTTGTTTAGAAGTCTTACACTCTGCCGTTCGGATGTTTCTTCTTTTTTGTGGATGGATGGGGAGGAAAAACGTCAGGGTCGATTCTGAGTCTCGCCCCTTCTTCTGTTGTCTATATTATTATTTCGTGGTTTTTGTCTAGCCTGGTCTGTCGACTAAATATGGGCATGGGCTGTGTACTTTTTGATGGGTGGTGTTGGTGGAAAAAAAGGAATAGATGAGGAAAAGAGAGGAATATTTTTCTTGAAAAAGGAAATAAGGCGATTTATTTTAAATGGAAAACGAAAAGTTACGGGTTTTCTCGATTGAAATTGAAATTAGAATTTGGATTAGAATTCAAATTCGATTGGGAAAATGGGAACGAAGTAGAATTTTTTTCAAAATTTTTCGCATTTTTTCAAAATAGCACGGTATTTAATTGAAAAAAGGCCGTCTAGAAAAAGGCCGTCTAGAATTCAATTTTTCCAAGAAAAACATATTTCCCCGTTTTTATTTTTTGTTGCAAAAATTGAAAATTTATTGTTGATTTTTTCAACAAAAAATATAACAATGAACAAATACATATTTCATTCGAGATCTCGTTTCATTTTATTTTTTACAATAAATTATGAATCATTTTTTTTCATTCTTTCTGCAAACTATGTATATATATATAGAAATATGAACAGGGAACTCTTTGAGACAAAATATACGCGTAGATGTGCAAATATGCTAATGAAAAATGTGTACTTTCAAATAAAAATGATCAAGTTTCATATTCATGTTCTTTTCATCTAAACAAATTGTAGTTTTCCAAAGTATTTTATACATACATCATCGTACTTTTTCAAAAAATAATTATTATGCAATTCAAATATATATCATAAGATGCTATGAAGAAGAGAAATGACTTGCATATGTTTTGATTTTCTTCAGTGTAAAACCAAGCACATTACGATTTTCTGTCATTTTTTTTCTTCAAAAACAAATCCTGAAAGGTTCCAAGGTCAATTGTTGTTGTCATCATAATACTATAATTGTTCTACGGGTCGTTATTTTTCGAAAAACCCGCCAATTTATTACATTCTCCGGTTTCCTTTTGATCGCAAAATATAAATGAAAAAATAAAGAACGTTTTTTGAATGAAAAGAGGAATATTTTAGTTTGGAGAATCATGTGAGAACTAGGAGTCATTGCAACATAATAACTATACAATCTTTGAGCCCTTTCAGTTTGGCAACTTTTCAAAGGATAGCGGAAAAATTAAAAATTGAGAGATTCATGTTTTCAGAAATTCGAAAAAATGTTCATAGAGCTACAAAGTAATTGAGTTGAACATAAGGATCTTTGACTTCTAAATTTCAGAAATATCCTATTGTTTAGGATTTTAGAAGTTTTAGGAAAGAACTAAAAGCCATGCAAAAATATTTGAGAGAAGATAAATTGACTGAAAGTGATTTCAAAAATTACGAATTTTCAGACCCGCAATTTTTAAAGTCTTCTCAACCTATTGTTTTTAAAGAGACGCAGAGAGAAGCTTTCTTGTCAAATTGTTTGATTTGTAAATTTCACAATTTTGTGTTTTGAAATATTTTCCTTATTCCGAGCTGGTTTCAAAATCTTTGCTCAAATAGAGATATCAAATGATCATTGTTTGTTTATCGAGAGCCAATTGAAGAATCGACAAAACAAAAAAGCAAAAGAAGAAGAAGAAAAAATAGCTGATCGAATTGCAATCGAATATTCTTTTTCTATTCATCCGGTGCTCTCCAAACATACCTGTTTGGCGATTTTTTATTGTATAAATCAATGTCAGATAAGAGGATGGGCAAACACACTCACTCACACAGTTAGAAAATAACAATAATCATTTTATTCTTATTTTATACGCATTTTTTCACGACAGAATAGAATAGGTTAGGATAGCATTGAAAAATAGTCGAACATAATTATTATGAACTTGAAATGAATATTTATTCATATTTTTTATCTTATTATCATATGTGGGTGGAAAAAGAAAAAAATTCGAACAAAAATCGAATTCATTCTGAATTGAGGATGTTTTGAGAAAGGCAGCAAATAACTAAAGCTAACAATTAACCGCGAGATGGGAAATATGAATATCGTTTTTCTCCACCATCAATATTTTTCTTGCCACGTGCCGCATGAAATGAAAATGCACGTTTATCTGGTAAATATGGAAAAAGGTCGACATTTTCAAGAGATGATCCATCATCGCTATATGCACCAATTTGTGGAAACTGCAAAATGAGATGGAAAATTTTATATTTGGAAAGGTTAATTAACGTTTTTTGTGATTATTACTATGAGAACACTTATGTTAGATATGACTCACTTTTGGATTGTACAAAAATTTTTGTGCTGATGACATTGAAAGGCAGAAAAGACAAGCAACAACAACGAAAATCAATCGTTGGAACATGTGGGTACCTGAAAAATAATCATAAAAATATGATTTTTTTAATATGAATGAGTAAAATCTTGGAACTAGCGAACGTGAAATAAAAATAAAAATAAATATATGAAAAAACAGAATCGTGAGTGAATCCATTAACGAAAATCAGAATACCCAGATATATAAATATATAGTAGTTTCAAAAACATCGCGATGATTTCTGAGGATACGTGAGGAAGTTGTTTTTATTAGCAATGAAAACGATGAATAAAAATTTAAAAATAATATTGGAGGTGGGGAGCACTTGGCTGGAAAGATGTTCGAAAACAAATGCTCATGAATGAATCTAGTTTGAAAAATCTAAAAAATTAAAAAAAATTTGAATCTCCCAAAAAGTCAAAGCTCCACAGTGTTCCTTTTTTATTCTTTCATTCCAGCCATTCATTCATAAATATCAAAGGCGGGGTCAACTCGAAACTCCGCCCAGTTTCAGAGAAACTCGAAAAATATGTGTATGATTTATTGGAAGTAGAAAGGAATGAATGAATGAATAAGTTAATTAACACATGAAGTTTGTAGTAGTTTTGAAGAATATTAAATTAGTGTATTTTGGTGAGAGAAACAGCAACAAATAATGATGGTCAGGGAGATATTTGGGGGAAAAACTTCCGTTTGATGGATTAACTTTTCTTTAGAATCATGAGGAGAAGTTTTTCATAGGAGGTCGTACAAAAACTCTGATTTTCATAATATATAAAGATCACAAGACATGATTATTCCATTGATGAATTTTCGACAAAAAACTTTCATATTGACTCATAAAATGAATATATTCAATTTGCAAAAGGGAATGAATAAAATAAATATATTTATATACTTTTTTTCAAAATAAAAATGATCTCATTTGGCGCTATCTTTGGAAGAGTCAAGATTTTTGGTGTTGTTATCTGTTTTGCTCAACAAAATTTAAAACATGCATAGAATTTTCAAAAGTCTGATGAAGTGAGAACATTTTTGAATCATCGGAAAGCATACGATTACTAAATAAATGACGATTTGAAAAAAACAACCCAGACAATTCGAACAACTCATGAAAAATGGATGGATAGGTGTGTAATTCTCAAAAAAATGATGTAGCCAAAGCAAGCAAGTTATTTTTTTCCCGAATGTTCTACTGCAATTGACAAGTTGTTGTGGACTCGTTGATGTTTGGAGTGAAATTGAGTTATTTATAAAAAAATGTTGCAAAATCAAGAAGATAGCCATAAAATTTGAGATGAGTGCTCTTTTTTTATTTTTTTATTCAGTCTTGTTGCTTCCTTTTCAAAGAACAAAGTATGATTTTGTTGACATATTTTGATTCTAATGCGATTTTATGGATAAGGTTTCAAACAATATCAAATTTCTTTTTCTTGATCACTACAACCCATAAATCAAACTTTAATTTCGATGCAAATTTTGTTTTTTTTTTTGGAAAACTGAAAAAAAAACAAAAGGAAGAAGGAAAAAAGCAAAAACATATTATAAATCGGATGATCGAGTTTCTTGAACAATATCGCATTGTTATAGAAAATTAAAAAAAGAAAAGAAAAACGGGGAAAATAAAATTGTTTTTAATTTTACTATAAAGATGACTCATGAATAAATGATTTCAAACTCTCTATTTTCATTCTTGCACATTCTCAATAAACTTCTTCTTTTCGTTTTACGTATTTATTTCATTGAAGGAATGAGATGAGGTTCCGAAAACAAATAATTTACATAATTTATTGAAAATAATACAACTACGTTCAAAAACAAGAATCAAAGCAAGTCTCAAAGAGTGATTTGTTTCGATTCCAAGAAATCATGATATCACAGTTGTGAATTTCAAAATCGACAACCTTCTTGGAAAAATTGTATTGCCAAAAACCTGCCAACACTATAAAACATTTCTTCACAAAAGTCCAAAAAACCGAAAGATTTTCCTAACAAGGAATGTAACTCAAATTACCCGGCTGATTAAAAATGAAAATATGTGGATTCCACCTTGGTGGGGTAAGAAAAACCACCGAGGGATTTTGGACGATTTTTTTTCGAAATTGAGTTTTGGGGATATTTATTTTTTTGTTTTGAAAATGCGAAAAAAATGGTCATTTTTCAAAAAATCGGTGTGAGGTTCAATTTTGAGTAAAATCGATGGTTAAAAATGCGTTTTGCTCCAAATTTACTCAACTTTTCAGTTTTGAATAGAACTTAGCAACAAAAAAAATCCTCTGATTTAATACCAACCGTTAAGATAATTTTGAGCCCCATTCTTCAAATATTCAGGAGGGTACTTCCTCGAACATTCCTTGTAAGGAAAAAAAGAGGGTCAAATTTTTTTCGTCAATTAAAAAAAAAATTTTTTTCGTGAAATTCGACAATTTTATTAAATTCAAGAGTATGAAGCATCTCAAGATCTACAAAATCCTTTTTTGATCATCAAACATATTACTCGGGAAAAATACGGCACCTTTTTAACACCAGCGCGGCTAAAATTGTCGAGAAATTTTGGCCGCGCCGGTGCTAAAAAGGTGCAATAATCCGACATATTTGGCGCGCCGGTGCGCCATTTTTATGAAAAATGCATTATTTTATCAGACAAATGACTCTTGTCATCTTCTCATCGAAATTCAGGCGCACCCATCGAAATTCAGGCGCACCAAAAACGTAGCGAGCATGTCCGAGTGGATAAGAGGATAGGTTCACATTGTTTTGACCCAAGTTCGATGCCCCCTGCCCGCACCATTTTTTCTCTTTTTTTGTCATTCAAAACCAAACTGCCGCACCGGCGCGCTGTTTATCGCGCGTTTTGAGCGCCGGTGCGTCAACTGAAGCGCTCCACTCCGCGCCGGTGCGCGAGCATTGTGAGGCCTCGGCGCTCCAGAATGGCGCCTCGGTGCCGTATTTTTCCCGAGTATTTTAAGCTGATTTATGATTTTTCGAAAAATTCTCCTTTTTCGTGTTCACTCCCCTCCACCAAATTGGTGCAATGTTTTATGAAAAATTATATTGTGAAAAATGTTCAAAAAAAAATCCATAGATCAAGAAAGAAATTTTGAGCCGATTCTAAATTTTTTTGTTGTTGTCCGACCCTATTTTTTTTTGCAAAAAAAAACGTTTTTTTCAGAAAACTCAAAAAAAAGTGACAAGCGTCAGAATTTTTTTCAATTCATAAAGAATTGTATAATTCCAGATGCATCAACGTCTTTTTTATATACTATTTTATAACTATCTCGAAATTGTGCAGCTGTCAAATGTCTCTCTCGAAAATTCAATCACACTCCTTTTATGATTCGAAGTCTATTTAATGCAAAGTTACAAATTTTATGTGTTTTTTTGGAATTTTTCATCTTATTCTACACTTTTTGTCAGTCGACCAGAAAAAATCGGGTCAACAGGAAAGACCAGAAAACTTCTGTGACTATAATTATATGTATATAGTGGCAAGCAAGTAGCAAGCGATTTCATAACACTCTTCTCTCTTCATTTTTCCTCTTTAATGTTGCTTGGCAACCAAAAAGGCTTCAAAGGTCAGGCTCCTAAAAACATTTTTTGCTTTTAGGTTTTTTTCGATAAAAATGTTGATTATTCTGTGTATGTTTTTATAATACAAATCCATCTAATCAATCATTTAGAAAACCCAGTTATTCTTGTTGTTGTTTTCACTGATTTTCTCATTTTTTCCCATTTTATCTTGTCAAAAGTCGTCGTTCTCACACACAAAATAACAAATTAGAAAATGAAAAAAATTCAACTGACGCGCCTATTTATCAAAATGAAATGAATTGTTGGTTGTTTCGTACAGCTATGCCGCAAACCTGTACTGTCCTTCAATTTCGCTTGCTTTGCGCGCGATGTGTTTTTCATGTATTTTTTTTTTTGGAAAAAAAATGTATTTGTAGTTTTATTTTTATTTTCATTCCACCCACGTTCACAAGAAACCTAATACCTTTTTGCTTGGGTTTTTTCTAACTAATTGCCATTTTTTCTGTTTTATTTTACTGATTTCTTTTTTGTTTCAGAGAGTTCGAAAAAGACTTTTGATTTTTTTTTCTGTTTGAAAAATAAACATTTCAATTTTTATTTTGAAAAAACTGTCTCTCAATAACCCATGTTCGAAAAAATCTAGAAACTGCATAATTTTGACCTATTTAGTTAGACCAGTCATAAAATTTTCTGTTATGAAATATTATATTTTCAAATTGAATATAGTACTTCTTTTAAAAACTCGAAAAAGATCTTTAATACGAACTTCATAGTCGATTTCTGGAAAAAAGTCTAAAAAAAGTTCTCAAAGTTCTATAACAAAAAAATGTTCAATATTTCCATTATAAAAATATTGAGTAAAAGAACTAATAAAATTCAACATTGAACAAAGACGAAAAGTGAAATGCAAATTCAAAAAAAGGTGGCATTGATAACGATCGAACGCATTTATACATAAATAGATAGACAAAGCTAAATTCTCGAAAAACGGAAAAAAATCAGGATTTATTTATCAGCGTCCCAAATCTTTTTCATTTTCCTTTTTTTTTCATTGTTTTAATAATCAACCTTAATTTTGTTGACCTTTTAAGAAAAAAATCTGCTCGAAAATTTGTTTATTTTCAATAGTCTTCTTGCTTCACATTTTTTGTTTATTGGAAAATATTTTTTAGCAAAAAATCAATCACTTTTCAGTTATTTATTTTTGTGAACAAATGTTTTGTTTTATGATAATAATAATTCTAATAAGTAGTGAGTTAAATCGGATAAGTGTTTTGGTTAGGGTAAAAGCACACAAATTGTTTATAAACAGATTTATCTGTCAGTTAGGCTAACCGGCAAAAAAGAAGAAGAGGAAGAGCAAAACAGTGCGCGCGCGAAAACAAACAATTCATTATAATATTATAATAATTTATAATATATATTTTATATTATTTTTAACATATGCTTTTTGCTCTTTCTTTTCTGCTTTTCTCCAAATCTAACTTTTGACCGTTTTCTTTAGCAATTGCATTTTTTGTTTATTTTTTCTTTCTATTTCGTTGTTCTTTTTTTGCTGTGTAAAACATAAACATCTGAAAGTTTCTCACAGCGCTCAATATGTTTTTGAGGTGATAATATTTTTGGTCATTGGTTTTTCCATTGAATAGGGAAAAAAGGAAAGGCAATAAAAATGAATCATTTTCTGAAAAAAACATACTTTTAGAAAAACAAATAAATTTAGGAAAAACATAATATTGTAAAAATCCAATGAAAATCAAACTATTTTAGTTTAATTAAAAATCTGAATATTTCCTTTCAATTGCCCAAAAAAGTTGTCTCATCATCTTCCAACTTTCTTTTTTTTTTTCTTCTTGCTGAAATTTGTCCGGTTTTTTCGTCGTCTATCGAATTATTCATTACGTTAAGCCCATAAAGTTTTTCTGTTGAATTTGCATTTCTTTTTAGTTTTTTTTTGTCAGATGGAACACACAAGAATTCAAAATATTTTGATATCATTTGATTTTTTTATTTTACAGATTCTGAAAAATAATTTTTTGTTTGTATTTATGTGAACATTTAACATAAAAAGTTTGTACATAGATCAAATAAAATCAAAAAAATAATTTGTTTTGTGCGAACGTGAAACATAAAAAACAGCTGATGACTTTTCCTCATTTTACTCACCCTCGTATTTATTGTTTTTGTTTTTCTGAATGTTGTCCGTTGTCATTCATATTGACTGACTAGTTGGTTGGTCAATCAATTTCTGCCTATCTCAATTATTTATTTCATTTATCCGATCAATTTTTTTTATTATTTATTTTCTGTTTTTTTTCATTTTCAACAAAGTCAAATTTTGGTTTGGTTTTTGCAATTAAGATATTTGGTAAATATTTACTTTTTTCTTCGTTTTTTTTTTTTTGAAAAAAATGCCAATTTTAATTAGATCAAAATAAAAGAGAATTTGAACTATGAGTGGTATTTATTTACAAATTTTGAACAATGGATTGAGTGTGTAGTTGAGAACAAATGAATTTCCATGACGAACTATATTAGAATATTGATTGAATATGATTCACTCTTTTTTTGATTTATTATTTTTTTTCTTTTGATTAATGAGATATGCAGAACTCCATAGTTTTTTATCCAAGAAAGATCTGACTAGTTTTTGGGGTGAAGTAATGTTGAACTGAACAATAGATTTTTAACAAGATGCTTTTCTTTAAAATCTGCTCCAATGATATTTAACTTTTTCCAGTAAGAAGATATTACTCACCGTTAATTTATATATTACATTGCTGAACGTGTGATCCGAAGTCTTGTTTTCTATAGAAATCGAGAGTCCTCAAATAGCTTAATTCAAAAATCAAACTTGTTTACCAAATTTTTGTCGAATTTCTAAAGGTTTCAAAAAATTCCCAAACGAATGTGAATTCTGAAAACCTATCCCTTGATATTTTTATCTCATTATAATCGTAAGTGATTCCAATCACAGCTGTACGACAATCGTACATCTGGGATTTTTTGAGGAAAAAAACTGAGCAGTTTCTAATTTTTCAACAACGAAAAAATCGTACACCATGTTGAACCTCAAATCAAAAATAACTCCCGATGCTTACTAATCAGTGAATACTCATTTCACGATGTTTATTGTTTTTTTTTTCACAAAAAAAAACAAAGTATTATTTGAAATCACATCATTTGACAAGAAAAGCATAACAACAATTTGTTGTCAATCCGAGCCACAAAATAAACAGTCAAATTTCTGGCTGGCTCCATCTTACTGTACATAATATGCTGTTTGCTCCATAAATGGTCAACATTCAGTCACAACATAAACATACAGAAAAAGGACGAGAAAAAAACACACACACTAACACAGTGGTGCTTTTGTGTCCGAAGCAGTCACGCCTCCCAAAAATCTTGGACTGTAAATATATGGAGATGGATTGAGAGTGTAAAGAGAAATAGAGAAAAAACGGTGTTGATGGACATAGAGAGAGAGAGAGAGGGACAGTGAAACGTTTCGACAACAGCCCGAAAAAAAAACACATCATAGACAGCTAGTGAGAGGAGGAGAACAAAACAGTCAGTCACTAAACCAAACCTCGGGCGCACAAATACTGTATCTATCTATCTCCGTTCCATAAATCATTTTTGTTGCTCCCGAACTTGCTCATTCCTAATATTCATACTGATTTTACTTGATCTGGATTGACTTCTGAAAATATGGTGCCTTCACCGGCTTTAGTCGGAACACCTTCTATTTTTCCACATCATCAATCGACTTCATTTTTTCAAGATACTGCCAGTTTTTTCAATCTCGATTGGGAACGATTGTGGTAAGAAAAGTTTCGGGTTAAAGGTCCACTGTGGATTTTTTGTTGAGATATCGTATCTGTGAGCTTTTTCTCATATCGAGTTTATGTAGTATATCCTAGAAAAATTTTAAATTTTGGCTCTGATCGAATTTTTTTTTCAATGTTTTCTTTTTTTATCTCCATATTTTTTGAGTTTTATCACTGTGTTTTCTGAATTTCAGTTTGGGTTCTTATAAAGATGCAAGCATTTTTTGAGTTTCGTATATTCCGAAATGAGGCTGTATGAATTATTCTGATCAAAGTTCTGCTGAAAATTGATTCCCACTAATTTATAAATGTCCAGTTTCAATTTCGGAATATTTGTTATGGTCATTCTAAAGAAATTGTGTTTTCCACTTATCTGAAAATCTTCTCTTGATTTTCAAAAAAAAGTTCGTTTTCATTATTTCTCTACGTGCTTTATTTTCCTATTTCTGTATATTTTTGAAAATTTCAGAAACGTTTTCCAAATTTTATTGAAACTCTCTTTACAAAGATTATATTTTCTCTTTTTTTTATTCTCATTTGACCAAAACTACTAAAATAGCTAATCTCTGATTTTTCTGTTGTTGATGATTCACATCCTCAATTTATTTTTCTCATTTTTTTGTTATTTCGAAAATATTTATTCATCCAATAATTTTGATTGTTTCAATTTCATTCCCATTCTCATTTTTATCCAAAAATAGCGACCAGATTTGTAAATATTGTTTCATTCAACAAAAAAAGAACCAAAAATTATTTCTTCCTCCAACCACACATTGTTTTCTGAATCACTGAAAAAGTTATATATTCATCGCTATGACAACAATTTTTCATAAATATTATTATTTTTATCACATATCAATAAAAGTGATTTTTTCCGAGAAAATGATATTTTTAAAGTTGTATAGTTTCTTTAATGATCCTCGTTTTATTTGTTTTGATTTTATGCATTTCCTGACAGTCTTTCCAATTTCCGCAAAAGCTAAAAAATATCACAAAACCGGTTGATTCTATAAATGGAATAACGAAAAAAATGCGCCAAACTATTTCCGTTTTTTCCGGCGAACGCGATCGGCAAATGCCAAAAATGGAATAAGGAACTAGAATCGAGTTCTTTTTTTTGTTATGAACAGTGAGAGCACCGAGAAAGCAAGCAAAAGCCGTGACTAAACGAGGAGCAAACAGTTTTTGAGCTCAAGCTAGAAAGTGTAAATATTAGAAAAACGAAAATGATGGTCATTTTTTCTAACAAAAAGATTAATGGGGGAAGAAGAAACAGCTTGTTAACACTAACATTAACGAATTAGTTAGCATTCGCATGGCTGATTCAATGTCCTTGGATAACATATTTTTCTTGGATTTATCTTGATTTAGATAACCATCTTTTAGTGTTTGAAGTTTTTTATTACTTTGAGAAAATAATTCTAGAACTAACTAGTTTTCAATTTTTTAATTTTGAAATAAGAATTAATTATCAAAAGATCATTTGAAAAAAAAACAAGATCTCGACCCATTGCGCAAAAAACCGCACGCACGCTCTAAATACAACGGAGATTAACCGATAAACAGACACTTTCATTTCGTTCTTTTTTTTTCACATACATACATAAATTTTGCATTTACAATATTAGAAATAAATCGATCATACATACCGCAAAAAGTGATGTGTGCAATTATGTATAAGAAAAGAAAAAACGAGGAGAAAGGTCATCGGGATTGGATTGAATAGGGAGATCGATGGAATCCCTTTATTTTTCCTGTACACTTGAACCAGACATTTTTCTATTATTAATATTTTTATCCAACAGTGATTTTTTCAATTGTATTTTATTCTGTTTGATCTCTTTTCATTCATAGTTTTTTTCAACATTTTTCTGTCTGCCTCATTTTTTTTTTCAGTCAATCCTTTCAAAATCATTGAATTTTTAAAATTTGTTTCTTATCTCTATGAATATTTAAATGAATCATGTTGTTTCGCCCACAAAAACAAACATTGAAATTTTTATCACACTATGTACAAAAAGTCTTCTTCTCTATTTTAATTAAAAACTAAAACCAAGTTGCTCTTTAATTTTCTTCTAGGTGGCCCAAAAAAACTTGTTTTCATTTCCAGGCAATCTCGCACAAATTCATCAAACTCAACACCATCACCGCGTAATTCACCATCACAATTATCGCCTCCGATGGCTGCGACGGCTGCGCTTCGACGTAGTTCGGACTACGGTATGTTACTTTTTTTTCATAAAAAATTGAAATAAAATAAGAATAATATTATTAATAATAGTATTATTATTTTATTTATTGAATTTTTTGTGAATTGAATATGTATGGGAGTTTTGTATGCATGGTTGTCTCTGTCCATGTATGTACTGTACGATTTCAATTTTTCTCTTTTGTTGTGTACATTTTAGTGAAAAGAAAAATTGCAGGGACTATGAATATGAAACAACAAATTAAAAGAAACAGACTATCTAGAGTCAAGAATTAGTTGTTGATGTGAGAAAAATCGAAGTGCCACATTTGGAAAACATATGAATTTATGATTTAGGTGCTTTCTAGATAGGGGTCAAACTACAAAATACAAAGATCTGACATTGACAAGAAATAATTGTTTCAATAATTAGTGAGGAATGTTTTTTTCGAAAAAAAAAACACAGTAAATCTTCTGTCTATAAACCCGAAATTTTAGAAAATAAGAGGAGTTTCGGAAGAGAGAAAGGTGAAAAAAGTTAGGTTAACCTTTGAAAAACTTAAAGTACATTTTTAAACTGTTTGTGAGTATTTAAAATTTTTTTGTAGTAGTTCAATTGGTTTTTTTGTTTTTCAAGAGGACACAAAAATCAATTGACGTTTTTTGTTTGTTCAGATTTGAAATTAAATTCATTCATTTTTCAAATTTCATCAGCCAATCATATTCAAAAAAAATCATTTCAAACTTTCCACACAAACACAACAAAAATCTATATTAAAAATAAATATAGTGTGGAAAACAACACGACAAAAAAAGTCAATTCCACTATGTGCCTCAGCTGCTCATTTATGTATGCATTGTGCAGCGCTTGTGTTTGGTCACCGGAATCTTTAATTGGTTCTTTTTCTACTACTTTTTTCGTTCCTTGACAATTTTTCTTTTTTTTTTTCAAATTCCGGTGAACACCTATATTGTACAAGCTTACAGAAAATATATAGAACAAAACAAAAAAACATTGATGAAAAGCTGTTGATTCAATTATCGTGTTGGGTGGTCATAAGATCCATCTTTTTTCTCTTTTTTTTGTTTCATCCATATATACGCTTTTCCATCAATGCCATTCAAGTTTTTCTTCTGCGTTCTCGCAAAACTAATTAATACATAATAATTATATAAGTATTATGTTTAGAAAACTTGTTTCAACTGTTTGTTATTTTTGGTTTCGAGAAAAATATTTGGGAAAGGGATTGAAGGTTGAAATATGTATATGTGAGACTTTTGAAGTGTAGTTAAAAATAGTGTATTTTCCTTTAGTACATAAGTGAATTTTCAAGGAAACCGTATTTTCTTATCTGACAGTTTTCGAACAAAGCAACAGAAAAATTTGTATATTGATTACGCACACATTTTTGAATAATTTTATGACGTTACTAAAATTGGGATTCTATTCCTGTAAATCATATTTTTATTTCAACAAAAAATACTAGAAATTTTAAAGAAAAATTGATTTCAAATTCCAAAGTCAAACGCGCAATCTCGCTCTATTAAACTACACTAAAAAAAATTTCTGGAAACTTCCAGAGATTGTTTCGAAACAATTTTGCTTTTTTACTTTCTTACTATATACTTTTCAATCACCATTTTCAATATAAAAAATAGGCATTTTCAAAAAACTTCAAAAAAAAGTTGAACGAGCAAAGTGCGCGCTATTGATAACCTACATAAGGTCAATTCTCACCACCTTGTTTCATTCACTTCTTTTTTTTTTGTTCGCTTGTTTGTTTTTTTCTTTTTTCTTTTTTTTGTGAAAACTCTGCAAATAGTAGAAAGTAGAAAAATCAAATTCAGACCGTTTTTGAAATGAGGAAAGTGCGCGCTAATGATAACATGAGACAGGTTAATCATTTCTTGGTAGTTCCTGTGTTTGATGATTTTATCGAATTTTCTTTTCTTCCAAATTAGTTTCAATAGGCAAAAAATATGTGTTTTGGTTTTGATTTTAAATTTCGTTCCACATAAATAACCTTATACACCAAAAAACACTAATAAGGATGAAAAACAATTTCGTCGGAAACCGCGAAACAGTGCGCTCGCGCCAAATACTAAAAACTAACAAACAAATCGACATATAATACCAAACCAAATCCGTGTGTTTTTCTCGTTGGAGAAAAAAACGCAGCGCGAACAAAAAGTGTGTGTGTATGATTTGACCGAGAGCGAAATTTGTTCTCCTCACGCACGATTCGTTCCCGTTTCCTTTTTCAATGACTGACTCTTCATTTCTCTGAACTCTCTTTTTTTCACTCTGAAATATATAGTTTTTTTTTCCTGAATTCAAATTCAATTTCCTTCCTTCCTCTTCTTTTTGTTATGTTCAGAATATTGTATGTTTGCACAGTTCTTCTATTGATTTTTGTTGTTTCTATTCAATTCAATCGACAACAAAACATAATTTTTGGCGCTCTTTCATATTTTTTGACCAAAAAAAGAAGAAAAAAATTGGCAACACAAAAAGCTTGACCAAGAAGAATTATTATGAGAGTAGGGGAAACAAAAATAGGAGATGAGTAGTTTTTGTGACTTTTTGCGTTTTTTTTGCCATCTCTTATTTTTTTCGTGTTTCTTTCTTTGGATATGTTCAGTTCTATTTTGTTCATATATTCTTCTGCGGCTACTCCAAACAAAAAACACAAACACAAAAAAGTGTCGTCATTTGTCATATTTCTCGTTTTAGTCCTATTGCACTTCTTGCTCCCAATTTTTATCTTGTCTTGGTTTGGTTCTTCATTTCATTCTCGCCTTTTTTCTTGTTTGGCAGGATTAAATTGCCTTTGTCTCTTTTGCGCTCTCTTTGAGTTCAAGTAACATTATTTTTCTTTAGAGCAAATAAATGAATGAATAAATAAATTCTGAAAACGAATAAAATTGACATGTTCGTTGACATTTTTCAATTTTCGAAAGTTTCACCATTTTTTTTCTTGAAATTCTTTGCAAAAATTGATTTTTTTAGGTTCTGCTGATACCGAGTGTGGAGAAGCAGATAGATCAAGTTCGGGTGAACCAGTACCAATTAATGAAGTCGATTTGTTGGCAAAAATGGAACAATTGAATAGGTTTGTTTTTATTTAAAAGCTGAATAAACACTTTGAAAAATTATGAAATTTTTGAAATAACAATTTTTTTTATTTCAGATCAAATGAGGAAGATTCAAAAAGTATGGCATCTCGAAGAACCGGCTCTAGTGGAAGTCGAAAAGGGGCTCGCGAAAACACACCACCTGAAGAAGAGGAGTTTTTCCAAGAAGATTTGTGGTCGGTTTGGGGTGAATTGATTCACAATTGGGATTTCGAGGTGAAAAAACGGCCGAATCATATAAAGGAGTTGGTGAAAAGAGGAATTCCTCAACATTTTCGGATGATTGCCTGGCAGAATTTGTCGAATGCGTCGGTGAATTCGATTCATGATTTGTACAGTGATTATATGCGACAAACTTCAGTTTATGAAAAGGTGAGAATTTTGGTCATGAATCTTTTTTTGTTTTGAAAATATATTAAATAAAAATATACATACATTCGCCGTAGACAAAAATTGAAAAACGTTAAAAAATAATTGCAAAAAACAGAAAAATAGTTAATGTTTCTCTGAGACGTCTGAGCCTTTATTTTCTTTTGGAAATTTCTAGATAATCAGTTTTCTGTAGATACAAAATTAATCATTAAAATTTTTGACCGAATTTCAAAACCTCAAACAATGTGAATTTTTCTTAAGCATATTCCACATCAAAATTGTATTTTTATTAGTTTTCCTCTGAAGTTTTCCACACAAAAAAAGTCAAAAAATTCTCTATATTTTTCAAATCGAATACTTCTTCAGGTTATCCAACGAGATATTCCACGAACATATCCAGAACTCGATTTTTTCAAAGATGGCGGACGTGGACAATCACTTTTATTCAATGTCATCAAGGCGTATTCTCTTCATGATAAAGAAGTTGGATATTGTCAAGGAAGTGCATTTATTGTCGGTCTTTTACTTCTGCAGGTTTGTTTGAGTTTCATTGTTTAACTATAACATCCTATAACTGCTGATTTTCAGATGCCAGAAGAAGAGGCGTTTGCAGTGCTAATTCGATTGATGGAAAACTATCGACTTCGCGAACTTTATAAACCAACAATGACCGATTTGGGTCTATGTATGTTTCAATTAGAATGTTTGGTTCAGGATCAGATGCCTGATTTGTATACACATTTCAATAATATGGGTTTTGACACTTCGATGTATGCATCGTCGTGGTTTTTGACATTATTTACAACAACAATGCCGCTTGATATTGCTAATCGGATTATGGATTGCTTTTTGGTTGAGGTAAGCTCTGGAAATTTTAAGCAGGCTGAAAAGATGGATTTTTTTAGGGAATGGATTACATTTTCTGCATCGCATTGGCAATTTTACAACAAGCAAGAATTGAATTGCTCCGTTTGGACATGGAAGGAATGCTCAAATATTTTCAGCGAGAAATTCGCGAGCGTTATGAAAATGATGCTGATTTATTGTTCGCTGTTGCCAATCAAGTACAATTGAATTCGAAAAGAATGAAACGGTATATTTTTTATTAGAAAATGGGCTTGGCTGGGTTAATTCATTGTTCATTTCCTTTTCTTTTCTTATGGGACAATTGACAAAGTAAAAATGGGTTTTTTAAAGTTCAGAATTGAGAATATGTGAACTGTCCATTACGAAAATATTTGAGAAAGAGGGGAATTATGACGAAAACACTTAAAACATACTTTTAAGGTCAAATGCGTATTTAATGGAAATTGAAAAAATACAATCTGTGTTCTCTTTATATATTTCGAAATATTTTTAGAGATGTCCAAATTTTTCGGACAGGAAAATCAAAATGTTATATAACTAGAAATTTCAATTTTTGTGTTGTAAAAGCTCAGATACTTGATCCAAGTCCCATTCGAAATTTGATGAATCCTTCAAACAAAATGTTTTTTTTTTCAGATTGGAGAAGGACTACCTGGCAAAACGTACTAAAGAGCAAGAGGAAGCTGTTGAATTGAGAGTGAGTTTCAAACAAAACAAAAAAAAACACATTTCTTGCCTCATCATCATCATTATTTCATACACGATCCCGAGGGCTAACAGATGTGTGAGAGAGAAAACGAAGCATATGTATTTCTCACAAAAACTCTTTCTGTTTTGTTTTTTCGTGCTTTTCTCTTCTTCCGAAAGATAACTCGCCAGCAAAACATTTTTTCATATTATCACATCAAATATTTTTTAATGGTCAGTGGGTGTTTCAAACAACAATTTAACGTTGACTCACACATTGAATGAATGAGAGCGTATCGATTTTTTGTAATTTTTCTCATTTTATTTGCTCAAGAATAGTTCAGTTTTTTTATTATTTTCTTTTCTTCTTCCTTGGAGTGTTTTATTTCAATAGGGAGAGAAGACGAAGAAAAATGAGAAATTTTTATTTTCGCTAGTATTTTTTCTTTCTCCTTGGTGACCAACCTTATACCATTTTTTTCTTTGATTCTTGTTTTCTTTTTCTTTAAAAAAAACAACCGGTTACCTAAATTTTCACTTTTTCTATTTTGTTTTGTGGTTAAACAAAAAGTAGAAATAATAACATAATGTCGACAAGTACGTTTGGTTGTTTCACAATTATGTATGAATATGACCATTTGATGATGATTCTTTTTTTTTTTGATAGTTTTCATTGATTTTTGGTTGGTTGAATTGACATTTTTCTCGATTATTCTTCTTTTCCCCGTTTGATCGTTGAAAATACACAACGTTTATTAATTGATTCCTCTTTCATTCTTCTATACTTTGTTAAAGAACATCACATAACTTTGTTTTTCTCACCATAAAAAATTCGAAAAATAGTGACTCACTTGATAATATATTTTTTTGAAACGTCATTTGTAGGTCAAATGTCATGTTCTGAAATTCGAATCGACTAGTTAGTTGTTTGAACTTTTCATTTTATTTTGTTTTACTTTTAACACAAAACAAAACATTTTTAATTGAAAACAAATAACAAGAAAAAGAGATGAAGCAGCAAGCAAAAGTCTGTTCCCATCATTCATCAAAACATCGCTATCAATTTCGAAATTTTTCAAACATTATCAATCAATGGATGAGAATGAAAGAAAGAAGATTTTAACCAAAATCATCATTATCTCATTTCATTTCATTTCAATTAATCTCTCCTTCTCTTGTTTTTTCCACCCTTTTCGATAACTTCTTTCCTGGGGCGTGTCACGAAGCCACGCCCATCGCTTTTTGGTGGTCGCCTGGCAGCTAAATTCCCTCTCTTGTTCTCCCTCCCTCTATCTGTTTTTTTTTCGTGGCTGGAAAAATCTGTCGTTTTTTTCCTATTCCCTATCTTTTTTTCTGATTTTTTATTTTAATTCAATCAGTTAGTTCTGTTCGTCGTGTTTGCTGATTGATTTCCGTCTTCTTTTTCTTATCTTGTTCTAATTTATTCGAATTTTGTCTAATAGGTTTTCTAAATGAGGACACGAGCCAAGATTGGAAAACAACGGTTTCAATGGACCAGAAAGGTATAATATTTAACGTAGGAGAGAAAATAAATATCAAAAACTAGTTCCTTTTTCTGTCCTTCATTCATTCATTCAGTCATTCATTCATTGAAAATGTGTACAAATCGATTGTAGGGTTAAAATTGTAATAATAAGAATAATATTATTATTTCTTTTTGTGTCATATTTTCAATTCAAAAATAGAAAATGTATTTTACTTTACTTCTAATAATGGCGAAAAGAAAAACAAACGAAGAATAAAAAAAACCAGTCAGATTTTCTAACTCATTTATTCAATGTTGTTTTTTTCATATTTCGCGAAAGAGATTTGTTATTTTACGAATGCATGAAAAGTGATTAATTTTCGACACAAAATTGAGTATTTTTCCCTTTTTCAAAAATTTTCCTTTGTTAAAAGAGCAGAATGTGCTCTTTTAAAAATGTGTTTGCTCTTCTTCATTCATTCATTCTTTCAAAATATCTCGTTTACACAATTTAAATGTATGAAGTGAGTGAAATGATGATGAGTGGCAAGACAGGAGTGAAATTTAAGAAGTTTAGTTTCCTACCCATTTTTCATGCAGAGGAGAAATTATTATTTTTTGCTCTATCTCTGGGAACAGTTGTAGAGTATCCAAACAAATATATTGGAAGCTAAAAACCACTCAAGAAAGAACATGAGATAACAAATAAAACAAAAACCAAGTTTTTTTTCAGAGATTGCGAACCGAAAATCGTCTTTTAAGACAAAGAATCGATTATTTGGAAGCTGAATCATCTGCATTGGCTGATCGATTAGTTAAAGGACAAGTGAATTTGGCGCAGGAAGCTGAAAATTGTATTAATATTGCACATGAGTTGAACAAACTTCGTGATATGAACTCGGATGTTCATCGAAAACTTGAAGGAGCATATGAAACTATCAGGTAAGTGTGTTTACTACGTGTAGATTCAAACTACATAAATGTGAAACAAAACACAAAAAAGTTTAGAGAGCAAAAAACTATCTTCTCGCAATAAAAAATTAATAGTTTGTTGAACATATTTTGTTCTTTTCTTTTTTTTTTTTTGTTATCAGATTACGAAACCAGGCAAAACCAGATTGATTTTTTTATTTTCCAGAGAACTGTCGAGTACACGAAGAGAAAATGTGACTGACACAGCAACACAAGTCGATGACACTTCAATGATTGAACATATTCATTCACTTCAACAAGAATTAATCGAAGCTCACACAAGACAAGCAGACAGTGAAAATGCATTAAGAGACACCAAATTGCGCATTTCGGTGAGTAGTCGGCACAAATGACCCACAAAAAATGATGCACAAAAAAAGGTTCGAATTTATATGCTAATTTGTTTTGGCTATTTTTAGGAGCTCGAAATGGCCAACAAAAGACTGCGAGAAAACGAACCATCTGAAGGAATTGCTGGACTTCAAGAGGAATTGATTTCTGTTAAGATGAGAGAAGCTGAAAGCAGTTTGGCGTTGAAAGATATGCGACAAAGATTGGCAGAGTTGGAACAACATTGGGCGGTTAGTATTTTTTAGATTTCAAAACAACCATGTCTATGATTTTTTTTTTCAGAAATATGTGCACGTTCGAGCATTTGATCCATCTTCTGCATCAATTGAGAAAGATGCAGCATCTCCAACTGAAAATGGTGGAAGTCCACAACAACCATCCCCACCATTAACATCTGCAAGAGCTCGATTGGCAAAAATAACTGCTAGTTTGATCGGAGGATCAGTTGAAGATTCGGATAGTTTGATAAGTGTTCGAGAATTGGAAGATCAATTAATGGGAGTGAGAATTAAAGAGGCTGATACTCAAGCAGAGTTGAAAGAAATGAGACAAAAAGTGATGGAACTTGAAACACAAAATCATGTATGCACAAATCAATTGAAACGGCAAGATGATGAGATGAAAAAAGTTCGGGAGGAGCAAGAAAATATTGCAAAGAAGAAGAAAGAAATTGAGGTTGAATTGAAAGCTGAAAAAGAAAAGCAGGCAAATCGTGAGAGTGAATTGAATGAGCAACGAATCAATGATCGTTTGAAATATTCTGAAGCCATTCAAACAATTCAAGAACTTCGATCAAGTATTTCACAACTTGAATTGAAAAAAGCTGAAAAATGGACACAAAATCAATTGCGTGGAAGCAGTGTTTGTGACGTTGACGACGATTCAAATTCCCACGCTTCTATTTGTTCAAACGGTGATCAATTATCGTTGGCATCTGATGAAATGAATGCATTGATTGCTGATATGACAGTTCGTGTTCCAACTCTTGATGATTTATTAGAAGAAGGATCAGCAACTGAAACTGATGAAAAAAGACCCAAGGTTGGTATCACATTTTATCAATATATACTTTTTTGAAAATGAAATCAAGAAGGAACTAAAATTGTATTTTCAGGAATTGAATGATGGAAATGATACGGCTGATTCGGGTCTTCATTTATCAGATGGACAATAGTTGCAAAAAATCCAACCAACAAAACCCTGTGTTGTAAATACGTGTTCTCATTCCCTTACCGTACTCTCTCATCAAACCTACACATTTTGTTGTTTCAACAATCATCATTTTCTCATCTTTAATTTTCTTGTCAATGTGTGTACAGTGCTTTCCAAACAAAAAAAAACATTATTGAAAATTACCCAGAAACAACAATCTGATTTAAATAATACATGTATTCGGCATTTTTATTTGTTTTTATAATGTCACAATTTTTCTCGTCGTATTTTGTCTTGACATTAGTTTTTTTTATTATTTTGTAATTCATTTAATTGTGATTTTGATAATAGCAGGTTTTGATTGCACCCATTTAATTAGTTTTCATAGTTTTTTGCACCCGATAACTAATTATTTTTCAATATGCATAATTTATTGATTGCAGTCGTATTTTTCTGGTATTGAAACATATACATTTTTGTCATTTTTAAATCCAAAATCATTTTTTTTTGTCTTCTTCCCCCTTTGTGGCCTTATTCGATATGCTTACGGTGAACATGAGAAGCTCACGATTAATTTTGAAAAACAAAAACAACAAGTTTAATATAATGAGCTTGCTTTCTTTGATTTCTTGTGATAATCTCATAGCCTTTTTATGAATAAATAATTGAAATAATTTTTGTTCACGCGTTTAAAGGAAAAAATTACAGATCGTTTGTTTATTCTAAAGTCTGAACTTATATTTGAAGTTTTTGAGACTTTTTCAATATCCCCCACTAAATTGAGGCAATTTATTACGCTTTCTCTTTTAGTGAACTAACATGAGATCAGAAAAAAACATGTTTATAGAATGATGAAAATTTATAAACATTGATCGAATTTCATCGATTAATTTATTTATTATAAATTATCAACTATTACCTAAAATGTCGACGATTCATAATAAACCATTCAAAAAACTTGAATCTTTTCTATCCATTGAACTAGATAAAATTTCACGATTGAACACTGAGAGTAAGTATTTATTTCAATTTTTTCACAAAAATTTTATTGGTAGTTTAAACAAATTTCTATTCTGGAAATAAAACCACAAGCAATTTTTTGAACCATCAATTTTTTTCACCAAAATGTTTATGAAACAGTAAAATGTAAACAATTATAACACTTCATTAAACGTTTCATTTTTGTTGGTAAATGGTGTCTAATAAACTGCATAAGTTATCTCATGGTCTCCAACATGATATTCATCACGAGTTAACAATAGCAACTCAACTTCAACATCGTCTTAGTAAGTTCAATCAATTTTGATATGCATTCATATTCAAAGCATTTCGCAGAAGTAAAGAATAATTTTAATTAAACTGGGAATTACAGATAACAGAAACAATTATCGGACAGGAAGATAACGTATCCTTTCCTCGTGTTCAACGAACAAGACTTTTACCAGTAAACTTCCGATTTTTTTGGGACACTTGATAGTTTAGTGAATATGTAGTTTAGTGGTAGAACTCTGTCCGGAAAACCAACCTCAAGGGTTCAATCCCATCTTTTACCAATCAATTTTGTCATCTATTCTCTTTAGTTTTCAAATAATTCCTGATTTTAAAAAAATTGACAAAAAATAGCCCTAAAAATCGAAGAAAAACAACAATTTGAATTCCCCCTATAACATGAGTGTCCTGAAAGGGAAGCGCTTTGAGACCCATTGTTACTAAACAACAGGCAGAATTGCTCGGAGTGTCGTTTACACATTCAATCAATATATTTATTTTTAATTTTATGATAAAAAACAGTTTTTCGAAGTTAAATTAGATATAATTTCAGATAATGAGACAATTGAGCAACCATTTTTCGATAGATTGCAAGCGCCACTTTATTTATTTGGATTTTTTGTCATTGTTGGGTTTGTGATTGGATATGTTCAATTTCAAATGTGAGTGATTTTTTATAAAATTTGAAAAAATGATTTTTCTTTCATATCTTTTTTTTAGAAGAATGAGAAAACACCGATTGGCGCATAATAATTCCAAAAAACCAGAAGAACCAGTCAGTGAAACAACAGTCGTTGAAATGGAATAATATTTTGTAACTCTCAAATGTTCACAATGAAAAATTTCATTTTCACAAATAATTGTAGTTTAGCGAAAGTCTACATGAAAAACAAAAATAACTTAAAGGTGATATGATAATCAATGAAAAAACTGTCTTTACATGCGTAAATATGAGATACGTTACATAAAGTTAATCAAAGAGGTATGTTTAATAATGTCAGAAATTTTTAGGACATTATTTCGGGGAAAATATTAAAAAAAAACATAAGCTCTAGTAAGTATAAAAATGTTGAGATGACAACTCGGCCAAAAAACGACATAGCTCGGGGCGACTCGCTACACAATTATCGAGACTCGTTTTGTAGCGAGTTGCCCCAAACGCGCCTCAAAAGTGGCGAGTGCCGGGCAACTCGCTACAATTCTTGCCCGTTTTTAAAATCATGGTTTTTATGCCTTTTTTTCGGGATTTCACAGTGATCCATTGATTAAATGGCCCATATGAATGTAGGGTAATAAAGCTATAAGTAGATCTACTTTTGCTCCATAGATACAGTTTTTGAAAAATGCTTCTGGACACCCTCCGAGAGAGTGGATCGGGGCGAGAACGGGGCAAGTTGCTTCACACTCGGGCGAGTCGCCCCAAGCTTGCCCAAAGAGCCTCGGGCCAGTCGCCCGAAACGTGTAGCGACTCCGCCCCGATTGGTAGCGACCTCGCCGTTTTCTGACCGAGAAATTAATGGCACGCATCAGTTGCAAAAGAATCAGCAGCTTGCCCGTGAGGAGTTTTTAATTGTAAAACAGCAAATGCCCAATGACCAAATCCAGCGCCAAGAATGACAGCAAGAGCTGAAAATTTTGAAAAGTATTGATAGAAATTCAAGAAATTAGTTCAACTTACTTAGCCATGAGTTATATGTCATAACAATGAGCATAAGCCAGTAGGCAAGAACAAGCTGAACGATATATAAAAATGCTTGAACTAATCGAGAAAGTGGGAATGGAGAAGTCGATGGTCTGAAAACACAATATTATTTTGAAGTTGGGAAAATACAATTATAAAATTTTATAGGCAGTTTTGGGAAATATGTGGAAAAGCCTTTGATTTATCAACAGTATTTTCTAGAGTTTCTTTTTCAATAAACCAAAAGCTTCAACATAATATTGATTATTTGTAAAAGTTACATCTTATGTTTTCAATTTCCTGAAAATTTTTACATGTTGAAGTTCCAAAACAGATCATGTTTTACAAATCTCTATTTGTGGTTTCAATGTTTATCACAAAAACGCACCCGTGGACTTGTGGTTGTCTGGTTTCCACCAATGGTTCGGCGACATTCATATTCTTCATTTTAAGACAACCGTTTCCATTGTTCTCAACACCAATGATTTCTGGTTCGTGAACAGTTTCCTTGGTTTGATTGACTTGAAGATAGACACGGAACCATTTGAGACCTTCATAAGCAGCACCCATAATGAAAATAAATGCAGATGACACAATCAGACCTGTGAAAAATAAGAATTGCAAAATTTACCGATAGATTTTGCAAAAAAACTTACCAAAATACGAGTTGATTCTCCAGAAATCAAAAAGAATGACCTCGTTACATCCACCGTGGAAAAACATCATCATCATATGGCCTGAATGATCGTGTCCGCCAGTAGAAGCTGTATGTTCGGCATGATTATGATGAGCATGGGGATCTTCCGATTTGCTGTCTAAATTTTGAGCTTTTTATTCATTTTTGCTCCAAGATCCACTCACCATTTGTTAAATCGTCCAAAAAGTCGTCAACATGTTTTTTGGCGTCAATCTGTAAAAAATTATAAAATTATTAATTTTCAAAAAACAGAAAAACTTACTTGTTGTTCACATAGTGCTAACCCAACTACCAGTAAAATGCATAAAAATTTCATGAAGAAATTTTGTTATTACCCTGAAAAAAAGGAAAAATTTTAGGCTAATCGAAAAATATTAGTAGTAATGACGAAATTGTAACACACAACAAGACTTGTCAGAGAAGGGCGAGAAGGAGAAAATAAACAAGAGGCATGTGTAAAAATCCGGAGTGTTGTTCGATGTGCAAACAAAAAGGGAAGGATGATGTCATGAAAATTTAGCTATTTCCGAAAATAAATGAATTAAAAAAATATATAAATGTTGAAAAATGCAATGAGTTACTGAAACAAACAAATGATTATTGTGAAAAAATATGTGGGTGAACAACTGATAAGGTGGTCATTTTTGATAACACATATTATTGAAGAAAAATGAATGAGAATAAGTGTTTGTGATTTGAATGATCAAATGACTGTGGTGTTTTTGACATATTCAAATTTGTGAAAAGTTGTACAACATTTGTTCAGTTGGTTCCTTCTTTTAGAAAGAAACAAAAATTGTATACAAACTATAGTGAAACGATGTCGAATGTTTTGTGAAAGGTGTCAAGAAACAGGTTCCGGCTTGTTCTAAACGAAATAACATTATCTCGTTTTTATTTTAATTGAGGGGAACAGCACTTTAGAGAACGAGAGAAAACAAATTATAAATACAAAAATATCTGTAATTGAACTAATAATTTCTAGAAATTTTTAATTCTGCGGTTTTTTTTTCATTTCTGCCTTTATAAAACTTTGAAGTAGACATATGTGAGAGAAGCCTTCTACGTTAGAATACTGAAAATATTCTGAATTTGTTGAAAAAAAAAATTGTGTTAGCAGTACTTTTGACATTTTCAGAAATACAACTTTGACAAATTTAACTTTGGAACCTTATTTACAGAATAATACGACCACTACGAAGTCCAGAATTTGAAGCACGACATTCTTTCACCCGAAATTTTTTGAATAGTTTGGAACTATATGTATACTTGAAAAGTAAAAATAAACTTTGATTGTGAATTGTTGAAATCACAAAAGTAATAATACAAAAAACTTTCGTTCAAAGTTTAAAGTTGATGGTTCTCATTTTTTTTCGATAAAGATCAATTAACACATTTATTAAAGATTTATTAAAGAATAAATTACTCCCATATGTTTTCGCGCAAGTCCTCGTCCATTTGTGCATAGATGAATTCTTGAGTGTAATCCTGAAAAAACGCTATTACTTTTTTTTATTATAAAATACAAACTAACATCTGTGCACTTAATAAAATCCCAAAGGGCCGCCATGCTACCTGCATGAGTCGAGGTGTCATGAATTGGACCATAATGTTTATCGTAAAATGCATCAATGTCAATTTGGGCATCTTCTTCATCTTCACAGTCCGAATCAATCAACGCTATTGGATGATCATTAACAGCAGAACAATCCAATTGTGGGTGGGCGGAATCAGTGTCTTCTATATACAATAAGTTCCAAACCCAGGCCTGAAATATGTTTTGTATTATTTTTTCAAGTGTTCCTTTGTTGCAAACTCACACAGAAAATTCCAAAACAAACACCGACAAGAAACTCGATCATTTTTCTTAAAAAATATTTTGAATATCCTATATTAAATTAAAAATACTGAACAGTGTTTCAAACACTAGAGCGCACAATAAATTAAGAATTTTAAAAATTAATTTTCATTTCATCTCACATATTCTCTGTTTCTCATAAACGCTATTACAGAACGAGTGGAAATGCAATGTCTTTCGAACATTTGAGAGGCCTTCCAGAAGTTGAGTGAGATCATGCAATCTGAAAAAAATATATTGATTTTAAAAAATCAGTTTTCAGCATTTTTGAGGTTCACAACATTTGAGCTTAAAGTCTGTCAAGTTTTGATTGAAAATAAATTTTCACCAGACAAGAATCAATTCCCACCTCAACTTTCAGATTTGTTAAACGAAAAAAAAAATCGCTCTCAAAAATTTAGATTGAAAATACCGGTTTTAGCAGTGATTTCAATTGTTCTCCCAAACTCACGAAAATCTCTCGGGATCCACTGGCGGATCTGCGGCACTTTTCAGCAGCTCGGGAACTCCATATCATCGTTGGTGAAGATTTGCGCCCGAAGTTTTCGCCGCGGAAAATGTGCGACACTGTTTTGATTGCAGTCGGCGGCGCAGATAATTTGTTTTGAAAACAGTATACATGGCTATCTCTAAACTTGAATAAACTCATCAGCAGATTCGCGGGAGCGGCCACAACTCAGTTCCTTAGTTGCGTCATTTTTAAGCAGATATATTTTTAGTAGATCCGCGACAACAGGTAACTCGGGAACTGAGTTTGCAACCATCGCCGCAAATCAGCTAATGAGTAGCAACAGTTTGCGCAAATTGCTGAACTTCTGTGCTGACGAAAAAACCGGCAGCAAACAATTGTTCTCTTTTCACATTTGTTCACAATGCAATACAGGCTATTCTCAAATCTGAAAATTTAAAAAACTTTTAAAAAACCAAAATAAAACTCGAAAAAAAAAACAAAAGAAACAAACAGAAACACAATTGAAATAGATGACAACGTGCGGTTACCGCAAGGTGTGCAATGGGGCGCGTTTTCCTCTTCGTTGAATCACAATCAATAGAAAATTGTATTTTTTTTTGTATAAATTTGAGTCAACATCTGAATAATCCATTAGTATAGTCTAACTGTAAGTTTCAAATAGCGATATTTACGAGGATAATTTTAGAAATTGTTTTTTTTCAAAATGAAAACACATTTTTTTAAACTCAAAACTCATATACGAATTTTTTTGTCCAAAATGGAATTCCTTGTAAGATTATTCTGATTCTCCAACTACATTTTTCAACCAACTTTATTTAAAGATTTTTTTCCTAATTTTGGTAGAAAAAAAACAAAAAGTATTTGTTCATTAAAAAAAAAGAAAAGGAAGCAATTACGCTCTATTGATAATTATCGTATGCATACGCATGTTCATTTTTTTTATTGTCATTCCATCAACTCGTATTCGTTTTCTAAGCGGTTTTCTGTTTTTTTGTATAAAATAGTAAGTTTGAGTTTCTAATAATAATAACATTTTTCATATTCATTTTTTTAGATGAAACAATCGGAAAAGTTGTCTTTCTTTCAAAGTGTTGTGGAAGACATTCCCAACATTTTGAAAAATGCGAAAAAACACCATATGTTTTTCAAATCAATGGAAATCATTATGAGAATTTTGGGGACATTGCAATGTTTGGATGAGGCAGGCATTTTCATTAACCATGTATGTTTTAATTACAGAAATCAACACAAACAAAATAACTTTTCTATTTTCAGGTTAGAACAATTGACCTTCTCTATGTGGAAATTGTTAGTCACTTGTCGACTATGGAATATGTTGTCGAATTTGAACAACAATGTCCGACTTCTGAACCGGCGACGCCAGCTGATACATAATTTTTAACATTGGTTGTTATTATCTTTAAGTGTTTCTCAGTAAATGTCTTAAACTTTATCGAATTGGGCTCAATTTTTTTTGGGCTGTGTTGGTCACTATTGGATGAAAGTATTTGTCCGGAAGATTTTTTTGTGGATGTTCAGATCAAAAGTGTCCGCGAAACTTCAATTTGTCCGAATATATAGAATTACTAAATCTCTATTTAAATTTCATTTTTTGTGAGATAAATTCTGATGATTTCAGTAAGAAAATCTAGAAAAATTGTTATGACAAGTCTATTGGCCCGTTTGCAATTCGTCAAGCTAACTTTTATTTTCAAATAAGTTTCTCGAATCACTCATTGAATATAAATGATCACCAAACCCATTTTTTTCTCTATGTTTCCATACTTTCCTCTTTTTTTCATTGTTCAATGCTTATCAGTTACAGTAACAACAGAAAAAAAGAGAAGACAAGTATAACAAGTAAGTGTCACTCGATTAGTATCCAATTGTTTTCAACTCGTCAATTCTTCACGGTCACTCATTCGTCATTTCTCTTCCTCTCAATATCATCTTCTATTTCCTTTTTTCGAACAGAAAAAAATTTGATTCGATAAGTTGATAGCCCAATTACGGTTGTTTGGAGGAAATTATACTCCTCCTCTTCCTTTTTCTCTCTCCATTTTTTTCTTCACATTATCATCGTTTTTCTCCATCTTTGTCAAGAATCTCGAAATCAGAACATCAATCAAGCCTCGCCTCAAAACGACGGACGGACGGACCATATCGTTATCACTTTCGGTCGCGCGCGCGCAGCAACCAACTAACCCACCCAATTTACGCAATTAGCACGTCTTTTTGTCAACTGTGTGTATGTGTGTTTTTTCTGTTGTATGTTGAAAAGAAACGAAGAATGAAAAAGAGAAGCGAGATTGAAATGGAGAAGAAGAAGAAAAAAGAAGATGTTGAAATTAGAAAAAAATACTGTCCCACAGAGATGCAGTGCTTATAGTGAAAATAGAATCCATAAGAATCTTACAATAATACTATTCGATGTCAACTCCAAATTTTCAGACAAAAAAATTTTTTTGACATTTTCAACAAAATTTTGAACAATTAATTTTAGAACTAGAACACTTTTCATCTTTCAGAGAGAAATTTCTATAAAATTAATAGATTTCTCTTAAATGTTCAAAATTCTAGAATTTTTTAAAAATTCAGTAAGATCTGTTTTGGAAACAATTTAAAAATTAAGGAGTCTTGAGAACAGGGGGTAAAATTGTTTTTTTTTTCCAATGAACTCGGTTGTTTTGCTCAAATAGCTTAAAACCACATAAAAAGAGATAGTTCACTTGAAATAATGGTATCAAAAAGAGAATAATATAAAGACTATAATTCTAGGGAACGAAGCTCTAAAAAAATTAAACTTTTCTTGATTCACCAAACAATCAACACACAAATAAGATTATTTAAGACGTTCCGAATCTCTTTTATTATTTTAAGTGTACACTTTTATACTCATCTCGTTTTTTTATATTCAACAAAAAGTACTGTTTAAAAGTCAGGAGTTCCTTTTCAGAAACTTGAACGTTTTTTGTGTTTCTCAATTCTCCATGTTAACCGAGATTCCCGAAATGCTATACATTTTTCTCACTTTGTATCGCTACAGACATTGAAAATCCCTCATTTTTGGAACATTTATCTCAATGTAAAATAAAAATTGAAAACAAATCGTAACCGTATCCTTATCACTGTGTTCAATAAATCGCCGCAATAATTCGTCCTCCTCGTTCGCCTCCTCATTAATCTCGCCAATTATTATTGAATTCAATAAAATGGATAAGAAGAAAGAATTGTCAATTGACCCTATCCAATCCGACCTCAAAAACAAGGCACGTATTCTATATTTATACAATCTATCTTTTTTTCCGTCCGTATATCTTCATCACAATGAGAATGAAAAAACACAGAGAAACCCATAACCCCTTTTTTAGTTCAGGTGATAAATTGTTCCACTCGAAATCCGCTCTACAATCACTTTTTTCTTCTATTCATCCTCTTCCTCCGTTGGCTGTTGTTTTTTTTTTCTGTCAATTCAATCCGTTTTCTTGATATTATATTATCCTTATCAATTCGAGAATGACCAAAAAAACCAATGCTGACGCTACCGCCAAAAACGAATCACTCAATTGATCTTTTATCATTTACGAATGATGAAGACATTTTTATGTTCATATTTATGAACGCATAAATTGACAGCTAATGGCCCTTGTTAATGATTGAAAGTATTGGGTCAAAAATTTGAAGAGAATATTGGAAAAAAAAGATAAAATAAAAAATTGAAATCAGCAAACTTGTTTGAGAAGCTGGAAAAGATGTTATTAAGAATTTGTGGTGCAGTCTAAATTTGTGATATGATATTTGAAAAAAAAAATACAATTAAAAAATATATTTATTTTACAACAACTTATGAGATATTTCTCATAGAATCCGTGGATGACTTTTCTAGCGGATCCTCTTCAAACTGCAAAAACTACTATCAGTATTGAGAGAATTTAAATGAAACTAACATAAGAAAGTTTTTCAAAAACCTTTCATCAGTTAGGTCTTGGAAAACTCGTTGAAGCCTCAACTTTTCATGAGCCAGATCAACTTTGTTTTCAAAAAAAGTTGAATCCAAAATAGGACTTTAAAGAAAATATCGAAATTCCAGATTTGGATTTCTTTGTCGAAAAAAAATATTGCAAAATTGTGTTCGGAACAATGGCCAACACTGCAATTTCATCATGAAAAAGCTAAAACAATTTCTTTCAAAAAAAAAAAAAACAATTGTTTCATTGAAAAAACTTCGTAACAAACAATCAATCGAATTTCAGACGATAATCTCGATTCCTCTTTTTTATTCTTGTCATCTCAATCCCTTGATAACATATTATTTTTTGTCTTATATTAATTGTCCAGTTCATTCTGTCTCGACTCCATTGTTATCATTCTTCTCAACCGGCAACATCATTTACCTCTTGATGTCTTCTTCGTCAATTTTTTTGCTATCGTCCACCTCATCATCAGTTTTTTTTGTCGTTCGTTTACTGTCTGACTGATACTCTATTTTTTATCAATTGCAAACGAACTGAACAAGAAACTTCATCATAATTGCAAAAATTCGACTCGATATAAACATACATACAGTAAACTAGTTTTAACTCTTCATTCTTATCACTTACATCAAATATATGTATGTGTTATTATTTTTTATCATTGGGTACTTGAAGAGAGAAAAAATAAACAACGCATATATCATTGAAGAATTCAATTCTGAAATTTTTTGATTTTCAAAAATAATTACATATATTTCAACACGTTTTCTCATTTTTACACAATTCTGGAAAAATATCAAGAAATGTTGATTGATTACTGATGTTTTTTGATGATGAACGAACAGGAAGTTTTTGTACTGTATATATGTTTTATTGTAATATTTGAAACACATTTTCTTGACCATTCGAGATAAACAAGACACAAAAAAAAGACTGTGGTTAACTTTTTCGATATCATATCATTGTTTGATTAGAAGGTGTGAAGAGAGTATTCAAACACTAATTGGAACAAATAAATCTTCTGGTCAATAGCAAATTCCAAGGGAAGGAACACGCGGAGAAAATACGTTTTTTTTTCAAATTCTCATGAAATGAAATCGAATAATCAATAACTCTACGGAATGCGAAAAAAATTTTGTTTATTTTCTTTAATCAAACAACACAATAAATAATTGTGTGTTCAATACAGTACCTTTGCTTTCACTAAATGGACAAAAACGGAATGAAAAAATAAGTGATCCATTACAGTTTTGAAACTAGTCAAAACAATTTCAAAATTTTTTGATGATAAAAAAGAAAAACAAACGTTTTTAAAGCAATATTTATTATTTTTGTCAATTTTTAACATATAAAGAAAAACCAATAGGACAATTAATTCAAGAAATACGAAACAATTATGGGTAAAATATTACAATTTGTGGAAAAAATTATTAGATGCTCTTTTATATACAAAAAATACCGGATGTGAGGGGGGATGATGATAAAACTGAATTTTTGGTCATGTATGAATAATTGGCGGTATTCTTTTAGTGATCACAAAATTCTGACCAGAAAATACGGGGTTTGAAGAAAATGGGATGAGCTAACAAAATTAAGTGACCAGAACTACATATCAGAGATTGGTTGTTTTTGGATTTTTTTTTGGTGATTGTGGAGTTGGTTTGCTTGGAGCATAAGATTCTCAAATAGTCTCCTCCTTTTTGAAGAATGTTGGATTGGTCAATTTGGCGAGCTGGAAATAATTCTAAATTCAAATTGATAGATATTGTTGTTTTCTATCATTACTTACCTCCAAATGGAATCTGAAATTGTCAATTCCAATATTAGCCATTGTGAATGGCGCAGTTTCTCTGTTTGCAACTTTTGCAGATTGTTTTGCAGCTTTTGCTTTTGGGGTGGCACTTTCAAATGAAACATTTGTCACTGGATTAACAATAGTTGGTGTTGCGCCATTTTGAGTGTGTGTCTTCTTGTGTCGAAGCAAATTGTCCTTTCGGTTGAACCTGCAAACAAATTGATAACATTCCATTTTATCATTTACCTCGTCCGTCTCAAGGACATCTTCCTTCCTCAAAAAAAAACCACAAAAAAAAGAAACTTACTTTTTACTACAAAATGGACATTGATGTGGTCGGAGGCCAGTGTGAATAAAGCGATGCTTTTTGAGAAGAAATTTGTTGGCAAATCGTTTATAACAATTGCTGTGTTCACAAGCAAATGGTTTTTCAGCATCATTTTCAATTGCTCCAATATCACTTGTTGTATCTCTGATATTTTCAGCTGCATCATATGCAATATCACCATTTCCACTTGATGGCGAAGGTGAAGCTTCTAAATCATCCGAATCAACATCGATTTTAATATCCTCTTCTGGTGTTTGTCTTCCATCTTCACTGCTGCTCAATTCAGTCTTTTTGAAGTCTGGTGTCGGAAATTGGTGCAATCCGCTGAAAAAATAAAACAATCACTCATCAATCATTCGCTTTTATTTTCAATAGTCTCCGTTCTACAGTAACCCCCAGTGCGCGCCCTCAATCCGACCCGACCCTTATCAATTGTTTCCGATAAACAATTCATTTCGACAATAAATAAACAGATGTTTTACTTTTCTTCTACCTACTTATAATTTCTGACCCAGGAGGAAAAATTATGGAGTAAAAAAGGGCCAAGCAAAAAAAAGGGAAAACGGTAGATTTACATTTGAGATAAACATAATTTGCCGACATTTCACTTCGAATTAGGCAAAACAACAAGTGAGCCGTTTTATGACGGAGTTGTAAATTTAATATTTCAATTTGGTTTCAAGGTCTTTTTTGGGCTGCCCTACCTACTACCATTTTTCATTTTCTACTAGCTTGTCCTATAACAATCCATCACCTAGAGAGATGTGTCAATTACTTCACTCAATTAATTAATCGAAAAATCGAGATTAGATCAAAATCTAGTCGATGAGCTTATTTTACCTCAATCAGATAACAAAAAAGTTTTGTACATACTGTATGTACTGGTCAAACAAAGAAACAGTCTACAGTATACTGGGGTGAAAAACTAAAACAATATATTTATATATATTGATATGGATGATTCATGTTCCTACTGCAGATACCCTTTTGTTTCATTTTCATTTCACAAAAGGGGCAATATAATCAAAAAAAATAAAACAGAGGAAAGAGGGAGAGCAAACTTACAGATTTGCCAAATAGTTGGTGAATGGCGAATGCAACAAATTGTTCAAATACATATGTGGTACCATTGGTGCAATTGCTGGATTCATTAATCTTGTCATTGGTGTCAATACTGATGCTGGGAAAATCATATTTGTAGTTGGAAGTGGTGGTGTACGTTTTGCCGCGTTTAATTCAGCTTCCAATTGTTTTTCACCAGACAATTTCTGGACCATATCTTCAAGGCTTCGCTTGTTTTTACGACGTGGAAGCATCTGAAATACAAGTTTCGTCGTTTTCTATTATTGACTCAATATGGGAAGGAAAAAAACCATATGCATGAAAGAAAAAGGGGGAAATAAAACGCCGAAAAATTCGTGGGAACTCTCGATGAAAAACGAATCAAATGTATATATACAACACATTATGATATGAATAGCAAACCCCACCTCTTTAACTGCGGCTGCTGTCGATGCATTGTTATGTGCTGTTGCTGCTGCTACTGTATTTGTGTCAACTTCAGATGGCGAAACGCTGGCTTCTGATTTGAGTGAAGTGATTTTGTCCGGTGTTTCTCTTTCAACTTCGCTTCGATTTGGTGATGAATTATTGAATGATGTTTCAAATTTGCACAACAATGCGTTTGTCATTGAACTTAATGTGCTTTGAAACTCTGACATCGTATCATCTGATAATTGTGCCGATGAAGCCTTATTTTGAAGTGCTCGAGTGATTGGCTCGAACATCTGCTTATTTAAGACTTCCATCACCGATACGAGATTGTTTTCTTGTGGAACTGTAGATGTGTTGACGGAGACACTCATCATTGAAGAGTTCTGAAAATAAAAAAGCATAAACATCAAATTAATATAAAATCAACACGTAATAATCGAGACTGTCGAGGAAGAAGAAGAAGAGGACGAAGAGGACGAATTAGAGGAAACGAAGAAAGGAGGTGGGGCTTGGAATATGGGAGGGCGAGAAGCGATACGGGGCAAAAATGTTGAAGGAAAAAAAAGAAGAAGAAGAAGAAATAGAGAAAGACGAGAAGAAAAACGATGATGAAAAAAAAGAGGGAGAGAAACTCTCGACCGTCTGACAGAATGACTGTAGGAGAAAAATTGTGGTTGTGATAATATATTATTGTTTGAGACAGCCAAAATTTGGGAGTAATATTACAACTAGAAAAGGAGAAAAAACACACTAAGGGTCAGTAACGAAGGTCAAGCTTTTGTATGTTTTACAGGTTGTTTAAAAAACGAGGTAACAAGATTTATTGCGGTGATAATGATGAGGGAAAGAACAATGGTTAAACTTTTTTTTGCTTGCGGTCAAGAAATAAAACGAAAGGTAGAATATTTCAAAAAAGGGGGGAGGGAGAATAAAAAGAAAAAACAATGTTGCACAACTAATAACAATATAATGAATAGGCAGATAAAGGGGAGGGGGAAGACGCGCGAACCTTTCCCTCACTGTATATTTCAATAGAGCGCATATCCTATTTTAAAAAATAGGATGGAAAAAAGTGTGAGATATCAAAGATAGAAAAATATTCAGGGACTAATAATATTTTTTTTGAAAAGTGTTCATGATAGTAAAAATCCTTCTCAAGCTTGCTATATATTTGAACCTTTCTGAAAGAAAAACAATGTTGCACAACTAATATGTAACATCATAATGAATAAACAGATAAGGGAGAGACGCGCGAATATTTCCCTCGCTGTATTTATTAGAGCGCACATCCTATCTGGGATAAAACAAAATATTTGGAGACTAATAATATTTTTCGAAAGGTGTTCGTTTTATAGGTGGGAGTGAACAACCTTGTCAAGCTCGCCATTAAAACTTTCTAATAATTTAATTGTCAAACTACGATAACAATCTTTACGAAAATGAATGTTCATTACGAAACACAAATCTTCCTGATCGTAATCAGTTCGAATCAATCAACTATTCTTGATACAGTACTCCTACTATTAAAAAACTCATCGAGAAACAAAAAAAAAGAGAAACAAAAATAAAAACAAGAAAAAGAAGGGAGAAGAGTGAAGTGACCTAATAGGTACAGATAAAACAACAATAATAATAATGAGCCAAGTAGGCAATAAAATGGGCGGGGCTAGGTCGAAATGTGCGAAAAATGGGTGGGTAAGGTGTGATGTTTCTTGCTAGAGGCATGCATATCAGGTCACATCTGGCGTGGGTATGGTTTGCAGGACGAGAGGACAAAGAGTAAAAGGTGACAATAATAAGCGGGGAAATGGAGTTGGAACAAGTTGTATATTGGTTGAAGGTATACTATAAGAAAAGATGGAAAACAAGAACAGCAAAAAAAACCTGCTCAAATTAGAATAATCGAATTAAAATTGAGATTCTTCTTATTCTATATATGTAAAAATAAATATATACAAACGTAGTGCTCATAATTTGTATTTGTAGCAAAAAAAAGCTTGGAGATGTTTTTTCTGAGAAAATTTACAAGAAAAAAATCAACATATTGAAAAAATTCATATATACATGATTTTGTTGGAAGTGAGAAAAGAAGGAAAAAATGTATTTCGCTATCAAATATACATAATAGTTTGAGTCATATTCTTTTGCCACTTATTGTTTGGTGGTGGCCCCTAATATATGAAAAGGAGGGTATTTCTATTGTATTGTTCGAAAAACAGTTTTGGTCTTGGTTTTTTTGGTTGGGAGCAGAGGCACAACATATTTCCGTGTTCAAATTTGTCATTTTGTTTGTGTTCGTCAGAAAAAAAGAAGTTTACGACGAAGGTAAGTTGTCATATTTAAAATACAAAACAACCTGATGACGCTTGTGGATTTCGAAATTCATTGATATGTACTTCCTAATTGAAAAAAAAACGAGAATCATCAAAACATAACCTAGTTATATAATATCATCTTGTGAGGGATAATTATAAAAATTTATTTTCATTTTTGGAAATTTTTTTCATCTTCAAGCTAAAGAAGAAGACACACAACCGCGTTGCGAATACCGTAACTTTGAGCGTCCCATTTTTGAGGTGTTGGGGACAGATGGCGAAATAGTATTTCATAATTTGGAAAAATTGAATTGGTAGTTGAAATAAATAATAGAACATGATAGTTTCAAAAAAGGTGACACTTGATAAGATTATCAAAATGATAAAGATTCTTGGAGAGATACTCGCACAAAGAGCCTTTACTTTAATTTTCCACAATTCTGGATGTTGAGAAATTCAATAAAATAGAGTGAAAGCTTTTTCTATTTCTTATAATACTGAATTGCTAGAAGTTTGGAAGTATTGAAATTCCTGAAGAACTATTTGAAATCGGGTTTAAATACTGAAGCGAGTCCATTCTACACAGATGAGTGGGTTCAATATATTTTGAAACATTTCTAATTTTCTTCAAATTGAAAAATTGAATAATCAAAAACTCTTAATAGCAATAAAAACGTTAAGGTAAAAAATTCTGGAATAATCGATATTAGGAGTGAACGAAAATTGAGTGCAGCTCATTTTTTAACAACAATAAATCCGGTCACCACAACAGGTGCGGGTTTTCTCTACCTTTGATCTTATTCTGAACAAATTATAAGATTTACCTCATGAACCTATAAAAAGCTATTATTTTCTAGTATTGTCTTTTCCTTTCTTCATAGTCCGAAAAAACTCATAGAACTCAACAAGTTTAAAAAATCAACATCTCCTTGTCTCGCACATTTTTCCTTCCCCTTTTTTGGGTGCAATACAACGTCGGTATGTGCAAAAACAATAGGACAACTAGATTACGGTATGTCAAAAAACGACGAAATATTGGAGAGGAGGAGGAGGGCTTATCGTAAAGGTGACAAATATTGGTTTGGTTGATGGATAATTGGTGGGGCATTGAGTTTTGGGAAGATCACTGGCGACATATGGACTTGAGAAACGAAACTTTTTGATATAGATATGTACGTCTTTTTGGTGGAAGTAGGAAGAGAGAGGAAGAGAGTGAGAGGCAGAGATATTCGATGCGTCTCTTATCATGGTAATTTTTGTTAGATTCAATCAGTGATATAGTTTAATTGAGGGAAATAATATACATACAAGTACCATAAGAGAACAACATAAATAAGAAATATGAACATAACAATTTTGAACTTTGAAACTACAAACAGGTGAAACAATTTTGATTTAAAAAATAAACTGATTTGTTGAAGATTTATTATTCTCAAAAATGATGTGTTCACAGATTTAACAAACTTTCAATTAGAGTTAAAATTGAACATTTGAAAAATACTTTCATTTTTTTTCAAAAAAAATGAGACTTCCGAAATTTCTAGAACTATTTGACATAAGGTTAAGCATAATTTACAACAATCTTTAGCTAGTCGCTGGAAGTTATTTGAACTTTTTCGAAATAAATAATTAGGATGAGAATTCCTGAATCACTTTTCTGGTAAAAAGTTGAAAAGTTTAGATTTTCGACACTTAGTTTGTCAAATTGAAAACCAATAGAATCGATTTTGGAATTGAGAATTACAAAGAAGAACAGTTCAGCATTTTTTTTTAGTAAAGTAGATAAAAGTTCTAAAACTGACAGATGGCTTTACCCGAGTTCAAATTTATACATAAACTGGAATCTTAAAGAACTTCATAATTTCACATATGAATTTGTCTAATTCCAGAATTAAGATTCAAAACTCACGGTTTTTTTTTTCGAAATTCATGATAAATAGAAAAACTTGTGTGACCACCAGAAAATTCCCAAATGTTAGTTCAAAAAGGCATGATCGTCAGGAAAAAATTTCACGAACTGCCAGATGTTAGTCTTTTTTTCGAAAAAAAACAACACACTATCTCCTTCCCTTTTTCTTTCGTCATGTAATGTCTCATCGATGGTCCATAAACAACATACATACAGAAAATATGATCAAAAGAGAATGTGCCAACAGGTGTACCACAAAAATCAGTTTTTGCACAAAAATGATGCCGCTGGGAAACTATCGTTGTATGATGTTCTCGAAAAACAACAAAAAAACCTTTTTTGATATTTGTTTGGTCAAAAAATAGGGACCGAATGAATGAGTAATCAAAAAGAATCGGATGATTGAGGTGCGTGAGGCGAACAAAATATAGATATGTAGGCAAATGTGTTATTGTGAGCAGGCAGAAGAATGAATTTGTCATCAAATGTAAATATTCGGAGCAAAAAAGGAGAAAAGAAATCCGTAAGAAATACATTTGAATGACCAATAGTTAGATTTCGATTTAAGAATCTCTGAACGACAATTTGTTTGTTTTTCGATTCGAAAAATATATACTTCAAAAAAAGATAGTCTTGATAGTTTAAAAAGAGGGAAAAAGATGAAGAAATGTTTGGGCCCAAAAATACAAAATGTTTTGAAACTTTATCGTGACATAACGATGCTATTGATAAGAATAGATTTGTGAGCTGTTCATATATAAATGGGGACTTTTCGGATTATATAATTTTGCTACTTTAATTTTTAGAATTAGAAAAAACGATGAGTACATGTAGTGTTACTGTAGTATCAGAGAAAATTCCAAACAACAGCGTTCTGATATGTTCAAATCCGCCTCATGCGATATCTAAAAAAAAATAAAAATAATTGTTTTATTCCATTTTTTATTTTGTGCTTCAAAATTTGAAAAAAACACAAAAAGTTATGGCATGCAATAATTGTTTTGAGAAAAGGTAGGAAAAATATCCTCAATTTTTTCTGAAAAGTAATTGAAAATCAATGTTGCGTGTGGATTTCAGTGTGCATTTTTTGATAATATGTTATTTTCAAGAATTCAACCAGGAAGGGTTTTTTTCGTTAAAAATTTTGAGTGGTGTCTCAAATTCGAAGCTCGTATTTTCTTGTTGTGTGTTCTCACTGTACATAACTCATTCCAACTTTCCCAAAATTCCATGTCTTGTGCTTCAATCAACAATTATTTTCCACACATTTTCGGAAAACTAAAAGAGATGAGGTGTCAAACCGAATTTGCGATAAGATCATGAGAAACAATTTGTGCGCTAAATCTACCGGCACAATCAAATAAGATGTACAAAAAATGAAGAAAAGGGAAGATGAATTATGTGTATTAAGGCATTTATGTAAAGTATTAACACCTGTGGACTCATATAATCGTTGACACCTGCACAAAAAAGGAGAAGAAGAGTCAGAAAATGCCAAGAGTGACAAAAAGTAATTAGCATATCTCACGTACATTGTTCTATATACATACATATTGCTCAAAGTTTAGATATTATTATGCAAGTATCATAAAATGTATAATAAAAGAGAAAGGGACCAAAATATTATGGTTCTTAACATATTTGACTTTTTAGCTCACTCTTTATGCCTTCTTTAATTGTAAGTAAAAGCATTATCCGAATGGATAATCAGAAATTTTGCAGAGAGCACACAGCTAAAAAAAATGAACTCACCATTGTGATTGTGGAAGTTGCAAAAGAGAGACCAGGATTATCGAAAAACTTAAGGAGTACACATTTTGTCAAAAGACAATAACGTAGTTAACATATATTTGGTTGACTTTTTAAGTTTAAACTTCTTCATGTTTACATTCACCCAGCGCCGTAAAAGAATTTCATATTACTTACCAAGAGCTTCACACATTTTTATTGCTTTTGAATCTCGCAAATTGAAAATTCAGAAACAAGTAATACATTTTAATTTTGTAAAATCGAATTTTTTCAGGCACGGCGATAAAAAAGTCAAAATTCGATCATGGGCTGAAGTTGCTTTTTTTTAACTTTTGAATAACTGGACATCATAATAAAAATAATTATGGACGATCATTTTATTTATTTTTAATGGGTATAATGAGGTTAATGTTTCATATTAGTTTTTTGTTGAAACCATTCCCGCAACAATTTCATAAAAATTATTTGTACGCTACAGTATACTTATCCATTCTTATAAAAAATACTTTTCCCCGATCAAATTGTATTATAAAATCCTCTGAAAATACATTTTAGTCATTTCAAAAATACAATTTCTCATTTTCAATACTCATTCATATAAAACGGTTATGTTTACTTTTCCCCTGCTCGGTTTTTTCTTGCTTTCCTGTCTTTTTTTTCATTTTCTCTCTCTTCCCTGTCCATCTTACGATCGCTATTTTTGTAAACAGTTCAGGCTTTTTTTCCGTAGCATAAATGTTCCTGTTTATGCCCAACATTTCCGGACGACGGAAATATTCTTTCTATTTCTATTTTTGTGTTTTTTTAATGCGTGAAAATAAACGAAAACCGATTTATTCAGCATATTTCATTTTTATTATTGAAAAAAAATGAAAAATAAATAGCGAGTATAATAATTACCACACTTTCGATTTTTTATGGAAAAAATCTATATTTTTTTGAAGCAAACTACAGTTTTTATTGACAAATGACTACAAAGTTTTGAAATAAATTTTTCTCTGTCTCATTTTTTGAGAAATCAATGAAAAATGTTTCAAAATGACGTATATCCCTCTCTAATTTCGGTTGTTTTCTTTTTTTCCTGCTTTTTTCTCTTTCTAGTCGATATATAGCCATGATGTGGAGTGAGCAAAAGCTGAACCTCCGTGGCAACTCTTACTCTGCGTCTCTGTACAATCTTACTTATTTTCTCACTCTCTCCAAATTTTCTCTCCTTCTCGTTTTTGCTCTCCTCTTATTTCCTTTTTTGACTAGAAAAGCATGGAATACGTCATTTTTTCCGAAATGCAAGAAAAATTTATTTTTCTTTAATTATGCATCATTTTTATTGATTCATGTTATATTTCTGGCCGTTTTTTTGTTTTGCCTCAATATTTTGAGGAAAAAACAATTTAGATTTTTGGAATTTTTCTTGAAAATAATTATATGTTTTCTCCGCCAAAAAGTAGCAATTTTCTGAATGAACAAACTTTTTGCTTATTTTTTTCCAGAAAAATCGACATTTTTTTCAAAGCCTTTTTGTGTGTTTCAGAAAATGTGTATTCAGCTGGCCTTTTTTCGGAAAACCAAAATAATTGACCATTCCATTCTTTTGTACAGAATTTTTTTCAATTTCAATTCCAATTTCATATTTATTTTCATTTTCATTTTCAGATTGCAAAAACATACATATTTATTCATAATAGTAACAACAACAATAATAAAAATAACAAAAAATGATGAATGAAGCAGAAGCCGGTGATTTATTAGTTGAATTGGGTGAAACTCTGAAAGCACATACTCCAGAAGATTTGAACAAGGATCATAATGATGTCTTGGATTACTGTGAGTTTTATTTTTCAGTTTTAGGCCCAGAGAAAAAAGCAGGTGAAAATTAGAGAAAAGAGCAGATGGGCTCTGGGGACATCTGCCTAGTTACCAAGTCTAAAAACCAGATTTTACTTTGAGTAATTGGAATGCCCTTTCAGACTTTATCCTATTAACATTAAGAAACAAGATTTTTGAACTTGAAATCGCACGTCATAAAATCACGAGGCAGTGAATATGAAACATGACAAGCTAGGAATGAAAAACGAAACCAATCTTCATGTTATTTTATGTAAATAAATGTCAATGAAAAAAATAACTAACTCAGGTTTGGGCATTTATAGTACACGTGAAAGACAACTAATTTCATCTAGAGCATGTAGAAAGAATTTCAACTGCAGAAAGAGTCTCCGAAAAAAAGTTCTGAAGAAATTTAGAACCTGGAATTAGAAATAGTATTAGTTTTTCATCGATAAATAATCCGCTACTTACACCCAGAACAAAAACGTCAAATGAATTATTCTGTCAAAAACACATCCCGCCTATTTTTCAATCAATATAAATTATATGTTTTTCAATTTCAGATGATACAATGTCAGAAACTGAATGGAGAAGTGCACGGCTTTCATCGAATCATAGTGATGATTTGGGGTTTGTTTTTTATTAGTAAAAAAATTTAAAATTATTCTGTTCAGAAGTTTTAACGATTCAATCAGAGTTCAACAATTAGAAGAGGAGCAAGAAAGATTAAACAATTCTTTGTTTTCGCTGAGCTCACATTTTGCTCAAGTTCAATTTCGGTTAAAACAAATGAATGAGGCAGAACCAAAAGATCGAGAGGTAATTTTTTGTCAAGCATTTTGATGAAGTATAGCAAACATTTTCTAGAAACTTCTTCTGGAGCTTCAAGAATTTGCATTCAAAGGTTGTGCAGATATGAATGAATTACAAAGAATGAGAAGTGAAAGTGAGAGCGGAACCGATATTTTTGAAAAACAGAAAGAAAGGTGAATCAAAAATTTCTTTCAAAAAAATTTAAGTTTATTATTTTTTGTTTTCAGACAGTCTGAGCTTTTACGACAACTTCGTGAACAAGTTGAGGATCTTGAAAGAATTGCATATGAAAATGGAGAAGGAGATTTGCCAAGTACAATGATATTACAAAAACAGAAAGCGGTGTTAGATAAACTGAGAGACAAGATTGAATTGAATTTGGATATTGATAAAATGACACAAGGAGAAATTCAGAAACACGTGGATGACGCTTTGAAGCAGGTAAATTTTGAAATCATCTTTTTCTCATGAATTTTAACTGAAAATTAATTTTTTTGCAGCTTGTGAATCCATTCAAAGAACAAAGTCAACTTGTGGATCAGCTTCAAACACAAATTATTGATTTGGAACGTTTTGTTTCATTTTTGCAAAAAGAAAATGCAGAAAATTCAAATCAAACAACACCGATTCGCGTAAGTTTTCATTTGTTGTAATCAATAAAACCATATCTAATTTCAAATTTTAGTCTATGGGCTCATCAGCGCTTACAAGTGCAAAACCAAAACAAAGCTCGTTTTTGGGTGGAATTGTTGGATGTTCGACAAATAGATTTCAGAAAAATCAATTGAAAAATACTTTGAAAGGCAATCATTATGGGTAAGCATGTTTTTTTTCAATCAATGCATGTATTTATGTTTATTTTGTAAATCAACCATCAAAATTTTAGAGATGAGAGAGCACACTTACAATTGGCAGTTGATGCAACTCAACAAATATTAGAGAAATACACATTATTGACATTTGATAATCAGATAAGAGATGACCCAACGGAAGTTGAACTTGAAAATGATGATGTATTTGAAAGATCAGAAGAGGAAGTGGTCACTGTTGTTAGGAAACAATTATGTCCTGCTCTAAAATCATTGTTAGAACACGGAATGTTACAAGAGACTATTGTTACACGAAGGATTCCTGGTTTCGGATGTTTTATTGCTAAGCCAAATCAGGATAATGAAAAACCAACAAAAATTGGACATATCTGGGATATTGTTATGTATTTTTATAATATTAAAAGTGGTCGGGATAATACAGATGCACCAGTTAGAAAATTGAGCCAATCATTCAAATTAGATAGTGTTGGAGGAAGAAGTATAACATCGAAACAAATATTATTGACAACTATTGAGAATATCGTTTCAACTCATGCTAAATTAAGAAGATCGAAGGATGCACATTGGAAAGCTTTTGTATCAGCAGCGATGAATGAGAAAAAATTGTCAGCGTGGTTGAGGTGAACAATATTTAAAAAGATCTTTGAAATGTATGTGTTTTTTTTCAGAATAATATTCCGAACACGTCAAGTAGTTGAAATGTGCTACAACACATGGAGTTATGTTGCAAGAACTGGTAAGATGATGAACATGTAAAACATGGTCATACAATAATATACTCAAAGATCCACAATATAGTTCTATGTTTTATTTCAGGATGTGAAGAATTGTATACACTTCTCGAAGGTCTTCATAAATATAATATTCATCTACCAGTTGATCTTGCTCTTCGGCCTTTTGAACAAATGAAAGATGCATTCTAATTTGAATGTTTCTGTTAGTAGGTGTCATTTGAATACGCATAGAACAACATAATTTTTCCGAATTCCAATGATATTTTATTCTGTCTAACAATTCTAGTTAATTTTTTTCTCTGGAATACTACAGGTTGATATTTTCCATCATCATCATTTCCCAATACATGTCCTTTTATAAAACATTTCATTTTACTTTATTTGTTTTGGTATCTACACAAATTGGTATTTTGAAAAAAGCTTTGACATGTGGATTCAGGCCTGTGCCGGAAAGATGAAACCCGCAAAACGGATAATCGGAAAATTTTTTGATGTTTAAAATTTCAAATATCATCACTAAAATGGCTTTAAAAATCACTTTTATCTGGGATTCGTCCATTAAGAGGTGATTTAGTGACTATTTGAGGCGTTTTCAGTTCCAAAAATCAAAAATATATTAGAAAAGAAAATTATAGCCCACGGGGTCGTCCAGGGCTCAGACCAACAAAATGTCACAAATTTTTTGTACTGATATAAGTGAAATTTTTCAATATTTTGAAAAATTAGCCTATTAAAATAATAGAACACAAAACTACTCGCGTACTTTCAAGTACTCAGTGAGGTTATTTATGTTTTGTTTGATGGTGCTTATATATTTTTCAAGTTCTTCTGTTGGACTGTGTTCTTGCTTTTTCAAACGATCCTTCTTATGTTTAATTTCATCATAGGCGATGTCGATTTTTGATAGCAGATCCCACTTCTTTAAACTTTGTCTTGCCGCTTCCAAACGAGTTTCTTCATCGCACGCTTCCAACACATCAATGTATTTCATGTCCCAGTAGACAGACGCGTCGTTCTTGAAGAATCTCTGTTCTACATTAGCGAATGTAAAAAAGGATTTGGGCATAAAATCCACAATTGCCACTTTATTTGTGTCCTTCCAAAACCCTGAATAACTTTCTTTGTATGTTTCTCTGACTGTTGAAATTTTTCAAAAAAAAAACTGACCACAATTTTCAGAATGAAGATCATCCACGAAAAGGAAAGTGCCAAGTAATAGAATCTGCACAAGAATATCGACACCAATTATTTTTTCAGTGTTTCTGGAAAGGGGGATGAAATTGTCATTCCAACGGGTGGCGATGTACCTAAATTTTTAAGTTTATGTAATAAATCAGGGAAATAAAGAATAATTATTCTTACAAAGATGTTTTGCTACCAGTTGATTTGATTGGAAGGATAAATTGAACCGGTGGCCCCACGTGAATCAACTCCAGCAACTTATAACAAAAGATCTCTTTGATGTCTGGAACTTGACCTTGAGAAGAGCTGTTTGATGATCCAAAGTGATGACATCTAAAAAAAGCTAATAATGAAAGAGTTGTGAACTAATGGAATTCTTACTTGATATTAAACTTGGTTTCTTCTTTCTGTCCGTGAAGTTTCACGAATGCAAGCGTGTTTTTGCGGGATCCACCAAGATCTTTTGGACGAACTTCAAACCGGCAAGAAAAGTCCGTATCATCATCGGCTCCGTGTTTGTAATGCTGTTGGAGGAAATGATTCATCGTTGCTTCTTTCATTAATTTGACATTTCCATCTGTCCATGATTCAATAATATGCTGTTTCTCCATTTGAAAAAGGTTGAAGCTGTGGTAAACCGAAAAAAAACCGTTCTCCAGAAGTTTCTTGTAAATTCGCACGGCCTCGTTGGCATTTTTCATACGTTCGCCGCCCGACTTCAGCACAATATTTGCAAATTTATAATACTGTTCCCACCATGGTAAATCAATGTGCATCTGAAACGACTAACATACACTATTTTCTAAAAAAACAATATCTCAAGAGCAATGTTACAAAATTAATTAGAGTACCGTGCATAAAGATATACAATTTAGGTTTTTGTCAATTTGGCATAAAAATCACAAAAATTGTCCGAAAACATTTTCAGGGTTATTTCTCATGCTGATTCTGACCTTATTCACTTTTTATATGATCTAATCTCGATTCCTGGTGTTTTCTCGACCGACGATCAAAAATGGATTCTTGGATATTTTCACAAATTTCAGAAAAGCGTTGAGAAAAAACTAGTGTCCGAATGTTTTAACAAATTGCGGTGTTTGTACAGCGAAATTGCGAAAAATCACCTGACAAGATCAATCCTGATTTCTCGAAAACTATTTAAAAATATTTGATGAATAAAAGTCTATTGATCAAATAACAATATAGAAATCCAACTTACGGCAACAATTTCTTCCCCAAACTTGATTGCTTGAATTGGCCGTTCAACCATGGGAATATTTCCACCACGGAACTTGAGTTGTTGAAACTTTATTGGAATGTTTGTGATAGATTGAATCTCCTTCTTCAAATCAATGTATAAAATCTGAAAATGTAAAAATTGAATATGTCAAAAGGAATAAACATTGAAATAATACCTCATTGTCAATTTCAAAACCCTCGAATAAGCGATCATCTTTTTCACCAACTAAACGAATCGTGATTACTATCATGCTTGTTCTGTTCTTATATGAAAAAGTTAGTTATGTAATACCATTTTTCGAGAAAATGACTTTTTCTTCAAAATTCTTGGCGGAAAATTTTAGAAAAAATTTTTTTTGAACTTATTGTTAGCCGCTAAATCAACGTGGAGTAGAATGCAAGGAGTAAAACGAAAATTAAAAGTAATAAAAACAAAATATATAAGTTAAAGGACGCTACTTAGTTTGAAGAGTGTGTGAGGGAGGAAAAGAAGAAGAGTGGGATAAACATTAAGTAAGCGGAGTGTTGTAGTTTATTTTTCTGAAAAATGTTCTAAAGGGAGAATACCCAGTTGTGTCCCAGTTGTGTCTCGTATGATGTACCATTCGATTCAGAATCCCATTTTCTATATGCATAAAATTTTTTATCTTGCAATTTTATCTTGTACCAAATGAAATGTTCTGTATATCTAGGACAGTTTTCTAGGCTAAGTTAGACTTCAAATTTTCACCATACATTTAAAAAAAACTTTCTCAACTGTGTCACTTTCCGTTAAATTTTTTCATTTTCACGTTTTTTTTTTCTGAAACATCAAAGGGCATTTATAAAATTTCCAAATATTTCGATCCAAAAGTGTAACTCCCAATTTTGCTAACTAAGTTATTTAAATTATACTTCCATTGTTTCTGTTTCAAATCTTTTTGCCACATTCCATAGTTCTATGAAAAGCAGACTTTATTTCTGCTGTACTTGAATATTTCCTGTTCCCAATTTCCCTGCAAATCTCATAAAGAATGCATTAAAATTTCACAAATTTCCACCCTTTGCAAAAAAAAAAACAAGCAAAAGCTTTTTCATTTTCTCGACCAAATTTGTTTACCACTAGTCATTCTTTTTCTCTCACTTGACAGGGTCATTTACTTTCCTCCTTTCGTTTTCTCTTTTCCATCTTGTTTTGCAATGACACAAATTTGCTCTAGCGAACTATTTTTCTCTCCATTATTTTTCTTTTCTGCATCACTAACTGCCCTCTATTCATTTTTTCATTTTTTTCTCCATGTGTTCCAAACTTTTGTTGCAGAAAAAAGGTTCTGGATTTTTTATTCGTTCATTTATTTATTTATTTTTATAATATAAATATTCAATTTGTTTATTTATGAAAGAATATTTTAGTGAAACCAAATACGAACATTTTCCATTTAGAAAACATACGATTCTCATTTATCTTGTTTGTTCCGTGCGGACCTCTGTGTTTTTCTATTAATTTCGTATATCATTTATTTTCGCCTCAAGTATATTTTTCCGTTAAGGTTTGCTGACTTGTTTTCAATTCAATCACTTATTCTGCAAAATTTGTAATGCTGTCTGTGAAATATATATTTAAGATGATAATCCTAGCTCTATAAAATCAGCAAAACAGCTTTCTTCTGACTTCATTGATTGAGGTCTTGTATTTTTTTCAAAAAAACTTTGCCTATATAGAAACCATAACAAAAAGTTCCATTTTTCAAAAAATTTTCTAAAGTAAGATTTCACCATGTTGCACCCCTCAAACTTTCAGAAATCAATTTTGTATCATTTTTTCGCACCCTCAAAAATAAATATAGAAAAACATAAACATGAATGTTTTTGAATAACAAATATATTTTTTCTTGAATTTGTCGTGAGAACATTTAACATTATCAACAGTTTTTCCGTTTTTTTTTTGATAACATTTCTCGAAACATCATTTTTTTGTGTTAGAATAATAATGATTGTCTCAAGTGGGGCTAATAAAAGTTCACCACAAAAACACATTTTCCACATTTCTTCACAAAACTAGTCTGTTTCTCACTAATTTAAAAACTACGTTGTTGTAAGAAAAAAAGAATGTGTTTTTTCTGGCTATTTTCGAAATGAAAAATAATTTCGCAACAACATCCCCTAAAAAACTGTTCGTGACTCACTTTTTATGTTGTTTGTCCATTGTAGAATTATTTTTCGTTTCTTATTTTCATTATTACTACGTTTCAAAAAAAATTCTTTTCAGACATAGAAATGTCATCTCAAACGGGTAACGATGAACCAGAGCTCAACATCCGCTCCATCTTGAAATGCACAAAATTAGATACTGGTGAATTTGTGAGTTTCAACATTTATGTTTTTTTTCGGTGATAATTTGAGTATTTTTTTCAGATTACATGTATTTCGGGAACAACAACAAATTTATTTATTGGTACTTCTTCTGGGAATATTTTGAATGTGAAAAAGATGCAAAGTCAATTTGAAATAGCTGGTGTGTCGCATGTTGGAAATGATCCAATTAATCAGATTGTTCATTTGTCTGCTCTCGAGATTCTTTTGGTTATTTGTGGAAATATTCTTTTTGAACTCAATTTGGACCCAGCTTCATACTTTCAGGTAAAAATACAACACAATTTACGCTTTTCGAAAAAAATACCTTGAAAATTTTAGTTTTCTGAATGAATTTCACCATAACAATTCATCAAACATATATGAACTCTTCCCCCTCCCCCCACAATTCCAAAATCAAAAATTCGAATTCCAGCTGATTTCAACACAAAGAAATATAACAAATATATCTCTGAATGCATTTCCAACGCTTGATGACAATGATGATCCATTTTGTGCACATATTGCATTGAGCACCGCAAAAACAATCAATTTGTGCCGGAAAACAAATGGAAAACTCAATAATAAGTCGTATCTCAAAATCAATTGCAACGATGTTGTGAAACATATGGTTTATTCTGGGTCAGTTGAAATTTTCGTTTTTTTACAATCAGTTTTTTGAACTATATATATTTTAGGAGATCGGTTTGCTTTGCAACATCCAATTCATATTTCATTCATGATATTGTGACCAACCAAACTATTCCCTTGTTCCCAATCGACGATCCAAATCTCGCCAGAATTTGTCTTATTGATAGTCAAGAATTCTTACTCTTCTCATCTGGTCTTGCTATGATTGTGAATACCGAAGGAATCAGTACACGTCCACCTCTGGTATTTCATGAAAATGTTGAGAGTGTTTGCTACAAATCCCCAAATATTTATCTTCTTGGTGAAAAGCAAATTACTATTTACAGGTACATTTAAATCAATTTCTGAATTTCGCTAATATTATAATTTTTTTTTTCAGCAAAGATGATGTTCAAATGGATCAATCGATTGAAAATACAAATGAACTTCAAATTATTGAAGTAGTCGAAGGAAAATTATTTGTTTGCAGCAACACTGAAGTGTTTTCATTGGCACAATCTTCATTTATGAATCGGGTTAATCGATTAATTGCACAAGGTTTTCTTGAAAAAGCACTTGAAGAATGTGAAGCTGAATATCAAAAAGCACCACAAGATTCCATTATTGAGGTGTGTTCATTAATTTTCTGGAGAAAAAACGATGATTTATTTCCTTCTTTTTTCAGGTTGTAAAAAGTTTGCAAAAAGAGCTGGCTTTGCAAATGATTGATGAAGCTAATTGGAATAACGCATACGAATATTTGATTTCCGGATGTGTGAATCCTCTTGAGGTTTGTTATATTTTAAGATTTGAGCAAACATTTTAGTCACATACATGTTTCAGGTAATAAAGCTTTTTGATGCGGAGGAATTATTGAAAGAACCAAATGTTGAAGTGGTTGAGTTCCTGAAACAATATTTGTCATCTGTTCACAGAATGAGCTATGTTGATCAAGATACTAGAAAACAAATTGATATTTATCGAATGAAATGTGGTATCTTTATTGATGTCAGTAAATGGACTGCTGAAAATCATTTGAACATGGCACAAATATTGAAAGATAGAGGTGATCTTGAAATGTCCGCTCATCATTTGATAGTCGGTGGTCAAATCGAAGATGGTTTGAAAATCTGGGAAAACGTGCAACCAAGTTTTGAGATTATCAAAGATACATTTTCATTGTGAGTTTAACGATATATACATACATAAATACTAAATTATGCAAAACATTCATTTCAGTTTGTCGGATGAGTCCCAAACTAATCAAGTTCTTCATTGGATACTCAACAATCTTCCCGATCATGGTATCCGTTATCTTGATGAATCCAATTTGTCACTCTTGGAAAGAGCCGATATTTTGCAAGACTTCAAAAATATCTACAAAGATTGGTTGATCAAACATTCAAACAATTCAGAGATTCGCGCGAAATTATTATTAATATCATGCGAAGAAGTTGAAACTGACAATTTTGAATCAAGAAAGAAATTCCGCAGCACGCTTTTCCATTTCTTGGAAAACAAGTTCAAGATTGATGCTGAAGTCAAAGAGAGAATGAAGAGAAAGAATTTGACGACGGAAAATCAAATAATCGAAATGGTAATTACAGAAAAAAATAATATTCGAAAACAATTGTTTCCAGCCATCTTCCAAAACGGTCTGCAAAACTCTTCTTTTGTTGTTGGAAGAAAATGATTGTGATTCAGCAGAGAAATATGTAGATCTGTACGCTGACGAATGGCCAAATCTCATGGAAACTCTCTTCTCACATTACAAATCAATTTCAAGTGCCAGTTATCGTATGTGTGTTATCAAGTATCTGAATCGTATCAAAAATCCAGCAGTTATTATGCGACTTATGGACGAAGTCCCTGATGATTTGCTAATGTTGGAGGTTTGTTGCTTTTTTCAATCGATTTTTCCATACATGTCATAAATATAACAATAAAATTATTTAATAAACAGATCAGCAATTCGTTGAAAAATGTGGTCGCACATAAAATTGATGATTTGTCCGAGACATATTTGACGAAAGCGGCACAGCATAATTTTATTCAATCGAAAAATATCGAGAAAAATACAAAAACTTCGATCACTGTAAGTTACTTTTTCTTTAATATTTTGAAGTTCGGGTTGCTATTAAAGACATATAGCCACCATTTCTAGTACACACACAATCCGTTCCAACAGATTAACTTCAAAATAAATAAAAAATTTGCAGATATCCGAAAATGCTCGATGCGGAGCATGTAACGGGGAACTCGAACTAAACCAGGGTACAATCTCATATCTTCCATCTGGTCATGTTGTTCATACAAACTGCATTCGGTATCCAGGATTGTGTCCGGTTACAAATCTAGTTTATAATGCATAATTTATCATAATTTTTAATCATCCTTTTTTATTTTTATATTATTTATTCAAATCTAATCTATACTTGGGATTGATTGAGCCTCATTGATATGATTTTTTAAATGTTTTCAAAATCTAATAATCAATGTTTCTCAATCAATCACATAGCATCAGGGCTGCACTCTTTCATTTAATATATTGAATGTTTTTTTTTTGATTATTGAATGTTTATACTGTATTTTATGAATTGTGGTGAATTTATTGTGCAATTTTTCTATCTATTTATTTGGAGTGATGGTAATGGTCATAGTTAGATAATAAATATTTATTGAATTAATTCACATAGTTCATGCATACTGTTTCAATTACCCGAAGAGATCAGTTAGAACATTTTGAATATAATTTATTGGGGTTGCTTTTCGGCATTTTGACCAATCAGCATAATGAATTGTTGCACTTCTGGAAAAGGATTTCAGATAATTGAAATTTTTCCCCAAAATTTCAAAAGCTTACCCAGTCATATCGTTCATAAAGCCAGCCTTATCCAAATCATCTTCAAGCTTTTCTTGATATAACTTATAGAAAGTTTTTATGTCACGAACCAACCCAATCAATGGGAATTTGGCCCAATTTGATAAAATAACATATTCATATTGTTTGGATTTTTTATCAATTGGTCCAACAAGAACAATTTGATCTGAATAATATAATTTCAAGATTGAATTTTCAAGATATAAGAACATGAATTAAAATCAAACTTACATGGACATGGATCATCTTGCATATAAACATAAGTTCGTTCTTTATGAATCAAACCATAGCCAAATGCAACCTTTTCACCAGCATCAACACTTCCAGCACGGAATTTTTCTTGAAGACTGAAAGCAGAGGAGTTACCAGATTCGGCTTGAGGCATGACTGAAAACGGAAAAGGTTTTTTGACATTTTATTTTTCAAAATTGGAACTCTCTTTTTTTATGAAAAAATTTGATAAAAAAAGAGTTGTTAGGAAATGTTTTTGAAATTAATTTTTATGTAATGTTGTACCGAAAATTTCAACAAACGTTTCAAACCTTCTCAAAAATATAGTTATTTATTCACTTCATTCCTTGTTGTCTAAACAGTTCAGACCCCCTGGAAGCTAGATTGATAATCTGAACTGATTTGACCATCAAAACACGTTTTTACCTCATTTCCTTCCTATCTTATCCTAAATACTTTCTCCTTTCTGACCATCAATTTATCTCACTTTCTATTCTTTTTTCTCACATCCAACCCTAATTCTAATCACAAAATGATATAATAATGTTGCGTTTTCCATTTCCCTCCTATATAGAATCCAGCTTATCAATCTAATATTATTTTTTCTATTTCTATTTTCTTATCATGATAAATATGCGAAAAACAAAACAAACGACTCACATTCAGTGATTGCGCAATAACGATTATGTACAGATGGTGTATCCAAAGCCTGAATTTCAAATTATGATAAGAAAAAATTGATTTCAAAGAAACAAATTTCTCTCACCCATTGAAATTTGCCATATAATGATTTGACATCAACTTTCGGTGCTGGCAACAAACTGGCTAGATAATCCTGTGCGCCTGGGATGTTGCGCAAAATATTTTGGAAAAAGCTGGGCGACCTTGAAAAATATCATTGAATTCCGAAAAATCATTGAAATCTCACTTGTCTTTGACCAATGGCGATCCGCGTGGAAGACAGGAACCAGCTCCTGGAAGACTTCCAACAACTCCCGGGATAACTGGAAGTCCTTCAATGAGATTCACAGCTGGCAATGGCTCTTTTAATCTGAAAGAATAGGATGAGAATAATTCAAAAATTTTGCATCGTGGATTTTTGGATTCAAAAATTAATGCAGTGTAAAATTGTGTTTTTTTTTAAATATTTTTCATAAAATATCGTTGAATCTCCATAAAAATTAGAATTTTTGGTTCAATTACTTTTTTTTTTTTTCAATTATCATTCTGAAATTCTCTGAATAAAAACCCCCAAAATTTCGCAAAGTCGTTCGAATCATTTTTCTCTCTCTAAAAATCAACATATTCTGTCACATGACAATTTTCCTCAAACTGACACTGTACTCAAAATTTTTCCTGATTTTTAATCTCAAAACAAAATTTTCGAAAAATAAATTCGTATTATGCAAATATTTCCAGTTTTTATGGGTGTTTTTCACACAGCTTACTTTTTGGCCAAATTATTGTTTGGATTTTTCTGCACAGTTTGTAAATAATTGATGAGTCCAACAGATTGACTGAAAAATCAGAGATCAGATTTGAAATGAATAAAAATAAATAGGACAAAACAAGACAAACCTGGCTAGATCATGAAATGGTTGTCGATCAACAGTTCCTGCATCTCCAGTTGATAAGCCAAAAATTTCCAACAATTGACAATTATGTAATGAAAATGTGTTTGAAATAATTAAAGCTAATAGAAAATTTGATATATTTCGTGATACCATTTTTGGACCAATAAAGTATTGTATAATGAATATCGAATAATGATTTGATTATAGAGAATAGAGATAAAGAGACACAGGTGGATTAGACAAAAAGCCGGCTTTTTATAGGCGTCTTAGATAAAATGAAGGTGATTTGATTTGTTTCTTTCTTTTTTGTCTCTTCAATTTTACTTCACTTTTTACAGTATTTTAGAACAACTTTCATTTGGAATTGGATATTAACAGCTGGAGATTTCGATTGTTGTAAAGAGAGGGAAGATTATCAACAATGTTGATGATTTGATCGGATATGAGTCAGCTATTACAGCTTTTTTGAATGATTAGGAACGAATGGGAACTGATGAATGAGAGTAAACATGCTGATATTAGATTGACGTATAAGAACGGATATGTAGTTGGCAACACTTAATATAGAATATTGTATTTGTTATCTGAATGTGTTATCAAACTTCAAAAAAACACGCAAAAACGTTGCTACCTTGAAATATCGAATCCCACACATTTGCACTTTGAAATGAAACATTCACATTTCCCCCTCATTCAAATCGGATTTGTTGACTCATAGTTGACCACCAAATATACTCACTCACATTCAGAAACATTTTCCAATATTGAAACACCTGGAAAAAACAAGTCAAAATTACATAATTTCACAAAATTAGTGTAATTTTCCTTTCAATTTCAGAAACCTTTTTTTCAGACAAGAAATAAGACGATTTATTTTTTCTTGGTTCGGGCGTGATCTTCTTTAGAATTTCTCTGGAAATCAAACATTTTTCATTCTCTTCATTTTTCAGGTATACAAACAGAAAACAATGATTTATTACCTTTCAATTTCTGTTCACTTTTTTGCAATTTTTGATGTGTCATTTTTTTAATCCCCAGATATTCCGATTCTATTTCAAAATGAAAAAAAAAACTGTTGAACTATTATCGCAAAAATTGCAATCTAACCCAATTCAACCCAAATCCAATCATGTTTATGTGTCGTTTTGTTTTGTTTCAAAAACCAATTCAAAATTCCGATGTACAATAAAAACTGAAACTTGACAAAAACGTATCATTTGACTAACTGTAGTCGGGAAAAAAACGGATTAGTTGCATAAACTCATTGACTATTCAAAAAACTGCCTATTCTTCTTTTCTATTATAATAAAATAAATATTTTTCACGCCTTCAGCAATACAAAACAGAGACAGTCTACAAATATTTTGTTTTCCTGCAAATGCTCGTCGCCAAATATGAGCCGGGTAAAAAAGGGTTAGTTTTTTTAATTTCGTTGAAACAGTTTATAATAATGGAATACAAAACATATAATGTTGAAGTGGGCGACTTTCTATTCAGGCAGCTTTTCAAAAAATAAAGAAAGAAAGGCATTTTTGTTTGAAACAGTCATTTGAAAATTTTCAATTGAAAATATGTGGAAGAATAAATTTCATACTGTCAAACGTTATGGCTTTGATGAAGAGTAAGTTTCTATATTTATGATTTTCTGTAGACTGTTTTTGTACATATATAGGCGAAAACACAGTCGTAAACCATGAATTTTTTGTATGAATAGTAAAATGAAAAATATTTTGGCGAATAAAGTTATGAAAAAACAGAATAAAGTTTTTTTTCGGAAAACAGATGTTTCATTTGAATCTGCTAATTTATAAATCCTCCAAAAAGACCTGTAATTCTATTGACAAAACATGAGATGGAGAAACTAAGGGACTGCTTTTTTGAACCTTAAATTTATGGGGTTTTCGAGGCAATTCAAAATCTGAACGTTTCGATTTGACCTATGATTTTCATGAAAAATATTATTAACATTTTGAAAAAACTTCATTTTTTTTTTGTCATGAGAACGTTCTTGGAAGATAGGTGTGACAGAAACTTTTGTCAGACAAATTCTATAGATCAACAAAGATCACTCCCATAAATCAGAATCATTTTTTTCAGAAACATATCCCATCAAATTCCATCATCAATTCGTACCATAACAAATACTTCGCTTATCTCTTCCTCTTCCGATCCATCATCCCAAGTCATCAAGGCTTCTGGAATTCGAAATGAAGACGAAAAACCCCTATGTACGCTATATGTTTCATTTCCTGATAATCAGGTAAGCAATCATGTTTTTCTCGCTCAAGTGCATAAAAAACACAGTTAGGTCAAGTAGTGTCGTGAAAAAAGCGACAATTTTCACCTCACTTCCTTTCCCAAAACATTCAACAAAAAAACCGTAATGTTTTTTTCGTTGTTGTTATTGTTTATATTGTTGTTTTTTCTGTCTCGTTACGAGGTTGAGTTGAATATATTGTCACTCATGAATTGTTCTGTGTATGTTTTTTGTGGTTGTTGTGGTTAATTATTCAGAGGTGTTTTTATTTAATATTGTTATTAGTCATTTCAAGGTCTTTTTTATTAGTTTTTCATATAGTTTTGATGAATATATGAACATAGCCTTGGATTCGATTCATACCTCAACAAGAGTTGGCATTTCTTTATCATATGACTGACTCATCCTTATTTATTTTTCCATTTTTTTTGGTTTGCCATAAGTCTCCGTTCTTTTTGAAAAAAAGTTTAAGAAAAAACCATCTGATATAATAAATATAACAAAACTAAACTTAAATAAACATTTTTCTTCAAGATTGTTACAAAAGCTTATCATTCTGCCATTGTTTCAGTTTTTCTTTCTTCCAGAATAAAGAAGTGACAACTTCTCATATTTTTTCGAATTCGAAACCTCAATTATATCCACAAACACGACGAACAGTTTATAAAACATCGAAACAACTCAAAGGTTAGTTTATAGTTTTTGCTTGATAAAAAACCCCTTTGAAAATTCATTTCTGCCAAAACCATAAAATTGATAACACTTTTGTTGTTCCGCTTTTTCTTTTCCTCTTCTCGATCGGAAAAAAAGAAACGAATTTAGGAAATGAAATATTAGAAAAAAAAGTTTGGAGAAGTTTTTTTCTTCTCGCTGTTCCAAAGTTTTATTGTCAATAATAATGAGAAGACGCTTGGCATACATTTCATTTTTATTGTTTACAGTTAAAATAATGCTAAAATTTTTGAAGATGAAGAAAACATTAGGTAAGAAAGTCCGTCGCTAAAAAAAAGAAATTTGAAAGTCTCATGATAAAAAATACGTTGTTTTTTTCATGGATAAACAAATAAAAATAAAGTTTACTTTTCGACTTTAAATTCTTTGACCAAACGAAAAATATAATCAAATTCAGAGTAGAGTAAAAATATGACCCTGGAAAAGTAGAAAAATTGACTTCAAAACGGTCAATTGAACATCTAAGTAACAACAAAAGAAACGAAAATCCAATCGAAAAACGGTCATTTGACCTCACAAATTTATTTTTTCTACGGCTTTCCAACAATTTCATTCTTTTATTTATTTGCATTTATATTCAGTGTTTTTTTGGCTTCTTCGGTTTGCCAAAAACATACTGTAAGTCAAATATTGTCACTATTTATATAACGAAGATTTTATTATTCTCCCTCCTCACATCACATTCATATTTATTGAATTTTTCTGAAACCGATACCTTGATCATACAAGAAAAATGTTATCAAGATATATGACTGAAATCCGAGGTTCGTTTTTGTGTCTGTTTAAGTTGTAAAAAGTGCACGTTCGGGGTTTTTCGCGCATCCTGCCTTTGTGTATACCAATTGCAACGCAAATAAACTTGAGTTCAACAACAAAATTTTTTCAGTAAAACTTTTGATGTGTCCCAGTTTGTTTTAGGCCACTTTTGTTGGAAAAAACATATTTTACTCTAGATTTTTTGATAATGGCTTCTTTATCGGATGGTGCGTTTTTCAAATTGAATGTTTTTGCTACGAATATACGAGCTTTAATAAATATAAATTTATTAAACATTTGAAATCTTTTAAGAATCGGCTGAACGGGCTGAAAAAAATTTCCAAGATCTGATAGTTTTTCAAAAGTTCTTTCAATAGAGTTTTTTTCTTGAATAAATTCCAAAAGCACTCTTTAAAAAATCCCTAAAAATGTCAACGAAATTTTATCAAGCTTCACTTTTCTCCAAAAATATTTGAAACAAAAAACCATCGTTTGTTGAGTACGCATTTTTCACTGATAAAGAACACCCCAAACTTTGGACAAAAAATCAACCAAATAAAAAAACGAAACGAAATGTCTCAAATCCTCATAAAAAATGGGACATACGGTTGAAGAATAAAGAAGGATTATGTTTTATACGTATATATGAATATAAACGAAAGAAATAACAAAAACCAGTAGTTCCTTTTTTATATGATGCGGAAAACTATATTTTCTAGAGTTCACTTTCAGCAAGGTAGTAGTTTTAATAGTAGTTTTCCTATTTCCATAAAGTGATTTGAAAAGAAAACAATTTTTCAGACGGGAACAACTCTCAGATGTCTATGACATCTCCATCCATTTACACCGATGATGAGATTTATGGAAGACATCGACTTGGAAGCACTGCAAATACAAAAGTGAGTTTGATGAATCCCTGTTTGTTTCTTTGTTATCAAAAAATATGTGTAGAATTTTTCTAGTTCTCTTTTTGGAGAAGACCCTCTTCAACTGATAAATTCCATAGTTTTATTGATGTTATAATCAATTTCACTCGATCATAAACTCATTGTGAGGAATTTGGTGCTTTGCGATCAAACAATATTCTGCACGCAATCTAGTTTGAACTATTGTGAAACTTTAACAAAAAAAATGCAAATGTTTAATAAATAGTACCAGTGTGTCATGGTACAAAAATAACTGAACTTCAGAAAAAATTTAGTGACCAAAAATGATTTTTGAAAGTTATATATAAGCATAATTGTTCTGTATAACTTTGCTCTGCTTTCAACTTTTAACAAAAAATATTACCATCTTCATATAACAACTTCAAGAACTTGAAATGAAGATTTCAAACTAGAATTTGTTCCTCATAGAGTTTTCGAGAATTTTTCACGAACATTTTCCGTTTATGATTCAACATAAGCTTATTATCAACTACTTCTAAAAAATAAAATTTCCCTTTCTCCGATAATAAAAATTATGTGACACTAGAATCAAATTGCTCAAAAATGTGTAATCATAAAATGGTAGTAAATAGTTCCTCGTGTAGAATCGAATTATTTTGTTGCATCAGCACTATCTTTTTTCCTAATTTGAAACAAACAAACAAAAAAGATAGCAAAGCACGTACGGGAAGAGTGATCCAAAAAGAATCAAATTTCAGACATCATCAACACGTTCAACACCGACTCATCTTTATGATAATCAACTTGTACAGGAAGTATCATTAACATATTCAGCGCCTTATACATCAGTTGCAAAACCAAATCAACCATTGGCAGTTCAAATTGGAACACCAATTGCAAACTCAATTGATGAATATTCTAGAATCTATGAAGAAAATGGTTTGTCTATTTACTTTAACATACATATTTGTGGAGTACTTGAGTTCTTTGTAGTGAATGTGTGTAAATTTGATTTTGATTTCAATTTTTTTTTCACAGTTTCAAATATTTTAAAGCGCTTACGCTTTTTTGATATTGAAAAATGATGACAGGTTTCAAGATTTTACGAGGTTTGAAATGATAAGAAATCTGAACGCAAACAAACAGAACTGTCAAAATTTTGGAAAGAATTTACTCGTTTTTTGAAAAAAAAAACATAATAAAGAAAAGGTCATGCAAATTATCTACGAGGAACATTTTTCGGAAAACAAAACTAGAATTTTGATTTTTTTTGACACAATGCTAAAAATATACATTTGTTCAACTGGTGACTAATAAAGAACTCAATTTTGTGTGAATAGTAAACACCTCCGCCCTAACTTGAGCCAACTAACAGGAAAGACAAATAAGGCAACTCATTCTTTTTCAGGCAACAACCTTCATTCTTATTATTCTGACTATTCTGGCCAGTATATCTCACAATTAGAGGCCGATAAGCAGAAACAGAAAAATTTGGAATCCGTTGAGCGGCTTTTGAGATCTGGTAAAATTGAAACCGAGTTTCCTAGTAAGCCTTTGCCTGTGAATTGTTAACATCAATACCATCAATTTTCAGTCAAACATTCGGAAAGTTCACCAGAAGAAATTCCATATTTTTCCGCTCAATCAGCAATTCAATCGGGAAAAACAACCCCAATTTATACACCAAGAGCGACACCAGTTGTTGATAGTCGCGCATCTACCGTACGCCTTCCAAGTTCTCTTTCGCATAATACTATAATCTCTGAAAGTACAACTATTGAAGAATTAACCACAATAACCACAACAAAGTAAGTTCTTGTTTTTTTTTCCTTTGAATTGCTTTCTTTGAAGTAAATGTGTGTATTTTCCGATAATTTTCGATAATATCTTGTTGTTCTACTTATGATTTTTTTTCGGTTTCTGTCAGTCAGCCTAGCCTTTGCGGAATAATTTTTGGTAATTATTATTTTTCATTAATTTTTGTTGTATTTTCAGCCGTCGTAAAGATACAAGCGATATGCCAACAGTAAATGCTTTAACCGAACAATTTGAAAGAAGTGCTAATCATGAGAAGAAAGAAGCTTTGAAATCAAGAAAGAGTCCAAATTATTCTACTACTAATAATATCAATAATAATAGCAATGGGCATGGTAAAAATTCGAGAGTTGTAGTAATTAATCGTTCAAATCATAACCGTGAGTTTCAAAGAAAAACTTCACCAAGTTAATAAGGAAATCATTTTTAGAATATTCAAATAGCCATAATAATAATCGTGTACGTCATGTTGAAAAACCAACATATTCACCAACTGGAATCGTTACAACTACAATCGTTGACATTGAACCACCCGGTTATGGTAGACGAGCAAGAATTGAAGAATACAGAGTGAGATACGCCTCAAAAGTTATCAATTATCTTTCTATTTTTGAAAATTCAGATTGAAGAAGAATATCGGTCTACCAAAACTTATCCAGCTGGATATTATCAACAACAAAACCAACAAACTCAACAACAAACAAATCAAAATCAAACCAGAGAAGAGGCTGTTGAAATGTATGTAAGATCTCAATCGAGAAGTGGTGCAAATTCAAGATCGAATAATTATGCACCAGATACACCATCTCCAACAGTTCGAAATGTAATTGATCAATTTGAAACGAGAATTGAAGGTGAGTTTTGTGGGGTTTCTCACAATAAGCTTCAAAACAAATTTAATGTTTTTTATAGAAAGAGGAGGAGTTCGATCAGTTCCCATTGAGAAAGAGAATATTCCACGATCAATTTCTAGAGTTGAGATGAATGTTAGTGATGAAAAACAAAAAGAACATAGTTTCAATGAGAGAGAAATCATTATTCATCGTCGGGAAGTTGAGAAACCTAGACCGGTTGAAGTTCCACTGCCAGCTCCAATTGTTAAAACGTTTGAGGAAACTACAACAATTAGAATGGAAGGAAGTCCAATGAGATATGAAGAAGTTCCGAGAGTTCATTTTAATGAAGAAGTTGAACAGAAAGTTGAAGAAATTGAAGTTGAACCATCAATTATTGAAAGTTCACCAAGAGTTCGACCATATCAACCAGAATTTATTCGAACTTATGAAGAAGAAATTACAACTACTGTTAGAAGAGATGGTGGATTTGGAAGTGAACTTCGAACAATTGTATCAGATCCAGCTCCAGATAGTGTTCCAAGATCATATGCTCCTCCACCACCAACACCAGTATCACCAGCGATGAGTCGATATGAAGAAACTGTTATTACAACAACCACTGCTTTAATCAGCAACAAATCTGATGATGAGATTGTTATTCCAACTGCTGAAGATTCAGAGCCTGAAGTTAAAACTCCTGAACCAATTCCAGAAAACACATATAATAAGGAATTTGAGCCAGAAGAGAAGGAAGAAATCAACAGATTGAAAAAAGAAAAAGAAGAGGAGGAATTGAGAAGGCGAAAAGAAATTGAAGAACAGAAGGAGATTCTTCAAAGAGAACTTGAGGAAAAACGAAAACAACAAGCTGATGAAACCTATGAGCAATTCAAAAAATTATATGATCGAACAATCAAAGTGAATACACAAGAAGAATGGTCAACTACAACTAGAAGAAGAGATCGATCACTTCCACCAACAACAACTTCATCAAATGTTAGTTTCTGAAAGTATTCTTTGTTCTCTATTGAACTCGTGAAAAAAAATGAGCAAAAAAAAACTAGGGATTTTTTCTCCATTTGATTATTATCATGTCCTGCCTCTTTTGTGTCATTAAGCATCTTTAGTACCAAAATCAAAAACGTATTTAAATCGGCACCGATAACATTTCTTCGCATTTTCTGTTTTTTCTTTTTTTTTTTATTTGGAGTGGGAGTTGATACGGTATTAAGAGAATTGCTGATTTTTTTTTGAAATTTCAGTTAGAAACACCAAAAATGAGTGCAGGATATGGAATCTCTGGTTCTCATTCATCTCACGTTGTAAGTTTTTAGGCTGTAGAATTAGAATCAAGAACTATCATAAAATGTTTCCATAAGTAAACAACTTTTTTTAGGTTGAGACTGTTGAATCATCTCATCAATACGTCAGAGGAGCAACTGAAGTAGTAAGAGTAGAAATATTTAGTGGAAAAAATCACATTCAAATTTAGGGATCAAATCTCTACTCAGCATATGACTCAATTCGCGGAAGATCTTCATCAAGAAATGCTGATCGACTTGCTTCTGCCGATGTTCGTTCGATTTCAGAAGGTAAACAAAAAGGGGTTGTTTCTTATCAGTAGTTTTTTTCTGAAAAAAGGAGTGGAATTCCAATTACGACCAATTACTGATAATTGAAAAATGGGCGGGCGGGACTGAGAGCGAAATATAAAAAACGGTGTGCTCGAATTTTATCAGTTCTTGATTTTTGAGCACTCTCAAAAAATTATGTCGACTTATTACCAACAATATTCAGGACGCACCTATAATGCTTATGGAACAAGTGGATATGGTCAAATCCAAAGTGGTTTCACCACTGGTGGCGGAGCTATTTGCACCAGCCATATTCGTGATGCTCGTGAACGTGAGAAGAGAGAAATTGGAATGTTGAATGATCGCTTGGCCGATTATATCGAAAAGGTTTGTTCTTTAATAAATAAATAAAATGAGGTTTTCTCATTTTTTTTGTTTTTCTAGGTTCGATTCCTTGAAGCCCAAAACCGTCTTCACAGCACTGACATTGAACATCTCAGAAACGGATTCAAAGGACAAGGTTCAATTTCTGGACTTTTTGAACATGAAGTCAGAGTGAGTTTGATTGTACAAAAATAATATGTATGTATATTTGTGCACATATATTTTATCACTCTTTGAAAAAAGGCAAGAAAATTGAAAAAATGCCTAAATTCTTTGTTTGATAAGATAACATTGCATTGTTTCAGCAATCGAAAACTGTTATCGAACAAATTGTCAGCCAAAGAGCCCAATTTGAACGTGAAGCTGGAACATTGACTGCTCAAATTGAAGAACTCAAAGGAAAACTTTCGGATGCTATCGGAAACATCAAGGGACATCGCACAAACTTTGATGTTGATTTGGAGCGTTTGGCTCAACTCGAAGCTGAAATCGCTTTGACCAAGAGAAAGATCAACATTGTTGAAGAAGATGTTATCAGAGTTCGAAGAGAAAATGACAATGTTCTCAGAGATATTAGCCGTATCCGTGGACTTATTCATCATGAAGCCGCTGGAAAGAACGAGCAAAGTCTCAGAGTTCAAGATTTACTTCACCGTATCAACGGATTGAAGACTGAGAACAGCTCTAAGATTGATGTCGAACTTGAATTCATCAGACGTGACACCACTTCCGAGAACCGTGATTACTTCAGACGTGAACTCCAAGCTGCCATGCGTGATATCCGTGCCGATTATGAAGCTGTAAGTGTTAAACTATCATCATATTTAAGGTTTCATATTTTCAGAGATCTCATGCTACCCGCGTTGAACTCGAAACTTGGTATCGCACTACCATTAGCAAATATCAACACGTCGCAAGACCAGTTGAAAACCGTGAACAACTCCTTGAGATTCGCAACACCCTCATCAGTGTCAAACAACATTTGTCACAAGTTGAAAACAGAGTGAGTCAGAAACAAAAAAATGTGTTATTTTAGTTATAAACTTTTTTAGAACCTCCTTCTCCAAAGACAAATCGAAGATTTGTCCCTTCAACTTACCAGCGATCACAAGGAATATGAAATTGGATTGCAAGAAAAGGATGCGTTGATTGCCAAGATCAGAGAGCAAAGTCAAGAATTGGTTATTCAAATGGAGAAATTGTGTGAAAACGAAATTGTGAGTTCTTCAAAAATATATTTGAGATAATCAACTATTTTATTTGCAGACCCTCCGTGCTGAAATCGAAAGATACCGCAATCTCCTCAATGGAGCCAACGTTACCACTTATGTATCTCAAGGATATGCATCAACTCCTTCTCGCACACGAGTTATTGAAACAACAACCACAACTCACTCGTCATCAAACTCTCAATACTCTGGAATTGGAGCTTCAGCTGTCCATCAAATCGGAAGTGGAGTTGGAAGCGTCTTAGGAGGCGGTTCGTATACAGCATTACATCATTCATCTCACCATTCAACTTCCCATTAGTTGCATTTCTTTTGACTTTTGAATGGTTTTTTGTGTTCTAATATCAATTTTCAAGCAGCTTCTTGTCCAATTGTGATATATTTACCTTTGAAATGTTATAACCGTATATATCTTTCATTCATTCATTCACCAATTACTCAAAATTCACAAAAATTACACTAAACATCTAATTTTTAGAGCCGATCTTGATTAGTTAGCAATTTGAAAGTCGCTTTCCTTTGTTGTTTTTTTTTCTTTCAAAGTGTTGTTAATACAATACCAATCGTCATTTCCTATTGTCTTTCTGTTAAGATAATTGTGATTTGACACATGGGATTGTCGATCACAATTTTCTGACTGTCATTGTTATCGTTGCTTTCTAGAATTTGTTGATATTTTATGTGAATTTTATTGTTTCAAACTAATAAATGCTAATCAAGATCTGGTTTTGTTTTTGGTTTTTGAACTACAATTTTTATAAACAGAATGAGAAGCACGAATAAAGATATGAATGAATCTACCTTTGTTCGTTATTTTCAAACATTTTGATGTTAAATATTCAATTTCAAACCACTAATTGTAAATAGGTATTTTTCTAGCGGGCACACAAAAACCTGACCGAATTCACGATGAACAAAGTGAAGATGAGAACGGTAGACAATATCATAGTTGGTACAAGGGAACAATCCGCGTCAAGGTTGTTTATTCAAATCTTGACAAAAATCTTCAATTTCAAAATTTCAGACAGTGACACCAGATTATATTGAGCTTGAAAATATTTGCAAGATTCGTCTTGTTGATGTTGGAGGATTCAGAGTTGAACATCGTGTGAATGGAGTTCTTCAAGGAAGTGTGACTATCAATCAATCTTTGGTTCTTTCTCCAAAACAAACATTGAGGGTAATAAAATTGATATATCAACAAAAATGCAATTTGAAAAATCGAATTTTTTCCAGATTTTCACATCTAGCCATGCTTCATTGAATGGTGAATTCATTATCAATGTTCGTCAATTCGATGCTTCAATCAATTCAAGAACATCAATCTTTAATGCCACTGAACCAAACGAGGAACGCGGATGGTTCATTTATTTGTCTTAATTATGTAAAACTTGCTTTAGTTTTCAATTGATAAAACCAAATTTCCATAATTTTTCGAAATTTTTGCTGTTTTTTCTCGTATGAATAAAATATGTAGATTTATCATTGAATATCATCGAAAAAAAAACAAATTGAAGTAGAAATCAGATTCCGGTTAAACATTTCGAAAAATAATCAGGAGAGTTTTCATTTGTTAATATCGTTTGATGCGGTGGCGTGAAAAAGCTATTTAGTATCACCATAAAAACACACCACGAAAAATAGATCCAGACAATTCTCAAACAGTGTCCCGTCTCCTATGAAGAATTCTGGAAAAAACTTCCCATACGCACTTATAATAAAAAAATAGTTTTTCCCTAAATGTTCAAATTAGTTTTTGGTTTTCAATTCCATTTGACATTAAGAGACGTTTTTTGTAATATGGGAAATTTTAGAATAAGGAGCTGCGCAAGCAAAAAAAAAGTTTTGCTGAAAACTTGTTTAATGATAGCCCCATGGATGGGCATCAATTTGCGCACAATATTATTGCTAAAATCAGCTTCACCATTGTGGTGTGATGGGTGAAAGCTGTATGAGCGGTCACTGGAACTTTCCTCTCCGTTGATATTTTTTGATGATCTCAACGCCAAAATACTTCTCTGGCTTAGAAATGATTATTATGTTCTCGCCATGAAAATTGCACCATTTCTAATGGTGAAAATACACCACTTTGGCGAAAAACACCAATTTTATGGTGTTGCGGTTGAATTTCGCACTCTCGCACTGCTTTTATCCGATTCCTCGTCATTTTTTACATACCCTACAAAAATATGAGAAAAATAAACCTTACCCCTTTTTGGCAATTCCACCCCGAAGTTGGTCACCCAAGGTGTGCACCACAGCATTTTTTCTCAAAATCGCCCAAATCTTCGATATTTATGATCAAAAATGTTATTTCATGGTTCAAAGTTACTTTTATGTGAAAATTAGAAAGTTTTCGGGACGAAAACGTGTTATTTCACGCATTTCACGTGAAAAATCACGTGAATTTTTTCGAAAAATAAGTTTAAAAACGTGTTTTCTGGGGTTTTTGACTATGAGAATCAACGTGGTAACATTTATTTTTCTTGAAAATGTCAAATTTAGCAATTTTCAGAAATATCATAAAAATGAACTCTAGCAAGTGAAGTTTTTAGAGTGTTGTCAAACTCATTGTAAATGGAAATTTCAAGAAAAATAAATGTTACCACGTTGATTCTCATAGTCAAAAACCCCAGAAAACACGTTTTTAAACTTATTTTTCGAAAAAAAATTCACGTGATTTTTCACGTGAAATGCGTGAAATAACACGTTTTCGTCCCGAAAACTTTCTAATTTTCACATAAAAGTAACTTTGAACCATGAAATAACATTTTTGATCATAAATATCGAAGATTTGGGCGATTTTGAGAAAAAATGCTGTGGTGCACACCTTGGGTGACCAACTTCGGGGTGGAATTGCCAAAAAGGGGTAAGGTTTATTTTTCTCATATTTTTGTAGGGTATGTAAAAAATGACGAGGAATCGGATAAAAGCAGTGCGAGAGTGCGAAATTCAACCGCAACACCATAAAATTGGTGTTTTTCGCCAAAGTGGTGTATTTTCACCATTAGAAATGGTGCAATTTTCATGGCGAGAACATAATAATAATTTCTAAGCCAGAGAAGTATTTTGGCGTTGAGATCATCAAAAAATATCAACGGAGAGGAAAGTTCCAGTGACCGCTCATACAGCTTTCACCCATCACACCACAATGGTGAAGCTGATTTTAGCAATAATATTGTGCGCAAATTGATGCCCATCCATGGGGCTATCATTAAACAAGTTTTCAGCAAAACTTTTTTTTTTGCTTGCGCAGGCTGTTTTCCGGTATTACAAAAAACGTCTCTTAAATTCCTTCATGGTGTTTCTTATCATGAAAAAATGAACTGTTGAGAATCTAAAGTACCAAAAGTTAAGCACTCATATGGCAATTTATTTATGTTATCTGCTCATTTTTTTTAATGCGTGACACATCATCCGAAAATATTTTAATCGGTTTTGTGAGTAAAACCAAGAAAAAATTTTTACAATCATGATAAGCAATTTTTTCAAATAATCTCTTCTATTTTTTCATTTTTCGCTTCACTCTCTCTTCAAAAAAAAATTATGAAAAAATGATGATAGTATCAAAGCAAGCAATCAAATCAAAAATCGTACATTCCAAATGGCAAAACGAGCAAGCAAATATTATTTCCAATTTGAGCTGATAACATTTATTGCCATTTGAGCAGTTGATACATTCAAATGTGTATAAAATGTTGCCTTCAATTTGTTGTTGTTGTTTTTGATTTTCCGTTCAAATTTGATTTTTGTTTCAGATCAAGATGAATAGCAGTTTGAGAAGCAATCCTGCTTTTCAAAGATTACTTGAGCAAAATAAATCTGGTTTGCCAACAGGAGCATTATCATCTTATGCACAACAATGTGCAAATATGATTCGAGATAATCGAGATCAAGAAAAAAGAGCAATTGCTGATCTCAACAATCGATTGGCGAGATATATTGAAAAAGGTATAATAAAAATGTTTTTTTTATTATAATTATATAAATTTTTGTCAATGTTTAGGTTCGATTTCTTGAAGCACAAAACCGTATTTTGAGAAGTGATATTGATCTTTTCGGAAAAGCTGCACAACTTCATGGAGCAAAAGTTTCGGTATATTATGAAAGTGAGAGAAAATCACTCGGAACATTATCACTCGAACAAAAAACCAAGATTCAATCTGCTGAACAAACAATCAGAAAATTGACACCAGAAATTGCCAGTATACAAAGAAGTTTGCAAGATATCAAAACTGGTCGTGGACATTCAAAAAAAGATAGACATGATCAAATGAAAAAATTGTCGAATCTTGAAGCCGAGGTAAACTATAAGAATTCAGATCTCATTCGAAAACCATATATTTTTAGAATGCATACATCAAACGATTGATCACCGACTCTGAAAATGATAAAATGGTTGTGAACAATGAAAATAGTGTCATCAAAAGTGAAATCAGAAAAATCCAAGCTCTCCGTGACAAACAACGAAGTGAAGGTGCAAACATCAACAAAAATATGAGTGATCAAATTAGACGAGTCAATGAATTGATTACATCAAATGAAATTCAAATTCGTGAAGAAATTGCGAATGCTAGAAGAAATACAACTGAAAATAACAGTGTTTACTTCCATAATGAACTACAATCTGCTTTGAGAGATGTTCGAGAACAATTTGACAAGGTATGTAATTCAAAACTTGATGTTATTTAAATTGAGACGATTGTATTCCAGGACTCTCGAATCCATAGAAACGAATGGGAAAGCTGGTACCAACAAAAAATCATTACCATCAAGAAAAATTCAGAAAACTTCACACAAGGACAATCAAACGCTAGAGTGAGTTTGATTAATTTTTATTTGATGAACATCAAAAATGTTTCAGGAAGAAATCATTCGTATTCGCAATCAATATAATGATCTGAAAAAGAAAATCATTGACATCGAGAGTGAAGTAAGTTAAAAATGATTTTCAAGAACCTCATCTGAGATAATAATTTTTGTAGAATGTCAAATTGTCAAAAGTCATCGAGGAGATTCACTTCCAATCCGCAGAAGCAGAAAGATTATTCGAGAGTTCTCTAACAGAAAGAGAAGCGGCTAATCAAAAAATGCGTGATGAATGCACCAGATTATCCCTTCAGTTGGATAAATTATGCGACAATCACACGGTATTTTCATCTGAAAGAGAACGAAATCTCCAAAAAAAAAAACGTTTTATTTTCAGAACTTGCAACAAGAAATCGCCCATTACAAAAAACTTATTGAATCTGCTGAATACCATACTTCATCGAGCAATGTTTTAATAGAAAGTTCAGTTCCAGTCGTCAGACTTACGTCTTATCACAGCCACGGAGAAGCATTGAATATCAATCGAACTGAGCCAAGTTAATACATTTCCATTTGTTGTTTTTGTCACTTCAATTTTCCTCAATTATGTTTTGTGTTTGATGAAGAATCATCCATTTGTTGTCTAATAATACTTTGTTGTTAAATGTAGTGTAGTTCGTAGAAAATTAGATAAAATTTACAGTTTATTCACCATCATACTCCTCAAATCAAGCCGAAACTTATAAGTCACATCATAAAGGACATGTGAAAATTAGAGTTAGTTGAATTGAGAAAAAACATTTTTGAGAACTATTTTGTTTAGAAAGTTGAACGTGATGGAACAGCAGTAGTAATTGAGAACACAAATGGTGTTGTCTCCCAAGATATGGCTAATTGGAAACTAATGCAATATGAAAATGGATCTTTGAATTCTTGCTATATTTTCCCAATCCCAACTTTCATCCAACCACTATCAACAATCACTGTAAGCATTATTTTTGAAAGTGTTTGGTTTGATTTTTCTTAATTTTCAGGTAACAACTTCAAAATCAACAAATTTGCTGAATGAATATGTTGCCTACTCGGTGGCTTCATTTGAACTCACAAGAAACTCAAAACTTGTTCTTTGTAATGAGCTTGATGAAGAAGTCAGTTGGATGTCACACTATTCATACAATCATTAGATACAATTTATTATTATTTGTTGTTTTATGAATTGATTATGGATAAATTGTAATGAATGTTTAAAAAATAAAAATTCTAATGAACTTATTTTGAGAGAGAGGAAATGTTTACAAAAGTTTCAGAACATGAAAATAAACATTTTCGGAGTTTCACATTTGAAAGAGTGTTATTTTGTTATTTTTTTCATTTTTCAGTACAATTTCTGGTTAGTAGATTTAAAAGAATGGCTGAATTCATATTTCATAATAAAATACATTCAAAATTTTTTCAAAAAAGCATAAAAAAATATTAAAAACAGATTTTTTAAGATGAAACTCATGGTTCTATAAAATTTATTAATATTTTCCCTGTTGAAATCTTTTAAATTTTTGAAAAGTCCTAACCGCAATTTTAACTTTTGATATCACAAATAAATCATAAAACCATTTTGTCATTATAGCCAGAAACTAAAAACCAAACAAACATGTTATTGTTTACACGTGCTACAATCTAGTCTAGCCAGGTCACATTATCTTTTTTTTTCTCTTCATTTCAACTAGTTTATTGATCAACCTCGCAGGTGTTCATTTATTTTTTCTGAACAGTTTTGAATTATGGCTAAACCAGTTCCTCCAAAAGAAGTGAGTTTTTTTTTTTAATTTAATAGTTTAATATATTTATTCAAAACTTAAAAATTTCAGGGTAAACCATTGTGTAATGTTGAGCACGTTGAATTTCAATCAAGAGCTGATGATATTAAAGCAGGGCTTATCGACACATTTTTGAATTTACAACGCATTGACACAAATCTGTACATGTAAGCCTTATCAATTTTTCAAGTGCAAAAAATTCTAGATAACACGTTTTCTTTGTTTCTTATAGTGCACGTCATTTACTCAAAGGCCGACATTCTTATAATGCGGTGTATGGAGGACAAGTGAGTCATAAAATATGAAAAAAAAATTGAGGGGTTTGCTTTTTAGGTTGTTGGGCAATGTTTAGCTGCAGCGGCTGCAACTGTTGATGACACTTTTATACCACATTCATTGCATAGTTACTTTATCAAAACTGGTAAGAACTTTGAATTTTTTAATTGAAAAAGAATTATCTTTATTGCGAAAATTTTAGTCCAGCTTTATTTGTTTTATCTAAAAATCTAAATCTTTTTGTTTCTAGGAAGCGTTGACAAACCAATTCTCTACATGATTGATCGAATTCGAGATGGCCGAAGTTTTTGTACTCGAGTCGTGAAAGCTGTTCAAGATGGTGAAGCCATTTTTTCATGTCAAATCAGTTTTCATCAAAAAGAGCCAGATGCAATTGCACATTCGGCAAAAATGCCAGTAGTTCCACAACCTGAAGAGCTTTTAGTATGTTTACTTTATAGGAACTAAAGATTGAAAAAGTCATCGTATTTTTAGCCAGCGCGTGATGCAGCTTTGCAATTATTAGAGAAAGATGGTGTTGATTCAATTTCTGCTGAAGTGATCAAACGAGCTTTGAAAGAGATACCAGATGCATTTGAAAGAGTTTTTGATGTTCGTCCTGCATATCCAGATAAATATTTGTTGAAAGAGGAGTGTGAACCATATTCAGTTATTTGGATTCGTGCTCGAGAAGATCTCGGTGAGCAAAAATCATTTTTTTTTGAAATATTATAGCATAAGATCGTTTCCTTGTTGATGTGACCTCAATCGACCTTTCACATAAAAAAAAAACAAAAAAAAAACAAAAGTGTTTTGCAGGCGATGATCATCGACTTCATCAATGTGTTGCTGCTTATTTGACTGATCTTAGTATGTTGAACACAGCTGTCAGACCACATGTTCGAGAAGGTTTTATTCCTTCAATGTCATTTTCACTCGATCATTGTGTCTGGATTCATGAGAATACATTTAGAACTGATGAATGGATGTTGTATGAAACAAAAAGTAGTAAAGCAGGTCAATATTAATTAAAGTTTCATGTGTAAATGTTCATAATTTAGGTGGAAGTCGTGCATTCATTGAAGGAAGATTATGGACAAAAGATGGACGATTGGTGATTTCTACAGCACAAGAAGCACTTGTTCGAGCTCCAAAGTATTAGTTTCAGAATTTTTCGCCCGTCATTATATATATGTACAATAAAAAATGACTTTTGCACACCTACACAGTGTGATGAATGTGAGATCATTACGAACAAGTGTTCTTTTCAAACGTTTTTTCTTGTTATATTTAAGTCGATCGCACTTTTAGTTCTCACTTCCTCCAACAAAAATGTTGTTGAAAGTGATCTGTTTTCTATTCTTTTTCTCAAGTGCTTTTGCTTCCTTCTCAGAAAAATTCAAAAATTGCCCAGCCGGTACTTTCTTTGTTGAAAATTATATCAAATATGAATGTATTCAACGTGAAGATTCAACAGAAGTTAGACCAATTGGTTTGTTTTTTTTTGTTGCGCATATTTTCATGATTAATATATTTGAGGTTGTTCCCCAACTAATGATATCACTGGAGATTTGATTGAACATTTCCAAACTCATAAAGATCTTCTCTTTGTTTACCAATGTCGCATTAATGGACTCGAAGCCACCTACACTGCAGTTGGTAAATAATTCAAAAATTTCTGTTTTATGAAAAAACAACGAAAAGTTCAGATTGTCGTGATCCAACTGGTGCATTGCTTCCAATCAACAAAATGAGAACATTCCCAGATGGTGATAATTATCGTTGTTTTTCGGAAAATGGAAAACTCAAAATCGATCATAAATCAAGTACGCAACATATGATTTACCATTCTAACACTTCAATTAGAAAACATTAAACAAATCAATAAATTGTATTTCTCATCAACTTGTTGTTAATGAATTTAATTTTAGATAAGGGATGCACGTTGAATGGAAAAGTGTACGGAAAAAATGATCAATTCCAAATCACAAAAGATGAAATAATTGAGGTTAATACATTTTCTCATGGGAAACTTTGAAAAAAAAAACGTTTGAAAACTTTCAGAAATCGGGTAGTGAAGTAGTAGTCGGAAGAGGTTCTGCTTATTCATGTCAACAATTACAAAATGGAACATTTAGTATCGAAATGAAAGGATGTTGGACTTCGGCTAATGTATTCATCAATTTTGGAGATTATGGAAGTGTTAACGATATATATGTGAAATGTGAGGCGTCAGAAAATGAATGTACATTGAAAGAAGTTGTCAAACGAGGTTTAGCGCTTTTTTTGTTATTGTTTCGAGATTTAAGTTATTTCAGAAGTCAGATGTTCCTTTAATGGCAAAGAATATAGAAATGAGCAGGAATGGTTGTCACAAGATGGAAAAACTCAATTTGCTTGTTTGAACGGGAATATTATAACTAAAGGATGCTATGTGGACGGAACATTGATTCCTATTGGAACATTGAAATATGTTGATGAAGAGGTATATTCTTGTTATTCTAATACACAACTGATTTCATTCGGTGACATAAGTGAGTATACCTTTTTAACATTCTAATAAACGAACATCAAATGACTAATTTTTGCAGGAGGATGTCCTAGATCAGACGGAAGAATCACACCATTTGAAAAGGGATTGCGCGATGAAGATGGTTCCAAAGTCTGTACTTATAAATTTGGTCAAAATGGCAAAGTCGAATATGTTTGGCGTCTTGTTGCTTGCATTCATGCTAATCAAGATGTTGTCATTGATTCAATTGAGGAAATTAACGGAACTGTTATAACTTGTAAACAAAACGACAAAGGCGGATATTCAATCAAGTTTCTGACAAGTTTCGAAATACAAGAATGGAAAGAGAAAACCGGGCAAAATTCACATGTTATGACTGGTATTGAAGCTGGTGGTAGAGGTTTCAAAAGAGAGATCACGACAACAGCGGCGCCAACAACTACAACTGAAGCGCCAACAACCACAGAAATACCAACCACACCTTCTACTGAACCTCCAAGCACAACCACTGAACTTCCATCTACTACAAGTACCACTGAATTGCCTACCACAACTACAACTAAATTTCTAACAACCACAACAGAACTGCCAGCAACAACATCACCAATTCCAATTCCAATCACAAAATGCAAAGATTTTCATAAAGATTGTCGAAAACTTGCTGGATATTGTCAATCGGAAAAAGAAGCATTGGAGGAGCTCAAAGAAGCTGTCAAGAAATCAAACATTCATTATAGTCGACGATTCAAAGCATTAGAGTATTTAGATCTTGTGACGTAAGTCGAGTATAAAATGTAATTATCAAGAAAACATTTCAGGAGCACCAATAACTTTGAAGAGCATCCGGATAAACCAGAGGGTGACTGTGGTCATCGTGGCCCAAAACCACCATGTCCATGTCGCGAGCAAAAATCTTTCAACACCCAACTTGTTCAATCGTTGTGTCCCAGAACTTGTCACTTTTGCACCAAACCTGGTAAGTTTTCTTCTGTTATTTTTTTTCAATTGTCATTTGCAGTCATTCCAATTGCTGATATTCTCACAACAACAACTCTGCAAAAGTGTCATAGAAAAGAATGTAAACGTCATTGAAAATGAGCTTTTTCTTATTAATTTTATTACTTTCTCTTCTTTTTTTTCAAAGATTAATCTTGCAAAACAATATGATATAAACTTTATTTGAAGAATACACGTGATAGCTATACACATGTGTGATATCAAAAATATGAAACAACCCGATTATTTATCAGAGATCAAGAAGGAGCCTTTTTGATGTTTGAATCAAAGTTGCGTTTCAAGTGCTTCTTTTTCATCAGTATAAAACATTGTGCTTCTTGTGCCTTTTCGCCACATTTTCTTGCCAACCATTGATGCGCAAGTCAAACATTCCTTTCTAAAAAATGAAAAATATTCTGATTCAAAACATCAGTAGAAATTTTGATACCTGTATTGTTTTATAACAAGAATTGTGATAACTGCGTCGATCAAGGGACTCAAAGCAAGCCATACTTGAGTCATCATAAAAATATATTCATTCGACATTGGCTCAGATAACAATAATACCGAGCTCAATGACAAAAATGCGGGAACCTGTAAACACTTGAGTTGTATAGTTCAAAGAATTCATTTGATACCTGGCAAACTAATGGGATGAATGCTTGTGCCAATGTTGCGATCGCAACTTGTCTTGTTTCCAAAAGTCTCGCCTGATCTCGTAAATTTTGAACAACTCGGATATGTTTGGCTGAAAAATACTTAAGTATTGTTTTTTCAAAGAAAATTTCAAAAATGAAAATATTACTTACCAACAACTCGAAAAACCATATAATTTGTGGCGAAAGCGACAAAATAAGCGAGGGCTGTGATTATTGTGAACATGTAGAATAAGGGTTTCGCAACATCGTGCTCAACCACGCATATTACCTGAAAAAGTTGTTTTTTTTTTTGAAAGTTCCCTGATTTTTCTGATCTCAACATGTTTTTCAAGACAAAAATCGGACACTTTGATTGAACTCTGATCTCATCATTACAAGTGTTCAAACAAACATCTCGCGTTTTTTTCTCTGTCAATCATCAGACTTTTTTCAATTAGAAAATCTCATGTTCTTTTATTTTCCGCAGCTAAACTTGCTATAAATAAAGTGTCTGATCTGAAATTCGAGACGATTGTTTTTGTTGAATTCAATATTATGGGATGATGATGTTGATGATGGTTGGGTGGAATATGTACAAGTACTTACATATAAAAGAGCAACTGGAAGAAAATCGAGAACTAGACAAAAGAACAACGAGCGTCGACCAGCAAAACACTGAAAAGAGAAGAATTAATGAGAAAAAGTGCAAATCTGAAAAGAGAGACATACGGTAGAATATAACGATGTTTTTGAAAGAGCCATCACTCGAGATAAAGATATTGGAACCAATGCACAAATCATAGTTCCGAAAGATCCATAAAACGCCAAAGTCATGTAATAGAGAAATCTGCAAGTTTCTTTTTGATTTTCAAGTTGAAAAAACCTTCTTCTCTGATCCTGATGAACTCTTTTGTGCAATAATCACACAGACCTCATTAATAAATTTATAGGCTAAGAATGAACTCTGCGCTTTTTGAACTTACACACTGGGAAAATGATGATCTCGATCAACATTGATGTATCCCATGAACATAAAAACGAAACCGCAAACAATGTCGACAAACGCCAGATTGGCTACAAACAATCTGAAAAAACAGTTTCATTTATTGAAAAAAATTAAATCTAAAATATAAAGATACCTGAAATCTCCTTTGACATGGCTGAAGGATAGTAAGATAACTATTATATTAGCGAAGATACCGAAACATGCTGAAAATACCACAACCAATCCAACAATTGTTGCGAAATTGTTCTAGAATAAAAAATTTTAGAAATTCAAACTACACTTATTTCAAAAATATTCTAGTTTAATCAAGTTTCAATTTACCAGGATCAAATTACATTTTTTTTTCGAAAACAACAATAAAGTACAAACCTCATCATGTGTGTGTTTGTAAGTTTCCAACTGAAAGTCTGAATTATTGATCGAATTATCCCAAAACAAATCAACATCCATCCCTGGAAAAAATGATTTCATCTATTTTTCAAAAAGGAAAGTGGAAAACAACATTAAAAATTGAGGTGTGAGCAAGAATTTTGAGTAAACACTAAACACTAAAGCATAGTGTAGTGAAAAGAACATGAGGTTTGAAAAAAAACGGTAGAGAACAAATTTGAGAGCAAAATGGATTGAGGTTGGAAAAGGTGTCAAATTTCGGCACAAATATGACATACAGTGAAAGAGTGACGCAAAACAGTCACAGATTCAGTTTTTTGTCACACTTGAGAACATACAAAGTACAAAAAGATTTACAATTAGATTGGTTTGATGCTTCTCAAAAATTATTGTTTCCAGTAAAAAATGTGGGAAGAAAATGAGGAGGAATGAGAGAAAATTGAGAGAGAGAAAAAAGAAGGAGCTGTGCAAATAAAATGAAAAAAGAAAATGTGTTGTTATTGTTTTTGTACGAACAATGAACTTTGAAGAAAAGGATATTCCGATTAAATAAGATTCGTCAACAATGACTTTTAACAACCAAAAAAACATGCGGAATGACTGATTTTTCATTTTCAACTGATTACACCCGAGAGAATAAAAAATAGCTACTTGTTCTCTGAATTAAAGATGGGTGGCAAGGAAGTAAACTAGTTTTCTCAACTTGACAAGCTACAACGGGCGACAGCGTTCAAAAAAACAGTTTCAGTTACAAACTCTGCGAAAGTGTGTCAGTTTTAATGGAAGTCTCTGAAGACTCATCACACAAATACACCTCGAGAGTTTCGGATATTTTGATTTTCTGGAAGCCCGCTTCAAAAATCATCATTTCTAGAATTGGATATTGTTCAACATTCGAAAAAATTTTCACAATAACGTATGGATTGAAAAAATGTCTGATATTAGGATTTATTGAACTTTATTCATAATTTTTCAAAGAATTAATCCCATATCATGAGATCAGGTTATGAAAGAAAATTTTTATACTTATTAGTTTTTCAAATTGTCTATGAACATCTCAAAAAAAACTAGAAAATGACTCGAAATTCTGACGTGTGGTTAGTTAGGCAAGTTTCAGATTTCGAGAAAAACAAATATGAGCATAACAAAATTTCTGGTTTTTTCAAAGAAAAATCTCAGCTTAAAAATCAGAAATTATAAAAAATGAAACGGAGAATAGAATGAGAAAAAAATGCGTTCCAAAAAGTGTTCGAAAAACAACTTTTTGTCTCTTATTTGTGTGAAAGTTTTGAGAGTAATCCCCTATTTAAGAGACAACTTGAATGAACAGAATGAATGAAATTCTCACGAAATTTGAGATTTTTCATCTTTTAAGCCTTGATTGTGTCTTGATCCATAAGAAGAAGAAGAAAATGTTTCTATATATAGACACAAAAAAAAGAAAAGTTTTCAGATGATTAACCGAGATGAATGCAAACAAAATAAGAATAATGAAAAAAAACCTCAACAATTCTGACATTAGAAAACATGTTCAGAGGCTCTGTGAAAAAATATATGTGTAGATGAAACAAAGAGAAAACAGACACTTCATCATAAAATCTCTCGACATTTATCTTTGCAAACATAAACATAAAAAAAAATTGTTGAATGAATGGATTGACACAGATTTAATAGAATTACTGCAAACCACTTACGTCAGCTAAACTTTTTTGAAACAGCACAAAAAAAAGAAATAAATAATGAATGGACATGTTTGTTTTTTGTTTGAGTTTGAGTTGAGTTGAGTAGTTCCAAATGGCCAATTTTTTTTTGCAATAGAATGATGTGACGAAATTAGAGAATGAGCAGAACAACATCATTCTATGGTTTCAAACATTTGAAAATTGATATTAGAAAAAGGTCTTTGAAATCCTGTGCAGACTCTTGAAGTGTGTAAAAAGATGATCAGCGCCATTTTCACATAAAAATAGTAATTTAATGTTCACGTGATCGTTAATTTTTAATCTTTTGTTTTCCATTACTCAAAGCAATCCCAATTCTTCCAATCAATTTCCAAAAAAAGGAATTTTGTGTGAAAACAAACAAAAAACAAATCTTGTTATAAGAAAAACAACAAAAAACACATTTTGGTTGAAATGGACAAAATGAAATTGTGAACTTTTTCAAGGGATGCGTTCCTTTTCAGTTGAAATTTTACAAAGGGAACAGAATGAAAATTGAGAACGAATGTTCATTGCGTGGGATTTTTGTGTATGTGTGTGTATGTGTGTCTTAGAACCTCTTGAACTTGACAATGACATATGTTTTTTGCTAATTTGTTATTCACTTGGAATGTTTCCGGTTTTTGTAGGGGTGGGTGGAAAAGAGTTTTGTATTTTATTTTTGAAAAGAATTAAATTAAATAGTGGAGAAGAGAAATCTATGAATTGTTCAATTTAAAACATCAAACACCATCTTGTTGAATTATGTAGAAATGTTAGACTTCTCAAATTATTTTGAATCTGAAGCTCACAAAAATGATCCCTTTTCTTCGAGTTTTTAGCTTCTCAGAAAATATTTAATTAGAAAATGTGTGACGCATTCGATTTTTTACAAATACAATTCAGTTTATCATGAAGATCATTTTTGAGAATTTGAAAAAAATGGTGGGCTTAATTTCATATTTTGTGGAGTTTGAGAAAAAAAATCTTTGAAATATAGAAAATCTTACATCAACTCGCTAAAAAAAGTACAAAATTCAAAGATCCAGCCAAAAAACCCTTTGAATAAATGTTACGACTTTGATTGACATGACCAGTGCGCACTAAGTAGGGGTATTATCCTCATTCAAAACGTCAAGAAAAAAAACTGTGATACTTTAGTCATTTTCAAACCAGACACGATTACAATTGTTCTCAGACAATGTCGTAGGTCTCCTACTATTCATGACTTCCAAAAATTGAAAAATAGATAAAACTAAAAGGGGCTTCACATTTTGTTTTTATGAATCATAAACTAAAAATTGAGAAATGTTATTAGTATTTAAAATTCGGAAATCATGAAGAGAAAAAAATGCAAAAGGAAGTTGTATTATATATTTTAATAACTTTCGTAGTTTCCGCTTGAGGCTAATTTGGGTAATAGCCTATGTTTTTCTAGTTGAAGTTTGATAGAGAAAAAACCGGAAGAGCACGAAAAAATGATTGTTTTTATTCAAAAAAAATTGAAAAGAAAAAACACCAAGGTTCTCACGTGTTATTGTGAATATTTTCCAAAAAAATATAATATATATTTATGGAGTGACAAAAACTATGAATATCTCCAATTTAGAAAAGTGAAAAACACGATCATTGGATGAGTACAAGTGGCATTTTTGCACTTCACACAAGAAAATGATGTGACCCAACGAATATTATTTTGTGTTTTTGTTGAAAACAACACGGAAATTGAGATATTGTGAAGAAGAAAAAGAATGAATAATAATCTAATTGAATTGAATTGAATGAAGCGAGAAAGTTATGATCAGAAAAAAAATGTTATAAGATTTAATTTAAGAAAATGTTTTATGTGAGCATTAATCGGATACGTGAATGTTCAAAATACACACCTCCAAAATGAATATAAATTAACTTTAGAAACTACACTTTATTCGTATTTTCTTTCTTCATTCAATTGAGAACCGAAAGCGAGAAATGTGAAATCTAAAAAACATTTTTTTTTTGAAAATTGAAGTTAACAGTATTTGCTGCTAAACAATGATGTCAAAGTACTTGAGAAATGATGAAGAACTTAAAAGATAGTAGACGATATCCGAACAATCGTGATAGATACTCAAACAAAACACGAAAAATAATGAATGAATGAGCAGAAAAATAATCAAAATAATGAAAAACAATTTTTCGCGGGAAAATATGTGATTCAGTTCTCATGAATGAATATATATTATATTGTAGAGAAAAAACGAGGGTAAGATGAGATGAGAATATTGTTGATTTCCTCATTTTGAAAAATGACCTGACATCAGGAGCAAGAAATTATAAATTCATGGACTAAATATTATAAATTGGCTTTTTTCGATCAAAAAACCTAAAGTCAACGTGGTTTTTCTGCTCTTCGTCTTTTCTTTTTTTTTGCTGCTTTTTTATTTGTCAACATAGAAGAACAAATGTGTCCGAACATCTTGACATTTTGATGTAACATGAAGACATTTCTATGTAAGAGCTATTTGCGGTTGAATTGAAATGAAAAGTGTGGGAATATAACCAAACTCTACTCAATTTTCTCGGAAAGAAAGTCCTGTTAACAATTTTTATTTGATTTTTTCTGATCAAAAGTTCGAAACCTCGTGTTTTATTCAAGGGTTCTGCAAATAACATGAGCGAAATAGATACGTTTTCAGTAAGAAAAAAGAAGAGGGTAAGTGAATTATAGATTAAGTGATAGAATACACATAGAAAATTATTACCAGTCGTAATTCGCTTCCGAAAAAATTGCAAGTTCGTTTGATGAATGCTGGAAAAAGATTATAATGATGAGAAATTTGGAAGTTTACGGATGTTAAAAAAGATCGCTACACATACATAAATGAGTAAAAATTAAACAAAATTGACCATTCAGATTTATTTGTAATTTTTTGTGCATTAGTAAACTTTTGGGAAATAAAAATTAAAAACATTTTCTATCTTTTGGTTTTACAGAAAACAGATGTCACGTTCACAAACTTTCTGAAAATAGTTTTAATGGAAATGCCTAAATGAAAGACTGAACATTTAATATCTACACAGTAGGTGAACCTAATCTGACAGCTTTCAACAAAAGCTCAAACTATTCAAATTTTCACAGCTCTGAGTTAACATCTGTTTAGCAAAAATAGAAATCAGTCAGTGAGAGTTATAGAGACGTAGAGAAATTTTCTGATTCAAAAAGAAGCCGACGGCAGCATTTAAATTTGATTTAAAATGAGAAAAACTGAAAACTTACCCATTTAGCAGCTTTCGCAGCCGTTGAACCACCCAAAGTTGATTGAACATTCGAATGAAAGCCAGATGAAATCGAAACATTATCTTCTTCCAAATGCAATGTTTTGAGTGTTTCTTGAATTTCTACCACTTTCTTCAAATGAATGATTTTACAACACAATTGGCATTTGTTGTCAACACAATCGCGAGAATGTTTCAACAATTCTCTATAATATCCACATTGATCTTTTTGGCACTTCTTGGTGTTCTCGCACAAATAAATGTGCTGAATCATTGTTTTGATTCCAACTGCTAGAACGAGAGGACAAACACGTGGAGTTGGATAATTTTCGTGGCTGGCCATTGCAAACAGAGTATTCCAAAGAGCCGAAATCTCATTTTGAAGCAATGAGATTTGTATTTGGAGTTTTGAAGTCAGTTCGACATTTTCATCAGAAATCAATTCGATGATGTGGCAAACGTATGCTGCCGTCTGTAAAATTACCATTTCAATATTTGAAATAAGGTCAGGCAGTGTGAAATTTTGATTTTATTTAGAATTGGAATGGTGCCGAAACAAGGTGTTATCAACATAAAAAAAATTGAGAAATTTCACTCAAAACAATGTTCGCCATATATTTTTCAGCTGGTTAGTATTAGAAAATACGGAAAAAATTGACAGCCACCCAAAAAAGTAATTTTTTAACTTTTTTTAAAACTTTATAAAAACTTACCGAAGAATATTCAATTGTCGGAATCAACTTTCTTTTCGAAGCTGAAGCGGAAGAACTCGACTTATTACCCATTTTGTTAAAATCTGTAAAAAAAAGGAAAAAACGCGCACAAAAATGAAGAATAACAAAGTAATGCCCCCAAAATAACACAGATGTCCAACAAGTGTTCGTCCATTTTTACAAAAACATATAGAATCTTGTAGAAACAGAAAAAATGAGCGCTTTTGAGAAAAAAAACAGTTTATCCTTGGAATTTTATTTTTGCAAAAACAAACGGACGGTGAGAAAAATGGAAAGAAACTAAAAAAAATAAGGTGGATAGAAATTTATCCACACAAAACACAGACAGAGACAGAAAATGAATGAATCATTGCCAATAACGATTCGTTTAAACAAAAACAAAAAATTTATCGTGCAATTTTTTCAAAGAAAAATGCCGAATGTGTGTCTAACTTTTTTGATATATAAAAGTCCTTTTTTTCACAAACTACAGTACTACTTTTATATAGTATACATGATACATGAAACCTTAAAATCTACGAGCTACCTTATTTTTTTCAAAAATACACAGATGTTTATCAAAAATACACAGATAAATGTTTCCCAAAATCTTCCCACAGTTGATTCTGTCTACATCTGTATGTTTACGATGTTTACGATGTTTTATTCAAAAATAGGAAAGACGAAGACACGTGTCAAAAATAAGTAGGTCAAAAAGGGGGCGTGGTTTGTGTGCCATATGTTGGTATTCTGTCTGTAATACAATCGGTTTATTCATAAACTTGTTCGACAAAGTCTATTTCTATCAAAGACTGACTTTTTCAGAGACTTCGAAAGAGTAAAATTGTTCCTTATTGGCAATTCAACACAAATTATGAACCAGAATTCTTCCGAATAACACATCATCACGTAAAGTTCCAATCATTTTCTATGATATTCATGATCCGTCTTATCGAAACTTCTGATGATCCGTTTTTAATTGTAACCCTATTTCGATCAGGAAATCTGTAAATCTCAACACTTAGTTTGAAAAATGTTCTTGAAAATTAAAAAAAACAAGTTTTGAAAATTAATTTATTACATAGCAAACAAACGATCCAAAAGAACTTCCCCAAATCCAAATGAAAAGTTTGAATGCTATTTACATACTACAAAATTAAAGCATGATAATATGTGATACAGGATAAAAAAAAATAATTGCGGAATATATTTAAAAAATTCAAGAGATCAGAAACTACTGATGCATTAAAATTATAAAATTTAACTGAATTGAGATCAGTTTCAAAATGAGATGATATTCTACAAAAATAGATAGGAACAGAAATAAATCAGTGAAGAAATCAAACTTGGTGTAACTAGAAAAAGTATGGTGATATCACCGTTCACTGGGACCATAATAACACTTGTGACACATAAGCACTAAACATATTCTGGAAGGGTTAAATTAATGAATGAATAAATAAAAAAGAATGCGTTAAGAAATTATTTTTTTGCTTTCTTTTTTTCTTTTTCCTTTTTCTCGGCTTCTTTTCTCGATTGTTCAATAGCCCATTTCATTTGTTGTCGATAATATCTTCCATGCATACTTGAATCCTCCGATGTTGATGGACCTTCTCCGTAATCATCAAAGTCTTCAGCAAGTTCGAGTTCCTCAGACGATGAATCAGACATCTTTCTTTTTGGTGGACGTCTCTGAAACAAATCATTTGTTTTTTTTTGTCAAAAACAAACGTCAAAATAAACTCACTGTTGAAGAAGAAGAAGAAGGTTTACGATCATATGAATCATCAACCAACTCTTGTTTAACCTCTTTCATAGCCTTTGTTGGTTTGCTTGGTGGTGGTGGCGGCGGCTTTTTCTTTGGAGATGGTGGTTTTGGTGAAGATTTTGGCTTTGGAGGTGGTTGTTTCTTCTTTGGTGCTGATTTAGTAGATTTTGAGGATAAAGATGGGCTGACAAAATCGCTCGATTCGTTTCCAGTATCAATATCAACATCTAACGGCTCAAGTTTGACTTCTTTCAAAACTTTGGTCTTTGGTGAAGCAATTGGTACTGTTGGAGCAACTACAACTGGTGTATCATCAATAACGATCGGCTCAATGTTGATCGAAGTTTTTGGCGATGAAAGTGGCGTTTTGGTTTTTGGTGAACGAACAGGCGATTTCAACGGAGACGGTGATTTCAACGGTGAAGGCGATTTGAGAGATGGTGTACGATGATATGTTGGTGACTTCAAAACAACTGCCAAATTCTTCATAGATTGAGGCTTGGCTGCAACATCATTTTTCTTTGGTTCTTCTGCTTCTTCAAAATCACTGGCGAATATTTTGAAGTTGAAATCAGGAAGGTTCTTCCTATCGAACTTGGCCTTATCATAGGATACTTGTGGCAAAGAATCTTTTGGTCTCTCTTCTTCTTTTTTGACTTCTTCTTTTTTGGCCGATTGTTCGAGTAGTAATTTTTTCCTCAATCGCTCGGCTTTAGCAGATTTTCTTTGAGCTGCAGCTTTTCTTTCTTTCTGTTTCTTCAATAGATTCTTCTTCTTGTCAGTAGATCTTTTGAGTTTTGCGAAGAACTTGTTTTTTGTGGCCAACATAGCAAGGGCATACCTGAAATATGATGTTTAGTTTAGTCTTGAAATTATCTTTCTAATTTGAAACTCACTTGATTTTGAGAGCTGATACAGTTACTCCATGAATCATATGGTAAAATGTTGCCAACTTTTCTCGGATCAACAATCCTTGTGACGAGATTTTTCCATAAATTTTATCAAGTCCTTCGTGGCTGATCAATGCATTTTTGTCAATTTGAAGACCAGTTTGATATTCAGCAAAGATACCATTTTTATTCTTGAACACAATTTCACGTCGACTACGTTGATGAGAATTGACATCGATCAAATATTGAGTAGCAACTGCTGGAGGTTTTGGTTGATCAGCGGCAATTTTTGGATCCGGTTTCTTTGCTTTATCGAGTTTCATGGCTCTGTAAACAATTATATTTTATTTCTCAAATCTCAAAAAGTCAAAAATCACTCACGAATTTTTAGCTTGAGCTTTATTCGCCTTTTCCCATTTTTTAACATCAAATTCAGTGACAACACCGAGACTTCTATCATATCGTTTTGCATTCCATGCTGGTTTTGTATTATCAACAAATGAATCAGGATGAGTTTCAGACATTTCTGGAAGCCCAACGTGTCGCGTTGTATCGACAACTTCAGGTGTATAACTTCTGAAAAAAGAATCATGTTTTTTTTTTCTTTAAAAAATGGGTATAAACATACGATGGAGCCACAAGTTTTCCATGTTTTGTAAATCCACATCCCAATTCATTGCTTGTTGTTGGTGCACCTTTCCAAAATGGTGATTTTGCTTTCAAACTTTGATTGATAAACACACTTGATGGATTGAAAGTAATATTACTTGGATGATCAAGTGGCATTTGTGGAGATGGACCATTGACCGAGAACGCAGACATCCATTTACGCATAATTTTCAACTTTACATCATCGTTATAGGATTGTGGTTTAGCTGGATTACTTGAAATTTGAATTTCACGCAACAATTGAACATAGCTTTTTGGATCAAAAATGTGAAGAATATGTTCAAACAATTGAAAGCAATGCAACTCTTTTGTCAAACTGTCATTCAATTCATCTTCAACTCTTGACATTTGAGCAAGCAAGAATCTGAAAAAAAAACATTTTATAAATTTTTAATAACAATTAACTTTTGTTTGAAAAAACTCACGGTTTCCAATAACTTCGTCTTTTATGACCCTTTTTAATTGCTTTCACACGTTTTATTCTATTCTGACGATCCACAGCATTTGCCAAAATATGGGCTTTTCGTTTCGAATATAGATTTCTGTTCTTCAACACATTGATCGATGTTTCTTGACTGATCTTCTCAATTTTGATTAGACGCTTGTCAATAACTTCGTCTTGTGGGAACATGGTCGAATAATTTTTACGTGGTTCCAACAATGATTTGAGGAATCCAAATGTCTTTTCAAAGACTTCATCCGAAGGTTCTTGATCTCCTTCCGCTTGTTTTGCCAATTCTTCTTGAATTTGTGACCAAACACGAGCTTGCAATAATTCAGGAGTTATATAAATTCCATCTTTTAGTGATGCTAAATGTTTCTTCATATCATTTACATCTGGTACGAAATTATCATCGAAAATTGAATGAAAAACTTGTGGTTGCTTTTTCGGAGATTTTGGCTTTCTTGGTGGTGGTCCAGTTGATGTGGATGGTCCATCATAATCAATTTCATCTTCACTCTCTGATTCAATATCATTTTGATTTTGAATTCGTTTTGGTTTCAAATCATATCCCAAAACGTTAGCCAAACTTGTGATATCCTTCACAGGAGATTTCAGATTATTTGAACTCAACAATTTTTTGAATTTGGGATTTTGATTTGCCACCTTTGCGATATTCAAATTTGGTTCAACGCCATTCTTCATCAAAAATTCGAGACCAATCTTGTACTTGTTGATTTGCTCTTCCAATGAGGAAACAGCGTGTTTAAGAGAAACGTTCTTATTTTTTGCACGTTTTTCAGAGTCTTCATTTTCAACAAGACAATCCGTTTCATTTTGTTCTTTTTCTTTCTCTTCAATTTTACGAATTCTTTCTTCGATATCGCTAATTTTTGCTTTTACTTCTGGATCTTCAGATTTTATGTCTTTTGTGGCAAAGAACAATTCAATCATCAAATCAAACTGAAAATTGAATATTTCTAAAGGATATTTATATTAGAAAAACTCACCTTTTCGTTCTTATTTTCAGACTCAGAAGTGTTTTGAGCGTCGTTCATAATTTGATCAAAAAAGCTTATCGTTTTTCTCTTTCCATACTTTGAGTTGTTTCTCATAGTCACGCTAAACAATATTGCATTTGAAGATATTATACATAATTGTGAAAACTTACTGTTTTGATATAATTCTCAATAGATTGTTGATGTTTCAACTTCTTTTCTTCATAATACGCTTTCATTGCTTTTCTTGACAAACAAAGAGGAATTGGTTGATAAACGTAGCCAGCCTGAAAAAAAAATTTTTAAGAGCTGTCAAAAAAAAAGTTTGTTAAAAAGTTGCATACCGATTCAACAGTACGATCTTCACCATCCAAAACATCTCGTTTTTCCGGAATTTTGAAATGTTTCTTCTCCAAATGATCCAAAGCAACCGTTTTCAAACATTGTGCAATGTCCAATTTTCTCTCCTTTAATGTGTTTTCAAAATCTGGCAACAACTTTCTGTCAAGTTTGAAAATGTTTTCAGTCAGTTTTTGTATTGGAGCGATACTCAAACATTCTTTTTTGTACATTCTTCTGGCTGATGTAACAATTTCATCACGACATGTTTCGATGGCAAGTTTTTCGAGAATCTCATCAATTCTTTCTTCACCATTACTTGGCAAGGCTTCGAGATGTTGCATTGCATACAATCGAATAAGCTCCTATAATAAAATGATTTTAAAAATATATAATATTTTCAGAAAATAAAAACTAACCTCTCTCAATTTTATCAATGTTGTTTCCTCAAGATCATTCAAATCTACAACTGGAGCAATCTCGTTAAGTTGATTTTTATCGACAAATGGGCTGAAAAAATAACAAAATGATGTTAGAATGAAAAAAAAACATTCAACCAACCTTGCAAAAATGTTAGCAAAAGATTTTGGATCAGTTTCAGCAGCAAAAACAAATTTGGCATTCTCTTGTTGGCTGTCTTTCGTGAGATTATTGACGAATCTCCTATGTTTGGCAAAATTCTTCTTGACCGTTTTCCAACAAGATTCCAATTGCTTCTTTCGCAGTTTTTGTTCCTCCATAATTTGTTGTTCAGTTTTCTTGTGTTTCACCCAAATCTCATTACCACATTTGTTTACTTTTTCATAGAAAACGCCATTAACAACTTGTAATGCTCGCCCATCTTTATCCGGATTCATTCGACCAACAACATCCTCAGCAGAAGTTTCCTTTTCAGCAGCTTTGCTGGTTGATGCATTTTTGTTGGCTTGCAAATTGATTTGACTTGTTTTTGCAGATTCACCAACTACCACAATATCATCATCGTCAGTTTCCATGTTGGTTGGTTGCGAAACCGCGGTCGAAGCTTTTTTCGACTTTTTGATAGCTCTTAATTTTCCAGCTTTTCTTAATCGTGCAGATTTCTTCATCATTGCAGCTCGTTTTGCAGCTCTCAATCTTCTGGCTTTCACAAGTGTTTTGGGTCTTTTTTCAACTTGTCTAAGCTTTGCCCATGCACTTGCGAGAGATCTTTTATTTCCACTTGCTGCAGCAATAAACACCTTTTCTGCATTATTAACAACTGATTCCCATGAATTATCATTTGGCTGTTTTGCAGAAAAAGTTTTCATATTTTCGTAATTCTGTTTTTTCAAAGCATTCAATCCAAGAAGTTCAACATCATCCTGTGGTACTCTCGAATTTTTGGCTTGTTCCTCTTCTTTTTGACAAACAGAGTCCAAAAGTCCGTCGACAGTTTTATTCACAGCTTTTTCTTTTCTATTTTTCTCCGTACTTGCAACATATTTCTGAACCCGAATATCTTTGTTGATCTTTTCTTCGACTACACGAGTGATTGCTGCCATCTTTTTCTTTTCAGCCTTCTTTTTCTCCATTTTTTCGTGCTCTTCTCTTTCTTCATCATCACTTTCAGAATCGGATGCACCAGATCCTTTTCCGCGTTTTGATGTTTTCTCTTTCTCTTTGATAGCAGTCGCCAATTTTCTCTCAATTTGAATGGTTTTTTGTCGCTTCTGTCTGCGAACGATTCCCTTCTTCATGTTTTTCTGAAAAATAAATTATTTTCGGTTTATATGAAAACACAAATTCAACGAACCTTGGCAATTGGTTTAGCTTTGATATAAATATCCAAAAGAGAATTTGTTAATAATTTTCTCATACTTCCATCATCATCGTGATATTTTGGATCAATGTCAACATTCTCCAAAGATTTGATCAAATTTGCTTGACTGGTTTGAAGAATATTCTGCAAATAATTTCATGAATTTCTCTCTTTATAGTTAAGAATTTTAAACATACCTTAACTTTCTCCTCGATGTTAGCTTTTTTCGTCAATATTTTAATAAGACGGTCTTTTTGGAGAACATTTTGTTGATGTTGAAGAAATTCTCTCTCATTCTTATAAACATTATTGAAAAACATGCTTCGGGCAACTTCTTCATCTTTGTCATAAATTGGTTCAAGAGAATTAAACAGAGTTGACATTGACTTCTGAAAAAAAATCTATTTTGAGAGTTCGGTTCTGATAATGAAACAAACCTTTTTATTAATTTTTTTCTCAAGAATTCGAATTTTTTGACCAATTTTGAAAAGTTCCTTGCTTTCGCGACGCAATCTAAGAACAGCTGAAACAGCAACTTCTTCTTTGGTGAGTGGACCTTCGATAACAATGTCTTCCTTCTGAAAAATATAATTTTGTTATTGAAGCAGAATTTGTTTTGAATTTATTTCTCAAGCTATCCTTGAATTTTTTTTTTTGAAAACCTGTTTTTTAAAGACCATCTATTCCCAAACAGAGTCAACAACTCACATTTGATGTTGTTACAGGTTTTGTTTCTGTAACTGGAGCAATATTTTCCAATTCTTTAGCTTCAAGTGCTCTCATCTTCTCTTCAGCTTCTTTTGTCGCATGATCGTATTTCATAATCAAGCCATTGAAAAAAGACACATCATTACAACGAATTTTCTCATTTGTTCCAGGTTGTTTTTTGAATAGTTTTGTTTTATCAACTGAATTCAATATTCGAATAGCCACCATATTATCCTTATCAGCATCTTTTTGTTTCCGCATAATTTTTTTAAAGCCTATTGGCTTCTTTTTTGAAGCAGCTTTTTTCTTCTGAATCTTTTTCTTAATTGGTACCTTCTTCTTTTTGGAAACCTTCTGAACAACCTTCACTGCTTTCTTTTTCCGCACAAGTTTTCTCACAGGAGCAGGTGCTGACACAGGAGTAGGCGCGGGTTTCGCTACAACAACCACCAATTCTGCTGCTTTTGGTTTAGGTGTTTTAGGTTTTCTGACGACTGGTGGAGGTGGCGAATAACGAGTGACAGGTGTATGTGTTGTACGTGACACGATTGAGTTTATTACAGTGGGTTTTGGTGGTTCAGGAATGACAGCTTTACGAGCAGCCATTGTAATAATTGGTTCACGATTTACAGGTTGTGTTTTTACAGATTGAACTGGCTGCGGTAGTTGCTGATGATGAACAGGTTGTTGGTGCTGAATATTTTGCTGATATTGAACATGGTTTTGATTCTGAATATGTTCTAGCTGTTGTTTTTGCAATTGAATTTGCTGTTGTTGAGATTTTGGCTGATAATATTGCTGCGGTTGTGGCTTAACCTGTGGTTTTTGAGCAATATGTTGAGCCAATTGTTGTTGATAAATCGCGGAAGACGAAGGCGGAAGTAATGGTCCAGATGTATTTGTGTAATTTGCTTCTGCAGCAGCAGCGGCGGCTGCGGCAGCGGCTGCAGCAGCAGCTTGCTTGGCTTTCGTCAAATACGGCTTTCTTGGCTTTGACGGCTGAAAAAAAGTTCTATTTTCATCTCAAGTGATAATTTTTCTTACCTTTCTCTCTTTCTTTGCCGTTTCCTGATTCTTCTTCTGTTGTTTGATTTGCTGTTGAAGTCCTAGTGGAAGACTGACAAAAATAGCTTGTTCAGTTTTTGTTAAGCCAGTATTTTGCATCATAACCTTTTGCTGGCGGAGAGCATCTTCAGGATTTACTAAAAAATAATTATTAGTTTATATGAATTCATTATTTCACATTTACACTCACAAAGTGCAACATTACCTGATGTTGATGGTTCGTCAGGACTATTCAAGTTAACTGGAATTGATGTTTTGATGTTCACTGGCTTCTCATCTGAAATATTGAAAATGACCTAATTTTTAAGAATGAATGTAACTTACAAGACCAATCTGCATTATAATCGTCATTTCGAGGGCGACCTCGTTTTTTCTTGTCCGGTTGTGTGGTTCCACCTGGAACACGAATAGGCATTTGGAAATTGACATTCATTCGAATTTCATCTGGAGTTGGATCAGCTTCAAATGTTTGCTTTCGATTGCGTTTTCTGGTTGTTTCGAGTTGGACTGGAGGTTTTACATCAACACAAAGTGGATCAAACGGTGGAATAACAGATGGAAATGGTGGCGGTTGAAGTGTTGGTTGTACGGCAGCCATCGTTTCCAACAACTTTTTCTTTGCCAACGATGGAGTTCCCGAATGATGACGTCTCAATATATTTGGGCGTGGCGAAGATGTTGTAACTTGTTGTTGAGCAGTTATCAAATTATGATGCGGCAAAATAGTTGGATTTTGGCTTTGTTGTTGAATTAATTGCAACATTGCTTGCATATCACTGTGAGCTGTTGACAAACTCGATGCTGGCAAATTGTTGAGACTCAATCCATGACGAGAATAATTGTCTTCGTGACCAAATTGTTGATACATACGATTTCTGGCCTTTTCTTCAGTTTGAGCACGAGCTTGTTCTTGATAAAGAGCTTGAGTTCTAACATGATCTTGAGTAGTAGGCAACGACAATCCACGACCACTTCCAGTAACACGACCACGATTTGGTGGGCGACCACGGGAATTATGAGCAATCTAAATAAAACATAGTTTTTGGTTTTCATAGTCGCATTAGAGTTGTTTGGAGAAAATTGATAATAAAACTTACATATGGCACAGGTTGTCTAACTTCTGAATTTGATCGACTACTTGGATAAGCTGATGTTGATGCCAATACTCCGCTCGATTCCATCGTCAATGCACCAGATTGTAATAATGCATTTTGTGATTGCGCTTGTTGCAACATACGCAACTCATGTTCACGTTTTTGCGCTTCTCGTTGCTGCTTGATTTGTTGTTGAATACGTTGCTGTTGACGCATATGATTTTGAATCTGTTCTTGTTGAAGCTGCTGCTGCTGCTGATGGTATTGTTGCTGTTGAAGCTGTTGCTTCTGTTGTTCCAATTGTTTTTGAACCTCAAGCTGCTTTTGTTGCTGTTGGTGCAATTGCTGTTGAGCTTCCAGTTGTGTTTTCACCATTATTGCTTCATGAATTTTCTGTTGGAATGTTGGGTCACTTGCAGCGGCGTGAAGAGCAGCGGGAGTAGGGGCTTGTCCAGAGCTGAAAAAGTACACTATATGAAAAATTGAGAATGTTGGTTTCTATCGCTGAACGTTGAAAATCATTAAAAAAAACATAGAAAAAAAGCTAGTGCGATGGAGCACACATTCCATTTTTTGAATAGAGATTTTTTATAAGTGTTTTTTTGAGCTGCAGATTTCCAAAATATGAAAAATAATTGGAAAAAAAATTTGAAACGTTTTCCATATAAAATTTGACAATGTTTTTTTTCGGAACAGAAAATAATTGAAAACGGAGAGGAGAAGAAAAGAGTCCAATTTTTTTTTGAAAAAAAAGGTGTCACATAGAGCATGAGAAATGTCTTGTTCAAAAAACCGAATTTTCTTTTTTTCGAACGGCAAAGAAAAAAAATAATTGGAAAATGGAAAATGAATAAAAGCTCGGTTTTGTTTGGAAAATTTACATATGCCAGAAAAAGAAATGAGAAACGTAGCTGTGAAATAGAGAAGACAATCGATTTTTGTTTTTAGGTAGCATTTTTTTTGAAACAGAAATAAAATAATTCGAAAATGAAAAAAGGAAAAGTGATTGCAAGCAATTCAGCGGCACAGAACATGACAATAAACCGAGTTTAATGAAAAATTCTCGGAGCGGCCGACTATCCGATACAAAACACATTATTAGAAAAAGGAAAATGTAAAAAAAATCAATTGTTTCAAACCGTGTGATTTTTCAAACTGCATGTCAAAATAAACACGAGGTAGCAATTTTTTTCAAAACACAAAAATTCGAAAAATGAAAATGAACAAAGCTGAAAAGGTGTGTCAGAAATAAGCAAAGAAACATGAATTCTCAATAGAGCGAAAATCATTTTTCAATTTATTCAGACACTGGAAATTTTTGTATAGACAAGAAATCACTGATTGGAAAAGGAAAGATGAAGAAGAGCTCAAATTTTCTATAGAAAGTGTATATCAGAATTAATAAATGCAACAAAGCCAAAAAAATTTTTCTCACATTCCGTCTCATATTTTTCTGAAACAGGAAAACACTAATTGGAGTGAGGAAAATGAAAAAAAGGAGCTCAAGTTTTTTTCTAAAAAAAAAGTATGTCAGAAAAACGTGAGAAGTAGATTAGAAAGTGCAATAAAGATTTCTTTTTTTTTCTGAAAAGCCATTTTTTCAAAACAGAAAAAAATTATGGGAAAATGAAATATATTGGTTTTTATTGGAAATCGACAAAAAAAACTCACTTTTGTAAATGCATTGCTAGAAGTTGTGAAATAACAGCTGGTTCTAATGTTGTATTGGTTGCTGGGACATCTCTGGCTTTTGTGGTGATACCCATTCTTTCACGAAGCGCTTGTTTTGCTCGTTCTTCATTTGCTATTTGAGAAAGATCCACATTTGGAATAGGTGTATTACGTAAGGACGCCATATTGTCACTCAAAAATGATTTTTTTTTGCCGGGGATGAGAAATTTTTCATAATTTTTTTTGATGAATTTCAATTTCTAATAACTTGATAATGATTAAATAATTCTATTAATGAATTGAAGGTTCAGTTTTGTATTCCGTTTCACCCTGTTTCCCCCCAAAAAAATAAGAAAAAAAACTTACATTAACCCTTGCGATGAAGTGGAAGGATTGGAGTTGAATAGAATATTGTTAAACATTCCGGAATGATTAGGAGTATTTCCAGAAAACGCAATACGCGACGAGAACATATTCATAGATGACGAGGGCAAACCACCAGGTGTCGACAAAACTGATGATGGTCTTGTCAAGTTTGATGTGTCCACACGCAATTGATTTCCCATTTGAGGTTGCGGAATAACAATATTTGGAATAGTTTGTACCGCTGATTGAAGTCGGGGTGCATGAAAAGCACCGCTACCGGATGAAAATGATTGGGAGGAGACTGTGTTTGGTGTCAATCCTCCCGTATGTTGGCCAGGAAACGAAACTCGAATACCACCAGGAGGGGGAGCAGGTGGCATTGAGGGAGTTGCGATAACATTGCTTCCTGGGAACAAAGTTTGTTGAATTGTTGGTTGGACGGATGGGTCGATCTGCAAAACAAATCATGTTCTTTGGGGATATTAGTGAGATTTGAGCATTAATAGATGAGAAAATATTATAATTATCATCGTTTTTTAAGGGCATAGCACGGTGTTACGAAGAAAATCGATTTTTGCGCATGAACATGAGTCATCCCATAATTTTGTTCTGATAAAAATGAATCGGCGGCAAAAAACTTACTGGCTTATCCGACACTTCGTCCATCGTTTCTTTGCACAATAGATCTGCAATAAAATTGCGATTATTTTCATTTTCTTAAGAAATTGTAAAAAATTTACCTTGTGGCATACTATTTACAAACCAAGAACGAAAGACAGGCTCTGTAACAAAATACGATTATTTGGACGTGTTTCAAACAAAATATCAGAGAAAAAAACGAAAAATAACAATAGTTTACAAACATTTGTATGGGAAAAAATAAATAAAAACAGAAAAAAAATAAAAGGGTATGAAAGGCGAAAAATATATGGCAGCAGAAATTGCTGACGCTAGACACACATACAGCGACGAAATAGTGTGCGAAAAGAGGAGAGACACTCTATTTTGCACTTTTTTCATTCAACGACGCGTACGCGCGTTGCTTGTCAATAAAAATACTATGCATTGAGAAGAGAAACAGGGATGAAAGATAGAGAAATAGTTCGAGTTTTTCCGAGACGCAGACATAAAACATTTATTGCGGCAATTCAAATTATTATTTTTTTGGTTTTAAAAAGGCGAGTCGTTTCTTCACATTGAGGTATGATTGTAAACCTCGTTTTTTTCGAAATAAAAATAAAGAAATATATTTTTTAGGCTGTCAATGATATGTAACATAGATTTTTAAGCATGTTTTTTTGGAAAAATGTTTATTGTGACAAATTGAAAAAAAAACAAAAACAAAGTACTGTCAATGAAAACTTCAATTTCCCCTAATACAGCGTGTGATTAACTATCCCAAAAATGACGGGGTTTTTTTAAAATCAAACCAGAAGAATCCGGCTAGGTTTTATCAATCGGGCCCGGCTTTGAAATTTTTATTGGGTCGGGCTGGCCTGACATTTTTTAATTATTCTGGTTCAACTCAAAATAAGCCACTTAGGTAGTTAATCACACTCTGTCCCCATAGAATCAATCAACTCACCCAAGGCCAAAGAAGATTTCGTGGGTCCATAGTTTATTTCAGAAAGAAATAACGATTAACCAAGTTTGAAACAGATTGAAGGGCAAGTATGATGATATTCGCAATCAAATCGCTATAGCAACCTGCAAAAAAATCAACTTATTCTGATAACAAGTTTTATTGGCATAGTAACGAAACACGAAACAAAAAGTAATTATAGGTTTATTTTTTCAAACGGAAACCTATGAAACAGAATTATTTTGTTTTTGAGAGAAAAAATGATGAATTGCGAAATCATAACGTTCAGTAGTTATAGAATTAATGAAAAACATGTCGAAATATGATTTCAAAAGTTGATTTTTCAAAAATCAGTTTCATGTGAGGGTAACAGTGATGACTGCTTTTAAGACTGCAAGTTAAGTTGCTGGAGGCAGTAGATTGAAGATTAATTGAGCACACTCTCCTCCAACTAAATATGACGTGATTTGAATTAGGTCGAGATGTAGAACAAAGCCGGAAATAAACATTCAAAATAATATGGTGGGATTACTAATTAGATTTTTCTGAAAACATCCTACAATCTGAAACTGCCAGAAATCCCAGAAAAAGATGTTATGGAGTTTTAAAGTTACCCTCAGGAATTTCTGGAATTTGTTGACTGGGATCATTCTTGAAATTCGCCGTGTAACGAGTATTTTTATAAAATTTGTAAAAAGTTGATTTTGGATCCTTATGCATTTCAGGCACAAAGGAAACAACATTGACATAGAAAGGGTTGTTTTCTGGAAGGTAACTTCCTAAAGCTTTTCCAAGACTTCACTCCTAGAAATAAAAGGACCTTCCTGGCAGGTGCCTAAAAATTCCTCCACAATTTTTAATACGGTGGTGCTAAAAAGGTGTCGTTTTTTTTTTCCGAGAAGCTTCTCTTGAAGATTTAGCGACAGAAAAATGAGAAGTTGTATATGCGAAAAAGTTCGTAATGATGAGAATAGTGAAAAAAAGTTGTCAAACGTTGCATTAAAAAAACTTCTTACTCAAATTAGTTTCATTTGAGATGAGAGGTCCTATTTTTGTGCGCAAAAGACAGCATTTCTATGAAAAAATACTCAAATGAAAAGGCTTCTCGCCACAAAAGCTCATAAATTTCATCGGCAAATGAAATATGGTCACATTTTTTCACACAAAGAAAAAGAAAATAATAAATAACAATTTACACAACAAGCTCACGCGATAGTCCGCGGAAAAATTAATTTCAACGTACATATGTTTTGAAATTGGAAAAAAATAAAATATGGTTCATTCTTCTTTTGTTCGCAAAAAAATGCGTGACAGAATGACGATATTTCACATTTCAAGAAAATTGGATTCAAAAAATTTGGCGCGGAGGCGTCCTCCATTAATGCACAAAAATGCACTGATTTTCTTTTTTTTGTGAAGAAATAAAAGGGTTTTGCCGCGCATAAATAAGAAAAAGCAATAAAAATACAGTAGTATAATATGATATTATTTAATCACATAAAGCTACAGTATGCGTTTCGAATTATATTAATGTGTATAATCTTTCCCAAGAAATTTTTGGCTGGCTCCTGACACGTTTCCATAATCAAAAACAATAATAATAAAAATTATGACGCTCTTAACAGAAAAAAAACGATGGGACTTTTTTTTTGATTGGGAAAATAAAAAAAACTATTCTGCTATCGTAAACATATGATTCTCGCCAAAAAAAATATCAAATTACTTTTCTATTTATAAATTAGATACTCATATTCACGAGTTTAGAATGGCCAAAAATATTTTTATACATACTGATGTGAAATGAAATGGGTGAACTATTTTTTGTTATTCAATGGCTACAGTAATCTGAAGCAGGTGCAAGATATATCCGTTCTGATCATTTTTTTTCAATAGAATGTTTTGTAAATGTGGTGAATAAGAAACGCTCGTGAGAAGGTCGTTGTGAAACAAAACACTTTTGGATTGTTGCTAAAAATGTTCTTTTTTTTTAGAATTTGAGAGAACATTCGAAAATAAATGACATCAAACACCTGCTAATCATCGTTTTGTATAAAACATTTTTGCAGAGCGATATAGTGTATATAATGAGTGACAAGGTGAACTGAGAAACTTATTTTTTAGAGCAGAATTCCCCACTGCGATCAAACAATCAAAATCTCATAGTTTTGCTGAACCTCAATTTTCGAAATTTGAAATCATTCCCCGTTTTATTAATTTCAGTTTCAAACCCCCTAAAACCATCAAATTTCTTATCGATGTTTGGTCTAAAAATCTTCAATAACAAGTAGAAAAAAATAAAAATTTTGTATTTCAAAAAAGAAAATTAGTACAATTTCTGTTCTAATGAGATTAAAATGATTTCAGCCGACCAAAAAATCGAAGTTTTGGTTGTGGTTTTGGTTTCAGAAGGCGCAAAAAACAAAAAACTCTCATTCGGCGAGTTTTAATGGGTCTGGCGAGTGAAATTACTTTGGAGACAGCAAAAAATGAAAGACGATTTGTTGAACGGAAAAAAAATTGGATAAGTACATGGAATTGTGCAAAAAATGAGGAATAAAGAAAACTGAAAATTCAAGTTGAAAATTATGTAAAAGCAGTTGAACAATTATTTTAGTGTTTCCCAAAGCTTCGCATGGAAAAGGTTACGAAAGGGACACGTGGAGAAAATTGTCTGCAAGAAGTGTATTCAAAAAATTTTGCAGATCTGAAAAAATGTTTTTTTTCAGAAATTAATTGTAAATGTGAAGTAACATAATATGTATAAGATTTTCAGAAATATCCTTTTAGGAACACCTCAACCATATTTTTTAGACAAAGTTTTTACTCGTAAACTTCATGAGGTCGCAAAAAATCCAAGTTCACCAAGATCCACCATGTTAAATCGTTTTTTGTGTCCAAATTTGAAAATATGTTTTCTATTATCAATTATTATGTTGTTCTTATGTGTACGTCAATTTGTACTCTTCATAAATAAACCTGCGAAATAATTCTCTCTGAAAAACGGAAATAATAACTCAATCTTCAGCCATCTCAATATTTTACAAATCTTCACTTCTGTCTTCATTATTTCTCCAAAAACATGTTTAAAATTTTGGAATAAAATTCCGAAAATGCCAAAAAAACAAATGAAATCCATATGGCAAAATTGTATTTCAAATCCGGAAAATACAAAATTTATTGAGAACCGCCTTTTTTCATTAAAACCTAACATTCATTTCAAAACCAATAAGATTTTTTTGAAATTCGAAATCTATCCATATTATTCTGTGTGGTGCGAGAATTCCAAAATGGGACTTTGTTATCGTCTTTATATCCGCTTCAAGGTGAGTTTCATTTAGTAGAAAGTGCAAATGGCAATACTATAGCCTAAAAACAATTTGATTGTTTTTTTTTTGCAAAATTCTATTTTTTGTAATGATGTCTTCATCATCACAAAAATAGACTTTCAAAAAAAAAAGTTTGTTCATTATCCAATCAACGCAGTCCTTTAAAAGGATGAAGAAGTCATTTATTTTTGTTTTATTTCATTTTATTTTGTTTTTTTTTCAAATTTGTTCTTTTTCATCTATGCGTTTTTGAAACTTTTCATTTTTCAGTCAAAAATTCCACAATTTCGAACAATTGTTTCATATTTTTCCGAATTATTGTACCGTTTTGGAGTGATGCATAGAACATATAATTATGAAGATTTTTCCGATAAATTCAGAAAAAATGAGACAGGTACAAAAAACTTCTGTGTTTCGCACATCATTTGGTTTTTTTGCAGTTTACTACGCAAATCCTGCTGAAACTGAAGTGTTGAACAATGTCAAAGTTTGGGTTCAACATTCAAACTTTTTTGGACAGAGCACCCAATCAGCGGATGAATATGTGAGTTTTCGAGGACTGTAGAAAATATGGTCGTATGAAACATTTTGCAGTTTTCGTTAGAATCTCAACCAATTCGTCAGACTCGAACACTTCCAGCAACACCTGAATATATTCCAATCAAAGGATCGATTCAGCATCAATTTCAATACGAAGTATGTTTTGGAAATAATGTAACAATGAGTTGGGTTAAAAGCAAGTGTCTAGAAAAGAGCTAGTTAAGAATGGGGTGCCTGTGTGTTTCGCCGGTTTCATTTTTCTTTTTTATACATGCTGAAGCTAGGATTGAGTTAGAAAACTGTGGATGTGCGAATGTGGTTAGGTAATAATCATAAAACACCTGAAGAACTGTACGACAATTTTGTCAATCTTCATTCTTAGCCTTGGGCCCTTTTTTACGGATCTAGTTAAAGAATTTTGAGCTCCAATTGAGAAAATTCAGAATTTTCAATATCTGATCTTGTAATTGTTATATCGTTATAAGGCATTCCTTTCATAGTTTTAACAAAAATAAAAACGATTTCACGATGAAGAATTGAAAATATGAAAATATCGTACAGTAGTGGCCATAATTAAATCACTTTTTATTTTTTTGCTGTAAATAGGCTGAAACTTATCGAATGAGGTCCAAATTTTTTTCTGAGCTGTGTGGGGGTGCTATTGACGTTAGCCATAAGTGATATTCGAAACATTTGATCTGCAACAATTTTCAGATCATACTTACAGATTTTCATAAATGGGAAAATTATCAATTTTTCACAAATTCACCGGATTTTTTTTATTCGGATGAAAAAACACAAAGATGTACTTTTAATAGAATAGTAGAGATCTCAAGCTATCGATTCCTGCCTCAACATTGAAATTTACTCGATTTTGAGATCTATTCCGATGGTTTCAGTAAGACCATCCAGAAAATCTCATTTGGCTCAATTGTGCATTTTTCATGATAGTTTATCGTTGGATTTTTATCAAAACATTATAAATATGTGTTTTACATAATAATACATCAAATTTGAACTCAATCTGAAAGTTTTCGAACAGTTTTGACATTGATGGAATTCAGATGTTTGTCTTGATCTTTGATTATAGACCATCAGTGACATCAATCAATGATCCAAATTGATGAATTCCATTCTCTAGATGTTTCTGTATCTAATCCACAAGTTTCTTGAAGGTTACGGATCCCAACATCAAAGTAAAACATTCAAATATTGAAAGTTTCGGATTCTATCGTTTTTTCCATTGTTTTTTCTATGAAAAAGGAAGTTTTGTTTTCAATTATCTAATACGACCCCTGTACCTTTATTGGAGCAAATTTTGTTTGTTGCAAGTATTCTGGAATACATTGGGCACAAAATTCATCAATTTGGATCATTGATTGATGTCACTGATGGTCTATAATCAAAGATCAAGACAAACATCTGAATTCCATCAATGTCAAAACTGTTCGAAAACTTTCAGATTGAGTTCAAATTTGATGTATTATTATGTAAAACACATATTTATAATGTTTTGATAAAAATCCAACGATAAACTATCATGAAAAATGCACAATTGAGCCAAATGAGATTTTCTGGATGGTCTTACTGAAACCATCGGAATAGATCTCAAAATCGAGTAAATTTCAATGTTGAGGCAGGAATCGATAGCTTGAGATCTCTACTATTCTATTAAAAGTACATCTTTGTGTTTTTTCATCCGAATAAAAAAAATCCGGTGAATTTGTGAAAAATTGATAATTTTCCCATTTATGAAAATCTGTAAGTATGATCTGAAAATTGTTGCAGATCAAATGTTTCGAATATCACTTATGGCTAACGTCAATAGCACCCCCACACAGCTCAGAAAAAAATTTGGACCTCATTCGATAAGTTTCAGCCTATTTACAGCAAAAAAATAAAAAGTGATTTAATTATGGCCACTATTGTAAATAGCCAAAGCCCAACTCATTGTTTTTTTTCAACACAATATTTCTGAAAATCTATCACAAATATTTTACCAGGTTGTCGACCGCGACTATGAATTAGCGCTCACTGAAAAACCGCACAACCCAGTTTACCAAAGTTTATCAGCTCCAGTTCAAGGAAAACAAAAACCAAGTGAGAAAGATTTCGATAAAATCATGAATGATTATTTGGCTTGGATTGAAGCTGGAAAGACAGGCGTTACTGTTCGTAAACGCAGAAAACTTCCAGAATTGCCAAAACCAACGGTATTTTTTCCAAATTTATTAATTTTTATTCGAAAAACCCTATTTTCAGTCAACAAACTATGGAACATTTGAGCATTATTTGGAACTATCAGGTGGACAACAAGAAGAACCGACCTATGCAGAAGTTCGTGAATATTCTGGAATAAAAACTTGCATTATTGCATTTTTGCAGGTTCAACGACAAATCAACAATTATATGTTCAATGGAGAAAGAAATAATTATTTTCAAAATTATCGACCGCACGTTATTATTGCGGAAAAAGTATTTTTTTTTCATTGAAAAAATCATACATTATAATTTTAGGTTGGAATGAACAGTGCTGAAAATGCTCAATTGAGAAGAGATTTTCATTCGAATTCGACATCAATGGAGGTTGATAATTATTTTCACTATTGAATAAATATTAATTTATCATTTTTTTATTTTCAGAGTTCTGTCGATGATTACGAAATATTCCGTCAAGCTCAAAGAACACCACTTAATGCTAGGGTAATTAAAAAATTAATACAGAGTTTGAAAAACAATGAAACTAGACCATAGTTCAGAAGTATACGTAACATGCTTTTTATCATTTCCAATTAGAAATACGATGACAAAATATCACCACAATTTATTTTTAGAAAATTTGCAACATTTTCATTTATTTTCAAAAATATCACGAAACTATTTCAATTTTTTCAAACTCTGTATTCGCAATTTTCTCATTTCCTATTAAAATTTTGTTATTTTCAGTCAGTCAGTGCCACAGTGGACGATCATCGTAGATCAATCACACAAACAATTGAAGAAAATCCACGTATCAAATATCTTCGTGCTTTGGAAATGATGAGTTCTTCTGATCAGGTATTTCCGTCATATGTCGGATAAATGTTTGTTTTATTTTTTTTAGTGCACAGCGAACTCAAGCTTCGAAACAACAACTTCATCGCAAAACGAAGATGATTCTAACAAAGTTTCGAAAAGATTCAGCAAACATTTTTGGGATGTTGCTGATCGTCATGGAAAAGATTCGAAGGCTGCAAAAGATACTTTCCACAATCGTTATTTTGGCAAAGTCGGACACCACGTCGTTGAAATGGCAAATCGTGGAAGTGGCGAGAAAATTGAGAGTGACGATGATAAAGAGGATGATGAAAAATTGAAGAAAAAAGAGTTGGCTAGGAATGCGTTCAGAAATGGTGTTCATGGAGAGGTAACAAAATAAAAATTGGAGATTCTGAATGGAAAGTGTTATGTTTCAGACACTCGAGGATGGTTTGGAAGTTGAAGAAACTAGACCACCATCGATTACTAATGATTATTGGAAAACTTCTAGAGTAAGTTTGTTCCTTGACAATGAATCATTGTCCCTCTTTTCCAAAATCCAAAAAAATATTTTTCACTTATCCAGAAACACAATCATCAATATCATCACATTTTCTGACTTTATTTCAATTTCAATTCCAAATCAAATTCCAATTCATTCCAATTCTATGACATTGAAATTTAATAATTTTGATAGTTAGCAATAAATTAATAATTTAATAAATATTTGTGAATATAATTCCATCACCGGTTTCGTATTTTCGAAAAAATAATTTAGCAAAAAAACAATAAATTGGAGGTACCATAATCTTGTGAATGAAGAATACGGTAGGAAACATGAAAGAATTGGGTGTGAGACATGGCACGTCGAAAATGACGTTACGAATAATTTTTGGGAAAATATTAGAGTTGGGTAGAGTATATACAATGTAATTTTGAAAAATAGAACTATGGGAAGAAATTCAAGAAAAAAATCAACACATTCCACATGATGACGGACAATTCTTTTTCATATAATTCATGAAGATGCCTTCACAGAATCCAGCGCTTTTCCAGTGGGTGCAAAAATGTTTGCGATCGGAACAAGCATTGGTGTTTGGTGTAGTTGTGGCTGCTGTGGGAATAACAGTTGTTGTAACTGGCTCGGCTGTGGTTGAAGTGGTTGTAGTTGGATAGGTTGTGGTTGGAGGAAGTGTGGTCGTGGTCGGAAGCGTGATGAGACGAACGGGCGGAGCCGGAGAACGCGAACGGATGATCGCTCTGCAACACTGTATTTTATCATAGAAATGATTATAAAACAAAGGAGGGGTGGGAAGTTATCAAATATTGATTAGCTAGCGGAAAATGAAACCCTTAACAGTGTTTTTTTCTGCATAAACTGATACGGCGTGCAAGAAACTAAAACAAAAAAATTGTCAACTTACGGTGAGAGTGTGACTAGTGGTTGTGAGGTGACAACATTTGGTGATCGATCATCCGGAATTTCGGTTGGTGGTGGTTTATAACAGAAACCGCAACTTCTTGCGCAATACGTCTTCATAAAGTTTTGTGAGATTTTGCAATATCTAAAGGAAACATAAAAATATGATGTTTTTGGCGAGGTTATTGGTTTTGTTACCTCTGTGACACCAAGACTAAACAATCAACGCGTAAATCATCGCATTCATTGTCTGGAACTGGTGGGGCTGGTGGAAGTGTCAAAGGAGTCTGGGTCTGAGTGATTGAACTTTGGGCTGTAAATTAGAGAACATAAAAACCATGTTGAATAAAACTATATAAACTATTGTTGATTAGAAATTGTTAGTTAAAACTGACTGGTTGTGGTTGTGGTTGGTCTTTCAGTGATAACTGCAACAATTGGTTTTGGTGTGGTTTTTGGAACACACATTCCGCATGAAATTGGGCAATTTGCTCTCATCCATCCTGGATTTCTGATACACCATCCTAAAAAATCATTTTCACTGTCTGATTTTCAAATTTTCAACAAATATACCTTGCTTGGCAAGATCGTCGCAATCTCCACGAAGATTTTTACAGTCTCCTGTTGTTTGTGGCGTTGTGGCGATTGGTGCTACTGGTTTAGCTGTTGAGATAACAATGGTGATTGGTTTTTGAGTGACAACAGGAGCGGCGGTAACTGGAGCTGCTGTTGTTGGTTTTTCTCCTTCGACTGGACAACCATAAAGAGTATTGATCTTGAACTTGTCAACTTTTGAGAATCCATTACGTTGTCCAATTTGAGCTCCAGCTTTCTTTGGAATCATAGTTGGTTGACCATTTCTTGAGAACGCTTTTGTTCCATAATGCATAATTGATCCATAATCATAGGATGTTCCAAGAGCCTGAATTGTTCCAGTTCCATATTTCTCAAATTGTCCTTGCATTCCTGATTGAATATTATTCCACATAATGGTAATATGATCATCACGATCAGTTCTACTTTGTTCATGGAAGAAACCAACGGCGTGCATCAATTCGTGGAGAATAATTCCTTTTTGAATACATCCTGATCCAAGGGAAAGTGATTGTTTGCCTCCCATTTTTCCAACCATTGAATAGCACCCTCTGTCTGGGTAAATATGAACGTAGTTTGAATCACTGCCTTCTTTTGGAACCCATTGGATACAAGTATGAGTGGCGTAATCTTGCATAGAAGCAGCGATCAATGAACGACTGAAAAATATTAGCTTTCGAATTTTAGGATTCTTGTAATTTATTAATTTCATACCTGTAACTGCTGTACTGTGATGAGATTGTATATGGGATTCTGCCATTTGGCCAAAGTTGAAGACGATTTTTAATAGCGTTATACCATTTACCATCTCCATTACCTGAAGATCCACCATTCACGAAAAGATCAATTGTAGATGCGTTGAGCTGAAAAGGTAAACAATTTTAACTTTTTCAAATCCCAAGTATTTCAAAATTAGAATATTTCGAGCTCACATTTTCATTGGCAATATCTCCTTCAAATCGATCTTTGCTGTACATCGCATCCGAATCCCAAACATCTCCAGTATCATGAGCCATAGCTGCCGAAATTCTAGATCCTAATTCAAAATCTTCGGGCGTCAAAACCGTTTCATATTCTGATTGTGAGCGGTCAAACTAAACATAATTTGTGAGTCAGAAAAATCTGTAGAAAAAACAAAAAACGCTTACAAAGTTCTCATCATTAAGAGGCGGCAATTCTGGCGGAACAGCATATCTTTCCGGAATAACCGCATAAACAATAGGTACCAGTAGACATAATGACAAGACTTCCCGCATGGTTCTGGAATGAATTTTGTAGAAAAAGTGAAGAAAACCATATAACAAAAATAAATATGAGACGAGAATGCAAAAATATTATGCAAAACAGCAACAACAAGCGCACCTATTTTTTGTGGCTCCGAGGGCAAATGCCACCCGGTTAAGACGGTGAGCGATAAAACAAACATATGCATTTCAATTCATATTCAACACAGACTATTGTGGTGTGTTTTCCGGCTAGTTTCCGGTTGCAGCCAGTCAGTCGTCTCAATATTCTTGAGATGTTTTTTTCTTTTGCAGACTGTCTGTCCGTCTTGCACTTTTCAATGAATATAGTTCAATCTAAAAATAACCTGGGTTAGGGCTTTTCCCATATCCGAGATAAAAAAAGAAAGAGTATAAGGTTACAGATCTTATTGTTAGAAATTATTCATTCATCCAAGTGTTCAAAAGAAAAAAGAATGAATGCAAAATGATTTCTCATTCTTCAAGAATTCATACTGACTGCTGTTTGGCTCGAGGGGTAGATGAACCGCAAAATGGGCGGAGAACTGTGTGCTTCTATATTTGGAACAACGAGACGACGATCCTGGGGGAGGTACAAAACGAACAAAACCAAAACCATAAGCAAAGACAATTTGTCGTTTTTTGTGCATTTATCAGTGTCTAATCACTCGACAATCACGAATCGCGACGAACAGGAGAGCCGCGGAAAACACACACACATAGGTATATACACAATGAGAAGCCACAAAAAATAATAGGTTGACGACATGGATAGTTGTTTTGTGTTGTGTTAAGTGGGAAATGCTCTTTTCTGTATCGATGTATTATTATTTCGGTTATTGTTGTTGTTGTTTTGAGGTTTTGAGGTTTTCAAGTGACTCATTCATTTTATTTTCTTTGATCTGTGTTCAAAGCGGACAATTTCGTGGTTTTTAATCGAATAAAAAAGAGCAGAGCAAACTACGAACATATGAACAACAATAATAATAATATCATTGCACCAAAGAACATTTTCAGATCTCATGATTTCACAGTAGTTTTGAAATTTTGTTCAACATCAGATTGGCCAAATCAGGTGAAATGTGAACAAATGACGTTGGAAAACTGTGGATTTTTAGTGTTTTCCTTGATGAATCTGTCAGATAATATGACTTTACATTAGTCTGATGTTAGTTCTTTAATTTGGAAAGTTTTAAATGAAATTTAACTATGCGATTCAAAAAATGAAATATTATTGGAGTATTTGAAAATATTTTTTTTGATATATAGGTACCCCCAGTTTCTTGATATTCAGAAGAAAAAAGTTCTAGTTTTCAACAGTCCACAGTTTTTCATCCTTTTCCCTCGGAGTTCTTTGATGACTGATCTTCCGAGAGGAAGTTGCCACTTCTCAATTATCAAAATTGGCTAACATTAAACACAACAACAACAAATAAAAATAAAAATGTTTATTAGTTGCCATACCATAACTTGAAAAAAAATAATTGTTCTTAAAATGTTTTTCTTGGTTTTTTCATAAATTCTTCGAAAACATCAACAGCATCATTTGGCATTGGATTGATAATCTCAGCATTTTCCAATAAAGTGGAAAATGTTATCTGAAAATGTTTGAAAGATAAAAAATGATATCACAAAGCAAACAAAAATGTTGTACCTTGCTGAAGAAGATTTTCGCCTCCGGATCTTGACGGAAAACACATTCTCGTGGAAGCTTTTTCTGTAAGAAAAAACAAACTATTAGTCATATAATCTACATGAGAACCGGATTCGAAATTTTGTTTTCTATTTCGGGAAGGAAGATGGTTTAGAAAAGGTCAACAAATTTATTGAGTAATCTGCTTTATTCGTTTATTGTTTGATTTTGGGTTCTTTTTATGGCGGGAAATTAATAATCTTTTGGTTTCAATGAAAATTTCTGTAACATTGTTGTTTCTCGAAACACTCCAAAAAAGATCAACAGAATCTCATTTATCCGAATGATAAACAATATAATTATCCTCTAAATGTCCAAATCACACGAGCTCAAAATCTGTCATTTTTACCAAACGAACATCTTTGTACACTTCGGCGGACAGACAAAAAAACAACAACGAGACAATACACTCTCACACACTCCTTATTCTCTATTATATCTCAATTTCCTTAGCCGTTCGTGAGCAACAAAGTGCGCACAGTTTTTTTTTCTTGCTCCGAAATGTTGGCCTGTCAGACCACCCTGTACTTTTTAGATGTTTTTTACCAGGGAGAGGGGATTAAACATTTTTTAATGAGAAAAAGATAAACCTCTTTGCAAACAGCAGCTGAATGATTGGTATCCGCAAATGTTTCCTCAAAAACCCATTGCTCTTGAAGTTTTCCATCCTCATTGACAGTTGTTGATGTCACAAAACATCCTGAAATTCAATTGGCATTTTATTTACATAATATTATGATTTTTGTTTTGTTTGATTTATATAAATTCTCATTCTCCCTCCTGATCTGTTCGAAAATCATCGTTCACAACTACAACTACAGACATTCAAATAAATATGAATGCACATTTATTTTGTTGACCAAAAATAATCCTGTTTTTTGATGATCTATTCACTGACCTGGACGGTAACGATCGGACATGTTTACGCGGAAATCTAAACTATTTAGATCTTTCATTATTCCAACACCGGTTGCTTTCAAAATTGCCTCTTTCAAGCACCAATATCTATAGAACATTGTCATTTTCATCGCTTCTGTTGGTTGTGATCTCATCATTCGAAGTTCTTCCGGGGATGCAGATTTGGCCATAGAATTGATATATTCATCAGCTGTTTTGTTGTTACCTAAAGAATCAATCAATCCTGGTTAGATTGAACATTTTGTACGTTCCACTTACGTTCTTTATCGAGTCTCATGATATCAACTCCAACTTTTGAAGAGCAACTACTAGCAAACGCAACATAATCTCCTTGATGAGACACATTTAAACCAAAAGTTGTCTCAGGTGGGCTAACCAAGTATGGTTTTCCACGTTCAGTTCTCTCGAATTTGATATTTTTCCAATCTTCTCCGGTAAATTTTTGAGCAGAGTGTCTGAGCAAAAGTCTACCAAAGAGACAAGCTAAAGCATCTTCCCGATGCCTGAATTCAGGAATTCTTTGGAATTCTTCTTCGGTGATAGATTGAACCGCTTTTTCTGAACCATTTCTCGAACTAAAAACCGGTTTTTGGTTAACACGTTGAATTGAAACAATGTTTTTACTCACATTATCATTTTCAAATGCAGCTTGAAGACTAATAACCCAGCGATTACATTTGCATTTCTTTCTGAAAATATTTGATTAACTTAATAAAGAATAATGATAAAAACTAACTCTGCCATTGTTTCCTAACAGCCAAAAAATATGAGACAAAATTGAAATAATAATAAAACAAAAATGAGGATTGGCCTTCGACAACACAAAACTGTCTACATCAAAAAAGAAGGAGAAGACGTAGAGATGTGGAGGCGATAGAGAATCAGACAAAAAAGTGGACAAAAATATGGAAAAAACGACGACACAAGAAACTTGACCTTGTTTGAATCTTGATTGTTCATAGTTGGAGGATGAGTAAGATTGCGAAGATGGATACTCAAAGATATTGACATGTTTTTTTCCAGGTCGAATGGAATGGAATGGAATAAAAGATTCATATCAAAACAAGTATTGTCTGCCTACATCTAGATTTCAATTTGAGAGCGTCAAAATGCGATAACTTTTTCAAATATGGGTCATCATAGTAAAACAAATATAACACATTTTCATTTACGACCCACAAAAATAAAATGGAAAAAATATTAAAGAATTATCTTGATTCGTTCAAATCTTTGGCAAGCTTCTTCACAACTCTTTCAATAATTGTGATATCTTGATCGTGTTTTTGAAGAGCTTCAGATGCTTGTTCCACAAATTTCAACATGTTATTTTTGAACACTTGGAATTGAGCAGCCCACAATTTGAATGCTTCAGCTGAAAATCATGTTTTTTTTAGTTTTTATCAGATTAATGTTTTGAATAATCACCTTGTGCAGCTTGATTGATAATCAGATCTCGAATTCTTTGAGAGTTATCATTTTCAGATTCAGTGGCAACTGGAGCGTGTTCTTTTGATCTGAACAAATCATCATCACGGATACGTTCTCTGAAGATTCGTGGAGTTCTGACATTCTAAAAAATCAAACTAATTGATTTCAGATTGTACTGAAAATTGAACTCACATCTTCATTGAGAGCCGCAAAGCTAACAGTGGCAAGAAGAAGAATATTGAAGAAAAGGCGAAGCATTTTCAATATGAAAAACTGTTCCTTCATCATCTTTTATATATTTTTATTGTTTTCATTTCAAAATTGAATCATTTCGGCTCTCAAAACAATATATTCTTTTCCTCAAAAATCGAAACATTTTATTCATTCATAACAAAATGAAACACGCAATAAAATACCAAATATTACGGTTAATATGAAAAAAGAATCGAAACCCGATGGTTAATGAAACACAATTCTGTATACAGTAGCGTGCAAAAAGATACGAACACCCTGCAATTTTATCGTTTTACGGGAACTAGTGGTCCAATCGTTTTGAAATTTTTAGGGAGTGTTACTGGGGCCCTAAAAAGATTTTTCTACAAGTGGGATATTGTAGTTACTAGCCGAAGAGTTTGAAGAACTCGGATATCAAACATCAATTTTTAGAAATTCTCACAAATTTCAAAACACCATTGAAAAAATATTTTTTTAGCTTCAATTATCATCAACTTTCATTTTTTTGGTCTTCAGGAAGACATAAGCTCTCGATTCCGACCTCAACTTAATGATTTCATTACCTACAAGGTTCAATCTGAAGGTTCTAGGAAGACCATCCAGAAAATCTGAAAATGCGTAAATCTGGATTTTTGATGATATTTTATCGTTGAAATGTGTTTAATACACTCTGAACTGGTCATTTGACCCATTCTACACAAAATTCCAATCAAATTCCGAAGTTTTAACTCAATTCGCACATCACTGCATTTTCGATGTTTTTCTGGATCTTTGATTCCACATCATCAACAACATCAAAATTGACTTTTCATTGATCGAACTTGTTCTTTAGATGACTGTTTATGTTTATCAAGTGTCATGAATGTTCTAGCGGTCGTAATTTGAGATTGCTAAAAGCTTAAAGTTGACCTCTATGAAAACTCTTCATTTTCAATTGGTTTCCTTTATAAAGTTACCCTATTTTGGTAGTTCGATGTTTATCGATCTGCTATTGAGCCGATGAATTTTTTAAGTGGAAATTATGAACTTTTCAGTGTTTAGAACTGCTTTAAGAATTAGTTCGATCAATAAAAAGTCAATTTTGATGTTGTTGATGATGTGGAATCAAAGATCCAGAAAAACATCGAAAATGCAGTGATGTGCGAATTGAGTTAAAACTTCGGAATTTGATTGGAATTTTGTGTAGAATGGGTCAAATGACCAGTTCAGAGTGTATTAAACACATTTCAACGATAAAATATCATCAAAAATCCAGATTTATGCATTTTCAGATTTTCTGGATGGTCTTCCTAGAACCTTCAGATTGAACCTTGTAGGTAATGAAATCATTAAGTTGAGGTCGGAATCGAGAGCTTATGTCTTCCTGAAGACCAAAAAATGAAAGTTGATGATAATTGAAGCTAAAAAAATATTTTTTCAACGGTGTTTTGAAATTTGTGAGAATATCTAAAAATTGATGTTTGATATCCGAGTTCTTCCAACTCTTCAGCTAGTAACTACAATGTCCCGCTTGTAGAAAAAGCTTTTTGGGGCCCCAGTAACACTTCCTAAAAATTTCAGAACGATTGGACCACTAGTTCCCGTAAAACGATAAAATTGCAGGGTGTTCGTATCTTTTTGCACGCTACTGTATATTAAAAACTAAAATGAGGCAAGCGAAATCGACAACAAAAACCCCTCAAAAAAGGCACAAGAATAATTGCACTTCTTGTGTTTGACAAGACCGAAAAAATATATATAGCTTTAATTGGATATCCCTAATAGAATCGTTTACGTTGACGTTCATTTTTCTTTTGGAAATAAAGTACACCAAATCCTAATCCACCAACAACCACCACTATTCCTATAATGATTAGAGCAATCGTTCCAAACCAGCCAAGTTTCGAAGGTCTTGCATCATCAGAATGATCTCTAGGTGGAGTTGTGAATTGAGCATGTGGCACAACATTTCGACGATCAGCCTGCAAAATAATTTGTGGTTTTTGAACATTTTTCAGATATTTAGAAAGTATTTCTGATGAGTGAGATATGTACACACCGAATCATGAAATATTGAGACTGAAAATGAATACAGCAACTTTACCATATGATTACAGTAATCTCATGCTTCACCAAGAATACTGTATTAAACTCATTTTTTAATATCCGGTAAGTTAAGATAACATTTTTCTACATAATAGGCACACTAAATGTTTCAAACTGAAGAAATCCTAAGAATATTATCTTTTGGTATTTTTAACCATACACCTATTTTTGATCTTCTTTCTATCAAAATCTCAATAAACACTAACCTCTCCAGCTCTTTCAACGTGAGCAAACTCCTGTTCAAATGTCTTGACTCCAATTACATCATGAGCATCAGATAAATCTCCAGTTGCGGCACTGAAACCGAGATAATATCCAGTAGGAAGTTGAACATCGTTCACACTCATACACAATTTCCACGTTCCTTTGTTCTCGATGTCAGTAAAGATCTAAAATGTCCCATATCACAACAATTCTTCAAAGTTTCTTGTTTGGAAACTAACCGAAAGAGTATCTCCAACATATCTAATAAGAAGTTGTGTTTCATGATCTTTGTTTCTGAATTTAGCGGAGCATCCAGTATCTTCTCCTCCAAGTTGAGTATGTGTTCCATCTTTGTCGTGATCGTAATGAAGACTTCCATCAGAAACCATAGCTGAGATGAATGGATGTCCATGCTATAAACCCATAATTATGTTATGTTTTGCAGATTTTATTTCAAAAATTACCTGATGTGGACCATTATGATTACTGTATGTGTCTAGGAAAACTCCCAATCCTCTAAAGTAATCTTTTCCTCCAAATACTGGTCCAACTTGATTTGGCTCCGACACATACCAAATAGCCATACCATCTCCAAACAAATCACCAGTACTTCCACTAACTTTGAACGAAACTTGCACTTCCCAATCACGCGCCCAAAGTGGCTAAAACAAGCAGATATTTCAAGGTAATTCTGAAAAAAAACTGACCTGTGTGTTCCAAATGGCTCCAAGTTTACTCTGTTCATCGCCAGTAAGTCGAATATGTGAAGATGTAACAAAAGTGTTACCAATAATATTCCAATTTGGAATATCCATTCCTCCGCCAGTATATGGTTTCACCAATGAATTCTCTCTTTTATAATATCCACGAAATTCATGAACTGTTTGTCCATCAATGTTTTGTGCAAGGATTTCAGCGGCCGTTGGTGCAGCTCCTGGTGGATCTTGGCAGGATATGGTGTAGGCTAAGGCTAACAGCCCAAGAAATTTCAACATTCTGTAACAATTTATTTTTCAATATACGTATGTTTATATTGATGAAAAACGAAAAAAAAACGTTTTTATTCGATAGAGAAAAATCAATAAAACATATAACAAAGCATTATATATTTTATTCCAATATAATACCAATAATAACAATACAAAAATACGTGGCACAGACACACAAAAATAAAATACCAACGCCACACACACTCAAAAAATGGGAAGATGGCAAACGCGCTCTAGCGAACACACTGCTGTTGGGTCTTATCGCGCGTCCCTGTGTGTGACCGTAGTCGAACTGCAAACTCGCCTCGTCTGCGTATCTGATGCTGGCCATTATCTTGTTGTTCTTCTTTTACCAAGCGCGCTTGATGATTGTTCATCATTATATTTGTGTGCACTCTTGGGTGAAGGGTGGTCTTTTTTCTCACCGTTTATTTTTTTTATGTTGCGTGAATCATTGTGAATCATATTTTCGGGTTTTTCCAGGATAATGAACGCCGTCTTAGTAGCCATCTTCCTGATTGTTGGAATCTACGCCGCTGATGTTGGAACACAAACCAGGGTAGGAAAATACCTTTAAAAAAATAGAAGAATAATTTTCAATCTATATTCTTATTATAGGATGCTTTCATCTTGGCCCACAAAAGCCCATTGTCTTTGTACGCCGTAGAAAACATGGATTTGGTTATTGAGTACGGACTCTACAACGTTGGAGACAAACCAGCAACCAAAGTCACCATTGATGATCGTCACTCATTCCCAACTCAATCGTTCGACATTATCAAGGGACTTCTCCACGTTAACTTCGAGAAAATCGCTCCAGGAACCAATGTCACCCATTCAGTCGTTCTCCGTCCACGTGCCTACGGAATGTTCAATTACACATCAGCTCAAGTCACCTACTACACTGGAAATGATAACCTCCACGTTTCATACAGCAGCGCTCCAGGAGAAGGTTGGTTTTTCATTTTGTTTGAAAAAAAACACTGTTATTCATTTTATTTTTTCAGGATACATCTACCGTCAACGTGAATACGACAGAAAATTCGCACCAAAATACACATTCTTCCTCACTTTCCTCGCTTTGGTTGCCCCAACAACCATCGGATCATACCTTCTTTTCCAAAAATCCAAATCTCGCTTCGACGCCTACGCCAAGAAGAAGAACTAAATTCTTGTTACAGCAATATCAGTTTTCTAAACGGATTGTTGTCCAACGCGGGTTTTATTAAGTACCCTTTTTTCCTCTTCATTTAATCTTATTTTATTTTCTTTGTTATTATTGTATTTAACTTATTTTACTGGTGTAAAAAATATAGAGAAAATATATACATATATGAATAAATTTTTATTTATGTAATGAATAAGACAATTCGGAATCACAGAAAAGAAAGAACAAAACATTGCACTAATCAGATATTTGACACTAATAATTTGATTTTATCTTCATTTGCTAAAACTCGTCCACGAGCTGCTGATAGTTCATCCTTGATATCTTTTATATCTCGTTGAAGATTTGATATCATTTCATACAACCTGAAATGAGAAACCTTTGAAAATCGTTCACGATTATTTTGGAATCTGATTTTTAAAAGTTCGGATACTGATTAGATCTGACCTTCTGTTGTCTAATCAGAATTTTCCAGATACTTATACCGTTTTATATCGAACATCAAGGGAAAAATTCAGTCCTCCCCCAGGTTTCATTAAAAAAAAATTCAAATCTTGGTTTTCACTCCAAAGTTTTCAATGGAAAACCCCAGGCTTCTCTGATTCATTTTCAAGTTCATAATGTTACCTTGAACTATCTCCAAGACCTGCTGCTTTTTTATTTTGTTCATCCAACTCATTTTTTCTCTGTTCAATTCGCCATTTTTCCAATTCCTTGATCATTGTTTCAATATCATCCTACAAATTCATAATTATTATTTTCAAAATTTAAAAATTCTTCCAACTCACATTCGCAAAATCAAACAATCGTGCCAATGGATATGCAGTTTTTGTTAAGTCTTGCAGTTTATCTTGAAGCTGACGAACCTAAAAATATAATTTAACCTCCCCTAGAAATCTATCTCAATAGGCTTCAAATCACCTTCTCCCTCTCAATTGCAGTTGTTTCATCTCCGTCATCAGCGTTTTGATTGTTAGCAGCACCATCTTCTAATTCGGCCTTTTTCTCCATTATTTTTTGAACCAAGGCACCACGATCTTCTTCATCAACAGTTTCAGATGTTACAACTGGAGCATCGACGACTTCATCTTCTTCCATCACAAAATTATTTTCATCTTCTTCTTTGGTTGGGCCATCTGTGATAATTTCGGATTTCAGTTCAATCACCTATAAACATATTATTTAAGTTTTGAAAAAAACCCTTCAGCTATCATAAAAACCTACTGGTTGGGGTGTTGAATCGACAACAGCAATTTGTTTCTTCTTGATTTTTGGTGGGGCTGGCCTTGATGCTGCTGTTCCAGGTCGTCCCATTGATGTCATCGGCCTTGCTGCGCCAGTTGCTTGTCGTAATAGCGCAGCTCGTTCTGCTGGCGGGGGTGGACGCGGGCTATCATCACCCATCCCGCTATCATCAGTTTTCACAGGCGATGTTGCTGCTTGCAACAAAGAACTTGAATCTGCAGAATCATTCATAATCATAACATTTGAGGGACCTTCTTGTTCATCGTATCCTTCATCTTGTCGATCTTCATTTGGTGTATGTGGAACATCTCCATTTATGGCAATCATTGAATCTCCTCGTTTCAAAACTTTGTCTTTCTTTTTCTTTTCCGATTTACCATTTTCTTCAGAACTTTTCTTTTCTTTCGATTTATGGCGTTCTTTAGAAGACGAGGAAGATGATTTTTTCGAAGATTTTTCTTTTTCATCTTTACTTTTTGATTTTTCACGTTTTTCTTTTTTCTTTTCGTCAGAAGAAGTGGATATAGAATCCTGAAAATTATAAAAAAATGATTGTGGGAATATTTTTTGCAATCTTACTCGTTTGCTTTTCCGTTCACTCGATTTTTCCTTACTACTACTTTTCTTCTCTTTTGTATCCTTTTCCTTGTCTTTGTCCTTATCCTTATCTTTGCTTTTCTTTTTCTTTTCTTTCTCACCACCCCCGGAATTCTTCGCGTTTTTTGCCAATTTTTGTAAAAGCTGTAACAAACAATTTCGAAATATTATTAAATTTTTTGGAAACGAGACACACACCTTGTTTGTATCCTCGGGATCTTTACCAGCGATAATTTTTGCAGATTTCACATTTTCCAAGTCACCATTATTCAGTAAACTGATTAATTTATCCAAAAATGCCGCCTTTGAAGTTTTATCCGTACCAGCTGCAGCTAACTCATCTTTATCAAACTCGTCCTGGAAATTTGACAATGTTTTGAATTGCATTTAGTTCAGAGTAGATACTCGTAAATTTTCCCTACTCTTTGGGATGATACTAAAATTTACAAAACTTAATGTTAGAAAACATTTTTGATCTACCCAGTAAAGTTAACGATCTTGGGTTATAAATTACAGAGTATCTTTGAGCCAAAAAATAGTTTCTTCTCCCAGGAAAGTTATTGATCCATGAAAAAACGTCTACTTCAGTAACTAACCTTCAAATAACCCGTTGATTTAATAATATTTGTAACAATATCGACAATGAATTTAAAAGGAGGCCTTGATAAAAGTTGTTCAGTTAGAGTTGGCTTTGAAATCAATCCCGCGTATAATTCAATTGTTTCACTTGTGCTCATTTCTGAAAAATTCACAATATGTACGTGAGAAAATTAATTTGACATTACAGAATAATAAGAGAAAAGTACTGAAAAAGTTCATTTGTCCAATTTCCGGGAGAAAATATAATATGAAATTTATTTTATTTTATATCAGCATATATGAAAAAAGAAACCTATAATTTACACCTGAATCTAGATATACATATAAAACAACAGAAAAATGGAAGAATGAAGAAAACGAGAAAAAAGTAAGACATTCTGAGAATATAGAGGGGTTTCTATTTGTTGAACGGCATGCATGCAAAAAATTTTGGGTGTGGGAGAGGGAGAAAGGCGAAAATACGGTTGCTGTGGTTACCAAGCAACGCCCAACAAAATATATATGGAAAGAATGTATATGGGCTCTCGATATGGAGGAAAATAGCATACTAAATAATAGAGATTTGAGACAAATTGTTCTTCATAATCAACATATTTCTCGGGATATTTTTGTCCAGAAATGACAACAAAATATGAAAAGAAAAGGGGTGAAATAATTAATGTGGTAAATGAAAATGGGGAAAAGTACATAGAAATCGAAAAGATTGGAAATAGAAGCAGATGTTCTCTCTGCGCTGAAAATAAAATTGGATTATAAACAACGTCATCATAGAAACGAAAACAAAAAAAAACTTGGAGATAAAAAATAAATGAGTCAGATTTTCATTATTCAAAGTTTTCTTCAAGCTTGATATGACTATTATGTATAATTTAAAATGAACTTTAAAAACAGAAAAAAAAAATTTTAAAGGGTAAAAGTGTTTTTTGACAACTTTTAAAGAGCTGTGAGAAGACTAACAATTAGGATGGAAATAATAAGTATTTGGGGTTTCCGAATAATAGAGGATTTTTTTTAAATATTATGAAGTAGAGTATCTATGGGATCTGTGAAGCTGCATCCATTACCTGATAACATCCGCAAAGTCAGGTTTTTGAAGTGGGACAAATGTGTTCCCAAACTATAGTTCGCAGATGCATTTCATTTTATAAAAGAAGCATATCGACAGTTTGGAAAACGTTCTTTTGTATTTTTTACTTTATTTATTGAAAAGGTAGCCAAAAATCCTCCGTTTTAAAAACACGATACTCAATAATGAAACACATTTTCAATAGTCCTGAGTATTATTTTCGAAAATTTTTTTCCTATTTTTAGGTTTTTCATATGCTCTTTTGCATCATCCGCTTTTCCTTTGCATCAAATTCTCAAATTTCTAGGTTCAGATTCGAAAAAAAAGAAGCACACAAACCATTACTCTTCAAACAAACGCATTCTTCACATTTTTCCGAGTAAAAAAATTATATATTACTTTTTTGATGTATAGCTTTCAAACGGATCTTTCTTACATCATGATTTTTTTGAAGTTGAGATTGCCTTTCTCATGTCAGAATCTTTCTTTTTCATTTTTACAAAGAAAGAAAATTGTACCATTTTAAAATATTCTCGAGAAAACTCCAGAAATAGCATGTTTTCTGGCATCAATCATTTCGTAATCCCTTTTTTCACCAACCAAAGCTCAAAAGTTCACAAAGACTATGTGAATAATTCATACACAATAATGTTTCATTTTGCTAATGGTTTTGACCAAATACTGTTACGAAGATTAAATTTTTCAATTTCCAGTTTTTTTTCATTTCCTAACTTCCTTCATTTCATTTCTCTTTTCTTCTTCTTGAGGTACAATTCATCTTATTCACACCAAAATTTTGTCAACAAGAAAAATACAGCAAAAAAATAAAGAAGAAGAGTCAGTGGGTTAATGGTTAGAAAATAAAATATGGTTCCATTTAAATTAGGCAATTATCTCAGTTCAGAAATAAATGACGTATTTTTAACGATTGGTGCTTTTGTTTTTCCCCCCAATGAGCACTATTTTTGGCTTTGCTGTGTTCGTTTCGAAATAATTTTATTCACTTTCAGTGCTCTTTTCGTGACAGAATGGTTAATCAGAAAATGCTTTTTCCACATTATTTTCCTCTCCATTTCTTCTTCGAATCTTTTTCCCATCTTAAATATTTCTAATGTTGAATACACGTGGGAAACTAGTTTATTTATGGGTTTTTGAATTTTTCCAGAATTGTTAGATTATTCATTTTTTATATAAATTATATCACAAACTATGTTTTTTCAAAGTAAATTTAGCCTGTAAGACATTTCATAGTCCATCCGTTTGTAAATAGGTTTTCGTGACATCGGAAAACTTTTCGGCAAGCTGACGATGAATATTTGTTGCAGGACCATTTATTACAAAGCATAATTATGTTTTAATGCATTTTGCCAATTTTTTGAAATTCAGTCTCCGATGAACTCCTAGATGTAGAATTTGTTGATCTTTTTTTTTAATATATTTTTTTGAAGCACATATTTCAATTTCCCACCCCGATATTCTTTCCGTAGTTCTTTAGACCTAACACAATCTGAAATTCGGACAAAGACTTCCAAAAAAGCACATACTTTCTGAAAAATATCAAAATCTGAAAATTTCCTTGGTTCTTCCAATTTTTCCAGCTAACATTTATATGTTGTTTTTGGTTTTGTTTTTCTTCTAATACTGACACACATACAAAAAAAAAAGAAAAAAGAAAACACTCGGAACCCTAAATATACATAATATTTTTGGAAAAGCTTCTTCTTTTTTTTCTCTTTTCTTTTCTTCTTCCCGGTCGGCCATTTGCCTATCGATTTTGAACCCAACATGTAAAAAGGCACATTGGAAAATTGAGAGAGCTCAAAGAAAAATGTGCATGTTTTCTCTAACCGCACTCCATATTTAGATATACTATTCTATGTTGAAATTCTGCTCCTCTGGCCCATTTTTGCTTTGTTCCATTCATCCATACATCTTTTTTTTCTTTTTTTTCTCAACTAACTCATACTACAGAAAAAGCTACGACAAAAAAAGAATTGTAGTTTCGCGAAAAAACGTTTTTGGATATAATCCATTTCCTGTGATAAATTTGTTAATACAAAATTTAAAATACAAAAATAAGAATGAAGTTATGTTCTTCTTGTTTTGTGATAAGGAAAATAGCAATCTTCCTAATTCTTATTCTTTTTTGTTTATTCAAACAACCAAATAGTTATTATTCTGTCTTTTTGTTTTGCCTTTCCTTATGCATAACTCTATTTATAAATATATTCAGCTTATTTTTATTTTCACTCCAAAACTTGCAAATTTTTCGAAAACCCAATTTTTGCCGAATCAGGTGTTTTCCCCCGAGATTCTTATTTTTTCGAACGCCTTCTAACTTTATTCTTTCACTCTGTCAGCTGAAAAAAATCAGACGCCTTTTGATTTATTCTTGAATAATTCAATTGCGCCCAAATATTTTCCCACTCTTTTTTTCTCAAATGACTGACGTTTTTTCATAGACCAAAAAATTGAGAACAAATAAAAATCAAAATAAAATTCAAAAAATAATATTGCTGTTCTTGACAAATATAGCATCAATTTTATTTTTATTTTTATTTATAATGTGTGTTGTTGGCATATTTTTTTTCGATTTTCCAATTTTTCCTATATTTGCCCAAGAGTAAAGATGCTACATTATTTTTTTTTTCAAATCAATATAGTTTCTATCTCGTGCCGCTAAATAACATAATATTAATAATATTAATAATCCGTCGATGGATTAGCCCCAATATGAATATACCACACTTTTATTGTTCAATTGTGTTGTTCATTTATAATCGTGTTCAGTTGTATGATGATACTGAATTTTTATAGATTATTCAAATAAAAATGCAATGAGTGACAAGGAAAAGGAATTGTGCCCGAGGTTGATTGATTTTTTGGTGGTTGTTGGAAGGAGAAATCGATTACGGTTAGTTTTCTCACATTTCAATTTGAATTAGAAAGATAAATTTGTAAAATAAAATTGATTTTTTTTGAAACATGTTGAACCTGGTTTGGAAGATTTGGGAAAGGTCAAACTAATCAATCCCAATCTCTCTCAATTTTCAAAATCTGATCGCCTATTAGTTAATTTTTAGATGTTCTATGGTGAAACCTTCCCTTCACTGCCTTATTTTTTCAATTATTTTCTAATTATCCAATTTTTTTCAGTGGGAATAGTCAAGCAAGCACTGACAGTACGACAACCCATGCTACTGTTACATACCCCGAAATCCTCCGTCGGTATCCAACAGATGATCACAAAGATTTCATCCTCCCCACAGATGTTACTGTATTCTGTCAACCTGAAGGATGCACAACTTTGAGTTCGAGATCCCGTCGTGGAGCTCGAAAAGAGCCACAGTTTTTTGTCTTCATGCTCACAGAAAAAGATTCTGCAAAAGTTAGATATGGAATTTGTTTGAATTTTTATCAACCATTTGATAGAAAAACTGGAGCACAGAATGGTGTCAAAGAGAAGAGGTTTGATAGTTTTTGTTTCGACATAAAAATTCAATAATAATTCTTGTTTGGTTTCAGAAAAGATTATAACATGTCATTAACAAGTCTCTGTTTAATATCACATCATCCATTTGTCTCAATTATCCATCAATTATTACTTTTGTTGAAGAAATTAATTGATAGTTGTAATTATCGAGCAGCACAAAAAACGGGATATAAGTGGGTTCAAAAAAATTTGCTTTCAAATATATAATTCAAAGTTTTTAGAGATATTGTTTGGTCTATTCTAACTGGTCATTGGACGGATCCGATTCCGCCGGAGGCGATGAAAGAGATTAAAGAAATTGAAACTTGGATTTTGATGCTTTTGAGTTCGCCAGTTCCAGTTCCAGGAAAAACCAAAGTTCAATTGGAAGTTATGCCAATGGATATAAGTCAGATATTCGAATTTGCATTACCCGACCATACACGTTTTTCACTTATCGATTTTCCTCTACATATTCCATTTGAACTTCTTGGTATTGATATGGCTCTCAAAGTTTTGACTGCAGCAATGCTTGAATTTAAAGTTGTAATTCAATCTCGTAATTATAATGCAGTTAGTATGTGTATTTTATCAATTGTCGCCTTATTATATCCATTGGAATATATGTTTCCTGTAATTCCATTATTACCTGCATATATGCCATCAGCTGAACAGCTGTTGTTGGCACCGACACCTTTTCTTATTGGTGTGCCTGCTTCGTTTTTTCACCATCGTAAAATCAACGAAATGCCATCTGATGTAATGTTGGTTGATTTAGACACTAATTGTTTGCAAGTTCCTGATGAGTTGTATATTCCTGATTTACCTGAACCTGATGCCACTCAATTGAAAGTAAGTTTTTGAAATCCGAAATGTTTTGAGATTTTTATCAAGGTCTGAAAATTCTATTCATGTTTCAGCTAGTTTGAAAAATATCTCACAATCAATGAAAACTTTTCAGCAAAAACTCCGTATCGCATTAAATCAAATGACCTCAACTGTAAATGATAACCGCCGTGGTAGTATTGAAGCAGCATATTCAATCGATATTGATAACGTTGATGTTGCTTGTCGAGTTGCAATGGTCCAATTTTTCAATTCAGCTAATATTTTTGGTGATTTCAGTGAGCACACACGAACTCTCAGATTATATCCAAGACCTGTGGTTTCTTTACAATCTGATAGTTTTCTACGAAGTCGACCGCAATGTACTCAATATATCACAGAACTATGCAGGTTTGAAATTTCAAAGAGAGACAAAATCGGACTTTAAAAATTTTAGAACTCAAGCGGTTGAATATTTTGCCGAATGTTGTTTGTGCCCAAAAAACGAGACATTTGTGAGAGTCCAAGCTGGAATTGAATCTGCTGAACAAGTTGGAGATAAATCAAAATGGTTTTCCGAATCTCTAATGCCTGTACATTTCACAGTGTATCCAAATAACTCAAGCCTCGCTTCTGCGATCCACGATTATATTCGAGAAGGAGGTGATATGGATAGTGATGATGAAGATGAAGTTAGATCTGTTGAAAGTTCGAGTAGTATTGATGATTTAGTTTTTGATGAAAACCCATCGTCAGGTATTTTTTTTAATATCACAGAAACATTTTATTATTTGTTGATGTTTTTAGAACACGAAGAAGTGACAAAACCACTCGCTGAAGTAAATGACGTTTATCGAGAGCCAATGTCATTGGAACTTCCGCAAAGTGAAAGTGCTGTTTCAATTGACAGCTCAATTAGTAGTGGAAGAAGTAGTCCAGATTCATCAATGTCTACCTCAGCAATGGATTCGGAAGCTGATTTTGCGAGATTGGCAGAAAATCTTGCATTGAAATCGAATTCTCAGGGAGCTTTTTCATTTGATCATGATACTGATTCGGAATATGAAACAACTCCAGTTTCGCAAAGACGGAAGACAATTCATAACCCTAATTCTAGCGAAACAAGTTCAATTGACACACCGACAGGGAAAAATCCAGCAAAAAGTGGAGGAATGAGAATAAAGGTGATTTTTCTGAAAATTGAATTACCGTGAATGATTAATTTTGAAACTTTAGGGTCTCTCTTCTCTAACCGACTCTGGAGAAAAGGTCTTAGGACCATCGTTTATGAATGCTATTAATGGATATGCCGAGAAGAGTCAGAGTGTATTCAGTTCAGTTTTAAATAAAACTGCACCTAAAGCACAAGCTTTGAAAGAAAGAACAATGAAACCATTGGCAACAAAAATTGAACAAAGTCAACATATGGTTCGAACAAAAACACAGCCAAATCCAACCAGTCAACAAACTGCAAATCAACAAAGGTTTGCGTTTCCAGCTTTTCCGTGATTCCCAATTCCAACTTTTTTGTTTCCAGCAAAAATCAACAAATGGTGCGCGAGTTTTGTGATCAAGCACTATCTGGTCAAAGTGTTGGAATGTTCGCTGCTCCAAAACTTCGGCGACTCATGGAAGATGAAAGTTTGAGAGAACTTGTTTGTTCAAAACTAAATCTAGGCCTCGAGCATAAATTATCGGAAGATGAATTTGTGAAGGAGATTCAATTAACAAAATCTCAATTCAAGGCATATGTGAAAATGTTGAAAGCATGTTTGGAAGGTATTGAAATTTCATTCAATACACCAGGTTGTTGTGGATTGGCAAGTGTTTTCCATATACTAGAAATCGCTCATACACATTATTGGTCAATGGGTGGAGGTGATACTGCAATTACTCCAAGTAGTTCAGCGCCAAGCACAGTGAGTGACAACGATATCAAAAAGTAATCATTAATTGATTCTGATCATTTGTTTTCCAGCTTGTCACACCTTCGGAACCTCTTGATGTTGCAAAAGAAGTTGCTCGAACAAAACTTCCCGCATCAACTATCGATCTTCGAACCCCAACAAAACCCGTTGGTCAAATAGCCGCTCAACCAGTGAATGGTGACGCAATCAAGCCAGCAGATCATCCAACTGATGAAAGAAAATCTAGTGTGATACCGCCACCAATACCACCAAGAGATGCGCCACCACCAGTTCCAAGAAGAGTTCCACCTCCATCAACAGCTCCGCCAACTCGCCAACCTCCAGAAATTCCAAAACGCCCGCCACCTTTGCCACCAAGGCCAACATCTGGACAACAACCGGTTGAACAATTAATTCCAGTTGAGGAAAAACCAAAAGAAGTTGAGAAACCAAAAGAAGAAGTACCACTAACACCAAAACCAGCTCCCCCATCAACACTGCCTGTTGGAAAACAAGAACCTCAAAAAGTTCTTCCAACTCCATCTGAACCTGTCAGGCATTACATTTATCAAGAATTGATTTGTAAGTGTTTTTTTTCTGAAAATTATATGGTCTGAAATTTGTGTTTTCAGTAACATCTCAAAACCCAATTTGGCAAAATCCACAGTTCTGGGAAAATGCGTTTGTGGATTTAGTTGCCCAAGAAAGAGAAATCGTTGGAATGGATCAAGAACCATCAGAGATGATTGATAGGTAATTATAATCAAGAATCAATATTTAATTAGGCCAATATTTTCAGATATGCAGCGTTGAATGATAGTGAAAAGAAACGACTGGAACTTGAAGAAGATCGATTGTTATCAACACTTTTGCATAATATGACAGCATATATGATTATGTGTGGAACTGGTCAGCGAGCTCTTCAACAAAAAGTTCGACGACTTCTAGGAAAAGCTCATATTGGATTAGTTTGTTCCAAAGAAATCAACAAACTTTTGGATGAACTTCCAACAACTCAAGGAAACTTCATCCCATTGAAACCTCTCGGGAGTCGACTTGTACAAAAACATTCATTCACTGTTTATCCTGGTTTGAACGCCGAAGGTCAAATGATGTTTATGGAAGTTTGTGATGATGCGGTTGTACTTCGATCGATAACTGGAGCAGCAACTGAACGTTGGTGGTATGAACGACTTGTAAATATGACATATTCACCAAAAACTAAAGTTTTATGTTTGTGGAGAAGGCATGAAGATAAAGTTCATATGCATAAATTTCACACCAAAAAGGTTAGTTGTTTGTACATAAGTAAAATACGCTCTCAATACCGAATTTTAGTGTCGCGAACTCTATCAATGTATGAAATCAGCGATGGAAAGAGCTGCTGCTCGAGGAAAAGTAAATGTGGAAGGTCGAGCTCTTGGCGGAGAATTTCCGGTTCATGACACTGAAAGTAATCAAGGTGGTTTGTTACAAGTTCGATGTGATGGTGTAGCAGTGATTTTTGCAAATAGTCAACAATTTATCGATCTTGCAAACATTAAGAAATGTAACACTTTTGGTGGAAATGTTTTCCTTCTTGAAGAATTTGGTAGGTTGAAAAAAATAATTTTGAAACATATGTTTATCTCAAAACAACATCATATTTTCAGATCGTAAGAAAAACGAGCTTGTCCAACGTCGATATTATTCCCAAATGGTAAGTCATACATATTTCCCGCATTTAATTTCATATGAATGTTTATCACATCACTTCTAATAATAATGCACTATTGAAATGTCGTAAATATGTTGTCTTGTAATTGCAGGCTGTCGATATTGCCTGGGCGATGCATCGTGTATTTAGTATTCAATTTGCAATTGCTTGTCAAAAACAATCAAAACTCACCAAAAAACCACTAAAAGTCACACCAGAAATGTGGCGAGAACCTTCAACTGATCAAAGTATTGTTAGCTGTGATTCAACCGATGATGTTCTTTCTTTTATTCAACCTGTACTTCCAACATGATTTATATATTCATATTAATTATTGTTTTGTTGAAAATTGTAGATATTGTGAGTGAGCATGCTTCGAGAGCAACGAGATGTTGGTTTAAAAAAACATTATAAAAATATTTTTGCAGGCTGATCAAATTTGTTACGCGGTACTTTGTGTGTTTTCGCTAGCTGCAGCCGGTCATAAAAAATCTGAAGAGCAACACCATCACCAATAACACCCCACATTAATTTATTATTTTCTCTTATATTTTTTATCTTTGGTGCCTAGTAATTTATTTATTTGACATAGAAAAATGAAAAATGAGAAATGGCAATCATGCTAATTTTCATTTTTTATCTTCTGTGATACATTTTTTTGCATTATTTACTGTCGTCTTGTTCATTTTTTATTTTTATCGTTTCCCTTCTAATTTGTAAATGCTGAATGAGCTCTAGTCAATGTATGTTGCATACTGCATACAAAAAATCACATATTTTATCTATAATCAGAAAATATATTTACATATACATAGTTTTTTTTTCAATTAACAAGTGAAACAAATTTTTTATTTGAGTAAAACAGATTATATTACTTTTTTTGAGAAGGGTAGATCATAAATTAGGCATTGCAATAAAAATTGTAGAGATTTATTTATTTATTTCATTTTTCTGCGATTTGAATAAACTATTTTTCTTTCTGAAAGTTTTTATTTTTTCTCTGTTGAAAAATAAATCAAAGCATTTGCAAACTTGTAGAAAAACAGGAAATCATAAAATTTATGTATTTAAAAAAAGGTCAACACCATAATTTTCAACATCATTATTTTTTGTTTTTAAAATTCAGAATTTCGAAAATAAGTCTCTAATGAATCGTAAGAGAGGACCATAAGAAAGGTATTTTAAGCCCTGTTACGTCAAAGTTTGACGGTCAAACATATAAAAGTGAAAAAATAAAAGTACATATAACAACGAGATTCCGTGTGACGCTGCGCTCACACAATCGCGGCAATTTTTTTTATTTTCAAACGACGGTTTTTTATTTTTTTTTCTTTTGCTTCAGAGATGAGTTTTGAAAGTTCTCTCTTTGCAGATGTAATAAAAATAGTATGAAAAAAGTAATTTTGGCCTGTTTTAAACCGTAGCTTGAAATTTGTCTATTTCTTTCTGGTCGTATACTTAAGACTTCGTTTTTCAAATTTTATTCATTTTACTATTATTTTTTTAATAGAAAACAACTCTAATTTTCCAACATCACTATTTCTTTTTCTTTCTTTTTGAAAATTCAGGATTTTCAAAATAAAAGTGTCATTCATCATGGCCATTTCCCGTGTGTTTCACTAGTTCAAACTACAAACCAACAAAAGATTGATGATATCTCGAAATCCACATAAAACTCAATCACTTAATGGTCCCAAAACGTACCCATTTCAATCATTGTGTCAAATTCAACTACTCTGTCCAGAAATATGTACATAGTCGGCATGAACTTTTTGTTCTTTCATTTTTATCTCTTTTTTGCTGTAAAAAACGATGATGATGATATGTGTGAAAGTTTACAATTCCTTTGAGGATTCTAGAGAGAAAGAATTTTATATGTAGAAAAAACCAGACAAAAATGTAAAGAAAAAATAATTGTACTTTGCACAAATCTATTGGTTTTCTTATTTATTACCAACGAGGATTTATGTGGGATTGGTTGAATTTTATAAATAAACATTTAGTTTTTGTTCCAAATGTTTCTTTCTTTTTTTCTGTAAAGTGGTCGCGTGAGAAGAAATTCAGAAATTCAATATTGCTTTTTATATGATAATTATTGTAATAAAAACAATAAATATCACATGGTTCGATTTTTTTGAACAAAAAACATATGAAATCTAACAAACGTGAAAAACAACAAGGACATCTTGAAATATAAACTTGTTCCATGTTTTTTTTATTCTTCCTGGTTCAATGAATTCTAAATTCTGAATTTTTCGGCCAGTTCAAATAATATTTATTCTTCTCTCATTTCCTTTTCGTTTTTACTCATAAATCTAATTCAATTGAAAAAATAAAGGATTCCATCCAATCTTCATCTACAGTAATCCAAAATGAATTCGCTTCTCATTTCACTTCACTTCCGACAGAATAAAACGATTTTTCTTTTCCGTTTTCTCGTTTTCTTTGTTTTTATTTATATTTTTGATCCAGAACATTGTTGGTTTTTCCGGGACTCTATATTTATCTTTTCATTTTTTTTCAAAAATAACACCATATGGTTAAGATTTCGCGAATTGAAATATAGCTTATACTGTAACTATAGCTTCCACAGTAACTCCACCCTCTTTTTTGAATAACAAAACTCTCTCATTTTAAAATTAAAATCGTATAGCTTTTTTCATATATTCTTAATGTTCCCACTTGATTTCTGATGTGTTTTTTTGTTTGTCGCTATTTTTTTTTGCAATGATGCGAAAAAATAAGAAATATTTTTTAGGAGGTCCAAATATAACTAGGTTTGACTTTTGTCAAAATCAAAGAATAAAAAAAGAGATTCCACAAGAAGGGAAGATGGAGTGCGTTTTTTGCTTTTTCTTTTTTATTATGTTTTTGATATCTGACGTTCCCTTAAAAAATAAGTTGAATGAAATCAATTATGACCTATTGTATGCCCCCGTAACCAATAATCAGATTGTTGAATAATTCAATGATTGTTCTAATAATAAAACATGATTCCAAGTTTCTTTTTTCCGGAGAAAACAATATGCAAATAGAGATTGTGTTTCATAGTTTGTAAATATATCGTTTTTCTAATTACTTTAATGATTTATGCAAAATCAATTTGTTGGATTGATTATGAAATCATTGTTTCGAAGTCAGCACAAATTATGACAAAATACTGATTTTAAGTACTGTAATCGTCAAAATGTAGCCACCCGAAACTATTATTTTATTCAATCATCCACTATTTTGAAAATACGTCATCTTTCGAAGCAAAAAAACTGAACTGAACTTTGTACTAAAAAAAGTTGAACCAATAAAATCAAAACTAGATAAAGCTTATTGTGCGGTGAAGCGTTTAAAAATAATGTTTTTTGTATGTTATTGTTTTTTTTCTCTCAAGAATTTTTCGTTTTCTTGAAATTTTTCTTCATCGATCATAATTCAATTCAACTTTTACCTTTTCCGGTTTTATAAAGAGCACCGGATGCATATTCATTTCCTTTCAAAATTCACATGTTTATGTTCGTTTTCAACACTTCAATAAAACAATAAAAACATGAATGTATAATTTGATTCGATTCGAATTCAAAAAATCGAAAATCGATCAATAAGTTCATCGATGAAAAAATGGGAGAAAAAATTAGTCATTTTATGTAAATTTGAAGAAATTGTGCACTAGCCACTAGTAATCCTACAAATCTAGTTTTCTTTTTCTTTTTTTGCTCCTCACCTACTTTTCTCATTTTCATATTTTATCCATTGCCAGAAGCAACCAATTTATTATTATTTTTATTCTGTTTTTTATTTGCTGAAATTTGAGGAGGTGGAGATTCACCCAAAACTTTTTTTTCTTTAATAACAATTTTTATTTCATTTTTCTTTTTTCTTTTCAATTTTTGATGATTGAGAAATGAAATGAAATGAACATCGTGTGATTTGAGCGAGTTTTAATTACTTTTTTTAATTTCAAGTTTCCAGACGGATTTCGGCAATGTTTGAATGTTCTCTGGTGATCTAAAAAAATGAAAATCTGAAGTTTTTCTTGGAAAATTTTTTCCTATACTTTATTGAAATTCTAATTTTCTTCAGACATGAAACCTTTTCAAATAAAATTTGTTTTTGACTTTGGCTTTCTGGTAATCATTAAATCGTGATTTCATATCTCAAAAGGTGGTCTGGAATACTTCAAATAGATTTTTGAAGCTTCGTGTCGCCTCGCTGTCGTGTTCCCAAAATACATTGCTCCTTCTAATTCTTTCTGCTCTCAGAAGAATGATTTATTTCGTCCTCCCAAAAATTTTTCACCTTTTTTCAGAAGTTTCTCAAATATTCTTTTGAAATTCGTCTAACCAAACCAGAAAAGAAAAAATCTTGTTCCTCCTGAATTTTTGAAGACTCTTCACACTTCATTTTTTTACCCTCTGTGTTCTTTTCTGGAAATGTGGGGAAATGGATATGGATAGTTTTTTTTGAGCAGAAGCAAGCAAGCAAAAAATAAATATTTCCGAAGGAAAAAAGTTCAAAACCAAACCACATTTTCATTCTTGCTGTTTTTTACTGCTCATTTTCAATGATTTTAATGACTATCTTCATTTTTTTTGTTTGCTTCGCTGTTTGAAGATCCATGACTTTTTGTTTGAAAAATGATTTTCGTTTGATTTATTCCATGTTTTTTATTGAGCCAGAAATGGTTTTTTTTTTGAATAGATTTCATTTTGAAATGTTCGTGATCCAAACTTTTTTCTTATTCTTGAAAAATGATTTCATATTGTTATCATAAACACAATTATTATTCTTTCAGAGCGAAGAAGAAAAAAAGAGTCCAAAAAACGTTGTGGTTAACCTTATTAACTTTTTCTTTTTTCCGGAAAAAACCGAAACATTGGTAGGAAAAAAGAAAGGAGATTCTGTCTAGCTGTAAATTATTGTTATTATTTGGAAAACTAAGCATCGATGAATGCGACAAATGAATCGAAAGATGAAAGGTTAGTGACTTTTGCACTTTATTGTTTTTCTTAGAAATTGGGGGGATTGGGAGATGTCATGGTCCATTGGTTTCCAATAAAAAATGTGATTTTACTCAAGGAGGTCCCAAGAAAAACAAATGTTTTATGAACTACAATTTTTTTCCATTTTCCCGTAGAGTTGTTGACTTTTTGTTGCCCTAGTTATGTTTTGAATAATTGATAAAACGTGTGAACTTTAAACATAAAAGATCAACTGGGTATTATTGTCTAGAAGTATTCGTATGATGGTACCAAAATATTCTTTAATCTGATGGGATTTTTTAATTATTCGCAGATTAGCTGCGATTACTTGCATCTGAACTGTCAGAAATGATATTATTCAAATCAAAAAACAAGGAAAGAAGTTTAAATCAGACTTGGGATTAGTTAGGTGTAAGGGATTTTGTGAGCGAAACTCAGTTTGGAAATCGATTAATAAGGAGTAGCGAAAATTTAGAAACAATCGATTTTACAAAATACTGAACGTGAGTTGAGAGAAATATCTCCTAACAACTTAATCAGATTATTCGGATCCTACGGGTTAGAAAAAAAATGAAAAACATAAGTTTAAATAACTATGAACTTTGATTCTCCCAATTTTTTCAAAGTTCAATTTCAAAAAGATCAAAATAAGTACTTTCTTTCAGAACATCCACTTTACCTTCTTGGAACTATTTTGATTGTATCCAGGTGCAAAAAAGAAGACAGAAAAGTCAAAGTATAGACTTTTTTTGTTGTTCCATTTTCAATCAACCAATTCACTTCCAGTTTTTTCTTGTTCATTTTCAGCCATTTTTTTAATCTTATCAGACTGAAATTGTAAGTACAATACAAGAAAAGAAAAGGATGTGGGCGTTGGAAGTATATTTTTCTCTTACATATGTCTGCAAAATACTTCCTAAGAATAAGAACTGCTTCACATCTACCCAGAAAAAAGTATATTGAGGTTATGATTTAATTTTGAGACGAAGGGTGACTTCTTTTTTCTTCTTCTCTTCTGCTTCTTATTCTTCGCTTTCAAGTGATACTCAACTTTTTTTCAACCTACTCCGGATTTTGTTTTTTTTTCCCTATATTGAACAAGGCAGTGAAATAATTTTCGTGTGTGATTTACTATCCAAATTGCTAGAGCTCAAGATTTTTAAAACTTTTTGGGGTAGATAAAAACAATTGTCTTTAAATGAGAATATCAATCTTGAAAAATCTGGAGAAGCTTCTGGTTAGTAAATTACACTGCGTAATTTTCTGAGCCAATGGTTTCATTGATAATTTGGTAAAGTTCTGATGAAATTCTAATTTTACTAGTTTTGATTTCGAACATTTTTCACTGTTTGGAATTTAAAAAAAAGATTTTCGAAATTTGAGAAGACATGTTATAAAGTTGTTATATCTCTGCAACAGACAGTTTTTCCTTTTCGTTGAACTTTTAAACATGAATGATCTTTTTGATATTTGGTTCTTGAAAAAGTGTTCAGATCACAAAAATATTTTGTATTTTTGAATAATTTTCTCACCGAAAATGTATGTTTATGTGAATTCATCTGACAATGTACGTGTAAATATCTAAATTATATGGTTTTTCTCGATTCTTTTTATATCAGAAGTTTTATATTTCCTAGAATCTTCGTTCTTTGGATGTAGACAAAAAATACTACTAAACTCAAATTTCAACGTGTCTTTTTCATTCATTCGATCCAATTTGACAGAGTACACTTTATATAATTCGCCTCCGTGATTCTCTCGTCTCAAATTATTTTTTTTACTATTCTCTCTTTTTATTCATTTTTTGAGACATATTTTCCGTTCCTCAATTGGTTCTGAAAAAATAATTCTTTTATTTTTTATCTCTCTCTATCTCTCTCGTATTTTTATTGAAATACAAAAAAACATAACTATCAAATTTCGACGCAAAATTTTTATCGCAACTTTTTATGCTTCTATTTTCCATTTTCATTGGATTTTGATTTTATGGCCAAACAAAACAACAACATCACTTCAAAAAAAAAGAACTCAAGCTACTTTTTCAGACATTTGTTTTTCGAGTATTTTTTATTTTCTCCATGTTTTTCTCCCGGTCGTGAAAATGATGATGGGGATGAAAAATGTACCGTAGATTCTCAAATATTTACATACATATTCCAATATGAGTTTCGTACATTTGAGTGTGGAACGTTTTTAATTAGTTTTCTGAACTTGTTACTGGGGCGGAGACGTGAGAAATACGAGTATAAAACTTTTATTTATTTGTATCATATTTCAAATCTCGATTTTTTCTGGTAGTATACTACTACTTCTTATGAAGAAAATGATGCCATTCTTTTTCTGCTGGCTCCGTGAGAATTTTTTTTCTGGAAAAAATCAAAAGATCTCACTGATACTTTTTGATCAGAGAGTAGAAGTATTTCTTAATGATCAAACATCTTTACTGGAGAAGCACTACCTTCCGAAGTGCATTTCATTTTTGCTCAAGTGTTGTTTTTTGTTGTTTGTACGTAAAAAATAAACATATTTAAATGTAGTAATTCAGTGAACAACAAAACAAAACAGCGACAGCGATTACTGAGTAATCCAATACAAGTCGTTTTTTTCAATTTCACCTCTTCTCAATCTCGACAAGAATGAATGCAAAACCAATTTCAATTAGTAACTTTTCCTTCTTCTTCTTCTTTTCATTTTTTTTGCTTCCAATTTTTTTTTGCTTTTTCATATCATTCTCATTGAATATGTATTTCAATTTCATGTGTATGGGGCTTGTGAGTAGGTAAATAATAAAAAAAAAACTACTAAAAATCAAGGAAAATAACAAATTTTATATGAATATGAATATCAATTATATTTTTCTTTATTTGAGTTTTAATGTCAATGACAAATAGACAGGCTCGAATATTTTGTTTTCAATGTTCAAAAAATAAATACCGTTTATAGATTTCTATAGAAACAAATAGCCTCATTTCAAGAAATAAGATATATGTTTGTTTTCGAATAAATATCGTCATATTTAAAAATAGCTAGCTTACTGTATCTAATGTCATTTTTCAAAATTGGATCTGCCTCTCATTGAAATCCAGCTACATCATTTAGGGCCCCCAACTTTCAAATAGTCCGCTTCTCTACTTCTCTCTGGGTAGGTCTACTTCTGCTAAACCATGGGGACTGTTCGCAGTTTAAGCCTAAAAACCTGAAATATTGAATTGATTTGAACATCTGAAAAAAATTAAAAATTATTACGTAATAATTATTTTGTTAAAAACATATCTTTCTCTGAACTTATTTTGAAGAGAACCATAGATCTTTTGAGCCACTTTTCAATTCCAAAATAGAGAAAAACCTGGTCAGTTCTCGTAATTTGATGACGGAAAAAAACACAACAAGATCTTTGAAAATTTGAAAACTTGTAAAAGTTTCGATAATGTATCCCATGGGGAGTAGTAATCCACTCCTATTTTGTTTTGCTTTCCTGCTATCTGATTCATCTACTTTTTTTGTGTTCTCATCTCAATTTTTTATCCTGCAATGTTCAACCCGTCGGAAATGTGAGAACTCCGCGCTGAAAATGGAGAGACATTATCTGTGTGCAGACGCTATTTTTCTAGTCTTTAAACTTATTACGATTTTATTTTATTTTTCATCTCAAGTATATCATTAAGTGTCTCTTCCTTCCTCTGCGTTTTTTTTTCAGGGTGGTATTTTTGCAGAAAAAATAAAAATGAAAAAGGAGAAGAAGAAGAAGAAGTAGGAAAAAATATCGAGAGAGAGAAATGATCCTTGAACATTATAATTTCCAAGCAACCCGAATTTTTGAAATTTCCTTATTTCATTTCATTTTGCTTTCCTTTCCTTTCAATTCTGTCTGACTTGCTTGAAGAACTTCATCTCAACCACTCAAGAAATGAGTCGTTTGCAGAAAAATCTGAAATACAACAAAAAAACTTAAAGCTTCCTAGCTTCCTCCTTGTCCAAATATATATCCACTGATTGAATTTTCATCTTCAAGTGCATACTTATTCAATATGCTGTTAGTCAATCCAAGTAAATATAGATAGCAAAAAGAAATGATTTTCAACCATTTTTCTGATTTTTGTCAGTCAGTACCGTTTCCCAGGCTCCAAAAATACATTTTCTCACAAAATATAATCTTGTAAGGTTACCTTTTTTCCTCATTCATGTATTTTAACATTCTCAAGTCGTTCACTAAAAAATAACATATTCAATGAACTTCTAAATGATGTAAGTTTACTGTAGGTCAAAAAAATCATAGCAAAAAAATAAACGTATGACGGGAAAAAAAGTTGCAAAGTTTCTGAAATATTTATGAAGTAGTGCAGAATTCTCATACTTTTTTGCCGTGACTTCCTTTTGCTTTTTTTTCTTCACTTTAAAGTTTTAAACATCATCAGTTTATTTTTTTTATAGAAAAGTGAAATTAGACGAAATTAGATGACAGGTGAAATTTGAAATATTCTTGGAATAATATATACAATTTTGTGTCGTTCGTTACTTTGATCTGATCTTTAATGTGATATATTTCTAGTGAAGAAAAATATGAATAGCAAATAATATATTTTGTGACGAAAATCTCAGACAGCTTTCCTAAACTACACAATGTGTTAGGCTTAAATTCTTCTGATCTCAAGTTTCTTAAATAGCTCCTGAGCAAGAGCCTAACTTTTCGAAATACTTCAGCACTTTTTTGAAACAAATTTGAACAAAAAAATTCAGATTTCAAGAAACAAACTCAAAAGTCGTAGCAATGTCACAATAAATCTATGTTAACCCAGTTATTAATGTTTGTTTGTTTTCTCAACGAAAAAAGCCCTTAAACCAAAAAAATTGATGATTTTTTGCGTTTATTTCCAGCTGCTTTCGCTACAAATAGTATTCTTCTCTTCTTTTTTTGTTTTATTTTCTTTTTTGCTTGTGCCAGCTCCATTTCTAATCGCCATAACCAAATTTCCTGTTTTTCTCACACTTTCTTTATTTATTCCATGGTTGAAAGTAGAAAAAAGTCAGAAAATTTTCGAGCATAGCTCGAGTTTCTTTAAGTTAAGACACTTGGAAAAGTTTTTTTTTTCTTCCTTATTTTGTTTTGATGAACTTTTTTTGCTGCTTGAAATTAAATTGTCAAGTCAGAAAACATTTGTGAATCTCATTTTTGCATTATTCATTGAAAATAGTCGCCGATATTATTTTTTTTCAAAGAAAAAACGGAAAACGAGAATATTTTCTCGTTTTTCCACATCCTGCAAAAAAGTCGTTCTTATGAAGACCAACATTTATCAAAAAAAAATAGCATGTATTAAACTATTCATCTTTTGGTTAGTTAGTCGATCACAGAATATCTACTTCTTATTTATATAGAAGTGTAGGTTCAAATTGTTTGTTGGGTGCAATTATTTCTAATTTTCATTCGATCTCTTTTCGTTTCTTCCTAGTTTTTCTTTTTTCTGGGAAAATCTGCGAAAATAATCATTAATTTATACTAATCGCGTGTTATTTTTGTGTACTTTCTGGATCATTCTGGAAATACAAATATGTATCTTATTATTCTAACATTTTTTTCATAATTCACTTTCTTTTCTGGTAAACAACATAATGCTTCAATCATATAAACCTGACAAAAACTTTCATTCATTCTATGAACTTTGAAAAAATTTCGAGAAATAGGCGGAGCCCGTTTTTGAGAAAAATATAGATCTAAAATCGAAAGGAAGCAGCTTCTATCTTGAAGCGTTCCTCGATTTTTGGTTCTTTGGAAAATGCATTCCGCAACAGATAAATTATAATTTCCTATTCCGATTTGTATCAAAAGATATCAATTAAGATTTGATCAATTTGACTTTGAAACTAATAATTTCTACTTTCCTGTTTCCTTTTCCAGCTTTTTTTCATTGAGAAAAAATAATATGGAACTTTATTCATTGTGTTTCTGGTATCACATGCGTAAGGCAGAATAAAAAATAAAAAGACCAATTATTCACATTCATATGACGAATTACATTGACTATAAAGTTATTTTTCATCTTCTTTCTTTCCATTTCCCAATTTCTGCCATTTTTTCCATTCAGCACACCCATTAGCTCGTACCATTTGGTGGTGGCGGCAAAAAAACCAAAACCATCATCAAAAATCTAAGCTCATCTCATTACTTAACCAACGAACGTGCTCTTTTCTTTTATTTGAATTCAACCCCTTTTTGCTCATTTTCCTTTCATTTTCTTCATTTTATTCCATTTTCTTCCGTACTACAACTACTTCAAAAAAATATTCATTTTTTTCTATCAGATGTCGGATCTAACCAATACGTCCTGGAAAAACAATGCTTCATATTTCACATTACACGCATTATTGTACGCTAAAGAGTTTGGGTTTCAAAGGGGGCCTAAATGGAGTATGATTTTCAAAGTAATTTAAACATTTTCATTTCAGAACAGAAAAAGTTCGTAGTGACGATCTGATCGTTGTTGTTGTATGGACAATTATGCTGTTATATGCACTTCTGGCAAATCTTTTGATTCTTGTTGGAATTGTGAGAAGTTCAACAATGCGAAGTGCAACTAGGTTAGTTTTTTCATCATCTGTTATCTTGGTTTTGAGACCACATTTTCTTTAATTGCTCATATTATTTTATTGGTCTGTCTAATAGAAAACAAGATTGAAAAATATCTAATAATCAAAAATCAAGCATGCAATTTTTGTTTTTTTTTACAGTTATTGGTTCATCATATCAATAGCAATGTGTGATATTTTGATGACGATTGTTTCATTGGGACATCTTGTTCCAGCAACAGCTTTCCACGATACATATCTTGAAAAAACTTCATCACGAAATATAATTATGATTTTCTTTTATGATTTGTTTTGGTACACTGGAGTTGTTCAACTCGGATTGATGGCCCTTAATCGGTTAGGAAACGATTAAAAACTGAAATGATTAAATAAATTAATACATTTTTTTCAGATTTGTATCAATTGTGTATCCAATGGAGTACAAACATATATTCTCACGTAGTCGAACATTATACATGATTCTATTTGGGTATATTTTAGGACTTTGTGTTTCTCTTCCAACACTGTTTGATTGTTGTCATACATTATGGGATTCTGAAACATATGTCACAATTTATGAAAAACCTGATACTTTATACAAATATGTTGATATGACTGTCAATAGTTTATCATTGATTATGATGATCATATCCTACGCAGTAATTATTTATAAAGTTCGAGAAAGTGGAAAAGCAATGGCAAAATATCAATTGACTATCCGAACAAGAGTGAGTTGGTTGACTCAAAAATCAGAGTTCAATATTCAAAAACCTATTTTGTTCTCCAATGAAAAACACTTGAATCTCAATCGTTTCAGCAACAAAACGCATTGATGAATGGTGTGCCGTTGTCGTCTCAAATGAATGGATGTGGTCGAACATCTTCCGTTCGACCGCCACGAAGTCAAGTGAGCAAGAAAGAAATGCGATTATTCATTCAGGTACGGATGTACTTCCTCTTTTTTATTATTAACATTATTTTTGTTGTTATTATTATTGTTGTGTTTTTGAAAAAGGGCAATAATAACTCGGAAGAATGAAAAAGTTTTTAATAAAGCTAAAGCTTTTCAACAGAACAAAGGGAAAGACTTTTAATTTTTTTCTAAAATTCAAACTTAATTTCCAGTTCTTCGTTGTATCATTGGTATTTCTATTGACTTGGACAACTTGGCAATGGCTCCCACATATGTCTTCAAGTAAATGGGCATATTTTGTTATGACTTCATTATTCTTCATCAACAATTCGGTAAGAATAATGATTGTTTTGAGTTAACATCTACTCAAAAATTTTGATTTTCAGGTAAACCCAACAGTATACCTTCTTTTCAACACACAACTTCGACGAGAGCTTCATTATTTATTATGTAGACATCACGCAATCAGCACTGCTCAAAATAAAAAACACTCTCTTTTTGGAAAAACGGGCACCACGAGCAACAAAGTTGAAACGGTAATAATATTGAAATCTTAATAAAATGAAAACAAAGTTTTATTCAGTTTGAATTTCAGAACATAACACGCTTTGATGTCACAAAATCCCTTGTGGATCAAGGTGGATCAATGTCATCACAATCGCATACAACAACTGATGAACATGTAAGACCGCAACAACTTCTCATAAAGGTTCGCATTTTTTAAACGAGACGACTTCTTCAAATATTTTTTTTTCTCATGAACTTTGATCATCTAGCCGGAAAAGGTGTAATTCATGTGTTTTTTCATTTCTTTGAATACGAAGTTTGATGGATTGCAAATGTTCTAAAAAAAATCGTCAATGTGATGAATTAATGTGAAGGAATAGTTAGAACTATATTTGAATACAAAATGAGAAAAGGAAAAGCAATTTAAATATTTTAAAACGACCGTAGATCAGGAGTTTATGTCTATAAAAAGTAAAAAGTAAATGTTGATGGATTTATGAGAATTGAATATCCAATGTGAATGAAACTCACCCACTCACCCTATTTCCCACCACTTCTTTTGAAAGAAAAAATTGATTTTCCTTCACCAAACATCACCTGGTTTTGTTGAAAAACTATCACATTTGTGTTTTTTTATTTGTTTTTTTCCCTTTTTCTATCGCTTTCATGAAGAAGTCGGCTCGGATTTTCTTTCTTACTGACTTTTTCCAAATTCCAGGAAATTCTCTATGTTTAGTGATATGAATATTAAAAAATGAAAGCATAATTACAGTAAGTTTGATAACGGTTTGTTTTTTTTTACTTTACTTTACCTTCTTCCTTTCATTTCCCTGGGTGATGATTGAAATGCTTTGTGTTGTTCAACTTCTTTTCTTTCAGTTTGCATTTCATACTTTTTTATTTATTTTTATTATTTTTACATAATTTTAAAATAACGCTACGCTAATTCTAAGTTTCCATTTATTAAAAAATTAATCAAAGAGTGTTTGCAGTTCAAGTAGACCTATTTTCAGAGAAAAATTCTCTAACAGCTATAAATCTGAAATAATGATATTTTTGCAGAATATGGCATACATCGACAATAACACCAATATCAGTGCAGTTTGAAAATAATCAAATATGAATAATTTAAGAAAAACAGGATATTTATGGATAATCCAATGTTTTACCGGTTTTCAATGTTAGGGTAGTTTGTTCTTTTTGTTCTTGTCATTTGAAACTCTTTTTGTCACAATTATTTTTTTGTTCATCACGATTTATATATTGTGATGATTTGCATTCCATTATTTTGTCCTATGTATGGTGAATAAAATGTGTATTTCATTTTTACCTTTTCCTATTGGCCATAGCTTCAAGTTGTTCAAAGTTTTTCGCTGGTCTGGAAATACAAATTTTCAGAACCAGAAGATAACGAAATGAGATTCGAAGATCAAGTTTTTATGAACTTTTTGAAACAAATGATATGAAATTCACATGAAATAACAGTTTACAAATTTTTTGACTTCGCCTACCAAGATTGAGCGTGTTATGGGAAAAGGTTCTGTTTTGACCCTTGTGATGATTTGCATTCCATTATGTTGTTCTGCGGAATAAAATATGTATGTTATTTTATTTCCAAAATGAAATGAAATGGTTTTATATACTTGAAAACAAATAAAATCTCTCACTAACATGCTTTTTATTTTCATTTGTGTATGTGTTGTTTATTGTTGAATAATTCATACAACTCACATTAGAAATACACACCTCTTATTACTATTATTGTAAGCAAATAAAGTGGAAATAGCTATTGTTTGGTACGAAAAATATTTTATGAGATTTCAAGCTTTTTAGGTGGAGGTGGAAGAGGAGGAAAAATATGTATGATGTGTCTGCAATCGTATAGTTTTTTGTTGAACTTATATTAGCTGTCATTTCGAATAAATCACTTTTTGATTAATTTTGTTAGATACACAAAGTTTGTGTGCTTATTTGTCATCATACTTTTTGAGAAGGCATAATCTTTTTGTTGTGATTTCTTCGATTTCCTGTGTTGAATTTGTTTATTTTTATTTTCATTTTGAAATGCCGTTGTTTGAAAGGTTTTCTATTCTTCAAAAACTTAAGCTTCATTATGTTCACGATTTTTTTTAGAAAACCATGAAAATTATAGAATCAAACTCCATTTGGTCATTTTGTTTTATCAAAAATTTATTTATCATTTCACACCCTTTTCAGAAAAAAAGTGACATGGTAAATTTTTGGTTTTTTTCGATGAGAAAAATTGAAATATTTGCACAACTGTAAGTGTATTTACTCTCATTTGAACTCAAAATAATTTTCGATTTCATTTTGTCGGGAAAATAGTTTTTCATGATTATTGTTATGAATTGGAACAGACATGGAACGTGCCAATTATTTTGATTTGATAATACATTTTACTTTGATCTTCCCGAAATTTTATTATTATGCTTCTGTATTTTTTCTATTTTAAGCTTTGTGAAATATCACATTCAGAAAATTCAAAACTTCAAAAACGTTGTTTGTTATCAACAAAAATGCTCAAAAAACTTTCGAAAAATGTTGTAAGAATTCCGGAGAAAAAAAACAACATAGGGTTTGCCCACTTTCATCATTGATCCTCATCAAAAGTTTTTTTTCTAATCAATTATCGAATGATTTAGTTTTTTTTCATTTATCTTCAATTTTATTTAGAAAACAGCTGAACAAGTCTGTGTCGTATTCTTCTCGAGAACAGTCAATACTAACCACAAAAATCAATATTTTCGGTCAAACATGAAAGAAAATGACTCACATACCTGTCCATTCATATTTATATATGTTTTCTTTTCTTTTTTTTCTCATTGCTTGGTTTTTTCTCAGAATTTCTTACATTTTTTACTCACATTAGAACATCATCATCATCCTAGTCATCGTAATTATTCTAACATAAACCCTCAATTTTTCCTCCCACCCACCCACAAGTAATGAGAAAAAAGAAAGAAAGAAGGAAGAAAACACAACATAACACAAAAAAAACTTCAGGTGATGTGAATATCGATTGATTTGTCTATAACCTCTACTCGTTGCGCACTCTCTAAATACTCCGTTCAGTCTACCAAACACACTTGCCACTCTTTTTTATGCATGCATTTATCTCTAGCACCCTCTTACTTATCTTGTACTATTTTTTATTTTTGTGTCATATTCTGCCTGTGTTTGACAATACAAAACGCACATTTTCCGTTTTTTACCGCGGTTTTTTTTACTGTCTTTGTTCGAATCTTTGATCTCTATATTTTATTCTAGTAATGACAATTTGGAGTTTACTTGATTCTCTTTGTCAGTTTTTGCACACTTTTTCTTTCTTATTTTCGTGGCACATTCGACCTCCGCGTTGAAAAACTCAACCATCTGTCGAAATAAAATAAATTTTCAAAAAGGTTAGTCATACATCTGTATGTTTCATTCTTTTTTCTTTTCCTTTTTGAAAGCCATATGAATTCGAAAAGAAAAAAATCAAACTATCATATAACATCTGCTATACAACTAGTAGTTCACATATTTTTTTCGAATTATTTACGAATTTTGTCCATTATTTTTATTCATTCATTTGCTCGAAAATGCTTCCGTTTTGCACATAAATTGCACACTATGCTAAAATCAGTGAACTGGAAGATGAATGACAAATTGATGACTAGTCTCTTTTATTTCTGCTTTCAACGAACCTTCTCATTTTACTTTTTCTCTGTCCGAATGATGAAAAATTTTACATCGAGTTCATTTTTATTTATTTTCGAACACGTCATTTGATGAAAAAAGTTAGGTTGCACTATTCTTTGACAAGTACCCTGAGGTTCACTTTTTGAATTCTCACCCCTTAAAAACATATGTATGCATGAATGTAGTACTTTTTTCTTATTTAAGATCTCATAAATATTCTAAGCGCTAAATGAAGTCAATTACGAATACACTTCAATTTGAAAAGAATAAGATGCATGCTTTTATAATCAAATAAAATCAAATAAATAATTGGTTGCTCTTTTGAGTACACTGATAAACATATTTGTGAACATTTGATTTTTTGCAGTGGGATTTTGTAGCATACGAATATTCGGATGAATCGTAGAACAGGCCCTCGACAATTCCATTATAAATTCGCACAAGTCAGGGACACGATTTTAGATTTTTTCGACGATTCATTTTTTTGATATAACTTTTGAGTACATTGATAAAACAATTTTGCGAGATTTCGAGTTCCCACAGCGTTTTAGGATACAAAAAGTTTGCAATACTTTTTTATTTTTTTTTTTTCACGTACTTTTTTGTTATCAAATCTTTTGATGAATCATATAAAAAATGTTTTTGAAATATTTGTTGTAATCTAATCTTGAAGATAATATTTGATCTTTCCGGCAGTTTTTGTTTTCTCATGTATCATATAACTTGCTCATGTTTTTTTCTTTGCAAAAAATAGATATTAATTAATTTTGCATCAGAACTTTTCTGTTTTTCTCGATGAGTCATGACTCATATCTGCAAATTTTATAGCAGTTCACAGTTGTCAATTCAGTTTGTGAGAAGTGAGAAAATTAGCACCTATAAACCTTGAACTACTAGGAAATGAATTGAAATAAAACTAAATGCAAAACAAATTTTAGTTTTCTTGTTTTTCAAACGATTTTCCGATCTATTTTCAGTCAGACGTGCACTTTCAGACAAATCCTACATAATCCCTGCATCTCAAAAACACAAATAAATTCTCATGCACTATCAAAAATAAAAAAAAAGAATTCGTATGTTCCTACGGTAGCTGATATAATAATCATAATGATAAGAGACATTTTTTGTTCAAATGATTAATTGGTTCAGAAAAATTAGATCGAGAGAACTGATGATTCATATAAAATGTGAGTAACAAGACTGGCAGGTGCAATATATTATTAGTTCGATTTTTCTGTCTTCATTGTTTTTTTTCTTGTTGTGTGTTCAAATGTCTACAAATTCGGTCGGTCGCAGCTGCTCATTCATTCGTTAGATTCGATTAGATTAGTTATTCCTCTCCTTTTTGTTTCTGAAAAAAAGTACACATGAGTCTTTTTTTCTTTTCTGCTGTCCAACATTCCAAGATTATCAGGTTGTTGAATCATCTAATAATAAATAAACCTATCTATCTGGTTTCAGCGATAAACATTTTCTTGTAGTTTGAACCGACAAAATTAATGGTTTTCCTTTAGTTTTTATGTTAGAAAATATTACCGCCTCAGGCATTTTTGCGCAACTTTCATTCTCCAGGAAAATGTTTATGTTCACCGCCTAGTTAGAATAATTCCAACCGAACTCTTCCCACCAGTTAGTTTTTTGCCGTGGTTTTTCTTTCCCTACTTCAGTGTTTTTCTCTCATTCTTGCTTTTTATCCGCTTTTTCTACCCCGTTCACAAAGCTTCTCTTCATGTCTGTGCTGCTTCGTTTTTTTTTGCCTGCTCATTTTTTCGTGCTTCTTCTCACACACATTATGACTCATAGGGGTCCTCTGAACAACATTTTATTTATTCGCTTTTTTTTTGAAGCAATTATGTATGATGGATTTTTTTAGGGGAGTCAATTAGAAAGATTGGATTTTTTTTGAAATGGAGTAGAATGTGGTGTGAAGTGCAAAACACTATTATTTTTCTAACATAAATGTGAATAAATAATTTGACATTTTGAAGAAAAGTTCAGTTACCGGAAATTACTTTTTTTGTATTCGATATCAAGAATAGAAACATTTGATGAATTACACCTGTGCATTACTAAAAAATCACATTTTTCACCGGAAATTGAAATTACTCATATTTGCCAGATGTTTTTTGTCGATCCGTGGGATAAATCTTTTCATTACAATAAATCCATGAAACCTCACTCGATGTACAAATTATAAAAAATAAAAGAAAATAAAAAATTTAATCTGTTTGTCTTGTCTCGAGATAATTCCAGATTCCAACTAATATCATTATTAATACTAACATAAAATGTCATAAAATCAAATGTCTTCATATTTTGTGCCCCTCACTTTCATTTCCGTTATTTATATAAATTGGATTGCATTTATATATATTTTTTTTCTTTCTTTTTCTTTCACATTATGCACTTTATTCATATTTTAGCCAACTAAAGTCATTTTTTTGCAGTAATGCACATTTGTGCATAATTCGTATGACACAGTGGCTACTTTTATTGCAAATATAGTTAATGGAATAATGGGTTCGATCAATACATTATTCAATCGATTGCAACGTTTTGTTGGCGGTGGCGGCGGCGGAAACAACGGGGTGAGTCATAATTGAAAATTGCCAAACACTCTTCTAGTTCTCACATCAGAAAACTCACGACATAACATTTTTTTTTCAAATTGACCGAGAAAAAATTTTCCTGGTCAAAGAAATAATTTCGATTGTTATCTAACGTGGGTTAAGTTTTCTCGAAAAACCGATTAATCATATTCGCCTCTCACGTGATAAGAAAAAAATGAGTGAAAATGAAATCATGATTCATTTTTTTTTCAAAATTTCGGAGAACACATACTGGTTTTTTTGACAAAATACATATGAATCATTACATATCATTTCATTTCACAAATGTGTTTCATTTTGTTTCTCTCGGTCTCTCTAAATTCGTTTAACTCAATTTTTCGAATCCTAATTATGTTTTTTTGCAGTTTCATGGTCGATATATTCAAAATACAAATGAAGCAATGATTGTGAATCCAAATGCAATTCCATCATCAAACACGGTAAGATTATATTTTATTTTCTTATATATTTTTCAATTGTTTCATATCATTCTTTTGTTTTCAATATTTTGTTTTGAGAAAAAAACGGAAACGGGCAAAAATTTTGAGGAAAAAGGTCTGTGGCTCAGCCCATTTTCATTTTTGAAAACATTTTTCATTTTCTTGATTCTCTCTGATTCAGCTCTTCCACGGACCTGCAGAATTTGAAATGCCGGGATTTTCTAGCGAAGAGGTAAAACACACCGCTTTTCTTTCAGTTTCACAAATAACAAACAACATCCTTTCTTCTAAAATCCATGTTTCTCAAATATGAACTAACACTAAAATATGTTAAAAAATTTGCAGGATCGTCGACATTTACTGAAAGCTTGTAAAATGATGGATCAAGTGGTGAAGAATTGCCAAAGTTCTCGATTAAATCTGAAAAATTCGCCGCCGTTCATTTTGGATATTTTGCCAGATACTTATTCACATGTTAGTTTATTTTTCGGATATTTCAGCCAAAAACAAAGTTTTTTTTGCAGTTGATGCTCATCTTCACGCATAATAATGATATTCTTCGGGACAATGATTATATCAAAATCTTCATCGACAATCTCATAAACAAATGCAAAGAAACTGTGAAACTTTTCAAAACATCTGCGATTTACAATGATCAATCTGAAGAGAGAAGGAAATTAACGAAACTCTCGTTAACGTTCTCACATATGTTGTTCGAGTTGAAAGCCGAATTTCCAAATGGTCCATTTATTGGCGACAAATTTCGAGTGACAAAAAGAGAGGCTGAAGATTTTTGGCAAAATAATTTTCCCAAAAAGTAACCCTTTTTTGTGTTTTTGTTTGTGGAGCAAAATAATATTTTCTGCAGGTCAATTGTAGCGTGGCCAGTATTTTTGCAAGCAATTGAACATCTTCACCAGCAACCGATTACAAAATTGGAAGCGGCTGAACTCAAATCAACAGTTGATTTGGCTGGCGATGATTATGTGTCAAATTTCGAATTTGACGTTTTCACCCGGCTGTTTTATCCGTTCAAAACAGTTATCAAAAATTGGCAAACTTTGACAACAGAACATCCAGGTTACTGTGCTTTTTTGACTTATGATGAGGTGAAAAAGCGACTCGAAAAATTGGTCAAGAAACCGGGAAGCTATATTTTCCGGCTTTCTTGTACTCGCCCAGGACAATGGGCGATCGGATATGTTGCACCAGATGGTAAAATATATCAAACAATTCCACAAAACAAAAGTTTGATTCAAGCATTGCACGAAGGCAATAAAGAAGGATTGTGAGTCAACCAGATAAAAAGAAACAAAAAAATCTAAACCAACATTTTCCAGCTATCTTTATCCGGATGGCCGTGACCATGATGTGAATCTTGCCAAGTTGATGGAATTGCCAGAAGCTGATCGAGTCCAAGTGACAAGTGAACAATACGAGTTATATTGTGAAATGGGTACCACTTTTGAACTTTGTAAAATTTGTGATGATAATGAGAAGAATATCAAAATTGAACCGTGCGGACATTTGCTATGTTCAACATGTTTGACGAATTGGCAGGTGAGAATATTACTTTTTTCAGAATGACAAATTTTAGAGGGTATTTGAAAATTTTCAGGATTCTGATGGTGGCGGTAATACTTGCCCATACTGTCGTTACGAAATCAAAGGAACCAGCCGAGTTATTATCGATCGATTCCAGCCAGCACCAAAAGAACGAAAAAGATCATCGAAAGAGACGATTCCAGCTATTCCTCCAAGAAATGTATGTTATTAAAAAACAGATTTGTGAAAAGTGAAGAAAGTCGAGTTGATTTTCAAAGATCGTTGTGTGAAAGATCCAGGAATTAATTTTTTATTATACTCTGTGAAAGTGCAAAATCAGTCACGCTGAAAATAATTTCAAAGTCAGAAGTTATTTTTACATGATCAAGAAAATTACGAATTCTAATTTTCGGATGTGAGAAAAATCCAACAATTTTAATAAAAGAGTATATATACTAACTCGAGAGATCTGAAAACTCTACAATCATTCAGAAACTTTTGAAGTTTAATAATCTGACTTTTTCAAAATTTATCGATTCAATTTTTCAGAGCAAAAACAAAATCAGCGCGACACAATCAATTCCATCTGTTGCCGAACTTCCACTAATTCCACCACCAATTCCGCCAAAAACTCGAATTACTGAATCGCCATTTTCTGGAATTGTGAGTTCTAGTCTTCTGCTTCTCATTTCATTTCATTTAATTTTCTTCAGTCAGAAATGGAGAGAAATGTGATATTTTAATAGGGTGCAGAAATTTGATATGTCTGGGGAACGCGCAGTATTTTTCATACTTTTCGCTTTTTTTGTCGTTTCCGCTCATTTGAGACATGAATTAGTAATTATGAATATGATGGAGGTTGAGAAAAAGTGCTCTTTGAAAAAAGTAAAAAAAAGATATATAGAGAACGAAGGATTTTCAGACTGGAAATAGTGCAAGTTATGTGAATATCAAAGAACTTGCTGTGAATCCGGAATCTTCATCATCTTCACAAAGTGGTGCTCCTCCATCAATTGTTGCTCCACCATTACCAACTCGTCCAGCTGATCGAAATGCAACCAATTTGACTTATATCAACACTGCTGACGTTGTTACAAATTCAAATCTTCTTCTTTAGATATTTATCTTGTTCTAGTTTTCAATTCTGTCCCAATACATATTGCCGAGTTAGAACTGGTATCTTGAATATTTTCCCCCGTCTTACTTTTTCTGTCCAACATTTCCTTTTTTCTCCTTTGCTGGGTGTTATTCACCAATACGGTTTTTCTTTTGAAGAATATTGTAGTGTATTATTATTATCATTATTGTCATTCATTGATTCATATTTATCTTTTTCGAATTATTTTCTAAACTTATTCATTCCAAAGAGAAATTCGATCGAAAGTACAACATATTTCTCATTTTTTGAAATAACATATCCATTGCCATGTTTTTTGGATATAATTTTTTCGATTTTTTTAATGTTAAATGCACGGGTTAGCACATTTTCATTTAGCGAAACAAACCCGAAACATTTTTGCTAGTCTTTTTTTTCCTAATTTCAAAAATGTTTCATTTTCATGTGTTTTTTAGATTTGTGTTGTGTTATGCATAAATATTATTTTTTCAAAATTTATTGTTTTTTTATTTTAAATCAATTCAAAAGCTGTTTTTGTTTTTTGTATGTATTTCTCTCAATTTTATTTTCAGTCAATTGGAAAACCCAAACTACCGGTTGTGACACAAATTTATTATTTATTTATTTATTCATTTATTTATTAGAAGTTATATTTTTCAGTCTGGTTTACAAAATTTCATTTTATTGAAGAGAAGAATCGAAGAAAAAGGTCGATTGTACATTTATAACTATAAAATTAAGCTCGATTGCAGACTATGAAAGTGGGCGGAGAAAGGGTATATATTTTTCATTCAACATTCATGGCGACATTTTTTTTCTTTTTTTTTGTTAGATATCGATATTCTGAGCGGTAAGATAGTGAATAGCCCTTCTGAGATAATTTTTAACACACGTTTTCGATGTCAATAGAGAAGTTGGAAAGTAGCTTTCTGATGTGAGCTCTCCAATTTTTTGATAGTATAATTTATTTTAGAAATTGATCACCTTGTCAATAACTAATTTTTTTCAAACTACAACTTTCAAAATGAGCTATGACGTGGCTTTATTTCACGTCCAGGTTTGTAGTCGGAATATATGTAGTTTTAATAATATTTTTTTAACATAGAGAGTTTTGAAAATAGTTTCACAGTTGAAAATTCGTAACTTTATCTCAAATTTTGCTGCGATGAAAATTGTTCCCTGTAACATGTATTTGACAAAATATTATATTCCGAATTACATAGATTTGACACCGTTCTCATAATGTTATTCTAGATATTATTCTTGAATTTCCATAATTGCATATTTTTAATGTTTAGTTTTCTGATGCTCATCTCATATCGAATTTATTTCTGAAAAATCCTGAGCTGTAAACTTTTTTGTACTCATATAATATCGCAATCAATTTCTCAAATAACTACAATTTCCCACAATCCAATTTCTGAAAAATTATTTCGAAATCTTGTTTTTAAATTTATTTTCTTTTTTTTTTCAAATGGAGAATTTAAAATAATTGCTCTCTTTCATAGCGCATTTTGATAATTGGCTTGTCGTTTTTTTTTGCAAATTCCCTCTCCATCAAAGAGTACAAATTAGTTACAGTTTGATGGCTGGAAAATAAAAGAATCCTTCACTCAATGGACACACTCAAAAAAGCCATTTTACATTTTCTTCTTCTTCATTTTCCACGAGTCGGTCTTCTTCATTCTATGTCACAGATTTGCCTCTTTTTTGCCGTTGCTTCCATATTTTTGTTGGTTTTTCTTGCTTTTTAGTGTATATGTATGCCTTGCTGTATGCTTTCCATCATTTCCGTTTCATTTCAAACGACACCCCGGTTTTTAAATGTGTGTAAGCTCGTGTTTTCTTTTTTTGCTTTTCTTTTTTCTTTTTTGATTGGTTCCTTCCGTTATTGGGTTGGTTATAACTAAATTATTTTTCTTTCTGTTGTCTTTTTTCAGCTTCTCCTTTTCTCTTTTTCTTGTCCATCAAAGTCGTAAAATATTATTTTCTCTTTTTATTCTCATTTTCATATTCCAGATGAAATTGCTCACAAATCTCATAATCGTGTCAATTTTAACATTTTGCTCGAGCAGTCCAGTTCGAGATGAAATCATCTCAATTTTTGAGAACGACAATTCCACTACTTCAATCATTGAGGAGGATTATTCAAATTCAACGCTCTTGAATTCTAATTCAACAACAATTCCTCTTCCAATGGAAAAAACGGAACCAACTTCTACTATACGAATATCACACCATACACATAAAAAATTCACAATGCAGGTATAGTTTAAAAAGTGCCAAAATTATCATTTGCCGCGAATTTTGCGATGAAAAATATCACCTGTCCGGATTATTTGCACTCAAAAATGATGAAATCTGTCATGTAGCGCACCAGTCAGACATGTAGCGCACCAGTCAGTTAAATTGCCACCCACCTGTGTGTGAAAAAATAAAATTAAAAAAAAAACGAAAAAGTTTATGGAGGTATGGGGAATTGAACCCCAGCCCTCTCCCATGCTAAGGGAGCGCTCTACCACTGAGCTATACCCCCAGATGAAAGCGCTGCCTTGCATTCCAGTTTTATGAACACATGCCAACGCAAAGAAGATAAATAATGCAACATTTATTGTTTGTTCTTCTTTTTTTCCAAGCGCATGTAATTAGAATTAATATTAAAAAGGATATAATCGATTTTTCATTTTATCGAAAAATTATCAAAGGTCGTTTTTTCTTCTCCACATAAATAATCAGAGCACTTCTTTTGTTTTAGTTACTTTCATAAAATATTAATCTCCAGAAAAATGCACTTTTTTGCCTCTCGAAAACTTTTTTCAAAGAATAAAAAATTATGGGGTTAGTTACACTCATGTGCGCTTCAATGAACAAAATCTAACAATTACATATGTATTTTGTGGATTTCCGAAAAGTGCAGAAAACTGGGGAAACGTGTTGTTATTTTTTCCAGGAGAGTATGACAGTGGCTCGAACAAATGATGAGGGAATAAAAGTTTGTTTGACGTTCTATCGACATTTGGCTGATGATGATTATACCCACGAAGGAATTTGTACACTGGGAAAGTGAGTATAACTATGTAACATGTGCTGGGTGGTATCGGCTATTTTGAAAACACAAAAATACAATTTTTGGGAGCTGACTGGCAAGTAATTAGTGCAGTAATATTTTTTGAAAAAATTAGAGCTGTAAATCCATTTTTTGAGCTCTTCGTTTAGAAAATCAAAGAATTTTCTCCACAATATTGAATATTCAAAAAGTTATTTTTAACTTCAAGTTTTAATCTTCAGATTCTGAATTTTCAAGAATATCCAGGCTTGAAGATTTCGAAACATTTTTGAGACTCCAACACACACTGCTGATTTGTGAAACATTTTCTATTTCATAGTTTTCAGACACTACTTTTGATAAAATAATCGTTTTTTTAAACCATACTTTTAACTTGTTCCATTCCCAAAAATGCACATTTTACATTTGACTTTGAACAATTCAATTATCCTAACAGCGTTAGTATCTGCTCCAGAAATTCTTTGAACTTTTGAAACTTTCGAATTAACAATATTGAAGTGAAAATTTATTTGTTGAGATTATCGTGGTTTAGAAACCACATTTTCAAATTATTTATGTACATTTTAATTATATTGAAAATACAATATTTCTGAATGTGAGAATTTCAAGTTCAAATGTGTACTATGAAGAACATAGTTTTTTCTCTCAATTTTCATACAAAAACGTCAAAATGATCGATCCTGCCGTTCAGGTGATCCTGAATCGTAGAGGTCCCGAAAATCGCGTGAATCTCGATGTCGTTCTCCTGAGTTGATCAGGAGAAAATTGAAATTCCAAAACAAACGTCATAAAAAATCACGACTTTGAATAATATTTTTGCAGCTGCATCGATGATCCGGACATAGTGAATTGCAAAACCCATTTCCCAGAAAAGTTCGAAGATGATTTGCAACCCAACGAATATAATTGAAACAATTTAACGAGTATCCAAACACCAGCTGATTCAACCAATTTTTGTGATATTTTTCCGTATTTGTAAATTTCCCAACCAACTAAAAACATTCCCTTTTTTCAATGAACCGGTGTATCAAAACTTTTTGCTTTGTTCTAATCAAATCATAATATGTGCAAAATACAAAAAGGTATGAGAAACGAGAAAAAAAACGATTTCGGAACAAGAGGAGGACATTCTCAAGAGGTGTCGTCTTCAATATTTTGGCATTTCAGAATTGCCTATTTTTTTCAACTTCTGCGTTTTTTTTATTTTGAATGAGAATGAGAATGAAAACAACTTTTTTGACTTTTTTTTTTGAAAAAATGGCGCGAAAATTCTAGTGCGAATCCATTATTTTTTTATTTCTGTTTTTTCTGGTGTTTTTTTTTTCAGTGATTGAGCTCAGCTTGAAGCTAGAAAAATTGATGCTGAAACAAATAAATATTAACTACCACATCAATTTTTATTTTTTAAAGAAAATGTGTTCTTGAAGGAAATAGAATTTTATATATTTTCTCACATCATTTTTTCCTAAATATGAATGTATAAATTAATGACTCGTATCAATCTAATAATCTTTGGTTCCTCAAGAAAATTCGGTTAAACTTTTCTTTATTCAATAAAATATAATAAGCATTAGATACTAAAGGAATATTCTGTAAAACGATCCATTGTAAGATCAAATACTAAAGTTCCAAAAAATTGTCTAGAAAAAAATCTGGAGGAGTATCACATCAAATTGTATATGTTTTTGTCATTTTTGTTCTGTTTATTTTTTATTCCATTTTATTTTTCATTTATTATTATTTAACAATGAATTAGGAGGCGAGAAAAAAGAGCGAAAACTGAAAACTAATAATGAATGAAGTTAGAAGAAAATTTGATTTTATTCAACTCAAGTTCATTTATTTTTTGTGTTTGATTCTTTACAGTTGATTGATGGAACATTTTTTGTTGCTTGGTTTTTTCAACATTTTCCTCCGGAAACAAAGTTACCGGAAATCTTTTGTCATATTTAGATTGACATCTGAAAACAATATGTATATGATTTCACTATATTTTGTTGTTTTTTCTTTTTTGTGCATATTTATTTATTTTTGAAAAAAGTATTTTTGTTCCGATTCAAAATGAAAATGCTCTGATACTGAGACTCTGGGAGAAAAAGAGATGACTTTTTTCATTAAAATGTTTGAGAGTGATTTATTCAGAACCTATTTTGTTCCAACAAAGAGTCGTTTGTCTCCTCTTCGCATTCGTTTTTGCCTTCTTTTTTCTAGACTCCATTTTTTCGCCTTTGACAAGAAAAACGAAGAAAAAATGAAAACAACTATGAATTTCAATTCCGACACATTTTAATTGTTCTGCCACAGAACACTTCTTTTCGTGTTTTTCTTGTTCTTGCAAAAATCATATTGAAATTTGATCTACATAGCTCTAATAAGAATTCAAATCTAATTTTTTATATAAATCCAAATCCGTGTGCCTAAAAATGTTGCAAGTTCTTTCAATTCGATGAAAAAATTCATGTGTGAATTTTTCTCGAAGAAAAATGTGTGTTGATGACAAAGTTCAACATTTTAATTGAATTCACACACACATTCTCCACTTTTTTTTCAAATACTAACATTATTTTCGAAAAAAAAACTTTTTCCTGAACATAAATTATTTTTGTCCAGATGTTTGCACTATTAGGTTTCCGAGTTTTGGCGCGCAAGCATGATTTACAGTTTTGCTCTATATTTGCACTTTTCCTAGAAAAAATGAAATGGAGTAAAGGAAACGTTTTTCGGAATCGACAGGAAAAATCAAAAAATTTAAGACAATATTAGAAATGCGTAGAAGAACAATTGTAAAAATTTTTTTGAAATTTTGAAACTCTAAAATTTTACCTGGCCCAAATTTTGATCATCCTTTCTTCACCGAATGCACCAAAATGTTAATAATATTTGAATTTATCACTGGCCAGGAAATGTTGAATTTGAATCTATAAAACATGGAAAACTTGAAGTATTTTTAAAAATAACATTGTCACAAACAAGATAGCCTATATCGAAATCTAGACATTTTCTGTTATTTCCAGGTATCTGATTTCAATGATTTCATTCTATTTTTTATTGATGAAAAAAGTCTAGGCTAATTTTAGTCTGCGTTGCTAATTTCTAATATCATACCACATTACAAATGTATTTTCAGCTCTAGACTTTGATATTTTATTTATCAAAGACTAGGAAAAATAACATCTGACATGTTGGAAGGCAGGAAATTTGAATCACAAAATTTGTTATTTATTTATTCTCATCTCACCTACCCAAATTCTATATCAAATTTTTTTTCTCTTCAAACCACAAACACAATGAATAAAAAAATCTGAAATCTACCTCACTCCACCCACTGATTCGATTTCCCTCTTCTAATGTAAGGAATGTGTCCTTCTTTTTGTTGTTTTTTTTTGTTTCGTTGAAAACCCTTTCTTTTATTTTTTGTTTTTCTTCTCAATTACAAAATACCTGCAGGGACACCATAAAATATGCACTTTTTTGTGTTTTTTTCCATAGCTTATTGAAAAAAAAAACTAACATAAATATACGAATAATAAATATATCAAAGAGGAACCCATCAAAAAAACAACTTTTTTTTTCAAAATTTTCATTTTCTCGTTGAACTATCAACTATGATTTCATTTTTTTCCAAGAAAACCCATTAAAAATATACTGTATCGTATTTTTGACACCTATCTTTATCTGTAATCCCATGAAAAATCGCATTAAACCTACGCACTAATAAAAATTTACGGTAAAATTTATATTTTTCTAGAGAACAATTATATCTTCTACTATAAAAACGCAGACCAAATCTCATTTTTTCAGAGACAAGAACAACCTATATGCTGTAAATAAGAAATGGAGTGATTTTTCTTTGTTGTTTTTCTAATTTTTCTTCGAGCCCGGCTTGGGAAAAATATAAATAACGTTTGATGGCAGAAGTTTTTCATTTTTTTTGTTGAATTTTTCAATGTTTTGAGAACCAAGAATTGTTTCCGTAGAAATTTAGAATTTCGAAAAAAAAAATTATATTTTCAGTAATAAAAAAATAAGTTTTGAACTCGAAATTGTTGGTGTTCTTTGAATATCATCGTTACTAATTTGCATTTTTCATTTCTTTTTTTTTTTCAGTATTTTTTTGATGTTATGAGCTCGGGTTATGACGATTTTCTAGTCCTAGAAAACATATTATTGATCTCAACTATATTTTGAAAAATTTAAATAAATAGATGAGGATTGTGCTAGAATTCTATCATTATTAAAGCTTAATGATAGGAAAAAACACTTTTTCAAAAATTTGGGAAACGTTTGCGAATCGTGTCATTGATTTTCTGGCCACTACGACAGAGCTACTTCATCTAATATTTTTTTTTCAATTCCAAAAACATTGTACCTTTAAAGTCCTTTTGTACTGATTCTTTTAAACAATCTCAATTTATTCTTCGCACAATTCTCCCTTAATGTTAAAAATCACATTTCCATTCTTTTTCAGAATTTTCACATTCATCGAAACTTCGCATTTTCTTTTCCACATTATTCGTAGTCAAAAATTGGCGGTGAAGGAGTCGATGCCGCAAAATTTTGTGGAACGTGTCGAACGACTTGCACTTTCCAATGGTCGACTACCAGGAAGATCTTTATTATTAGATAGAGAACAAGGTTCGTTTTTTTGGTAATTTATTATTTCTGCAATTTTTAAACTGAAGATTCTAATCATAAGAAAACATTGATACAATCTTTTCTTTTTGTTATAATAAAATACAATAATTGTTCATACATTCATTTTTTCGAAGGACTAATAATGTGATGTGAATCACATTTGAATCACAAAAAGATTTTTTGAGGTTCCCATCGTTTAGTACTTTTGTAATAGTTTTTCTGATTCACATTCCATTCTTTTCATCTCCTAAAAGGAATGTAGTAAAAAATATTTCTCATAGAAACGTCCATCGGCTCATTTCATTCAAAAATGAATATTTTGTTTCTCATATAAAAAATTTTTGTGGGTCGACAAATCTATAAAATCTCATCTCATGTCAGATAATTCTCACAAATCTCTGAAAAAAAACTTTTGATAATCCAAATTGCATAGAAATCTGCTATATTTTCAGCTTTTCTTTTACATGTGTTCATTTTCCAAAAAATTCAACAGTAAAATAAAATTCTTCGTCTTCGAATAAAAACAATTTTTGTTTATCTAATTTCCACCCGAAAAATGTTCAGTGAAATAAAAAAAACATATTTGATTAATTTTATTAACCCAACAATTTTTGTATAAGTATATTATATAATAGAATTATTTCATGTGGGTATTTTTTTTGCTTTTCCTATGCTATAAGCTTGTTTATTTTTGACTATAAAATTAGAGATAGATTGTTATATTTTACTACTTTTCTTGAATTTTGAACAAAAAAAAAACTGCATTTTTTTATGTGATTCTGAAAGCGCACTTGACTTGTTTCAATTTTGGTTTTAAATTGTGTTCTTCAAGTCTCTAAATCTTCTGCTCTTTTTTCTTTTTTTTGATAAAAAAGCCCTTTTATTTATAATCCAATCCAGTTTGTCAGTTCTCCTTAAAAATAATCTCCAGTTTCAATATGTTTTGATTATCAAAAAATATTGTGATGAAAAAACCAGACACCAATTTTTATTTGAATCAAAATTGAGTTTGTTTTTGAGATTTTCATTCCCTCCCTCGATTTTTTTCGCTTCTTCAGTCAGCTACCGTTTTTTTCTTCATCTTTTCTCTCTCTCTACTTTTTCCCATTTTCTTTGTTCCTGCGCTTTTCCCATTCCCATTGCTCAACATAAACAACAAACATTTTTTCTAACACCTTCAAGGACAATTTTACTCATACTTGTTTTCATAGTATTTTTTGTTATTGTTCAAAACCTTTTGTTAATAGAAAATTTGAGAGCTCGTGATTTTGTCCATTTGGATGTTCTTTGAACCGCCCATGGGAGAATACGGTATCTGAAAAACCTTTTGTTTTGTTTCCAAATCTGATCCCTTTTTATGTTACACATGAGATTTCAGAAGTTCCATTTTTGTCGGGGGCATTATTTTTTCACACTTGGGAAAATGACAACATTAGAAATTCAAATTATTTTAGTATCCGCCCATTCTCCAATTCCCGCCAACCATAATTTATTCGAAACGAGTTGGCGGGATGCCAAATGCTCTTTTTCGCTTCCCGCCTTTTTTAATTAGTAACAAAAAGTCGCGAAAGTTTTTGGCGCCATTTGAGTACCGACAGCTTTTCGAAATATGTTGCTGCTTTTTTTCTGATTTTTTTTACGTTTTCATTTTTTCTGAGCTAACCTTTAAGATATCAGAAAAGGTTTTCATTCTTGATCTGTAGTCATTGACAAAATTTTGAAAGAATCAATTTCAAAAAATCAAAAAACTATGTATTCATTAATTTTAAACATTAAGGTAAACAAAATAGTTCTTCAATTTGTTTTTAAAAATGACATCAAATATATTCGCACAAAATTTTTCTAATTGTACCAAAAACACATATTTCAACTCCTGTAGGATGAAAAATAGAAAAATTCAAATTCATCGCACACTCATCCACTCATTTCACTTCTCAAAGACAAATGTTGATCAACATAAAAAAAAACAAACAAACTCTTCAAACCGGAAACGTTTGCCAAAAAAACTTTGAACAAAAGAATATTTTGTGCAAAATACAAGCTTAAAGAGTCCAGTAGAGTCATCAAAAAAATTCTCGGAAAACAAAGCAAAATAAAAGAAAATACATTAGTTCCTTCTTAATTCCACTGATCATGTTGAGATGCACTTTTATTCAATTTTATCTTTTTTTGCGCTTTTTCTTACACGGAGAGTTTCTTATTTTTCATGGTCTCATATATATTTTTATATATGCTTATTCATCTATTTTTTTGTGTTTCTTTGGTTTTTGAAATTGAATAGTTTCATAAGAAATCTCAAATCCTTGTGACTTTTTGCTTCAAAAAATATAGAAAAGAAACAAAAAAAATTGAATTTGAATGAACACATATCTGTTTTTGAAGTAAACACATGATGAAAATAAAATATTTATGTACAAGAAGATGTTATTTTTCCAATTATGAAAATGGAATCAAATTCATCGTGTCTTAATGGAGAAGGGTGAATGATAAAGCCTGTTTCAAATAAAAAAAAGATCCGGGAAAAAACTTCAACACTTAACCATTGTGAAAAAAGTTTTAAATTTTTAGATCACGTTCACAGGAACATGTAATAAAAAATTGTCACGTATATTCTCATTACGCAAACGTGATCCAAACGTTTGCGTAATGTGTTCATTAATTTTCATTGGCTCCGTGGTTTTTCTAAAGATTTTCAGGGTTTTTTACAACATTCGAAAAAATATAGATTTCTGAAAAGTTCTGTGGTTTCATCAATTTTCCCACAAAACTATCGAATCCAAATTTCTGAATTTTTGTTTTCAAAAAAGCTACAGTACTCAAAATCCTATTTGTTTATTGACCAGACAAGTCACGTCATAACTGTTTTTCTTCATGAACACGTGTTCGACCTTTTTGCAGATGTTCTGTGAAAAACAGTTTCTCTGTGAAAAACAGTCGAACATCTGGAGAAATATTGTTTTCATTTCATTTCTCATTTTCTTTCATATGCCTGGGTGTCTTTCTTTTTTTGTGAAAAATATTCAAAAAAATCTTAAAATATTAATCTCTTTTTATTTTAGCTCATAGTCGGGTTGAATCCGGATTATTTCAACTTGCACGTGTTTTCAATTTGATAATAAAAAAAACGTTTTCTAGGAAAATACAAAAAAATATGTAGAAATATTTTTGAACTTTTACCAAAGAAACATCAATGTTTACAAATAACATCCATATATATTTATTTTCAAACAAAAAACCAGCACTATTTTGCTCAAGCTACTCCCACTTTTTGCTCCTTCTTCTTCTTCTTCTGCTCCGTTTTTCTTTTATTTTTTGCTGCATTTTTCTTCGTTCTCCATTCATTCAGTCAACCACATCCATGTCTTCAACTCTACTAGTTCTGTTTTGATACTATAATATTCTTCTTCTTATTATTATTATTTCTGTTTTTTCCACTAATTACTAAAAAAAATGTTGGAAAATCCAAAAATAGTTCGATTTGATTCAAATAATCAAGATAATAATCATTTGGTAAAAGACGGTCGTCGTAGACGAAAAACGACTGTTGCTTTATCACCCTCTTTAACTGAATTAATGACAGCTCAACGAATGTTGGATATCGAAGAGCCTCTTGTCAAATCGAAGAAATATCCATTCTTCAAAGCCCCAAGGTTTGGTGGATCGAGACGAATAAGGAATCGACTCGTTCAAAAGCAGGTGAGATTTTTTCCGGTTATTTTTCATTAACATTCTGCATTTAGTTAGACGTTTTTTCATTAAGCACAACCAAAATCCTTTTTTTCCATCTCTCATTTCATATATGGTGGAAACATTCTTTGAATCCGAAGTTTGACTAATTAAAAGTTTCTATTTTTGGAGAAGTGAAATTCGAGAATTGAAATATTTCAGAATGATTAATTAAATGAACTTTTTAATAAATCTCATTGTTCTTTTTCAAAGCTGCGTGAAATTTCTTGATGAATCAAATATCAAAATCCTTTGTCTTATTTTATGCAAGGGATTATCTTTTCAAAAAAAAATGAATTCATTTTAGTAACCTGAGAAAATTGATGTATTTCTTCAAAAGCTTCCGCAAAAAAATCATAGCTCAAAAAACATCAAAATATTCTGAAAAACTTTTCCAGCGCTGTAAATTCACAAAAATATTTTTGCAGGGGCTTTGCAATATCAGTTTGAAAAATGTTCCGAAACAACGTCGCAAATATTTTTCGTGAGTTTATTTTTTTGTCTAGCACTTTTGACGTGTACATATTGGCACTTGAGACGACCCCCTGAATTTTATTTCATTTTTTACATAGATGTTCAATTTGTATGTGTGTCTCGTGAAAAAATGGCATTTGTTTTTATGAGTAATATTAAAAATGATAAATATTTCTCAACAAAAAATCATTCTAGGTGAACGTATGTCAAAAAAGAAAAAGAAAAATATTTTTGAGCTGAAAATAGGAAAAAATATCTGACACAAATAATTTTATTTGTTTTTGTTTATCTAACAAAAAAACTGAAATTCTGATTCACTTATGTATAACATAAAGTGAACGGAAATTATGATGATAATAATTCTGAAGAAACACCAAATTAACTTGTATGATAATTTTTATGAGCGCTGTAAAGTATACAATTCTCATGGGAAAACTTTGAACCCGAACAATTCAATTTATGAGTTACTTTTTATTGAGAAAACCTGTAATTTTATTTTCTAGATAGTGAAACATTTTATTCCAACACAAATTGGTCTTTGAAACAGTAGATAAAAACAACATTTGTAAATAAGAAGAAAATAATGAGTAAAATTTGGAAAAAATATTTTTTCAAATGTCATATGAAAGGGAAAAAAAAACTCGAAAAGGTCTTTTTTTCCAGCTTATGAGAATTGATTCCATTTCAGCTTGATTGATTGATTCCATTTCTGAGCAAAAAAAATGGATTTTTCTGGAAACTTCTCAAACATTAATTTATAAATTAAAAAATTTGAAAAAACAGTGAAACATCGTGTAAAATTGTTTGACAGTCTAGGTTTCCAGTAGTTTGGAGCTGTTTTTATATGTGAGTTCCGATTTTTATAAAAATTCGTCAATTACCTTATTTTAACCAGACGACTAACTTTTGAATTGAAATGAATCAATGTTTATTCTCAGACTCCACAGTTAACTGTCTGGGCGATATTAACTTAATGTAAGATAATCAGTCAATACTTTTTAAATCTTCATAACTACCCTCAATAATTCATATTATTCTGAATAACGAAGTTTCTAAAAAGGACACAAGAACACCTGCATTTGAAAATTGTTTTCCCCCATTTTTTTCAACAGATGTTCATTATTTTGTCCGGTGTTCAAAGCTGCATAGTTTGGCAATGGTCCAAGTTTTACGGTTTTTGAATAACAACATTGTTCTTATGGAAAATATTAAATTGAGAAAACGAGAGTGAAATTCAACGAACAGCTCATCAGACTCACAAACTTACGCTCTAAGATATCAGTTGGAATTCCATCTATCAAAATAAATAAAGAATAAAAACATTAGATTTAAAAATCCACAAATTTTGTGCAAAAAAATCAGAATTCTCTTAATCCATAAATAAATTTTACACAAAATTTCAGCGACATTTTCACCACCGTTATTGAGATGAAATGGCGTTGGTGCCTACTCTACTTTTCACTTTCCTTCCTCATAAGCTGGTCCTTCTTTGCAACATTATACTTTTTGATTGCAAAACAACACGGAGATATTGAACAGGTTTGATATTTGTATGATGTTTTGCTTTCCTTGGTTTAGTAAATTGCACGCATTAACCGCACATTTTCAATTTTTGAATGCACTTCTAACATAGATCAATAAAAATATTTTTGTAAGAAACTCCAGGTATCGAATGTCACGTGGACACCGTGCATTGTCAATGTGCACAATGAGCTCAACGCATTTTTGTTCTCTTTCACAACACAAACAACTATTGGTTATGGTTTCAGGTAATATTTTGAATTGAAAAAATGATGAGAAATAGAAAAAAAATTCGAAAAGACCAACTCTCATTTTTTATATGTACTTATTTGAGCATGAAATTCCAAATAATCAAATTAACTAAATTTAGAGCGTCAATTTTGTTTCAGCTCTGATTTCAACAGATAAAAAATACATTTCAAACTGCCTGAGCAATAAAACCTAAAATTCATGGAAAATCTACATCAAAGTCCCTTATTTCTATTTTCGCCCACAAACAAAAAATAAAACAAAATGAATTTGAAAAGTGATAAAAACGTCATAATTTTATTACAGATATCCTACAGACACGTGTCCGCTCACAATTGTTACGATGTGCTTTCAATTCATGTGGGGTGTTATGACACAGGTAATTCAAATATTCATGTATTATTTATAACTTGATCAAGGAACACCAACAAACCTTACCGTACTTTTTTTATCAATTTTCTAGAAGCATAAAACAAATCACATGTTTGCTGCTTGTCAGGAACTGTTTACATTATTTGATCGCTTTGGTTTGCACCAAGAATATTTTTTTACATAATTTTTGTTTTTCAGGAATCCTGCCTGGTTCCTTAACAAAAAGTACAATAACATTAGCATTAGGTGACAAAAATAAATACATAGTGCAATAATTTCTTGGAACAAGCGTATCAATGAAAAAATAGAAAAAAACGTTATCAGTAACTAGACTACTGTTCGGTTCATGTTCTAGAACTGATCTTTGAGGCAATTTTTGTTGGTGAATAAAATTCATTTTTCAATTCCTCATTCGAAATGGCATTAGAATAATTAAGCGGATAACGTGGGGGTCTCAAAAAAAAAACGATCTGCAGTCAGAAAGGAACAAAATTACAGTATTATTTTTTCAGACACTTATGGCTGGAATTATCTTTTCGAAATTGGCTAGACCTATCAAACGAGCAGCTACATTGATATTCTCGAAAAATGCGGTAAGTACATTATAATTTACTGTAAGTACTTTGCCAAAGAACATTGATGTTTTAAGAAAATGATAGGTTTCTTTGGTTTACAGTAATCTAAAGATTCGAAAACGAACAATTCTTGGAATTCGTTCAATGATTGTATTCATATCAAAATAACAACAGGGTCCAAAAAATTATTTTTTTTATATTCCAGGTAATTTGTCTACGCGATGGTAAATTGTGTCTTCTTTTCCGAGTTGGTGATATGAGAAAATCGAGTCTTGCCGAAGCTCATGTCAGATTACAAGTCAGTTTTTTTTTCAAGTAAAAAATTAGTTTATGCGGAAAATATTATGATGGGGATGGGGTTACAATGAAAAGAATAGAGATCCAAAGTGATTTTGGCAACAGTTCTGATATGATAATCTAACAGGGAAATGAGCACAAAAAATTACCAAAAAAATAAGTGAAGAATTATTCCGTCATGAAGTATTTAAAAAAATGGATTTGAAAATTAAAATGAAAAAAATACGACTTTTATCGTCCGAGTGGAGTAGTTGTTGTGGAAGAAGCTGCGGCGGCAACAGCAGCACTGTTGCCAAGAATAACGACAAAAATCAAGATGCAAATGAAGACGAAGAATCCAATAACTCCCATTTTTACAAAAAGCATCATTCGATGGTAACGTGATTGATCTATAAATAACAGATTTTTTTGAGTTGAACGATCTTAATTTAAGTTAACTCACCATCATCGTCTGAATCAGAATCATCATATTTTGGTGGCGGAATGATTGTGTAAAGCTTTTGAGCATTGACGTCGAGTTGAGAAGGATCCATTTCGGCAAATGTTACTGTTCTCTTCTTCCTGCAAATTTGTTTGTTTTTATTTGAAACAAACAAAAACAAAACGGAAAAGGAAAACTCACTTAATTGGTTGATTTTGTGCTTCGACATCAATAGAAACTTGAGAATTATTTGTTGATGAGCATTGCGGTGGAACATCCATCGGAGTGATTTGTGTGTTTGACACTAGCGACATACTGAAATCGGAAAATGAATGATGAATAAAAAAGAAAAAGAGGGGAGGGGAAGAAATCGCGATTGTGGGCGGAGTCGATTTGAGGAAAGGAATGGCGCGAAAAAAAATGAGAAGAAGGAAAAAAGAGATGAAGAAGAAGAAAAAAGTGCACTTGGAATAAACAAATGATGATTTTTATTCAGGAATAAAAAATGATTTACATTAGTAATTAGTTTCTGGATCTTGAATATTATTTATTTTTCATATAGGGAAAATAATACAAAAAAAAGCTCCCATGCTAATCGAATTTAAAATTTTTATTGATGATAATTTGTTTTCTGAAACTTTATGATTCTCGATATATTAGTTTGGAAACCACTTTTTATACCAAGTTTATGTTATCAGGAGTTTTCCATGTAAAGATGGGGGCGTTTGTGGCAAGAGTTCGTGTTTCCGGCGATTATTTTTACGTCACAAGAAAACACGATGTTTCTGATAATGTTTATTAGATTCGCGGGCGTCACTGTTCTACAGAGATCTTCCAAAAGTTATTTTAGAGAAAAATTGTTTATCCGACAATTTTCTAGAAAATATAAACATTGGAGCGTCGTTCAAAATCTAATTTTGAAGAATTAAAAAACAATAAATATTTTGAACTTTCTGAAAAGCGGAAATTCAATAATAAAAAATAAAAATTTCCAATAACATTAAGAAACCTTATAATTGTTCATAAATGATAAGAAAAAGAGTTTTCAATTTATTTTTAGATAACAGTTCTCTATCGTTCATTCCAAAATGAAAACAAGACGTAACCTGAGAAAAAATACGTAGAGAGAAAATGCTCATAAAATCCTACGGATAAACTCTGTGAGGATAGCTTATGATGCATATCGAAATATGAAAATAACTTGTGAAGAGAAAAATAATAATAAGAAGCAAGAATAATCCTGATTTTATTTCAGATGATCAAAAGATGTGTGACATACGAAGGAGAACTTTTACCATTTCATCAATTCGATATGGATGTTGGGTGAGAAAGAAATGAAATGAAATGAGCTTTATGATTTTTTTTTCGTATAGACGTTGTTTTCAAATGAATTAATAATATGATGGAAAAACATGAAGAAGGAGGAGAAAGAGTACTTTTTCTCATTCCTTCCTCAACCAGAAAGAGAAACATAAAATAAATTAGTAGTACTCAAACTATTTTCTTCAGATATGATCAAGGTTTGGATCGAGTATTTGTTATTTGGCCAATCACAATTTGCCATGAAATTGATGAGCGAAGTCCACTTTGGGATATTGGAGCTGATGATTTGAAAAGCGCCAAATTCGAAATTATAGGTATATATTTTAGAAAACATACATAATAATAATAATATGTATCTTTCATAAATATCTTTCAATAATCACAAAAAAATTCGAAAAAAAACTAGAATAATTTTTTATGTGTGTGAAGATAGTTTTATTTTTGAGAAAATATGCTAATTCTTTTGCGCTCAATTATTTGAAAATTGATAAAACAAACACATTTGCACAAAATAATTTTCCTTTTTAAAAACATATAAACAACCATAAAACGTAACAATAACAAATTTTATGATTTTGAAGCGTTATCATTTTCAACAACAAAAAAACTATTTTGTTTTTTTTTCAGCAATTTTGGAAGGAGTTGTCGAATCAGTTGGATCAACAACACAAGCAAGAACAAGCTATTTACCATCGGAAATTCTTTGGGGACATAGGTAACGAAAAATATAAGTTTATATACAAAAAAAAGAAAAAATGGAAATAAAAAAGACAATGGTTAATGTTTATAGTAGATGATGGGAAAAAAGAAGGAATAGTATAGGAAAATAGAAAAGAGGCACTGACTCATTAGCACCAAAAAATGTCAAGGGAAAATGAGAATTGGCGGCAACTCACGGCGCGCTTTCCTTTACGCGGACACCCGTTTTGAGAAAAATAGGAAAAGAATCAGAGAAACGAAGAATAGTAATTGTGACGCAATGAGAAAATCAAGTGCAATAGAGCGCGTTTTCTCTCCTATCCTAAATGTTTTTGTTGGGTCGTCTGTTTAGGCGGCGTAAAGAAAAGTGTACTGCGAACTATGAATGGTTAGCATAAATTTGATGTGAGCATTTTGTTTTTCAATAAGAAAAAAGGTTATTCAAGCAAAAATAATTATTTTTCGAAATATTTTTTTATCACCCAATTTTTTCACCATAAAAAATTGTTTTTTTTTTCAAGAGGAAGCTTTTTTCTATTTCCGTATTTTTCCGTTCAATTAAACCAACAAATTTATAGTTTGATCTGATTCGGAAGTGAAGATGAAAACAATTTCACTTAATTTATAGTTATATTTTGGCAAAAATAAAATTCTCAAGAGATTATGGATAATTGAAATAGGGTTTCTTTAGAGGCTGATTTTTTTCATATGAGTAATAAGATAAGATATGTTAAATAGAGCCAGATCGAAAATTTAGCCAAATTTAAGTTGCAAATGTGAAGAATATTTATTTATCAAACATCCGGAACACTTTAGGAAGATTTCTTGTTATCAAATTATATCAGCTAGCAAATTATCAAACGTCATTTTTTTGCTACTTCCACATGTTTCTTTTGTCTTTAATCTTTTTTTTTACAAAAAAAAAGATAAGTTGTTTATACTTTTTATGAACAATTGGTTGAATAAGAAATTTCGAAAAATTACATGGTTAGTCAATTTCTTTTCAAGCGTTCAATGTGAACAATTAGTTGAAATTCAGAGAATATATATTTGCAAATTCTTTAAAAAATATGATATATTTAGTGGGTAGAAAGAAAAAGAGAGCTAAAAAGCAAGAAAAAATAATTTGACAAGAGAAAATTGAATTTTTAGTAAATAATGAAAGACATACATACTCAAAACAAAAAAATACAACCCAAAAAATACACCCAAAACAAATAATTTGTTTTAAACAACAGGTTCGAAAAATTGGTACACTACAAAAAGGAGAATGGACAATACAACATTGATTTCGGAAAGTTTCACAATGTATATTCCGTAAATACACCAGCATGCTCAGCGGCCGAGATTGAAAGATTGCGGGTAATTATTTTTCATTTCATTCAAAAATATGAATAGTCAAGTGTGTAGGTGAAAGTTGCGATTCGAATAGAATTTTTGATTACTCTTTTATTAAAATGTTACCTGACGTAAAGAAAAATTCAAAATGTTCTCGATTATATCACGATGATTTCTTCATTCTTTTGAGATTTGATATGAGCAATATGAGTTCAAAGAACCAAAAAAAATGTTGGAGCACAATTTCATAATAATTGTTTATCAGAACTTGCACTCTTATTTTGGAAATAAATATTTACAAAAAATGTATTTATTAGTTCTTGAGATTCTCTCATAAATCAGGAACTTGTGAAAACAAGGAAAAACATGGAACATTCTTGTATTAATAAAAATGTATAAATTTCTGAAAATTCAGAAAAGGGAGATTTGCTTAGGGTTTACATTTAGTAGGATTTGACAATCTTGAAGTTCTGTATATCAATAAAGCTCAAAGAATCCGTAAACGCAAAACTCATAAATTATTCTGGTTTTTATTTTGGAAAAGTTATATTTTTCAAAAAAAAAGCATACTTGGTCAAAAATATATTCACAATTTTCAATTTTGTTCAGTCCGAAGGAATTTTCAACGAATCGGAATATCAAATGTACCCAGTTGACAACAAAATGAATCTTTACGATAACGATGATTTGTCTCCAGTCCGCGATTCTGTCGATCTTTCAAACCAGGTACCACAGGTAACCACTCAAAGCTGCCAGAGTTGTACATTTTTTGTGTGTTTGAGCTTATGTTAAACTTAATATTGGTTTTTTAATCTTTTTTGAAAGCACGCGGCTTTGAGTGTTTTGACTTTGCTTTTACAGAACTTCAATAATTATTCAATTTTCAGATTCAAATCTTGCGTCGTGATAGTGATGAAGATCCAGATGCTGGAGAGGAAAGCATGGAATTGGTAATCGATTTTTTTCAATAATTTTTGCCTACCCACTCTATTTAGAATCTTCTCCCGTGAATCACAAACACATCTAACCCAAAAAACAGAAAACTTCATAAACTTCTAATGTGAAATTTAGGTTGATCTTGGAATTCATCACAAATGCTCAATCCGATCACAATCACCAATAATCACCAATGCTGCTCCACCACATCTCTTGCAACCTGGTCACAAAAATTCGTGCGCTGTTAGAAGAGGCATGTTAGCTCCACCCGTTTCACACTCGTAGATCACACCATTTTTGGAACTTCTTTTATTTTTTTTTCAATGTTTTTTTTCATGTTTGATAGTGGGGAGCTTCTTTTATTCGTGTCCAACTTTTTTGGAATAATGCTTCTACACGTGTTGTTGTTTTTAATCATCTATTATTTGATTTTAATCTTTTTTTTCACAACTTTTTGGTTTCATTTTTGAATGATTTTTGTGTTTCGTTGGTTTATCACGTAGTTTTTTTCGGTGCACTTTATCAAGTTCGTGCCCTCAAATTATTATCTTCCTCTTCTTCTTCTTCTTTGCATAAAACCGTTCCAAAAATCAAACAAGTCAAATATTTGTTCAGACTATGCTAATTCACACCCATCTTCTTCTCCATTTCCTTTATCCTTTTTCTCACACACCGCCACAGATTTTCAGAGAGTGACATTGTTATCGCATGATTGTTCTAGACGTTTGTTTGGGAAGAATTGTTTTGGAAAATTTTGCGTAGGAAGATTTATTAAAAAAAGAAATGATAGAGATAAGAACATTATTGCCTGTGCATTTGTGTGGTAGAAAAAAAGGATTTTGAAAAAAAAATTCGATGGATTTGACAGGGGAAGATTATATTCAAAAAATTCATTGAAACTGATTTCGAAAGAAAAAGAATAGTAGGTTCACACAAGGTGTGTTCAAAACGTACTGACAATGTTCCAATTCAAATTCCACGAAAGTATATTAAACATCTTTTTTGGTCGGAATCAAAAATCTTGAAAAAAACGCAATTGATAGAACATTGTCTCAACCTTCCGGTCTGAAATCCTATGTTGACTTGACTCAATTTGTTTAACATGGTTTGATAATAATATAATTTGGAAATAGTTCACTATTTAGAAAACACCGACTTCCTAAGAAACATAAAAATACTGATTTTCATTGAAAAATCATTCAAATTGATTTCACAAATCTGATAATTAAAAAATGTTTCAGGTTCATTTTATATTTCAACATTTTTTTGAATACACCCTTTATCTTTAATGCTAGTTTTTCATATTAGTAATGCTAGTTTTTAGATATATTTCAACTAAAACCTTGTTTTTCCAGTGAGACATGTCTGTTTCCAATGATTCTTCAAAAGTACGTTTCAATAATACATATGTTCAACCCTTTTCTTGATTACGTTTTCATTTTTTACTTATGTACAATATTCTAGAGGTGTGATGTATTTTTGCATGTATTTGTTTCACAATTTTCTCAAAAATTTGGAAAATCTGACAAAAATATGTTTTTTACAGGTTCTTCTACAATAAATGTCAGTTTACATGGTTAATCAATACATATTTTGAACTTGGGAATCGGGAAACTTGGGATATTATATTTATTTGGTTAATTTATTGTAATGTATTCAAAAAATTATTGCGGTTGAGATATTTCACTTATATGTTTATTTTTTGTCATTTTATGTACTTTTTGGGATAAAACATTATTTGGAAGAAGAATATTTTATTGATAAGAAAATTCTACGAACAACTCGCGCACATTAAAAAAAAGCAGAATATTAGCGCATCGAATTGTGATACATCTTATCAAAACATGGCTTCTGATAATGGAGCAAAGTTGATCGACACATTCAAACCTGAAATATCCTTACGTGTTCAATTTGTGTCATTTTATGTAGTTTTTGGTTCAAGATATGTGTTATTTGAATGAATATTTTATTGATAATGATATTACAAAGAGAAAATAAAAGACAAATTGGTGAAAGGACCCGACCTTTCAAAAAATGATGGGCAATAACATGTCTAATTGGGATAAAAGCATAAAAAGACCAGAGTAAGAGCTTGAGTTTTTGTTTGGAAAAATATGAAAAAATATGCGAAATGGGCGGGAAGTGAATTTTTTAAGTAAGTATGTGTTTTCTTGGAAAAGACAAATGACACTAATATAAAAATTAGTTTCCTAACATTAATATTTGGTAGCGTGAAACATATGTTGTGGCATTGCTGTTGTTGTCAAACGGTTGTGGTAAGTGGATATTTCCAACTGAAAAAAAGTTAAAAATTGTTATCACATCGAAATTCGGTGCAAAAATATAGTGCAAAATAGATGTACACTATTTGCAATCCACGAAAAAAAATGAAAACAATATTTTTGCTCAAAACACTTTGGCAAAGAATAAAGTACAGACCACTCACTTTCAAGTTGACAAAAAAACATAAAAATATGATAACATTGATGATAAATAAACAAAACAACACGTTTTATCTGTGCAGAACGCAATGATGGCGAGTTTTACCTCGTTCCGTTTGAATCAAGAAGACGGTTATTTTCAGGTCCGCTGAAAAATGTTTATGAAGGTTTTTATGTTGAACGTTGGTAAGAAAACTCACTTTCCGGCTTCCAAATCACGTTGTTTTCTTGAACTATTTTTACCGTTGCAATAATTGAGACAAATACAAGCAATAACACCGCATCGATTTGTGAGGAAACAAATGAAATCAATGATCAATAGAACAACGAAGAAAATAGCAGCAGCAACCAAAACAAGATTTGATGTTGCAATTCCTTCTTCATATTTCAAAGGAGTTTCAAATGTCTGATGTTCTAATTCAGAAGGGCTTCCTTCTCCAATTTCATTGAAAGCTGTGATGCTGATTTTGTAGAATGAATGTGGTTTCATTTTGGTGAGTTGTAGTTCTGTTTCTTCAGCTGGAACTTCAATTACAATAGGGTTTCCAATTGGAACTCGCTCAATTTCTCCACTCTTTTCATATTCTTCATTTGTTGTTTCATCTTCCTCATTTTCATTTTCATTTGATTTTTCTTCATGTGTTTCTGATGTCGGTAAGATTTCTCCAGATTTTTCAAGAATTTCTCCATCCTTCTCATCACTTGTTTCATTATCAGTTTCAGTTTCAGCCGAGAGTTCATTAATCTCACCAGTTTCTACAGATTGTCTAGATGTTGATGTTTCCTGTCTCAATCCCAATTCTTGTAATGTGATTTTGTATTTCAAGAGCGGACTTCCGTGGTCATTTGGAGCAGACCAGGAAGCAACACAAGTATCAGCACATTCAACTTTGACCGAAGTTGGAGATTGTGGTGCCCAAGGATCAGTTGTTTCAAGACTAACTTCTGGAGTGTATTCGCTTCTTCCAGCTTCATTTGTAGCTCTGGCTTTGATCATGTACTGAGTTGATGGTGTCAGATTTGAAATCTTTGTTTCAATATCTGCAAAATAACAATGATGAAGACATCTTACGCAAAAATAATCACATAGAAACTAATTTTGAATTTTGAAAAAATAACTCTCACCGAAATCAGAAACAACTTCAAGAGCATCATCCCAATTAAAATCAGAACCCATTTCTTCCATCTTTGCAATCAAGAATTCCATCTTCAATGGTTTTGTTCCCTCATCAGAATAAATTCCTTCTTCAAAAGTACATTTGGCATAATTTGGATATATGAACTTTTTGCATTCCATCGCAGATGGTGTTGGTGGCGCAACTAGAAAAATCAAATTTAAAAAAATTGATATATTAGATTTTCTAGGGCTCAAACTTGAGAACGAACTCACCGACGTGAACAACGTTAATTTCCTTTTCAAGAACACCGACACTGTTATCAGCATGACAAGTATATTTTCCGTAATTTTCGCTGTCTTTTCCGTGCTTAAGGGTGAGTTTTGTGGATGTCTCGTGAGAGTCAATGATAATATTGGCACCATCAGCATATACCTCACTTCCGTCTTTCAACCATTTCCATTTTGGTTCTGGAACTGCAGAAACATCACAGAACAAAGTGACATCGTGTCCTTCATATGATCGAATTTGAGATCCAGTGTAGTGACGGAGAGTTGGTGGATCTAACAAAACCGAATTTTATTGAAATTTCGAATTTTTTTCTCAAAACTCACGAATGATATTAACAAGAGATGTTCTGTTGGTTGTTCCAGCTTCATTTGAAACCAAACATTGATATGATCCAGCATCTTCCAACGAAAGCGATTTGATGGTAAGAATAATCTTCTTATCTTCAGCGCGAACTGAGATTCTTTCATTTTGAATATCATCAACAAACTGCAAGAAAACCAATTAACATGAATAATTCTCAACAATATGTTGAGTGTTTTGTTTGGTCTCTAATTACATGTACCTGAGAGATGAGCTTAGGCTTAGACAGATGCTCAATCTGGTTCACAAAAACAATTTACATTATAAATGTAGGTGTCTTCCTTTTTCACATACACATTGAAAGTGCAGGAACAGGGAATAATTATTGTTTGTCTTTGGATTGTTAACCGGAAAAGAACTCACTCGTTTCCATTTTTTGGATTCTGCAACTTCCTCATCTTCTTCTCCTTCTTCAGTTTCATCATTTTCAGAAGTTGTGGTTTCAAGAGAAACGTCATTGTTTTCAGTAGCAGTTTCTAATGAGCTATCGGTTTCACCACTCTTTTCGGCATCTTCAGTCGTTGTTTCGATGATTTCCTCGTTTTCTTCGCTTTCCGACGCTTCACTCTTTGATTCTTCTTGTTCGTCTTCCTCAATCTCATCAGATTTTGGTCGATGTTCTTGCACAGCGAATTCTTGTGTTCCAAAAACGAATTTTGCATTAATTTCACCTTCTCCAGAATATCCACAAACAATTTCCACATCTTGTCCCTCTTGTTTAACATACTCGCTTTGCGTATCAACTTTTGGTTTCACTGTAAAAACAACAACTAATTACCGAAAACGGCCCGAAAAGAGCCCTTGACTAGAAAAACAGTCAAGAGTCTTCAACTCTAATGTATTTATGTATGACCCCCTGCAACTCTCAAGTATATACTTGAATAGATTATACCGTATGCTGACTGACTGTTGCTCTGTATGTGTGGATCAAGAAAAAAAGAAAAGGAGAAAGAAAAAACCTACAGTATACAGAAAGTTGAACTGTTCTCTCATCACTTCCAACTGAATTATTTGCAATACATTTATATGATCCGATATCTTCAGAATTCAATGACTCAATGATCAAAAGTCCCTCTTCAACTCGATGTTTATCCGAATGTATCAATTCTTCATCGCTGTTCTGTAAACACATTACCATATAACTTATTCATTGTTTTTTCTTTTGTCATTTTTGCTTGCTGACAGGTGAGCAAGGGTACTAACACCTATTGTCTTTTTATATTCTTTTTTTGTCATAGGACTTGACTGACAGATGCTTTAGTTTTGTTCAAACTTAATGATTTGGAAATAAATAAATACACGAGTCTATCGTTTATTTTATTCATTCCCATCCCTTGACCTTTATGTATCATGCTAATCCCAAGAAGATAATAATCGTCAATGATGATGAAGATGATGAATAACCTTCACGCTAATGTGTTTATCATTTTTAATTCATCAAATCCCAGGACCACCCGTTGAGGATGAGGACCACACACACGCATTTCTTATGAAAATATATGAATATTTTATTTGTAAATAAACAATTGCGTGTGTAATAGTAGTTGGGAAAAAACTACGAAAATTGAATTTTGGGTTTTCCAAGAAATGAGAATACATATACTCTCAAGGGAATTTTTTGAAAGAAAGAAACTGGATTAACGTGTGTTTTTTTTTTGAGATCCCTGTCTATTATTGAAAAATACATGTTTTTCAAAAATATGCTTACTCAAAAAAGATTTTTGGAATTCATTGACGCGTGAAATTCGAACCATACATACTTTTACTACGACTCTACATAGTAATACTTCTTCACTAGTACTACACAAAAAAGAAAAGACACCTAATTGTCATTACATTGTCCTCCAAATTTGTTCAAGCGAAAAAAAGATCCCGAAGGACCTCACAAGAAAGAATAAATAATTATGCTCAATGCTCCCTCTCCTCTTTAAAAAAGTTTTGTTTCACCGCATCAATCGAGTCGAGTCGAGAAAAGTCAAGGTTATTTTGGTGAATAATAAAAGAAGAGGTGTTGCACCACATTCAACATATGTTTGGCGGTTTTTCCTTGACTTGTCAAGGCAAAAGTTTCAAATTTCAATAAATAATTAATTAATTGAAATGACAGGTGCGCGTTTACCTCAAAATACCACTTGTAGGATGGTTTTGGTTTGGCAACAGCTCCACACTTTAATTCTACCGACTGTCCTTCCAAACCGCGGTTATTTTCTGGCACATCAAAAACGGTAATTATTGGGCGAGCTGGAAAAGAAATATGAAAATTAATAATATTGTTGTATTTTAATTATAGATAACTAATAATTGATACTCTTTCATCTTCTTCCGACACACTTACCGTATCCGGTTACATTAATTGTAAGTGTTTCATACGATGAGAACTGTGCAGCATTACATTTATAGATTCCATCATCTTTTTTAGCATTGAAGTTTGGAATAAACAATTTTTGATGGTCTTCTGAGAATTCATATCCTCTTTGAGAAGCTGAAAAATTTCAGTTGTTCCTTGCTTTTGAAAAAAAAACTCAATTTCAATTCTTGTTTTTTGTGGTGAAGCAATAAAATAAAATTTGCATAAGCGGATGTTTTCTGAGTTTGCTGGGAAAATGGTTTTATTTTTCCCTCTTTTTATTCGCGAATCTAAATCAGAAGAACTCTAGTTCTTATCAAAAAATCCAATTATTTCCAAACTCGTTTTTATCCCGCATTGCCCATCAAAATAAGATTACAAATCGGAATAGGAAAAAAACCAAAACCAATCAAACATGTATTTAACTCAACCCCTAAATTATCCATCTATTATATTCATCTATATAAATAAATATATATTATTTTTCTAGAACATCTATATATCCTCCTAATTGATATAACGCACCGACGAACGCAACACATCGTAAGAAGATCCTCTTCTCATTCCAGATGGTTAGAAAAACCCGACCCTACAGTAATCCTCCTCCTGCCGGGTGGTTGGTCCAAACACAAAAGGATTAATCTCATCTTTTTTGAAAATATATACATATACAATAGGATAAGGAAAAGGAGAGGCGTCGGAAAAATTAGGAAGACACATAAGATACAAAAAAGTGCTTGACCTGTTTGTCAATTGTATTTAATTATGAAATAATAGATGATCTTAGGCTCTCAATTACAGTCTTTCAAATAATGCCGATTTTTTTTATTTGTTTATTGTCTCTTCAGACAAAAATGTATGTGTTGATTTGATTGATTAGCAACACCACACAAAAAAAACAATAATTTGGCTAATCTAATCAGACGACCTTTTTCAAATAAGTCAAGTACTATTCATTATTATCTATAAAAAACATAGAACCGTACCGCTAACAATATCAGATATTGTATTCAATATTCAAAAATTCACTCCTTCGCTGTCAAATGTTTGTCAAAATATTGCGCGATAATGTCAAGATTACGCAATTAACCCCTAGTTGTTCTTTTTCTCCCTCGATCTTTTTTTGACACCACTCACTTTCGTCCAAAGTCACACCATTGAATTGCCAAAACACTTCCAATTGTTCAGCGCCTTCAACTTGACAATGAATTTCAGCACGTGTTCCCTCTTCGGGATGTTGCTCTTCTTGGGGGTTCACAAATTTCGGTGGATCTGCAAATATTTACAAAGTCTGTCAGAATCTCTTTTCTTCGTTTTTAACCGCCTGTGTGTTATGTGTGTGTGTGTTAGAAATGGGGGCAAAAGGGACTATTTGTTCAGCTCACATCAATTTGTAATCGGGATAAAATGATAATGTTCTGATTGTTTGATATTTGAGTTATGATCATTTACGAAAAGATTGATTGAGATTGGAACATTTTTAAAACCTGGGAAAACAACATACCAACAAAGCTAACGTCAGCAATCAATTCTTGCTTCTCTCCTTGAATTTCAGCTACACATGTGTATTTTCCACCATCGGTAGTTTTTGGTCGATTGATCAATAATTGATTGGAGAATGGTTTTTCGATTGTCATTGTGCTGAAAAAACTCATTCATCATTTTTTTTCTGGCTCTTATGTCATAGAAAGGGATGAAGCCTTATGGTGTCAACTACTACCATATGCCATTCAGCCATACTTTTTCTTGTTCTTTTTCAAAAGATATTTTGGTGAAGGGGAGGGAATTAGATGATTAATTGAATATAATCGAGATATATTTCTACATATGACGAATAAAATGTTACCTTCCAAATCGGGAAATCTGTTTTCCATTGTAATACCATTCAACTTGCACATCACTTGCTCCACCTTCATAATCGATGACTTTACAAGCCACATAGAAATTGTCACCAGCTCTTCGGTTTTGAAGACGATCTTGATTCAATTTCAAATTCCATGCTGCAAAAAAACTCTGGTTTTTGGTGTTCTCAATCAATTTCTGACTCATAATCAATTTCTATAGATGTTTTTTGTATTTATATGTGTATGTGTATTTTTTGGGGCCAATGAATTATTTGTTATAGTGCTCAATAGTAAACGGAAATGAGCAAGAGCCCAAATGAAAACACGATGTTTTTGGCACCCCTTATACATTGAACATATTTATAATTGGGATTACAAGAGATGTCTTATCTAAATAATGGTCGTGGTTTCCCTGCCACAGGAGAAAGATTTCTCAAAAAAGCTGTAGAGTTTGGTTTGTTTTACTAACTGTGTGATACTACTTGTCTATCTTTTCCTTTTTCTCTTCTTTTTTCAACTAACTTACTAACTCATCGCCAATTTTTGTTATGATGACAACTATTTACCAATGGCTAATATCTCTTATCGGAGGCGGTTTACTCAAGCATCTCTTTTTTCTTATTTCTTCTTCGGTATTCCCTTTTTACTATACAAGTATAGTAAAAGTATGAAACGAAGGAAAAAAGAGTTTGGCTAACTCAAATGACTAATTAGCTAAAGAAATATGAGTAATGGTTTTTTTTTCGGGAAGAAAAGAAAAGTGAGACTTTTGTTTGGAAAAAAAGTGACCGACGGAATTAGTAAAGATCAGAAAACAAAGAGTTCTTTTTTGTTACTTTTTTTGCTTCAAATTTTTTTGACTAAGAAGAAACAGTAAAAAAATGAAACATCTGATGTTTAATTTACATCCAATATGCCCTTCGTTGCCCCATTTATTTTGTGTTTTCTTCTCAAAGTGAAGGAGCTACGAAAAAAATGAGCGTTCCCAAGGGAAGTGCATTTTTACAACTTTTTAGAAAATAGGCATTTTCGAGAAACAAATTTCTATTTCTTTCACATAATATATTTCAAGTGTATTTTCTCCTTATTCGTTTTTTTTGCTCCTACGAAATTTAGTTATCCTTTTCCGTATTCTATTTTATTTGGCCGATAGAAGTTTTTTTCTTCTTCGTTTTTTTCTATGGAGGAACAAACGATCGAACAAAGTCAGTTTAGGAAAGGAAGTGTGAAATCAAAATGGCGCCAGCCAGACAATTTGCAGTTAGATGTTCATCTTTAGAAGGAAAAGATGGAGAAAAAAATGAGGCTATTATATTCACACTAGGATTTCGAAAGGGCCCCTTTTTATTGAGAGGTGTTCTATTTTTTCCAAGATGAACGCTGAACGCTGAAATTGAAAACTCAACATTATTTTGTTTATTTTGGGTGGGGAACAGTCAGTTTTTTCAAAAAGTTTGTGCAACATTTTTGTTTGGTTAGGTTTACATTTCTGTGAAAAGCTCACAAGCAAACTTCTCTCCTAATCGATTTGAAATTTTGGAAAAATTGAAGTAACACAAAAAAAATATTAAAAAAAAACTCACCTTGAGTTAGTCCAATAAGGACTGTTAAAATCAGAAAACGTGTCATTTGTGTAGATATCGTCCTTGTTTTCTGGAATCGTATTCGGGTGTCGAAAAAAATAAATAAAAGTGGTTAATAGTAGTTCTTCTTCTTCTTCTTCTCCTTCTTGTTCGTTCTTGCCTAAGCTCCGCCCATTTGTCTGCGCGCACCTCCCTCACTATTCGCAAAAAGACTATTTTTACAAGCCCCGCCCATTTTATTGCTGCTAAAAGAGACTTGCACAGCGCGCGCGGTTTGTTTTGAGCAATGTTTTGATGTGAAAAGGGGAAGAAATGGTGATAAGAGATTACGAATTTTGTGTATTTGTATCTATGGGAGTGAGAAAAAGCTAATTGAAAACATTGTTTCACAATTTTAGGAACAACAAAAAATATTGTTTTCGTTGTTCAAAAACAACTCAAAACGTTTATGAGTTTTCTAATTGGCGTTGTCATGGTTTAGAATACGAGAAAATTGCAAAACCACTAGAGCAAGAAAAATACACATTGTAAAGTTGAACGATTGCCTGGGAATCTAACAGGAATTGAAAAAGGAATTGAGAGGACTTTGAACGCTGAAAAACAGCAATAGGATATGTTCTTGAATCTCTAATGAAGTCTGGAAGAATAGAAAATATGTATTTGGAGATGAGAACTAATTTTTTGAGAAGTACAAAATATAGGTTTCTAGAAAATTTTCAAAATATTTGGGAAGTGGATCAAAAATTGTTTGCCAAAAAATTTACTAGAATTTATTGAGTCTTTGTTTTACCTCAAATTTCTATAAGCTCTTTGAATTAAGAGGTACTAATTATGAGAAATAACAATCAGAATACAAAGTATGGAATGAAAATTTAATCAATATAAAGATAAGAATCATTATAAAATGTTATTATTCTCTGAAAATAGAAAAAAGCAATCATAAAAAATTGAGTTTGGACTCAAAGAATGTTGTTTAATTTTTGAAATATTGCTAAATTTGTGAAAAATGTTAAGAATTGAATATAGTAGTTTTCATTAAGATTTTTGAGCTATTTTTTAATGTTTTATGGATAATTTTCCAAAGGTTTAAAAAAAAATTTCATGAATCTTTTTTTCAAAACCACAATTGTCTATAATTTTTTTTCAGAATTCGATCGAATATAAATTCTGAAATTTATGTGAGCAATTCATCAACAAGGGCAATGAAAACGTTTCGTTTCAAAATTGATGCTCAAGAAAAAAAGGAAAAAAAAAACTATTGCAACATTTTTTCAACAAAAAAATCCCATAAATTTTAAAACATATCCAACAACTCATTAAAATTTTCCCTCAATAACTATTTTCCATTTGTTTGTTTTTAAGATTTTTTCAATTGCTCATACTTTGCATTATAAAAAAGCGTTAGATGTGGTTTGCAGAAATTCATTTTGAATTTTGAAAGAATATACTTTTGGAAAAGAAAAAGCATCGTTTCAACAGTTAATCTTGTTTGCTGTCCATACAAAAAACTATTTCAAACTTTCAAACAAAATTGAGTTATAGGAAACTAACAGAAAAAAAGACATCAATGTTTCAAAAAAAGGAAATAGAAAAAAGGAACATGAAAGATGGACTCACAAATTTGAAATTACCACATTTAGTAAGTAATAAAAATGAACACTTAAGAAAAGAGTAATAAGTTGTAAAGTTTATGATTTGAATTGCATAAGGGTCATTTACGTCGAAATGTGGAAAGAAATGAATATGACTCTTTTCTTTTTTTTTTCTGTTGAGGAAAACGGAAATGTGAGAATGTGTATTTCTTGTTTCCCCCCAAAATGTTTCCAAAAATACACCACATAGCCTGAACAAAAAATCAAACTGGAAATTCTAATAAAACTGTTTCATTTATCATCAATATTGCTTTTATATATATTTTTTTTTTGAAAATTACAGTTTGCTTTACTGATTTGAAATTTTGAGTCAAATTGCAATTTATTGATGTCTTTCTCGAACGAATAGTAGTTATGTAAACAAAAGGACATCGTTGATAAACAAATAAACTGAAAGTAACTCTCAGGAATCGAAACTGTGTTGAAATGACAAATTGATGAGATATTTCGAAATATCGAGATTTGAGATGTGTGTTTTGCAAGTTAGCTGAAGTGTGATTGGAATTGTGTTAGTTGGGCAAAACATGTGTTGAAAACATTGCATCATACATTCAAGAAATTTTTGAAAAGCGGAACTTTTGAAATGAAACCCAATGTCCTTGCAAAATTTTTTAACCTCTAGAAAAGTGTGTTTCTTTTGTTTCTGTTTTTTTATTTGTGGTGACTCCAGAGGCGGAAAAACATACCAAAAAGACACACAAAAATACATTCCAGTAACAATGAGGAAAGGGGTTTAGTGAGATGTAACTCACACTTTTTTTTAAATCACATTCCTCATATTCAAAGTTATGATGCCTGCAGAAACTAAACCACAAGTCTCAAAAAATACGATACTTGTAAAATCCTTTTTTTTCGACAGGAATAGCTTCAAATTGTGGTCCCACTATCGAAAATTGGAAAAATGAATAGTTTGAGTCTTCAAATTTCTAAACTCTGATAGTTTTTCAATTTTTCGATTTAATTTGTGTTCACATTATGAAAGCAGTTCATTTTCTGCCCAACTATACAAAACCTCATTCAAATTTACACATTGAGTAACCAGATAAGAAGCTATACAATGTTTTAACACATCAACACCGCCGTTTACATATGTTCTCTGCGAGAAGAAAAGCCAATCGATCGTGTTTCTCTGAAATTGCACTGACATTTATTCGTTTGTCCCTTTCAAAACATATAATTAACCTTAAAAAGAAAGCTGGTCTTAAAATCTCATTCGATTTCATTTGATCATATGTCGCTATGGAGAAAAACGCGAGTGTACACGGTATATTTGATGATTTATCAAATATTATTTCATTCTTCATGAGAATTCCATATTTGTATTTATTCTGGAAAAAACCATCATCTGCTGCAACAAGATTACCTTATTATCCTATTGATCAACACACTTTTTATTATATTTGTTATCAAGAGTTTCATAATTTTCTGGTTATATCTCTTCCAATGCTCAATTCTCTTGGAGAAAGTGCTATGCATATTACTGCTCTGTAAATTTTTTTGATAGGTTCGGAATTGATAGTTTTTTTTTTGAAATTTCAGAATTGTTTCAAAATCGGATATCTCAAGATATATTATTTGGCCAGGTATTTTATTCCCATTTATAACTGTTCTACAAAGAACTTGTCTGGTCTGTTCAAAATTTCAAAGATTTCAATTATATTTCAAAGGAAAGTGGTTGCAAGGTTATTTTATGGCAACTCATGCGCTGGTTTTTGCGCTGTATTTTTATAATTTTCATAAAAAATTTGATACATCTGAAACTTGTCAGATGGCTATGTTTTTGATTGAAAGCAATGTATCAAAAATTGAAAATGTTTCAATTACGGAGGTTTGTTTCAAACTATTGCATTGAATTAACTTTTTCAATATTATTCAGCACTACCTCAATAGAACTGCTTCTATTTTTGAGCTTGTTCTTCCGGTTTTCTCTCTTACAATATCAATCTGTGTAATTGGTTATATCTATAAGAGTCCGAGTATGCCAGCCGAGAGGCAGAAACGTGAAATAATTCTGGTCAAGCAACATATTCCAATCTTCATTTTTCCTTTTGTTAGTTTGACATCTTGATAGAACATGAAAGGTTTATTTCAGATAAAAACCTTGATGGTTTTGTTCCTTCTTGCATGGCGAACTCAAACAATCATTCCTGTTTCAATTGCCAAATACATCCTATGTTTCTACACTGGAGTTAATGAAAACATCATCCCAATCACATATGTGATTTCAAATTTCGAACAAGTCCGTGCAGTTCTCAAACGCAAAAGAACAACTATAGTACCGGGCTCATCGGCTACACTTTGATATTCATTTTGATTTTGATTTTATGGTACTCTGTCTGATAAACACATATTTTGTTAGGAAAAATGATTCATAATAATAGGGATGAAAAGCGTGGGAAGGTAGTTACGATAATTGATAGTTATAGCAAGGTTTTCACGAGAACAACATCAAGTTTTAGATGAGGTTAGAAATTACTTTTTTGGTATTCGTGTGCACACAAGACACAAAATATAGTGAGTTTTAGTCAAAACCGAGTTATATGAAAAATATATGCGCGAGAAAAGTAAAACATTTTCGTTTATTGGTTTGAAAAAAAAATAAAAAATGATTATGGTGGTGGTGATGGAACTGGAACCAGCTCATATCCAATATCCGCAAAGAGATCAACAATCTCATCGTATTTGTCGTTGACAATCTGAATCTGTAAACAAATCAGTGATTATATTGTTGGTGATTCCCATAATTAGAACATACGTGGTTAATAAAGATACCGCTCAAATCCAAACATTGCAAGATATTCATGATATCCATCAAAACTACGGAACTTCGGAAAAATTTCCCTTTTCTTTTATCGACTTTCAAAATCGGTTCAATTTCTTCGACAGCCATTTTAAAAAAATTGATTTTCTCGGCATATGTCATCTGGAAAAATGAATATAGAAAATATTGAATTATAATTGTTCATAATTAAACTCACTTTTCGAGAAATCTAAAAAAAAGCTTTGAAAATCAACAAGTTGATGGAATGACAATAAAAACACGAACATGCATATGCATACGACAATTATCAATGGAGCGCATTTGCTTTCTTTTTTATTTATTTCTCTGTTTTTTGTTTGAAAACTAGATTTATCCGTGTGAAAAGTGCAACGTAAGTCCTAAAATTTATTTTTGTTGGAAAACCCCCGGTAGATTTTTTAAAATATTATTAAAATACCCACCCACATGTGGAAGTTTCCATCTTGTCCCGTCCAAATGGGTGGGGTCACTTTGGGACACTTTTGGCACTTTGGGAAGCATTCCTTCTGTTACAAAAAATTTCCGGTTTTTTCAGTTTTTTCAAACTTGCACTCTAATTGAGCCGATCAGTCTCAACCAGGTTCAGTCTAACTAAATTCCAAAAAAAGGTCCCTGGCGAGTAAAAAAAGGAAATAAAAATAAAAAATAAAAAATTGACCTGCGAAGCGTTATAACTTTTTTTCTACAAACTATTTTTCCTTGTCTCTTTTTTTGCGCAAACATGTTTTTGAAAAAAGTTGAGGAAGAGATGTGCCTCGGAATGGCAGATTAATTTTTTCTCTTCTCTGTTCTTGTATTTTTTTGAGGATGAATCATAAGATTATGTTTTGGGAACAGAAACATTTTGAAAACGATTTTTTTTTTGATTTTTTAAAACAAACTATGATGTGGTGTCAATTGAAAAAAATATTATGTTTAAATTGAGAAACTTGTGCGTTTCGATAACCTTGGAAACGATTTCCAAAAAAACATAAAGTTCAAAAAAGCCCCTTAATAAAAGAATAATTCTTATCCTAACTCTTTTTTCTCTGTTTTGTAATATAATTGAATTATTTCTCATATTCATTGAGATATATAAAAATAGAAAAATGCTTTTAAACAATTGAGATGTTCATAATAATTGAGTTGCACTTGACTCATATATTATCCCCTCCTACATATTTTTCACTTCAATTTTCTGTCTAATTCAAACCTATTTTTTACATTACACACTTCTATTTTTGTCTTTTTCATAAAGAATTAGAAAAAAATGGCAATTTTATTTATGTATGTATTTTTGCCTTGTTTTTTTTTATTTCAACAAATTTTCAAGAAAAAAAACGATGGATTATTTGTTCTCCACATTATTTTGAATGATGGTTGAATAATGTTTGATTTTGCGTGTTTCAAGGTGTGTATAGAATTTCTTGATGTTTCATTTTTCTTTCTACGTTTGTTGTTTTTCAAATATCTCAAATCTCTAGAGAAACATTTTTTCTTCCAGTTTTTCCGAGGAAAATTAATCATTACAAATAGCAAAAAAAAAAACAGAACACAATTGTTCTTCACGACAAAGAAAATATTTGTTGATTTGTCGGTCTGATGTAATTCAATCATTTTGTTTTCATTTCTGGAATTTATAAATAATGTAAGCATTTTGAGAGCCTTTTTCGGAAATCTAACATTTTCATGGGAGGTTTTTTGATTTCACGTGAAATTTCACAAGAATAATTGAATGAATAATGTTTATGTGAATCATAAAGTTTGAATTTTGAAAGAAAACATTGTGGGGGTCATCGACTCTTATAAACATTTTTTGACAAAAAATGTTCTCATTTTTTCAAAGTCTTGAGGTTTTGTTGTCCCTGGGTGAATAGTAACTATTGTTAAATTTTGTTTTTTTTAATCAACAAAAACATTATCATAAGCTTCAGGTTATTTTACTTTTTTTCAACTGCAGAGAGGATTTTATATATTTTTTCATATCAAAATTGACAATTGGATAATTATTTCAAATTTAACTCCTAAAAATCAGTTTTTCTACCTCCAATTTTCTCATAATCAAAAACCCAAATTCAAATCTACTGATGTTCTAAAAATTGCCAAATTCCTCCTAGTCATTTTTTTCTGATCAAACTGTGCATTTTTCTCACGAGCTTAGACTTTTCGACAAACTATTTCATACATGTTTTTCTATCCGGAAGGCCCTTCGGGTTAAAGACCCCTTTTTGTCAAAAATGAAAAAGTTAAAGACCCTCCACCGGAAAAATGAAGAACAAAAATACTGCCAAAAATCAAAGTAAAAGCTCTAGCCCAGAACCGAACCTTTGTAGCTGGATTAGAAAGCGCGAGGCTAACCGACTGCTCTATGCTCTCGTTGTTTTCTCCTCTTTTGTTTTCCCTTGTTATGCAACACACGCACTCATCTTTTTTCTTTTTTTTTTTCGTTTTTTTTTCACAGACAATTCAAATCAAAAGCAAAACTTAACAGCTTAACGGTAACCAAATGAGCTAAAAATTTTCACAGCTCTACTTCAAGATATTTCGCAGGGTACGAAGACCTAAAAGCCTCCAATAAAGACCGTTTTAAGGGAAATAAAGACCTATCCGGAAAAGTATAGTGTCATCCTATACTTTTCCGGATAGGTCTTTATTTCCCTTAAAAAGGTCTTTATTTGAAAGTTTTAGGTTTTCGAACCCTGCGAAATATCTTGAAGTAGAGCTGTGAAAATTTTTAGCTCATTTGGTTGCCGTTAAGCTGTTAAGTTTTGCTTTTGATTTGAATTTTCTGCGAAAAAAAAGAAAAACAAAAGAAAAGAAAAGTGGGCGGAGCCAGGTGCAATGAGAGATATGGTGTGTGGCGCTACCAGCGAACTGTCGGCGAATAGAGATATTGAAATATTTCGCGTGATGCAGAATCAATCAAGGCGAAATTCTTGTGGAAACCCTGCTCCTATTTGAAAGAAGAAGTTGATGCAGAGGTAATTTTGATGACTTGAGAAATTAATAGTAATTTTTTTCATAAAAGTTAAGGACCTATTTTTCATGAAAAATAAAAAAGTTAACGACCCTATTTTATACTTTTCCGGACCAAAAACATGTATGAACTATTTATTCCTTCCTCAATTCCTTTTCTTTACTTTCTTCACTAAAAAAACTCTCTTCAATTTAACTTAACCAAAAAACTCGACAATTTCCCAGAATTAATTATTTCCTTCATTTCTTCATCCTCATTTTTTTGGCCATTCAAACTTTTTTCAATGAATCATTTTGTCTTTGTACTTTTACATTTTTTCTAGCTTTTTGGATTGAACCAATTACATTTGTTGCACTTTTTTGGAGTAAGAAAGTGTAAGAACAAGGAAAAGCAAAATTGTGTGTATGCCAAAAGAAGGTGTTTACTAATGAATTTTTTCGGCTGTGTTCCACTTTTTTTCTTTTTCTTTTATGCATTTTTTTTCTGGATTTTTCAGAGTCATTTTTTTCAAATCTTTCTTAAGAACAATGCATTTTTGTCGCTTTGTTCATTTTTTCTGGAAATTTTTTTTACGAGCTTGAACATTTCCAAGAATTCAAAGATTGAAGTCATGTGCTCGCAGAATTCTTGGAGAATGATTAATTATATCTCTTGTGAGTGATTTGATTCTTGTTTGCTCATAGGTCACTTCCTTGTTTCTGATAATTAAAATTAATTACTGAATTAAAACTCTACTATATTCTGAAGTTTGACCTCTAGAAGTTTGAAATGTTTTCCAATAAGCCAAACTCCATCATGCATAACATTTTATTTATGAACTTCAAATTTTTATTTTTATTTTCTATTTTCATTTTCATTCTCAAACCAGAAAACATTTCCAGTCTTTGAGCTTTAAGACTTTCAGAATAAATTAGAATAATTGATTATAAAACATTTCTCATCATTTTTTTTCAGACAAGACTTATAGAGATAAATAATCCAAAAATGATTCATGATTTATAATCACATTTAGTTTTGGAAAATTTCTGGATTATTTACTATTCAGAAAGGAAAATGTCTTCCCCGTTTTCTTTCGAATCAGTATTTTTTTGACAGATTTTTTTTCGATTTGTTATTCTTTCACTCATTCATTCATTGCTTCATTCCTTTATTTTTCCATCTTTTTCTTTCAAAGATGAATTTTCATTAATATTAATCCCTTTCATTATTATTTTCATATTCATTATTATCATAATTTCTAGGGTACGTATTATTATTTTTTCTTTTCAAATTTTTTGTACTTTATTACTGATGTCTGTTCTTTTGTGTTCCGCGACAAAAACAAACTTCAAAAGTGAAAGAAACCAGTTTGTGTGAATAACCGAAGAAATTCGATAGTTGAGTTGGTTTGCAGCACCCATTAGGTCTATGTTGCTTTTTTCTTCTTTTTTTTTTGGTTGGTTCATCATCACAATTCAATTTGACTTTTTTCGTGAGAAAAATTTTTTGTTGCTCTTTTTAAAGAATTTTTGATATTTTGTTTTTTTTTTGAAAATGGTCACGAAACTACAAGGTTTTTTTCGTATTCATAGACAATTGAAGTTTTGGGCGATAAGTTTATTTTTTCTCTATTCCCTGAAATTTTGAAAAAAACCTCTATGAAAAATAAATGAATCTGAAAAATTCTTTTGGAAAACTTTTTTATTTGCAAGTACTTTCTTGTATTTTCAAGCACAGAACTGTAACCTTTATTAATAAAATGAAACCCTGTTTTTTTTTCTGCTACTAAATTATACCAGTTTTTAGAGTTCTGTCAAAAAAGTCTCTGTCAAAGTAGGAATTGAACTTCCTTGTTTTTCGTTTATCACTGAAAAAGTATGAAGTCACAAAAAATATATTTAAAGATATTCCCATAAGAATTTTCTAGTCACGCAAATTTATTAAAGTGCAAATTCATCATTTTCAGATTTCTTAGAATTTTTTTGGAAAACCTACGTAGATATTCAAGAAAATGAAATCATTAGCTCGAAAAATTGATAAGTTCAAAAGCAGTTCGAATTTCATTGTCTGATGGGGATTATCGAAAGTACGAATTCTCCTTTTTTCATAAAGAAAGAAAAATATATAAGAGAACCTGTAATTATCGTAATTCCAGTGCATATTCATTTTTCTCAAATCCCATTTCAAATTTTTTCTTTTTTATTCACAAAGAAAAATAATATGGCTCAAATAAAATTGATGTGATGAATAATTCAGAAAAATTACAATTCGGGCGATTTCAAAAATGACGAGATGAGATTTTTCATCCCACGCATTTCCATTCAACTTCCAAAATATTTTTTGAGACACATAAAATCTTGAACAAAAAATATAGAGCAAATTCTTGGATCTTGAGTGACATTTCGAGAACAAAAAACAATAATCAGCGAAATCTTCTTGAATGAATGCATTTCGAATTTTTTGCGCTCAAAAAAACTTTTTCTTGAATTTAAAGTTGAACTTTGTTAGTTCCGTTGTTTCGTTTTATCGTTTTTTTCTCGAAGTTTTTCACATTCCATTTTATTTCAGAAAATGGTGGACACTGCAACGAGTTCTCCAGCTACGATTCGACATAAACATCGGCTCACAGAGGAGAGGTTTGTGATTTGAAAAAAAGTTAGAGAAATGGGGTGAGATCAGAAATAACAGTAATTCCCGAAATCAGAGTGTTTTGGTAACAGTGAAATCTTAGAAGAGCTTTTTAAAACCGAGAACTTACGTAAAATTGTATTACCAACTTTTTTTTGGAAGAAAATATTGTCAATCCAATTTTTTGAGCAGTGAAAAAGATCCGTTGTGGTCTTTTCAAATACAAAAGATCAAATAAACCGACAAAGCCTACTGTAGTGGTCATCTTCTGATCTCAAAACTACAAAATGTCCGTCAAATTGATCAGTAAAGACAACTTTACAGAATTGAATATGAATTTTTCTAATACCCTTCTTCTTATTTCTTCTTCTTTTTCATTTTTCCTCAATTCAATTTGTGTTGTTGGATAGAAGAGCATGTATTTATTCATATTATTTTCATAAATGCATACACATACTGACTGAAAAATAAGAAATATGTGTATTTCATTAATTGTGAACTTCCTGTTTTCCTCTTGCGGCACATATAAAAATAGAGGAAAACATACAAATTTTCTCGCATCACTCTCTACAACCATTTAATTTGAAATAAAATGATAGTTTTAAAAATAACTGACTTTTTTTTCTTGACTGACTGACTGCAGCTAATTTTTGTCGCCGGGCGTCCCGTTGTCTTGTGATGCATATAAAAATATGTATATTCCAAGAAAAATAAGTGCTATTTAAATATATATTCGCCCATATTTTTGTGCCATTTCCCTTTTTTTGGTTCTTTTCTTACTTTTTAATGTGATGAATGAATGAATGAAAGAAAAAACGAGATGAAAGAAGAAAAAAGTTCTCCATCACTGTTAATTAAACATTTCTACTACAACTACCACTCTTTTTCTCTTTTTCTCCTTCTCATTTTTCTTCGTATCCGATTTCATTGCGACAGTGACTGCATAGTTTCTGACAAGAAGACCGCAAAGTTTGTCGCATCGGTGGTTCAGTGGTAGAATGCTCGCCTGCCACGCGGGCGGCCCGGGTTCGATTCCCGGTCGATGCAATCTTTTTTATTTTTTTTTCGTTTTCAATTAAATAGGGTTTCGTTTAATTCATTTTATATGAAATATAAAACCTCGAAGAAACCTCACAAATTTCATGGCTATTTAAAAATGTTCACCTGTCTTAATCTTTCTTTAGAATATTCATAATCGTGGTTGTTGAAAAGGACATTTTCCAAGCCTGAGGCCCTTTACAATCTTTCCTAAATAATAATCTCTTAAAAACTCCAAATTTCTCAAGACTTCTAGTAGATCAAAAATATTTTTCTCTAAATTTCCGTGAAAACGAGATAACCCGTGTTTATTATTCATCTTATGCTAAAAAATATGACAATTCTCGGAACACTTGAAATAAATAACTCATATAGTGAATAAAAAATAAGAAAAATAAGATGTAAAAGAAAATAGCGCGGGGAAATTGGTTTGCTAACCAACATAAGCCTTTTTGCTATTCCTATTCTTTTTGTTTCTGTTTCAATTAAATAATACACCACTTTTCTGACATTTATATATGTTTCAAAGTTTTCTAACATGCTTTTTTGCTCATCGTTCCAAAAACAATTTTGTTTATTTCATTTTATTCAAATCGAAGACAGCTCATGCTAATTTGCAATTCTCGTCTATCATCCTCTCGTTTTTCTCTCGTCTTATTTACTTTTTTCTACATACTTTGTGCATGTTTTTTTCTGCTAAAACAAACTCGTTCGTCTCCCATTTAATCGTTTTGTGTATAATCCAAACGAGAGAAAAAATCAAGGAATTATCTGGCTTTGACAGGAGAAAAAATGCTTTCTCAACAATTTTTTATTTGTTGTTTGTTGTTGATTTCTATTTCTATTTTCATTTTTTTTTCATATTGAAAAATAGACATTGTTAATATTTTTCTATTTATTTGGAACACGATTGTTCACAAAATCAACCCGCCTCTGCTCTGCAAAATCAAAGTTTCTAACATCAGTTCTAGTTTTTTCCAAAATTTTCGCGTGTATCATTAATTTTAATCATATATCTCCTTTTCTTCTTGAAATATCAAATCTGAAATCATTCTGTTGAAGTTCTAGATTATGATATCAGCTAGTACAATGACTGATCAATTTGACGGAAATGAAAGTAGTGATGATCAATGGTTAACAGTTCAAGACGAAAAGACATTATTGTCTGCTAGAGTATTACCAGTTGATGATCCAAATGTTGTTAGTAGGAAACAGTCTGCCAGTGATTTGCAAAGTCGTCTCAAAACTCGCAAACTGTTGGGAGTTGGTGAATTGGCCGGTGATAATGGTGATGTTTACAAATCAAAGGTTGGTGATTCATAGGGGTGATTTTGATTTTGTTATGGGTGTGAGTCAAATAATTTAATCAGCATAATTATGCTGATTAAGGAAGTAAGCAAATTTGAAAATAATTGTTGAATTTGATAAGTCAAAAAGTGGAATGAACAGCATAATTTGATGGGAATTTTTTGAAGAAAGTTAACAAATATGAGAAACAAGAATTTAAAAACTATGCTATTTATTTCTCTATAGATCTTAGAAGTTGAATGACTGTGAATGAAACAAACATCAGCAAAAATATCCTTTTTTTTTTCAATTTTGCAATGTTTTTGAGATAAGTTTCAAATACTTTTAGAAAATGTTAATATAATTTTTTTTTGAAATGTTTTTTGAACCACCACAGGCTCAACTTTGAAATACCCTCACATTCATGAAAGATCCTACAACATTTCATGAAACGTTTCATTTCACAAAACATTTTTCATAGATCTCACAACTTTTGGGCATCAATGAATCACTCTACGTTCGAATGCCACGAGGAATGTGTTTATGGAACACATTCAATGCCCTCTATTTCCTTGCAATCGGAGCGTTGGTAAAACAATTTCCTTATCTCAGTTCTCAAAACATTCTTTGACTTATTTTTCAGTGCCTCTTCTTCCCAGTTATCGGATCAAGATTTGATTATGGCTTCGAAAGCATTGTTCCAGAAGCAAAAGTGTTTATCAGATTATATGGAGTTGTTTTGATTTGTTTTGGTGTGCTGTTCAGATGTATTTTGCAACAACGTGAGACCCGTTCGGATATTGCTACTTTGTTACTTGTGACTGCTGCGTTGCATCTTGCATTGCTCATTGGTAAGAAAGTTAGTTGGAAAAATAAAGAAAAAAAATGGTTTTTTAGTATCAGTGGCGGCTAGTGGAAAAATCACTCTGATCTCGGCGGCAATCCGATCATTCTGCATTGTTGGAAATATTTGTTATCACACTCTGGTAGATGGACAAGGTAAAATAGAGAACAGAGTGTTTGTGGGAGTATATATGATATGCTAACACCTTTTTTTCGCAAATCCCCAAAAATTTTACTTTTTTCCAATCCCCTAATTATCTGTAAAGAGCTAGATATTATTCCCAGAGCGATAAATTTTTAGCGAGGCTTTTTCTAAAAAAAAAACTTTTAATAATATTTTCATATCAGATATATATTCACAGTAGTTTTCCCATAAAATAAAATATTCCAAAAACTAGTTAGATCGATAATACAATACAAAAATATTATGAGAGATTGTTTTTCTATTAGCAATCCTCAATTTTTTTTTGATAAATTATACATACAGCTGTGATTTTCGAGAATTATCACAAATAAAAAAAAATGTTTTTTTGAAAAACATTTGATTTTTCCATAAATTGAAAAAAATACATATTTACTTTTATAATCATTTTTTTCATTCAATATATATTCACCAGAAAAAAAAAAAGAATTGAAAGGATTATTTATTTAACACTCTATTTCGTTTATCTTATCTTTTTCATAATATTTCAGGCGGACTCCATCGTCAATTGATTCGTGTAATTGAAGATCTTTCATTCCTCACATCATCCCCAATTATTGAGAAAAAACCATTTGTTGAAGTAATTGACACAAATGGAACAGCAACCCCACCGGTTCAAGCTGACGAAAAAAAGAATGCATAACTGATACATTTCATTTTTTTTATTTTTTACTCTCTTTCTCACTCTTTTTTTTAAACACACATATTTTTCAACACTAATCTAGAGCAATTTTTGTAGTTCCACCCATTTATTTGAAGCTAGAATTCATGTTTTTTTAGTGAAAAAATATTCTCATTACTTTTTTCTCCCAAACTTTTTGTTCTATTTATTAGAACATGTAAATATTTGATCTCGTTTATTTCGGTTTTGCAGCTTTTTTCAATTGATTGATATTATATCATAATCTCTTTTTGTCCGTGATTTGAATAAATTAACATATTTTGACAGACAGAGTTATTTGGTTTTATGAATGACGGCAGAGGCAAATTGAAATGCAGTGAAATATGAAACTTTGGCAATTTCTATTGTTTTTCTTATTTTCTGTTGAGGTACGAGAACATTTTGGTTTTCTAATAAAAAATTCAAAATTAAATTAAAAAATTATTATCCAGATAACAAATGCTGCTGATTATGAACTTTATGATTATGATTGGTTAACACAAAAAGCTGAAGTTGTAACAACTCCTGCTGCACTTACAAAAGCGCCAGATGACGATGATGTGTGAGTTTTCTTGTGTTCCAAAAAATGATGAACAAACAAAGTTTCTAGAGATGAATTTGTCATTCTTTTTCCAGTAAACGCAAAAAAATAAATAGGTTTTTCAAATGCACTTACAACTCGATTTGTTCTTCTAAAATGTTAAGAGCCCAAAATAAATTCCAGAAAAATGGATGCATTTGGAAAGTGTTCTGAAATACTTTTATAAGTTGTTAGTTTTTCACATTTTTTACATCTCAAAAAAATTTCATTGCAAAATGGCGGATATATTATTTTTCTTGAAGTTAGATTTTTATGAAATTTCGTATTCACGCTTCACAAACTTTGAGTACATTTTTGTTTTTTCAAATATAACACACAACACTAAAAAAAATTCTCTAAATTTTTAGAATCGTTGATCAACTGGACAATCGGAAAGCTGTGAACAATGAAATCATTGGGGGGTTCTCTAACCAGAAAAGTTTCTCGTGTCCGCACGCAAAACCAACATTACATACGGTAGATGAATTGTTTTTTGTATTCAGTACAATGTTAAAATCAATGTTGCTTTCAGGGTGAAACAGTTGGACAATTATCTCCTGAAGATATCACAATAGTTGCAGCAATGGGAGATTCTTTAGCTTCTGGTCGAGGTCTTTGGGCATTCACAGATGTTGAATTCAGAGGTGCTGCTTTCCCAATTGGTGGAGATGCCAATATGGACGGACTTGTCACAATTCCAAGTGGGTTTCATTTAAAAATTTCACTTTTTAAGAGAAAAAAATATAATAATAATATTCCAGATATTTTGAGTCAGTTCACAAGCAAAATCGATGGTGTATCACATGGTATGGGATCTGCTGATGTTCTTCCTGATTATCAATTCAATGTTGCACAAATTGGCGCAGAAACTGAAGATTTACCTCAACAAGCTGTTGAATTGGCTCGGAGAATGAAACGATATATTGGAAATGAATTGAAAAATCGATGGGTTTTGACTTTTATTGTTACCGGGTCCGAAGAGGTCTGTAACTTTGGTTTTCCGTGATAGCAAATTTTGTTGTTATTTCAAAAATTTTTAGTTCTGTGAAAAGTGCGAAGCTCCAAGCAAAACCTCAATTCGAAAGGCTTTAGGGGTTTTGAAGAAAGCGGCTCCTCGAAACTTGGTTGTTTTATTAGGACCAGTTCATGTTGCCTCAACTTATCGGCAGAATATAAATCTGATGAGGTATGAGCCACCATTTTTACACTCAATGTCAATATGTTTTCCAGACCACGATGCAAATGTCTTGAACAAATGACTGGAAAAGATTACCGGAAATTGTTCGACCTCTGGAAAAAATCGTTCATCACAGTCGAGGTGACATCATTTTCAAATAAACAATCCAATATTTCTTTTGATTTTTCAGAATGAGTTTAATGGAATGAATTATACAACATTTGGCGTGTTGGCAATTCCATCTTTAGCAATTCATTCAAGAAATCCACAATCACTTTTAGTTCCAAAAAAACCATTGTTGAATAGAAAAGGACATTCCTATGCAGCAAAATGGCTGTGGAATCGATTAATTGCTGGCCCAAATTATAATATTTCAAATATTGCACTTTCCGAGGATGCTTATTATTGCCCTTCTGTGGTATTTTTCAATGATAACAGTTAGGAAAAAAAAACAAAAATAATCAATTTCTAGGGCTGCCCATATTTTCGAACTGTACAAAATTTCCATCAATGTTCTGTTATCACTGAATCTGATTGGGCGGCACAATATGCAACAACACCAGTACCTTTAGAAGGAACAAAACACCGGAAACAAGTGATGGATCGAAATTTGGGTGGTTTCATTGCCATAATTTTATTTTTAGCAATATGTTCTGTTAGGTCAGTCGTTTGCACAAAATCTTGCCTAACCAAAAATATGTAGATTATTACAGTGTGTTTGGAACGTTTTTTTATTGCCATGGAATGCGTGCAACTAAAGGAAGATTTGATTATGGTAAACAGAAACCAGTCGAAGAAGAATTGTGATAACTTTGTTTGTGAATATATTAATAATATTGTTTTTTGGTTTTTTTTACTTGATTATCCGGACTTATCCCACCTTATATATAAACTAATATTTTTTAATATTTTTTTTTTTGAAAAAAAAAGCTTTATCAACCAGGAAAACATACAAAATTGATGCATAGAATGATTAAAACAAGAGGTATGAAAACAGAAGAAGGTTGGAAGTTAAAAGAATTTCAATTGTTCAAGTTTGAAATTGTTGATATAATCAACAATAAGTTCCTTCTCGTAATAATAGCAAAGATTGAAAACAACAAAAATAGTTCCCATCACAATAAATGTTATCAAATCCACAATCAACGCAGAAATTCGACAAACTCCACAAGTTCTTCGAGTTCTTCGATTTCTCAAGTCATTCATCTCTTCATAAAGTGGTTCCATCTCATATCTTCCTGATCTGTTTCTCGAACATTTTCTAGTTCTTCCTAAGCTTGCCATTAATGTGACAACAACAAGTTCGACAATTATCATAATGACAAAGAGAAGCGAGAAGATTTTCCATAGATCTGAAAAAAAAAACAATAAATTAATATTGATATTTATGTATATAGTTGCACGTTTTTATCTTACCTACAGCACTTATCAAACTCGTTTCGGGCAAACCGGCAAAGTTTATCAAGTACACGAGCAACAAAAGAATCAATGAAATCATATTCATTATAACTCTTGTGATTGCCATTGGTCCAAGAAGAAGTGAAAGCCAAGGGATAATTAAGAAAAGTGTTGATGGAAGATAGAAGAGGAATAATAATTTGTTTGGACCACGGAAAAATGTCCAAATAATCGAGAGCTCTGTTCCATCTTGAATACTGTTTGTTGTCGACAAAACAAACTCTCCAGCCTAAAAATTCGAAATCAGGAATAAGATTGGAAACTAAAGTTTCAAAAAGAATTTTCAAAAATAAAGTTAGTAACAGATATACTCACCACCTTTGTGATATTTGTTTCAATCTCTTCTAAAAAAGCAGTGTCACTAGGTGACAAATCAGCAAATACTTCAGCCAAGGTTAGAAATGGCACATTTTCCGGAATTGGATAATCACTGTAGTCCTCCATCGTTCAGAAAATTGAATAAATGAATGATGCTTTACAAATATCATTGAGCAAATGTGGGCGGAGTTAGTAAGAATTACAGATTAATAAATATTATAGAAGCAATTTGTTATTATTGCATAATCTTCGAGAGCTGAGGAACAAAACGGACAGGTGAGAAACCTCAAATTAATTGCATATTAAATATGTTTTCTGTCGAAATAATCCAAGAACAACATAATATATTACATACGCATATAAACATTGACCAGGAAAAAAAAGAGAGAAAAGAGAACACACTCTGTTTCTCTCCTTTTTCTATCCTTCACAATTCAATGGAAATGCGTTGTATTTCTCTAGCATACACCATAGCTTCTCTCGTAGCATCGGTGGTTCAGTGGTAGAATGCTCGCCTGCCACGCGGGCGGCCCGGGTTCGATTCCCGGTCGATGCAATCTTTTTTATTTTTTTGTTGGAAAAGTTACCTGGTTTCCATTTGTATTGACTTTCTTAATAGTGTAATTCATTTTTCCCCCTAGTGAATCATCAATTGCCCAGAGAAGACTGCAAGTTGTATTTCCAAATGGATAACTCAAAGATTTTGATACGCATGGAATAGTCTGTTTAAATCTAAAAAAAAATTTGAAGTTATAGGTTGAAATAAAAAAACTGTGAACAAACCTCTCAGAATGAACAAACGTTCCATTTTGCAATAAATAAATTGATACAGAATGCTTTTGAACTGAATAATGAATGGCATTTGAAAATCTAACCGGTGGAACAGGAACCATCCCTCCAAATTTTGTGATAGATAACTTATCACTACAAATACTTTGACTGGCTCGGAGTGCTGGAATTTTCCACTCTCGAACGAGTGTTGCTTCTAATTCCAATTGATTTATATTTTGAAGAATATTCAAAGAATGAACATCGAGACTGATGTCAACATTAATTTCTTCATCCCCTGGAAAAATGAGGTTGTATAGTATTAGTACATTGACATCTTCAAAAAAAACTTACAGTAGTTTTCAAAATCTGAAAATGACTCTTTTAATAATTCAGTTGCACGTTTATCTACAAGGCATTGACTCAACACTGAAGGCACCAAAACTAATATAAAAATCAACACCCTACCATCCTGCCGCATACCTGAAATAGAATATTTCATAAATAAATGCTCAAAGACAAAAAAATGTGATCAACAAAAAGAAATAAACAACAAATTTGATTGAAGGACGTTAAAAATGTTTTTCGAAAGGGCGAACATTTACTATTACTGGTTGGTAGAAAATGTGTAACCAATCGTTTCTTTTTTCAGTTCGTTCTACTCTCAATTATACTTTGTTTGTCTCATTTCATCTCTTCCTTTTTCTGATTCCAATTGATTGGACAAAAAACATGCATTTAGAGAAATCGAGAGATAAGGAAATATTTCGAAAAACATTAGACATTTTTCCAGGTTTATTTTCTCAATTCAATGGAGTGTGATTTCAAAAGGGAGAAAAACCACACCCAAATGTTACTTTGTTCAAATTTTCCAGAGACAAAATCCTAGTTCCTTGAGAAGCCGGAAATTGTGCTAAAAATAACTAGATTTTTGACCAAATGCTCTTTTGTTTGTTATTCGAATTTAAATCCCCAAGCGTCACAAAATAGCACGTTTTAGTGGATCATCAAACTCTACAAAGCCGTAGTATTATCCATTAACGTGCTTATATCTGAAAATTTTATTGCAAAAAAAAATGAACATCCATATTTGGGAACATTTTCATTTTCATTTCATGTTTGTGACTTTTTTACAGATTGAAAGATAAGAAATTGTGAGAATAATAATAAACAATATGTTTTTTAAAAGGAACAAAAATCAATTGGAATAATAATGAAAACAAATAAATCAAAAATGATTAAAATTGGAGACGACAGGTTGGATGATAAGAGATTTTCACATCTTTTGAGGATATCCACATGGATACATTTTGAGAAAATTAAATCCAGTTTTTATTTAATTATGATTTCAATTGGTAAACTTTTCTAGAACAAAAGCAATTACTGATTCGCGTGACAACATTATGCCAGGATGCAACATCTGGACAGTACGAGACCAGTAGAACTTTTTTTTATGTTTGACTGTACCCAATATTCGGAGTTTTTTTCTGAAATTAAAACCCATTTCCTCAGGATCATAATATTGCTCTTTCTTTTTTTTTATTATATAAAAAATAGTTTCAATAAAAATTTAAAATTCATTAGTTTCTTCAAATTCCAGAAATATGTTTCTACCATTTAGATCCTATTGCCTCATCGAATTTTCTGGAATTTTTCAAGTTTTGTCCTTCCGGAAAATGCATTTTTTGCACCTGTCACTTTATGGGTCGTTGCCATTTCAATTTCCGATTTGATGTGAGCAAAATACACATTCTTGCCAGCTGCAAAAAGAAAAAAGTCAGCGAAAGTTGCTGTACTATTTATTTTATCAAAAATGACCGTTAAATGGACATGGGCGGTACTAGGCCAAAAAAATGATAATACCAAAATAGGAAATTGAATTGGGTGCTGATAAAAATTTCATTTCTCGATTTTTGGGTTGTCAATTGATGGTGGTATGAAAAAATAATTGAACACTAAAAAATGTAGCAAAATAGTTTTTTTCCAGTTTACTCAAGCTTGTGTTGCTCATCAGTCATTCCAAGAATCTGCCAAACTCGTAAGAGAGCCACGAAATTCTACAAGAAGCAATGGATCGAAAAATAATGCACTTGTCGACATTTCTTATCAAGGTCAAAAGTAAGTCGTAAAGCTGTCAAACTTTGTTGCATTTGAGATTTTTTAGGAATATTCCCGATTGGATCATTCGTAATCGATTGATTATTGTTGAAATTCGCGCAAATGGAAATTATTTCAATGAGAATGTGTTCAATATGCCAATTTTTCCCAATCTCAAAAAGTTGTCAATCACAAATAATCGGGTTAGTTGCGTATATTTTCTAGAAGTTATGAAATAATGCACTTTTGTAGATAAGGAACATTGGTATTCTGATAAATCATATCAAAAGGAGTTGTCCTAACTTGGAAACTCTAAACGTTGATGGAAATCCCGGATGGCCAAATGATTTTGCAACAATTCAAACATATCGAAAAACTGTTGCCAGTCATATAAAATCGCTTCAAGTTTTAAATGGCATGGATACATATCGTCGAAAACGTTCAACAATGAGTGTAACAAGTTCAACTGATTCCGAAATGTCTATGTGATCTTGAAAATTGTATAATTTGTATATAGAGATTTGTACTTTCACAAGCTTATATATACAGTAGCGTGCAAAAAGATACGAACACCCTGCAATTTCATCGTTTTACGGGAACTAGTGGTCCAATCGTTCTGAAATTTTTAGGGAGTGTTACTGGGGCCCCAAAAAGCTTTTTCTACAAGCGGGACATTGTAGTTACTAGCTGAAGAGTTGGAAGAACTCGGATATCAAACATCAATTTTAAGATATTCTCACAAATTTCAAAACACCGTTGAAAAAATATTTTTTGCTTCAATTATCATCAACTTTCATTTTTTTGGTCTTCAGGAAGACATAAGCTCTCGATTCCGACCTCAACTTAATGATTTCATTGCCTACAAGGCTCATTCTGAAAGTTCTAGGAAGACCATCCAGAAAATCTGAAAATGCATAAATCTGGATTTTTGATGATATTTTATCGTTGAAATGTGTTTAATACACTCTAAACTGGTCATTTGACCCATTCTACACAAAATTCCTATCGAATTCCGAAGTTTTAACTCAATTCGCACATCAATGCATTTTCGATGTTTTTCTGGATCTTTGATTCCACATCATCAACAACAACAAAATTGACTTTTTATTGATCTAACTAATTCTTAAAGCAGTTCTAAACACTGAACAATTCATCATTTCCACTCAAAAAATTCATCGGCTCAATAGCAGATTGATAAACATCGAACTACCAAAATAGAGTAATTTTATAAAGGAAACCAATTGAAAATGAAGAGTTTTCATAGAGGTCAACTTTCAGCTTCTAGCAATCTCAAATTACGACCGCTAGCACATTCATGACACTTGATAAACATGAACAGTCATCTAAAGAACAAGTTCGATCAATGAAAAGTTAATTCTGATGTTGTTGATGATGTGGAATCAAAGATCTAGAAAAACATCAAAAATGCAGTGATGTGCGAATTGAGTTAAAACTTCGGAATTTGATTGGAATTTTGTGTAGAATGGGTCAAATGACCAGTTTAGAGTGTATTAAACACATTTCAATGATAAAATATCATCAAAAATCCAGATTTACGCATTTTCAGATTTTCTGGATGGTCTTCCTAGAACCTTCAGATTGAACCTTGTAGGCAATGAAATCATTAAGTTGAGGTTGGAATCGAGAGCTTAAGTCTTCCTGAAGACCAAAAAAATGAAAGTTGATGATAATTGAAGCTAAAAAAATATTTTTTCAACGGTGTTTTGAAATTTGTGAGAATATCTAAAAATTGATGTTTGATATCCGAGTTCTTCCAACTCTTCAGCTAGTAACTACAATATCCCACTTGTAGAAAAATCTTTTTAGGGCCCCAGTAACACTCCCTAAAAATTTCAAAACGATTGGACCACTAGTTCCCGTAAAACGATGAAATTTCAGGGTGTTCGTATCTTTTTGCACGCTACTGTATATCTATAGACATATGTTTTTTTCCTAGAAAATCAAATGAATATTTTTGTCTTGTTTTTCACTTCTGGGTATTTTTCATCTGTAATTTATTTATTCCTAGATTCATTCCTTCATTATTTTTGTTAGATCACTAGAAAAAAGATGTTCTCGTGAAATAAGACATTTGAGAAAGAATAATCTATAATTAGTGTGGAGATCATCGCGTGTCAAAGCTGACGAAAAAAAGAGACCCATTGTAATAAGACCTTTCTAGAAAAGGTTCAAATTATGATCGAATTTCTTGTTCATATCTAACTAGTTTTCCTCCATTTTCAACAAAGCTCATTTGACTAATTTCCTTTTTTCCAAGGGAATTCTTTCTCTGTTCATTTTTCCATCGAATCAGGCTCACTAATAATTCATGTTAATATTTCATAGTTTTTTCTCCTTCTTCTGTGTAGCTTTTCAGCTACATTTTCTAAATACATTTTTCATATGATGATTGAAACAAAAAAATTGGTGCTCAATGGAGTGGAAGTCTCGTGTTTGCAGGTTTTCTTTTGATTATTTTTTCCGGTGCTTGTCTTTTTTATATTGAAAAAGTTCTATGAGTATTGGTTTAGAGTGGAACTAATGGCATTTTTTTTCGATTTTTGGTGTTTTTACGGTTGAAAACTTTCAACCTACTTTTTCCTGCTTTTGCCCTTACTCTCGCAAGTTGCCTTTTCTCGATGAAAATACATTAAAAAATATTTTTACTTCCAGATTTTCTGAAAACATTCCTTCTTCTTCTAAAAATTCCGTGTTACACGGAAAAAATACGCCAAGTACTTTTATTTTTTCTTCCTATACACATCACAATTAAATTTAATTGCACACCGAAAAGCGTATTTTAATAAGCTCAATAACATATTTTTTTACGAAAACACGTGAGTCGATTCGTTTCTGGCTTGAAGACCTATAATTTAACAAGCCAGATTGAATGAAGTGAATGAGTGAATGAATCTAACAACCACTTGACATTCTATTACGTTGTCAGCATTTTCAATAGTTTTCAGGCAGCTTCTGGAAATGTTTTTTGGGCAGGGGAATCCTTTTTTTAAGTGATTATTTGAATAGGTTACAATTTTTCAATAATTTAAAAGAGGGATAGGGAATCGATATCAATTCAATGTAAGAACATGAGATAGTGAAACAATCTAACAAAAAATTCCAAATTTGTGGATAACTAAAAATTCGACACATTTGTTAGGGGTTCCTGTTAAATGTCAGTTGGATTTAGGACCTATCAGTACATATGTAAAATTTTTTACTAAAAAAAACTGATGTCAAGTTGAGAAATCCAAAAACAAAAAAAACATGTTTGTCTCATATTCCACGCATTTCATTTTACTAATTTGATACAGTAGTACACAAAAAGTTCATTGGGTTCATTATTAACATTATTTATGAGACAGACGCCAGCTATTTTTCGACACTTTTTCCAACAAAACTTTCCTATATTTATTCGTCCCTTGAGAATTCAAATAAATTGTTGAAACGGTTTTTTTCCTAAATTCTATTTTGTTGAAAGAAAAAATGTCTTCTTTTTCGTTTCTCTGAAAATGGGTTGGTTTTTTTTCGAAAACTTTTGAAACAAATTTTGAACATGCATGCTATGTTCAGAACTCAATAATGCATATAAATGAACTAATAAAATAAACCTCTTCAAAAATGCAGAGCGTCAAAAATTAAAGTTCATTCAACTTCTTTGCTCATTTCTTTCATAAAACATTTTTCATATTAATTCTTCTACTTTTCCCTTAGATTTTCCCATCCCATTTATCCACCAAAAATTTGCATAAGAACTGAAACAAAAAAAGTCAGAAAAGCCTAAAAGTTAATTCCTTGTTGGAGGATTAATAGAAAAATTTTCAATGTTGAAAAATTGGACCAGACAAATTACCCTAATCAAGAGGTCTTTTTTCTTATTTCTATTTCAGTTTGCTTCATGACTTTACATATAAAGAATGAAAAAAGAAATAGAACGAGAAGAAAACCGAACGAACGAAAAACAACGTTTCAAACTCATCTTTTTCTTTTACTTCTGTCCGGCCAAAAACTAGAAATTCTTCTTTTTTCCTTTTTTTTCTAATCCACTCAAACTGAAAAATCTATTCATTTTGTCATCAGTTTCTAGAGCTTCTAAAGCCAAGAAAAAAAACAACAAAAAAATATTTTCTGGTTTTTGGGTTCGAAGTTAAGTAAAATTTGGCATTCTTCTTGCTTTTTCTTTTTCTTGCATTCTTTTATTTTTTCATCCTGATTTTTCTCGTTTTTTTGCTTTAGTTTGCAAACAATGTGTGACATTTTTCATCCCAAAGCATTTTTCATTTCGTTCTCTTTTTGGTGTTCTTGCTTGATGCTTTGTGTTTTACAAAATGAAATGCTCTTGTGATTTGAATTGCAATCTTTGGCCTTTACAATTAGTTTTCGGTTACTGTGCTTTTTTATTCATATAATCCGATTCAGTTTAGACAAATCTTAAGCCAAAAACACTTCAAAAGAAACACCAACACTTTTTTTGAGACGTGATATTTGAAATTCGGAAAAAAACAAAAATATTTCTCAAAAAAAAGTACAAGCTCTTGAGCATCTAAGGTCATGCTCAATTTTCTTTCTGATATCCGATACCCCTCCATTTTTTTTATTCAAATATATTTGTTTTACATGACAAAAAACGCTTTAGAAAGCATAACAAAAGAGAAATAATAATATTTTTTGTGATTTTCAACCAAGTTCAAAAAAATGTCTCTAATATAATTTACTCCTTTGTTCTTCGTATCTTCGTTTACATATATGTGCATTTTTCGTTCTGCCCTAGTAATTTTGGGTTTGGTTTGTCGTGTCTAAAAATTTATGGGAGATTTATTTTATGTGTTCTCGTGAACATTGGCTCGCGGCATACTGTAACTTTATATTCATAGGATTTATATGAGAAAAATAAGGAAAACCCATTCAGACATTCATCGACTAATCAAAAGTACAGTATACGTATGTTCTGGAAATAATGTTTTTTCATGTTTCCATAGTTTTATTTGAAATTTTATGCTTTTTCATTTTTCTTGGAATTATCTTTCTGTTTTTTTTTGTTTTAAATCGGAATGAAGTAAGGTTTCTTGTCTATATTTCATAAAAAAAAAGAAAAATAAAAATGAAAACAATAACAGAAATCTATTCACTCTCGAAAAAAATTAATCTAAATAATGTTGGTCCAAAAAGGGAAATATCCAAAGATATATTTGTTTGTTTATTTATGTTCGACCATATATTTCACTTGTTCACACATGAAATATCTTTCATTCATTTCTTCTCAATTTCTGCTGTTTTTCTACATAGATGAATAATAATTGGAGTAATAACTCAATTTTATTCGCGTTTTTTCATTTTTTTTCAAATATATTTTTTCTCATTTTATAGTAGTATGTTTCTTTTTTCTATTCCTAATTTTCAAGCATCCATCTATAACCTTTGCACCAGGCTAACTTTCAGGTGCGAGGAGACAAAATGTAATAAATAAATAATTTGAGATGTACTCTTTTTCCCCAATATTTTGTTCACTCATCCATATTTTTTCTATTCATACGACTGCAACTTATCCATCCATCATACATATTTTTCCAGTTACTCCAAACAAATATAGTATTTTTGTTACAGAATGGATCCAATTCCTGAACCGCTTCCTGACCAAATAACTCCGAAACCACACGAGCTTCGTTTGAATGTTTCGAGTTTTTATCAAGATCAAGAAGCCAGAAACTTGCTTCAAGCTGAAGAAGCAGCACGTACTTTTAATGAAGATGATTCGGATTACTACATGCAAAATGAACGGATTTATGAGGTAATTTTTAATTATTTACATATATTTATGATATGTGCAAAAACAGATGTTCATTTTGCAAAAAGCAATTATAGTATTAACTTTATACTGATTCGTTTCCGGATTATTATGTATATGTTCATATACGTGAAATATGAAAAAATAAATGAAAAAAAGGGGAAGGAAGATGAGAATTAATAAACACTGAAAGAAAAATTTTCAGTGTGTTGTCGGAAGTTCGGTATGCAGAATGGCGCGATCTTCAATGCTTGCTTTATCGCTGTTTTGTACAATTGCGATTGCAGTGGTTGTTGTTACCATTGTTTTGTTGTGCACATTCATCACACTTGCCAGTCCAACTGAGGTTTGTTCAAATCAATTTTTTTATTGAGCAAGGATTGATCTTTTGATAATGAAAATTCTCAAAATGATACTAACATGTGGGCAGTTAACAAATTGGCTAAATCAAAATATTTTTCTACAAATTATTGAAAACAAATGTCGCTCACTGCTAATGAAGGAAAGTTAATTTCAATAAAAATGTTGTGAAGTTAAACATTATAAGGGTAGATTTCCACCAGTTTCAGTCAGTTTCAAGATAAGAGTGTTACATTGTATAGATTTATAATCGTTTGTTTCTCCAAGTTGCATTTCATTCAAAAAGATTTTTATCAATTCAAAAATCATCCATTTCAAATGTTCAAAAAATCGTCATCAAATTATGATATCATAATTCAACGGAAACTATATTACTTTGAACTTTGAGATTTTCTTCTCGAAAGGTTTTTTGATAAACAAAAAATTCAATAACAATGGTTCGATAAACTTAAATATATGACGCAAATGTTGGTCAACTTAATTAATTAAAACAGGAAGTTTTGAGGGGTAAATTTAATTTGTGACGATATTAGATGAATTGTTTTAATAGTATGGGATATTTTTAGATAAACTTGCAAATGTTTGAAAAATAACCTTGACTGTCATGAGCTGAACTGTTTCAGAGTTTAAATAACTGCAGAACAATTTAATATCGGTAGTTCTAACAGAAAGTAATTTATCGAAAAAGTTCTTCGTGTTGTTAGAACCCAATAAATGAATAATTAATTTTGTTTTTATATGACGTAATAGATAAATTTTGAGCAACTCCCTTAAACATAGACATATTTTCTAGGAAATATCAAAAATCATAAATCTAAATATTTCCGAATAATGATTATTGACTGCGATTATCTTTTCAGAACACTTTTTTTCCTCTTTCCTATTATAAAAAAAGAACAATGATGATTAAAGGTACAATGTATGCATTACATTTCTATTTACAGCTTCCCGATGATATTTCAAATGAGGACGTTGTTGGTGTTATCAATTGGCTCCATTACCCAATCGGTGACCTGGCACTTCGCCGTATCAACCATACAAAAATGACGTAAATAAATGAAAAAGATGAAAAAAAATTCCCTATTACTCCAAACGGTCGCATAATAATCCTATTTTTGTCGTTTCTATTAAGAATAGGCATTCCTTAAACAGTTGGCTTTGAAAAAAAAACGATTTTTCTCACATGAATGAACCTTTTTTTATCAAAAATGTTTTGTTTGAAAGTAACCGGAAGAAAAATTTGTTGTTTTTGTGTTTGATGTTACAAGTCAGGTCAGCAGGCGTGAAAAGGGTCACGAGAAATATTGTGTGGTGTTGAAATTATCATTTCATTGAAAAATATTGATATCATCATGCTTCTTTTTTGGTTAAAAATGAAATGTGGTAAGAGAACACAGTTGATTCTTTGACGAACACGAAAACATACATAACCGATGATTTTTGATACATTAGAAAAAAAGCATGTCTTGACTTGACTTGATTGATTTGCCTTTTGGTTTTGATTCAATTTAATTTAGTAATCGCCACACCCTGTTCGCTGAACTTTTTTTCATCTTGAGAAAATGAAAAAAAAGAGAGAATTTATTTCAATCCAGCCTCTTTTCATTATTTTTTGATTTATTTTATTATTATTTACAGAATTTTTGATTCGTTGAAACTGTTATCTGAAATTGGTCTTGATCTGAATCAAATTGTAATCATTTTTTGGCTACAAAAATTAGAAATCACGGGTTTTTACACAATTAACTTCTTCACCAAATCAATCCGTCCATATTGCACTTGAAGTACACATTTTCCTACAACGTGTCGAAAAATTCTTTTCGAAATGTTCAGTTTGGCAAATATTGAACAACAATTAGAACATGTTAATCATCAAAAACCAATCATAGTTTTGTTTGGTTTTCTTTTTTATCTTGTTTAGGAAATTGATATTCATATGTTAGCTGGTTTTTCTTTGTGATTTCCTGTAAAAATTATAGCTACTAGGAAGAAAGAAAACTTTTTAAGAGAACAATAATATTACTTCCTTCATCAAACACTTCCAGAAAAATTACACAAAATCGAGAAAAATCAAATTCTTCATGGTTTGTGATAAAAATAGTTATACTGTCATCAACTTCAAAACCATTTTTTTTTGGTTCAGCAAGTAATACAGTTTCAATTTTCACATCGCATCATACGAAAAAAACTTTGTTTATTTTAATAACATCATTATGTCAACATAGAGGCTTCTTTCTGCCAAAAAAAACCAACTGAATTAGATGATTCATCTTCATGTTTTTTTTATGTGACAAATAGTTTGTTGTTCTCTTTTTCTATGTGTTCACCCACAACATTGTAAAATTTATTTCGAAATAAAAAATCAACTCTATGAATCACCTCACAAACAAAATTCCAAATATCAAACCGGACACATTGATATGTATGATAAGAGCCGGAAAAAGTGACAGTCATCACTTTTCTCCTCTCAATCTACCAGAAAATTATGGAATCTGAAAAATTTCGAAATATCGTGTGAGAAGAAGAGGGCAAGTGGCAAGGGGCGTCATTTTTTTTGACAAAGAGAAATAGAGAAATAGAAATGAGATGAGTCATCGGGAAAAAAAGTGAGTGGCCTGCGCCTGTAGTGGTATAAAAGATCATCCATGCCACATACATATTCATTTTGATGTTTGTTTGTGTTGGAATTTAGCGGTTTCGAAATTAGATTTCTCCTCTTCTTCTCCTTGCCTTATTCATTCGCTAAAAACTAATCAAATATTTTGCACATTCAGTTTTCAATTTTAAACCTCTTATCATACAAAAATTACTCCAATGTTTTAACCAGCAAACATATTTGTTTCGTAACATACAAAAAACTGCATTGTTCTTCTTCTTCTTCTCACTTGTCCTGAGAAAAAAAACAAAAAGGAGGCGGGACTTAATGTTCTCGAATTTTCCTGCCATTTTTGTGATAATCACTCTTCAATTTTCCTGACTTGTTCAGTTTGGTTTTGTTTGCAAAACGAACAAAGTTGATGAGATGCAACAGAACGTATTCATATTTATATTCATATCAAAAACAAGAGAATAGAATACGGGAAAAAATGAAAACGAGAACTGATTGAATATTCTATGACTATGTAAACTCTACTCGGCCTACTACGATTCTCTAATTATTTTCGTTTGTTATTTTTTCATCCAAAGGTTTGTTGTTCTCTGTCTTACTCGAAGCGTTTTGCGATTTTTGTACTATGCAAAGGTACTGGGAACATATTTTGAAAGTTTTTACCAGCACCTATGCTAGTGCAAACCTTGCATAATGCTCTCTTTTTTCGATTTTTTGCAGGTGATTCTGTTTCAAAAATATAAACTCTTCCATTTGTCATCATGAAGGCACAAACCACAAAATTGGATTTCACAATCTTCCTTCTCTTTCAAAATAAAACAATTCTTATGAAATAAAGTGTCATCTCAACCTTACACTGTAATGATGACGTCAATCTTAACAAAAAGCAAAAAAACTATTAATAAAATGGTGATGTTTGTGTGTTCATGAGTCATCCTTTTCTGTCACTTTACACAACAAGAAGTTATTGTGTGTTCGTTTTTGAAAATCTTTTTTTTATAAGGAATGGGGTTTTTTACGAGTGTTGATTCTAGAAAATTGTACTTTTTAAATGTTCCAATTCGGAACTTGAACAAAGTCGTTATTATTTTATGATTGCGTGAGAGACTAATGAAAAAACGTTTCCAGAAATACCTTGCGCGTTGGAAACAAAAAAGTAAAATTGATATTCAAATATCAAAGTGTTCTAATTCACAAAACATAGACCAGTGGGATAATTGCTATAAACAGTAATGTCGTCATAAAGTTGCAGGTTCAAGTTGTCCCCGTCTTTTTTCAACATTTTTTAAAGGTGTGCTTCTGCTGTGCGGAAAACAATCATGAAAAAAATCGAGAGGAAAAATCAAACAACTATGGCATAGGCATTGGAAAGGTTATGGTGATTTTCATATTCTGAACATCAATAATTTCTGAATTTACTTTTGAGAAATGATACGAACATTTTAAACTTTTATGAAGATTTGAATAATGTCTAAAAAAAACTTATTTCATTTTGTAATTTATTAGAATCATATTTGCGAAAACACCGGAAAAAACAATAATATAAGAAATTAAAAAATAATCAATCAGATTGAACAGTTACAGTAATAAAACTATCAGCAGTTGTGATGTTGCTATGAACATCTTCTCCAAGAATTGTTTGAACGAGTTGTGTTAATTGTTCCTCGACCATTCGAATTGCTCCTCCTCCAACAACTTCATGGATGTTGAATTGCCAATCCGGCACAATTTTACTGTTTCGGAGTGTCTGAAAAATTGAAATTAGGAAAATGAAATTTGAAATGATATCATTTGAAAACTTACTTCCAAAGAACGCATACTGTTGACAAGAGTCTCCCAAGACATACAAACATTGATATCCGGAACAGTTCGCATAACTTCTATTATATCTTCAAGGCTGGCGATTGGATTCAGAATGTTGAGTTTGGTCAATTTCGAAATTGCAGCCGTGTTTGCTGCCCAATTGTCTACTTTCAGGTCGATTTCATATTTTGCAGCTTCATTTAATCGATTCAACATTTGCTCGCTGATTTGTGGTCCAACATATTTGATGTCTTCAATTAAATCACAGCACAATATTTCTTCCAATAGATTCATAGGAATCTCACTATCGGTATTGATTTCCAAATGAACACATTCGGCATTTCGGAAAACAATTCTCCATTCTGACAGCGGCACATCTCTTGGAACCAATTTTGAATTTTGAGAGCTGAATGTGAGAGTAAGCTGCTCGTCGAAGTAGTTGAATTTTGCATTGCAGATTGGTCCAGGAATGTCGTTGCGTTCTGTTTTATAACATTGATCCATAAAGGAACAAGTTTTTCTCAGTTTTTGCACATCTTTTCTTTCAAGCTGAAACAATAGATGAATAAATGCGAAAAAAACAAAGTTATTCAAAACTTACATGTTTGAAAACTACTCCAAAACATTCTCTTGGCAAAGAATGGCTTGGATGAGCATAGTCTTTGATAGAAATTGGCATTGCTGAATAAGTTAGTGAAAAACTTGACGTTGTAATCGTTTATGAATAAACTGATTGTATTACAGACAGAATACCAACATGTGGCACACAAGCCACGCCCCTTTTTGACCTACTTGTCAAATTATGACACGTGTCACTTCGATTTCAAGATTTACAAGGTGTTTGGGCACACCGACATTGATAAAACACATCTGTGACGGATCGCCTCTGGGAAGAATATTTGGGAAATATTTGAATAATAGGTATGTGTTAGTCTGTAGATTGTTATTTTTACTAGAAAAATATAAAATTATAGAACAAACTAGATATTCCATTTTCGAAATTATCAGTGAAGGTTTAAAAAATTGGAAATTATGAACAGGAGTTCTGAAAAGTGCGTAATTTTGATTTTATTGAAAATTCGAAGCTGTTTGTTGTTGAAAAGTTATTTTCTGAATCCGTTGCCGTTATTTCATTTTTATTCAAAATAATTCACATTTAAAAATAACTTTATTCAAAAAAATACTTTCACAAAAAGCATATGAAACGTATGAATAAAGAGAAAAGACAAAAAATTATACGACGGTCCTGAAGTTGATCAAAAAAGATAAACCAGAGTTATCACAACAGAAAACAAAGAAGTGAACAATCTCATAAAATTTAAAACCGGCAAAGTATTATTGTAAGATCAATTTTGAAAGCGAAATTAGAGCAAAATATGATGGAAAATAACTGAACGTATTTTCAACAAAAAAATTGATGATGATAATTGAGGTTTCTGAATGACAATTCTGAATACAAAAAAAAAATTTCAGAATAGTATTCAAAATAAAACAAAATAAAAATGGAATCACTGTTGGAAACAAAGAAAATATTCAAGCATGGACTCGAATGTCTTTCAATCTGAATGATGGACTACGGATTCTTCTCTTCGCTGTTTGAATTCTTGCAACGATTTCCGCCAATTGTTCGTGTCCGACATTCCTGAAAATAAGAATAGAAAATAAGAAATTGAAAAAAACTAATAACTTTCTTACTTTGCAGTATTTTTAGAAGTGATCGGATCGAGGACACTCAAAGCTGTTGGTGTATTGGTGGAAGATCTAAAGAATCGATGTAAGAATTATGAAAAAAATATTCTAAAAACAAACCTCCGGCTCGATCTGCAATTCTTGCAATCTATTTCATAATTTGCAAAATCAAAATGTGAATAATACACAAAAAATTGAATCAATAGCTCTCCAATCGAACAATTATTTTTTTGGCGGGTTTCCAATAATTGTTCCATTCCGGGTAAATGATATAATTTTTGCACAGATGCGTCAGTCGTAAATGTTTCAGGAAACATTCCTTGTAAATTTGGCAAAAGCTGAGGATATGTTCCAGATTGCAAAAAATGCGTCACCATTAACATTAATGTGTAGCCGCTCAGAAAATGGTTCTTCGAATCCATGAGTTTATATTCTTCCGCCCATACTTTCACAATAATTGTCAGAACGGAAAAACGAACATCAACCCTGAAATTATAGTTATTTGTTTTCGGAAATTTGATTTGTTTACAAAATTGATTTATGAACTTACATCGAATATAAAGTGAATAAACAAGAATCTTTGAAACTATCCAAATTATTAATAATTAAGTTACACTCAATTCCAGAATATTTTCCTCTGAAGACAAAATTCAGACTCGGTTCTTCTCCTCTAACCAAATGAGGTTTATTGATTAATTCTTGAAAGTCCAATCTTGTTTTCCATGCATTTTTTATCATTTCCAAAACTTCAATGACTTCTCTGAAATAATCTGATGAAATATTAAATTTTAGGAGTCAAACTCACTCTTCAGAAGTAGAAAAGGTAGCTTTTGTTAACATCAAATCCATTTTTGAGTGTTTCAATGCTGATCCATAAACGGTTGATCCAATGGCAAGAATAGGCACAATTTCATATTGAAAAAACGAACGTAGAAGACTTTGAAATTGATCTTGTGCTTCTAATTTGTCTTCCAATCTCGAAATAGATTGTCTTTTCTTATTGAATATTTTCCATATTGTTCTTGATAGTTCATCAATCATTGTTGGGCACAAGTTTTTCAAATCATTGCCCATTTTCATATCGATTTCATAATTAATTATACCATTCATTTCAACAGGAATATGAAGGTGGCTTGGAATATCATTTGAAATTGCACTTCTGGTTTTTTGATTATTCAACGAAGTCGATTTTGATGAATTGTACGCATATCTACGCATTTTTCTGAAAAAAATGCAAAATAAAAAAATGAATTTGTGTTATGAATTTCTTGTTATCAAGTGAGAGCACAATGTTTTGTAAAAATAATTTTCAAATTTGAATTCAAAAAACGTTTTTTTTTTTCATTAAAAAATGACATTTCCATAACTTTATCATTTGTGAGATGAACATTTTTGCTCCAATTTTTTATTGAAAATCCCTATTAATTTCGACTTATTTGTTCACAACTTACAAATGTTCCAACTTAATTTCGAAACCCATATCAATTCTCCGATTATAATCTTTTCCTCTTACTTCCCATAATTCGATTGGTCGGTACGGTGGATTTTCATAGCATTGCTCATTTTCTTTGGCTTTTATTGCCTCTGTTTCTAAACTTCGTCTCAAAATATCTCCGATTTTGTTCAAATTTTCAAATTTAAAAATAATCAAATCAGTAATCGATTGTTCTCCAATAAACGATGTGTCTTTTTCCCAAGTTGTATCATCAGATTCTTTCCAAACGATTTTGTATTCCAATTCTCGACCGTTATATCTGACATCTATTATATCTTCCATTTCTTCAATTCCTTCCAATTCATGTTGAATATTATTATTGCGATCTAAATCCATATCTTCTTCATCATCGTCGTCGTCTATTATGATGATATCATTATTGTCCGACATTATTGTCCTCTATTTAGACCTATTTTACCCTGAAAAATTAAAGTAAAAGCTCAACCAAATATAAAGTAAAATTGAAAAAAAGAAAGAGTGAATATATGTGCTCAATGTCAAACTAATTACGAATGAAAAAGTAAACCTGAAAACCTTCTTATTACGATATGGAAAAATGCACAATGAATCTTATTGTTAATATAAATTTTTGAAATAAAAAAAATAACATTTTACGATTTCAAGATACACTCTTCATTTTTTCACACAACAATCATTTTTGAGAACTGCAAAAACATAGAGTAGAATATGTTTTCCTTGCGAGGCTCGTGAACAAATTTTCCAATTTTTGAATAAATTACAGAAAGAAATTTCGAAAATATGAGATATTTCATAATTTAGCACAGAACATGTGTCTAGGAAAAATGTTGAATCAAAACAAAAATTTCTCCTGCAAATTAGTTCTTATAAGCAAAAAGAAATAGCCCGTTCACTCAATTTTTTCATAAATTGAATAAAAAATACAAGACATGAGATTTTCATCATTTTGCAGTGAAATTGTATCAAGAAAAAACATTTAGGAAAAACTGATGTAGCTCTTCAAAAAATGTTAAAAATTTTAGATGTAAGATTTTTTTGAAACATTCCATTCGTGGAAAATCAAAGCTATGAATAATATTTCTTGAAAAAAATTAGCAGTAACACTCAGGAAGTCTAGATAAATAGAATAAAGAAAATGAGAAATGAAAAAAGAATGAGCAGACAGAAAGAAAAAGTGTCAACGGTTGGTGTGGTTGATTCATTCTCTGTCAAAAAGAAGTGAATGGGAATATAAAATGGGAAAAACATAGGAAGAGAAAAAAAATATTGCGAAATTCTTGAAAAATTTTGAGAATTGAAAAAAAGAATACATTGAAGAAATAAACTATTTTTCAAAACCACTAATAAATTAATTGTATTTGCTTCATTTGACATTTGATTCTCACTAATTATTGATAATTGTTCCTGAACAGAATAGAACAGAAAAGAAACATATACTGAATACTTCAACTTTCTCTAAAAATTCTACATTGCAACACATTTCAGCCTCAAAAAAAGTTGATCCAAAAATTAATATAATTTGAATACAGTGATCGATAAATGCTCAACATATGAAATAATTTCAATTTCAGACTGAAAGCATTAATTTTGGCTCGAAAAAAATGGATTTGTAAAATTGGAAGATCTTCCAGCTTTCCAAATTTTCGATCGAAAAAAAGTGATTTAAAAAAATAATATTTTCTTAACACAGTATTCTAAAAGTGCTAAACAAAGTAGAGAATAAAAAGAGAATTCTTAGCGCGCTGCCGTTTTGATTTTTTTAATAGGCGGTATCAGAGGCAGGTCTCATCAGTATTAACCTCTGTGCTTAGTATTGAAATTGACGCAAGTTTCCTTATTTCAACTAATGTTTCCTTATTTCAACAAAAAAGGAAAAGAAAAAGAAAAGAAAAAAGAATGATGAGAAACAATAGAAAATTATTTTTAAAAAACATCTTAAAATTATAAAACGACGCCTATCAAATATGAGAATGAACTAGTAATGTAGCAAGAAGTAAGAAAACAAAAGAGAGGGAGAGAGAAATAGAGAGAGAGAGAGAGGGAAAGATATAAACAGTTCTCATATTATTTTGAATAACAATAAAAAAAAACAAACATTTTGAGTTCTTATTAAGGATAGCTAATTTCACAAAAAACCCTAAATTTTGTGAAACGAAAATTTTTAGATTGAAGAATAATTCAAAAAAAACAGCGATCAATAGTCAGAAAAACATTAGACGAAACGAAATAAATCAGTATTCACACATTGACAAACCCCCTATCCCGACATAAAGAGAGCGGGGAAACGCGATATGTTTTATATGTGGGATGGGCTCATCGCGATAAATCGAAATCAAATCAATTTTTTGAGTTTTTAAAAGATGTCGGAAAAAGGAAAAAACAAGTGAAGAATTGATGACGTAATGAGAAACTCGTGTGCGATAGAGGGCTTTATCTCCTCTCCCAAAAATTTCGCGCCGGTCTTTTGTTCAGGCGACGTAAAGAAAAGCGCACCGTGGACAGATAATGAATGTTATGCATTCCACAATGCCTACTTTCAACCGTAATTTACGTAAAATCTTTGAAATATTAAAAATGTTCGATCGACTTCTTTACCTAGCCTAAAGAAAACTTTTTAAGATAAAATTTCATAGTGTTAGAAAACAAGATGAGAATAAAATTATCATATTCTTAACAAAAGAGTCAAAGTAAATGTCTAACGGCTTGAAATTCGTTTTCATTGAAATACCTTAACTGTAACTTTTGATTTTTTGTTTCCATACTGTTCCGGAATTTTCCAGTTGTGAGTTCGAGAAGATAAATGTTCATATGGTATTACAATTTCATAAAAGTTTTATGTGATTTTCTGTGATTTATGAATATAATTCTCAACAAAATAACATTGAATTTATATAAAACTTTTGTCCAATTTCAAGTTTTTGATAAATGCAAGGAAACAATAGTGTTAGCAAACAAGATTTGAAATGGAGATGCCACATTTCTAGTAAATCAACATAACGGTTTTTATTTAATGATTGAAAGCTCAAAATTAGACAACAGTTTCAATTTTTCATATTATTTATTCTTACTTTACTTTTGGAAAAACTTAATGCTAGAAACTTATGGTCGCTGTCTTTCTTAAATGTTTTTTCAATTTTTTGACTTTGTATTTTCCCATTGTGATGTTATCAGAACGTTTTGTCTTCTTCCCAAATAATCTTCCCGACATATGTATTTTCATGCTAGATTACTAAATAACATTATTTGTTGCTTAAAGTTTCTTATCAGACACAAAAACCACACACTCCAGCGAACAAATTCAATTTGCATATGTTCTGATGTGAAAGTTGATTGATGTTTCTTTCTAACTTTAAAAAATCCTACATAAGGTTTTCGTTAACTCATTTTCCAGATCAGATCTCAAAATCTTATAAAATCCAGATATTTTAGATATGTTCTGTGTTTCTTTCCAATCTTTGAAACAAAAGTGTGATGTGAGAAAAAAAAATAATGTATAATTCTTTCCGATTTTTTGCTGATGTTCCATTTGCTGATCGATTATTTGTTTAAACATTTTCCTTTTCTTTTTCACAGCATTCCATTGATTTATACAGAAATCATATACTCTTTTCAAAAAAAAAAGACTTTTTTCTCATCAAAAAGTATGTATGTTTTGTTCCCGAAAACGTTGTCAACTTCAGTATTTTACTTGACAAAACCACTGAACGTTTTTATTATTTATTATTCATTATTATTGTTATTTATAAATGAAACGAACGACCTGAACTGAGTGCAGAAATAGTATACATATATAGGAGAGAAGAGACATGTTTATTCCCTTTTGTTGTTCACATTAGAGCGCATTTTCCTATCTCAAGGTGGCACTTCTGCGCGCACTCTTTCTCCGTCTCTTCTTTCTCTTTCTATTTTCTCATCAATCCTTGTTCATCTAGAATCAAGCAGCCGCTCAATTATTTTTTATTATTATTAATGTGTGATATTATACTAACATTTTCATTTTTCTTTCTCATAGAATAGGAAAATTTTTCATTTTTCACTTCAAATATTTTTCTTTGAAACAATTAGTAAAAATCTCAACTTATCGATTTTTGTTTGTTTTTGCAGAGGGTGAATTATGTCCGATCTATTCACCGGAATCACAAGTTCATTGAAAACTGCCGCATCTGCGATTACAAAAAGTGATCATGTTCGAAAATTGGCCGATGCCATGTGAGTGATTTTTATTTTGAAGAATTACCTTAAATGTGGAAAATTTTAGGAGTGAGGCTATTATGAACTATAGTGAGGCAGAAAAACTTGTTCGCGAAGCAACAAATGAAGATCCATGGGGACCAACAGGACCACAAATGAAGAGACTATGCGAGTATACCAAAAGGTAAGATTTTCAGGGGGATAAGGAAAATATGCCCCTATCAATATTATTCTGAATACGGTTGTATTAATCAACCTATTTTACTTCCAACAAATAGGGGGCCCAAATTGGAGACCAATTACACCCAACTGTCTTAACAAAAATTCACCATTTACTTAATTTTCAGCGGACGCCTTGAAGATTTTTACAACGTCTACACTCCATTGTTCGGCAGAATGTTTGAGAATAATCAAGGAGCATGGAGAAGAGTATATAAAGTTAGTTTTCTTTTTCCCAGGAAAGCTGGCTCAACCTAAAATTTTGAATTTTTCAGAGTCTTGTACTTTTCGATTATTTGCTCAAAAATGGAAGTGAAAGATTTGTGAATGAATCCAGAGAGAAGATTTATGAGTTAAGAAGATTGGAGAGCTACAAGCATACAGATGAGAAAGGAAAAGATCAAGGAATAAATAGTGAGTTTTTCGAATTCAACATTTTCGAAATATAAACAAAATGTTTCAGTCCGTCATCGTGTTAAGCTCATTCTTGATATGCTCAACGATGAAGATCAATTGCGCGAAGAAAGATCAAAAGCGAATTCAGTTGACAAGAGTAAATATAGAGGATTTGATCAATATGATATGAAATCTTCCTCTTCTGGATTTGGATCATCAGGAAATTCGAGTTGGGGAAAAAGCTCGTCGTCTGATTTCAGCAAAAAATCGAGCGATTATGGAAAAGATGAGTGGAGCAATGATGGAGGAAATCGTGATGGAAATGGTAGTGGTAACGGAAATCGTGAAGTATCAAACTTCTCATTCTCTGCGAATAAAGCTGCAAGCAATCGTTCACCATCTCCTGAACTTGGTTTTGTAAACGATGATGTAAGTCGAATTGTACAATTCTTCTATAGATTGAAATTAATGTTCATGTTTCAGAATCGCAAAACTCAAGATGACGACGATGGTTTTGGCGATTTCGTCAGTTCAAGATCAACTCAATCAGCTCCAACTTCTATCAACACTGCGAAAACTGCAAGTAAGTTTTTCATAGAGGTGGTGAGATATTTTATAATTTTACTAGCATAAACTTGATTTGAAACATCTCAAAATACTCGATAAATGTTTGGATGTGAGCTCCGAGAGAAGAACACACAAATTAATTATGTGTGCTCTTTAGCTAATTTTGCTTCGTAGAAAGACAACCCCCTTAACCTCATTTCAAAATTATGTTATCGGAAAACTCAGCGAAATATTTTCAAAGCCGTTTTTGAACATCTATGACAGATTACAATATTTTTTTAGGATCATCAAATGCATTCTCAACGTCGCCAATTCCATCAGCAATTCCACCACCAACAGCTTCAAATATTTTGCCTAGAAAACCATCTCTCACTAATGGTCAGTTTCTTTTTGACAGTTGCTTAAAAAAAACGTGTTAATTTTTTAGATTCACCAAGCAACTTTGATCTTTTGGGAGGACTTGGAGCACCATCAGCGCCAGCAGCTCAAACTGCACCACAATTTGATCTTTTCTCGGTTTGTACAAATCAATAACTAATTTTGTTCTCAGAATAATTCTTTTTTTTTCAGCAAATCCCAGCTGCACCACAACAATCAACACAAACACAAAAATCTGCATTGATTGATGATGTTTTTGGAGAAACTGTGAGTGTTTGCGAAACATATGATTTCAAATAAATTTGTATTTCAGATTTCGTCGCCAGTCGCAGCACCAATTCTCACATCTCCACCAGTTGCTCAAAATTCATCGATTGGCGGGCTCAATGACTTCGATTTTGGTGCCGCGTTTACTGCAACTCCAGCACCTGTACCAATGCAAGCACAAACCACATCAGTTACCAAACCAACATCTTTTAATGAACCAAAAGTTGGTAACTCATTTGCTGGTTTGGATCAATTCATGAATTTGTCACTTTCCCCATCTGGAACTACTCCAAAAGCAAAAACATTGAATCAAATGATGGGAAATTAATTCAACTTCTTCTTCTTTTTTTTGTTTTCCCATAATTTCCATACTCATTTTTATATTACACGTTTTCTCATTTCAATTACCCTTTTCTAATTTAAGCAAACAAAATTGTGTTATTTTTAGAATCATATCAAAATTTCGTTGTTTCCAATTTTAATACATCGAGTGCCTTTTCGATTATCTGTGTTAGTTACAAATAGAATATTCCATTTTCAAAAGCAACGATAACTTGTACTGTAATATAGTTCACTCGATTACCGATAAATATTATAATGCTCCTTTATTTTCTCTGTAAATGGTTTGGTTTTTGAATTTACATAAATAAATTTTGAGATTTATTTTTTATTGATTTTTTTTCTGCGGAGTTTACAACACACCGTTCAACTCTGCATGTTGTTTAGCACAAGGTCTCGCCACGCGTCCCTTTGAGCCTATTTTTTTAAACATTACTCCGTTTTCTTACAAAGCGCTATCGTTAGATATTCAGGAGGAAATTTGAATTATTACCATGGCAACGAAAACTAATATTGCTCTAGGAAGGTCTCGCCAAGATTTACGTTACCATGGATACTATTCAACATCAAATCTACAAAAAATTGGTGTTTCTCTTCATCTTTGGTATAGCTGGAAATGAAACTGAAACTTGCTTCATCCCGGAATTTTCGACATAATGATATGATTGGTGGAGTTGGATGGCTAGGTCCAGAATTGATTCTATCAGTCGCAGATGATCATAATTTTATGATTACAAACACAGCAACAAATGAAACTCAGCCTTTGATGAAAATGAATGAGTAAGTTTTTTTGAATTGCAGGCCATATGAAAAATATATATTGTTCAGCAACTTCTATCCAACTAGTTTGCACATGTTTCCAAGATCTCAATCAAAAGGCACACAAAATGATATTTTTGCGGTTTCAACTTCTGATGGTAAAGTGAATATTTTATCGAGAAATGGAAAAGCTGAAAAAGCTGTGGATGCTCATAATGGAGCTGCTCTTTGTGCAAGATGGAATTCTGATGGAACAGGGCTTTTGACTTGTGAGTTTATTTTTCTTTTTGCTGAAATTGAGTCATAGTGGTTGAAAAAATTTTCTCAGGCGGGGAAGATGGTTTTGTGAAAATGTGGTCGAGAAATGGCATGTTGAGATCAGTATTAGCACAATTTGCAACAGCGGTTTACTGGTAAGAATAAAATGTTCATATTTTTTAAACGTATCCGATTATTTTTCAGCGTTGCGTGGGATTCAACTTCCTCAAATGTTCTTTACTGTAATTCTGATCAATGTTACATCAAATCTTTGAAAATGCAAGTGGCACCTTTGAAATGGAAAGCTCACGATGGAATTATTTTGTGTTGTGATTGGAATCCAACCTCTGCTTTGATTGTAACAGGAGGAGAAGATTGTAAATTCAAAGTTTGGGATGGTTTTGGTCAAATTCTGTTTAACTCATCGACCCATGATTATCCAATAACTTCTGTTGCCTGGTCAGGAGATGGAACTTTATTTTCGGTTGGCTCTCATAATATTCTCAGATTATGTGATAAATCAGGAGTGAGTTTCACGTCTTTTCAAACTTTTTCTTATTGTGAAATCTATTTTTCAGTGGTCTCATTCTCTCGAAAAAATGACGAGTGGGTCTGTTGTTTCAATGAGTTGGTCACCGGATGGAACTCAACTTGCTGTTGGAACTGCAGCTGGTCAGATTTTTTCATGCTCATATTATTGAGAAGTGAGTTGAACAATTAATTTTGAAACATTAAAACATTACTTTCAGGAGGCTCACATATCAGAACTTTGAAGTTGTTCAAACTCACAAGACTACAATTGAAGTACGTGATGTTTCCAGTGAAATAGCCAAAGAAAAACTGGAAACCAAAGAAAGAATTTCAAGAATATCGATTCTTTATCAGAATCTGATTGTGGTCACTTCCTCATTCATTTATATTTATAGTTTCAAAAACTGGAATACACCAATTATTATGGATTATAAAGAGAGAACTGTCAATATTATTACGCAATGTGAAAAGTAATTCAGAACATAATGATAATAATACATAATTTAATGTGTTATTTTTTTAGAATCTTCCTGGTTTCTGATGGCTTAACGATTGTTGTCTTCAATTATGAAGGGCGAAAGCTAACAGATATCAATCCACCTGGCCAAGTTTTATCACTTTTGGATGATAGAAAAGTCGATTTAGCGAATGATACTTTGGTTGTTAGAGATCGAGCTGATCATAAAATAATGCATTTCTTCGATCCAAATACAGGAAAAACACAAGGGGATGGAAATTTGAAACATGAATATGAAATTCAAGAATTGACTATAAATCAATGTGGAAGTGTAAATGATAGAATTGTTGCTTTCCGTGATCAGATTGGTGCAATTTATATTGCCTTGATAAAAACATTTGGTGTGAGTCAACGAGTTGCCAAAATTGGATCACTTGTGGAACAACTTGTTTTCAATGATGTAACAAATATGCTCGGAGGTATATCGGAAGGAAAAATTGGTGGGTTCTATAAATCATTGAAAAACTATTTTTTTGTTATTTCAGTTGTTTGGCCTCTTCCCAATATCGCTTTTCTTGATCGAAACCTTTTGCAAAAATCAATGATCTACAAACCCGTTGGTAATATGGGAAAATTTCCACAACTAGCAAGTTTTGCTGGAAACACAGTAGTCTTAAGAAAATCTGATGGATGTCTGGTTCCAGTAGGTATTTCGCCGTTTTTTTCTACAATAAATCAATTGGCATCAAATTCAAAATGGGATCAAGCCATCAGAATGTGTCGAAGTATGAATAATGATGCGCTATGGGCAACATTAGCTGGCGCATCAATTTATTATAAAAATATGTTTGCGACTGAAATTGCGTATGCAGCACTCCAAGAAGATGAAAAAGTTTCACTTATCAATGAAATCAAGGAAAAATCAGATAAAGATGTGAGACAGGCAATGCAAATTATATTAACTGGAAGAGTTGGAGATGCAGAAGTTCATTTGGAAAGAAATGGACATCCTTTCCGAGCAATGATGATTGATATACAAATGTTCAGATGGAAACGGTAAGAGTTATCTTGGTAAAAATTTGTTATTAAGAAACCTTGTTGTAGGGCTCTAGAAATTGCATTGAAGAATAAACAATATTTGGAAGTTGTGATGGGATATAGACAAAGATACTTGAAACAACTTGGAAGAACTGAAAATGACCCAACATTTTTGAAACATTTATCAGAAGTTGAAATCGATTGGATTCATATTCGAGAAATTATCAGTGCTGAACGAGCTAAAGGGGAGTATTGAAATTTTTGAATTTATTTTAACTGTACAGTTTTTTGTCAAATGCAACATCGAGAAAGTCATAAAAAAGTTATAAAATCGTTCGATGTTTTCATCTTTTCTCCCGAAAAAATAATTGAAGAAAATACGTTGCGAAACCATAACAATCTCTCTCTTTCAACTATTATTATTTTGTTTCTCCTTTTCATATTAGTACAAACGGTTCTAGTTGCTTTTAATTGAAGAAAAATGAAAATGAAAAGTCGTCAAGCAGGCGGATGTTCATTTATGGAAAAAAGTAGGAGGGGTTGCGACAGAAGAATAAGAAGTAGTTGTGATATATCCTTTTTTTCTACAGTACTTTCTTGGTTTTATTTTTGTCGTCGTATTCAATCCTATCTCTCCTTGTTCATCTATTTCCTTGGCCTAATTTCAAGTGTTACTCAATCAACAATTTCGCCCCACATTTTCGATTTCTCTTACATTTACACCTTCATTATCATCTCATAAAACAAATTCTAGTACTTATTTTTTGGTCTCATATGGTAATGCTACAATCAACTTTTTGGTTCTCACTTTTTATTCTTTTCACTTTTGCCAATGCTGTCGAAAAGAAATGTCCAGCTGTGAAGCGAGGTATATCTATATCATTTTTTATTTAGCCTAACTTTACTTTTCTCTTTTTTAGGTGCATGTTGTAATGCTCCAGTTCTATCTGGATGTAAACTTCCACGTCAATGTTATCGCTATATTATGGCAAACTGTCCAGATCGTAAAATTGCAGTATTTTCAAGAAAAATCGGAGAAGATAGACGACTTTCACCAAAAAAGCATTTGGTATGTTTTTATACTCTATTCAGAACGAGAACAATCATATCAAAAATTTTTTAAGGGAAAATGTGGTACTTCTGAAGTGAATTATCAACCATGTACCTCCAAAGGAATTGCTAATAAACTATTCCTAAATTGTTGTCAATTATATGTTCCTGAAGAATGTCATCATATGTGTGTTTATGAAACCGATCAAACAGTCACTAGAAATATGGTAAGTGGTGATTCAAAAACAATTTATGTTGTAGGATCTCATCATTATTCAATTCATCAAATCTTTGACCAATTAGCCAATTCACAACATTTCACTTTTTTCCACTTGAAGCTACAAACAACTATTTTTAATCTAATTATAATCCACTGAATTAACAACTATTTATTAATTGTCTCTGAAGGAGAGAAAAAATTTCGCTCCCGGGTGGGCTCGAACCACCAACCTTTCGGTTAACAGCCGAACGCGCTGCCTATTGCGCCACGGAAGCAGATGCTCAAACGCTGTGTAATCTAAAATAAATATATTTTTGGTGTTTGAAGTTAGAAAGAGAGAAGCAGAGTTGAAATGAATGTTGTGTGTGCACACACATTTGTAAAACAAGAATTGGTAGAACAAATTGTGAAAATTGAAAAAAAATGTTTGCAGCTTGTGAATATGAGGAAAGATAGTCAATGTCGAATCAAACATCTTTCATCAATTTTATACTGTGCCAGTCAAAATAGGGACAATCGAAAATGTTGTCTGGATTTGGATTTGAATGCTCCACAACTTCAAGTTGGTTCACGTTGTTTAAGAATGTGTGATCCATCTGGAACAGCAATTGAAAAAATAACCAAAGAAGATGTTACTTGTCTTTATAATTGGAATGTTATTATGTATTGTCATCATGCTGGAATACGGGAAATGTAATATTTTTTGTAGACTTGTTTGTTTTTATGTTTTTGTATTTATATTTATGTTCTCTGTGATATTCATTCTTGTCAGATAATTAATAAATTATTTTCAGAAAATTTCAGTTTGGGACTAGCGTTGTAACGTTTTGTTATGAGAATTAATTGAACAAGCGACCTTGTTTTAAATTGTTTTTCTACAGAGAAATAGCTGATTCCATAAATGTTTCACCCAGTAAAATAAAAATGTTACTTCATAAGTTTTTACGTTTTATTTTTATAGATAATTTGAAAATTTGGTTTCTATAATTTTCATCAGTTTTTAGAATCTATCAATCGACTGCCCAAATTCTCTTGTTTTTTGCATAAAATGTACTCGTCAGATGTTCAGAATAAGAATTAGAGTTCGACGAAAAACTTCGCGAAATTTTTCGTCGAAGTTTTTCGTCGAAGTTTTTCGTCGAAGTTTTTCGTCGAAATTTTTCGTCGAACTTTTTCGTCGAAGTTTTTCGTCGAAGTTTTTCGTCGAACTTTATCGTCGAACTTTTCGTCGAACTTTTTCGTTGAAGTAAAAAGTCACAGATTTGGATTAATCCAAAACTGTTAAAAACAGAAAAATTGACAGAACATCAATGAAATGAGCTGAGAGATAAGCTAATCTTAAGTTAATCAGCTAAGCCTAAGCCTAAGCCTAAGGTAATCAGCTAAGCCTAAGCCTAAGCCTAAGGTAATCAGCTAAGCCTAAGCCTAAGTCTAAGGTAATCAGCTAAGCCTAAGCCTAAGCCTAAGGTAATCAGAATTTTTAACATTGTTAAAAACAGAAAAATTGACAGAACATCAATGAAATGAGCTGAGAGATAAGCTAATCTTAAGTTAATCAGCTAAGCCTAAGCCTAAGCCTAAGGTAATCAGCTAAGCCTAAGCCTAAGCCTAAGGTAATCAGCTAAGCCTAAGCCTAAGGTAATCAGAATTTTTAACACTGTTAAAAACAGAAAAATTGACAGAACATCAATGAAATGAGCTGAGAGATAAGCTAATCTTAAGTTAATCAGCTAAGCCTAAGCCTAAGCCTAAGGTAATCAGCTAAGCCTAAGCCTAAGCCTAAGGTAATCAGCTAAGCCTAAGCCTAAGCCTAAGGTAATCAGCTAAGCCTAAGCCTAAGCCTAAGGTAATCAGCTAAGCCTAAGCCTAAGCCTAAGGTAATCAAAATTTTTAACATTGTTAAAAACAGAAAAATTGACAGAACATCAATGAAATGAGCTGAGAGATAAGCTAATCTTAAGTTAATCAGCTAAGCCTAAGCCTAAGCCTAAGGTAATCAGCTAAGCCTAAGCCTAAGCCTGAGGTAATCAGCTAAGCCTAAGCCTAAGCCTAACGTAATCAGCTAAGCCTAAGCCTAAGCCTAAGGTAATCAGAATTTTTAACATTGTTAAAAACAGAAAAATTGACAGAACATCAATGAAATGAGCTGAGAGATAAGCTAATCTTAAGTTAATCAGCTAAGCCTAAGCCTAAGCCTAAGTTAATCAGCTAAGCCTAAGCCTAAGCCTAAGGTAATCAGCTAAGCCTAAGCCTAAGCCTAAGGTAATCAGAATTTTTAACACCGTTAAAAACAGAAAAATTGACAGAACATCAATGAAATGAGCTGAGAGATAAGCTAATCTTAAGTTAATCAGCTAAGCCTAAGCCTAAGCCTAAGTTAATCAGCTAAGCCTAAGCCTAAGCCTAAGGTAATCAGCTAAGCCTAAGCCTAAGCCTAAGGTAATCAGAATTTTTAACACTGTTAAAAACAGAAAAATTGACAGAACATCAATGAAATGAGCTGAGAGATAAGCTAATCTTAAGTTAATCAGCTAAGCCTAAGCCTAAGCCTAAGTTAATCAGCTAAGCCTAAGCCTAAGCCTAAGGTAATCAGCTAAGCCTAAGCCTAAGCCTAAGGTAATCAGAATTTTTAACATTGTTAAAAACAGAAAAATTGACAGAACATCAATGAAATGAGCTGAGAGATAAGCTAATCTTAAGTTAATCAGCTAAGCCTAAGCCTAATCTTAAGTTAATCAGCTAAGCCTAAGCCTAAGCCTAAGGTAATCAGCTAAGCCTAAGCCTAAGCCTAAGGTAATCAGAATTTTTAACACTGTTAAAAACAGAAAAATTGACAGAACATCAATGAAATGAGCTGAGAGATAAGCTAATCTTAAGTTAATCAGCTAAGCCTAAGCCTAAGCCTAAGGTAATCAGAATTTTTAACATTGTTAAAAACAGAAAAATTGACAGAACATCAATGAAATGAGCTGAGAGATAAGCTAATCTTAAGTTAATCAGCTAAGCCTAAGCCTAATCTTAAGTTAATCAGCTAAGCCTAAGCCTAAGCCTAAGGTAATCAGCTAAGCCTAAGCCTAAGCCTAAGGTAATCAGAATTTTTAACACTGTTAAAAACAGAAAAATTGACAGAACATCAATGAAATGAGCTGAGAGATAAGCTAATCTTAAGTTAATCAGCTAAGCCTAAGCCTAAGCCTAAGGTAATCAGCTAAGCCTAAGCCTAAGCCTAAGGTAATCAGCTAAGCCTAAGCCTAAGCCTAAGGTAATCAGCTAAGCCTAAGCCTAAGCCTAAGGTAATCAGCTAAGCCTAAGCCTAAGCCTAAGGTAATCAGAATTTTTAACATTGTTAAAAACAGAAAAATTGACAGAACATCAATGAAATGAGCTGAGAGATAAGCTAATCTTAAGTTAATCAGCTAAGCCTAAGCCTAAGCCTAAGGTAATCAGCTAAGCCTAAGCCTAAGCCTAAGGTAATCAGCTAAGCCTAAGCCTAAGCCTAAGGTAATCAGCTAAGCCTAAGCCTAAGCCTAAGGTAATCAGCTAAGCCTAAGCCTAAGCCTAAGGTAATCAGAATTTTTAACATTGTTAAAAACAGAAAAATTGACAGAACATCAATGAAATGAGCTGAGAGGTAAGCTAATCTTAAGTTAATCAGCTAAGCCTAAGCCTAAGCCTAAGTTAATCAGCTAAGCCTAAGCCTAAGCCTAAGGTAATCAGCTAAGCCTAAGCCTAAGCCTACGGTAATCAGAATTTTTAACACCGTTAAAAACAGAAAAATTGACAGAACATCAATGAAATGAGCTGAGAGATAAGCTAATCTTAAGTTAATCAGCTAAGCCTAAGCCTAAGCCTAAGTTAATCAGCTAAGCCTAAGCCTAAGCCTAAGGTAATCAGCTAAGCCTAAGCCTAAGCCTAAGGTAATCAGCTAAGCCTAAGCCTAAGCCTAAGGTAATCAGCTAAGCCTAAGCCTAAGCCTAAGGTAATCAGCTAAGCCTAAGCCTAAGCCTAAGGTAATCAGCTAAGCCTAAGCCTAAGCCTAAGGTAATCAGCTAAGCCTAAGCCTAAGCCTAAGGTAATCAGAATTTTTAACATTGTTAAAAACAGAAAAATTGACAGAACATCAATGAAATGAGCTGAGAGATAAGCTAATCTTAAGTTAATCAGCTAAGCCTAAGCCTAAGCCTAAGGTAATCAGCTAAGCCTAAGCCTAAGCCTAAGGTAATCAGCTAAGCCTAAGCCTAAGCCTAAGGTAATCAGCTAAGCCTAAGCCTAAGCCTAAGGTAATCAGAATTTTTAACATTGTTAAAAACAGAAAAATTGACAGAACATCAATGAAATGAGCTGAGAGATAAGCTAATCTTAAGTTAATCAGCTAAGCCTAAGCCTAAGCCTAAGGTAATCAGCTAAGCCTAAGCCTAAGCCTAAGGTAATCAGCTAAGCCTAAGCCTAAGCCTAAGGTAATCAGCTAAGCCTAAGCCTAAGCCTAAGGTAATCAGAATTTTTAACACTTCGAATTTTTTGGTTGATTCACAAAATTCGGAGACCCTTCGAATTTTTTCGGTTGATTCACAAAATTCGGAGACCCTTCTGAATTTTTTCGGTTGATTCACAAAATTCGGAGACCCTTCGAATTTTTTCGGTTGATTCACAAAATTCGGAGACCCTTCGAATTTTTTGGTTGATTCACAGAATTTTTAACACTGTTAAAAACAGAAAAATTGACAGAACATCAATGAAATGAGCTGAGAGATAAGCTAATCTTAAGTTAATCAGCTAAGCCTAAGCCTAAGCCTAAGGTAATCAGCTAAGCCTAAGCCTAAGCCTAAGGTAATCAGCTAAGCCTAAGCCTAAGCCTAAGGTAATCAGCTAAGCCTAAGCCTAAGCCTAAGGTAATCAACTAAGCCTAAGCCTAAGGTAATCAGAATTTTTAACATTGTTAAAAACAGAAAAATTGACAGAACATCAATGAAATGAGCTGAGAGATAAGCTAATCTTAAGTTAATCAGCTAAGCCTAAGCCTAATCTTAAGTTAATCAGCTAAGCCTAAGCCTAAGCCTAAGGTAATCAGCTAAGCCTAAGCCTAAGCCTAAGGTAATCAGAATTTTTAACACTGTTAAAAACAGAAAAATTGACAGAACATCAATGAAATGAGCTGAGAGATAAGCTAATCTTAAGTTAATCAGCTAAGCCTAAGCCTAAGCCTAAGGTAATCAGCTAAGCCTAAGCCTAAGCCTAAGGTAATCAGCTAAGCCTAAGCCTAAGCCTAAGGTAATCAGCTAAGCCTAAGCCTAAGCCTAAGGTAATCAGAATTTTTAACACTGTTAAAAACAGAAAAATTGACAGAACATCAATGAAATGAGCTGAGAGATAAGCTAATCTTAAGTTAATCAGCTAAGCCTAAGCCTAAGCCTAAGGTAATCAGCTAAGCCTAAGCCTAAGCCTAAGGTAATCAGCTAAGCCTAAGCCTAAGCCTAAGGTAATCAGAATTTTTAACATTGTTAAAAACAGAAAAATTGACAGAACATCAATGAAATGAGCTGAGAGATAAGCTAATCTTAAGTTAATCAGCTAAGCCTAAGCCTAAGCCTAAGGTAATCAGCTAAGCCTAAGCCTAAGCCTAAGGTAATCAGCTAAGCCTAAGCCTAAGCCTAAGGTAATCAGCTAAGCCTAAGCCTAAGCCTAAGGTAATCAGAATTT